GGGGCGGCGTGGAGCAGCTCAAGGGTGCCGTTGGGAGTGGGGACGGAGAGGCGGGTTATGTGTGGGGGGAGAGGGTAGAGGGGTGGGGTGGTGGGGGCGTGGTATTGGAGGGGGTTGGTGAAGAGGGACATTGTGATGAGATAAGAGTTCTGAATGATGTTTTCGTGGTATGGGGGTTGCTTGTGTTCCTCAAACGACTTTGACTGTTGAGATTTGTGGAAGGATTTACACTGCTGATGATATATGGACTGAAGTCAGGAAGGAGAGTTGTGCTCTATGTATGCATGTGCATCACCACACGTACTCGCTCGTTCCTACGTGTTCCGTGGGTGCTGTATCCGAACTTCCTCATGCATGTGCTCAGCTGAACGCTGGGCGTAAGGCGCTGCCCGTTTCTGGAAACTAGTTGCGATGAGGCGCTCACGATGCCTGTTCAAACCTCTCCACATCGCGGGAATGCCCTCGGCCGAGCTCTGCATCCGCGACCGCCCTATGCTAGCGTAGCAGATGGGAAGTAACAATGCAACTGTACCTCGAAGTGCTCCCTGTAGTCCATCAACCAAAAATAGCATCCGCCGAAATCCACGCTAAACTACAGAGTGCTATCGATAAGCCCTATCACCACGCCAAGTTTTCTGCACTGCGACTCTAAGGTTCCGTCGCGCAAACTGCACCCACGCATATACGAAATGACGTCCCGCAAAAGAAATGAGTGGCTTGATGCTGGAGAGAGTAATGACGAAGACGCTGGCTATGACTCTGAGGCTGTTGAAGCAAGCAAGGGCGGTGCACTTGGCGGTCGAGCGACCAAACGGCGGAAAGTGGAGAGTGACGAGGAGGGCGATTCGGGAGGGGAGAGTGAGAACGAGGAAAGAGACGAGGAAGAGCAGGCAGGAAACATTCAGACTCGACCCATACGAGACAGCCGCTTCGACACCACCAGCTTCGACGAGAACGACGAGGATGGCGTACCTCACGATTCGGACGACGAGGGGGAAGATATCGAAGACGACCCCACGATTCCCCAGCCCAGCCAAAGTACCAAGTTAAAACCCCTCACGCCAGCACAGCTCGCAAAAGCCCAAAGAGCCGCAAAGCGCACCGGCGTCATCTACATCTCGCGCATCCCGCCCTTCATGAAGCCCACCACGCTCCGGCGCCTCCTCTCCCCCCACGGCACCATAAACCGGCTCTTCCTAACCCCCGAAGACCCCTCCTCGCACAAATCCCGCATCCGCTCCGGCGGCAACCGCAAGCGCACCTTCACCGACGGCTGGGTCGAGTTCGCCCGCAAGTCCGACGCGAAGCTGGTGGCCGAGATGCTGAACACGCGCACCATTGGCGGCAAGAAGGGCGGGTACTACTACGACGATGTGTGGAATATAAAGTATTTGAAGGGGTTCAAGTGGCACCATTTGACGGAGCAGATCAAGAATGAGAATGCGGAACGCGCGGCGCGGTTGAGGACGGAGATTGCGCGGACGGGGAGGGAGAACAGGCTGTTTTTGCAGGACGTGGAGAGGGCGAAGATGGTGGAGGGGATGGAGGCGAAGAGGAGGGAGAGGGAGAGGGGAAAGGGGGAGGGTGGGCCTGATGAGGCTGCGGGCGAAGCTGCTGCGGTTGAGGATGCACCCAGGAAACGGGAGGTCAGGAGGCATTTTAGGCAGAACGAGGTCAAGGCTAAGAAGCCCAAGGCGAAGACCGAGCAGTCGGAGGAGGTAAAGCGGGTGCTGAGCAAGATCTTTTGATCGTTGGTGTTGTTCGTAGTGGTGACCGACATCATTGTAGGGTCTACCATCAGTGAAGTCAATGCATAGAAGGCATGACTTTATATACAGTACATCCAAGTGCTGCTTTGTAGGTGTTATTGTTGGACTATCTCTAGCCACCAGCACCGTTCGCGCTGTCATGACTCCTCTGCCTGGCTCCTTCGCCATCCCCCAGCAGCGGCGCCCGCTCACCCCGCACCTCATCCCTCCCCTCCGCATCCGCTTTCCTCTTCCTCCACTCCCTAACCTCAAAGCTAATCCCCATAACCAACAACACCCCCTGCAGGCACCCCGTAACCAAATACACCGTCCAAGCGCTCCAGCCCTCCCTCCCCAGCCTCACCGCCAAGCTTGCCGCAAAGACGAAGCTTCCCGGCGTCTGTATGCACATCATCGGAATGCTCAAACTCTTGACAGCCTGCAGCTTCCACGTCGTGTAGATCTGCGGCAGGTACTGTATGCTGGCTAGCACGGAGGCGGAGATGCCGAGGACGTTGGCCCAGAGCTGCAGCATTTCGGGGAAGCGCGCGAGGAGGGTGATGGAGACTAGGAACACGACGAGGAAGTGCAGTATGCTGACGCCGACGACTATGAGGGCGGAGCGGTAGGTTGGTCCCTTTGGGTCATTTTCGGAATCTGCGGCCGAGGGTCTGGGGAAGAAGACGAGGAAGAGGAGCATTCTGTGCCAGCGTCATCAGCTACCCAGCGTCAAGGCAAGAAAGGGCCAGAGGGCGGTATCGCACATCAGGAAGAAGCAGCTCCACTGCACGCCCACCTGCGCAATACCCAGCAGCGCTGCCCCGCACGCGAACGGGCTGATCTCGCGGCAGCATCCCACATCTGTGCGGCTGGTGGGCAGAATCAGGATGTTTGCGATGGCACAGGTGCCGGATGTGGTGCCTAGTAGGACGAAGTAGGGAGAGAGGCCCTCGGAGGAGCGGCGGGCGATGATGCGGTAGTGTTGTGGGAGGTAGGAGACGAGAATGCCGACGAGTATGAAGCTGGAGTGCGGTCAGAGGGCTAGCAGTCAGTTCGGGGAAGCTGCTCGAACCTACATGGAGACGCCGAAGTTCGCGAGACTGGGGTTGGCTAGCTCGTCGCAGCGGGAGGCCAAGTTCGTGAGCTGCATTTTTGTGAGAGCTTCCGAGGCGGTGCGCTACATGGGCAGAAGTGGGGTCTGTATATAGGCTCAACGGAGAGCCATCGTCTCTGAAGCGACGTCCGCTGTCTGCACACGACGCGGCGCGAGAAGCTCATGGCGATCCGGGGAAGCGTGATGGCTGGCGGCTTGGCAGAAACTCACCGCCTGGCTGGCAGGGGATCCTCCGCAAACGTCCCATCGTCGCAGACAGAGTGATCTAAGGGAGGAATTTGTGTACGTTCACATTCACAGTACAGCAGGGGGGACAAACGTGGGACGTACGGAATATGGTGTCTTAATTAAGTGGTGATCGACAGATGGAAGACTTCTTCTACTGGGAAATCTTGTCTGACCACAGCCCCTTCTCGATCCTCGGAGTCAATATCTCTTTGCCAAAGTCATGTATGCTGTAGAGATGAAAGGAATAAAGATGCACTAGAGACCCAACTCGATACGCCGCCCTCGCTCCTCCAGCAGAAAGGGCTCCCAACCCCACGCTAGCCGTAAGCAAAGCTTTTAGCAACATGTATGTGGGAATTAGAGAAAGTCGGCCGAGAATCCCAAAAGTGAGCCTGGGATCTGTGGAATGGCAGCTGCGTAAGCTGCGCAACCTCTGTCTAGACCGTTCTGCTGCGATTACCATGCTCTTCCGATGGGGCTGCGCTGCTTCTTGAGCATCACGGGCCCGGGTCGGTGCACGCCTCGTCGATATCACCCTTCCCATCCCAGAAGTCGTAGTCTAGTCCCGCAGGGATATCTCTCAAGCTTTCCGTATCAGAATCCGTCCCCGACCTCTTCCGTGATGGGCCTGGTTCAGGACTTCTTGAAGAGCTGTGGGTCAGCGATCTGTGCCCTTCGAGCATGGGGATCGGTGGGCTAGTATTCGGGCTGACGTTCCGTTCCCCCTGGCTAACAGGTTGGCTGTCCAGTTCTGCTCTCTTCTCCTGCAAGGCCTGCGCCAGATCTGGCGCTGCGCGGGTAAGGTAAGTCATGACCTCCTCCGCTCTGGCGTGCTGATAGTCGTGGACTTCCCTCAGGTACTCGACTATGCCGCAATCGGCCTGGTTGCCGGAAATCTTGTCCATGAGATTCGAGAGGATCCCTTTCAGCCTCCACTGGAATTCTTCTTCGGTCTGAGTGATGCGCGCAAGGGCTGTTCGCTGTTTTGCGCTTTCTGTTCGCAGTCGCTCCAGCTCCGTCTTCTGGTCGTTGACCCTGGTATGAAGACGGCTGTTGGTGAAGCTGAGCTCATCGCTTGTCTCTTGTAGCTCATCGACCTTCCTCCTGAGCTTGTTCGATGGCAGACCTCTGTTGTAGCGTTGCTGCTTGTATTCTCTCTTAAATGCCGGGAACCAGCCGTTCTGTATTGTCGGTGGAGTTCCTCCTGCAGTGCCTCCGTTGCCACCAAGATTCGCCGGACCAGCAGCCGCGCTGGCGACTGATGCGGCGGACCTCGCGGACCTTGCAGACCTTGCGGACCTTGCGGACCTTGCGGACCTTGCGGACCTAGGAGCTGGCATGGTGACGGAGCCTCCGGTTTGGCCTGCCAATGACGAGGCCTCCGCACTTCTGGAATCTCTTAACGTTCGGTCCTGTACTCCAAACTTCTCAGGCGGCTTCTCGCTTAGAACGAGGATGAATTAGTGCTCGAGGGTTGATCAGTGGCGACGGTCCGTTCTGTTGAATGGAGTTGGATGTTGCTCTGGGAAGGGAGTTCATTCGTTCTTCGCTGAGACTCAAAGGAGGAGGCTTCTCCGGTTGTGACGCCTGAAGCGACGAGTTCTGTCACCCGCTGTCCAGTTTTCGGCCCCTGACTACGTGACTGAACTGCGGACGAGGTCTTCAAGGATGGCTCCAATGACTGCTGAGTTGTTCGCCGTGTCCGCTTGTGCAGAATGGTTGAGGAGTCCTCGAATGCGTGGAACCTTCAGCTGTCGCTGTTGTTCTAGGATTCTCCTTGAAGTATCCTTTGACGTCAGCGGCCGCGGCCTTGGTACAATGGATAGACCTTCCTGAAGGAAATTTTTCGAGGTGCCTTGGTACTGTGGTTGATGTGAAGGGGTTGTAACAGTGTTACACGCAAGAGACCCCGACACACAGAAGAGCGAGGGCGGAAGAACCGCTATGTGATGATGTTGGGTAGAAGGAAAGGATGAAAGGTCCTCTGTGGAAAAGAAGCTATGAAATGAAGAGGTCAAGAAGAGACGAGAGCCTTCGAACCCCTAGAATAGTCTCAGGCAAGAGAAAGACCGAAAGCCGCTCCGGAGGAAATAGTCCGGAAGTGATGGGAGGAGATAATGAAAGCGACGTTTGAGCGGCCTGGATCATGCCAGGCGCCAGCCCTACGCACAGTGCCCTTTCTTTATATGTCAACAAGTTCACTCTCACTTTCGCCCAACGGACCCGGATCGATGCTCTAGTGGAAATATCCGTCAAATCTAACTCGGGCGGGCATTACCGTTGTGGCATGGTCTTCAGTTCGAATCGCGTTTGTACTTCGCTTTAACACTAATAGTTTCAATCTCCAGCGAAATTTAGAAGCCGCTTAATAAACCTGATGTTCTCTCAGCTGCTTCGGCAGGAGGGGGGTTTCCTCGCGGACGTTCTTCACCCTCGTGGTGGAGGATTATGAGTTTTGCCGTTTCTTTGATGTTTCACTTTTGCGTGGGGGGTGTGCACCATGAGATTGATTCTTGGATTTGTTTTGGAGAAGGGAATAGCATTTGAGTTTGAGCACCGCGCAACGCTGAGGACGACTAGAGATCTTGTGTGCTTGTAGCTGGGTCACAGCCGTCTTGCGTAGATGGAGTAAAGAAACGAGGATCTCTCAGGGGAATAGCGGTGACAATTTCCAATGTTTTCTGCGGATACGTGTAGAAAGCAACATAGAGAACGTCTACTTGCCTAATCTCAAATGGCCTTCGTGCCCGTCTTACCCTCTGGAAAAAACCTAGGACTGACAGACTGCATAGCAGGATGACGGCGTTGTGCTTCAATCAAGTGTGCGTCGCCGTCACGGCATCCATTTCGACTAACATGCGCAGATGCAACCACTTGTCTTGGATGTATCCTCATCCATTCTCTCTCACTGCTAGGCTTGGATTAGCTATGCGTCAATATCACGGCGTCCGTTTGAACCATAAAGCAAGGAGCTTCTATATATCGTGAGAACCACATCTCGTAGTTTGCCCTTCCTAAACGTCTCATCTCCTCCTTCCAAAACTAGCCTTCGAAGTCACGATATCCTGCAACGCCCTCCGGGCCCGCTCGTCCCTCCTATCAAAGACGCCATTGAACCAACTCTTCAGCACCCTCTCCGAATCTGCATCCACGTCAGCAAACCTCCCTCAAACCCCAATCCCACATCCAGCGCCTCAACTTACGCGCATGCCCCTCCGCAAATCCCACCCCCTCACCGCCCTTCTCCCCCACAATTCTCACCGCCTCCTCCAACAACCCACCTCCGACCCCCTTCCCCCTATACCCCGACCTCACCGCCCACGCCCTTACAGCCCCTCTCCCCTTATGCCGCCTCCGTCCGCTCCCCCGCCCCCCACATACCCACCCTAGTACCACCACCCCAACAACCTCCCCGCTCCTCGCCGCCTTCGCAATAATCACCGCATCGCCCCCCAGCCACGCCCAGTCGATCTCCCCGGCCAGCGCCGTGTACCCCGACGTGCACCACCTGAGGCCCACAAGCGCCGCAACGGTCAGCACCGCGAAAGGTAGGCCAAAGAGCGCGAGTGAGCTAGGACAGCGACACAGCGGCCGCGCTACCAGCGCCAGGAGCATGGCGCACGTGCCCAGCACGGCCGGGTGCGACAGCACGGCGAGGAAGGCGATGCGCCGCTGCGTTGCTACGCTGTCGGCCACGAGCTGGAGCGCAGCGGCTCTCTCGGCGTCGGTGGTTGCTGTCGTGTAGACGGTGGCTGGGCCCCGCTTCCCTGCTGAGAGTCCCGCTGAGATTCCTGCGGACAGCCCTAGTAAGGAAGCGCCCAGGTTGTCGGGAGGGAGATCTGTGGAGGAGGCAGCAAAGGCGAAGGCGAGCGGTGAAGGGGGTGGGAGGTGCGTCGAAGAGGAGAGCTCGGTGCTGGCGCGCATGCTGGGAGGGGTGGAGAGGGGAGAGGGGGCGTTGGGGTCGTAGGCGTCGGGGAGGAGGAGGTTGGCGGAGAGGGAGGTTAGGAAGGCTGATCAGAGTATCAGTAGGTGGATTTGGTAGTGCAATGGTAGGGATTGGGAAGGGAGGGTTGTAGTTGGAGAGCAGGGTAGGGTGTGATCTCTGGATATAGAGCGCGAGGAAGACTGAGCTTACTGGCAGAGGTCTTGAAGCCTGGCACGCCGTTCGCAATACTGTTGTGATACGAGTATCCCTCGGCGGAGGGGCAGGCGGTACTTTGTGTCCCATCTATCGGAGCTTGGGGTCTTTCGATGTAAACGGGGCGGCGCACCATAGTAACCCAGTATGGAATTGAAACTCAATCACCTTCCGGAGGCTTGAAGAAAGAGAAGCGACGTCGGGAGCCATGCTCAGTTCTAAGTGATAACCGTGCCGCGTGCTCGTATGCGGGCACTCAGTCGCCAAGCTGGGCCGGATCTGCCGTGCATTAGATAGGGACTATTCGCGCCATAGAGCGGGCGGATGCGCGACGGTTTCATCGTCTGTATCAGACGTGTTGGAGGCGATGGCGATAGCTGTGTAGCAGAGGATTGGTGATTGGAGACATGCAGCTTGGTGTAGGGATAAGCTTACAGCCATGCATAAGGCCGGCATGTGAGCGCATAAGAGAAGCTTACGCATGGCACGTGACTTTGTGGATCTGGTCAGAGAACGGATACTGATTATTTACAAACCACATCTCTTGAGGCACAGTAACAGAGACCGAACTAGAACTCCATGCTCCTCAGCGACCTCCGCGCTGGTACTCTGCCCGCTTCCGTACCGCTCGACAACTGCCGCCCCCACCATGCACGAGACCCTCAAAAACGAACAGCGTCTTGGACAATAACGATGGCATCGACGCACTGGAAACATGCTATCCGTCGCCTGTGTACCGTCATTAGTCGCAAGACTCAACTGAATTATCCAACTCAACCCTCTCAGCTGTTCCCGAATTCACAGTCAACTCCATCAATGCGAGTAGTCAATTTTCCACCAAGCGAAGCCCAAAGATGAAGGAAAGAACATCAAAATGACACAAAAACGGCAGTGGCTCTACTTGTTTTTCGACGGGGGCGCGCTAACCGCCGAGCCCGGCTCCAGCGTATGCTCGTGGCCTTCAGCTCTGATGACTCGGCCGCCCTCCTCTTGACGGCAGACCGGGCTGGTAGCGATCCATCGGTCTTCAAGGATCTCCTCAAGCGTGGCGCGCCTTTTGGGATCAACTTCGAGCATGCGGCCGATGATATGGCGAGTCTCACGAGGGAGCAGTCGAAGCAATCGCCACGGCCCTTTGATAGTCTGCTGCTGCTGCGGCTGCTGCCCGTTGGCGGTACCAGCAGGCCTGCTCTCGTCTGTGGCGGGTGCGCCGCTCTCGCCGTCGCCAACGCCACTGGGGGCTCTTGAGGCCGGCTCCGACTGCGGGCCTACTCGGCTGCTCCTGTTGTCGCGGGCAGTCTGGTCAAGACTTACGGATGACCTGCTGATTTCACCTGACCGCCGAGGAATGTCGTACGGCTCGGAGACAAAGAGCTTGTATGAGTTATCTGAGAGCCGCGGAGCTTTCCATGGGAAGCGGCGCAGGATCATACAGCAGTAGATGATTGCTAACGACCACACATCGGTGGGCCGCGGGTCGTACTTGGGAAGGTCATAGACTTCGGGCGCAAGATAAGGATCAGATCCGACGATGCCTATGCCTAGATTAGTACTGCTCCAAGCCGGACGAGAGGTAGTAACTTACCGGATGCAAGCACGAGATCGTTCTCGAACGGATATTGGAAGACAGCCGCGCTGCCAAAATCGATAATCTTCATGATCCCGTGCTCGTTGACCACTACGTTATCCAGCTTCAAGTCGCGATGTGCAAGCCCCATGTCGTGGAGGTATGTCACTCCGCTAAGAATCTGCAGGAATGTGCAGGTGACTTCCTCACGGCTCATCTTGCCCGTCATGACAACAGCAAACAAGTCATAGGGGGCGTACTCCATGACCACGTACCAGTTGCCCTTTTCGTGGACAAGGTCCATGGTCTCAATAATGTTGCCGTGATGCAGAGTTGAGCCAACGCAGAACTCAGCGGTGACTTTCTTGTTGTACTCCTTTTCGGTCTCGTAGGAGTGTCGGGGGCGGAACTGCTTCACGGCGAAAGTTACTCCATCACTGCTTCTCTTCATGAGTCGGACCGAGCCTCCAGCACCAGATCCTAGCACCTTTCCGAACTTGCCGTACTTGCTCTCCAGTCCATGGTCGTCGGCGAAAGGCACGCTGATGGATCCGGTGTGCGACGGTGGTGTGCGAGTTCCAGATTTGGTGGATTTAGCGGGCGACCGAGCTCGCTTTTCCTTGTGCTTGTGGCCACCCAACTTGAAGAAACGCTTCAGCTCAGACATAGACCCATGCTTCTTCTCCATATGCGCCCTGTCTTCTTGGTCGCTATCGTCATGCTTCCTGCTCCCACCAAAAATGCTGTGGCGCTTGCTGTCGTTTAACGACTTCAAATCCACGCCGCTGCCGCGAGAGCGGGGCAATTGGGTAGTAGATGACGATGGTGAGGGGTCTTTGCCTTTGTTGTGTGCTCTGAAAAAGTGAAACCTGGCATCGATACTGTCCACATTCCGGGACTGCGGAGGTCGCTTGTTCCGAGCATATGGGTCCTCTCGCTCACCAGCTGGTGTGAACGGTCTGCTGTACGGTGTCGAAGTACCAGGAGTGCCTGAGGGACTGGTTTCGCGCGATACTGGCACGGAATCGCCAGTCGGGCCAATGGAAAAGTTTCGAGGATGCCCAGGATGGCTGGGCACAACCCCACTCACATCCGACAATGACGCCGGCCGTCTATGAGTCTCTGCCGTATTTGGCGATAGGCGCGGCGGTGAAGCAGCAGACCCAACTCTCTTCTTCTCATACACGTTGCCCATCGACGTTGGCGGAGGCTCATGAGGCGGAGAGATTTGCGGCGTCATGGTAGCGGGGTCTGGAGCCCGCTGAACGCCTATATTGCTACCTACACTGCCTCTAACTTCTTTCACATATGTCCCGGAGGGCGTCAATGGCGGAGTATGCATGGGACCAACGTGAGGAGAGGCCGCGGGAGAGGGGGCGGCGGAATGGCCTGACATTCGTGAAGGCGATGCGTTTCTCGAAGGCGCCTGCACTTAAATATCAGTACATGCAGTTCCAAGAGGCGCAACAGGCTCCACATACCCTCGACGACGGAAGAGACACGGGTTCGAAAGCAAAATGCTCCATTCTCCTAGATTGAAGGCGCGAGGCTTGCAAATTGGCCGACAGGTTTCGCAACTCCTCCGGACTGAGGTCATTCCTTTGTCGATAGTCGGGAGCCCCGAGGAATTCCACGCTCTGGTCATTTGGGACCGGCTCTATTTCCTGGTTTGCTGAGCTGAATCGGACCTGCTGCGGCCCGTCATAGGGTTGCTGGGCGGCCATTGTATCGTGTTTAGGCTGTATGAAAGGCAGAACTGGAGCTTGCTTAGCGTATTACATGATGAATTGCGCTGCGCTCTTTCATCGTAAGGTATCAACACGTGCAAGAAATGCGGTCACCGACAGTAGCCGGCCACCCAGAGTGTCTGCAGCTGCGGTGGAACGTACAGATAAAGGTCTCGGCTCACGCAGGGGACCGGTCTTTGAGGTGTTGGCGCCTCTTTTGGGCTCTCTGTATCAGAAAAAGAATGGTGTTTCTCGAGCCCGCTGCGCTACGACGATAGGTAGGCGATGGTCCCTTATCCAAGCGAGAGTAAGTGGTATCTTGTGCCGCCTTGGAGATACGGATCGCGGTTACGAATGATACGATGCCCTGGTTTGCCTCGCTGGTCAAAATGTCGAGTTCATCAGCATCTGGAGCTTCTCTGAGTGAATGTCACGGCGGAGAAGCATCCGAACAGGTCGTATTTGCGGATGGCGCCGGGACGTTGGAAGGGCTCGGTAGCGATGATGCGTAGCGGCACGTAGCAACAGCTGTGACAATGAATGCAGAATTGACGAGGCGTCGCTGGAGCGGTAGCGCCACCGCTTGCAGTGAGAGAGCCGAACAGGTACCTGTACCTATGAGATCTGAATGGCAAGGGACAGGACGGGGAGCAGCAGCAAGTCGCCAGAGACTTATTGTGGTGGTGGTGCTACTGCTTGGTGGGGCATTTCTGCTGATGACGCCTGGCTGCCCGTGCTGCCCTCGCAGGGTTGGCGGGCATCGGCGGGAGAGAGCGATGCGTCGCGCGAAACGCTCCCCCAAGGCCCCAAGGCCCGTTCCCGTCGCATCCAATTGCGGCCTCCAGACCACCACTCCCAACGCCGCATTCGCATGTGCAGAGACCCTTTCCTGCCAAACTCTTCGACCTAGACAAACGTAGACCGCCCGTTCCGATCGCCCTCCAGTCCCACCTTCGCCGTTTCGCACCCTAGAAGGCCCCATAGAAAGCCACTTTCCACACCACACAGCCCCACTCTGCGACCACACGGCTCAAGATGATGAACTGGGCCAAACAACAGTCAGTCAAAGCTCCCTGCACGATCACGAGCCCTTGCAGCTGACGAGTCTCGCAACCTCCCAGGCTGGCCAATGTGGCCGGCACCCAAGAGCCCATCTACGGACCCTCCGCGATACAATCCGTCACCGAGCAAGCGAAGGACGTTCCCTACACGGAGCTGACGAAAGAGGACCTGCGATGGGTTGCCATGGATTCAACGTCCGTTGAGACGCAGACGTTCTATCTCATGGCCGATAGCGGGCACATTGGAATGGCGCAGGTGATATACAGCAATGTAGGGTAGGCACAAAACTCAGACCGCGGCGCGTTAGTCCTGCTAAATGCCCGCAGAGGCATCCGGACTACGTGCCAGTTCAACAGCAAGATTCACTACATGGACGGGAAGACGCCGAACCTCTGGGCAAGCGATCCACTCAAGAACTACCGCTTCGACGATTCAAAGTTTTCCTTCTACGCCGACAGCTGCGCACTAGAACTATCTGAGGATGGGTCATCCTACACTATCAAGTCGTCGACCAACAGGAGGAGCGTGGTTGATCTAAAAGTATCGAGAGTCGCGCCTGGGTTCGTGGTAGGAAAGAACGGAACGAGCTATTTCGGCACCGATCCGAAGGCGCCCTGGGGCTCAATGCGCCATGCTTTCTGGCCAAGATGCAGAGTCGAGGGCAGCATGATGACACAAACAGGGGAAGTCAACTTCAATGGCAAAGCTTTTTTCGTGCACGCTCTGCAAGGAATGAAGCCACATCACGCAGGTAGGGGAACTTGTGGTGCGACAATAAGACGTACGGAAGCTGATGCCCGGTGGTGTAGCCGCACGGTGGAACTTTGTCAACTTCCAGTCTCCCACATACTCCGCCGTGATGATGGAATATGTTACGCCTCCTTCCTACGGATCTACAGTCGTCAGCGTTGGCGGTGTTGCGACAGACGACGGAATCATATTTGCTGGCAGTTCGAGTACGGTGAAGCACACGGAGATCAAAGGCGACCCGGACAACGACTGGCCCGAACCCGGTGCAGCGAACTATCATTGGGAGGGCAAGACCAAGGACGGCGAAGAGGCTCAAGCAGATCTCGGCGGTTCTTTAGGCACGCGACTTGACCGGGTCGACGTGATGGCTGAGGTCCCACCGTTCGTGAAGGCTATTGTCGCCAGTGCGGCAGGCACAAAGCCGTACATCTACCAAGTTGGTCTCCTTATCAAGCTCTCGATAGGTGGATTATTGACGTGTTGTAGTACGCACCGAAGCTTACACTAAAGGTGAAGATCGGAGACGAAGTCAAGGAAGAAGACGGATTGTTGTTCACCGAGGCAACCTTCATCTCATGATACTTATTGCGTAGACGCGCTGATTCGTCGCATTATTGTCTGCATTTTCAGTGAAATATGTGGAGAGCAGGAACTAAGTTTGACGGAGGACGGACTTGGATAAGAGGACATGAAGTTCTGGATATGGGCTCGCTATCGCTGGCGGTCATTAGCATTACAGAAAGTGGTCCATAGACGTCACCTTCAGGCATCTGTTTAGTCGTCTACTTACCTTAACACACACTTCGAACTGCCAGTACTCGGAAGAACTCATGACAAGGGACCAGCAACCTCTCGCGTTGGGTGGCCCGTGCACGGCCCATAAAAGTCACGATGCGGCGCCTTTTCGCCTGCGGCCCGGCTCTACGATGCTGGCAATAGTCAACACAGGTAAACCGACCAGCAACTAGATTCCAACGGAGTCCTTGCGCTTCGCCAGCCACAGTGAACTAGAGAGAGCGAAAGTGTGTTCACTCACGGAGCCGTCAAGATGCGAAGAATTCACGTTTCACTTCACGTTGTCTGAAACTCATATCTGCCCGCTTTCCGCTCCTCTCATCCTTCGCATCTCCTTCCTTCGCAGACCATCCACTCTCAAACGTCAAAAAAGCCAGTCAACATGGTGAGGCCCGCTCTGAGCAGTAGCGCACCGCATCAAGGCCCTGGAGGCAGGGGACTCGGGCTCGGAAAGGGACCGCCAGGAACCGCCGTCAAGACCCCGAAGAGACATAGGCAAGTCGATAATCCGGACCTTCCATCTTTACTGCCTAGGCCTACGTTACGACTCCGTCAAGGTCTCTGCTAATGCCGGATACTGTAGGAGGATACTCCGAGACAATATTCAGGGCATCACCAAGCCTGCTATTCGGTGCGTACACATTGAGCAATCAATCCATCGCGGCTGTTAGTTGTTTACGTCCTAACAAAGTGGCACAATATCAAATCGTCAAAGTCACCGCGCGTCTTCTATGGAACAGTTTGCTGCTTTCTGGTTCATTCAAGATTGACTTCCGTCAAGAGACTGGCATACGCGTCTCTCACACCCTCAGCACTTCTCGTCCTTCCTTCGCAGCACCCACGATTCCCAGCTCACGTCTTTCTTAGTCGCCTCGCACGCCGTGGAGGTGTGAAGCGTATCTCCGCTCAAATTTATGACGAAACTCGCGCTGTCGTGAAGAAACGTCTCGAAGATGTGCGTTGATCAGTATCCGTCCCTCTTCTCAAGTACTTTGACTGACACTCAGCTCGTAGATCATGAGAGAGGTTTCAGCGATTGTCGGTACGTTTCCCCCCTGCACGTGTTGTGTTTCTGTCGATCTAACACGAAGCAGAACACTGCAATAGGAAAACGGTCACAGTCGACGACGTGAGTGCACATATTCGTGTTTGATATAAAGGGCCCCGCTGACAGTACGCAGGTTGTGTGGGTACTCAAACGTGTAAGTTGCTGTCAAACTGTTCTGCCGCTGTTGAGAGGATTGCTGATGAATCATACGTGATAGCTTGGAAAGCCAATCTACGTAAGCATTCTCGGAGAAATGTCTTGACTGTTCTAACATCTCCAGGGCTTTGACCATCTCACCAGGCGGTATTGAACCGCGTCTTCTATCTGTTGTCAATGCGCTTGACGTCTTTGATCATGGCGTTCAGGATATGTCACCAGGATGTTAGTGGGGGCGGCGCTTTGTTCTGTTGTGCTGCACGCTATTCTCCGGTCGGCCTGCACCGTCTTTCTCATCATGGCTGGATGTTTTTTCATTCGAATTCGCACCGTTCGTACTGTTACAGCAAGTAAGACAATGAGAACGCCATGAACGCTAAAGGACGCTGGCGAGTGCCGCATCTCCTTGCCCGCATTAGCTGACTTGGTCTCTCCGCTAACCTACTGACCATAGTTCTCGTACGGATCATCGCCGTACTTGTCGTGGTCGTCACCGTTAGACATTGTCATCCTACCTGCGCTCGTCTTCAGAACGCCCTTCCTCGCATCCACAATTGGACTAAACCACGCAGTCTCCGCCGAACCCTTCTCCGATGCCGGCAGTTCGACGCGTGTTGCAGTAGCGCCTTTGAAAGTCAGCATATATCCTGACCGAACTCGTCCCTCTCCACATACCGAGACCAGTGGGGTGGCTGTTTGCATAGATGCCCTCCCAATGCCCGGCCGGCGCCGCAAAGACCTCGTGCCAGATACTGAGGTGCGGCAACTTCCTCAAATTCTTGTTCCACCATTCCCAGCCCTTGCGATGTGAGGGGCCGTGCGCGAACTTGTGCAGTCCCTCGACGTCCTTGAAGTACATTACCGTCATGATTTCGTTGCCGGTTGCTCGCTCGCCGTTGCTGATCCAGCTTGACAGTCCTAAAAGGCCATACTCGTCGGCATGAGCTGGGGAGTGTTAGTCAGTGTTGCCGACTGTGTGTGCTACCGGTAGGCTTACCCTCACACGCCTCCGTGGTTGCCTCGAAGAACTTCCCTAGGTCCTTGTATCCGTAACCAAGCAGTCCGAGTGGGCTGTCTCGCGTCAGCAAGCCGTGTCTATTAGTACCATCAGCACCCATGGATCCCTACTGGTTACACCTGGCGCCAATGAGGAAGCACACCACGCCATCCCGGGCGGGCTTTTTCCCGAACTTCCCCTCAGCGTCCGGGAACGCAGCGGCGAACTTGTTCAGGATGACGCCGTCCATGCCGGGGTTGTGCTTCACGCCCACAGTCATAAGAAACGTGTCTAGAATGCGATATGTGACGAGCGCGAATGCGGGAAGGAGACTGAGCCGCCCGATAAGCATATATGCGGCGGTCTGAAGAATCGCGCCTAGGCTGAGCCAGGTGCTGATGGTGAATTGGTCACGGATGCCCTTGTGTTGTCAGATAGGACGTTCGAATGATCTCATGGAGCCAGCATGGTGTTATACCGAAAGCGCTTGGCCGTTCAGCGGCCCGAAGACGGGCGCGTATGCTTTCATCCATTGCGACTTTGGCTTGGTGGGAGAGGGCGGCACGAGGTTGACAAAGTCCATAGGAATGGCTGACATGGCGGGTAGATGTACGGTAAGCTTCCTTGTCAGGGCGTGTGCTCTTCAATATAGTCGCGACACGGTATATACGAGATCGATTGTACAATTGCTGAGAGGATGAAGATTGGAAACACGAAAGGCGGAAAGCTGCAGTCGCGCTGCAAACGAATACTTATCCCATGACCCTAATATCAGCATTTAGCCTTACGGCCGTTCAGCGGACTTAAGATTCTGTCTGCTTACAGACGAGCTGACTGTGAAGCTAAACAGCCGCGCGGTCAACGGCTAGGAGTTGGGCCGGCGCTGCCGTCGTGGTTCGGCGTCCACCAGGATGACAAAATTCGCTAAACTCCAGAATCACCAGAACTCACGCATGTTCACTAAGACCCTTACATCAGCCGGTACACTACTAACTATGCCTACGACACGTTTATAGGGTCTCTGGCGTCTGCTTCTACCGATACTTTTGACTCAGCTGTGTGATCGTGTTCGATAAACTTTCAATCGATGGTTAACCCAGTTTGTAGCTTTGGAGTGGGGGCGAATTTTGTCAGCCAGGTACGGTCCTGCGTCCGTACATGAGCGCCATTGGTCCGTTTGGATCTACACGGATCGGCGCCTGCTCGAAGACCCATTAACTGCAAAAGTTTATGCTCCTAGAGGCAGCCAGCGCGCAAATTCTATCATCGCAACCGCTAAAATATCGCCTTTTTAGTGTTGCATATTTTGATATCATGTATAAATATGATACCTTAGCAATCTTAACCCATCTGCTATCTATTATGGTAGTGATCTTTGCGTCTGAACGCGTGTGAAGAGCTTCGGTGCTGGAGTTCGTCACGTGGTGATGGTAAGGGCTGGCTTGAATAGACGTGGTTGGACGAAACTATGCTTCTTCGCGGTCTTTTGTAATCAACCTCGAAGGCCCTCGAGCGGGCGCCGATCCGTGCAACACCTGTAGGATTCTCCCGTAGTGATCTCGTATCCCTGCGCCTTCCGAGATTGTTGACAAAGATCGCCAAACTCGAGAGCTACGACGCCGCGTTCAGCTGTAGGATGCGCGTGAAAAGAGATGTCGAGGTTGTTATGAACCTGTTGCAAGTAGGATTAATGGCTGGTAAGGGTGGTGGTGGTGGACATGATGATGGATTCGTGGCTTGGTGATTTTAAGTCTGGCAATTTTTGTCGTTGGGATCCTCAGGCAGCATTGCGCCAGAGGGCTTGACACTTCATCACGTGCGCGCAGCACGTTGCAGCCTTGCGCTATGAGCAAACGTCTCGTTTCCAGCCTTTGGCGCACCAAGATAGCTATTGCAAACCTATGCCCAGGAGCTTTCGCAACCATTTTGCTGGTGCAGAAGATTGTCGTACAGCGTGCACAATGGCATTCGGAGCAACCACCTTTCTCGACCTGCCCCTTGAGATCAGGCTTATGGTCTACAACCTAATGCTTGACGAGATACCTACGGGCTACGCATACACGCCAGAAGTAGGTCTAATCCATCGGCACCCATATCCAGGTTCCCTGCCCCTCGAACCAGTAGACACTCGTTTTGGGCTACCGTCGTCGACTAAACAGAGCTCTTTAGCCCGCTAACACATATGCTAGACTCTGTACAAGCCGCGAACCTACACCCTGAGAAGCTGCCATCATATCCTCTTATTGAACCGTCATATCAGCGACGAATACGCCCAGGCCTTCTTCGAGCGAACCACCATATTTTTCTATGTCCAGTTCTACAACGCCAAGGAATCCTCAATCTGGAACTTCCCTACCCATCTACAGAGTATTCGCCAATGTAAGATATACGTTGACATGAACGACAACGGCACAAACCGTCTGGAACCTTGCTCGCGCGAAGAGTTCGAAGAACGCATGAGGCTCTTTCTACAGTCCATGCAGAAGCTGAGAACGATCAACATCACTATGCCATGGGGTACCAGCCCCGCTCTTCACCCTAATTACGAGCCGTCGGACGGGTTGTTGGAACTGCTGAAAGCCAAAACCACCACGGAGTCCATCACTTTCACAGCAGGCCAAAGGCTGACAAGGATCAGAAGACTCAAAGGCAAATGGGTAAAAGTGGACTTTGAAATACCAGGCTATTATTCGGAAGCGCGACCGGAGATCCAAAAAGTCTAGAGAATACCAAACAAAGCGCCGCCTCTCCACCATGGCAGGCGTTCTCCCATTTTCCGCCTCCTCTCAATCTCGTAGTATAGACTTCCATCGTACTGCCGCCTTACGTCCGACTTGTGCAGCACGCCCGCCTCGTCCGCTGCCAGCATCCACAGATAACTCCACAAGAAGACCTGGAAGGCCCATCCCACGAAATCGAACACGTTCCTATTGCCGCGCCACATGTCCACGATCTCTGAGAAGTATAATCCCTGCTTCTGGTCTCTGTCATACTTCTCGAAGATGTGTTCGAACTTCCCCTCGTTGAAATTCCCCTCTTCATCGAAGCTTTCGGTGTCGCTGCCATGCTTCGCCCAGTGTATGTTCTCTAGGTACACGGGGAAGCGAGGGTCAGGAATCCAGTATGGCGATGTTGGATAGCTGACGTGCAGGATGTGGAACGCGAGCGCTGAGGTGATCGAGATGAGGAAGTTGAAGCCTAGGGCGCGGAAGCCGGCATGGCTTTCCCAGGGGTAGATGATGCCGTCTTTGTTGCGGTCCCAGAAGGATACGTGCTGGTGGAGAGTCAATGGATACTCAGGTACCGTTTCACAATGGAACGGACCTTTTGGAGCGCTGTGCCCTTTGTAGCGTACTGGTGTGGTTTCAGTTTCGGCTTGGGGCCTGATGGCGTTCTGCTGCTGGCAATATTCATGGCTAGATCTCACAGCGCGAAGTCTGCACTTTCCGCGTTTGATATAGAACAGTTTACTGGAAACCGTTGCGACTGATACCGCATTTAAGTTTACACACATTGACATGTGTCAATTCCAATGTGATGTCATGTCCTGGGTAGCTATCGATAACTCAGAAGCCTGACTTTCAAGGATCACTCAAAAAAGATGTTGCCGTATGGAGCGCTCGTTGTGAACGTGACGGTGAACAGACGAACCGCAGTTCCCAGCTCAAGAAAACTTCTAGTCATCGATGCACGACAGTGTTACGCTGCTGAGTAACTCACGATCTCTATCGCATAGAACCGGGCTGGTTCATTCACCCGCAAAAGAATCCCAAGTCCAGTTCAACCGTGACGTGGTCTTGAGAACGGAAGCGGCTATAACGCGGCAACCGCCTTTTTAGGCCGGCCTTTGGGCGAAATGGAGACATTCGCATCAGCGAGGGCTCCCTTGAGGACGTGATATCGGTGGTGAGCATCAAGCTTTGATAACTTCTCGCAACCCTTGATCCACACCGACGTTCTTACGCGAGCATGCGGGTGACAAGAATGCGATAACTCGGCTAAATCAATCCTGTGTAGCGTGCACATGTTCTCTGATATAAGACACTTAGACGAGAAGCTATAATAGAACCTAGTTGATATGTCGAAAGCTATATAACTGATTATTTACGTTGTGGTTTACTGCTTCCTGATTATAGGGTCCGCGCATTCTTGTCACCCGCGAGCTCAGTACGATGCTGGCCCCCACCTTCAGCTCAGGAAAGCAGGCAAAGGCAGGCATATATCCGACCAATGAGGCTGGCTCGACTCCGCCGCAGCCGCAGTCAAGGCTGGGGCTCAAGGAGTCCTGCCGGCCCCAGGCCTGCTCGAGATGAAGGCCTAAATATGGGTGTCAAGCGCTCGCATCCTCATCTGCTATGAGTGTCCCGATTTCAAACAGCGTACACAATCTCCGTCATCTCTGGCTGGCCGGCAGCAGCAGACATGGCTTTGCCAGTGAATATCGGCGATTTTATCAAAATTGGTGAGATGGCATGGGCTGTCTATCGCAAATGTCAGTTCTGGCGCACCGAGGCTGTCGTGAGTCGCGATGCTAACAATCGTCCCAAGGTCGCGACTGCCCAGGCGAATACAACAACCTGGCCAGCGAATGTCGGACTCTCAAGAACACGCTCGAAGACCTTGCAGATGTCCTCAAGAAGCAGAATCTGGACCACAAGAAGGAAGAAGAGCTTCTGGAACGAGGGCAAGGCTGCAGAGAGGTGTTGACGGACCTCGAAGCGCTCATCGACAAATACAACAGCTTGTCTTCGAAGAGCAAGAAGACCTGGGACAGGCTGAACTGGGACCAGCAAGGAGGTCGAGACGTACGCGCGAGGTTGACCTCCAACGTGGCCATGCTCTGTGCCTTCTACGACAGCCTTATACACTCGTCTCAACTACGTATCGAGGAGGCATTGCATCAGCTGGCCGCTGACATACGTGGCGGTCACCGTGAAGCAAGCTCAGTGGTCTCATGGGCATCAACGGAGGACGGTGACGAAGATACTGCATGGCCACAGATCATTCGCGACCTCGAAGATCTGGGGATTACAGCAACTATGGCTGACGAATACCGCTCGTTCATACTGGATTGGTTTATTAAAGCCATCAATGAAGGCATGTTGCAGGAAAAAGCACCTGAAGGAGATGATCATGACAGCTTATACGCTTGTTCGACTACGTCCAGAGATGCTTCCTCCGGTACCGCGGTGAACAGCTGGAGCGAGAGTCTCTTCGAGGCGCCAGCGTTACCCACAAACAAGGTGGCGCGAAAGCCCATAGCCTCCAACACACCTCCAGCGCCACAAGTGTCCAATCTCCAGACAGCATTACGGACTCAATCATTGCCACAACCGCATCCACATCCCATACCGCATCAGGCCAATGGGGTAGTTCCCACCCCAACCTCTCACCAGACATCACATGACCCAAAGCTCACGAATGCATTATCAAGCACAAGCTCCGAATCAGTCAAGTCGTTAGAGAAATCCAACATTATTTGGACAGCCCAGCTGATTGTGCGCCACTGGAACAACCGACAGTGGGGCAAGGCCGAGAGTTATCTGCAACAGCAAATCGAGGCTGTGGAAGCTGGAGAATTCATCGATGTAAAAGGTATCTCCTGCCAGCCTGATATCAGAGTACTCCGCCACCTTCTTGGCGTATGCGTCAGTTATCAGGGAGAGTTTTACAAGGCGAAGAAACTTTTCGAATCAGTACAAAGAGGGCCTTACGTCAATGGCGAAAGCCTTGATGATGGTGATCTCGCAGCAGCCCGCTGGCTTGGCGACACCTGTCTCTTCCTCAATGAACCCGAGAACGCCGCTCTCGCCTGGGCTATCGCTCTAGATGGCTATACATCCAAGATTGGGATCACACAGGAGCCGACTCCTCACGTGCTATCAGAGCTGCAGAGCCTACACATTTGCTTGAAGGGCCTGGCAACGCTACACAATTCTTTCAGCAGATACAACCGGGACGCGTCGACCATATTCGCTACCACTTCCGACAGGGCTAAGGCTAATCTGGTTGTGTCGACGCTTGAGCGGTTTAGGCATGGCTATGCTCCTCCCTTTAGGCACAAGCGACCAGTTATCAGTATCCAGGTCGCGGAAGGTTTTCTGGAACAGCGGCTCATCGCACAAGCTTCTTGGCCCATCAAGTGGGATCCTCTCTTCAACGCCATAGAGTCTATCAAGCTTCACCAAAGATTCATTCAGGCTCAGAACCCAGCCTACAGACTAACATTAAAAAATCTTCCAACAGTTGGCCTTGGCCAATCAAGAAAGCTGAATTACAGCACCAGGAAAGATGCGGCCTGGTTAGCCGAAACTTTGAAAAGAGGACTTGAGCTGCACGGAATAGAGTACGGAGAGAACATCAACCTGTTGCTCTGCCGTCTGTATCAGAATTATGAGGGGATTGCTTTCTCTGAAACTATCGACATCAAGATTCGCAAGCTTCCTCTCCGATCCGTCTACGGTGTTCAGGTGACCGAGCCGATGCACCAGACAAGAAGTATAGAAAGCAATCAGCCGAACTCGACTAAGGAGTATACCAGGAGTATCCAAGTGCGCAACGAATTCGTGAAGTTCATCAAAAATATTCTTGCGGACGCAGAGGGGGACGTCACGGCTCAGCAGCAGCTAGGGCAGGACGCAGCGGCAAGGGAAACCCCACAGCTAGGCGCGCAAGCAGCGGGCTCAGCCCCGATGACCTACGGACATCAGTTCCACGTGTTGAACGCCTCGCCTCCACCGCATACATATCCACCTGCTACACCCATCATGAATGCTTCACCGGCACCGCTGATGCCATCAGTGCCACCGCCCCCGGTGCCCATGCAGCACGCGCAGACAGTGGGGCATGTGCAGCAGCCCATGGGCGGCTATGGGGTTGACGCAAAATCCCCTCATAGCGACCAGATCAACTATCAACAAGCCCACGGATACTACGGTAAAGTTTGAAGCGGAAGGCACTTCGGGGTAAGCAGCCATTTGCAGCGCTTTGCCAGAGCCGCATGGTCACTGATGATACCGAGACCGGCTGCGACAGGAAATGCACACGAAGATTTACATCTCGGAGCCATGCGACCTCTGCGTTGACTTTGCGTCAAGCTTGCACGGCGGCCCCTACATCGGCCCCATTACGGATACCGGTGTTGGAATCGACAACCACTCAACTTCGTAGCACCGGAGCGTTTGTTGTCTCGAAGACATCATGTGTAAGCGCGGGTCCAGCTGCGGCGAGAACGCGAGTGGAAGAACAGCGGGGCAAGATAGGTAAAGACGGCGGAACACGCAGGTATCCGAAACCCGAGATGCGCGTCATCTCGCCAATGCATGCAGGATGCAGGGACTTGAAGCAAAACGTACTAAAACTACATAGCCGCCGTCACGTGGGACAGCCGGTCCCGAACGGGCTGACGTCCTCGTTGCCCGCTGGCGGCTTACGAGCAGGCGGCTAGCCGACGGCAGAAACAGCAGTGAACACAATAAGCAGCGGCATGGCCTGGATGCCAGCGGGCGCGAGGATGCAGCAGCCGTGAAACGGACGGGCTGTGCCTTGACTCTGCGATGGTGCGGTGGCTGCTAGGGTACTGTGTCGTTTGGCGAGGGTTCAATCTCCCGATCCATCGAATTCTCAGCAAGGCCGTCGCGTTTCGAGACGGGAGTACGATGCGGAGCGCTGTCATGACTCTCAAACGCTGTCGGACTCGAGCATCAGCTGCTTCTTGCGTACGACCAGACCTGAGCGGGCTTTTGTCTTTACTCGAACATGCCGCCGACTGTGTGGGAGTGAGTGGCGGGGCATGCTGTTTGCTCCAAAGCAGATGACCTCGGCTCCACAGCCCTTTTACGCGTCCGTGTTGGTGTTTCGTGTTGCAAGATCAGGGGTAAAAGGCACCAATGCTGCGGCTAGTGGGGCGGCGTGGGGTGTTCCATGCGTAGCCGCGTTTCAAAATGTGGAAGCGACGGGCCTCCATTGGTCCAAACGGAACTAAACTTCGCACAGGCCTCTCAGTTCCTGAGGCTGCGAGCAAGTCTCTTGGCATTCTCCGAACGGCCATGATTCAAGGTGCAAAGCGGACGTGTTAAACAGCGCAAACGTAAACCCGATCTGCAGTGCCGCCTGACGTGTGTCCCGGGTTTTCGACGGGGCGCTTGGACATGCCTTGATGTTTTGACCACCTGCACGAAATTGCCCGTCTCAGTGTTCGCCTAAACGCCCACTCCATCCCCTGCTTCATTTGCACGCAGTCCTTTAAGTCGTGCTACTTCTTTGTCTTTCGGACTCTCCAATCTTCTTCACCACGGTCCTTACAAACCGCCCACACACTCACTTCCCGGAGTTCCTTTGTCGGTGCCGTTGACCCTCGTCGCCGTTGTCGCCGTTGTTGCTAGCCACTATACGGATTGATCTCCACGGTTTCAGCGCCTCAATCGAACTCGTCCGCTCTCTCAAGCCTTCAAAACGTCTTACGAACACGCCGACTTCCAGACTTGACGTCTCCCACCACATTCATTTAGCTGTGCATACTGAGCTTTGCACTTTCCATCACGAGACCCGGGCTTGTTGATCAAGTCCTCAGTACATAACGAAGAGAAAAGCTGTCCAGTTCCTCACTGTCCTTACATCGTCGAATCCCCCAGTGCCGCCTTCACAATGAAGTTCTCCAAGTCTCAGGCTTTCGCCGCTGCTCTGGTCGCTGCGAATGCCGTAAACGCTCACACCATGTTCTCCAACTTCTACGTTGACGGCCTCGACCAGGTAGATATACCTTGGCCCTCGTATACAACCAGTGCTAATATGGAATGTCAAGGGTGATGCAACGTGCGTTCGCATGAGCAACAACCCATCGCAGGCCACGTTCCCCATTGCTGGTATTACTAGCGAGGACATGGCATGCGGTGTTAACGGCAAGAACGGCGTTGCCCGCGTCTGCAAAGCCAACTCGGACTCCACTCTGACGTTCGAGTTCCGTGCTTGGTCAAACGACGCGAGCAAGGGCATGCTCGACATCTCCCACAAGGGCCCTTGCGCCATGTACCTCAAGAAGGTGTCCTCTGCTGTTGACGATGGCGGTAAGCACCTCACTCGCCTACAAGCGTTGACAAGTATACTGACGCGACCTTCCAGCTACCGGTAATGGCTGGTTCAAGATCTGGGACGAGGGCTACAATGAGTCCAAGAAGCAGTGGTGCACTGAGAGGCTCATCACGGAAGAGAACGGCCGCCTGTCGATCAAGCTTCCCGCTGGCCTCCAGGGCGGCTACTACCTCGCCCGTCCGGAGCTTCTGGCCCTCCACGCCGCCGACAAGGGTGACCCACAGTTCTACACCGGCTGCGCCCAGATCTACCTCGAGTCTTCCGGCAACAAAGTTCCTGCGGAGACAGTCTCCATCCCCGGCCACGTCCAGTACGGCCAGAAGGCTGTCAGCTTCAACATCTGGAGGTGGCCAGGGATGGATCTTCCCTATCCCAACCCGGGTCCCAGCGTGGCCGCGCTTGTAGATGGCTCTTCCTCAGCTAGCGTCTCGAGCGATCAGATTGAGGGACAACGCCCAGCTGACTGCATCATGGAGAACGGCAACTGGTGCGGCAAGGAAGTGCCATCGTACAGCACTCAAGACGGCTGCTGGAAGGTATGTTATACTCGCTCCCACGCTTTGAGCCTTCGTGCCATCGAATGAGAGCTAACACGATAATATTACAGGCTGGCCAAAACTGCTGGGACCAAGCTGACGTCTGCTGGAAGTCCGCACCGCCAACTGGCGGCAAGGGCTGCGACCTCTGGGGCAAATACTGCGAGAGCCTCAACAACCAATGCAGAGACAAGAACTGGAACGGCCCACCCAACGCCGGCAAAGACATGACGCCCAAGCACACGACCATCCAACTTGGCGGCGTCGTCGGAACACGCTCAGGCCCCACCGCCGCAGCGAACCCGGCTCCAGTCGCATCAGCATCAGCGACGTCGTCCGCCGATGCTCCGGAGTACACGAGCGAGGCTGCCGCTTCGTCTGAGCCAACCTCCGCTGCGGCAAGCTCTCCCGCATACACTTATGTCGCTCCGTCCTCTGAGGCTGCTTCTTCGGCCGCCGCGCCTGCCAGCACTTCGCTGTCATTCTCGACTATCGCACCCGAGGCGCCTGCGACCACCGAGAACCCATGGGCTCGCTATCACACTGTCGTCGAGACCGTCGTCGTCACCGAGGTCGAGTATGTCACTCAGTACCACAAGCGCCATGCTCGCCACTTCGGGCAGAAGTACTAGATGCAATTTTGCGTCTCGTATCTTCTTCATGAGCGTCACACTTCGCCCGCTACTTGACTTCACCGTCTACGGGCCTTTACTTGGACTTTACAGATGGCAGGACATCTTCACAGCTTCTTCGCTTCTTCTTCTACTGCTGGACTGGTTCTTCTTTGCCGCGGGCCCAGTGCTCCGCTTTTGCATCTTCCATTCAACCACCCTATCTTTTCTTCTTCAATGGCCGATTTTTTTCGAGCCGGTAGCTAGGCTGCTCGGTTCGCATGGCCTCCAAAAACATGTTCGGGGGGAGATGGGCTCCAATGTAAGATATAGATACGCGCACATGATGTGTGTAGCTAACGGACCGGCCCCTCTACAAATGTCAAAGATCATGATTCACGCAACCGTAAAGCCAATCAATGTGATTACTTGACACCTGAATTGTGCTGCCTAGCATTAACCATTGCGTCCCCGCTCTGATCCCTCCTTCACCTCAACACCCACATCTCAATTTACTTCCTTAACCCTCCCCTTCCGATCCACCCTCACATCCCTCGGATCAAACCCCCCCTTCCCCCACAGCGCCCACTCCGGCGTCGGCGGTCCCCTGTAATCCTCGGGCCCAAACGGCTTCCCACTCTCCAAACACCTAAAAAACCCCTCGTAGTCAATCCTCGTGCACCACCTCCCTTCCGCATCCCTAAACGCCTCGCTCCCAATAAGCGCGCAGCAGCTATGCTCATGCTCGGCCGCAAGTCCATACCTCAGCCCGCGCCTATTCAGCTCGTCGTTCAGCGCGAGCACAAACGTCCGCACCTCGTGCCACCACGGCACATTTTGCATCGTGAGCCCCGCGGCCGCGGAGGTGGAAGTTCCGCAGAAAGTGACGCCCTTGACCTCGACGAAGCAGGGCAGCGCGCGCTCGACTAGATCAGCATACCCGGTCACCTCCTCGTCGATATTGAAGCCTCGCACGAGGGTCAGCCGGAAGACTGTGCGCATCTCCTTCCGCTTCTCGCGCAGTATATCCATGCAGCGCAGGAAGCGCTCCCAGAAGTCGCGGTGCAGCGGCCTGTCGATTTTGCGGAGTGCGTCCTTGTTCGAGGCGTCGATGGAGACGTAGAGCTGCGTGACGGGCTGCAGCGCCGCGAGCTGGTCCGGGTGCTGCGCGTTGCAGACCAGGAACGTGGAGATGCGCTCTGCGTGCAGCATGGCCGTGAACTCGTTGATGTGCGGGTAGAAGATCGGCTCGCCGACGAGACTCAGCGCGCAGTGCCGTATCGTCATGGCCTCTTGGAAGCGCTCGGCTCGCACCCCGGGCACGCCGCGCATCATTTTGATCTTGCGGTAGTGGCCCTCTTTGACGCCGGCGAAGATGGCCTCCGGTGGATCCACTTTCCACCGCCATGTTGTACCGACAGGGTTCGTGCCGTGCCGCCAGCAGAAGACGCATTTGTTGCTGCAGGAGAGGGAGGGCGTGGTTTCCATGCATTGGTGCGAGGCGATGCCGTAGAAGGAGTATTTGTAGCAAGAGCCGCGGCCGCGTAAGGCGGATTTGGTCCAGCGGCAGATTTTGACGCCGGAGTGCGAGCCGACGATTGTGTAGCCTTGCTTTGTGAGCGCGGCGTAGGTGGGCGAGGATGCGGGCACCATCTCTTTGAGGGGAGCGGGGGCTGCGGTGGAGGTGGATTTGTAGGTCGTGAAGTCTATGGCAAGGGGACCGGAGGGGTCGCCGGATGTGGATGATTTGACCATGCGGCCGAGATCTTCGAGGTCGTCTACTCGTGCGCTTTTCTTCGGTTTCCGAGCCTTTCGAGGCGCTTCGCTCTCCTCTGCGCCGTCGTCCTCCGCGTCTTTGACGTCTTCCTCATCGCTCTCAACGGCAGCCCCACTGCCTGGGATGCCTTCTCCTAGGCCCTTACCAGATGCAATGTCCCGCAGTACTTCTTGTACCCCAAGCCGCCATTCCAGTAGGCGCTGTCGCGCATCGCTCTTTACATCCCCCATGCCCAGCGGGAACGCGCGCTTGCGGCCGGTCAGCCTCGCCAGCCATTTATCCACCTCCTTTGCTTGCGAGCAAAAGCCCTCCTCCTCTGTCGGCCACCCCTCTTTGTCTCCAAATCCAAACACCGAGTAGCCCAGGAGGCCGGAAAGCGGGGCAGTGTCGATTCGGAAGTCGTGGTGCGTCTCTTTAAGGTGCTCGAGGAAGGGGTCGAGGGACGTATCAATGTTGTAAGTCGGGAGGAGGACGATGTAGAAGTGTTTCGTGCTGGGCGCGCTGGTGGGAGGGGAAACGAAGAAGTCATCGTAATCAACATAGGACAGGTCGTGTAGCTGGGGCTGAAGTACTCTTGGAGTTGATGCCCCTCTCCACGCATCCAGGTCTTTAACTAGGGTTTTGGCAGCTTCCTCTGTCGTGCCTGATAGGGACGAGAAGAAGATTACGGGTTGGATTCTATCCTCCTCGCTGTCAAACTCTATAGTGCGCCTTGAGGCTTGCCGTGGTACTCGCGACCCTATCACTCTCTTGGGGCCCGGCTTTGAGCGCAAGAGCGGCGGCTCAGCGATTGCAATATCCTCTAGGTGCCCATCGTTGATCGCAACCTTCTCAACGGCTCCAGGTGCAAGCAATAGCGGATCCTTGCTCTCTGGAAGCTGCGCTGGAGATCCCGGTACTGGCGATTGGGACAGCCTCTCACGGTTCTGTCTCAGGTGCACCACGATTCGGAGGATGGTCAGAAGTGCGACTGTGGATAAGAGTATAGGGAGGCGGTAGTTGTGCCAAAGCGAGAGCAGTTCTGTACACATGGTCAGCAACCACTACGATCAATCATTGATCGCGTGCGAATTTACCGCTCGGTAGAGAGCAAAGCGAGGTCGAAAGCATCGTGCTGTAACGGCAGGTAAGTAGACACCAAGCGGTCATTAGTTCAGATCGGTTTGGCCCATCGTTCTGAAGATGCGTGAATGCTATCGAAGATTTTTGGATGCGCGATTCGTGGAGCTAGAGCGTGGGGGAGGGGCACGGAGCCATGGCTTGGCGCCAGAATAACTTCCATAGTGAGGTCCGGGCTGCAACGTGGTTCAATGTAGATGCAGATAGAGGGATTGTAGTGCGAAGGCTTGCTCCAAACTTGAATAGTCGGGTTTTGTGGGGACTCAATGCATCTATGGGGTGGTCATCTTGAAGAAAAAACCGTGGGCATCTCTGGCAGCGGAATTCACAGCATAGCGAGAGCTTCGAAGTAAATATCTGAATTACAATGCAAACTAGTTACAAGAGAAGAGGCAAAAACAACAAAGTAAGTCCAGCCGGCTGACGCAACGAGAGTATGACCATAACCCAGGGTATATGCGGCCACAAGGATGCAAAAAGGAACGCCGGTGCGCAATGCAGTCTGATCTCTCCCAACCCTTGACCCCCCGTCTAAGCGCCCAGCACGATGCGGTCCGACACAAGTGAAACAGTGTACAATTACACAAATGAGAAACAGGAAATTCTCGCCTATGCGTCTGCCGCCTCGGCCATGACCTGCTCGCCTTCATCCAGCATCTCCAACACAAGATCCAAATTGTCCATCATGTCCCTCGCCTGTCCCACCAGCAATAGCTTCTCCGCGTTGGCCGGCAAGCCGAGGTAGGTCGGCGGTTCGCGCTCCGGCAAGCGGTTGACCCACTCTGTGAAGTCCTTCCACCCTATACCGCTAGGCATAGTCAGGCCCGTAGCACTCTCTCCTGTACCGTCTTGCACGTCCTTGACGAGGACGTAGTTCTCCTCGAACGCAGCGGGCGTCATGAAGCCATCCACGATCTGGCCGAGGGTATCAAAGTCGTCTTCGTCGTCAATCTTGCCGCCATACATCTCTGTGATCATGACGCGGAGGATGTCCCAGGGGATGTTCTTTGGCGAGAGGTTCGTGCGTCCATTGGCGGCTGTGTTGATCCACTTGTCAATCACGAAGCTGCAGCACTCGTACTGTGACATGTTAGTACTCGCTCGACAGTGTGGAGGTGGATATCCTGAAGACTTACATCGCTGTCGTTAAACTCCCAAAAGCCGCGCCATCCAAGACTTGGAGCATAGCGCAGCCTCTCTTGTACAACAGCATGAAGGAAGGAGAGCAGCAGGTGCACTCTCGCCCTTTCCACCGGCTCCTTGACGGCTCGTGTCGAGAGAGAAGACATCGAGTCCTTCATGTTCGCCTTAATGCCGGCCGGCTGCTCGTACATGAGCACCCGCGACGCCCGGAGTAGATTGACGGGAATGTTGGGACTTGTCTCCATGGAAAGGAACAGCCTGAAGTCGCTGTGAGGCTTAATTGATTCGATCCGCTTCTCCAGACTTTGCAGCCATGTAGGAGCTAGATGAACGTTCTTCACTAAGACCCAAGAGCCGGTGGCAGCCGCGTTGCTAATGGCCTTGTCGGCGCTTGCGAGGCCTTCGTTGGAGCCCATGGCGATGTTGGTACACGTGGCGTGCGTCCTCTCGACGAGCATATCGACTTTGTAGCTGGCGTCGAAGCCCGGGCTGGAGCTCAGTGCAATAGGAGTGGTGGCCAAGACTTCCTTGACAATTTCGCTCAGATCGCTTCCCGCATCAAGGAGGCCATCACCGAAGACTTCGTTGACGAACCGCTCTACGGCGGGCACAAAGCGGTCGATGCGGAATAGCTTGATCAGGATGATGGACCTGAGTCGCTGGTCGAGTCTGTCGATGTCCTCCGGCCAGGCGCGTGGTACATGATCTTCGGCTACCTCCTCTTGTATAAAGTTGTCCCATGCTGAAGGATCCACGCTGGCAATGTGTTCCTTGAACAGCGGGTGCTTGGACGCCCGCGCCATTGCCTCATCCATCAGGGAGGGAGCGGTCGAGATGTCAGTGCCCTCAAGATCTTTATCTAGGATGATGTCGATCAGCGTCTTGTCCATCCTGTATGGAGCTGCTTGGGCCAGTAGCAACGCAAGCATGACGCGATCTTTCTGCAGCAGCGCTAGAGAAGTGCGACGGTAGGTATTAATGAACAGCTCGCGAACGATGTGATCAATTCTTGCATTGTGGCCGGTACTGTGTGATCTTCGCTTCGTGGCTTGCAGTACAGACTCGAAGATAGTGATGAAGTACTGCAGAGAGAACTGGTAGAAGTGGTTGACATGGTGGAGCTGGTCCAGGACAGCGAAGATAGCGGAGCAGGAGCGTGCAATGATTTGATACTGGGAGGTGATAGTGTCGACCTCCGCCATCACGCCTTCCGTCTGGGAGACCTTGATTGTGATATCGGCAGCCTCCTTCTTCAGAGTCTCGAGAGTCTCGATGACAACGTCATCATCGAGGATGTTCCCCCTTGATTCGTTGAGAGCTTGCAGCAGGCGCTTCTCCAAGCGGCGGAGATGTATGCTAAACTCGCCTTGCATCTTGATGAGGTTCGAACGGCGTTCATCAACATCTGGACGCTCCGACTTCAGTACCTCATTAAGGGATTGAGTTTGTAAGCTGCTCTGAGTGACAGTGAAGTTGACGAAGGTAGTCCGGCTGCAGATGTCAGGCGCGAACGTCGCCGAAGGATCGCGCGTGGAGAGGTAAAGCTGGAAGGAGGGGGAGAAGTCGATTTCCTGCTTTCCTAGTTGGATGAGCACACGACCCCCAGTTCGCTGGTATTCCTTGTTCAGGACGTGGTTGAGAATGGGGTCGAGGTGCTCGGCGTCCTGGATCAGGATGGGGTTGCCGAAACGGAGAGAGCTCTCAAGTTGCTTGGTGAATGAGTCGTCCAGGAAACTGGTGACCGTAAGCTTTCGATCCTTGCACTCGTTCTGCAGGAACTCTGCAGTGCGTCCTGAAGGATCGATAATCAGTGGGTATCTGTTGAACCGTTTCAAGATAATGGCGTTCTCGGTGCAAAGGTCGTCTACCGGCAGCGAATTGGCCTGCCAATTCAGCCGCTCATCCGCAGTCGAAAGGTACTCCGTGATCGGGTTAAGAGGCTTGAACTTGATGCCGGAGAGCGCTAAGTGGTGCAACCAGTCCTCCATCATAGTCTTTCGATATTGCTGATCAAAGTAGCCGCCGTATGCCAGGAACGCAGCTGCCACAACGACATCACCAATGATGGTATCGATCTGGACTTCGAATGATTTGCTGCCTTGCTCCCACCTAGACCGCTCAGAGGAGAGACTCTCGAGAAGGCGCACGCTTCGGTCCACCTTAAATTGCACCTTGCTCATCTCGGCTTTAATGGCCTGTGTTTCGCTCACGAGCGCTGCGTATTCATTCTTGTATGTTGCGATACTCTTTTCCAATGTTTTGAGAGTCTTCTCAATAACTTGAGCCTGCGCCTTGGTCTGCAACGCCGCCTCTTGAAGTTGAGCGACTTCCTCCCTCAGTGGCCCGACACGGTCAAGAATCTCAGAGTAGTTGACCTGAGCTTCGACCCATTGGACGAGCGGCCCACAGGCTTTGCTGGCGCGGTTGACCCTCTCATAAGTGAAGTCCTCTTTGGAGAGAAACTCGTTCCGCATCTTCGCCCGATGGCTCCGGGTCATCTGCCGTTCGTTGTCATAGGTGACGATACTGGCAATGAAGTCTTCTCGCCTGATGATTGCTTGGATGGATTTCCAGTTCTCGACCTTGTGTCCCAGAAGAGTGCAGACTGCCTCGAGTGCAAGCTTTACGCCAGCTGGAGGATTCTGCATGGACCTCACTTCAGTCAGGTGTTGCTTCTTGATGTTGCTGACACTCTTCTGCGCCTCAAGCACGGCGGGCTCCGCGTTGGCAAGGTCGTTGAGTACCACTTCTCTGCGCATGGCAACTTCCTTCTCCTGCTTCTCTAGAGCAACCTGGATTTCAAGGGATGCAGCCTTGCGCTGTTCTGCTTCCCGTTGATCAGCGATCATGCGCTGGAGCTTCTCGTTGGCTTCGGCGTCCTTTGTCTCCAGCTGAGTCTGCTTCTCCGCTAGACTCGTGCGGAGGTCTCGGACTTTTTCTACTGTTTCTCTAAGCTTTTCCAGTCCGACGTTGAGATGGCGTTGCTGTTCTTCCAGATCTTCTCGCTTCTCATTGTATAGTTTCACATACTGAGCGACGAAATCCAGGAAATGCCGAGGAGTCAAGAAGGTGCCTTTCTTCTGTTGCTTCTGTAGACGACGGTTGAAACCATGTAGAGAGTGGTGAATGTACACCATCGCGTTTACTACAGCTTCGCGGTATGTCGGCGGCAGACTCAAGCCGCGGTAAGCGAGGGGTATGCTGTCTGGCGCAACGTAGCCGGGGCGGTCAACATCCACGGACATGGTCAGTTCCGAACCAACCTGGAATAAGGCCTGGTCAGACCAGTCCCCGAACCAGTTGAGGACGCAGCGGTTGAATAACGCTGGACTCGTAGCAGCTCTAGACGAGAGGCCGCCTTCGGGAGGGTTCATGGTGAACACTACATGCAGATTTTTGACAATCTGCTGTGTGAACCACTTATAAAGCTCTTCTTGCGAGTCGAGTAGTAGACCCTGCTTCTGTGCCCCTTCCTTGCAAGAGGTCATAAGGGACGCGAACTCGTCTCCCTCAAAAAGGCCAGGGACCTCTGCATTAGCCAACAGAGTGTTCATTCGTTCCAAGAAGCCGGAGTCCAGGACATTCGACTCGTCCATGATGAAGCAGATCTTCTCGCCTTTGCAGCCGCATCTTCGCAAGACGTTGCGTAGATCCTCATCAAAGTCTGCGGCGGAGTACTTCCCATGGACCTTGATCTGATAGACTTTAAGGCCATTCATCCATGCTACAAACCGGGATAAGGTTGTCTTGCCGCTACCGCTTACACCGATAAGGATGAGATGGCCCTGAGGTTGGCGGAAAACTCTGTCGATACGGAGGACATGATCCAGGACTTCGTTGAAGAGAATCAGTGGCACATCAACTTCTTCTTCACAGAAAGTCTTCAGCCGCGCTTTGACGAAGTCCCGTAGCTGTTCGCGTTCGACAGGCACGTAGTGTTTTGAGAGCCAGTTGGAGAAGAGAATCGGTCCGCCTAGTGCTTTCTCTTCATTCAATGTCAGGAAGTGCTCCGTCGCAACGCGGTGTATGCAGGTCTCGGTCCATCTTCGTTCCTCCTCAGTCACCAGCCGATCTTGGAATAAGCGAAGCGCCTCGTGAGCCCAGATTCTCACAAGACCTTCCAGAGGGAGCGTGTCGAGAGGCCTGATAGCTTCGTATATGCCTCGGACCCAGCGAGTAAGTTCTCTGGGCGAGTATACGTAATGAGGCTGGATCTCAGGCGTGAAGCGCTTCTGCGATTCAAGATAGACTTGGACCATAGCTTTAGTAAGCGCCTCCGAGTACCCACGCAAGGTGGGAATAATCTTGAGAACTGCATTGTTGAACGTGCCATAGATCTGGTTGAGGGAGATTTCGCCGGGATAGTCAACCATGATGAGAGGTGAATGTCGCAAGAAGCGCAGGGCCATTGGCGTCCTCCCAGTGTCTGTTGGTGGATTGCAAGCGCCGACAAACTGAATGCGGTCGAGTGTTACCCAGGTTTTGTCACTGGTACGCCAGAAACCATTCTGCTCGACCAGCTGCCGGAGGAAGGATATTGCGCGCTGAGTTCCGTACTTGTCTGGAGCTGGCAAGTTAATCTCGTCGCAGAAGATTACAAGCCAGCGGCCGACCTGGGTAGGCTGAAGCACAACGCCGCTCAGAGTCTTTCGATATTCGCAGTATTGCTCGAATGTCTTGATGAGTAAGTCCGGAGTCGTTGCACTGGAAAAGTTCAAGCCCACTACTTCCAGGTTGGGAAGTTTGCGTAACGCGCTGAATAGGGTCATGGTTTTCCCTGATCCTGGAGGGCCACACAGCAGCAGCGGTTTGTGCTCAGCAAGCCAAGAGTAGAGCACATCTTCGTGACGCACGGTATCTAGAGTGGGTATGACCATGTCTGTCTGTGTTATCGAGTGAGTGTTGATCTCGATCTTCGGCACCTGAGACTGCCAGAGCTTCCAGTCTGCTCTCGGCAAGGTGACATCAAAGTCAATCAATGAAGCAGTATCGGTAAGTAGCGGTAAGTCTACGGTGCTGAGACCAGCAAGGAAACTGCCAAAGTCCTTTCGGTCCTCCAGCGGGCAATCGCCGACTAACGACCACACAATTGCAAGCAATAGCTTCTTTGAGATGAATGGCTCAATCTGCTCGCTTTCTAGAGGGAAGTCCGGATGGTGCATGTTGTGGTCAAGAAGGGATCGGCACGTCTTGTTGAGTAAGGAAAACAAGGTGTTGAGCACCCGTATATTAGTGTATTCCATGATATGTCGATACTTGCGGGCTTCGTCGAGAGCCTTTACGATGAGATTGTCGTCCAGCAATCGAGCTTGTAGCATGTTCGCCACTACTTCCTGGGTGGCAAGGGCCTGCTGCGCCAACTGGCCCGCTGCAACAGCATCATCTTCTAGGTCTTCGAATGGTGTTCCCCGGAGATGAGCTAGGTAATTCTCGATCATCATGCTGTTCGATACGGTATCATCGCTGAACCAGACCATGCCGCAACGACTCACAGTAGCCAGAGTTGCGTACTTCAGATTTTCGACCTCGAACAAGATCCGTACGTTCGGCGGGAGGTTCAATCGCTCACCGTTTGGTAGTGTCAGCAGCTTGTTATCGTCAAGAACACTGTTGAGGTTCTCGACCCACTCGGGGTCAACGTCGCCATCGAACACTATCCAGTGCCTCTTGGTATCTTCACCACGCAGGTTGTCGACAATCTTCCGGAGTATGCTGGTAAACAAGCCATCGGTCCACTCTCGAGTGGTACTATCCAGGCTACCGTAGAGACTCTCCTTTGACATGACTTTTGGATCAATGACGTGGCAGACTCCTTCAGTGCCTTCAAGCTGCTGCAGAGCTTGCAGAAGCGTTCTCCAAGCGGCAGACTTTCCAGATCCAGATGCGCCGACCATCATAACACCATGGTGAAGCCCCTGGATTTGATAGAGTTGGAGGATCTTTGTCATCCATGCGTCGCTAACGACGAGTTTGTGGCTTGCAGCTGTATCGCAAATCGCTTTCTCCAGGTTCTCGAGGGGTGCGGGGACGTATTGGACGCCAGGGAATGCCTCCAACTGGATCTCCATCATCGACTCGACGTCAGTGGGTATCAATTTGGGAGCCATAGTCTCGCGTAAGCTCTGCACTATGATCTGCGGCTCGATTATCTCCTCCTCGGACTGTGCTTCGACGTGTGTGGACAGTCTTGCGCGCTTCACTCCACCGGAGCTAACAAGGACGCTCTTCAGGGCACGCAGACCGAAGTCGTAATGGGCTTGTTTGGATAGCCGTGCAGCACAGCTGTCGAAGAAAGGTACGATCTGCCGTGAAAGAGCCTTGGCCTGAGAGAAGCCCTGGGAGTAGAGCATCACTTCTGCGATAAGCTCCTTGTCCGGTTTTGACATAGCTACACTGCGGAAGAGCTTCTTCAGGTTGTCCGGCAAGTTCGATCTCCCGGCGTAACCAGGATTCATGGTAATGAAGATGCCAGTGCTAGGATCCACCGTCAGCTGACGGCCAACGAGTTCGATTTGGGCTTTCTCATCAGGTGCACCCTTCCGCAGTCCTTGCTGGATATTCTGCACTTGTTGAGAGACAGCAGACAGAATACGCTCCTCAAGTCGATTGAACTCGTCAAAGCAGCCCCAGGCGCCGACTTGGCAGATTCCCAAGAAGATCCGGCCCATTGCCTGGAAATCGAAGGTGTCATCGCAGCAAAAGACAAGGGTGAAGCGGCCAAGCTGAACGCCCAAGGCCTTTACCGATTCGGTCTTTCCAGTACCAGCCGGTCCGTACGGAGATCCTCCAAGCCTCTGACAGAGGGCTTGTGTTAAGGTGAGGAAGCAGCGGTCGGTTAGTGGTGTCCTGACAAGGCGTTCGGGCACCCCAAGATACTCGAAGCCATACTCAAGGCTTGCATTCGCCATCTTAATCTGAAGGCGGTGCAGTGGATCGCCGTCCTGGGTGTATGAGTAACGCATTCGAAGAAGCCACATGTGATGAGACGGTGTATCCGCCGCGGCCTTGATGAGTTCGCCAATAACATCGCGCTGGTGGACGGATTCGGTAATGAGATGCTCGCACTTCTTTCTCTGCAGTGGTTGGAGATCTCGTAGTACAGCAGAGGCTAAGAGTTGCAATAACTGGACTTGTCGTTCGTGAAGACTTGAGAGCGACGCACCACCTTGGCTCAAAGCTGTTTCGACTGCTGATGTCCAGCAGACCTGAGTAGCCAAAACCACGATCTGAGCGGGAAACGCGACCATGAAGCTTTCCATTGCGGAGTAGTCAAGTACATCCGCCTCCAACAGTGAACCGAAATTGTCCACGGCATCAGACAGAAGCTCCGCCAGAGTCACCTTCATCGAGCGTTCAAGACTAGCGAGCCATTCATTAATCTTCGGGGTTTTGGCCAATGAGACTGCTTTTCGAAGCATGACCTCCTCTCCTTCCTTTGACGTAAATCCTACGATCGTCGAATCTTCTTCAGTAATGAGTCCATGGATGCCAGCAAACATTTTCCGCATATGCTTGGCCACCCGCAGCGTATCGTTGCTGTTGCCGATGATCTCCAACAGATCTTCGTCACCAACAAAGTAGAACCGCGGAAATGAGACCCTCTCGCGCTCAAGATACTCTCCGAGAGCCTTTTGGATCTTATTCAACAAGTCGGCTAGGCGTTCGAGTGACTTTTGTATGCCGGAGATTCCTAAGACATCCAGGACGGACGGCGATCTGGCGACCTTCTTCATGACTCCCAAGAACTCTCCATTGATGTTCTGGAAACGGGCTGACTCGATTGGCAGAAGGTGCCTGATGTCGGCATTGCCTGTGAACACGCCCTCCAGGTAGACCCATTGCCGTTGTACATCAATCCACACGTCGAAAAGGATATGGACTCGGTTGAGCTTCTCTTCCCATGATGATGCTTCCTCTTCGAATTCCTTGTAATATGGCGAGTGCCTCATAGCTTGCAACGAATTCAGGTTCTCGCTGCACTTGGCGAAGAGTTCGTCCCAGCCACGTATGAGCCTACACTTACTCTGGTAGCCGAAAAGATCGAGCGAGTAATTCTGCCATGTCTCGCGGACTTGCCTGACGAATTCCTCGAGAGCCATCTCCCCTTGCGCTTGTGCAATCACGTCTCGAATGACGGATTCACTCGGACCGAGCTGGAGATCCCAGACATCACCAAGCGTCATGGAGAGCTGGGAGTATCTCTTCGAAGGCTTCAATGTCTTAAAGATCCGAATCCAGTGTCGTTCGCGGATGGTGTCCGAACGCAGTTCCGTCACGAGAGGGTTAACCTTGATAAGCTTCTGCAGCACGCTTTGAATATGCGCAAATGCTTCATACTGACGCATGCGACTTGGCATACCTTTGGTCATCGTAATCAAGTTGTCGAGGGACTGGCGTAGTTTTCGTGGTTGGATGCTCGTCCATAGAGTATCGCGCAACTCATTTAGACTGCCCCAAATGGTGGAGAGAGCTGCCCAGACTGACTTGAAATCTTGAACCTCCTCGAGCAATGTTGAAAGATTGTTCTCAGAGCCTGGGGGAAGGTCAAGAGCTTCCTGGGCCTTGGCGACCATTACCGATTCATTCATCAGCTGATTCAGCTTGACATCGAAATTCTGCAGGGTAAATGATGCCTCTTCCGGAGGGATGGTGCCTGATACTGGCTTCTCTTGACTCCACTGCGCAGTGATTTCCGCAACCTTCTGGTTCACTACCTTCTCCTCTGCAACAATCTTTGCTCGAAGAGCATCGGTCTGATCATTGACAATTTTGTTCTTCCGATTAAGGACTTCGTTGAGGATAGCCCATTCGTTCTCGATCTGTTCGATGTGCAGCCATTTAGACGGTAACTGGTAGCGTTGGCGCTTTAGAGTACTCTGTCCCTGACGGAACATCTCAACTTCTGGCGCCCAAGCCTTCACTTTCCGTTTGCACTGCTGAACAGTGGTTATGAACGTCACTGCTTGGGCTGTCGATGAAGCCTCCAGGGATTGGCCTTCAAGATCTCTGCGAGCATGTTCGATCTCGCCGTAAAAGTCCGCCATACGAGCGCCAAGCCTATTAGCAAACTTGCTCAGCATATCGCGCTGCCACTGGTCGTACTTGTCGGTGACTTTCAGTTGCACTTGGTCGTAGTCGATGGTGAGATGGCCGAAGGAGCAGCTAAGTTCTGAAGTGTCGAAGGTTTCCCTGGTTTGACGGATCTCTTGCAGCAGCTGTAACCATTTGGCGAGATTGTCTTCGAGCAGGTCGAGTACCTGCTCGGTTTGCAAGTCCCACAGAGACTGGAACTGAAGCCACTTATCAACATACTTGGAAACCGTTTGGGTCTTCTGCTCTAGGACATTATGGACCCGTGAAAGAGGGCCAATGCAACGGCTCAGTAGCTCAGAGTACCGCAAAGAACTGCTGTCGCGATCCGTCTCCAGCCTCAAATCGTACCTGGAAGCCTGCACCTTCTGCAAGGTACAAATCACGCCAAGCCACGCCTGTAGCTGGTTGACCCAGCTGGCTCTTGCGAACTCTAGAGGAGGATCAAGATAAATGACCTGATTTCGCATGGTAATCTCGTGTACTAGACGGTCCATCTTGGGCATCTCCTCAACTGGGTGGTCAGTGTGGTTCGAGAATCCAGCGGCGGTCTCGGTGTCCGTTTGATCTTCATGAGCGCCGTTGAAAGCAGTGATCCAGCTCTCGATCGCCCGGGTAAGGCGTCCTAGCAGAACATCTTCAATCCTGGCGTTCGTCTTCGCCACCCAATATGAGAGATTGGCGTAGTTCTCCAGGTTCAGCAAATCAACCGCCTTCTGGATGATTTCCAGATTTTCCTGAAGGGTGTGGTGCTCGTACGGGCAAGTTCCCAGCTGGATCATTGCTTTTTCCACGTCGTTATTGACGGATGACAGCTTGGCTACTTTGCTCTGCAGTTCCGATACCGCGACGGCAAACTCGCGAACAAATTGGACATGCTTGCTCTCTCCACGGGTAATCGCCGCAGAAGCATCTGTCCCCACAATTGCAGGCCCCTGCCGGATATGGAGGTCATACGCATGGACGAAGGACTCCCACTTCAAGGGTACACCCTTGGCGACGAGTGCTTGCGCGTTGCCTTGGTAGCCATGAAGGAGGACCGCGACTCCAGCCATCTCATCAATCGTCCGAACAGTCTGAATGTAGGTTCGAACGCTTTCCATGAGACTCACGGCGTACGGGTAGACACGCTTGGCTTCTTTGGAGATGTTGTTGATTGAATGAGGAACGTTGTAGTTGAGGAGAAGGTTGCGCACTTCCTTGAACAGACCGATGATTTGTGGGTCGAAATTGACGGCCAGCTGCAGCGTATTTCCAGCTGAACGAATGCGGTTGACCGTAAACAGGCGACCAGAGATGGAAAGATTCTTCTTGCTGGCATCTTGCATCCACGCCTCGAAAATGGGCCGCGTATCCAGCTTCTTTCGAAACTTGCTGCTTTCGTTCAAGAGCTTCTGGCCTTCAGCGTGGAGACTCCAGTCTTCACCCAGGATGTCCTCCACTTTCTTCATGTAGCCATCGAGCTGCCGCTCAATCTGCCTTCTCCAGATTATGCTTCCAGCTGTTGGGGGAAGATCTCGCAATTGAGCCATGCTATGGGCTTCAGACACTCCGTAACTCCGTGTTACCCGCTCTTGAAGTGCTGAGATGTCTCGCTTGACGTTTTCGATAAGCTGTGTCTGGTACTCAGATATTGCTCCTCGGATCTTTGGTCGAACAAAGAGTGCATTGAACTTTGAGAGCACGCGGAACATCTCGTTGGCCGACTTCGCAGTGGCTAAGCGGTCTCGCAGTCTTGCAATGATGGAGTTCTCCACTCTGGAGGTCCGCTCGTTGTACACCGTTTCTGCCTGGATCCAGATTTGCGTGCCTTCCAGAGAAATGTCCAGAACGTCGATGTCCTTCAAACCCGCGTAAGCTTGGGCAACCTCCTCAACCGCATCCACATCGCCTATCTCCTCCACGAAGACGGCCTCGGTCACCTTCAAGCCATCGGCGATGTCCTGCGCAGCAGACTTTGAGCCAAGTACGTTGATTATTGTTCGCTGCAGCTGTTCGTGATTGTTCCGAAAGGTGGTGATATATTTCAAACGATGTTCGGTTTTCGTATGGCGCGGTGTGATCTTGATGGGGATAAATTTCTCGTTTCTTCGCCTCGTCACGTCTCTTGCGATGTTTGTGAACTCTTTGACGTTGTCGTCCCACGTTCGCCATATGCTTTCCGTTAACCGCATGATGGCCTGGAAGTCAGGAAACTCGAGGTGCATGAGCGACCGGCCATGGAGCAAAGCATGCAGACGGGCATCTAGGTCGCTGGAGATAGCTTCTACCAGAGGCAGTGCTCGACTGATTGGATACGGGCATAACCGTAGCTTCTTGTTAAGATGCGTGAAAATGTGATTGACTGCATCTTGGACCTTCTCCAGTGACGTCGCCGACAGGAGATCGTCCAATGGGAAATCGCGCATCAACTGATTGTATTTCTGCACAAGGTCGCTTGTCTCTTTCAGGTTCGTATCGGTGCTGAAGCTTACGGTGGCTTGAAAGCGCTTTGCATGTCGGAGTACCTCCATCGTCAGTTGTACCCCCTCACTTCGTAGCTGAGCTTCGATGGCTTCTAATGCGGACTCCATATTAAGCCAGAAGTTGATTTCCTGCGAAGCTGTTCCACTGCTCGGGTCGCGCGAAGTCTTGGTAATGGTCTGGATACTCTGGATCCAGGTGTTCACCAACGATTGCAGGTGGTTTAGGAAAGTGCTGTCCGAGAGCAATGCAGCCGGTATGTGTTCAAGTGTAGGCCTAACATGGTTCGCTGCTGCTAGCTCCAAAGCAGCCTGTATCACTGGATCGTTGGGCAATGACAGAGCAGGGATCTCAGTATTTTGCTGGAGATGCAAGAGGCTCAACTCAAGCTCGGCGATCTTCTTCCTCGTACCCGATATGCCCGTTCGCGAGTCGTTGTCCCCTTTTGTTCTACTCGAAGGTATCGTAACCTGACTCTTGGTGTATGCATTGAAGTAAGGCGCCAGCGCCAGGTGAACAACGGTATGCAGAACTTCAGGAGGCGACACGTGAGGAGTACGATCGACGGACGCCTCTCCACCGTGCGCTCTACCCGGCAAATTTATAACTTGCACCTGCGAGCTTATAGGTGAAGACGGATCTATTGGCTGCGGTCGTTTCAGGAAGGCGACGCATGCGGCTCGTAGAGGAGAATACGTTATCTCGGCTGTGAGTGTGTAAGCGTATCTGGGGCGGGCGCCTAGAACCTGTTGCATTAGCAGTTGTTGTGGACAGTGTCTGAGGGAAACTTGCCAGACTCTCCATTAACCTGATCCGGCTGGCTAGGGTCTAATGTATCTTGCTGGACGTAGAGAGCTTCCTGCGGTTCCAGAGCGAACCGTGTGCAACGCTGTAATGTGTCCGGAAGCTTTGACTCTGAGAGCAAGCTGCCTGGTGACTCGAGGTCGTCTTTGGAAGCCCCGAGCATAACATCGAGGACCTTGACGAGGTGATCCACAAGCGAGTGAGGATCCAGAGAGGCGATTGAGGCATGCTTCGCCGACAGCAAGCCGTTGGCCCCTTGGGGAGCCACAGGGCCCTCCATTGTATTACGAAAGATTTATCGGAGAAGGAGACATGTAGGATGCCGAGGAACAGGAAAAGAAACACAAGCAACCAGAGAAAGGAAAGGGATGGTGTCGTCGTCGGTGGCAGTCTCGCCGTCCGTTTGTTGGCCCTCGTGAAGTTCACTGACAGCCCATACAAATAATCCGAGCGTGTCGCGCTCAGGGTCCGCGCGTTGGAGGGTCTGGCACGTGACCCCTCAGTGCAGATCTCCCTCCCGTCTTCGCCGAAACGGCCCTTCTTCCACATGAAACGTACCTAGATAACTCTGAACAACCAAAGCATCCATCACCTACTTCCATACCTAATGCTATAGATCGAGTACTACTGAGCTCGTTCATTCTAGCGGTGTACTTGTAACTCCGTCTCAATGGAGGGCAAACACTTATGCACACGTCTCCGTTATTCTTCCTTTCTCAAGAAGAGGGGGCGGCAGCATACGCCTGGCTCAGCGCTTCCATCATCCACGCACTCGCTTTTTTTTTACGATGAACGATTGGCAGTTTAGCCGTGTGCGATACTGCTGGATTGTGAGTCAAGGGCGCATTTGGCGGGATGAGGCAGTATGCTAGGTAGTCCTCCTTGAGGGCACTCAATTCTACGCTAGAGAAGACCTCGTAGTTGGAAATACTCTTGGATTCGGCTGTCCTCAATCAACTATCTCCAAACGGATGCCGTGGCGTTGACGCATGGCTGATCCAAGCCCAGCTGCGAGAAGGATCAGATGAGAAAGTATTCCAGACGGGTGGTTGGATCTGCGCACTCAATGTGGTGCAGGTAAGGCCTAGCTGAATAATTCCGAAAACTCCAGTACCCTGGCGCTTGTAGGGCTCAGCTAGGTATGGAGCTATTACCAGTAGGTAGCCCTCGAATTAACTCAATTATGATCCACCTAGGAACGGTTCTGCATACATGTAGAAACTGCAACCGGATACACCGTAACCTGGTCATCGGCGCTCGTAAGCCATTCGCAGAATTGAAAGGGTGTAGCCACAAGACACATTTAAGAGACTACATAGACCCTCGCGACAAGATCCTTTGGTTCATGGCACGGAGAACCTGCAGTAGAATATCTCAGTCCGGCTCACTACCTTACGAGAAATCACACATCGTCCCTGTGGTGTGTTGTAATGGACAGAAGAGCAACAGTCGAATTACTGGGTCGACTAAGTCTCTTTACCGATGAAGAACAGACCCTTTGGCGAGCGATCATCTCCGTATACCGCCGCTTTGATGGCAAAGACAGCCGCAATCCTTATTTGAAATCAGGAGAGAATGATCAGGAACCCTCTCAAAGATTCTATGGCGTTAGATTGACCGCCCTTTTCGACCGAATGTTCACTACTATGTACAATGACGGGATCAATTACGTTGCATATTCAGCTATGCAGTCCGTTCACTTTCTGGGCCATAACCAGAGTCGCGGCGGCGGCAGTTGTCCAGATTTTCCCATTCAGAAGTATGGAGCTCTTGTGGGAATGGTTTCTTGTCGACGGCGCGGAAAATCTGCATTGAATCTTGTCAGTTTTGCTCGGCATGTTCTACACGGATTGCTTCAACAAACCGTTTCAGTGGCACACCGGAGTGGCCACAAGAGCATGATTTGGACTACGCCGGCAGCCAGATTGCGTTCACCAATGAAGAACAGATTCTCGGTCGCCCAACCGTCTTCATGCAAGACTCCTCTAATGGCATACAAGAGTCCGAAAGCTATGCACGTCCAGGAACCCAAGATCCACACTCGTCTGAAAATTTCCTGGACTGTTCTGACATCCGGAGATGGATTTGGAAATGCTTCGCAGACGGTATCTGGTCCCTGACATGACTCTGTCAGCATAGCTTTCGCGAACCGCGACTCCACGATTACTGGATATTTTCTAGACTCCGCTTCGGAAATGACCCAGAATGCGAGACAAATGTGGATGATGACCTCATGCTTGAACCTGTCTTGGTCGGGGTCTACTGAGAGCAACTCGTTGATGCCATACGCAAGTCCTCTGAGAAACACGAGCGCGCCTGCTAGAACCGTGGAATAGAGTGCAGGTCTGCCGCCGCGGACAGCATACTGAGTTGCTAAAGGTAATGCGAAGAAGTACTCAAGGTCGCTCCCGGGGATCCATAGGTATGCGCTGGTCGATTCGACGCATAATCATTAGATGAGCCTGGAGGCAACGACTGTGGCCGCGGCGATCAGCCAATAGGCCGCTTAACGTTTGAGAGATAGCATGTTCGCAGGAGGAGATATTGGAGGTGACGCCGCGTTGTAGCCTTTCGTGGTTGCTTAAAACGATTGCTTAAAACGATTGCTGAGTTGAGACTTCGATGGTGCGAGAATAAGATTTGTGAGATATGGTGGGTTTCTTCAGGTAGAAAGGTCGTTTGAGATTTCAGCAAGGCGCTGTGGAAAACAATGCAGCTGTGAGTGCTTTTATGTGATTGTTGCCTCACTCTGTCTGCCGAGGCACCTGAACAACCATGGTACCGGGGAGGCTGAGTTTCTTCTCGCAGACAACCGTGGAATCTCGTAAGATTGAGGTCGCCTGCGTGCTCTCCGCACTAAACTCTAACTTGTGTCTCAATGAGGAACTTCGCGGCTGGCTGAGCAAACGGCGAGCTGTGGACGAGGTATGGCAAAGCCAGAATGAGCGGACATCACTTCTACAGATGTAGAAAACTTCCAATACTCCCCGTGAGATTAGTCCATTCTTATAACGAACGTACTGGAATCCCTCTATGGGATGAAGAAACCGCTTGTCAGAGTTTCCCTGGCCAGTATCTGCCCTTGGCTGCTGCAGCTTCCGCCCAGGCGGCATCGTGTGCAGCAACCACTTCTACGGGCCCAAGGAGGGTCTCATCATGCTGCAACGCTCTGATGCGGTTGATGGTCTCCTCGGCTTGCCGGCGATCTGCGTGAATGCAACACACAAGTTCTGAGCGTTCGGCATCCCTCCATTCAGCAATCCTACATTCACCCGAGAGCAGTCTCGTGTCGTGATATGCATCACCGGCTAGGTAGATGTAACGGTCAACGGCGGTCCGGCAGAGAAGGTTGATGTGGCCGGGAAGGTGCCCAGGTGCAGACACGATGTAAAGGCTACCATCTCCGAAGAAGTCAATGGTATGTGGAAGAGAGCTAAATGGGTACCACGGACCCAGACGCATCTCTTTGCCTTGGAGTTGGAGCACCTCGGACGTCTCTACTGGCCTCCCGTGGGAGGTATCTCTCAACTGAATTGTTCGGTCAAGAGGCAGCAGATCCCTCTCGAAATGGCTGTGAGATCCATTTTGCAGCCTAGTCCTACCGCTCAAGAGGTCGAGCGACCCGTTCCCAACAACGAACAGCGAGTGGAGAAAGTCGGAGGGGGTCCCGATGTGATCCCAGTGTACATGGCTGAGCATGACTATGTCGATGTCACTCGGATGGAGCCCACCAGATGCGAGCGATTCCACGACATCTGGCCGCGATACGACTGGCTGTCGCGTAGCTAGATGTTTGCATATTTGTGGCGAATAAGCCAGAAGGTCACGACGAATGCCGAGATCGAACAGAATTCGCGCGGCTTGCGTCTCCGACTCATGCTGAATCAGAAACGACAAAGATGGAACAGACTTCCGAGCGTCCGGGTCGTTAACAGGCTGGACAAAGAAGCGCTCAGGAAGGGTAAGAGAGCCGGCAGCAAGAGCGTGGACAGACACCATGGCTACGGCGGCAACAGACGAAGGAGAAGACATAATTATGGCGAGCGGACTAGACTGGAACAATACGAAAAAGAGTTCCTTTATTCCACAACGGTCATCACCCCAAATACTAATGTCTTATGCCGGTCACGATGTTTAGGTTAAGATTGTGGCCGTCATCGCGGCAGCGGGTCGTGCGGGCCTGCGCTGCGGGGAACTCAAACTCAACAGGAGCTCCCGCACATGTCTCCCCCCCCGCCGCCCGCGCCCCCCCCCCCCCCGCCCAAACCGCATTTTCATCTCGCCGCTCATCCCCATTGCCCTACGATCTATACATGTCTCCATTGCTTGACAACTATTGGCTCTTTCTCTCTGTCTCAGTCAACGAGTGCATCCAACCCCGGCTTTTCCATTTACTGTGCCCATCTCCCCACAATCTACCCCGCTCTCTTCACACTTCTCCTCCTTGGCCGCCATAAATAGTATAGGAAACATTGTGACCACCCCCGCCGCCTGCGAGGAGCGCAGCGACGCAGCGGCGGCATCGTTCCTTTCGCGAAGCGACAGCATCCTGTCACCGCAGGCGACCCGACCACCAATCTTCTATGGGGGATCCCCCCCAAACCCCCCTTTGATGCACGTTCTCCCTCCGCCTCCCTTCATGCTCTGTCTTCTTCCTAACTGCTCTCTGCTCCCCCCGTCAAACCACTTATTAACCGCAATCTGCATGACGCATCTGTAACGGTTGCAACTGCGCACCTCTGTGACCACCCACCGCTCCCGTGCTCAGCAGCAGCATGGAAGGGGACAGTATCGTTGTCGCTTCCCCACTTGGGACCCCGAAACGCGGTGCTACCGCTCGCCGAGCCTCGTCGAAGAACTTCTCCTGCAGCTTCTGCGCAAGAACCTTCGCTCGTCTCGAGCACCTTGACCGCCATCAGAGGATTCGTAAGCTCCGTTCACAACGTTGTTTAGGCGCCCATTGTGCTCTAACTTTGAAGCAGATACGAATGAGAAGCCATTTTCCTGCCCCAAATGTCCAAAGACCTTTTCGCGAAAGTGAGAAGTCAGCTCAGCAATAGTTCGGATCCTGGCTTGTGAACACAAAGCTAACGGCTCGGCTCTTCCAAAAGAGATCTCCTTGTACGCCATGCGAAGTCGATGCACGGAGGGACCCTGACCCCAGATCTCGACGTGCAACGGGGTTATGCTTCTCAACCGGGTACTCCCCCAGATGCAGGGATCCGACGACAGCGCTATACTCGCCGAGCTGGAAGAGCAGATCCAGCGCCGACCGACCGACCCGGTACCAACTCTGGGCCGGACGCTTCGGAGACTCGCCAAGACCAGACCGGAAACGCAGCACTCGAATACGCATCCTCAGGCCTCCCAGGGCAGGACCCATTGCCAAACCCTTACGAACGTGCTACACAAGCCACACAGCCAGTGGAAATTCTCGATTCAAGGACATTGGGAACCGTTACTGTTGAGCCGCTACACCGTCTGGGAAATATACTACCGAATCCGGACGACACTACGTCTAGTATGTCAGAAGATGACTTGTTCATAGCCATCTGGGATACGCAACTCTTCAGCTTGCCCTGGGCTCATAGGTTTGATCTCTCCACGACAGCATTCTCGGCTGTTCATATACTGCAACCACTCTGGCCAATCTCCGCCGATTTCCAACCTTCAGGTTCCCAGTGCCTGTTTAATCCGCATCTACGACAGTCAAAAAACTCTCAATCTATTGCGGAGGAGCTCGGTCGTAGATTGCCCAGTTCCACTTCTGCAGGCAGTCCGAAGAGCTTACAGCACGGCCAACCTCCCATTGTCTCGATTTTCGACAGGATCTTCTCGCATCGGACGTTGTCGGAGCCAGAGAGATTACCTCCAGCCTACCCGGTCGCCCGTCGGAGCTTATCAAAGACTCCCGAGGAAGTCAGAGTTCGTCTAAAGACACAATTGAAGCTCTTTCACCATCTTCTACCTAAGGCTTTCGTGCTTCCATCCCAACATGCATTGAATCGCTACACCTCAGCATATTTCAATGGCTTTCATCTTCACCTACCGTTCATTCATGTGCCTACTTGGTCTCCAGCATCCTGCCATCTGGGTTTATTCATTGCAATGTGCTCGCTGGGTGCGAAGTATTGCCTTGAACAACAGACGGCGATTGCACTATGGGATGCAGGGAGGCTTATCGTGAGAGCGGCGACAGAAGAGAAGAACGAAGACCTGGATGTAGCCAACTCAGGGTATATCGAAATATGTCAAGCGATGCTACTGCTGATGGCCTTTCAGACCTGGTCGGGGAATCCTTTCGGTTTGCGTCAAGCATTATCTTCTCAGAGTGCCTTGGCAAGTGTGAGTAACATCGCATATCTGAAACCCTGCTCACACCGCTGAAACAGAATTTCTGCTTTAGCTGGTGCGGCAGGACAGATTGAACAGTCGACCGCTGTCAAAGGAGATGACGTGGGCGGAGTGGATCGATCGTGAGGTCCGCAAACGGTATGATCGTCCAAACGAATCTCTTCCCATCCTGACAATATCACTCACCTCGTACGCAATTAGGACCAAGCTCGGCGTATACTGTTTCCTCAACTTACAGTGCCTAACTTTCAATGTCCCTCCCCTCATCCTCAACAGTGAGATCGCACTTGACTTGCCAAGCGATGAGGACGCGTGGCAAGCCGAGAGCGAGGATCTGTGGCAGCGATGTGGCAGGGGTCAAGCTCCTGAAATGCCATCTTTCCAGATCGCCTTACGTAGCTTTCTCCTTGGGCCCGACTGCAATCCTCCCGATAGACAGTCCGCCGTGGCTTTGTCGCAGGATACGTCGCCTTGTTCCATTTTTGGGATGTACGCCCTTCTCCACGGAATCATTCAGCATCAATACCAATTACGGCAGTACTCCGATCTCACACCAGGGCCAGATGGCACTGTTCCTCCTGATCAGATTGTACAGATTGAGCGCGGCCTCAGATATTGGCAGCAGGCTTGGGAAAGGAACATGGAAGCTTCCCTTGATCCACAGAACGCACATGGTCCATTAGCATTCAACTGCATTGCCCTAGTTCGTATAGCATACATTCGGCTCGACATCGACCTCGGCTCAGCATGTGCAGCCCTCCAGTCGGGGGATCCGCACATCATCGCGCGCGCCATGAAGGACCAAAAGACCGTGGCCCGTGGTCCGAGATTGACCAAGGCAGCACTGCATGCTTGCCACGCGCTTCTTGTTCTGGCTAAGGAAGGCATAGACCTCGTCACTCACACACAAGTCTTTGTCTGGTCGATCCAGCACTCTATCGCGTCCTTCCAGTGTTGTGTCGTTCTTGTAAAGTGGCTGGAGACGGTAATCGTAGATACATCTGATCCTCTACTCTCTGACGAGGAGAGCTGGCTCATCAAGCTGGTACAGAATACCTTGGGGGAATGCAACGTTGGTGAGGTGGAAAATGTCAAGACACTGAACGTGATGGTGTTGAGAACTTGGGCAAAAGTGTTCGCTGAGACTACGATTTGGGAAATTATGCCTGTCATAGGAGCTGCGTTCGAGATCTACGCAGATATGCTTAGCCGCTAAGAAAAGAAGTTCCTCGGCCTCTGCAAAGCTGAATCAATCCTGGGAAGAGCACAGCTTGCTAGACGGGAAGATCACTCCAAGCGTGTGCCTCCTCGATTTGATGGTGGGCACTCGTCAATTAACAGGAGGAAAGATAGGAACAAACGTAGATGTGAGATGGTTCTCAATGTGAACGACCATGAATGTTTAGATCTTCAATTGAACTGAGCCTGTCTCGCTCTACTGTCCATTCAATCACCATAGTTGCCCTGCCAATCTCCATTCCCACCCCAAATTTCCCCACCTTAGAATCGTAGGTAACTGCTTTCCCAACTCGCTAAATGTTCCCCACCTCGACTCCGAATCTGCCCGTCTGAGACGAGCGCCCTTACTCATGCTTGAAGTTGCAATTATGCTGTGGTCTAGACCATTGTCGTTTGCTACAGCTTTGGATTCGAGCGTGGTAAACCAAGAATGGTAGCTTGCCATTGTAGTTTATAATTAACGATAACGTCACGTGACTATGGGGAAGCTCACAAATCTCAACGCGGAGGCTTGTGCGCTTTACACTTCCCGCGCAACGCTCGCAACGGAACTGTATCCTGTACTTCTATGCGCCTAACCCGTACGTCCTCGTAGCCCTGCCGCCGGCAGCGAAGACAGCCGTGCTGTGTACCAGATCAGGAGTGGAGTATACAGGACGTGGATAGCGGGCCAACTTCGGAGGTCTGCGCGTTCGTTCTTGAATCTAACCGTCCTTAAGGCCCTACTAGCAGAAAAACTTACAGCAGCCTGCTTCGGATGTCCAGTGTGCGAACCTTGCCACGTACTGCAAGGCTCTTCGGGGAGGCTGTGAATACCTCCGACTGCTGTAGCGCCAGGACTGCCTCCCTCAGGATGCAGACAGCTGCTTGTCAGACATGAGACCGCCGCTATGGTTGGGCAGATGGACCGTAACCACCCTATGCTGTGCGGATTACTCGGTGGTTTTTCGATTTACCACAGTCACCTACCGATCTTTAGCTATATGAGCAAAGAATTGAGCATATGGTTTCTAGAAACTAGACCATGCTTTGCTAGCATAAACCGCCGACCTAATCTGGCTCAAGTACTGCTCTCCCTGTCAGAACGCAAATTGGGTATGAGCAATAACGAGTACTTTGTTGATGGTTCTGACAAGGCGGCCATTGTTTCTGATTCTAAGCATGGAAACAATAAACTTTGCCTTTGTCCTCGGACCAAGTATTTGGCTGACTCTGTCGCCTGCGCGGTTGTGGTTACTTTTCGTACCTTATAAAGGCCGGTACCGTGGTACGGCCGCTTGTCAAAATTCGCACCAAGCTTTACGGTCTTCACAGCGCTCGTTCGGTTTCTTGAGAATTCTGAATCTTAGTTCTCTCGCTAAATTCACCGCTCAGACAGAGGTAAGTCTGCTTGATAAAACCGGGCAGGTACCGGCTTTGCATCGCACTATCAAGCACCTCGTTCACAGCTCCTGACATCGTCCATTTTACACAATTCATACACCAGCAAATTCCGTCCAGCACACCTACTTTCCACTCTTCTCACACTCTTTGCTCTATCACGGCCACCAACATGGCTGACGTCGACTTTGCATCACTTGAGTACGACGACTATGCGATAGAGGACCTTCGCTACAACCTCGACAACGCTATCCATCCGGTATTTAGCGCAAAGAACTTCGTCAGCATGCGAAACTTCGAAAACACAGACTACGAAGTGCTGAGGCCATCGCTGCGGCTAGCCTCGCTGCTCCTTGAAGAACCAAGTTTACTGGCATTCTGGCACGCTATGTTCTTCGGAGTAGAGACGGAAATCGTAGATCCGGGACTGGAGGAGAAATACGGCACCAAGATGTTCTCTTACCGTCGGATGGATGGTGAACTCACGGCGGAAGACATTGTGGATACGCACGAAATGCTTCTTGAACTTGCCAAGATAGTCCGCTTCGTCCGCGTGGAGAGCCAGGCATTGGAGCCTGCGGGTGCACTATGCACCGCTGCGCAGTGCCGGATGCCGGGAAAGTTGACCGGCTGCGGCGCGCGAATCTTGTATGGGAATAACTGTTACCAGGGATTACACAGGTTGGAAACTTCGGAAGAGTCGCATGATTCCATCTTCACAGCCCGATTGGATTTTGCTGCTACAATGCTGCATGAGCTCGCCCATGCAGCTCAAAGGGCCATCCTCGGGCGAAGGTCCTACGAGCATTTTTTCGAGAACGATGTCGTGGCAGAGGCAGGTTTCGCTTGGGAAAACTTCGTATTTGGCGGCACACTGTCCAGGGCTAGTCTACCGACACTCGAAGAGTTCGCAATTCGCGAAGCTCCACATCGTCACAGCGGCTACGAAATCGATACCGATGTACTCGAGCTACCTCCAGAGAGAGGCGTGGTCTCCACGGTGGAGGTCCATTGGCCAGTAAGAGACGAGTTCGTGCGACGACTCTTTACCAAGCGGTTTTGGGCACATACTGTGAAGAAGCAGGGTGCCGCTGCTTTTCGCTTCCCGAAGGATGACGGATTTCTGGTTCGAGATAACTGCGTCATTCCCATCTTGCCCGAAGAATATCCCCCCGAAGGCTTCACTCTCCTCCTGCAAGGCTATGAGTATCTTCATGGGAGAATGCAGAAAACGCTCGTCATATCGCAACGGTCATACTGCCCTGATGACTGCGAAAGCGGATGGTGCTGTAAGAAGCCGGAGTGGACCAAACTCAGGGGCTCTTGGGAAAGCTCCAACGCAAGTGGCGAGTCTCGAAGGTCATCCGAGACAGCTGCGACATCAGTATGCTCAGATCTTTCAAGGCTGATTCTGGAACCAGACGGGGACTTGGAGAAGTGGTAAACATCGTCCGGACGGGTGGTTTTCCCCACAAAGTCCTTCAGCAACATTTTGATGGACCGGCAACCGGACGCAAGCGTGGCGAACAAGCACTCATGTGCTTTGGGCATCTCTGATATCGGGCCCCTCACGCGTGTGCAAGAAGCATGCAAGAAGCAATCATCTCGTCAAGAGATCCTATCCGTACGAGATTTCTTCCTCTAGAGCCTCTCAGCCACATCTTGAAAGAACAGAAGCGAGTTACTGACATACGGAATCGGCGTTTGGGTGTTTAACAACTAAAGGGGCGAGTACATAGCGCTACATTCAGAAAACAGTACTCCCTAGCGCGTTTCTTCAATCAATGATTTCATCCTCTGAAAACTGTGATGACACAAATGCATAGCCTTGACTCGAAGTGAAGCCAGTACAGAGTAAAATAAGTGCATCATGCAGCACCTGAATCAAAAAGTACAGTGCAACTATAGACTACAAAGCCATGCCATCAGAGGCGCCGAACGCCAGCCGGCAGAAACTGTAGCCCTCAAGACTAACCGTCCATTTACTTTTCCCGCCACTGCCCCCAGAAAACCAGCCATGCACCGCACCCACGAATCCAACGCCAAGACCCAAAAGACCCTACACAATCAGTCCACGTTCGCCTTCAGTGGCGTCCTGAACCGATTCGGGCTCCCCGTCCTCGACCTATGTCCCGGCACCGTACTCAACGCCAAGCGCTCTTTACTATCCGTCCTACTCATCAGCCCCGCCCTCTCCATCGCATTGCCAAACACTACACTGGGTGGCCCCAATCCGAGGCCCTGACCTTGCTCAACAGCATTGCCGAAGTAGCCCGAGCCGCCCTCAGAAAGATTTCCGAGCTTGAGCTGGGGGGTGGCCCAGCCAGAGGTCCGCCCCACACGGCTACCGTCCGCGGAATCCGAGGTGTCGTTATCGGAGTCCACGTCCGCGAGCTCGAACGATGATGCGGGATCGCCTTCCTCGAGGACGCGCTCGTAGGTGGGGTCGTTGCTGCCGAAGAATTTGCCTGGAAAGCTGCGTTTCTTTCTCGGTGAGCGGGGGCTTGTTGGGCGGCCGAAACCGAGGAGAGAGCGTAGTTTAGAGGATAGGGAATGTCGCCGCTCCCGGCCGCATACGAGAAAGAGGATAAGAGCGAAGATGAGGACTAGGAGAAGGAATCCAGGGATGCGGCGGTTCGAGGAGTGGGAGAGGATATCGTGCCAGTCATCTTCCGGTTCTTCCGAAAAATCATCTGCGAGTAACGTGTCCTTACCGCCTGCGAACTGGAAATCATCCGGAATGCCGGCTTCGTTGCTGCCGAAACCGACGGCTAAGGTGTCATCTGCGGGTGGGATCTGGCTGGATGCATATAGGACCATCTTGCCGAGTGTCCAGCTTACTTCTGTGCCGTTGATCTTGTTGACGGCTTGGAAGGGGTCTAGATAGCCTTTCGCTTTTGCGTTTTCCATTACCGCTTTTGTGCCGTTGTGGCCGCCTTTCATGTGCTCGAGCCCGACTCTTGGGACGCCGATGCCTTCATGGAGCATGTTGATGAGCCATGACGCCTTGAAACAGACCTCAATTGCTGTTTCTTCGTCGACCTTCTTGCCCCATTTCTTGCTGTTGACGCCGTCTAGGATTTTTTGGTAGGGTTGACTGCAGAACTCCTGCACCCGCTCTTGATATGTGTGGAAATCGTACGCCTTGTCTACATGCGCCATTTCGAATACCTCATGTGTCGTATGCCAGTACTCCGAGACACCCACGAAATGATTGACATCGAAGTCGATAGCTGGAACATGGGAGCCGTGAAAGAGGCAGGGGTCATCTAAACATGGCGCATCCTTGTCGAGCAGCGGGTAAGTCTGACTTATGCACTCCGAGAAGCGACCCGTGCCAAGCAAATGCGGTTCGTCGCCTTTCGCTGCAGACGATCCTGGCTCAATCGGCTTGCCTGTTATCGTCACGTTCAAGCCAGCCGGGAGGCATGGATCGGGTAGCTCCGTCGCATCCGGACTGGCTTCAACGAGAGCCTTCACGAAGCGCTTCCTTGCCTCGTTAACCCCATATCCCAGCCACGTTGTGCTGAACACTTTATACTCCAAGTTTGCTCCGCCGATAGTCCGCAGTCGCAAGAGGGTAAGGTCGTTCGCATGCTTCTCCGCTTCTGTTGCGTTTGGCGCAAACGCAATCTGCGCAGATGCGCCGCCCATATCCAAGAATCCGTAAGTGCGGTGACCGTTGCCGTGATCGCTCACATTCGCCGAATCGAAGCCGCCAAGCAGGTAATTCGCCGCTATCCATCCATAGAGCCCTTCAGTCTCACCCGGTATGACCTGTATGTGTATGCCGCAGTCCGGCAGCTGAAACGCGGTGTGTGTCTGCGCATAACTGCATATCTCCGCCAAAAGCATCTTGCGCTGAATGTCTGGAAGGAGGCGCATCCCTGCGGTGGCAAGCAGGAACACTGCGGTATTCTCGACTTCGTGTTTCGGGATGTACTTCAGCGCGTGTTCGAACAGCTCCGCAAGGTGGTCTGGCCCTATGCGATCTGATTTCTCGCCGAAGGTGGAGACGCCGGGGTGAATCTTGTGTGTCCATTGCTTTTTCGTCTCCAGTACCGGAAGACTGCTGAGTTGCTGCTCGCTCGCCTCCTTGCGAGCCCTTGCGCTGTTGAGCCATCGGTATATATGGACTCGAGTACCTGATGACCCAGCATCAAGGATGACTCCATATCGCCCTACAATGCTATGTTAGCGATTGCAGCGCATGCCGGACTCGGATTGTTGAGGTACTCACACTTGCCCATCGGGAACTACCAGCGTTCAGGAAGATGAGTACAAAAAGGTATTACGGTCAGCGAGTGTACATGCTACCAAAGAGGCGCGAACGAGCGACAAGAAAGCGAATTGGTATGCGGGGCGGTTTGGGGGGAAGGTGGAATGCGGACGTTACGCAGATAAGGCCAGAGGCCAAAGTTAACCCCCAGGGCTGAAGGTTGCATCCGGCTAAACTTCAAAGAGCTAAATCTGCGCCACCTATCCGGACGAGAGCCATGCCGATCCCTGCCAATATTTAACCCCATACTATTCGTAGCACGTTTGTAAAGCACCTCAATGTGAACCTCTGTATGTAATCTATGAATGCATGTATCTATTGAGGCTCTTTCAGCTGGAGACCTCTATGTGTTCGTAGCTTCGCAATATAGAGCGAAAGCCCCCAATTGACGCGCCGCCCACGTCTCCACGGTATCCCATACCTGGAGACAATGACAAGTTCGGCGTGCAAGATGATTCCTGCGAGTGTTCATCACACATAAGGAGACAGTCGAAAGCAGGTTCGCCAGTGCTGCCGATGAACTACTACTCCACATATCTACAACCCAACCTGCCTGCCCCTGTCCCGAAGTCGACACTTGTCCAACCGGCAGTGGCTGGGACCTTCGGGTCACGGATAGAGGTAGTTGGTCCTTCGCTGAGATTGGAAATCTAAGCCCCATCAGTTCCTCACAACCTCCCCCTCCGCAAAGAAGAAGTCGCACTGCACTGAGCCATCGGGACCAGATCTAGAGCCAATCATGGTATAGTTGACTTCCAGGACCGTGAACTCGGCAGCGTCTGCCGGCGTGTCATACTGAGGCCAGTAAGGCCTCTCGACCCCTGAAAAGGACGCAGCGTTGGGATCCAACTCCGTAGCAAAGGAAAGGAAGTAATCCCTCATGATTGCTGCCAAAGTTGCGTTAGACGCAATGAACTGATTCTCAAGGAAGCTGGTCACGTTCCCTGGAGGGAACAAGAAGTATGGTGCTGTTGCGGCGTGGGTTTGTGATCCAGCATTGAAGACCATTTTCCACACTGGTACACCGGCATGGCTAAGAGCGGAGCCCATGTAGTACGTTGGACAGTTGATGATGAAATCGCCGAAAATCACAACTCGTTTCCAGATAGCAGAGTTGTTCATCGTAGTTGGGATCAATGAAGCTAGCGCGGCGATGAAAGGGCTGTCGAGATAAGACCCTGTGAATGCTGACAGCGGGTACAGTTCGTTCAATCGCGTGAAGAAGGAAGGTTGCGCGGCGGGCCAAACTCTCTGAAGATCTGCATCGGCTTCCGTAGCGTCGGTGAGTGAGAAGTTGCTGAAAAAGGCTCCTGTGTTTCAGAAAAAGAGTGTCAGGTGCTGGTGGGACAGTCTTGCGGAGAGATGTACAGACCTTCGTATGTCGCACGATCAGTGAGCAGAGGAACTCGACTGAAGTAACCCCGTTCAAATTCATCCGAGGGCAGGTCCTGGATGATGCGACCATCGACAGATGGGCCGTAGTAGAAATCGCCGTAGCCATAGAGCCCGGCCTGATATCCCAGGATGTAGGTTGATTGTATTGCGGTAGCCAAGGTGTTGTAAGGCAGTTGTCGGAGACATCGCAGGCTGGTATTCTGCCTATAAGCTCCTAGCTGACACTATCGAGCATACTGCTGGCTTCTAAGGCCGAAGGCTACAAAGCTCTAATGAATCAACGCCCTCGTTGCATCGGTTCAGAGAAGTGATAGATAAGCAATGAATAAGCAGTGAACAAGCAAAGGATAAGCAAAGAATAAGCAACAGTAGGCAAGCCTAAGACGAGTTTGAGAGGCCTGACATAATAGGAAGTAGCAAATGCAACCAAGAGCCACGTGTAGACAGTCCTCCACATTGCGCCCGTCTTAGCTAAACAGTCCAAGCAAAACAGAACAACCTCCCATCATTCGAGGCCCTCGGCTAGCAGCGCGTTGAGTTCCGCAGCTGTCATCTTGTGAATGGACCTCATATGAAGGGTCAGGTCCCTCCGGGATTTGTAAAGCTGCCTCTTCGACTTGCAATCTCCCGTGGCGGCGAGGGGGCAACCTATGGGTGTGTACTGGTACTTGGGCGTCCTCTTCTTGCGGAAATCAGGAGCCGCTAGAGCTTTGTCCTTAAGGCCCTCGAGCAACGCGGCCAGCTCCTCACCCTCTAGCTTGTGGACTTTGCGAAGGTGAATTCTAATGGCCTGGAACGTAGCGAACGGGGCCACATGCTTGCACCCTGAAATCATGCAGCCTGTAGGTTTGTAGCCGGAATGAGCCATGTCCATGTGTTTTTGCAGCTCGCATTCCGTGTACACGATACTCGGGTCGCAGCCAGCAACGTGACATGGTCTGGGATCGACCCGGGGCTTCCCTTCGTGGGTCCTGAGATGCTCTACGAGGTTCGCCTTGGCCGTGTACTTCTTGGTGCATCCGTCGTAAGTGCAGCGAAATTCCCTGGCTGCAGCGAGCCTTGCATGCTCCTCTGCATTGGTGGGATAGGAAGCCACATGCACTTCAAGGCCCTGTACAAAATTGCAGACGAACTCGCATCCATACTTGGCGTTGGGGCAGACGTTGGGGAAAAACGACGGTGTCGATCTGCTTCCTCCCGTCGCCGCATTGTCGAGCGTAGCTGCGCTGGCGTAGCGGTAGGTGTTGATGCGAGAGAAGAATTCGATGAACTCGGCCGGGCGTAGTGACAGCTCTGGAGGAAGTGACTGCGAAGGCGTTCCATTCTCCTGCATGAGCTCATCGAGTGACTCGTTGCTAAGGTCCTCGACAGAGCCGCCGAACAAGAGCTCTTCTGCTCCGAGGTCCTCGTAGCTGGCGGATCCATCCGAGTCCAAGTAGGTAGGGTCGTCGGGGTCGGACTCGTCTGAGGCAGGGGATGAAGGGTGTGCGGCTTTGGTGGGAGTAATCGAGGGCCTCGATTCACCTGCCGTATCAATCCAGTCAGACTTCTTCTTCCGCTGAAGCTTGGTGACTACGGTTCGTCGAGCTTTTCGTGTCTCGTGGTCAAGGCCGGATTCTGCCGCGAAGGTAGTCACCTCATCCATCGTTAACCTTGCCCTCTTGTAAGGAGCAGCGGTGATGTCCAGATCGAAGGCTTCACTGATGGTATCTTGGTCACCCTTGTCAATCGCAGCGACTCTCTTGTCCCAGTTTCCTGACTTCTGGGGACCGATGTAGCTCTGAGTGATTCCCGCGGTCATGGTCCGATTGCTGTGTCCGGCTGCGTTGGCGACGAAATCTGTGGCGAGGCCCCTGGCGGAAGATGGGGGCAGATACGAAAGATCCCGCATAGAGCCACGGCGGATGTCGTGGGTTCTGACGATGACGGGCAACCCGGCGAGTTCGGCAGCGAGCCTGACAGTATCCCCAATCTGATACACAGTGCCCGCCTGGGGAATGTCCAGACCGGTCTGAGTAAAACGCATCAGGACAGGCCAGGCTGGCTGCGCCCACTTGAGAATTCGGTTCGGCGCAGTGCGACACTGCTCCATGACTTCTTGAAGAGACTGCGCCTCGACCGCACCCATCCTCATAGCACAGACCAGTAGCAACGTGACGAAACAGAGATAGCGCGGTTGGTCATTTTCGAGGATGTCGATTCTGACCCATTCAAAAGCGGCGCCGTTCGTCCTGAGGTTTGAAAGCACAGTTAGCCGTCATCCGAACTTTCGCCGTTGTATGGCTGATGCGCTTACTTCTGCCCTTTCCGATACTCCATCTTGACCTGGCAAACGAGGACCTCGTTACCAGCCGAGTTGTGAGCCAGCTTGATGCGAACGTGCTCGAACCGAAGGTACTCGTTCCCCTTGTACAGTGAATTCAGAGCTACATCGCCTGCTCTTCCAACCGTTGCGGCCTGGGTCACCATGGACAGCGCCCTCGCGAGGACCTTGTCCCAGGATGTCGTCCCGTGGGTCAAGGCATTGGTGATGAGTGCGCCCACCAGCCGCTTCAAGACACGCGCGGTGACGTACTGCCGGATCAGATAAGGATCCTTGGTTATGGCGCCCTGTTTCTTGAGATCCGCGAACGCGTTTTGGAGGCGCTGTGCACCGTGTGTGGAGAGCGCGAAGGTCTTGTAGTCGAATTTGAGTGTCTTGATGACGGCGGAGAGGCCATACTGTAGGTAGGAGTAGGAGATCACTCCGGACTCTCGAGGGGAGCGAAGGTGTTTAGGCACGGTTCTGATGAAGCGTTCAATGTCCTCGGCAGTTGGGACGTGCACCTTGCGGCTACACAATAAGTGACACGTTAGCTTTCGCCGAGCGAAAAAGAAACCGAAGTGAATGGAAAGGAAGAAAGGCGCCCCACTTCTTCTGCAGCGTCACCTCTAGGAAGTTATAGAAGAGGTTGGCCCATCTCGCCCGAGCTACTACGGTGCTTACAGCCCCAGTGACGAGCGTCGCTTGCTTGACGGCAGCCTTTGACTCGTAGCGGTCGCGAAATGCGGTCTTGTCCATACGGGCGATGGCCTTCTTGCCTAGATCAGCATGCGGGTTGACGGGAAGGTCGATCTCAATGTCCGACGACCGGAAGTCCTCGTCGGGCACGAAGTCGTCTGGGAAGTGGGCCATGGCGTGGGTGATCGAGGGCCTCGATTGTTGACAGACTGTGAGAGCGTCGCAGTGTGAAAGCCCCCGGACCAGTCCGACGACTGAGGTTCAGAAACGAGGCTGTCGAAAGAGGCCCGCGAACGTGAAAGTAGAATGGTGCTTGTGCAGACGACGCAGACAAATTGTGACTCTGAGTGTGTGTGTTGCGCAGCCCGTAAGCGAGACCCCCGGGGCAGCGTGCGACCGTTGGTGGTTGGTGAGGTTGGGAGGTGAAGGGGAGTCTCGACGGATGAGGAAGTCACGATAACGAAATGGACGACGCCACGCCCTCCTATTGAAGCGGAGGGAAGACGCGTCAACGTCTGAAGGGCTCTTGATGACGGAGAATGTTCGACGGGGGTGCTCAGTTTGGGCAGACGCAACAGAGAGACCAACGAAGAGGATGATGAGCGAGGTGGCCTGTCGGGGCGAGGCGATGGGAAAGACTGAGGACAGAGAGCACACCGCGCCGAGCGATGGCGCCGAGGTCTGAAAGGGAAGAGCAGGCTTCGAGGAAACTGAGAAGGTTTCCCCATGGCGCCAGCGCAGCTTCACAAGCCCCTACAATAAACCCACCCGCAAGGTCACACATAGACTCGGGTTACGACGAGAGGATATATTCTATACACTAATCGTTCGAGGCCAGCACAAACTACTGGGAACTCCGAGCCTGGTTTTTAGAGGAGAGCCCTCCTTTTTTTTAGATTCCCCTAGAGAGGCTTGCTTGTCCTAGCGTCCACGATACCGTGCTTCCAATCACTACAACAGCATCGCTAGAGCTTGAAAATGATTGTACGCCTTGCCCAGCAACGCCAGGAACGGGTGAATGTTCATGGTTTCCCTCACACCCCATGAAGTTGTTTCGCCATAGTTCTGACCAAAAACGGGTACAGAACTAGGCCCGCACGCTGACAAGCGAGCATCCGTGAGGATAGAAGGATTGGACTTCATGATGAGCGTCGTTGAAGCAGCTTGTTTTTCTGCCCCCTCGGCTTCGCGGAAAAGGTGTTGATCCGCGGCGCGAACTTCGGTCAAATTGGCGGTCGGACAGATTAATGGCCTCACCGCGAAGGCGATTCAGCGCTCTCTCACCGTCAATCAGCAGCTGCAATCACTCTTAAAAGTGAGCGGTTGAACGACAAGCCTTAAGCAAGCTATCTAGATCGTGTTGAGGAGCAGTACGGTGATACTGAAGGGAGCATTGTTGTTGATGCAGCCCGTTGGGTAGTGTCGTTATGATAGGGTTGCCACCATGGATATTCTGTGATTGTCTCATCAGCGATCGACTGCGGAAATGGGAGTACTTTCATACTAGCAATAGCCGCACGAAACGGAGGGTTTGGCTCTCCACCATACAAAATAAGTTGATTGGTGATAGAACTACCACCAGCCGAGCCTCCCCAGAGAACAACTCTGGCGGGGTCGCCTCCAAAAGCCCTAATGTTCCGCCGAACCCAGTTCAAGGCGGATCGCTGATCGAGCAATGCTGCATTCGGCGTACCATATTTCCGTATCTCGGAACTTGACAAGAAACCAAGTGCTCCGAGGCGGTACTGGATTTGCACGTAGACTATCCTTTCCTGCGACTGGGCAACGAAAAAATTGACAGAGTAGCTGGTAGAATTTCCTTGCGTATAGCCTGCGCCTGTGTTAGTATGCGGACAGCTTCAAAGGAGCGTGTCAAGTTGAAAGCCATATATCAGTTACCTCCGCCGTGAATCTGAACTATGACCGGCAGACTCGTGTTCGTCGGGACGGATGGTACGATAACATCCAGAAGTAGGCAGTCCTCGCTACTGACTGGGTTATTTGCTGGTATGGATGACTGCCATACAGGAGATTGCTGCAGACACTGGGGTCCAGGGGCAGTGGCATCCAAGACCTGGCGGTTAGAGTAGTTGTTCCGCTTCTCTATATTAACCGGTGGTTGCCATCGTAGTCGACCTGTTGGCGGAGCGGCATAGCGCAGACCATAGTAAGCGGTTATGCTAAAAGCATGATCAGTGAATTCCCGCCTGAAGACTCTTACACGAAGGAATCCTATATCAAATGGTAGAACGTACCCGGATTTATCATCACGGATACCTTCGTACTGCGCATAGCCTAGGTCGACGATGGGCGTAGAGCTGCCGGTAGCAGCTGTGAATGAAGCGAGGGCAAAGACGGTAAATTTTGCTATCATGGAGAGGATCATTGCATCCGTAGGTAGTTGAAGGACTTCTCGGGACCGAAGCAAACAGTTATATTGTATTCAAGGCCGCTACCTCAGTGTGTTGAAGGCCCGGCGGCAGCCTGCTAATGGATGTAACTCTTACACCACCTGCTGTCCTGTTTCACACACAACATCCTCGAACAATCATTGGCTTAGAACGCCGAGAAGACGCGGTGGACGCGTCTTCAATCCTTCAGCTTCTAATCCAGCAGCCCGACGTACGTTGGGGGCCGTCTGCAGACCGCCCATTGGATGCGGCCAGGTGGTATACACAATTTCTGGAAGCCGGCATCTATTTCGCCAGTGCCCAGGTGCAGACATCGTCGTACTCTCTTCGAACCTGAGTTGTAGGTGTTGTAGAGTGCGTAAGGTATCTACTAACGTGCTACCTAGGTACTACGCTGTGACGAGCTACGGCACATTTTTCGGTACAGGACCGCAGCCCCACAAACCGAACTCGGCTGCCAACATCCCAGATATGTGCGAACCAGAAATGACCTCTTCTTTGAAGCTGATTCATTCAAGCGGGAAGCCTACATTCGAGGCGCTATGCGATCGAGGATGCCAAGTTGCTTCAAGACATTGCAAGTTCGGCATTTATCATGACTTATTCGAGTGCTCTATCAGATGTCTAGCTGTCTATCGCATTACCCGCAGTCGAACACCTAGTCCTCCAGCAAAAACCGCAGGAACGCCGAAGCAACAGCAACTCCATCATGCCGATTAGCAACTCTGCTCATCGCCTCTTCGAAGGCTTTGTCGTCAAAGATGCCCTGGTTATGGCGCGTCTCCAACAGCTCAGTAACTATGTCTCGAGTGAACTCCGGATGGCCTTGGACAGTGATGACCCTCCCCTTCCTGTACATGCCTTGCACTGCACAGCGTTCGGTGTATCCTAGCTCTTCCACTCCTGGGGGGTAGTCATATACCATGTCCTTGTGCATCTGGTGGATCATCTGCAGCCCGGTCAGCTGCGTGTTCGTTCTGAGATCTGCGGCGGACTCACGAGCTTATCAAGCTTGAACAGGTCCTTCCCCTTCTTCGTTAAGTTCACCGGTGTGACAGAAGTCTCCCAACCTCTGTCGCTGCGGTCAACTCTGACACCCATCGCGCGGCCAACGATCTGGTGCCCGAAACAGACTCCGATAACGCGGATCCGATCTTGCTCTTCCAGTAAATGCCTGATGAACTCCACGAGCTTGACTATCCACGGCACATTCTCGAAGGAGTTGTGACCTGCGTCTGATATCAGAACCTCAATCTCAAGCAGCCAGGGCATTCATGTCCAACTTACGAGATCCAGAGATCAAAACCGCATCGATGTTCCCCAGCGTTGGGTACCTCTCCTCATTCACAACATCATACTTCGTGATATCAAGTCCCTTCTTCGAGGACACCAGATCCGGCTGACCCAGCGCATCTGCGCCAGCCTCTAACAAACTCTTGAACACGCCGCCGTACCCGCCATACTTGGATTTCGTCCGAGTTAGAGGCGTGTCACACTCGAGGATTGCTATGCGGAGCGGCGGCTTCATCTTTGATATAGGGAAATGGGTTTGTGAGGACTGAAACTCATGCTCACGCCCCGTGTCGACTCATTCAACATTTCGTATTCGGGTTGCCGAATGCGGAAGCCGCCTTATCTTATCATCGTGACGTGCAGCTCGCCACGTGCCAGCTTCCGAGAGGGCTTGCCGGCTTCGGCATCTTCTAAAAATGGTTGTCGAAGTGTTCGCAGCATCAATAATCTGATACGAGGCTTGCAAGTATATACGACTAAGGGCTAATTGCGGTCCTCTGTGCAAAGTGTCGCAGCAACGAGCTGCGCGGCACCGGAGTCGTATCACCGCAGTCCTTTGCACTAGAGTTCTAACGGCTTCTGGAGACAAGCAGCCAGCCGGCCTGCCTTACAACATTTCGCGCGTGTGCAAAGGACGCTGTGCCTGGCAACGACTGCACGTCTTCTCCAGCCTGGCCGATCACAGATCCCCACAGCCCACTAATCATACGGCTCCATCAACTTATTCGTCTCCACCCCCTCCGCAAAGCCCTCAATAACCGTAGTATGACACCACGGCTTAATTTTCACCTCCTCCCTAATAGTCTTCGCAAAGCAGCCACTCCAGCCCTTCCTCGGGTATGCCTTGACAACATCCTCGATCGTCTCCTTGTGCACCAGCTGCGGGTTCTGTCCCATATTGTCGAACACCGTCGCCAGCTGTATGAGCTGGCCGACCGTCGAGATCATGCCCGTGTCGCCGAGGTCCTGATGCCGGATGATGGCCTCGCAGACGCTCTCGGCTTGCGGCTTCGGGGCCCCGCACTCGTTAAGCAGGTTCAGGGAGAGGAAGCCGCCGTAGAACTCGAAGGACATGTCGGTGGCTTTGAGGTTGGTGGGGGTTGTGCCGATGTCGTGGAGGAGGCAGGTCAGGAAGTACGTTTCTGTTGAGGGTGCGAAGTGCTTGAAGTGCTGCTTTACTAGGGCTTGGCCTGATTGGGGTCAGTGACTGGTAATCGATAGAAGGCAGTGGCTGCTACCATAGTAGAAGACGCGCATGGAGTGGTTGTAGGTCTCTTCTGGTAGGTTTTCCTTCGCATACTCGTGGACTTGGTCAACTACAGGCGAGGATGGCAGATCAATGTCGGACACCTTGATGGGCTCGGCCTCTTTGGGCTTGGCCTTTTCCAGCAGGACGCCCTGAGAGCGAGGTACTGCGGTCCAGCCATATTTGTCATGAGAGTCTGACATTCTGGCAGTTATTCTTTGATTACGGCGGGAGAGTTTGAGGAGTCCGGACGCGATACAAGTAATAATGCAACGCTGAAATGCGAGATGACAGAAGGTGATGGTTCACGTACGAGAGAAGAGACTTTTGATAATGAAAACACAAGCGCCAGGTCACGTAAGAGTACCAGTTCTCCAGATGAACCTAACCGTCACCTCTTCAGAATCTACCGACCTCGGGAGCATTCTGCCGTGGCAGCCGTCAGCGCGGGGCAGGCACCCCCCATGATCTGCCAGGAATCGCATCCATGCCTACGGCTGATTACTCATGCAGCACAGGGCTGCATCGCATCGAGCCGATCCGCTTTTGCGAGCACGCTGCATCGTTCCGGCAAGTGTTTCATGTTGTTGTCGCGTGCTCCCACTCGGAAGACGAGAAATACACCTAGGCGACTTCGCGCAAGCTGACGCACTTCGATGTCGGCCCCGTATCGCGACACTTCGTTCTAGAGTATTGATCCCTAAGCTACAATGTCCTCAGAGGGAAGGCTCCGAACATGGTCACTGTCCGCCTTGGAGATTCTCCAAACGCAATTGCGCTCTGATCGGAGCAGCCTCCGAAAGAATGGGGGGCAGTGCATGTCCAGTAACCCGACTGCTTCTCCTCTCGCCGGAGACGATCTCTTGGTACTCTTGTACCGCAAGGAACGGTGATAGGCATCCCGCGAGGCAGACTCACAGTGCACAAATTACACCTTCGTACTGAGGGTAGGATGATAGACTGAGAGGCTCCCACGCCCCAAGCCGTCGATCCTGCTCTTAATGGGAGGCAACGCTGTACAAAGGCTCAACTGGCAAAAGTAGCGCTCTTGACTCAGGCACCGATTCAATCCCACGAAGCGCCGTATTGGGGGCGCGTGGGTAAGATTGAGCCTGAAGGGGCTGGAACTACGTCAAATTACCGCAGCGACCTCTCCTGGGGGATGCATCTCCGAGCTCGGTTTCCGCTCTCAACGCGTGAAACTGCGAAGCGCGCAAGTTTTTAATTGATATTCGCGACTCACTCTCTCCTTGGTCCAGTGGCTCTGAGAGTGCTTAGAGCGGGTTGACGTCCAGTAAAAGCGGCGCCTGTGCGGTTTTTACAGCTCTTACATAAATCGGTGTTGATAGGTTGAGTCCGTAATGAGAAGCTCAGCACCAATTGAAATGCGGTCAAACACCACGTGCGTCAAATTCTTGGCTTCTGATCTTCGAGACTGATTCTTGACTTCTCGAAGCCAAGTCCGCCCACTGGGGCGTTCCATGCCGCCGTCGTCACGAAAGCCGCCGTCCACTGCACTGTTACAAGTGACGTCTCTTTTATCCCGAGGCTGGGACGACGACGACCCATCGACTGCTCGCCAGTACAAGAGAGGACGAAAATCTATCCCGGATGTGATTTATTGAGTGCGTCCCTTAGATCACTCTGATCTCACGAGCAGCGGGTTGATCCTGGTAACAACTCATGATGGAGTATGTTGGAGAGAGTCTGTTGGTCCTCCTCGCTGGGACGGCCACTCGAAACCGGCCACCTCTTCGGCGCGGGCCTTGACACTGAACGAGTTAAGCGGCATCCCACTGTGCCAGGTGCAGCATCTGTGCCAACCAAGCAGCGGTGGCCCCCTGTCGAGCAAAAGTCAAAACATGCTGCAACAGCTGCACTGCCCCAAATGTTGGCGCCAAGGAAATGGGTTGCTGTGAGCGACGCCGTGAATGCTGGCCATCTTCCCATCAACAAGTTTTCCATTCTCCTGCATCCGGGACTATCGAATTCTGTCTTGCCTTCCCGTCCCTCTTTCGCCCTGTTAAATCTGCTGCTGCCACCGAAATCGGCGTGACCGGTTAAGTAATCATACTTTGTGCAGCTTTGGCACAGCCACCCATCTCCTCCTTACGGACCGGACAACGGCAAGAGGATCTTCTGACCTCAAGACTCCAGAACCAAGGCGAACAAGCAACGGTGAATGTGTGCATATTCCTCCCCTTGGCATTACGACATTTTGGTCTCTGTTCCATCGAGATTTCCTCTACGATTTCACAACAGCTCTTGCGGCGCGGCACAGCCTTCCTGAAGAATCTCACGCTGGATGAGCGGTGGAGGCGAGAGCGAATCGCGCTGGCAAACAGTTTTCGGAAGTTGGCTAATTGCCCCAGCGTAGCGCAGTTACCCAAACTACATGATACGCAGTCGCCTTCAGTCGGTACCTTCCTGCGCATACGGTTGCCACGATCAGCGCAAACAGACAACGCATATCGCCGCTTCCGTGCTGTCTTCCTTACTCTTATAATACATCCGAAACGCACGAGAACCTTGTCACACTAGATATCCAGCCGCGACGTCCGTCACAAGCATCGACTATCGCTGCAGCTTCTTAGCAGTCAGCCTACCGATTATCCTTGCACCTACATACAGCCTCGCATCCTATCGCGCAGCCTAGCCCTTAGGCAGCAGTAGACATGGCCGATGCTCCGGGCCCCGATGGGCTCAGGTCTACGTCTCCAGGCCCTACGCGCAGGGCACGCGCTCCTACCATTACCATCGACACATCTGCTGTCAACAGCCCGGTTATGGACGACGACCACACCGTTTCGCGACCGCAGTCTCAGTTATCACCAACGGAAGCACGCACAGCCAATTCGTTCGACAGCAGAGATGAGAGGCCGACCTCGCCACACAATGTTTCGTCTCCGACATCGGGCTTTGGGAATGGGCAGCAGAGTTTCCTCGCCGTGCCGGGAACCCACTCAAGGGTGAGCTCCTTGGACTCCTCTTCGGAAAACAGTCAATCTACCACAAGTGCTGGCGATACATACGTAAACACGCCTTCGCCAACCTTGCCGGCCAACACACCGAAACGAACTGAGGGAGGACACGGCGAGATTCTCAGCGACGAGGACGCATTGAAACCGGATCCCGGCACAGAATCCTACTTCCAGGTTGAAGATAATAAGTTCGCCTTCTCGCCAGGTCAGCTGTCTAAGCTTTTCAATCCCAAGAGCCTCGGCGCCTTCCACGCCTTGGGGGGCTTGGCTGGTCTTGAAAAGGGATTGCAGACCAACAGGAAGACTGGATTGAGCGTCGATGAACGGCACGTCGATCGCTATGTCTCGTTCACGGAAGCTACTGGAGCGGCCGCGACCCATACCACTAATGGACACATTGCGGAGAAGATCGAAAAGAGTGGCACAACAGCGAGCGAGCCCCACAAGCAGTCTTCAGACGCATTTGCCGACCGCAAGCGTGTATTCAGTGATAACCGTCTGCCAGAACGCAAGCCGAAGAGTATTTGGGAGCTCGCCTGGATAGCTTACAACGACAAAGTGCTCCTCCTCTTGACTGGCGCTGCTGTCATTTCACTAGCGCTTGGGCTTTACCAAACGTTTGGTCAAACCCATGAACCAGGTGAAGCTCAGGTGGAATGGGTCGAAGGTGTTGCTATCATGGTCGCTATCCTGATTGTTGTTGTGGTCGGCGCTGTCAACGATTGGCAGAAGGAGAGGCAGTTTGTGAAGCTCAACAAGAAAAAGGAAAACCGCACCATCAAGGTCATTCGTTCCGGAAAGACGCAGGAAATCTCGGTATACGACGTTCTGGTGGGTGATGTTTGCCTGCTTGAACCTGGTGACATGGTCCCTGTTGACGGCATCTTCATTGACGGCCACAACGTCAAATGCGACGAGTCCTCAGCCACCGGCGAATCTGATCTCTTAAAGAAAACCTCAGCCGACGAAGTTTACCGAGTAATAGAAGCTCACGAGGATGTCAAAAAGCTGGACCCGTTCATCATTTCAGGCGCAAAGGTTTCTGAAGGTGTTGGGTCCTTCCTGGTAACGGCCACCGGCATCAATTCAAGTTTTGGAAAGACAATGATGGCGCTTCGCGAAGACTCCGAGGTCACACCGCTGCAAGCAAAACTCAACAATCTTGCAGAATATATTGCCAAACTCGGTGGATCTGCAGCGCTTCTTCTTTTCGTGGTCCTTCTCATTCAGTTCCTCGCGCATCTTCCCAACAATGACGCCACACCATCCGAAAAGGGCCAGAATTTCCTCAGAATTCTGATCGTCGCGATCACTGTGGTTGTAGTAGCTGTTCCAGAAGGCCTTCCGTTAGCTGTTACTCTGGCACTGGCGTTCGCTACAACTCAAATGTTGAAAGATAACAATCTCGTCCGTCTGCTGCGTTCATGCGAAACCATGGGTAATGCCACGACCATCTGTTCAGACAAGACAGGAACTTTGACGCAGAACAAGATGACAGTCGTCGCTGGCGCCCTTGGCACTGTGTCACGATTCGGTGCTCGTAAGCCCCGAGCAGAGAACGAGGAGATCAACGGCAAGTCTACTTCTGGTAACTCCCAAGACAGCATCGACGATATGTCACCAGGGGATTTTGCCGGTACGCTTAGCCCTGACGTCCGGTTCCTCCTCGAGCAATCTATTGCCATCAACTCTACTGCTTTCGAAGGCGAAGAAGACGGCAAGCCCGCATTCATTGGTTCAAAGACAGAGACGGCACTTCTCAACTTCGCTAGACAGAATTTGGGCATGGGTCCTGTGAGCGTTGAACGAGCAAATGCTAATATCGCTCAATTCGTCCCCTTCGACTCCGGCAGGAAATGCATGGCTGCTATTGTCAAGCTGGAAAACGGCACGTATCGGATGTACGTCAAGGGTGCGTCTGAGATTGTTCTTGGCAGGTGCAGCACCATCATTGCAGACGCGACAAGGGATGTCTCGGCCAAGCCCATGTCACCGGAAGATCGCGAAACGCTCAATGGTCTCATCACAAGTTATGCTACTCGGTCACTTCGTACAATTGGTTGTGCTTATCGCGATTTCGAGCAATGGCCGCCTAGGGGGGCGAAGACGATGGAGGGCGAAGCTACGATGGTCGACTTTGACAGCATTTTCAAAGACCTAACATTCCTCGGTGTTGTTGGTATCCAGGATCCGCTTCGTGATGGTGTCCCCAAAGCTGTCAAAGATTGTCAACGGGCTGGTGTCTTCGTCCGCATGGTTACTGGTGACAATGTACTTACGGCCAAGGCAATCGCTGAGGACTGCGGCATCCTTGTACCTGGCGGTCTCGTTATGGAAGGCCCAACTTTTAGGAAGCTCAGCAAGAGGGAGATGGATCAAGTTATCCCTAAGCTGTGCGTTCTCGCTCGATCCAGTCCCGAGGACAAGAGAATTCTGGTCAGGCGTCTGAAAGAACTTGGAGAAACTGTTGCAGTTACCGGAGATGGCACGAACGATGCTCCCGCTCTCAAGGCCGCTGATGTCGGATTTTCTATGGGTATCGCCGGAACGGAAGTCGCTAAGGAAGCCTCTGCCATTATTCTCATGGACGACAACTTTGCCTCCATCGTCAAAGCATTGCTTTGGGGCCGCGCCGTTAACGACGCGGTGAAGAAGTTCCTGCAGTTCCAAATCACTGTCAACATTACTGCGGTCTTCCTCACCTTCGTCTCAGCTGTCGCCAGTTCTGACCAGTCGTCTGTTCTCACGGCCGTGCAATTGTTGTGGGTCAATCTCATTATGGACACATTCGCCGCGTTGGCACTTGCTACAGACCCCCCGACTCAGGGTCTGCTGAACCGGAAGCCCGATCCCAAGTCTGCTCCTCTTATCACACTGAACATGTGGAAGATGATTATTGGCCAGGCTATCTACCAATTGGTCATCACCTTTATCCTTCACTTCGCAGGAGCGCGTATACTTTCGTATGATTCTCCGGAAGAGCTGGAGCAAATGGATACGCTTGTGTTCAACTCCTTCGTCTGGATGCAGATCTTCAATCAAATCAACAACCGGAGGCTTGACAACAAATACAACATCTTCGAAGGGATCCAGCACAACTACTTCTTCATCTTCATCAACTGTATCATGATCGGCGGTCAAGTGATGATCATCTTCGTTGGTGGCCGGGCCTTCAGTGTCGTCAAACTCGGGGCCACGCAGTGGGGCATTTCCATCATCCTTGGTTCCCTCTCCATTCCAGTCGGTGTCATCATTCGCACGATCCCTGACGATCTCATCCGCCGATTCATTCCCGACCGTCTGAGGCCCAAGCCAAAACCTGTTACTGTGTCCGACGACATGAACTGGGCAGACGGCGTGAACGACATTCGAGAGGAGCTTGCTTTTATCAGGAAGATCCGCGGCGGCCGTTTGAGCAGTCTGAAGTTTAAGATCCAGCATCCCCGCACAGCTTTCGGTCATTCCCACAGCACTATCTCCATTCCATCAACCCCAGTGCCTGAGGATGGACCAACGGCTCCTGTGACTCCTGAAGCACGTACTCGCAAGCGAGGACGGTCCCGGTCCAACTCCGCCTTCGGCCCTGCCGCTGCTATGGCCGGTATCATCGCTGGCAGCGTTGCGGGTGGTCTTTCTCCCATCGGAGCGAGCAGCCAAGGTGATGACAACGATTCACTGAAGTTCTCCCGCAACCTGAACAAATCCGAGCTCGAACGCGTTCCAGGCGTCGATGTTCACCCGGAGACAAACCCCAGGGATCCGGTCCTCGTGCAAGAGCCGCTTCGCCAGGGTGTCGCGCCCAGTCAGTCGGTAGAGACCACCCCTAATTTCATTGCTGGACCTTTCGCTGGCGAGCCGAGGATGGAGCAGCCGAAGGAGAAGGATGATACCAGGCCGTGAGGAAGTAAGAAAACCTTCACGCAGGGGCTAGCTTAGTTGGAAACGTGCTGGAATTCTGTCGCTTACTGCCCATCCCATCGGGCTACGGAAGCGGTCGCTTCAGCAACCACGGAACCACCACTGGGTAACACCAGGCCCGGAGCCTTCGCCTAGACTCTCACCAGACTGCTAATAGAGGCGGACGGCGTTCACCCATCCTATACCCCGTTCCTGTACATTCTTGATGCCCGCGTCGAGCGTGCTGCATTGCTTGGCGCTGGGGGGAGTACGAGCCAGCCAACGATGGTGGTTTCTCTGTTTTTTTTGAGTTGTCCCTTTTGTAGTATCAAGAGGGTTTGCAGGCTTTTATACGTGGTCCTTTTGTAACTTTACAAGCGGCCAATACAGTCGTTGATACACTGGCTTTTTCTCTTCTCTGTCGGAGCTGAGGCGATGGGTTGTGCTGTGTTCGTTAAGTAATAGGCGTGTATCAGAAAACAACATGGCACTCGAGAATGAAGTGCGCCTTTTCCATACCTACTCGCTGTGCCGTGCCTAAGAGTGAGTCCTAACTAGCCTTCTCCAAGGACTTCAGTCGGCTTGCAAACGCTTCGCTTAGGTCTTTACCTATAGCCAGTCCTCTCCTGAACTGCCGAATCCCCATTACCATCAAGATAAATCTCTCAACAACCTCGAAGCACACGCGCCGTTCTCTCGGCCTCGCCTTCTGTCTGTGCGTCCGCTCACACAAGTCTTTTCATACAAGCAATCCCGATGAGGACTTAGGAACTCGCTTTGTACAATTCTCGGCCCCCAAGGTCTGGATCTGCTCAAAACTTCATCATCGTTGGCATGTTCCAAATGCAGACACATCACATCAGGCACCATCGATTGATGTGACGGATGCTGAGACGATCAATGCCCGGCCAGATGGGGAAGGCCTGTTGTTATTGTCGCGATGCTCATCACCATCGTAGGGTTCATTACTCATGGGCTAGGAACTTAGGCAGAGAGACCCTTCTGCGTTCGTGTCCGTTGTGGAAACATGGAGACATTGTGTCTGGCAGACGGTCCGTGGTGTTCTCGACCGACCCATCTTACGTATGTTGTTGTTTGACTGAACTTTGCTTAGGATGCGCACTATCTACATTTTGCAACTAAACCCGATGCCCGCTACGCAGTAAAAGGCCTTGGAGGGGTTTGGTGTAGTAAGGTAGATATTCCATGTATAAGTCTTTCCCATTGATTTCAGGAATACTGCGGAATACACGGTCACGATTCTATCTATAGTTTACCTCACTGCCTCTTTGTAAATCCTGGTTGGATGTTCGAGCGTGTTGCATCATCAGCGATGAGGTGCGACAAGAAGTAGGCGTCGGTTTCAGGTGAATCTTTGGGTGGTGAAGCATGGAATAGAAGACATCAGCAACACGAGTCTGCGGTCATGTAAGTTGCCGTAGAGCAAGCCTTTTCCTAAAGCAGAGATGGGCGTAGTGCAGTATCATGCAATGACACCTAGCTACTATCTCGTAACAGGTGCGCATATTTGAATATGGTCGACGGCTCTGAAAGGGACAAGAAGATAGCAGGAATACCACCGGATTGATAATGTATCCTTCTATCCCGCGTGGTCAATCCAACCAAATGACAAAAGTCTTAGACATAAAAGCACCTCAGCCACGCATACCCAAGCCACAAAGCTCAAACAAGATCGGATTGCCCTCAACGGCTAGCCAACCAATACCTAAGGACATATTAGCGGATCTCTGACCTGCACGCACGATACAATACTCACCAGAGTACACAATCAACTTAGTGACGACCTCGACGTCGTACCTCACACGCGGTTTCTCCAAGCTCAAGAACATCTCTTGTTCTTCCTTTCCGTCCTCCTGCTGGCTATCCGCGAAAACATCCTCGCTGCCCGCGCTGCCGCTACTCTCAGGCGGCGTAAGCGGTATGTCCACCTCGCCTGTGCCCATCATCTGCTCGTACAAGTGGACACATGACGAAGCTGGCGTGGGAAGTAGGTTAGCACCCGACGGCCTCTCCATGCTGCTGACAGACGGCGACTCCGGGCGGGATGGAGTTGAGGTGAAATAGTTGTTGCCGCTGCCGCTGCAAGTCTGCGGACCTCGAGCGAGGGGGCTGAGGGGACTTTTGGCATTGGGAGAAGAGAGGCTTTCCCTTCGTTGGGTTTGGCGATATGCTAGTGTTTCGTAGGCGTCGGCCATGGACTGAGGACCGATGGAAATTGACTTTCTTCGCGGATGGCTGAAGCGGGTGAGGAGCGAGGGAATCTCGTACGGTGAGGGGATGACATTGTCGTCTTTCCGGAGTGTGGGGACGATGGTGTATTGTCTATTATGCAATGTCAGTCAAGGCTATGCAAGGTTGCCAGGTGGGCGACTTACGATGCATTCAAGAAGAACTTCCGCGGAAGGCTCATGCGGAGCTGCTCGAGTTTCCGGAAAAGCGGCGGCAGGATCCGCAGTAACAAAGTCTTTACGGTACCTCTCCATCCAAAGATGATCAAAACACCAAGCAGGATCCGAACGCACGTTTTAGGCCACCCGATGGTATGGAGGTCGAAGGGGACTGTTCCAGGGATCGGCTCGTCGAGTGCGAATCTGGTGCCGGCGAAATGCCACGCGCCGGCCTGGATCCCGATAAAGACACCAGAGAAAGAAACGCTGTCGTCGAAGCAAGGGCAGTCGTCCGCCGGTTCAGGATGAATGCGTACCAGCACAAACGTGATCAACGTGGCTACCAATGGCCGGATATAAGAGCCGTCACAGATCCAGTAGTCGAACAGTTCTCCATAGCCCAGTTGCACTACTGACAGAAGAGCGCCCAGCAAGCTCCCTATCACCACGTCGAAGAAGCCGTGCATGCCACAGTAGAGTCTTCCAACGACAATCGATATGGCATACCAGTAGAAGGCAGCCTGTAATGCCAAGTGCACCATTGGACTCGCTGGGTTCTCTACAGCCCGTAAACAGTATATCGCATATACAGCCACTGACACGGCATTCGTAGAATGTGTCGACGGCCATCCGTATTCAAGCGCCGCGGAACCGGACATTGTGATGCGTTGCAGGGGGGGTGACAGCGGACGCGGCAGGCAGAGGGCATCTTTCATAAACCCGCTCCAGAAGACTCCTCCTGCAAGCACATGAACCATCCTGATCCACATCATCAGTAACCAGGGTTGTATATAACGCCGTAATGACCTACGCTCTGCCTAGGCTTGTGTATCCACACCAGAAGAGTATCGGCAGCATGACCATGAAGAACGTGTGAGTCCCGAGGTTGGCAGTGAGCGCGAAGTACGAGTCCAGTGCTGGCGTTCGCAGCTTCTCCTGCATGAGTGCCAGGTACGGAGTCTCCCGTCGTACTATAGGTATAAGTCGTTGGCGCAGGTCGTATCGCCATTTGGGTAATCGGCTGGCATCTAGATACCACAGAGCTCGTAAGCGGCTACTTCTTCATACTTGATTGCCCCCAGACTCTCAGGTACACGACGTACAGTGATCACGGTCCCTCATGCCCGCATCATATCGCTGCCCGTTCGGGGCCATGGCGGATGGCGGCACCGCGGTGGGCCGGAGTTCCTGGCTCTTTCGCGCCCCATTCGGTTTCTTTGACATGGGCGCATGCGGTCAGACACGGTCGCGCTGCTGCTGTACAGTGACTGAAGCATCGTCAACCTCTTAAGGAACTATGGCCTTTAGTTTGTCGCTAAACGGCGGTCGTGGTGAACCGCCCCGGCCAGGGCTGCGCACGCCGACCCGACCAAGCAACCCTGGATTTCGGCGGGGAAGGCGCGAAAAACGGGCTTTTCCCGGCATTTGCCTGGCCAACGAGATCCCAGATCGTAACAAGAAACAACACCACCCCGGGGCCCTTCCCGCACATCTTGATAATCTCATCCACCGTCCACTGTACGAGCTTGACACGAAACGCGCGCGACATATTCTCTTCATCTTCGCCGTGCATATTCATACACACGTAACTACTCGGCGAAACATCCGAAGCACAGCACATCCACCCTCCGCAACTCTCACAATGTCCGCCGTGCAAGCAGTGCAAAACTACGACTACCTGCGTCGCAAAGGCTCAGAAAAGTTCCCCTCGACGTCTGTCTCACGCAAGCCCGTCAGGTCACAGAGCGAGCGGCACAGCAACGGCACCGTAAACACCGTCAACTCATCGACCGCGGACGAATCCGTCGACACAACCATCACCGAGCCGCCCGCGTTCTCCAAGAAGCTGGTGGTTGTCGGTGATGGCGGGTGCGGGAAGACATGTCTCTTGATCAGCTACAGCCAAGGATACTTCCCAGAAGTAACGAGAACTCACAATTGTTTCCATCTTGACCTGGGACGCTGACTTCCTGAAGAAATACGTGCCTACGGTTTTCGAGAACTACATCACACACACACCTCATCCACCAACCGGCAAGATGGTCGAGCTCGCCCTCTGGGACACAGCCGGCCAAGAAGAGTACGACCGACTGCGCCCACTCTCCTACCCTGAAACCGACCTCCTCTTCGTCTGCTTCGCCATCGACTGCCCGAACTCGTTAGAGAACGTCATGGATAAGGTAAGCCGTCGCCTCCCCGTCTCCCTCCCCTCCCGCAACGAATCCCTGCTAACAACCCACCCAGTGGTACCCCGAAGTCCTGCACTTCTGCCCCACAACACCCATCATCCTCTGCGGTCTCAAGTCCGACCTCCGACACAAGAAAACCTGCATTGACCTCCTCAAGACCCAAGGCCTGACACCCGTAACCCCCGAGCAAGGCAAAGCGGTCGCGCAGCGCATGGGCGCCGTTTACATGGAATGCAGCGCGAAAGAGATGAGCGGAGTTGACGAGATCTTCGACACCGCCGTGACCATGGCCGTGGGCGACGAGTACAAAGCGTCACCGTCCCTGGGTGCTGCGGGAGGGTCGGGCGGGCGTGTATCGGCGGCGGCGTTCAGCAGCGGCAGCGGGAAGAAGGCCAAGAAGCGCAACTGTAGTATTCTGTGAGACGCACGTTGTTGCTATCGGGAGCTAAGTTTTACATGACAGTGACGAACGCTGGACGAGACCGACATGTCATGGCTTCGCTGTGGGACTTTTTCAGGGCGGCCGACTATAAGCGGTGGCTGGCGGGCTTCCTTCGTTCGCATGCATAATTTGGTTGTTGCTGTTGCTTTTGGTGGAGGGAAACATACATAGTGTAGGCGTTGAGGGAGGGCTATCTGGTGGGCTGGGCATCAGAAGGCCTCATGACCGGCCCACTTGGCTTTTGTTTGTTTTTATGACGAATAGAACAAGATGAAGATGTACTGCCCTTCTCCGTGATCGTCGTGATGCGCGCGCATGGGGTATCTTGTAATCACTCAAACTCGCTGAATGCCCTGGAAGCTCTCCGTCTCCTCTCACGCCTTTCCTTCCTGTTGCCCACTCGCTTTCCTCTCCCCACCTTCCCTCTCCTCATCCTGTGTCCCCGCTTCCGTCTCCGGCTCCTTCGCCATCACATTCTCAAACTGCGACCACAGCGCTTCGACAGAGCCGAACTCGTTCCCTACCTGGATCCTCCACACTCATCAGCACTCATTACCCCACCCAGTGTCCAGACCACCAGCAACCACCAACCACAGCAACACCTACCGCAATAACGCCCTCCAAGCTCCGATTCAGCTTGTTCAGATTCTGCAGCACATGCTCGAGGCTCTGGCAGCCCATCAGTCTCTGCGCCTCAAGCAGGCGCGGCCGAGACGGCATCGAAGGGGAGGGAAATGGCATTGGAGGAAGAGGGGGATCAACGGCACCTGTGCGATCTCGCCCACGAGCGCATCGCGCTGCTGCTCGAAGTAGGACTTCTCGGGCTGCGGGGCGCTGCCGTTCATCGAGGCCCGGTTTGCGCGCCTTGCTGGGACGTGATCTGGGTTGGCTACCTAGGTGCCAAGGTTGTAAGTAAACGTTAGCCTTAGCAACGTGCTTGGGTGCTCGCGGGGATACGCCGGCCGAGGGGCACAAGCGCACGTGACCTGGGTTGGAGGTTCATCTTGGGAACCGCGGCGCTGCAGGAACCGGGGTCCCGTTCCTCGCTCTGCTCCTTGCGCGTGGCTGAAACCGCCGTCGTGGTCCAAGCTTTGCTCTGGTCTCATGGGTTCGGCCTTGGTAGTCGGACCGGACGGGGGTAAGGCAGAATTCGCGAGCTGGTCACCTCGATAATATTATTTGGGTGGTCGTTGTCAGAATGGAGTAAGGAACAACGCTGAGGTCAGTATCACGGGAATGGCGAAGGGTAGTGTATCTCTTTGTTGAGGTTGCCGTGCTGGTTAGCCGATGGCTGATTCTCAAGACGCGGGTTGTTTAGCCGGAAAGGCGTAGCAATGTGCCGCTTGCTTAGAGTGATTATTTTGACTATCTTTAGAAAGAGAGGATAGGGAGAGGGAATATCACGAACGACGTTCAGATAGCATGAACATGTGACTACTCAGAAAGGTCTTTTGCGCTCGAGCTACCGTCTATGAATAAGTTCGGCGATAAAACGCCGGGCGGTGCCAGAATGCACATCGCTCCCGTTGACGCCGTGAAAAAGAAGCACCAGAGGGGCGCTGTTGACTCCCGCCCAGTATATGTGCATGATATGAAGTACAGTGGAACAGCCACCTGCCGGAAACACCATCATCCATCCCCAAGCTCATCAATGCACAAGTGGTATCTCGAAGAATTTGGCCGAGGCCTCGTTACAAAAGGAACTGCCGTCACTTGGCGTGTGGCACGTAGTCATGGCGTACATCCCACTGCACGTCTCGTCGGATGATCATCTCCTGCGAGTTGCCGCTGGTGATGCTCGCGTCTTCCCTTGGCGGGTCATTCTCGTGGTAGATGTTGGTCGTGTTCTTAATTTGCTCAGGGCGGAGTTGGCCCAGGGTTTGCGGAGAGCTGTCCTTGGTAGACTCGCTTCCCTTCAGCGAGCTCATCTGAAAGGACTGGCCGCCCTTCGTTCCGTTTCCGTATCCACGTGAGTTTGCCGACCCGTAGGGATGCGTGTTGTAGCCGACTTCCAATCCGAAGCCGGTGTCGAAGCTCTTGATGAAAGATTTCAGGCACGGAATGGTGGCCGCAATGAGCGAATAGCCGAGCTCTACTTGATGCCATATGATTACAGCAGAGTAAGCGACACCGGTGTTCTCATGGTTACGGTACGTGTTAACAGCGTTGAGGAACGCCAGGGCGAAGGCGGCCACACTGCGAGTGTCAATCGCTTGCACAGAGTAGGTTGGAATCGAGAGAACACATACGGTATTCTGAACGCGAATGCGAGTACGACACGGAGCTTGAGGTTGCGGGACATCTGAAGACCCCAGACAAGGTAAACCGGCAAAATCACGAAAAGAAGTTCCGTGGCAACATCCAGCGCTACAACAGCTTTCCACCGAGCAGCCTACAAGCGGTTAGTACTGATTTGCCAAACAAAGTTGGCAACACGTACGTAGCCAGGGCACTGCGAATCGTCCGTGAGCGGGACAAGGTTTGTGAGAGAGCAGCCGGCCGAGACGGTAATGATAGACGCCAGCGCCCAGACACCAATTAATCCCAACAGGATGGTGCAAATCATCCAGAAGTGTTTCATGTCCCGTGTGAAGACTCGTCGAATCAGCAGAATGACTGAGCACTTTGCTAGCGCTAATGCAGCGATTATGAGAATCTGGCTGGTGTAGGTAGCCTGTACTAGCAATCAGCTTCCTCCGTTGGTTCGCATGGGCGCAAAGGTGGACGAACCTTCGAGACTACCGCATACTCTTCACTGCTGACGATGGAAGTTGATTTTCCAAGTCCGTGGGATAGTGCAACAAGCACCGAGATATACTGTCCTAATGCGACCACCTAAATCCGTTCAGCAAGGTTCCTCTTCACCCCTCACTGCGAGTGCATCTTACTTGAGCCGCTCCCATTGCCCAATCGTCGTCGCCTAGCATGTTCCATTTGATGCCAACCCTCGCGCCGAGCGTCAGAATCGAGTATGTGAGGGCGAGGAAGACGGTGATATAGATGATGCCGCCATGGTCATCCGGCGTGATAGTGGAGAACCGCTCGCCATCCAGCACAGGCAGGCCGGTTTCTTCAGACATTCTGTTCTATCGCATGCGCGAGTGTGCTCAAGGTATCGCTAGTTAAGTATCCTGAGCAAGGCGATCGGCGGTGAGGTAGTGTTCGCCCCTCCTAAACGGGGTATACTTGGGTATCGCGGATACGGAGGTGATGGTTTCGGAGTGTTTGCAGACGGTCGCATAGGCGTCCGAGGATATTGGAGTTTAAGAGAGTGACAATACAGTGCTTTAGTGGGCGCGGTACGGGAGAGAAGGGAGCAAATGAGGGTGTGGAGGAGGTAACAGAGTTCGGTGCGGCTCAGGTTCCCCGGGGGTAGTTTGTTAGTGCATATTGGGCGGACGACACAGAAATCGCGCTGATCAGCCCCTAACTCGGAGCACGAACCCAGAGACTTGGGCACGCCGTTTCTGCCACCATCGGCGCCGCGCCCGGCCTGTCAGTGTCAATTTTGCAGGACTGCCCCGCTGCCGACCACTGACGTGTCTGAGATGACTCTCCGGACCGTGGCTGACACATCAGATCGCGGAGACCAGACTCGACTGATGCGAATCGACGAATTTGCAGCCGCGTGCTGCCGGGCAGGGGCACGGCAGTGGAAGCGGGCTTGAGACGCTAGACATCCAGCCTTCCTCAAGCCGTGCTGCTAACAGAACGATTTGAACCTCGACGGGCTCGCAAGGCTCGAAGAAGGTGTACCCCTCAAAGCTGCCCGGGCCAGGTACCGTTGAGCTTGTGTGTCGGCCTCCAGCTCGGCAGCGGATACAATCTTGCAATGCCAGAGCACAATCTCAGTCATCCTGGAGTTCTCCAGGATGAACAGTAGAGGCCACCCGCAGACGGCCTGTAGTGAAACATTGCACACTCGGAGGCACAAATTCTTGATACACTTTGTTCCTTCCGGAGAGCACAGCGCCGGCGACCTGCTGCTCCTCCTCCTTCCCAGGCTTGTCAGCGCAATCCGGTTCCACGGGTGGTCTGCAGCAACAACCACAATCAAAAGCCATGCGCTACCCCGTCTTAGCAGCTTTGTCAACCCAGCCACGGCTTCAGGTGCATGCCGTTAAAACACTCCGTCTGCTTTGAAGCCAAACCCCTGCACTGATACTTCCACACATCCAATAACACCACGCAAATGCATCACTAGCGGATCGCGTGCGGGACGGGACTGGCGCTACTGCAGAGTCCGGCTGGTCGGTTCAGGTTCATGACATGAAAAAAAAGCTGTCTCTTGGCGAGGACAGGAAGGCAGCCTCCAGGGGTAAAGGCTGGTACGGCTTTTCATCCGACGAGGATCTGGAGGGTTTCTAAAATACACAGTCGGGCTCCATTATCGGGAAAAAGGACAAGCTTTATGAATCGAGTCCTTGCTCATCGAAAGGATCCTCAACATCAATTACCATTGATCAGCCTTGTCGATGTACCAGTCCGAAGTCTTGGAATGAACTGATGTCTCATCTTGCCACGTTCTCATTGCGTAGCTCGAATCCTCCAACTCGCTACGAGCCGCACGATGAGATCTGTGCCTGAAGCCGCTCCGCCGGGTCCAACCTTCGAATACTACATTCCAAAACCGGCATCACAATAACCTCCATCAGTGTGGAGTATCTATTGAAAATCTCGACGTCACCTTATTACAACGCGCCACTTTGCGCATCCACCGTTCATAGCCTGATCTTAGGGTTAAGTCTAATCTTATGGACGCCTCAACGCCCTTGGACGCAATTTGTAAACGGCGACGCGCAAAGCGACGAACAAAGCCTCCAGCCATCTTAGCCCAGGGGCTTCACGCTCTGGCCAGTGGGCAGTCATGGCGAAAAGGACCGTTTTCCAACCCAGACCGACAGCCGATGTGTCCACACGCGCAGTCCGGATTTCATTCCGCAGAGAGCAGGAATACTGTTGAGACACTCCGCGATTCATTATCACAGTGTGTTGCTCAAAAGCGCCGAATGCTGTCGGATCACCCCAGGGTCTTATTCAGTGGTTTCTCGAGCCGGGACGAGGGCGGTCCGACTGCGGCGTGTTCCTCTGGCGTTCCAGAAAAGCGTTGCGATGCTGCGTTCTTAGCGCTCGCGTGATGTCCGCTAAGAGCTCTTTATTATTCCCGATGAAGCCGTTGCACGTGCTAGACGATTAAACAACAACTCTGAGTGCATACTCATAGAATGGTAGAACAGTACTGTATTATACTCCCTTCTACTCTACACATTAACTCCATTAGATAACCTGCTAGCAATTAATACTTCTCTAAAACCTAAATGAACTTTGTTAAACATCTCTTCTGCAATAAGAGAGCTTTGCCCCTCTAGACACAGGACGTGATCTGTCCCTTTCAACGCCATCGGCAGGCGTGATGGCTGAGAGGTCGTGTGTCCTTCCGCCAATAAGACTCCAGCCGAAAGAGGAGTGCAGGATGAAGCTCGGAACAGGCTTGAGTGCATGGGCACCGCCTGGGGATGCGTCAAATCCCGACAAAAGTCGGACTGCTTCGCCCAAGCACTGCAGCGGCGCCTGGTTTCAGATCTTCACCAGCCGGCAGGTCTCCCAGAAGCGACACTGACAGCGGTTACTGCCTGCATCGGGTCCATTCGAGGTCTAGATGATTTTTGATGTTCCGCTCGATTACTCGATAACGTACGGCTCAGCGCCCTCCCCGAACAGCAGATGCGGCTTCCTTCTCGCCAGCTCCAGGATCGTCTGCGCAAAGACCGAGTTCGCCCACGCGAACCAACTCCCTAAGAAAGTCCGGTCAGTACCACAAACACGTGACCTAGGGAGTATAAGACTCGCAACTTACTAGTATAATCTCTCACCGTATTAACATTCACGCTCTCATGCACCAACCCCAACCCACTCGCCTTCTTCACAAACTCCAACGCCTGCTCAATCTCCGCATCATCCTCGCTCGTCATAGCCTGCACGAGCAAACTCATCGGCCAAGCATTCTGCAATCCTATATGCGGCCCCCCAATCCCCTGAAACTCCGCGCCCTTCAGGAAATACGGGTTCCCCGCCTGCTCCAGCACCATCCTCCGCGTGTTCTGGTACGTCGTGTCCTTCGCCGTGACGAATCCCAGCAGCGGCAGCGCCAGCAATGACGGCAAATTCGCATCGTCCATGATGATAGAAGAGCCATACCCATCAACCTCAAACGCAAATACGTGCCCGTACTTCTTATGCGTCACGACGCCGTGCTCCCAGACCCCCGCCGCAATCGCCTCGCCCCGTCTCTGCAGTTCCGCAGCAACATCCGCTTTCCCACCCGCAGCCCTAAGCATCGCGGCCGCGCGCTTGAGTTCCACGCTCATCATGGCGTTGGCCGGGATGAAGAAGCCCAGGATGGTCGCATCGTCTGACGGCCGGAAGGCGCTGCGGATCAGGCCCGTGCCGCCCGCGAGCGGGTTGCCGATGCCAGCGAGGTTGAGCGTCTCGGTGCCTGTGCTCGTCTGGCGCTGGAAGCGGTATTCGTTCAGCTCGAGCTGGCCCGTTTCCGAATTAAAGGTAGGCTTAGCTTGCTCGTCTAGCACGGCGAGGAGCGTGTCGAGGGCTTTGTACCACCGTGGGGTGAGGAAGGCGCTGCTGGCTGTGTGGGCGTGGAATTGGTTCGTGAGGCTGAGGAAGGCGGCGAGAGAGTCGAGCTCGTATTTGCATTCGAAGACGAAGGAGGGCTCGTAGGCGGGGTGGACGGTGTCTTCTTGGCCGTTGGCGGATGCGGCGAGGTTGCTGGGTGGGGGCGGCTGGAAGGCGTTGCAGTAGGGGGAGCCGATCACGTATTCAGCTTGCGTGTTTATGGCGCCGAGGATGAGGTCGTGGATTGCGGCGTCCTTTTTCGCGAGGGTTTGATATTGTGCGAGTTGGTTTGTGGAGTCGCGCAGCCATTCGGCGTTGATGTCGCCGGTGACGATGAAGCTTTGCGCGCCTTCCCATGCGTCTGGATCCTGTGCTGCTTGCCTTGACGTGTATCGCTTTTTGGCTTTCTTGGCCTCTGTTGCGTTGACGTGCCAGCGGACGGTGGTGTCTAATGTGTTGGGGAAGGCATTTTCGAAGATCCGAGCGAGGTCCTTGTCCTCCATCCGCTTGTCCATGTCCGATATCACCTTCTCCACCAGCGGCGATGAGAACGTGCGGCATTGCGGCGCGGGTCGCTGGAAGGGCAGCCTCAGTGGGCCGCTGCTATATGGGCCACTACAGATGTTTTGAGCAAGACTCGATTGAAACCACCCTAGTTTGCACTTACTGGGGGTACATTGAGTACATCTTGTAGTCCGGACATGCTGCTTGATATCTCGCCTGATCAGCCCTCTCGTTGAATTGCAATGCCTCCGGAGGTGAGTACGCATGCGCTCCGTGGTTGAGGATCCCCAGTAACACTAGTAGGTTGATGCCGGCAGGCAGTCCGGAGCAAAGTAGATGGACCATTCTGCTAACGGCAGGCAGATGGGGAGTAAACAAATTTTTACGCGGTGGGAACGACCGCGGCGCGCTTCTCCAGCTTCCAATGCTTTGCTATCCGTGGATGTTGATTACTGGTCTTGAGAGAGCCGAACCATTTCCCATTGTTCAGTCCGGTGTGGTGTTTTGGAGCTCTCGCGCTTCTGAGGTTGCGGTCGGATTACCCAAACAGGATATCGCGAGGACTGACGCCAGGTACGGTCCGGCAGCGGGACAAATCACCCACTACCATTAAACATCCGCTGTCCTTCTGTATATGAGCTTATCGTAGGCCCAGCTATAGCATGATCTCACAAAGGCGTCCGCATGATAACAAGGCGGGGAAGAGTAGCACAAGTTTGATCCCCGTGGATCACGCTGGCTCATATCACAAGGCATTCAATGGGGCACGCGACCAAGTATGAGACGTTTGTCCATCCTTGTGTGGTTTGCTGCCCCAATACTAATGATTACACGGCGTGCAGAGTGCTATAGTTCTCAGTTGTCTGCAGTACTAAATAGCACACCTCCCCTCTCCACTGGCTACCTAGCAAGTCAGTAGCGAACACCCTTCCCAGTGTCACACGGATGCTTAAATTTGCAATAAGCCTTCGCCCATTGCATGAATGCTATCGTCATTCGTGACCTATATCAAGCATTCCGTTAATGCAGTTCCCATCAATGCAAACGGCACGGGGTATCTAGAACCAGATTTTGATCAGCTCCTCACTGACAGCGCTCGGTGTGAGAACGCCGCTCTCGGTGATGATACCCGATATTAGGTCTGGAGGTGTGAAGTCCACTGCGTCGTCCAGTCCATTGCCCTTGTACTCCTCCGCGTTTACCGTCTTCCCCTCATCATCCACGCCCATGACGACCCCCTCGTCTACGTCCGCTAACACCTCCTTCTTCTCCGCCTTGTCAAGCTTGCCATCCCCTTCGACTTCGAACTCGATGACCTTCTGGTCGATGGGCAAGTCGTATTGACTTAGCGGGTACAGCCGCACAAACTTGTGGCTCTCCGCAACCACGTAGAAAGGCTTCCTCGCCGCCTTGGCCAGCATCCCTATCTGATACGTCCCCAATCTTGATATTATACCTCCGTTCTCAACCACGCCCTCGGCGCCCACGATCACCATGTCTATCTTGCCCAGCGCGTAGGCGACAGCAGACTCTGGTATTGTCGCTACTGGCACACCCTTGTGCCGTAGCATTTTAACAATAGCGTCGCCCCTGCTCTCACGGACCGATGTTTCCTGACCATGTGGAGAGCTCGACGACGGGTGCGAGATGACGTATATGACTCGAAAGCGCGTGCTGCTCCTCCCCCCGCTAGCTTCAGCCGCAGACCGCAGTAACGCGCCCACAACGCGACTTCCTCCATTCGTAAGCACCGTTGCCCCATCCCTAACAAAATGTCGGCCGAAGCTAGCGATCTTCTCCCTGCTCTCCTTCGCCCTCTCCACGAACAGTCGGCCATTGTTCAACAAATGATTCCGTATGGCGTCAAAGTTGCCGGGCCCGGCCGCAGGCCTGTTAAGCGTGGTAATTAGGTAGCGCTGGAAGAGATCTGTGCCGGCGGAGAGAGAGATGGGGTTCGGTATCGCGGCTTTTAGCTTTGCGGTGGATTTGTTCAGTAAGTCAAGGGTCTCGGAAATTGTGGATGCGGAGCTGGCGGAGAGGGCTTCGACAAGGGATTCGATGGCCGCGACGGGCATAGTGAGCTCGGGGTCTTCGTGGAGGAGGCGGCGGTAGGTGGAGACGATGTCGAATTCGGGGGTGGAGGCATTGTCGGTGGAGGATGTAGGCTCCGTCTCAATGATTGCGGGTACCATAGTGGAGGAGAAGGCGGAGAGCCTCCGCAGAGAGAAAGTAAGCGCGGAGAGGCCCGCAGTACGGTAGACTGTTCGTTACAGTGGGACTGCGAGAATAGAACTGGTATTGAGCTTGGTGCTGCCGAGGGGAGATCTAGGCTTCCATGGATGGTATCCTGTTTGGTTTTCGGTATCAAAAGGCTCCTATTCTTCTTGTAGGAGCTCAGAGGCTCCGAAGATACCGTGTATGTCCGCTGGATCGACGTGGGATGGGTGTTGCGTAGAGTTGCTAGTGGGCTATCATCCACGAAATTCGAGTCATGAAAATGCTTGGCTGCAACCCATGCAAACCTCCGTTTCGACACTCCGGACAGCACTTTGAGGACCACATCCTGCCACATTCGCTGCTCCAGCATGCCTCTACAATACCTGCGGACTCTATTGCGGCCTTTCATTGCCTCCAGCATCCCTCGGATAGCTTTGCGACTCCCGATAACATCCTCTACACCCTCCGCGATCCGACCGTTCTCCGCAACTACATCCCAAAATGCTACATACAACCAAGTGATGCGCGGCTGTCGCGTGGCGCAAAGAGCTCGGAAGGCAACATCACCTGCCCTGGTGGATCGGCCCGAGATGAAGGGCGTGTGTTTGAAGGTGGGCATTACGAAGCCTAAGAAGCCTAATTCGGGGGAGAGGAAGATTGCGAGGGTTAGATTGAGCAGTGGGAAGGTTGTCACTGCGTACATTCCCGGTGAAGGTATGTGCGACCGTCGGAACGCTGGCGATTGGGAATCCACGGAGCTCGTGATGTCCATATACGAGCAACATCCTAGCATTCGAGCGACGACGCGTGGCTGACACTCTCATTGCAGGGCACAATGTGCAGCAGCATTCGGTAGTCCTGGTACGAGGTGGCAGAGCGCAGGATTGCCCCGGTGTACGATACCACCTAGTGAGAGGCGCCATGGACCTGGTAAGTGTTCCAGGAGACTCCTTTAACATCCACAGGCGGAATACTGACCCACCGCTTGCAGGGAGGCGTTGGCAACCGGATCACGTCAAGATCGAAGTATGGAACGAAGAAACCGAAGTCAGCTTGAGCCTTCTGCGCAAGGCTGCTATTTGTACAGGACCGTTTTGATGTACCAAAACTTTAGCATGGACGGCGTTCGAAAGAGTTTCTTTTACCGGCCATGAGTCGGCCTGATGGTACCCGATAGCGTTCGGTCTTGTAAGTAGGTGGTAAGAGGGATGTCTGTGGATTTGGCTTCGTTGTCTGGGATACACTATGACAGACTACGACGCAATTCTTTGAGCTTCCGTCGACTTTGTAGCAGTGGCTAGCTTCCCTTGCTCACCTTTGTGGCATCGATCGCCCGTCAATGACTCTAAGTCATACCTTGGGCCTCTTGTTGAGTATTGAACGACGGGATTGTCTGATATTGTACCGGTTCCTCTTCCACAACCGCCCACCACCGTCGACAGAAACATGTACTACCGCACTTCGTCTTGATCTGCGACATGTGTCCGGCTCTACCAAGCTGCTTGTGACTTTTGTCCGTTATTCCACCTCTTTCAAGAAGTAGAGGACAATGTCACGTGCCTCTGTCTATTATTAGATGCGCCAAGGAAGCCTCATCCAACATCACGACCTGCATCCTTCTCCGCTAAGGACTTCCTTGGTTTGGCATGATCGACGTAGTGGAGTTATTGGAGGAAGCGGTCTACTAACTGTTCAGTAAGGCCAACGTGCACGCTCAATCCGCTTCAGATGTCATTGTTCTGCGGCCGGGCCGGATACAAGCCTTCCTGCACGTTGATCTTTCATGATCGAGCCATAACAGCTGTACACGTAAGGGAGGATGTTTGAGCAGATTGCGGGGAGAGTCACAGCCAAGAACGTCTCGTATCCGATGGTGTAGCAGCGACACTGAGACAACAGACTAATTGAGAGCGCCACGCTTCAATACGAGGGAACGGTTCCGCCGGTATTCCGAGCAGCACGGGAGCGACACGAGGCGAGCATGCATCGTGAAGTGCGGAGAGTATATATGAGTGTACGTCGCTGTCTACTTCGTGGCTGTTGAACATACTCCCTTGAGTGTTCGAATCTACTCATCGCCCTACCCTATCAATATATCGTCCAAGTCAGCCATGTATTCCATCCTTACTTTGGTGCTATTGTGCATGAGGTAAGATCAAAGTGTTGCTCTTCATACAAATGCTGATGGGAGTCATAGCGCCTTAGCCTCTGGCTATCCTGAGCCGACCAGATGGCATCCGAGGCCAACCAGGAGCTCCAGCTCGTAGGTCTTGCCCAAGAAACAGCCTTCCCAACTTACTCACCAGCAGCAGCTCTCTCCCCTGGGACGTGACCTGCCCGGCCAGCACTCCCTTCACGACAATCTACATCACGACCTACGAGACCATCCGCCCAACAACCGTCACCAGGACCTACGACGTGACTGAGATGATCACCCGCACGGTCCCAACCACGGCAACCATCGCTCGTACCTGCCCAAGCTGGTACACCGAAGTCGGCACTCCGGCTCCGTGGCAAACCTGCACCTTCAACACTCTCACTTGCACTACTTTGGCCTGTCTTGAGATCAGGACTCGTACCGCTGTCTGCCAGACTATCACGGATCCGTGCTGCACCAGGACGGTCACGGATACGCTGTATGCGGATTGCCCGACTGCGTGCCCGACTGGGTGTGGAGGGACGAGCTATACGACTATCACGCTGCCTTGCCCGACCACAGCGTAGAGGTGGAAGGTACTCCCCCTAGAATGTGGTGCTAGGTTGTTGCTTGTCTGGAGTCCATTGTCTATCATCCCTCGCATGCCTGAGCTCTCTTCTCGGCACAGTCGTATAATCTTGCTATTGAGAGGCCACTCGGCTCTTGCTGTGCTGCGTTGTCCAGATTCGCTGCTCGTTCGTATCCGCAATATAAAGAGCCGACCGGCTATTCTCGCCGAGCTTCGCGTTACTAATGGTCCATGCTTTGATGTAATTGCTTTTCGTACTCGTATCGTCCACTTATATTACGCGCAAGGGTACGGTAGCGACTGAAGCAAGAAGAAAACTTCAAGTTAGTAAGTGGTTCGCATGGACTATGAGCGTTATCGTTAGATTGAGTACGTAACTGTGCCGGCCGCACTAATTGCGTGAATGGCCCCAAAGTACTTGCTCTACGCTGCTGCTCTGATTACCCTATGGTAATGCGTCTCTATCGTACTTAGGCTTTCGAAGATAAGGCGGCGTTGGACATGGAATAAGGCACGGTGCAAGAGGGGTGTATTTGCGACATAGTAATACACTAACCTAATCTACGCTCATTTCGTCATGGCAATCTGATACCTCTAAGCCAACATGGTCGCTCGATCAGCTCCCGAGGGGCTCGTCTCGCTCGTTACACTTGAAGGGCTGATGCGTCTCAACAGATGTTCAGGTAGAGTCTAGATGCGACTCTGGTACCTTGTTCCCCACATTCCGAGGAGCGATCGCCGTGAGGGACGTTTGGCGCCGGGAACTCTGCGGCAGGAACCGCGTTGATACACAACCGCCACGACAGCCGAACCGCCTCGGACAGCATTTCCCCGAGCAACATCCCTGACTCTTCCCCACACTTCCCCAGGTCCTGGAGACATTGTTGTGAGGCATCCTTGCTAAAGATCTGCAAGACACAGCAGTTCTGCAAGGCCGCATCATACTGCTGCAGTATGCCAGCCTCATTCGGGTGAAAAGAGCTCAGGTACATGAGGAGCTCGGTGTAGAACGCTGTCATGCAGTTGCTCCCTGGGACTTCCCGCATCATAGCCTTTCTATGGATCTGTTTGAAGAGTAAGGATGGGTGTGTTTCCAATGTTGCATCAAGAAAGTGACCGGTTGTCTAAGCTTTTCATCTTCTCTCCATCATGATCATCCCTCTGTTCGCTGCGCTGTTCTCAGCTGTGCTTGCAGTTCCATACGAAGAATACATTCTTGCCCCTGACACTCGAACTCTCCGTCCTGTCTTAGTCTACCAGGTCAATGGCACCGTTACAGACGCTGAAGCTCTTACGGGCGATGAGCCAAATGGTGCCGTTTTCGATGGTCCCTCCGGAGTAACGTTTGACTATGGCAAGAACATTGCTGGCCTGGTTTACCTTACCATCGGGGAGATTTCCGACCCCGACCAGTACATCAGCATAACTTTCTCAGAAAGTTCTCTGTGGATCTCCGGAGAACGTAGTGATGGTACTGCGGACAGCGGCTTGGATGAGGCGCTGTATATCCGGCCCTCGGGACCCGGGGTGTACACGGTTCCGCGGGAGCGCGAACGTGGTGGTTTCCGATATCTGTCTTTAGCACACAATGGGACGGGGTCTGTAGAGGTGAAGGATGTCTATACGCACTTTACTCCTATGCCGCACTATGCCGAAGATCAGCTGAGGAACTATACCGGATTCTTCCACTGCGAGGGTAATAAACCAGTCTCTGTTCGCCTATGATACTCAAGGCTAATTGTTTCTCCTAGACGAACTGATTAACAGGGTGTGGTATGCCGGTAGGGGTCTCGTTACGCCCTTGTTCTGCTTTCGGAATGCTAAAGGTCTTGCCTAGGAGCATATACAAACCAGATGTGTACCATCGATCCTAGATACGGAAACGCACTTCCGTTCTTGCGCATCATCAACTCTGGCGACAACCTCACCACCCCTGTACCGTGGTTTAACAACTATACAATCACCAATAGGACATCCGCACTTGTTGATGGAGCGAAGCGTGATCGGCTTGTGTGGGCTGGAGGTATGTTTTTCTCGTTACCCAGTACAAGTCATCTTACCCAACATACGTCGACGCAACAGCACTACCTACTTCCGCTTACTGACATACATTAGACATGGCCATTGCAGTTCCTGCGATCGTCGTCTCTTACAACGACCTAATCAGCGTCCAAAACTCTCTCGATTCTCTGTTCGCCCTGCAGAACGCGAGCACCGGGCAGCTACCGTACGCTGGGCAGCCGTTCTCAGAGCTAGGCATATACTCAGCAACATATCACCTATACACATTGATCGGAGTTTCAGACTTCTATCTCTATTCCGTGAGAGACAGACCCCCCCACCTCCATGCAGCGACAGCCAGCTAAGCAACACAATAGGGCGACTACGACTATCTCACCTCCCTCTGGTCCGACTGGAAACGCGCTATGGCCTTCTCTTTGAGCTTCATCGACGACAGCAGCCTGATGAACGTTACCTCCCCCGCCGACTGGCTCCGCTTCGGTATGGGCGGCCACAACATCGAAGTAACTCTTCCTTTCCCTCCTCAACCTACCCTCCCCTTCCATCCGTCAAAAATTAACCCCCAGTTCCCAGGCAAACTCAATCCTCTACTACACCCTCAACGCCGGCCTCGTCCTCGCCGACGCCCTCAACGACACCACCGTCGTCCAAAACTGGACCGCCGCAGCCGCCGGCATCAAAGCAGCCGCCAACACCCTTCTCTGGGACGCCTCCGCCGGTATGTACCGCGACAACGAGACGACGACGCTGCACCCGCAGGACGGCAACTCGTGGGCCGTGGTATCCAACATTACGGACGAGCCCGCGAAGAACTTGGCGATCAGCCAGGGCCTAAGGGAACGGTGGACGCCGTATGGCGCCCCCGCGATTGAGGCTGCTGATGCAGTTAGCCCGTTTATCTCGGGGTTTGAGATCCAGGCGCATGTTAGAGCCGGGAATGCGACGAGGGGACTCGAGCTAGTGAGGCTGCAGTGAGGGTTTATGCTTGACGATCCGAGGATGACGAACAGGTGCGTGGACCACCAGACTCACATCTTGCATTACTGCCGGATTCCTGTGAATGAGACAAGCTGACGCACTTTCCTTTTTTTCGGGTTAGCACATTCATCGAAGGCTATAGCACGACCGGCGAACTCCACTACGCGCCCTACGTCAACGACCCACGCATCTCGCACGCGCACGGCTGGGCCACGGGCCCAACGGGCAGTCTCACTTTCCTAGTCGCCGGCATCCAGCTCGTGTCCGCGGGCGGGGAGACCTGGCGCATCGCGCCCAGCCTCGGAGATCTGCAGCACGTGCATGCTGGTTTCTCGACCTCGGTGGGTGCATTCGAAGTCGAAGTGCGCAAGGAGGCCGACGGCGCCGGATTCAGCATGAGCTTTGAGACGCCTGAGGGGACGGAGGGGGGCCTGAGTGTCGAGTATCCGGCTTGTAGTGGACGCATGGTGTTGAGGGATAGGAAGGGGAGGTGTGGGGATACGGTGGTTGTGGTGGAAAGTAATGGGGCGCAGGAGGGGAGGATCGTGCTCGAGGGGTTGGCGGGTGGGGAGTGGGAGGTTGCTTTTCAGTGTGAGTGATTGCGCGGTGATGCCCGAGTAGTGGAAATTTGGGACGGGTGGGTTGAGGCGCCTAGTGAGCAAAATGGAGAGTGCTCATTCGTTGCGGTTCTGCCAAAAGTCAAGTACTTTGCGACGAAGATAGATGTATTTAGTTGTCCTTTGAGAAAGTGATGATCGTGACAACTGCACAACTCAGTCTCTCGAATGGTTAATGCTGTTCTAAGGAATGCCTCTTCACGCCTGTGAGATGCACTCCCTCAAACATATGGCGTAGAAAGTGAATTCACAGTAGCACCGCATCACCAGCACAGAACTTGAAAAGGTTATGATGCGCCAGGACGATCCATACTATCTGACTCCTATCGAAACGAACCTCACATTTTGTTTCCCCCAGTGACAAATGAGAAGATGCCTCCACTTTCAATCTTGTAGTCCCCCCAGCAAATTTCAGCGCTAGCCGCCCAGATCCCCATGCAAACTGTCCCGACATCAGGAAGAGAAGAAAGGACAATGTTGGGGATTCGCTCGCGAGAGCATTGAGCCGTTCTTCACACGCCGCCACCGATTAAACAGAACAAAAAGCCGAAAAGAAGACACAAGGAAAGATACACAATGGGATACTGAGTCGATAGCATGACGGAAGATTCGAAGCGTGCCCCTTGCTTGCACAAAGTATGCGTACGGTGCGGCTGAGTTGGAAACTTCGAGACGTTGACGAAGAGCTGACATGAATAGCTTCGCAAGAGGAGCACGCGACGGTCTTTCGATAAAGCTGAACGTAGGGATGCGCAGATAAGTCGGCGCCGTAGAGCTGGGTGCGTCGACAGGCGGAGCGTGGAAACATAGTCGATGTGGTCGAAACAATACGAAAGATGTTGGCCGGTCACTCTTCTGAACAAGTGGCTCGCTGATGCAATGATGTCGAGCCACAGACCTGGTGTTGAAAATTGGCGAAGAAGTATTGTGCACACTTGGCGGTAGTATGATTACTCATGGTCACTGGCACCGTTGCCGGAGACGTTCGAGTTGTCTGCGCCGTTGGTAGAAGCTGCAGTGGCCTTTGCTCCGATTTCGGAACCGGCGGAAGAACCTTCACCGTCGACCTTCACAACTGGAGAATGATTGATGGAAGGAGCTTGCGGAGCGAAGACGTGCTGAGCCGGGTAGGCGATCGTAGGGGCGGTCTGGACCATTGGGCGAGATGCCGGCATGGTGTAACGCGGCGTATAGACAGAGCTGCCAACAAAGCGATCAGTCTTGCGCAACAAACCATGATCGGGAAGTCTCTACGAACCCGACGTTGGCTTGAAGGTAGTTCTCGAACTCATTCCGTGCTTCGTTTCCTGGCAAAGCGGCCTGCTGATCGGCAGTAAGCATCGAGCCGGTCCTAGCTTGCATCACACCCCATTCGAACTCGTTAGCGCGGAAGGCACGAGCGGCAGCCGTGTGCTGCTTGAGGACCTTCTGCTCATGGGTGTCGGAGTAGCGAATCTGGATGAGATGTTCCTCGCAGCCCGGCTTGTTGACCGGAGTGTTGTTGAAAGTCTTGATGATCTCTTCGCAGACCTCCCTCGACTCGAATCTGTGACGACAACAGTCAGAGAGTTGTCTACAAGCTGGACATGGATGAGTTACCTGGCGAAGCCGACACCACGGCCGTTACCGCTTGGGTCACGAAGAACCCTGGTTGAGCAGACTTTGTGAGGTGCGAAGACCAAGGCAAGTTCCTAAGCAACAGTAAGCTATATTCACTGCCAGTACAGACGATGAAAAGCAGCACTCACGTGTTCGTTCATGTTCTTGGGAATGTTTGAGACGTAGAGGTTGGTGTTGTGTTCGTCCGAAAGTACCTTGAGCTTGGAGTAGAAGGATTCCTGTCCAAGTTAGATGACTGAACAGAGTTGGGAGGGTATCGCAACTCATACCCTAGCGAAGCTGACTTCATAGCCCAAGAAGTGAAAGCCACGGATGCAGTCTTCGGCATCTTGGAAGTTGTGGTACCGGATAAAGCCGAAGCTGAGAGGCGTCAGCATCGTGAGAGAGAACCAGCTGACGGTACTCACCCCTTGCAAAGGTTGGTCTTCAGGTCAATGATTGCCTTCGAGCTCTGAATGTCTCCGAAGCGTGAGCCCCAGCTATGAAGCATCTCGTCGGTGGTCTCAGGCTGAAGACCCCGGATGTACACGTTCGTCTCGCCACTCGAGTTTCTCAGCGCACTGTCAAGTGGCTTCAGCGGGGAGCTTGGAGCAGGAATAGCCTTTGGGATGGGCGGATGCTGCTGGACAAGCAGCTGAAGCTTCATCGGGATGTTGCTGGGTTGCGCAGGAGACTTGCCAACCTGCGGCATGGCATACGGAACGCCGAGTTGTGAGGGAGACGGAGTGCCACCATGCGCGAATCCCAGGTTGGGAGAGCGATCGTAGACTGCAACAGGTCCCTGATAGCCGCCGTAGTTGAATGGAGTGCCAGGGAGGTCGTTGTCGTTCGAGGAGAAAGAGTCGCGGCGCGGAGTGTACATCGTAGGCGTATTGCCGTTGGACAGGGCAGGAGTCCAGTTGTTGGAAACCGGTGAGTGCTCGACCATCTGCTGGGGGTAGCCGTGATATGCAGCCTGTGGCATGAGGTGTGCCATTTGACCATAGGCTGGAGTGTGTGGCATGCCGTTGGCGGCTTGAGCACCCGGTTGATAGTAGACTTGGCGTTGACCTGGATAGTAGAAAGCCTGCAGGCCATTGTAGTCCGAAGAGGTGCTGGACAACTGAGAGGCGATTGAGGGCTGAGAGCCAGACATCTGGGAGCCGGATTTGGCCGAGGATCCGTAGGACTGAGGGTGCAGATTCATGCCTGCCAAGCTATGAGCAAGAGCGGCAACATTGGAACCTGCGTTCTGCATCGGTGTTCCGGTGGAAAGGAAGGTTTGAGCTCGGTGAGCCTGACCTGTAGCGCCGTATTGACCGATCATCGGAGCCCTTGGAGTGAAGCCGTTGGCAGAGGCGGCGAAGTTGCCTTGGCGCTGATCGTTGTAGTTGGCCATTGTAGTAGCCTGCGCGAACGTCAGCCATGGTCTAGGTCAGCCTTGATGAGTGTGGATGTATCCAACGCCCCGGTTGTCAGACTGTACTTGTGAGAGATGGCTGAGACTAGAGTGTGTGGCGAAGCTGACTTCGAGAACCTCACGACCGACCATATCCACATGGTGGTGGAGGTGCTTGCAATGGTTGTGCGAAGGGTTGGCAGAGGCTGAAGGGTGGTCTGAGGAAGCTGCCTACGTACCGTACTGTGTTCGGTGATGGTTTGAAGTTGAAGATAGACGAGCTATCGGTTTGAGGAGGCAAGATCGACCTGAAGAAGGGAAGTCAGTCAGATTGATGTGAGGATATGAGAGGAGCAGGAGTGAAGTGAAGTGAAAACCTGCAGACAAGCAAACCAGCCAATGAGGAAGCTGATGGCTACTGCGAGAGAGTGAAGGACGGGCAAGAGGGTAACGTACCTTGAGGATGTGGGGCTGTAGAGCGATTGAAGCAAAAGCTGCGAGCCTTGTGAGCGAGAGCCTTGAGAAGGAAGGACAGTGAGCGTTGAGAAGACTCACTTGGCTTGGAAAAGCTAACAAGAATGCAGAGGCTGAAGAGCTTTGAGCTGGTTGTCCGATGGAAAAGTTGCTGCTGAGCGAGGAGAAGAAAGGATGAAGGAAAGCTGCAGATATAGAGATGTCGGACTCGCTTGAGCTCGGCCCGTCGGGGACAAGGTGGGAGGTGGGAGGGAAGGAACTGAAGTCGGCCGTCAGTGAGGCAAGAGCGTGAGGTCAGGTGTAAACAGAGGCAAAGCTCACCTCGGTCACGCACACGACGGCCACCGTTCTCTGAATTAGCAGTACCTCGTCTTTGGAACGAGTCGTGCACTCTCTGCCAGATGTTGCAGTCTTCGATGCGAGCGACAGCTAGTATTCGTGGAAAGTGTTGTGGTTGCGCGCGTGACCAGGTTAACTATGCTGTCTAGATAGCGATGCTCGAAGCGTTGGAACTTGGATGTTGACTTTGGTCCTCGCAGGTCTCAGCCTCTCTCGAGGACAGTCAAGCAGCCTTATATGCACGACGACCTCCTGTCACTCCGGTTTCCAGGTTACAAGTGAAATCCAGAGCTGCACCAGACCGACGTTGAATTGATAGCCATTGCTGCAGAATCCTCCACTTTCTTGTCCACTGCCCGGCCGGATAGCGTGCAAACGCATGCAAAACGCCCAAAACGCCGACCACTGCGGGACAGTCACACGTACTTCCGCCTAATGTGGACCAAATCCCCTCCCTTATGACGCGGAAAGGCTCGAGAAAGCTCTCCTGTCAAACGTTGAACCGCTAGAGCGAGTCCCCGAGCGTTTGCATCGGGGTCATAACGCCTGGAGACATCCAATTGAACAGGCCTGCGCACAGGAACCGTCGCGTTTCCGAGCTTATGTGATTGATCATTATCGACTATGACAGTGAAGTGCCGAGCTAGGCGCGAAAGCGGTGGTGAAGCATGGATACAGTGGCATCGTAACATGATTGAGACCAAGGAGACAAGGAGGCAGTTTTCTATTTTTGAAGTCAAGTTAGCTTGCAGACCTTCCTGGTGGCCACGTCTACTGTTTGAAATCTCACGTCACGTTAGCGAGCGTACCCTGCAGCGAGCTTCACGATGGGAGTTTCAAAAGAGCCCTGCCATATGCAAGATACCCGTGGCCGCTGCAGTACTTGTGTGCTGTTCGCCTTCGCTCAACGATTACCAGCTCACAAGAACCCCGAAATGCACCAACACTCTCGTTCTCCAGGGTTCTCCATCCTACCCCACGGTCATCCGCATCCATGAGGAGCAGCACAGGCTTCTTGCTTGTTGGCAGCATGGCTAGCGAAGGGTAGCCGCTCGCGGACGACTGCATATACCGCGAAGCAAGGGCAGGGGTTGGCAACGGATTGATGTTGGTGGTCCACTATATGACAGAACTGCCCATTTTTTAGCGTCTCAGTCTCTTTTTCTAATACTTGGGAGGGGACAAGCGCGGATGAAGGCGCGGCAAGCCAGCGTTAAGCGGTGCGAATCAGTTGGCCGCGATGGTGGTTGGAGTGAGGTTGGGGAGACTCGCTAGCCGCGCCTGTCACAGACGAAACTTGGGTCAGGTTCTGCAGTGAGCCGCATCTAGCCAGGTCCGGGGCTGTGTGCAACGAACATCTTTCTTGAAAGAGAACCGGGTGCTGATGGTGTTCTGGAGGCGTATCGTGAGCTCCCGTTTGCCTATCCTCTGGTCAACCTCAGCAAAAGGCGGCACCGGCTCCTGAAACCGTACCCGTGTTCGCACACAGCGTTTACGGCGGCACCACGACGGTCATCAGCAATGTCAATGCAAGTCTAGACGTTGTGGCGTGCGAGGGAAGTAGAGATGCAGTCGCCGCGCGGTTGCTTTAAAGATGATAGATCGCATGGAGTCAGGATCAGCCTTGAACGAGAGTCGATAGATCTCGTCGATCACCCAAGCACACAAGCATGCTGCAGCTGGGCAACCCGGGTTGACAGTATCAGATCGCCGCGGTAGCGTTTGCCTGCTTCGGCAAGGGCAGAGGTTGGGGAGGTTGTGGACTCCAAACCCTCATACCGGGCTGCTGGGTCGATTCGCGGCATGCAGGAGGCTGCTGCGGACGGAGGCGCTCGCTAGGATGCAGTGTGGCACTCCCCGGCGTGGCACACTCTCCGTCGGGTCGTGGCAGCCTTGCTCAACTCGTCTCCGAATGTGTTTTGTGAGTTGGCTGGGGCCCGAACGATTGGAGGCCGCAGCAGGTGACGCCCGTCCGTTGCTCTGTGGCCGAGCTTGGATGACCACCAGTGGCGGACGAACGCGTCCATCTCGGCATCATTCTCGGCTACGTCGCGCGTTCCAATGCAGTTGATGATTGAAGAGGTGGGCGTGTCACGTATACTCCGCTTCGTCTTTGCTAATGGCAGAGACGGAGCATGTGATCTGAGGAATTAAGGGCATCACGGGCTATATAATCATGGAGTTGTGAATTCTATCAGGTCGCCAAGATACGGGTGAGGAACGCCAACAACCACAACAACGCCCCAACAGGTCAAATTCAAAGCTTTAAAAGAGATTCGTTCTAGTATGATAGGATCTTAAAAAAGGGTAAGTTTTTCTGAACCTGCACGTAAATATCTCGTTTGTTATTCACGATTTTTACCACTTGTTCGACTGGAGTTTCGGTGTTCGCAAGCCATCGGACCAGCCGTTCACCGACCTCCGACCTGATAAAATTCACAACTCCATGATTAAATGCAGTTTTGTCAGGGTTAATGTTCTCAACGAGCGGGGTCTGAAGGATGCGTCGAGGGGGGATAATAGTATCATCATCTACTTTTTCTGAAAGTCTAAATTAGAACCATACGCCCAAACGCCGCAAACAGATCTATGCACATATAACTACGCAATGAGTAGTGACGAGGCCTGTATGTTCTCCAACTCCATGCTGTAGACAGATCTTGCCAAGTAACGGTCACCTAAACAGCAAGCAGCTGTGCTCATGACCAAACGTCCTCCTGGTACTGATTCGCCGCCCTCATAGCCTTCACGACGTCCTCACCCTTCGACTCTGGCAGGCCCCTCTGTTCTGCGATGATCTTACCGAGAAGAGAGTTGACTTCGCGCGCCATGTTGGCTGCGTCTCCGCACACGTAGAAGTACGCCTTCTGCTGTAGCAGCTCGTTGATCTCCTTCGCGTTCTCTTGTAACTTGTGCTGCACGTAGACCTTGTTTGGCCCCTCACGTGAGAACGCGGTATGGAGCTCGAAGCTGTCGCCAAGATCTTGCTTCCATTGCTGAGAAGTGACGTTAGCCTGGAGTCTAGGATCGGACAGTTGTGAAGAATTGACATACCTCCCACTCCTTCTCGTACAGGAAGTCTTCGGTCCTTCTCCGGCAGCCGAAGAACAGGACCGTCTTTCCAACCTTCTCACCGGCTCGCGCTTGTGCTGCTCGCTCCTGCACGAAGCCTCGGAATGGTGCGACGCCAGTACCGGGGCCCACCATGATGACCGGCTTCGAAGGATCCGAGGGGAGCTTAAAGTTTGAGTGACGGATATGCACTGGGACGTGGATGCCGTCGTACTTGTTACGGGGGCCATTCAGAGCGTAATTCAGGCCATGTGGATCTGGGTCTGGATCGCCGTACTGCTTCTGCTTGAGAGCCAAAAGGTAATTGGTAGTGACGCCCTTGACGATATGAGGGGCGTTCGGCTTGTGGGTCGATTCCACCACTGCCGTGACCGAGACCTTGTCCTTCTGGACCAAAGAAGATGACGAGATGGAGTAGTATCGTGGTTGGATCTTATGGATGCCCTCGATGAACAGCGAAAACGGAACCTTGGACCATGGCTCACCGTTGGACATGATTTCCAGAAGCTGCGCAATATTGAGACTGCGTTCAATTACAATCTCGTGGAAGTAATCCTTATCATTGCCAATCCTGGTCATCTCTGCCTTAATTTCATCGTTGGGCGAGAATTGTGCGATGGTAGAAACGAACTGTCGGGACACAGGCGCACAGACCTCCATGTGATAACGGACGGCGGCGTCATAAGTGGTGGGTGAAGGGAAAGGAACCTTTGCCGTCGGATCGAGGCCTTTGACGCTGATAACCGTGTGACGCTTCGGAGCGAGACCAGTGATTGTCAGGAAACGGTCGACCTCCTTGCCCGCATTAGTCGGCCAGACTGCGACGTGGTCACCGGTGGTGTAGCTCAAGTTGGACCCGCTCAGGTCAATTTCCATGTGCAAGCAATTTCGGTCTTTAACCGTGAAGATCTCGCGGGATTCGGCAATCGGCGCGATGTACGGGTTGTTCGCGTTATACGGACCTTTAGATGTCCCCTCAAGATGGTTCTTGTTCGGTTCGCCAAGGTAGACCTGGTCCTCTTCAGGGTCCAGATCGGGCCTCTCAACTACGTCGAACACTGGCTCATAGACAGCCTCTCGCTCTTCCAGACCCATAGACTCGGCCAATGCCGTCCACATAGGCTCTTTCCACGCTAGAAAGTCTTCTTCCATTGTGCCTGCACCGTCGTCGCCTTCACCGGCAGCTCCAATCCTGGTGGCGCCGAGGGCCTCAAAAGCCTTGTTTACGTTCCGGACCATGGAGTTGTAATGCTCGTACGTGTTGTTGCCTAGACCGAAGGCTACAAACTTGAAGTTTGAAAGCGGCTTTTCGCCATCACCTTCGCCACTGAAGGAAGGGTCCTCAGCGTGGACGAACTCATAGAAGTCCACGGCATTATCTGTGGGCTCTCCCTCGCCGTAGGTAGCCAGGACGAAGAAGGCGACCTTGTCGCTCGGGAAAGTGTCAAGGTTCTCGTAATCGTAATCTTCCAAGTCGGCGACCATGGTCTTCAGCCCGAAACGGGACTGACCCTCTTTTGCCAGCCTGGAGGCGTAGTCCTCTGCTGTACCGGTCTGCGAGCCATAGAAGACCACGCAGTTTTTCCCGCTCTCCTCTAGCTTCTCGATGATGTTTCTCGATTTTCCCTTCTTTGCGGCTCCGTTGGCATGGGCCAACGAGTTCCCGTAGGGGTCTTTGGCGACGGCCCAGTACGTGCCTTTCGTGAAGTACGCAATGGTACCGAGCAGCAGTACTGCCAGGACCACGAGGTCGAGCGTGTCAAGTTGCGCCATGACGCCTGACCGGGGGGGAGGGGAGAGGGGAGGAGTTCGGTGGCTGATGCCTGAAGGGGTCGTGTGGTGGAGCGCGGCAGTATCAGGAGTGAGCAAAGTAAGGCGTAGACGCTGCTGGTGCTGCAAGAGCAAATATATACGCAAAGCCGACAGCTAGGTATGTTGGTGGGGTCTCGGTCGATGGTGGAGTATATCTCGTTGGCGGCTTATCGGTGCGGCTTTCAACTTCAGCCAAGCCCAGATGTCACGACCGATATATGTCAGACGGCTTCAGACAGACGCCAACACAAAATTCGGAGGTGACGAGAGACAGAAGTGCGCAAGTGGCTCTTGCAGAGGCGGCGGCTGTCCGAACAATATCATAGACTAAGTTGCAGCCTTCGGCAGCCCCGTCATCGAAGCGCGGAACGTCCTCTGGCCGTCTCATCGGAGGACTTCCCTCAACGCCACGCCGCCGGCCCGTGCTCACCTGCCGAACGCAGGCAATCCGAGAGCCGCCCGGCTGCTGGGGACGCCGCTTTGAACGGAGCAGTCTTTTGGTGAGCCTCCCACAGCCTGACCACTCGCAACTTGTTCCCCATGAGCACAGCATCTGACATGAGATTACATGCTCAGCTCACCCGAAGCGCTGGCGGTACAGCTACTGCTATTCTTGGTGACTTCAACGCCGCCCCCAACCATGACTGCCCAGACGGGCTTCACGGCCGATCCATATGTGCAAGACGTGAATTTACCTATGGACAGTCACTTTATCACCCTGCAAGCACCATTCCTACGTGATGTCTACTCGTAACAGGGATAATTAGACAACCCCTCCATGGGGTTCGAGGGGGTCTTCCCAGGTGCATGGAAATGCCGGCTTCGTTTCAGCGACGGCCCTGCGCCTCTGGGGGTGCGGGATGAGGCCGCGGTCGCGATTGATGCAGCCAAGGAGCGAGCAAATGTCAATTCCGTGTCCTCGGCGTGTGGACGCTTTCTTTTCCACTCAGCGTCGAGAGCACTGGTTCCTATTGGGCCAGCTCACGAGCCTGCAGCTGTCAGGCACACAGGGACCGCTGGAGACGCTTCAGATCCCCCGGCTGTTGGCCGCTTGAGCGTCTCGAAACGGTCGTTAGCATTGTCGCTGCCACGCAAACTCCTCCACTTAGCACTAAACACCATGATCATCGTGTAGGCCGTCTCCTTGCGCACAAATGACGAGCGGCACACTCGCGGGATGTGTAAGTGAGGGGATTGTCATCAATATCAACTTCCTCAAACATCCGCCCGGCTGCGCACCCAAGCATCCCTCCACTTACGCCAATGCTCGCCTGCGTGCTTCATGATGGCATCTTCCCCCCTACACCACTCGTAGACAGCTCGCTGCACTTGTCATCCGGTCAAACAATAACTAACTCGCCACTGCTACAGCTGCTCCCCTACCACCGCAAGCACGACACCATGCTGGAACCGTGTCGCACCATCCAGACCTCCCCGCAGTCCCCTCGGCTCCTTCGGTCCCTTCCCGCGAACCTTCAGTGACACGAGGCCGCGCGCTCACAGCGTCGTCAGGCCGGGCGCCATCCTCTCGAACCCACACACCGGGCGTGTCGCGTCCTGGGCGAAGTCCAGATAGAGCCTTGGAGCGAACAACCTCTCAGTCCTACGGGCACGTTCGTCAGGCGTCGACTGTTCATGGCATACAACACTCGCGCAACACGAGCTTCGTGAACTCGCCAGCAACCAGTCCACTCAGTCCGCAGAATACCGCAGCTGCCGGAGCGGCAGCCGTTCAAAGACTTTTAGATGGAGCCAATATGTCTCAGGATGAGGAAAAAGAGGCTGCGATCTCGAATGATCTCCCAGGCGCTGCGCACTCCGTAGCAAAGCAAACCAGTCCGCCTTCTATAGCCTTTGGAGAGCGAGCTCTGAACGGCGCATCAACGCCGCCTAGTGCGCGAAGGCCGGAGCGGATGCAGAGCGGCAAAGCGAAGCGGGAACTCAGCCACGCCCGGTCTCAGTCACGACATCATCATCAGCAGCAGGATCTTAAGACCGTTGGCGAATATGCGTTGCATCACCTCTTCAATGCTGTCAGTAATAGATCAGTCATAGCAATGCGTACGTACTAATGCCTAGATGTCGCAGTTCGTTGGCCAAGCAGATCAGAAGATCAATCAATGTATCACTAACCCGGAGCTCCCTGAGCCCAGGGTTGAGCTCATCTGTGGACCTGGTGTCGATCCAAGTTTCGATCAGCTTATTTCAGCCTTGGGTCACATCGCACGCCAGAAACCAAAACCACTTATTGACACCTTGATGTTTTGGCGCAAGGCCAAGAGCGAAGCCGCAACCAACGCAAGAGCGGAACTCGCGCAGTTGTATCAGGTGAGCGGTTTCTCGACGGACGTTGGAAGTCCGTAGCTAAGCATCTCCAGCAGCGTGGCATAACTCCACCAACAAACGGTCTTCTACCCCGTAGAAATGCAGAAGGCATCCAAACAAATGTTGACGCCCATACGAGTCACGCAGCGAAGCCAAGTCTGCAAAGTTCCATATCTGCACGCGAGACTGTCGTGGCGCAAGCCGAACGACGCTCGACAGTCTCAATCTATCTGTTGTGCCGGGTGCTTATTGAGATCATAGGCCAGAGCAGCTTAGCATGCGTTACCCCTGAGATGGCCGACCGCCTTGAAGACATTATCTACACTCAATTGACGGCAGCGGATCCAGCATCTTTGGACAGCTCGCCCCTCAGGCACGCTAATTGGGTGATATTCAGTCAGCTGCTTGGCGTAATGAGTGAAATAAACTTTGATCACGTGTCAGACAGATTTGTTAAAGATCTGGAGAAGATGCAAAACCATCTGGGCGTGAAAGGGCTGGCTAACAGAGAAGTCGAAGCGAGGGCTGTACTGATAGTAAAGGGTATGCGACATCTGCGTGTCAGGTTCTATCCAGAAGACGCCTGGGAAAGATCGTGCGAGTTCATGCAGTCGCTTGCGAAGCTGTTTGCCAATGTGCATGGACAACCAGTCAAATACTCATACTGTCAACTCTTCAGAGAATTGCTACTGCCAATAGCAGCAAAAGCCACCTCAGAACTCAATGTACCACAGTGGAAAACCGCCATCGACACGATCAGGGCAAGACTACTCCTCATGATGGCCAAGCCAAAACATTGGTTGGAGGCTTTTCCACTGATGGCGGTGCTATTGTGTGTCTCTCCAGTGGACGTGTTCGCCTCGCAGTGGCAGCAACTAGTTCTGCCCCTACAGTCCAGACTTAAGGAACGGACAACCCGTGCAGTTGCACTTAGAGGCATCTGTCGCCTGGTCTGGACGTACCTGTACAGGAACTCTGATACGCAGAATGTTACAGTGCGGAAATTGGACGAGATTGTTCGTCTGGTCTTTCAACCCGGCAAGAAGTCGTATCTCTCAACCGAGACTGCCATTGCGGAGCCAATCATTCAGTTGATACGTATTATTGGATTCTCGCACCAAGACTTCTGCTTCAGGACAATAATCTTTCCACTGCTGAACTCCGAGCAATTTGCATCTGGGAAAGACCTGAAAGTTGAGAATCTAGAGCCCGAAAGAATGGTGATCGGCATTCGCGCTTTTCTTGCCATTATGGCCGATCTCGAAAAGGGCGAGCAGCCACCATTTCCTGTCACGTTCGACCACGATCCTTACGTTGACGCAACCGAGATCATGTCCCTACCGGCGAGTCCGCGTCCAGTCGTTCAGCCGCCACCAAGGGCAACAACTATCAAGGAAGAACGTCTTTCCAGACCGGTGACGACTGCGGGATTTCCAGAGATAACGAAGGAATACTACATCAGGTTCTGTAAAGTGCTAGGGGAGATCACAATCATCTGTGACAACGCTTTCGGTGGGCAGGCTGTGTTAGACGAGAAGTTCTCTGCACAAACCCCAAAAACACCTATGGCCGACGCCTTCAGTTTTGCCCGTCGCGACGATAGTTATGGTCCTGCGGACCCCAAGCAGGGATTCTATGATCTGTTGCACGTTGCTGTCCAAGCGTTACCTCGCTGCTTGTCGCCGCACATTCCATTCAACTCCCTCATCAACCTGCTTTGCACAGGCACAGCGCACGTGCACCGAAACATTGCGGCCTCTTCGGCGCAGTCTCTCAAATCTATAGCTCGACAGTCGCATGCACAACAAGTCACTGTCGGGTTCGCTCGATTTATCTTCAATTACGACGATCGGTACGCCACCATGTCCGACGGCGGAATGCTAGGTGCCGGTCACATTGAGAACACGTTGAGGCTCTACGTCGAGCTGCTGCATATATGGATTGAGGAGATCAAGCAGAAAAGCAAAAAGGCTACCGCGGAGCCTGGAGAAGATGGGATGTCAGGCAGCCGGGGTGCTCAGCTCGATCTTTCAGGTGTTTGGGCCCACGTCGATGAGATCGAGTCCCATGGGCTTTTCTTCCTTTGCTCCCCATCCAGACGAGTTCGCTCCTTTGCGGTCACAGTATTGCGGCTTGTCACTGAGTTCGACACTGCTCTTGGCAAGGACAGCACCAGGGTCATTCGTATCATGGAGGGCAGCCCTCAAAAGGTCATGGACGTCAATGATGAGAAGTTGTCTCTAGCCGAGCGAAGCCGCCTGCAGCGAGGGATGAGGAAGAGCAACCTGCAAAGCACGCTGGTTGAACTTTGCAGTAGCGATGTTGCCTACGATTCTACCCTGTGGTTCAAAATTTTCCCCAACTTGATTCGACTCAGCTTCGAGGTATGCCCCTTTGCGGTCACTCTGACAAGAGACATAGTCTGTGCGCGGCTGTCTCAGATGCAAAGGACTCTGGTCGCGCTGACTGAAGGAACACGCTCGGTTCCATACACCTCGCTGGAATCGGCGCAAAGCCGAGTTGTTGGCCGACTGGCGTCAACCGCGCCCGAACTTGTGGTCGAGCAGTGGAAGCTCTACTTGATCTTCGCCTGCACAACGCTCACAAACGCAGGTAGCCAGCAACAAAGCCCTCCACAGCCGGGTCAGCAGCACATACGGAACCCTTCAAAATCTTCGCAGCGAAGCCAAAGCAAAGTCCAATCAGCCGGAGATCTCTTCGCTAGAGTAATACCCTTCCTGGCCGCCGAGAGCCCAGCAATTCGTGAAGCTGTTGCCGTAGGCTTAGGTTCCATAAACGTGAACTTGTACCGCACCTTGCTGGAATCGATGCAGAACGCGGTCTCAACTTGCTCCGACGAGGCGAAAGTCCGCCTTACAACGCACCAACGCTCGGCCAGCAGTCCCCGTCGTAACCCTCACACCGATCATCTCCGGACCGAGATCACTCATGTTTACAAATTGACATCACACTTCCTTCAGTCCGCAGAAGCGTACAATGACGAATGGATCTTGAACAACCTGGTCAATTACACTAAAGATCTCCGCTTGTTCCTCAATGACGCCGAGATACAGACTGAGTGGAGCTTTCACAAGCTGCGCACCCACTACTGTGGGTTAGTCGAGGAATTATTTGAGGGCATCAACAAGACTAAGGATCCCATCCGATGGATGCCCTTCCAGGCTAGGAAGGCCGCGTTCGCCCTCATGGAAGACTGGTGTGGTTACTCTCCCAATCAGAGTCAAATACGCCAGCGGGAAGACACAATGCGGAGATCGATTCTTGACCGTGAGCACGACCTCGGCAACAAAGACATTCGGACAGCTGCGATGGAGATAGAGAAGCGAAATCTACGTACAGCGGCGCTTAGTGCGATGGCAGCGCTATGTGTAAGTCTTCAACGCCTGTTGCTTCATGGACCGTTGCTAACGTGATGCGCAAGGGCGGGCCGGTGAGTATCACCACGGACAGTAAGGTCAACCTGCAATTTGACGTACGCCGTATGCTCTCGTGGATCGACACTATCTTCGAAACTGCTAGTGACAGGATGCACGCCATTGGACGTAGGGCCCTCAAAAACCTCATCCTGCACAATAGGCAACATCCATATCTCCTCGCGCGATCGATCGAGAAGTGTTATGTCGCAAAATCACCAAAGGCGTTGGAAAGCTACTTTGAAGTCGTTACGCAGCTGCTGACAGAACGCGACGATTTCGTTTTGCCCTTCTGGAAAGTGTTGGGTGCCGGGTTGTATACACTCGGCAACGAAAGCAACGCACTTCGTATGAAATCCGCGCGTCTGTTGCGGACCGTCGAGGAACGGCTGGAAAGAAGCTCGAAGTTGCAGGACCTGGACATTAGCATCTCTGATAAGACTATTGCTGTTTACAAGCTGGCTCAGTTCGAGGTATCGCGCAGATTGGCGAACCAACACTCGGAACTCGCCTTCCACGTCTTCTCCGAATTCTCCGTACACTTCAGGGATTTGAACCCCGATCACCAGCGGAACATGGTAGCAGCGATGTTACCTTGGATTCAGACCATCAATCTCCAACTGGATCCCAATGGCGGTCCTACGGCAAATTCGTACATGGTTCTTGTCAACCTGTTCGAGATCACTGTTCGGTGCGGGACAGCCCTTCACAATGAAATCCAAGCGCTGTGGCAAGCATTGGCCACTGGTCCGCACGCGGGGAACGTACAGCTTATCCTTAACTTCATCATATCTCTGTGTCTCGACAAGAGGGAACAGAATTTTGTGGATTACGTCAAGCAGATCGTAGTCTATATGTCCAGTACACCAGCAGGGCTTAAAGTGGTGGAGTTCTTACTTTTGCAAATAACACCGAAGGCCATGGTCACGGAGAAGCGAGAGCCTACTCTTATACCGCCAGACGCTGCAGCGTTACCTTACTTAGCAGACTTGGGTCAGGTCCTACCCACCAGCAACAAGCAGGTAAGCCTTCACTATGGCCCAATTCATGACGCTCAGCTAACCTCCGTTAGACAGGATTCTCCATGGGTCAGCTGTGCCTAGTCTTGCTAGTAGACCTTATGGTGCCCCCTCTGCAGCTAGCAAAAGAGCAGATACCATTGCTGTTGCAAGTTGTCCTTGTCCTGTGGGACCATTACACGCCGCTAGTTCAAGATCAGGCACGCGAGATGCTCGTCCATCTCATCCATGAATTGGTTATCTCGAAAATCGAGAACGACCGTACAACTCCGGACAAGCGTTCCATCGAGGACTTCATTGAGTCAGTTCGTCGAAATGACCCAAAGGTTGTTTGGGGCTATGAGGAGAACAATGGTGATCGTGAAGATGACCTTGGTCCCCGAGTGCCTGCAGCCATGGCCTATGTCGCCGACGAAGTCCTCAAGATATTTGGATTGATGTATCCCGGCTTCCGCGAGGATTGGGGCAAGATGATCCTACACTGGGCTACATCTTGTCCGGTGCGCCATTTAGCATGTCGCTCGTTCCAGTTGTTCCGTTGCGTGTCCAGCACATTGGATCAGCCAATGCTTGCGGACATGCTTGCACGTCTATCAAACACAATCTCTGATGACGAAGGGGATATCCAAACGTTCTCTATGGAGATCGTCACAACGCTCAAGACAATCATCCAATCACTGAGTTCTGAGGATATCATGCAATGCCCTCAGCTATTCTGGACGACTTGCGCATGCTTGGATACGATCCATGAGCGGGAATTCATGGAGAGCTTGGATATGCTGGACAAGCTACTCGACAAAATCAACATTGGCGACCCGGCTGTTGTCAAGGTCCTCAAAGACTGCCAGCCCCAGAAGTGGGACGGCGGGTTTGCAGGGTTAGCGGGACTCATCTACAAGGGGGTCAGATCAAGTATATGCCTCGACCGATCGCTCAGATTGCTCGAGAGGCTCGTTGCCCTCCCGCCGAACGAGCTGGTCGGAGACAACAGCCGTCTGCTTTTTGTTGTCTTAGCTAATTTACCGCGCTTCCTTCGCTCCTTCGACGAGGATGTCAGGGACCCCCTCACATTGTCTTCAGCAACGACGCTGGCTGCAGTGGCGGGGAGTCAGAACTGCGACCATATAGCAAGAGCACTGAATGGCTTTGCGAACTTCCGGTACCGGGCAGGCAAAGACTTCCTGGCCCAGATAGTCTCAGCCATACGGACATCGTTCCTGCCAGACCTGGAATACCAGTGCTTGGTCTTCTTGCTGGGCCTCCTTACTAACAAGCTTCCATGGTTCAAAATCAAGACGATGCAGCTTCTCTGCGTTATCGTACCTGATATCGATCTGCGGAAGCCCGAAATAGCCGCCAAGGGCCCTGACCTTATCTCACCACTGCTGAGACTACTGCAGACCGAGTTCTGCCCGCAGGCTCTGCAGGTACTCGACAATGTTATGACAATGTCTGGTGCACCGACGCCTCTAGACCGACACCACTTGCGGATGAGCATGGCTGGCGCTCATTCGAGTCGCGCTTTCCGCAAGGAGTACGAGCGCACGCAGAGTTTGTATGGTATACCCGAGGAGACTGGATGGTCAATTCCCATGCCGGCCGATCAATCTCAAAGCACGAGAAACAATGTACACGCAGTGTTCTACACTTGTGTGACAAACGCAGCCGTGAGTACTGCCGAAGTCGCGACTCCCAAGATCGAGTTCCGCCAGGAGGAGGAGTATCACGGCTACTTCCCTGAATATCGAACAGCAACGATGACCTCTGAGGAAGTCCGAGGTGATGCTCATATCGGAGAGCTTGTTTCGCAACTTGACAGTCTCGACGACTTCTTCGACGACGAGACCATGGTGGATAACAACAGTATGCCCAGCTTGCCCACAAGCCCAGGCTTAAGCCGCTTTACAAGCGCCAATGGGGTTTCCGACGCTCGCGAGAATGTCTACGACCAGCAGACGGCGCCGATACTGCACAAGTCCCTTACGCGCAACGCCAGCGTCACCTCATTCCAGACCGGCTTTGCAGATATGAGATACTCTCGAGATCCCGGGATCATGACACCCACAGCTTTCACCGCGCCTGCTATACCACCAGTGCCGACTGTACCCACCTTGGTGGCTGCGCTGGCCCAACCTCGTCCCGGCTTGCACTCGCGATCTGTGACTTCGCCTCCAACAGTCATCCAGCGCACGCCTCCCGGGAGTGAATTTCGACTCGACGAAAACGACGAGTCGATCTCAGACGATGAGCTCACGACATCGCGCGCGTCTACCAATGACAAACCCTCGACTTTCGACAGATTTACGCAGGGCACGCGATCGGGTTGGCGCTCCGCCACGCGCAGGCTGACCGGCGGAGGCGGCGACGCGAGAGACAAGGAGCGGACTCGGGAGGCGATACGCGCCCAGACGCAGCAGAGCCCGCAGGTACCCAAGGTGCCAGACGTCTACCTGCAAAATGTCCCAAATCCTCAGTCGGCCGACCCGTGAGTTAGCGTACTTGTTCTTAAAACGTGGCGTTCAACGGGACGTGGCGTCTCCCGCTTTGTTTGGCCGGATCGCATTGTAGATGTATGCATGGAACGGCGTTAATCTAATTGTACACTTGAGCTCGATTTGTGTATATCCACAGGGAAAAAGGGGGTTCGTTTGAGAGATGTGCTCTGGACGACAGGGATGGTATGAGGACACGGCATGCGTGGTGGCTTAGCATCAAAACTGTACAGCAACACTTGAACCATCAGATACCTTACCCATACATTGCGTTCTGTATGTGATCTCGGCGTGTCTTTAACGGAAATGCAGCAGTCCCCCCCACGACACGCGTCCGTTTAGGCGGACGCTTTTGGGAGCGGTTGAGCCACAGGGATGACGTTTCCCCTAAGCGAGTCCAATGCCCAGCCACCCCGAGCGCCCGGAGCGTTTCGACGGACGGGAAAGCTCACGCAGGCAGGCGCGCCTTTGTTACCTCAGCACCACCTCCGAATTGCCCGAATTTCATAACAGCTCCTCCAAAGCCGGCTCTCTGTCACGCACCAGCTCCGCAAATCTCCCCCAAACCCGACCAACAACGCCGCAACAATGGACTTCTCAGACATCTTGTACGCCTTCCATGCGCTCGAGCGATCCACAGACCCTCAGTGCCAGCTCGCTCGATGCGCTTGTGACAGAAGCAATCGCTGATGATTCTGCTGCAGCCGCATAGTCAATCTCGCCGTCGGCGTCTTCATGATCCTAGGAGGCGTCGGCCAATTTTTCCCGACCATACAGATGTCAGTAGTCGGACCCCCTTTCACGCCCAGGCGCATACGGTTCTGCGCGCGCGATTACAACTCCCGGAAACAAACACAGCAGGAGGGGCTGACGCTGTTCTTTTCCCGGCGACAGACATAGCGTTATCATCGCGGTCTATGTGATAATTTTCGGGCTTGGTGAGCAGCTCCCTCGGCGATGCTAGACGGTAAAGAAGCGAGAAGCAAGATGCGGCGAGCTAACAACCAATTGCGCGTCCCAGCAACTGGATACCTAGGTCCGTAAAAACCCCAGCCATCCTCGCCATACTGCTTCTCGGATATATCCCACCATCAAGCTCGACACGCAACGCTCCGCGTCTTCGCCTCAGCGAACCACCCATAACTAACACCACCAACCCCCGCGAAACAGAATTCCAGATCCCGCCCCAAATAGCAAAATACGCCTCCTTCATGTTCAGTTTCATCGGGCGCGGCGTTTGTAAGCCTGATCCCCCCGCCCCCGCCCCCCCCCTCTCCTCCCTACTCCCCTTTCCCCCCTAAGCCCCCCAACGCTCCAACATCACCCTCTTCTTCATCTCAAAACTGACCGCACCGAACAACCCCACAGTCTACATCTTCATCGGCAGCGTCATCGTCGGCGACCGATGGTGGAAATACACGTCCGGCGCGCTGATCGGCCTCGTCGGGCTCGCCTACGTCGTGCTCGAGTACATCCCGTCCATCGAGCCGCCGGCCAATATGCGAGATGCTGATGCCGGGTGGGGCGCTGAGCAGGTGTGAGCGGGGTGCGCTGTGCGAGGATGATGCAGCGGGGAGGGGTGTTGGGGCCGGGAGTGGGGAATTTTGGAGGACGCGGGGGGAGGCGCTGGGGTTGTGTGGGAGATGCGGGAGTTGTTGGGGGACGGTGGTGAGGTGGTGGTTGTGGGAGGTGGGCCGCTTGTGTGGAGGGCTTAAGAGGGAAGGAGGGAGCGGGGGTTGGAGCGGACTTCTTGTAACTATCGCTCCATTCTTTTCGGGCGCCTAGAGGGCTTTACTAGCGTTGTAAGTTACGCAGCATGATCAGCTGCCTTTTGGGAGTTCACACGCCGAAGCTGGATGAAGGTGAGTTCTTCAGCAAGTGCCAACGCAACGCTACGCTGGGACAGCCCCACACAGCCCCAAGTCCGTCAACCTGTATTGCAAAGGCTTGAAGCATTCGTGCTCCGACCAGCGTAGCCCCAGCCACCGAGCTTAACGCTTCACAGCAAGCCCCCACCGAGTTCAGATCCTCTCAGGTATATTTTCCAGAAGTCAAAGCCTTCGCCTGCCAGCCCATCCTGCACAGTCCCTAAATTCAAGAGGTATCTAAGCGCTGAAGCAAACAGTATCCCAACACCACATCCCATCCGCCACAACGCCCTGAAAATCAGCCCCGAACCCTCCCGCCCCCGCTTGCCCTCACGCCGCCGTCCCGCCAGCATCGATGTCCCGCAGCTCACTCTGCATCATCGCCATCTCCTGCTGTAACCTCGCCAAATTCCTCTGCAACCTCGCCCGCTTCTGCGCGCCCGTCTCCGGACTCGTCGAGCCGGCCCCAACCCCCATACCGGGCGGTCGTCTGAGCGGCTCCTGGTCCAGCGCTGGGTCAATAGCCGCGGCATGAAGCTGCGTATGCAGCGGAGCATCCCCGTTCGTCGCTTCCGGGGTGTAGCGCTCGCTGTCGCCTTCGGCGTCCGAGAAGGAGCGTTTGCGTAGATTTCGATTCCGTTGGGCGTCTGGCGGTAGTGCATGGTTTTGGGCCAGTCCGTGGCGGTGGTGGCCGTTGGTGTGGCTTTGCTGGTAGTGGTGCGTGAAGTCGACCGGGGGAGGGCCGTATGAGCGGGTGTCTTCGGCTTCGGGCGCTGGGAGGTTGTTGGTGGTGGTGGGGTCGTGGTGGGTGATTGCTCCACCGACTGCTCCACCGACGGCACCGCCGACGGCACCGCTGGGTTCGGGAAAGGTAGTGGTGTGTGGGTTGGGCGAAAGAGAGGGGTCGAACGCTTGGTTTGCTTGCTGTTGACCGGGGGTGACGGTGAGCTGGCCGGATATGGCGGGGACGACGCGTTTTCGGCGTTTAATCTCCTGCTTCTTCATTTTGACGGGCCGAGGCTTGCCGTGGAGCTTGTAGAAAAGGCCTGGTGGTTGTGTCAGCTAGGTTTAATTCAACGATCGGGTAAGTCTGGTAGCCATACCGCAAGCGTTGCAAATAGTGTGGCCGTGGTCGTCCCGCCTCCATAGCGGAGTGATGGTAGTGCCACAGTTTTGACAGGCGGGCATGAGATTGGTAGTCTCGTTAAAAGCGGACTCCGACACGCCCGACGTAATGTTGCTTCCATTCATGGCCGCGGTCAGTGCTTCTCCCATCGGTTGAGGGCTATCCGTGTCCTGCCGTTGTGTGTTGACCTGGGCGAGGGCGAACTGAGCTGTCTTCGACACCCGATTGTTGTAAGCGGGGCATCCACTGCATCCTTGCTGACCTCCAGTGCCATTACATCGTCCGCCGCCTGGACAAGTGCCCGCTGTGTGGACCTCGGCGACATAAGTCGCGCGGTGCGTGCCCTGGTTAGCAGCTGGAGATGAACTCTGGTCCTGAGCTTGGCCGGAAAGCTGGCTCTGCTGCGACGCGGCTGCTGCTTGAGCGTTGCGCTTGAGATTCACCGGGCGGTCTTGGTTACGCGACTTCCGGTAGAGGCCACAGGCGTTACAGATCGTTTGGCCGTCGGGAGAGCGTCGCCATAGGGGAGTTTGTGTCGTGCCGCAGTTGCTGGCGTACAGTCAGTACAAGTCCTGAAGCTCGCGCCGTGAGCGCTATCGGATGGGTCGCGCGGCGCTACTCACCTGCATACTTGGCCTAGTATGGGCGCATTGTTGACCTGCGTTTTCCGTGCTGCCTTTTGCGCTTTGGGTTCTTGGTTCGGCGACGGTGCTTGGTCTGGTGCGTTGTGCTGGTAGGCCATGGTGTCTTCGAGGCCCTGGATCCCGGGGACTTCGGCGGCCTCGCCACTCGTACCGTTTGACGTGGACGGGACTTCCTCGAAACCAGTAGTAGCGGTGTGTAAGTGCGGATCGATGTTGTTGTTGAATCGATCGCGGGCTTGTGTCAAGAGGCGGAGAGATTCTGTCAACTCGAGGTCTTCCTTGGAGGGTTGCCTTGTCATCTGCTGTCAAGTACCCGATAGCGGTGACCGAGAGGTACCGCCGGCTGCTGGTGAAGGTTTGCGTCCCGAGCGCTTCACAGGAATAATATTTTGCCGCTGCTAGCCTCAGACAGGCTGTTTCGTGAGACAGAACACTGTAGGAATGTTGTCAAAGCAGTGCGGAGATGGTGGAGGGAAGACGATCAGATCTGATAATCGCGGCCGTAGTCCCAGCCAGGGCGTGGGGTAGCTGGGGAAGGGAACTCCGGTAGGTAAACGTATGTGGTCGAGTCCGTTAGGGATGCCCGGACAGACAGGCTCTGGGAGAGTTTGGAGTTATCAGGCAACAATATGGGGGTTTCAACAAGTGAGGGCCTCGGGGGGAGTACATAAATGGTACCTGGCGGAGTTCGGTGGTGGTTGGTTGGACACAGCGCGGAGCCGGGAGGCTCCCTCAACTGGAGGAAGCTCTGAATCCTTGGCGTCAGCAGAATTCTACTGCTGCTCATTGGCCGGTCTCGCAAAAGCATCAGAACGTCAGATACGCAAGTTGGCCATTCAGGATAACCATAATATATCACATACTGAACACAGTCCAACAGCCTGATGTGAAGAGAGAATATTTGTATCGTGCGTGAAGCGCCGCGTCATCGGTCAGATGTACAAAATACGGGGTCTATCGCCACTTTCTCTGCATCTATCCGCCATGGGAATTCCAACGTGGCTACGGCTAACTCATACATATTATACTACACATGTACACCAAGACCGCAGTATTCATTTACTTCGGTCTTAGAAGCACCACGACCAAGCCGACGAACGCTGCGCCCGCGGCAACACCCTCGAGGGCAACGGTCGTGACATCGACTTTCCGTACCGTGACATGTCGCTCGCTAAACAAGTCTCGGAAGCGAACCTTGTAGCTTTCCCAGGTGTCAGACCAAGAGGATGGCGTGGGTTGAGTTGGGAAGGCTTCGCCCACGGCAGCCTCTGGAACAGGTTGCTCCGGTAAAGGCAGGTCCAGGGTCTCCTGAAAAACTTCTGCCACAGCCGGCTGCACGAGCGGGGACTCAAGCGGCACATCCGCGTCGTTCTTTGATGCTTGAGCAGCGGGTTGCTTATCTTGCACAGCTGGGTCTTCGATACGCTCCAATGTTACACCAGCAGGCTCAACGATAGTGTCTATCTCGGCCTCAATCTGCGGTGTCGGGACTTCCACCGTGGCCGGTGCTGCTGCCGCAGGCGCCAGAGCAGCAGCTGTCGTTTTCTCGTCTAGAGCACCCTTGATTTCCCGTACTATCCGTCTTCGCCTCCACGGCTCGAAGATGGCCAAAGATACGAGTAACAGGAAAGTGTTGAACCCCATAAGCCCAATGGTCACCCACGTGCTGTTTCTCCGGATAGTGTCGCTCCATATTTGCTCCTCATGGTATTGTGCCCGCTCCCGCTTCTCCAGCCGCGCCCTTGCCTCTTCCAAAGACGCATCAGCAGCCTGGACGGCGTCTTTGGCGGCCTGTACGGCTTGGTCGTTGACGTGCTCCGAGCGGATGAGGGACATGTAGCGTTCAAGATCGGCGGCTAACCACGAGTGCTTGCGCTCAAGCAGGCCGACAACTTCTTTCTGGGAGGACGCTTGTTGGGCGTGCGCGGCGTCCAGCCGCTCTTTGGCGTCCTTGACTGCGAGGCGCCGGGACTTGACGAGCTGTTCTGTTGGATGTTAGGTAAGGCGGCGCACCACCTGATTGACCATGACCAGGGACCGTACCTTGCTCTTTGATCTCCCGCCTCAGTGCCTCAATACCTGAATAGTCGGTACCGGTGAACGTATTGACTTTCTGGCCGACGGTTGCCAGTTTGGGCAGCAGCTCGTCCATTAGCCGTGAGAAGCGCTTTGAGATGTCCCATCTTGTCTTTTCTCTATGCGATGGTAGTTCCTCATCCGGCACCCGTCTGACCGCTTCGGCGTCCACTATGGGGGGTTCTGGCGTCGTAGTAGGATGCAGGTCTTCTCGAGGAGGCACGCTTGGGTCTGGGGCATCCGATTGCGGTAGCTTTTCTTCCTGAAGAAGTGGCTGTTCTTCTCGGGAAGGTAGCGGGTCTTCCCGAGGAGGTGGCTTCTCTTGCAGACGTGGTCGCGATGAGCTCCAATTCCGGGTGTGGGTGAGGAATTTCGGCTGGGATTGAGAAGGTGGTTTTCTGCTCGTTCCGAACTGCCTGCTAGAGAGCACACTGAACTGGCATTGGATGCACACCGTCGAGCTTCTGGAAAGCTCTGTCAAGAAAGCGTTCGATGGGTGCCTGGGTCCGGCTCTCTTAGCTGCTGTGAGAGCCGCAAAATCAACGATGGTACGGGACGCATGTTGAAGGAGCGGCCTCATCTCTTGCACCGCGTTGCAGCACACTTCGCAGCGCAGACCAGCAATTCATCGACGAACTCGGTTGGAAGTTTGATCCGGGGATTGGAGAGGGACCAGCTGCTGGCCTCAGCTTTTGTTCCGCTTCACAGGGCTGAGGTGCACCTGCGTGACAGAAATTGCCGGACTCGGAAAAACAGATAGGTCTTTAGTCAGTTTAGGGAGGTCATAAATAGGCGCAATCCTTCATGGTTTGCTACCATATAAACATGTGTAAGCTCAACCTAGAGGTAGGATGGCTAGACTAAAGATCTTTAGAGATTTGGTGAATCTAATGGATTTCGGTGATTTAGGAGTGAGTTGCAAGTCCGCACGTCGGGCAGGAAAAAAGCCTCACCGCGAAACTAGAAACTCAGGGCTGCATCAATAATAAAGCTCCGTTTACGATCATTATAATGCTCTATAACACAGCCTGGGTAGCTGACTCAAGGCTTACGTCCTATCGTTCAATCTTAAAACTTACTTCGGCGGCTAAACGTAAATCCCTTTGTGAAGTTGACGGCGAACGAGCGCTGGGCCGCAGTCGCGATGAAGCATTTTTCCGACGTGGTCCGGTAGTTTGCGAGTCCGGCGATTTCTGTCACTCGCGTCTGGTGTTGTTCTCGCGTGCGCGGCTCTGCGGGATGGCGTGGTGTCAACGCCTATCGCAGATCTCAAACTCAACAATTATCACGAGTGTTGCTTTTTCAATTTCCAGCAGCAAATTCTCCATTCTCTGTTCTTCAATTCCTGCGCGTCTGTAGAGTACAGCTTTACGAGCTAGTCAGTGGATAGTATGGGTTCAGTAGCGCTCGAAATCACTCCAGAAAATAAATTTATTTTCTGGAGTGATTTCGATGGAACGATCACTACGCAGGACAGTGAGTCGCCGCCTGCTCATCTATCATCCTAGCCGCCTGATATCACCTCTTGAAGCATCACAGGAATCTGATTTGCTCAACTCTACTGCATGTTTTTGACCCATTAGTATCTCATAAATGCTGATGCCCCACAGGCAATGATTTCATGGTTTGTTTGCAACCTACTCCAAGAGGATCAATCGTAACTGGAAGTACAGACCGACAACATCGGCTTCGGACCAGAGAAGCGTCGTCAAGGGAACCGTGATGTCCTCGATGGCAAGATAAGCTTTAGGGATTCCTTCAAAGAGATGATGGACAGTGTCTCAAAGCCCTATCCGGAATGCATTCAGTTCTTGGTAGACAACATCAAGCTTGACCCGCACTTCAAGCCCTTCTTCCGGTGGTGTTTGGACAACAACATCCCCGTCGTTGTCCTCTCGTCTGGCATGGAACCCATCATCAAAGCGCTGCTTTCGGCTTCCCTCGGCGAGGATGCGGAGAAGTTGCAAGTTGTTGGCAACAACGTCCGGGCGCGGCCGGGTAAGAGCATCGATCAGGAGGGAGGATGGGAGCTTGTCTTCCACGATGACAGGTGAGAGTTGCTCAACACTCCCCAATATCGTTCTGCTGATGTCGCAACAGCGGCTTCGGCCATGACAAATCACTCACTATTCGGCCGTATGCGCGACTACCTGAGGATCAGCGACCGACAATGTTTTACGCTGGCGACGGGGTGTCTGACCTTTCAGCTGCAAGGGAGACTGATCTTCTCTTCGCCAAGAAGGGCCACGGTATGCTTCTCGCTCGCTCGGTCTGATTCCAGTATAAGAGGAGAATGCTGATCGCACATAGACTTGGTCTCCTACTGCGTTAGAGAAGACGTCCCATTCACAATCTTCGACGATTTCCGGGACATCATGGTCAAAGTACAAGAGATAGTGTAAGCGTTCGATGTGCGTGATTTGGAATAGCAACTGCTGACCAGATTCCGCTAAGTGCTGGCAAGGTCAGCGTCAAAGAGGCGGCTAAAGAGGGTTACGAGCTCTTCAAGTCCGGCGAGGCTGGAGTTAAGCCGGCGGGCCCACCCCGAGAGGGAGCTAAGGCGACGGCGAAGTAAGATGCACAAAGTGTGCGCTGGAGCGGACTCTGATTAGACGTTGCGTGATGTACATATTGGGTCGAACGGGATATAGGTGTAGACCTATCGGCTCGAAGTAAAAGTCCCAGTAGGGTAACAGTGGCTGTCCCGCAGAACGACGACGCGGTTTGAGAACGTGTTCAGATTGTGTTTAACGGTCGTAACGGAAGTGCCGATCCAGCGCGAGAAGGGGTCGAGTGCATGCATACAATGAGGTACCCTGGTGATTCGTGACGAGTCACCCAGCGTCGGCGATGTCGTCAAACTTTCTTTGTGGTAGTTGTGAGTTGTTCGCTCTGCAGCATTCTGCCGTCGAAAGATGTTGTGGTCAATTGGGCCAAGCATTGTTAGACCATCAAATGGTGCATTACAGTCAATTTGGCGCGACATTCTATGCAAAGTGACCGTTCCTCCTTAGAACAGTGAGTGGTTGGCGGCCATATACGCACTGGGAGGAGTGGTCGTTCAGGAGAAGCCATGATCTCAAATCACATGATCAGAAGCGGCGTTCGGGGTTTGCATGGGGTGCGCTGGTCGCTGCACAACCATCCCACCTCACCAGAAACCCGCGCAGTCCAACCATGAAGCTCGACCTCTCCCACTTCTCCGCGCCAATTCGACGGCTCGCTGCTGGTTGCGGCTGAGTCCTGAAGTCACTTTATATCTACACCATCTCAATCCAGACTCGGATGTAAATCCCTTGCAATGTCCACCATAGACCCCGCAACAGGCCGTCCCCTTCCCCCCGACGCAATCCAACGCATCCTCTACATCGCGCCCAAAGTTCACATCTACAACATCCCACCCGCAACCTCGACGAAAGGCTACACCGCCGCCACCTGGACCGCAAACAACAACCAGCGCCTCATCTTCACCGCGCGGCTCCGCGTTCTCGAGACCGCGGTTCCGGCGCCCCAGTCGTCCAATGCACAAGCCCAGGAGGAGACGGTGACGACGACTTTGCTGCTGGAAGACCCGAGCAGTGGCCAACTCTTCGCTGCGGCGCCGTATACATCCCCTCAAGCTGTTGAGCAGGCGCTGGATAGCTCGCGCTTCTTTGCTGTGCGCGTTGTTGGTGAGGGCGGGCGGAAGGCTGTGCTGGGAATTGGGTTCGAAGAGCGTAGTGATGCATTTGACTTTAGCATCGCCCTGCAGGACGCGAGGAGGGTGTTGGGGTTTGAGGGACCTGCCGCTGCGGTGGCTGGGTCTGGAAGAGCGCAGTCAGGTGGACGGGCAAGGGGCGGGGGGAAGATAGCTGGGGTGGAACCGGAGCCAGAGAAGAGAAATTTTAGTTTAAAGGAGGGGGAGACGATTACGGTGAATATCGGAGGTAAGGGAAGGAAGGCGAGGGAAGATGCGGGAGCTCAAGGTGTAGACAAAACGGCCGTCGGAGGTGGTAATGCGCTCTTCAGCATAAAGCCGCCACCATCGTCTGGGCAAGATGGAGGGGGAGCAGTGCCGTTTCTGCCGCCGCCGCCGAGTGCTGCAGAGGTTAAGGCGGACAGGAGGAGGCGGCCTGCGCCGGATGAGCCGAAGCAGCAGACGGCGCAGGAGTTAGGATTCGATGATGGCGAGTTTGGGGAGTTTCAGTAAGTAAAGCAGGCGAGGTTTGGACCATTGGAAGGCGGATGTTGCAGAAAGCATTCGGTGGCGTCCAAACAGCATTGCGCCGAGAGAACTCTTGTGCTGCGGCAGTTTGTACCACATTTCGGTGCTTATTCTGATGGACCGACGAGAGTAATCCTAAGTAGCGATGCCTAAACTGTTCGTTCAGGTGCAATGCAGGGGTTTGATCGATTGCATCGTGGAGCTTAGCACTGACATTGCCAGACTTGGGGGCGTGATCTTCCAGTACTAAAGGACACCAGCTCAGACCCTACGAAGCTTCGAGGCACGCTTACCAAAAGGGCAATATCGGCTCTTCCGTAAAACGTCGCAGTCTGAGCGAACTCGTTCATACCTCGTTTAGAGCACGGGCGGCATTCGCGATGAAGGTCCTCGTTCAGCGTAAGAGGCAGTCCCGCCGCGAATACAACGACGTACTCGTTGGTTTCATGATTGGCCTCAAGTGTGGTTTTCTCGTCTAAATCCTCTCATAACATTGATACCTTGTCTACTGCGCCCTTGGTCCTACGATGAGCGCGGAGACTTTAGCGGACGTGAGCACAACGGCACAGGTTGAAGAACAGAATGCGATGAGGAACGTGACAAGCGCCAGCATGGCGATGCAGATTAAGAAAGGCTGACTGAGGGACTCTCAAAGGCATCTCGACTATCCTGGCAGTTTTCATATTTGTGTCGTTCCGCAGAAACTGTCCCTCTCCTCATCCGGTGATAACTTCCCTTTCCGCAGAGTGTCGGGCAACTCTCGAAGAGCCGCCGATTGCAGGCTATTACTGAGAAGCTTTAGCGCCCGGGAGACGGTGCGCTGGGCCTGACATGTGACTCCTGGATCAATGTTCCAACATCAATGGTAGGCCCTACTCGTGGCACTCTATTTGCAGAACGCTCGTAGTGGTCAGGGCTAGATGGCTTGCATTGAAAAGACCTTTACTCCTGGATGATGTTTTCTGGTAGCTCGATTCAAGAAGCGTTATAGAGCTCGTTGATATCCTTAAGAAGCGCTTCAACGGATGATCCGCCTTCGCAGTCCTTCCACCGACCGCCGTCTCGAATGCACCGAACCTTGTTGTCCAGGCGGACCTGTTGCGGGTAAGCGAACGAGCACCATCAATCCCGAACTTTAAAACTCACAGTGCAGCTATACGTAACATTCGCCTCTGCACTCCTCTGTACGCTTTCCTTGAGCAGCCCTACCCCATACGAGCCATCATCCTTGCTCATGCAATCATTCAACTTGTCGAAATCAATTCCATACTCCAACGCACAGTCCGTGACAAAGTTTCGTTGCGGTATCAAGCTGTAGTTGTTCGACAAGCACATCGTAAAGCCCAGATAAATCTTCGGGTCGGGATACAGCGACGCTGCGCAGAGCTCGAGGATGTTGCCCAGACACTCGCCCTGTCCGTGTTTGCACTCGACTTCGTCATCGTGGGATGAGACCTTGCCGATATAGGAGAGTGTGAAGTCGACTTTGCCGGAAGCGTTTTGCATGGTGGGGAGGATGAGATCCCGGAGGCAGTCCCGCGCGTCGGGGCATTTGGACATGATGTGGGCTTCGAGCGGTACTTTGGTCTTCGTCGATATGTCTTGCACAGCTCTGTACGCATCGCGTTGGCATTGGAAGCTGGAGAGAAGCCAGTAGAGAGCTAGGACTAAGACGAAGGCTGCTGCGTGGAAGCGGCCCGCGTTGTAGCGGCGGAGGATGTGCCGGTGGGTGCTTTCCGGCGGAGGCATGAGAAGCTCTGTTTTCTCGTCCATGGCTTAGTCTGCTAGTTGCTTGAGACGTTGAGGGCTGAGGTGGTATGTAGGCGCGAAGAAGGACTCGGAGACGTTGTTGCGTACTTGGAATGCGGACGGTGATGCTTCCGACAAGATCGTTCATAGGGCTGCATCTCAATTCCCTGCGACCCCAGGAAATCTCCGCAGCCGCGCAAGCCACCACGATCGGGGAGCCTCAAGTCCCGCATCCTCGCACCCGCATAGTTACATTCGCAGGTCACAGTGCCTTCCCTATATCTCATAGTCCACTCACTCACTTCTGTATGCTGTGGCACTCTTCCTGCACCCTCTTGTCCTTACTGAACCGCCATCGTTTCATTAATTCCAGGGCGGCTAGTGTTGAGCATTTTGAGTAATTCTAGTTTCCGAGCCACTGTGTACAAAAGAGAAGCGTCCACTTCGTTTCTGAATAGATGATTCCGTTCTAGTAGAGGGGTTTTGCCATTACTTGTGGCTCTTCCACATCTGTACCGCCGAGTTACCCAAGGATTATTAGCGAAAGCACATCAGGAAACCTTGCAATTTCAAGCTTCACCCTCTGGAGTCCAATCAACCAGCTCGGGAGCCGGCGGTGAAAAGTGCCTTTCTGGTGTAGTCACTGTTGGTGGAGGCATAGAAAAAACATTCTGCGTCCGACCCGCCCAATATGGAATACCTAAGATATCCCGAATTCACTGGGGACGCCCTCGAACAAGTCTTAGAACCTCTGACATGGCTCATCAACGACAAGAAGCTCCATAACCTTGCCTGCTTGTATGCAGAGACGTTCGCAGACCTTGCGAAAGAGTCAGAAGAGCATTTCCTCCCGACACCAGTGACGAAGCTTCCGACAGGGAAAGAGAAGGGAAAATTCTTGGCAATAGACGTAGGCGGGACTAATCTGAGAGTTGGCTTTGTTGAGCTTCTCGGCAACGACGACACCGCAGCGTCGGAAGGGAACGTGCCTGGCGTTGCGCAGATAAGGAGGTCTCACGAGGAAGCATGGCCGATAGAGGAGCATTTGAAGATGGATAAAGCCGAGGACCTGTTTTCCTGGATCGGCGACTGTATAGCTGAAGTCATCGCAGATGCCATGAATGCGGGAGTGGACGATTTGGGCGATGAGATCGCGCTAGGCATCACCTTCAGCTTTCCCATGAAGCAAGATTCATTATCGGAGGCGACGTTGATGCCTATGGGCAAAGGCTTTGCAATCACATCAGATGTCAACCTGGGAAACATGCTCCTTTCAGGATATGCACGCCACTGTGTGGAGCACATAACGAATGGCGGCGCTCAAGCCGAGAACGGTAGCACGGAACCGTCAACGAAGAGTAGAAAAATCTCTAAACTGCCGAGGCTTCGGGTGGCCGCCATAACAAACGACACCGTCGCTACGTTTGCGTCCTTGGCATACGCCTTCAAGTCGGCTCCCAATTCCAGGGCAGTCATGGGTCTCATTGTCGGTACAGGATGTAACGCCACGATACCAATGAAGCTGAAAGCCCTAAGTGACGCAAAAAGGCAGTCCATAAGACTACCACAAGGCGCAGACCCAGAAGACACCAAAATCGTCATCAACACCGAATGGACGATCAAAGGCACAGACCTACCCCTTGACAGCATAGGCATGAAGACGCATTGGGACGAGGTGCTTGACAAAGCTTCAGACGCACCGGGCTTCCAACCATTCGAGTACATGACCGCAGGCCGCTATCTAGGCGAGCTCGTCCGGCTTGTCATGGTCGACTTCATGGGCCGTCGCGGTGGAGGGAAAGGAATGCCCACTGCCTTGAGGAAGAAGAACTCTATATCGACAACATTCCTCGCCACTGTGGTCGCGCAAGACGATGATGACCTACTCTACGAAAAGCTGGACGAGATGTTTCCCACTCCATCCAAGAATAGCAATTTCGAGTGGTCGGTGGAAAAGGTGGAGATGCTTCGAGGCGTAGCCCGTGCAGTGCAAGTCCGGTCCTCAGCGCTAATTGCCGCTGCTACTGTGGGACTTCTCGCGTGCGTAGGGGAGATCGATCTGGAGGACCCGGAAGCCAAAGGTCCCGGCTTCAGCAGACGTGGCAATGACGATCCTACGGAAGGTATCGACGTCTCCGGCGCTGTGGAGGAGTTGGTAGTCGGATATACCGGCGGGACCATCTCGCGGTATCCGGGCTTCTTGGAGACTTGCCAGAACTGGATAGACAATCTGGTCAGCAAGGGCTCGCCGAGGAACGCTAAGAAGCGGGTGGTGCTACGGGAAGCCACGGATGGGGGAATCATAGGCGCTGCCGTGCTGGCTGGGACCACCTTGAACGGCTCGTGAACTTGTGCGCCCGAGAGTGTGGATACGGTTTGCACCGCCCAGGATTGCGAATTGCAGCCAGTGGTCGTCTTCTGGCCGAGTGGGTTATCTCCGTGAGCGTCCCCGCATCGGGATCATGGCATTGAGGACGATAGCCAATGGAAACGAAAGGTTCAGAAACTCCGGCGCGGTTCATGCCTTCTGCCATGTGTCTATTCTCCGTTGGCCGCATGGCTCCGATTTGCCAACAAACACTGCGCTTTGGAACATACCCCGTGGCGGCACCCTCATCGTCAGACCATTGCGCCAGTGAAGAGCGGCTATAGATCTTGACGGTGTGTCAGTCTTGCTTCTGGTCGTCTTGGAAAACGTCCAATCTCGGGGCCCTCCTTGTACATACCTCTACCTCCCTACTTAGACTACTTCATTGCCTCGGTCTGTGTGACTCTAGTCTTTTTGAACAAGGGCGCACCGTGAAAGGTCTACGCTCGGTCTTGATTCAGAGGGCAAGCATATGCGAATGACATTAGGTACCGTTGTATCTGCGTCCTGCTCTCAATACACAAGCCTAAGCTATGGATGTGCAATAGTCACTTGCAAAGGTACACTCCGCCTCCCTGCCCTTGAGACTAGCACGCCGGCCCCGTCCTTATGTTTCGGTCTGCGGTAACGTCTGATGGTGAAAGGGGAGAGTTGGCACGCAGCTATTGACGGGCTGTCCTAGATCTTGGACTGGCTTCGGCCATGAATCTGGTTTACCAAATAGTTTACTAAATGGGAGGTGATGGAGTAGATTAGAGGAGCGAGGCAGTCTAACCTGGTGACTGAGGGAAACATCTCATGCAATGGTGGTGTGGTGATTGCGAAGCTGAAGCATTGACACGAAATTTGTTGGACATGGTTCGAGTGCGGACAACAGGAGACAGCGAATGGAAAACACATACCATAGCCGTACACAAAACTCGTGGACATCCGGCAAGGGACTGTAATTGAAAACTCCCAAAGGATGGGGTATTTCCTCTAGATGTACAATGCCCAGGGTGCTCAGGCACCGTCACGAATCTATGAGAGCCCAGAGAATGCACGATAGCAACAAACAGCGATTATCTGACCGGCACTCAAGTCGATTTCCATGCAGGGTTCTACGAAAAGTTAGCCGTTGAACTTATCACATCGTGATCGCTAGGGAGAAGGCGAGCTTACCTTCCGCAGAATTACCACCCCCTCCAACGTACTGCTCAGACTGATATACTGCTCATCCTCCAACTCTGCCCTCTCACCATACGCCAGCAGCACCGGCGAGCTCTGCGTCTGCCACCCCGTAATCGTCTTCGGCCTGCCAGCCTGCCCCACAACATCCACCGCCTGGCCGACGCGCACATTGACAGTTAGCGGGTTGAGCTCCTCGTCCAGCGTGATCAGGAACCTTGGATACATGGCTGTGACCATGTAGTAAAGGAGATAGTGAGATTCGGCAAGCACGAACTGCTTTGCGTCGATCAGGGAGACCAGCACGGTGAGCAGACCAGCCGCCGCAACACGCGACAGGACTTGTCGGTCCGTGTGGAAGGGGTTGACGGAGAGTGTGCCCTTGCCCATGTGCAGCAGCCCCTGCGCTATCCGCACCATGAACAGCGCATTCGCGTCGCGGTGGTAGTAACTCGCCAGCTGTCTTAGCAGCTGCGCCAACCTTGCATTATTCGTCCCCGCACCCAGGAGTCCCATAGCGAAGATAGCATTAATAGCGACATCATTGTCGTTATCGTGGCTGTATCTCGAGAGCGTGTCGTATACCTTCATCTGGGGGTTGCTGGGGCTGATGAGGCCCATAGCCAGCGGCACCGTTCTGCGGATGTTGGCTTCGCCGTAGTGCATCAGGTGGCCGAACTGCCGGAGCACCATCTCCTGCCCGACTTCTTCGCCCATGGCGACGAGGGAGAGGCCGATGACGGCGTAGGCTTGGAGGAGCTCGTCGCCTTTCTTCTCTTCGTTGTCGTCTTCAATGTGCTCGTTGCAGATGTGGAGGAGCTGCTGGAGCTTCAGGACGGCGCCGGTACCGGCCCAGGCGCAGACTTCTGCGAGGACTGAGGTTGGCTTGGACATGGGGTGGTCGAGGACTTTGAGGGTTTCGAGGATGACTTCTACTTCCTCTTGCTGCCCGAAGAATAGGAGCGCGAGGCCTAAAGCCATGAACCGTGTCCACTTGTCCTTGAGTTGCTTCTCTCTGTCCTCGTCTAGGAAGGTCTGGATGATGGTTTCGCTCACGTCGCTGTTGGCTGATCCGACGAATACTAGACCTAGCGAGAGGGCGGCCATTGCGGAGATTTGCATGTCGAGGTCGGTGTCAGTCACGATGGGGAGGAGTTGATTGAGCACCGCTTCGTTGTTGGATCCGGCGTACGCTATGCCGAGACCCATGATCGAAGCCACTCGAATATGCAGATTCTTGTGGAAAATACCAGAGTCAGAGTCCTCTCCTAGAAGGGCCAATGCAGGATCCGAGTCCATCCGTACGCCTGAGTTCATGATGCCGTAGGCAAGGTTTGCGCCGGCCTTGATGTAGTTGTCCGAGATGTTTGTGTAAGGATCGATCTTGTCCAGGCCTGTCTCAACATCCCATTGCAGCAGCGTGCCCAGCGAGGCAGCGGTTGACAGCATGCCCTCGTCCTTGGTCTTCCATACCCAGCTGCTCTTGTTCTCGTCCGTCAGAAGCATCTTATCGGAGCTGAAACCGGCGTTGACGAAGGCATTGACGAATGCGCTTGCAAGATTGTGTCGAGCCGAATCCGTGTTGGTCAAGCCTGCGGTCCTACTGCTTTCAAGGTGGGTCTTGTAGATGTCCTCTGGCGTCTTCGGATCCAGGATGTTGAGTTCTTTGCCCAGAGCTTTGAAGTAGTCCGATAGCCGGGTATTGTTCAAGCACTCCGCCAACTGGTCGTCCTCCTCTCCCTCGGGCAGGTCGAGAACTATGCGCTGTCTGGCGATGAGGAAAGCCATTTGCCTTTTGGCCGATTTGTCATCGGTTGAGTTGAGGCACTCTTCGATCAATTCCTTGTCGTTGAGCCGGATCGCGAGTACTATGGCCTGAGTGTGTTGCTTGTACTGTCGATACGTCTTGTACGCGGTGCGGAGAAAGCGGTCGTTGTCGGGGTATGTGAGCAAGGGGACCATGCTGTTGGTTTGCCTGTTAGCGATTCGATCTTTCAGCAGGCTCTGTCTTGAGAACACTCACCTGACCATGTACAGACACACTCTAGGGTAGGTGTTCTCGTCCAGGTACTGTACAATCTGCTCGATCATCTCCAACTCGCTGAGTATGTCCACTGCGTCGGCTTCCGCATTGTGCTTGAGGAAGAACGGGACGAGAGTAAGGGCAAGATCGGTGAGTTCTTCTGTCGGTTTGTCCTCATTCATTCGGTTCTGGAACTCTTGCCCAATCTCCAACGCCAAGTGTCGCATGTATTCGTGACCCCATGATCCCAGATCGTGCGAAGGTGAGAGTAGTCGGTATTTCAAGCAATCGTGGCGGTTCTCGTCGGAGTAGGTCATGCCGAGGACTGAGAGCATGTCTGCGAGCGAGGACTGAGGCATTGTCAGTACCACTCAAACATCAAGATGGTGTCAGCCCTACCTTATCGTCACCCTCTGGCCATGATTCGTACGTCTTCTCCAGGCTCTCGTAGTGTGGACGTAGGAACTTGAGCGGCTTGGGCACCGCTGTCATCGACGACGTCGAGGTCTTGATGAACTCCTTGATCTTCTCGAGCGCCGGCCTGTACAGACTTGGGTCATCCCCTTGTATCCGCTCCACAAGCATGTCCAGGTCGCTCTTGAGCTGCTGATCCTCCTCGCTGAGCTCTTCCGGCGGTAGGTCCGGCTTTGCCCCGTTGGTTGTAGCCTTTCCATCTTTGTCTGCCTCGGGGTGATTTGGATGCTCTTCACCGTCCACTGCTTTTCCCTTACCCTTGTCGGTAGCTGTGGGCTTCCCATCCTCCTTCGCCATCTTGGGAGCTTTGTGTGTGGGGAGAGTGGCTGAGGGCGTCAAGGACGGTGCTGGTCTTGGATCAAGATCGGAGTACGCAGCGTCGAGGTGTGTCCGAGCAGTTTGGTGTAGGAGAATGTGAGAGGAGTGGTGGAGATGGAGAAGATGGAAGGTGCTGGCTGTGTATGTAGCTATCGATGCGCGTCTGACGGAAACCTTTGGGAGCTCCGTCGCCTCGCGTTGTCCCGAAGATCAAGCGGCCGCCTTACAGAATAATTTCTGGCGACGACGCAATGCCTTTGAATCACGAAGACCATATACCCGTAACTCGAAACTGACTGTTTCGGCGCCGTCAATATGAAGCTCGACACCCGGGCAATCCGCTACCTCACCGCCGAGGACTGGCGTGTCCTCGTCGCAGTACGTCCTCCAACCCTTTCGGCCGCAGCTCTCGGAACTAACAGCTGATGAGGCCTCCGCAGGTGGAGATGGGTAGTAAAAACCACGAAGTTGTCCCCACGCCCCTGATTGCGCAAATATCCGGTCTCCGCGGCGGCAGCGGTGTTCACAAATCCATATCGAACCTCGCAAAAATAAACCTGATCGGCAAAGTGAAGAATGCGAAGTATGACGGCTACAGACTCACATATGGCGGCCTTGACTATCTGGCGCTGAACACGCACCGTAAATCTTCGGCTATCTACTCGGTTGGGAACCAAATAGGAGTTGGCAAGGAGTCAGATATCTATGTCGTTGCATCCAACAGCGGCGTCCAACGAGTCCTCAAAATCCACAGGCTTGGCCGTATCTCCTTCAGGACCGTCAAGGCAAACCGCGATTACCTGCGTAACCGATCTAGCGGTTCGTGGATGTACATGAGCCGTTTGGCAGCCCTGAAGGAATACGCATTCATGAAGGCGCTCAAGGACAACAACTTTCCGGTCCCGGAGCCCGTCGCGCAAAGCAGGCATACGGTTGTCATGAGCCTGATTGACGCTTTTCCACTACGCCAAATTTCAGAGGTGCCGGATCCGGCGGGTTTGCACGCGGAGCTGCTGGCTATGATCATGCGGCTTGCGAAGTACGGGCTTATTCACGGTGATTTCAATGAGTTCAACATCCTCATCAAGGAGGAGACGGCTACGGAAGCTGAGACAAATCCGTCCGCCACTCGCCAGGCGGACGCTGTTGCTACCGATCCATCCGGCGAACCGTCCGCCAATGCGGATGCACCCTCAACAACCGACGCCCCCCACTCGCAAATCAACCTCGTGCCCATCCTCATAGACTTTCCCCAGATGGTCAGCATAGACCATCCCAACGCCGCCTACTACTTCGACCGCGACGTAGCGTGCGTAAAGCGCTTTTTCGAGCGGCGCTTCCACTTCACCAGCGATGAACCGGGCCCCTTCTTCTCTGACGCCATTAAAGACGTTGGCAAAGACGGTGCCCGCAGACTGGATGTCGAAGTCGAGGCTAGTGGCTTTAGCCGAAAGATGGCGAAGGAGCTTGAGAGCTACATGAAAGAAGTCGGCGTTGATGGGGACGGTGCGGCAGCTGATGGAGAGGGCAGTGACGAGGAAGCGGAGGAGGTCTCGCAGGACGCGACCAACGACAGCAGCGATCGCGTCGAAGGCGATGCACGAGAGGATGCGCACATCGATGCTCAAAGGTCACCCTTGGCTGCGGATGATGACCTCGTTGGCGGCATGCAGGTCCTTGACATTCAGGATGATGCGGCCGAAGAGCACGAGCCAGCGCCGATACCCCTTGCGCCTGCCAAAGCGGCACAGTCCAAGCAGCGAGCCGCAAAGAAGGCGGCTGGTTGGGCCATCTGAGCTACATTCCAGGCGGGCGTCAAGCCGTGACTTCGAGCCTTCAAGCGTAGCACTTTCTTCAGTGCCTAGATGCACATGCAGCCTGAGGGCCTCATGGTGGAACCACCGGGTGGGCACTAGACCTGTGAGCTGCAAAGAAGCAAGCGTAGATGAGTTGCTCAAGAGCTGCCAGGTTGTTGCTGATCAGAGAGTAACCCGGGTGAAAGCTCGGCAGGTAACAAGGAGAAGCCTTGGAGCACGGTGGAGGACTGTGCGAGACAGGGTTTAGGAACATATTGGGGTTCGCACAACGATCAACAACGTGTGACGAAACGTGGCTGCAACTGAGATGTCTTCATGCACTCATACATATTCAGAGCGCGTAGACAACTATCCAAGCTATCAAGCCTACCAAAGCCCCAACAAGCCCTGCCACGATGACCACCGCAGTAACGCCAATACGGGGCTTCCGTGGCCTGCTCATCATGTCAGATATCTCTTGCTGCAAGCGCTCCGCCATCTTCTCTTTGGAGAACTCAGCTTTGACTCGCTCCCGCCCCTTATGTCCCATCCGCTTTAAGCTTCCCTCCGCGTCCCCCTCAACCAAAACTTGTCTCATGACCTCTGTCCACTCTTCCAACTTCCCCACATCCCTCAGCCAGCCCGTCTCCCCATCCACCACCGTCTCAGTTGGGCCGCCCTCATTAGCCGCAAGCACCGGTATGCCAGCGAGCATCGCCTCGAGCGGCACGATGCCGAAGTGCTCGTTGCGCGGGGTATAGATGAGCAGTCGTGAGGAGCGCAGAAGCGTGGACTTGAACGTGTTCGGCACAGAGAGCAGGAAGAGCACCTGGACGTCTGGAGAAATCGCGAGAGCGCTGACGACGGTCCTGGCGGTGGCGACCTTGAGACCTAGAGATTCGGCGAGGGTGCAGAGTTCGGTGTGGTAGGAGCTGTTTTCGTGGACGCGCTGGTCGTAGCCGCCTGGGTGTCGGGTCAGCTACTGGCAAGTGTGTGGAATAAAAGTAGCCCCCGGACTAGAGACATACCAGCAATAACAAGCCTCGTGCCCTCCCTCTCCCCTTCACTCAGTCCCGCAAACGCGCGTATCGCTAATCCAACATCCTTCTTGCGCTCAAACCGATTTATGCTAAGCAGCACCTTCGTCCCACTCCACAACCCCTTGTCCAGCTTCTCAGCGTCATCGTCGGACTTCACATCCACGCATGGATAGATAACCGCCGGCTGTCTGCCCCATAGGCCGGGAAAGGCATCCCCAAACACGCTTCTCGTAAACTTGCTATTGACGACAATCGAGTCACTGCATCCCGTGCTCCAACTCTCAAGCCAGTCAAATGGCGCGCGGTAGAAGCTCTTGACCCATCCGCCTTTCTTGGCTAGAAGCTTATCAGGAAAGTGGCAGTAGAAGAGGACCCTCGCGTTAGGCTGCAGCAGGCGCAGCAAGGGCACTCCGGCGCTCAGCTGGTCAACGAAGAAGACCGTCGACTGCAGCCTGCTGAGTTCGGACGAGAAGACCGAGATCTGCAGTATCAGATGCAGCTGACGGAGAATGGCGCACAGGATCGCGAAGCGGCCAAGGAGGGAGGGCGGGACGAGGGTGTTGCCACGGACGCGGACGTCGAGGGTTCCTTTGGGATGGTCTCAGCTACCTTCGATGTCATGAGCAAATACTTGAGTAGGAATGCAGGGGTCGATCACGTACCGTCGCGAGCTTCGTCAAAGCAGTGCTTGGGATCGCAGTGGGAGGTAAATATGGTCACTGTGTGGCCTAGCTTCTGCAGTCCGACGGCGGCATCGATGACAAGACGCTCTGCGCCACCGATGCCGAGATCGGGGTGGAAGAACACAATGTTCAACCTCTTGTTCGCCATACCACGGTTATATTAAAGCAGCTCGGAAACAACCCTCATTCATGGTAGGTACGAGGATAGGGATGGAACAACTTGATGTCCGGCGCTTAACGTTTGCCGCGCGTCTGGCAGATTGTCCGTTAACTGACTCGCGTCACTCGCGTCACACGCTGCCTGTCACACCTTGTTTGTCCAGGTCTTGTGCAGGAACAAACAGGAACAAACGTCGTATCGAAGCCCGCAAGTCATCCGGAGCGGACTTGCTGGCATAGACGTTCGATTTCAGCTCTTGTGAGGCGGACGAACATGGCTGCTTCCTCGTTGGGACGGCCTCCTCGCCTTGATCAACGATAACAGGACCATTACCTTCAAGTTAGACCATCATGGGGCAAGGCTACTCCCTCACGACCCTTTCGGCAGGGTCGGCGACTATCGATGTGCCGGAGCTGTCAGATCTTTCCTACGAGAAGTCGCTGGGAGATGGACGTTTGATGAAATGCATACGGGCACGGCATCGAAACGGCTTGGTTGTCGTAAAAGTGGCCATGAAGCCCTACGCGAGCATGAAACTGGACCGCTATGTCAACGCGCTCTTGGAAGAGCGCAGAGAACTGGCCCAAATACCAAATGCTCTGGCCTACCATCGGATTCTGGAGACACCCACCAACGGATATCTCATCCGCCAGTATATCCACAGCTCACTTTATGATCGCATGAGCACTCGACCATTCCTAGAGGACATCGAAAAGAGATGGTTGGCGTTTCAACTGCTGTGTGCTGTGCGGGACTGTCACGCTCGGAACATTTACCACGGCGACATCAAGACAGAAAACATCCTGGTAACCTCGTGGAACTGGTTGTACCTAGCGGACTTCTCGTCCAGCTTCAAGCCGATTTACTTGCCGGAAGACAATCCTGCGGACTTCTCTTTCTACTTCGACGCTTCAGGACGGCGTACTTGCTATGTTGCGCCAGAACGGTTCCTAGGTGCTGGTAGCTCGAACGAGGGCACCGGCAAGCTCACTTGGGCCATGGATATCTTCAGTGTCGGCTGTGTGATCGCTGAGATCTTCCTTGAGACACCGATTTTCAACTACAGTCAGCTGTTCAGATACCGCGCCGGCGAGTATGAGCCACAACATGTGCATCTGAACAAGATCGAAGACAAAGCTGTCCGCGAACTGGTGCAGCACATGATCCAGCTGGAACCGGAGTCAAGATATTCGGCCGAGGAGTACCTCAATTTTTGGCGCCAGAAGACATTTCCCGACTATTTCTTCAACTTTCTGCATCAGTACATGTACACCATTACGGATCCCTCGTCCGGCCATGGACCGATAGGATCTGAGAAATCCGAAGAGTCAGATAATCGCATTGACAAGATCTACTACGATTTCGACAAGATAACATATCTCCTTGACAATGATGCTGACAGCGAATCGATCAAACCGCGAGAGTCCACCCCGAAGAAATGGAATGATGTTTTCCCTCTCCACATAGACATTCCAAATTACCAACATCAAGCATCTGCTTCCATGAGCCGGACAGTCGACGACGGCACACTAATGTTCCTGACGGTGGTTGTTGCGGCGCTTCGAACTACAGCTCGGGCGAAAGCTCGCCTCCGAGCCTGTGAGTTGATGCTGGCTTTTGCCGAGAGGTGTACCGATGAGGCAAAGCTTGACCGCATACTACCTTATTTGGTCTCTCTTCTCAATGACAAGTCCGACATGGTCAAAGTGACGGCTCTCCGGAATATGACACAGCTTGTAAGTGTACTGCCTGCTCTAACATCAAAGCAATGAATCTGATATGAGCTAGATAGACCTTGTGTCGGTTGTCTCGCCGACAAACGTGTACCTGTTCCGTGACTACCTTCTATTACAGTTACCGTTTGGGAACGAAGCCTTCATGAAGCCCAGCCAGTTGGTGCGAGCAGCGTATGCATCTTGCCTGGCTCCATTGGCAACTACAGCATCAAGATTCTTGGACATGATGCAGGCCTTACGAGCTGATGGCTCATTGCCGAGTTCGGGTTCAGAAGGTGAGGAAAACGGAGCAGGCCATCATACGTTCCGTGAGCTCTTCGACAGTGCCCGGGTCGATCTCCTCAGGCACTTCGAGGTTCCTACGAAGGCTCTCCTCACAGACAGGGAGTCTGCGGTCAAACGGGCTTTCCTAGGATCGGTTTCTAATCTCTGCGTCTTCTTCGGAAATCCCAGAGCCAATGATGTCATACTTAGCCATCTCAACACCTATCTGAATGATAAAGACTGGATGCTGAAGTGTGCCTTCTTCGAGACTATCGTTGGTGTGGCAACCTACGTAGGCGGTGCAAGTCTCGAGGAGTTCATACTACCGCTCATGATCCAAGCTTTGACTGACCCTGAAGAGTTCGTTGTCGAGCGGGTAATCACATCTTTGGCCTCCATTGCACAGCTGGGTCTGTTCCAGCGCTCAAAGACCTGGGAACTTGTCGACGTTATCGGACGCTTCACTGTTCACCCGAATATATGGATCCGAGAAGCAGCAGCTCAGTTTGTGTCCTCTGCTACCACGTATCTCTCAACTGCCGATAACCACAGCATCATCGTACCACTAGTCAAACCCTACCTCAAAGTGCTTCCTACCGAGTTCTCTGAGATAAAGCTCTTAGACTCGTTGAGGAAACCCCTTCCTCGGCCTGTGCTGGATCTAGCATCTACCTGGGCTCTACAGGGCGACAATGGACTATTCTGGAAGCCAGCACAGCAGCAACGGACCTTCTCATTCAGTTCAGCAAACGAGGCTGTACCCACCGTATCGGCTAGAGACCTAGGGCCAAAATCTCTTTCGAGAGTACCGAAGAATGAAGACGATGAAAAATGGCTTGCACGCCTCCGCAGTATTGGAATGACCGCGGATGATGAGTTCAAGCTCATTGCTTTGCGAGAGTACATCTGGAAATCAGCCCGCCGGAAAAAGATGGAAGAGTCTACGCCGACGCCACCCATCTTCAATGACATTGTGAAGCTCAAAGATCTGGGGATCAATCCCCAGATCGTCTTCTTCGATCACAATGTAGACCTCCTGAGCCCAAATGGCCAAATGCAATATGCGGAGACAAAACCTCACACGATTGCTGACGCATTGCTTGACGCGTCGACAACAGCGGACGATGCCAACGCTCACCACGTAGCACCCCGTACGAACGGACATACCGACCGTCCGAACAGTAACGGGTCCGCTGCGCTAGAACCACCAGCTCTGCCAACGTCACCAGGTCAGCTTGAAGGGGTCTTGTTCCCCTCTTCAAAATCTAGCCCTCATCGGCGGTCTCTCCAGGTGCCTAACAGAACCTCGAAAGACACTGCGCATGATGGAATGCCATCCTCCCTGGAATCGGATGGAGACCTGAGTCTTGGATCTCACAATCACCCGATACGAAACAAGAGCATTGCTATCAATCTAATAAGCCGAAATCAACCACCAAGCAAGGCCGAGGCCGAGACCTCGACAACATCTGCAACTGCCTTCGGTAAAGTGGATGGATTGCAACCGCGCGATGGAACTCTTCAAAGGAAGCCGTCGCCGCTTGCATTGGCGCAACAGCAGCATCGATCACTGGCGAAAGAAGGGAAGTATCAGGCAGTCCACACGTACACTGGCCACGATCCCAGTGTTCTGAAGCTTCTCGATTCCTTCTACCTTGAGAACTATCCGGCAGATTACGTGGAGTTTGGCCCATTAGTAACGCCAATGAGTGGCAGGCAGCCGATCAAGCGCAGCAGTGGGCTCAACTCATCTATTCCTTGGAGACCTGAAGGCAACCTCGTCGCAACGATGGGAGAGCATACGGGTGCCATCAACCGAGTGGTTGTCGCTCCTGATCATGCTTTCTTCATCACCGGCTCTGACGATGGATCGGTGAAGGTATGGGATACTGGTCGCTTGGAGCGGAATGTGGCACACAGATCTAGGGCGACGTACAAGCACGCTGCAGGGGTCGCGGTCACAGCCCTGGCTTTCATCGAAAACACGCATTGCTTCATCAGTACTGGGAGCGACGGTAGCGTGCATGTGGTTAAGGTCGATTACTCGGAAGGCAACGAGGCTCGAGGGCCACGATTCGGCAAACCAGTAATGCTACGCGAGTACCACTTACCTGAAGAACACGCGGTGTGGGCGGAGCATTTCAAATCAGACAGCCAATCGATACTCATGCTAGCTACCAACAACTCGCGCGTCGTGGCAATAGAGTTGCGGACGATGACTGAGCTGTACGAGCTCAACAATCCCATTCACCACGGCACGCCGACCTGTTTCTGTATCGACCGCAAACACCACTGGCTACTCCTCGGCACTACACACGGCGTCCTCGACCTCTGGGACCTGCGCTTCCGGCTGCGGCTCAAAGGCTGGGCCTTCTCGGGCGCCTCGCCCATCCACCGCATCCGCATGCAAACGCTCAAGGGCTCGCACAAGCGCGTCTGCATCGCGGGCGGAACAGGCCAAGGCGAGGTCACGGTCTGGGACATCGAGAAGACGACCTGCAAAGCGATCTACCGCACTAAGGACTGCAAGGACACCAGCAAAGGCCACACCCTCATTGACGTCGACGAAGAGCGCCCGGGCGGCATGCTCAGCCGCTTCGCGACCAGGAACCTGGAGCCCAGCAGCGGCGGCACGGATCGTGGCATTCGCGCTCTGGCGCTCGGCACGCATGTCCCGGAAGATGGCTCGGAGCCGAGACATTTCTTCATGCTGACTGCTGGCCCGGACTGGAAGGTCAGGTACTGGGACACGAACCGCGATCGCGTTGAGTCGTCCATGGTCATCAGCGGGCTGGGACTCGAGGAACCGAAGCCGGTGTACCGTGCCAAGCCGACGGCGACGGAGACGATCATCGTGCAGGAGATGACGCCGGAGCAGCTGGCTGCGGAGGTGGAGGGTGAGCAGGGGGGAAAGAAGGGTGCTTCGGGCAGGGCAGGGGAGGGGAGGGCGGGATCGTCGAACTCATCGGGGAAACGCGACGCGGGGAAGAAGCCATCGAGGTCTTCGCTCATGTCGCTGCAGCAGCAACTTTTGCTCAAGAGCCACCTCGATACTATTACGGACGTTGCGTTGTTGGAGCATCCGTATGGGATGGTTGTCTCGGTGGATCGGTCGGGCGTCATCTATGTATTCCAGTAGTGTTGTGGGCTCGGAACTTTTTATGATCCTCTTCGGTGGGAGCCGGAAGTGCTGGCCGTCAGCTCCCTCGCATCTAGTAGGAACTGGGATTAAATTCAGGGTGCTTGATGTATATCGCTTCCCTCTAGAGCTTCTGGTTTAATATGCTTGCCACAGTTCGCCTACCAATTAAAGGTGCACGCAATGCGGCCTTGTTGTAATCCATCATAGCAAAGCTTCGAGGACCTGACCAGTGAAATAGGCAATGTCAGTACCAACATGCTACGCATGGATAGGTTGGATTTTTAGTGACCATATTACTACTAGGTCGCGCCTGCAAAACAAAAGCTCACGAGTTGTGAAGCCGAAATAAAGGGGGCAAGAGGCAAAAACATACAGCAGTAGGTATTCGCTAGTGGTCACCCACCTACCGATAGGATAATTGCGCGCGGTTATAGGTTTCCTTTCCTGTTCTAGTAGGTAAGTATCGTCGCCCTACGCTCGCGCGAGCTGAGGTAAGTATAAGTAAGTATAGGTGATTCCTCACCCTAGCTTATTTATGTCTCGGAGGGCGCCTAAAAAGGCTCTCTCATATCTGAGTTAAGTAGAATAGTTAGCACGATTAGCTCTAGGGTTTAAAAATATAAAATGTTATTCCACAATCGTAATCTATAGATACACTATAGTTTATTACTCTTAGCTTACTCTTAGCATATCTACTACTTAGACTATTTACCTTCTACTTAGATGCTCTAGAGCTGCCGGCGTAGCACTAGCGCGGAATCCTTAGTGTCTGTATTTCGTCTTAAGGATGTATTCACGAGAAGTAACAAAACTGACGCTGCTTCAATAATGATGTGGGTCTTTCTACCCTTGATTAATGTCAATGGACAGTTTATCGCGCTAATGTTAGCCACTATAGTTGTTTGCATGCTATAGCTTCGTATAGACCTCGAATAACTTGTTCTCCTTGTGTTCGTTTTTAGATTATTGTTATTGTCTGAAACGAATCGGAATCTGGGAAGGCAATGTTGCTGTCCTCTACATCCATATCAAACACACCAATGCGGCGGTAACAAGTTTTTCGGTCAGTGTCGTCTGGCTCTGCCAATGCGAGTAGCAGCCCCACTAGCTCTGGGTGGTACTCTATGTTTGAGTCTTCCGTCTTTAGAACGGTGACTTTCGCCAGTAATAGCATCCATATGTCTGTGATCTGCCCCGACTCATGTGCTCCTGCGTCCTCGGGCAGTGGCTCATCCATTCGTCCGAAAGCAATTGTGCGACCGTCGAGAACGATGTCCTGGAAACTCGCGAACGTTTCCACTACTTGAATTGCTCTCGCCGCCCACTTTGATGGCCGAGTCAGTACCTGGGTTTTACGAAGGTGTTTGAGCTTGCCAGACAAAGTCAGGTAGCCACTCGTGACCGGACCCATTGGGTCATTGCCTAGAACGGTAGTTCTCGTATCGATGACTTTACACTGCTCGACAACGGAAATATTACGCCTGTTCATGAGTGCGCGATCCCAAGTAACAGCGCCAAGACGGGAAGTCCATGACCAGGACGGGCCTCTGTAAATGTTTGGTCTGTCCCTTACACCTGGGTACCAAAGAAGGCCAATAGCAAGGTCATCGCGCCAAAGACCGGCAAGGTAAACATCGCCACCTAGTGCACACTTTACGATACGCGCGAGTCCAGATATGGCCGGTAGTATATCGTTTGGGAACGTCAGTTGTCGGTCTGAATATTTATAGACTTTGCGGTACCAAAAGCTGTATGCCTCGCTTTCCGCCTGATAAGGCTTCAAGACTTTGCGTAAAGCGCTGCTTATAACTGGAAGGCTTGCATCTGTGCACTCTTGCCTAAGACTGTCCCGACATTGAAAATGCAGCATGGATGTACCGAAGTATAGCACTCTTGTAGATAAAATCTCTTCTTGAAATGTCCAGCCACGCTTGCTCCATGGACAAGTCTCTACAGCGTCGTACATCTCACTTTGGAGTTCACCCGCTCTTAGAAAATAAGCACCCACGATCTGAGAATTAATAGACCGGCAAGGTACCTTGAGAGTCGGAGGCGCTAATTTACGGCAGAGGAACCCATCATGTGATGATGCAGCGGACATTGCGGCAATAGTGAGGTAAGAGTGACTGTACGTATCTATCATTCGTATAGCTTCCTTCTCCCAGTCACTGGTGTTATCCTGAATAATGCATAACGAGTCGATCCAAAGGTAGCGGAACTCAAGAGCCCGAGCTATTATAACGGCATCCTGGAGAGTTTGCGGCATCTCACACAATGGAATGGTGAGAAGCATCTTGTTATAGTTATTCGTGGTAGTCTTAAGTAGCGGCCTACTCGATGAAAGAGGGCCCCAGCAGTAGCTTAGAGCTATGTAGCGGGACGATTTAGGATCGCATGAGGAAAGGCCCGAATTATGTGTCTCAATCAAGCGAGGTTCGAGTAACCCACTGTGGTCGCCAACGTCAATCAACCTTGAGGGGAGGTAGCCGAGAGTCTCCTGGCATGATTTGTGACATTTCGCGCAAACTTCAATCCAGCTTTTAATCACGCTAGCGTTACTTAGCGACAATAGAGGCCCACGTAAGGGCCGGCGATAAATCTGCAGGTATTGCGCGATAGGGTTTTCTAACAACCTTAGTAATTCATTTGACCTCTTAAGCACGAAGTGAAATACCGAGCTCAGCTAACACGTCAAACGTCACATAAGGTTCGAAGTCCGCAGGATAACCGAGGCACGAGACCGAGTCCGGGATGTCCAAGTCAAACCGTAGATTGGAAGGGCCGCTGCGTGATGGGTCGTCATGTGCTACATCCTGCCTGGCAAGACCACGGCGTATGTTTCGGAAATACCGAAAGCGCTGTATGGTTACTGTACGGCTAGCCTGCTGGAATTCAAGCAGTTCTTCGAATATTGGTGAATAGAACGTCTTGATGGCATCCATAAGAAACCTGCAAAAGTCGCAGCCAGTCCTGGCCGACGCTTCGAGAACCGGGAAATCAGGATAGGTGTCATGTCGTATATAGTCGGATCCGAAGTCCAGTTCGTCCCACTTTAACACTGTGTTGCCTGTAGAATTTGTAGCCTCGTAGCCTCCCCATTTACCATTATCGATGATAATGGATTCGCACTGCTTGCAGAAGCTGGTGGATGCCATTCTAGCCTGTTGTCGAAGCTCAGAGCACTAGGCCGCGGTAGGACTGATCTTTGTCAGCAGACATTATTTCGTCCATGACAACAAGTATGAAATTGGAGTCAAACCGGAGATAATAAATGCCCCCTAAGAGTGTTCTAGTGAGGAATGCTTACGCCGTACAGCTAGGTGAAGTTCTTGTTTGTAAGAAACGACGGAGAGAATCTCGAGTAGTACGGATAGACGTTCTCCACGATAGAGTAAGTGGTATAAGTGCACACACCGATAACTTCGAAGGATTGAAGGTGGTTGAATTTAGGCAACAGCCGTGGCGGAAATTTAGCTAAAACACCGCAGCGCAATTATACCCGAGCCCAGAGGGGAGAGCTACAACAGGCTCCCCTTGCGTTGCTCAGGGGTGCTTAGCCTAGCTCAGGCTGTCTACACTGCCACCACAAAAGCCTAGTTACTCGTTGAGATTTTGACTTTGTCTTGTCACCCGGAGCTTCTTAGTATTGGCAGCAGCAGAGGAACCCTCTTATCAACTGGGAGAGAAAGCAAGACACAATCACAATTGATGTCGTCAGAGCGTTATGAGGGTGTCTCCTTCTCCATTGTCGTTGAACTCGTAGATACTATCCTTGCCATGACGTGCTGCCTGAGGCAGAAACCGGCGCATGGAGTTTGACCTCACTCCAACCCCAGATTTTTCGAAACAACATATTCCATATTCACCCAGAATTTGACACACTCACAAACCCTCTGGCCAAAGACACATTACAGTACACCAGCCATCAGCCACCAACTCGAACGACTGACGCACACTCTTGTAGTCGCGATACTGCGCACGACTTGCAACCATGAGGTTAACAGCAGACCTGATCAACAGCTCCCTCTCCTACATCAACCCCCTCACCGAGCGCGAGCTGGACCTGCGAGGTACGTGCTGGGAAGAGCAGATACTACACTTTGAGCAGGAGCAGCATTGATACAATCTGTCCGAGACATGCAGGCCACAAAATCCCCGCGATCGAGAACCTAGGTGTTGCGAAGGTAATTCCTCTCCCACAAACGTCCTCTCACACAAGCTGAGACCCACCAGCTGATGCGCCGCTGCGGAATGTAGGACCAAGACAGCATCGACTTCACCGACAACGACATCACAATTCTAGGCAACTTCCCGCTCTCCCCACGCCTCCAGACGCTGCTATGCACCCGCAACCGCATCTCGAGCATACAGCCTACGCTGCACAAGACAGTGCCGAACCTCACCACGCTGGTGTTGACGCAGAACCAGATGGCCGAGCTGGCAGACCTGGAGCCTCTTGCGCACTTTCCGAAGCTGACGCATCTGAGCCTTGTCGAGAACCCCGTTACGGGTCGTGAGGTGAGTCTACTGGCCGCCCTGTCCACTCCTGTCGTGCTCGCGCTCTAACCCGCCCCCTCAGAACTACCGCTACTGGCTCCTCCACCTCTCCCCCACCCTCCGCTTCCTCGACTACCAGAAAGTCAAAGACGCCGAGCGCGCCAAAGCGCGTCAGCTCTTCGGCACACGCGCCGCGCCCACCGAGCTCGCGCAGAAGATCATGAGCGTCCGCTCTCGCGCCACCACTGCCTCCTCCGCTGGCGCAAACGGCGCACCAGGCACAGAGAAAGCGGCCGGCAGGGTGCGCATGACAGAGAAGGAGAAGAAGCGGCTGGAGGAGCTGATTCGGAACGCGAAGAGCTTGGCGGAGATTTCAAGACTGGAGAAGGAGTTGAGTGAGGGGCGGATTCCGGCGGGGGTGATGGGAGAGGGGGAAGAGATGGAGGAGTAAGGGTTGAAGGCTTCCCTAGAGGCACTGGGAAAGGGCGAGGACTACGAACTGGGCTGGCAGTCGGCAGTCACTGGCTTCGCTGCGGACATCTCGGGCGTGCGAGATCGCCGACCAGCTTTTATAGGCTTGAGAGGCTGCGCTGAGTGGTCAGCTGCGGCGAAGATCCAAGAGCAAGGAGGCGTTGTTACGCTCCTCCTGCAGATCCAGCAGAGGCTGTTGCACGTTTGGCTCGATGTAGCTTATGCTAGAGCCTACGCCTTTGCAGCGCTAGATCCAACTTGTGGTTAGCATCACATTTCCTACGCATCACGTGGCGAGCAAAGCGTGCTAGCAGACACTGTGTCCTCCATGGAATAGCAATTAACTCCCTGACAATAAGCCGTATGGGTCTCTTGTAACGCAGCTCAGGCAATCGCACGAGCAGTCGCACCAATCTGATATCGGCAAAATATTGCACCGCGATCTTGAGCATAACCGATCATGTATTCCTAGTCATAGTTGTTTAATCCGGTAATGTTGATACCAAGCGCCCCACGCTCAAGCCGATGCGGCAACAATGCAATCCATCCCGCTCCCAACGCTCCCGACTGCAGCCAGCGCTTAACCATCACCCCGCTATGCTTCCCAATCCCCTGCACATTCCGTGCCTCGAAGCTACCAAGCGCACATCATGCCCTCATCCCAACCAACCCATACCTCTTCATCGCCCTCATGAACCCTCGCTCCCCGCTTCCCTACCCCAACAACTCAACATCCAACCCAATAGCCCTCATAAAAAGATTCACATCCCCGAGCCTGCGCGCCCGCATCTCCTCCGGCAGCGCCCTACACGCCGCGACCGTCTCCATAACCCTCTCCTTGACGCCCAACACGAGCCGTTGCTGCTGTTCCGGGCTCGCACCGACCCCCATCGCCGCGAGGAACTGCCACACATAGACGTCCTCGGCGTCGTTGACGCTGCCGGGGAAGACGAAGGGCAGAACCGGCTCCACGGCGTCGAAGAGGCGCGTGTAGAGCTCGGTCCACTGGACCCAGTCGTCTTGCGCGCTTGGGGGGGCGGGGGGAACGGGGCGGAGGAGTTCGGCGCGGGAGACGAACATCGTGAGGACGAGGAGGCCGATCTTGGTCCGCGCCACGGCGGTGAGGTTCGTACGGTCCAGCACCAGTCCCAGCAGACCGGTCGCGATGTTCAGCGGGGCCTCGGCGAGGTAGGCGAAGAAGGGCGGGAGGACCGTCTGCGCGAAGAGCTCGACGTCTTCGCGGACGGAGGCCGGGATCGGCTGGTCGATGCCGTTGAGGTGGGTGGGCACAGCGTTGCGGATTACATCTAGCGCGTCGAGGTGCACGACGATCATGGTGAGGATCGTGATGCGCTGCTGGTCGGTGATGTGGCGGAAGATGCGGGGGACGGCTTTTTTGCCTTTGGGGTGCGAGAGGATGGCGATGAAGGGGTGGGGGGTGGGTGAGCTAGGGGTGCATTAGCGGATTGTACCAGCTGCGGAAGGGGAAGGAGACTCACTTCGGGATGATCGGCTCCATCACCTTCAGCTCTCGCCAGAGCTTCTCGTTTAGAGACTGGATGGTCTGCCGCCAAAGCATGTGGGCTTCTACAACAGCCGGCTCACTGTCTTCTGCGAGCGGCGGCGGCATGTGCCGTTCGTGGTCTTCCATCTGCATCAAAGTGCTATACACGTTCTCAATGTCCTTCAAGACAACCTTTCGGTCAGCTGTAGTGGGATCTCGGTGCATGTGGCTTGGCCGACGAGCCGCGCTTTCTGGCCGCGGGGTGCCGCTCTCCGTCCGCTTGATGTTCAGCAGAGGTTTCGGCGTCTTCGCGTTGCTAAAAGAAATCTTGCCTAAGCTTCCCTCAATAACCAACTGCTTGTTCTTCGGCTTGGCCTTGGCAGCTTCGACGGCACGCTGGACCTGCTGCTCCATGCGCTGGATGTGGTTATCACCGCCACGGGGGCGTCGGCGGTTGTTGCCATACCGTCCGCCGGTCTGAAAGAGATAGGTTTGAGCGAACTGGCTGGCAGGTTGGTTCGGATTTTGCCGGGGCGCACCCCGAATCTGAGAATAAACCTGGTAGTAGAAGTCCTCCGCTAGTGCTGCTTCTGGTCCTTGATCATCGACACCGCCCGTTGCAGTGACAAGCTGTTGCAGCTGTATCCTAGTAATAAAGTTCTTATCCTGAGGTGTCATCAAACCGTTGTCTTTCGAAAGAAGATGGATCTTGTAGTTGCGCTTAGCTCGCTTAGCTTCTGCTTCAAGATGCGCAGCACGCTCTTCGGAGGACATGTCGAGTATTTGCTGGGGATACGTGACCACGTTCGCTGGGTAGGATGGCCCGCGCTGGTGGCCGGGACCCATCTGTTGCATACCGTGACGTGGCCCTGGCTGTGCAATCGGCTGGCCCTGACCTGAGAGGCGGTTGGGATTCTGCAAGATTTGCCGAGGCTGCGAGGGCGGCCTCTGCGGCTGTGCGGCGGGCTGCTGAGGCGCTTGCCTATGAGCGACAGGTTCGGGTTGGACGGGGCGCTGACGCTGCAGAATCTGAGGATGCTGAACACCTTGAGGTGGCAGTTCAGCTTGAGCTGGTGGACGAGGAGCCGACAGAGGTCGCTGATCGTACGCTGCCTGAGGTCGCTGCAGGATCTGTGGTGGTACGCCAAACCCTGCCTGATGCGAAAACTCGGCCGGCGACGGCTGCGCTGGCGGAACAGGGGCAAAAAGCTGTGGTGCCTGGGGCACTTGAGGCTGTGGAGCTGCTGGCTTCCTGCTCTGGGCTCGCATCGCCGCCTCCACCTCTTCGAGACTCATCATCTTGCGGGAAGATTCAGCTGCGATTGGAGCTCCTTGGCTCTCTTGACGCTGATGAGCCTGTGGCTGGGGAGAGGCTTTCTTTGGGGGGATACCCCACAGACCCGCGTTGGCCTCCAACTTGGGTATGTAGTCCGGCTGGGCGTAATTCTCATATCCAGTCCTGGCAGGCTTTGCGGCTCTCTTCGGCGGACTGGCTTTCGGCGGAGGCTGTCGGGCAGTGTACAACATCTGCTCCTCTTGCAAAGTGTTTGCAATCTTGGCCGTCTGCCCAGAGAAGTCAAAGTCCTTCGCGACATTCTGCTGAGTGGCCGGCTCGCCACCGAACGTGTCGTCGTTGAAGGCATCGTCGGTTTCGTCGAGCCGGTCGCCCAGACCGTCGTACGTGTCTTCAAAGTCGAGAGCGTCAGCATCGTCGTCTCTGCCGGAGAGGCCAGCAAACGCATCCGGAGTCGCTCCGAAGCCGGGCTTGTAGGCCTGGTGGCCGCGGTCTCGCGGTAGAGTCGCGTCGAACCCGAAGAACGACATGGCTGGTTGCGGTTGCTGGAACGCAGCAGTGGTGTGTTCGAGAAAATGCAACACCGATCAGAAGGCTGGTCAAGTGAAAGGAAGAGCGCCGTGTGCTATCTGGTGTGTGTGTCAGTGGGATGGAAGCGCAAGTGATGGAGGAGCTATCACCTACGCAACGAACAACAGAAAGAAGAGAAAGATTGAGTGGTTGACAAAAGACAGACAGACACACAGCAGCTACGAAGAAAGCAATTCGTGGTGGCTGTGAGTGTGATATCAGTAGTTAAGAGTGGTGGTGTTTTCGACTGGCGATGATGATGATGCACAGTTCAATGCACAGTTCAATGCACCCCCCGTGACTCGGCCCATCCAAGCTTGGAAGCTTGGAAGCTCCCGTTCGGAGGCGAAAAGGCGGCGCTCCCTGTCCCTTGCGTGGGCGGAAACTCAAGGTTTGGGCAGAGCAAAGGGGGCAAGCGCCCGTGGCCTCTCCCCGTCCGAGGCCGCACTAGAGTACTGCTCGACCGCGCCGTCTAACGATGCGACGACTGCTATTTCCATCACCCTCTCACGCTTCTACTCCGTACACGACTACCTGCCCCGTTCCTTTGCACGCTCCTTGCACTTGCTGCTCGCCGTAGACCTGCTTTGCTGCCTGACCCTGCCTCTCGTATTGTCCGGCGCCTTTCAGCCCTCATACAAAGCACCCTGCACCGCCAACTTCGCAAACACCAGCAGAGCAACCCGTTTTAAACACAACTACGATCCGCCGCAGGCATTGCAAGAGCATCGAGACTCCCCAGGAACAGAGTGACGATATTGCAATCCGCTCCACGGGAGCAGTGGATGAAAAGCAGCGCGGGCTTGACCGACAGCCACCTCTCGAGATGGCGGGCACACAACGCTACCTGCGATACATTGTTTTCGCCTTCGCTGTAAGTCGTAACCGTGGTTCAATCCACCTCCGCGACTTTGCTAATCTGCGCTAGTGCCTTGTCCTCATCTTCTTCATCTCCTCTTCCTCCTCCGTTGGCCAGGGCTCTCTCAAGAGTCCCAAGGAGATCCTAAAAGAACAGTCCGCAAACTGGCGAGGCTCACACCAAGACGAGGCCCACGATTCCGAGAAGCCCACACAGGATGCTCCTGCTAAAGCGTCCGCTACCGCTGGCACGACGCCAAATACCCACGCCCTACCTCCCGCGACCGCACCCGGCGAGCGCATGAACGCGACCTTTGTTACGCTAGCCCGCAATGGAGACGTCTGGGAGATTGCCCGGAGTATCCGGCAGGTCGAGGACCGGTTTAACCGCAAGTTCAACTACGACTGGGTCTTCCTGAACGACGCTGAGTTCGATGACACCTTCAAGAAGGTCACCACATCCCTCGTGTCTGGAAAGACAAAGTATGGAAAGATTAGCACCGACCACTGGTCCTTCCCCTCGTGGATCGACCAAGAAAAGGCCGCGAAGGTGCGCCAGGAGATGAAGGAGAAGAAAATTATCTACGGCGACAGCGTCAGCTACCGACACATGTGCCGCTATGAGTCCGGCTTCTTCTTCCGGCACCCGCTCATGCTCGATTACGAGTGGTACTGGCGTGTGGAGCCGAGTATCGAGCTGTTCTGCGACATCGAGTACGACACGTTCAAGTTCATGGCCGAGAACAAGAAGAAGTACAGCTTCGTGCTGAGTCTGTATGAGTATGTCGAGACGATTCCGACGCTATGGGACGCGACCAAGAGCTTTATCGAGAAATTCCCGCAGCATATTGCTCAGAGCAATAGCATGGCTTTCCTGAGCGATGATGAGGGCAAGACGTATAACCATTGCCACTTCGTACGCATCCCTTTTTCCCCTTCGTAGCCCCCTCTACACCTCACTAACATTCCCCCTAGTGGTCCAACTTTGAAATCGGCAACCTGAACTGGCTGCGTTCAGACGCCTACATCGACTTCTTCAACCACCTTGACCAGGCCGGCGGCTTCTTCTACGAGCGGTGGGGCGACGCGCCCGTGCACTCCATCGCCGCGGGTCTCATGCTCAAAAAGGACGAGATCCACTTCTTCAACGACATCGCATATTATCACGTCCCCTTCACGCACTGTCCGACAGGCGAAAAGACGCGACTGGACAACAAATGCCACTGTAATCCCAAAGACAACTTTGACTGGAACGGGTATTCTTGTGAGTTTGCTCCCTTCCTCCCCTCATCTCCTAGTGGCTATTTGAGCACTCGGTCGAACAAAAACCGTCCTTGGAGTCAAGTTGCCCCGCTAATCTCCCCCTCCCACCAACCAGGCACAGCCCGCTACTTCGAGATCAACAACATGCAGAAGCCAGAGGGGTATGAAAAGGAGCACTCATAATAAGCCTCCCCCTTCCCACCCCCCACTTAGTTCTCCTTTTATTCTTTTCCAACACATGAATCCTTCCTTCCATCTTCGCCAAGAACAAGTTCGCCCAACCATCTCCGCCATCCTGTCTCTTCTGCCTCCGCTCTGCCAAACTGACTTGCCGTTACTTTTTTCGGGACAAAAGCGCCCCCTGGTCCAAAGCCCAAAGGATCAGGTTCGTCGTTTCAACTGTCGGGCTCGTGATCTGCGCGGCGGCGTTGGCGGGGTTGTGGGCTACGCGCCACAGAGGTGGGGGTTTCAAGGGCGGAGGAAAGTTGTAGCAGTAAAAGTCTCGCTTCACTGTTCACGGTTATCGCGGGGGGTTTTTTCCTGGGGCATATGCAGTGCTTATCATGTGCGGGAGCACACTTATTGTACAGGAGGGCATCTAGGGATGGTTATGGCGTTCTTCACCCGGGATGGGGAGGGCAACAGTGTGAGAGTCTCGTGCGAGTATTTAACGCGTTGGTTGTTCTATGGAAAGAGGAAGCAGTCAGATCTTACAAAACCGAAATGTCGTTCATGTATGTGGCCGTCGCAGGAGAGGCCCCGCCCTCCATCCCTCAGCCCGTACTCCAGTATCGTTGTGTCGTCATGTCAGCAAGACGCTCAAACCCATTCCGCCGTCCGTTAGGAAACCACAACGCCGCCTTTCTACACGAACCCGTCCATCTCAGAACCATATGCTGTCCCCGCAGCCCTCGATGCTTCCTCATTTCCCCCAGCCGTCCACCCCTAGATCGCATCCCCAACCGCCGCCTCATCAACCGGCTCCTCAGGCCTACAGTCGCACCCAAACCTAGCCCTATACTCAAACGGCGCGAGCCCTTTGATAAGCTCCAACGCATTCACGCTCGCCTTAACCTTGGCATTCTTCCCACTCGCCGCCACACCCTCCGCAACAACCTTATCATGGATCATGAGTCCCGCAATACACTTCCCCCCCACCGTCCCCACGACCGGGAGCTCCTGCGCCAGGAGCCTGTAGTCGCGACACGCCATCTCGATGCTCAGGAGGTGGTGCAGATGCGTCGTGGGGTGGTTGTTAGCAAAGGTGTCATAGATGCCCATGTCCTCGAAATACCATTTGATGTGCATATCAAAGAACCGCTGCACCTCTCCATAATCGAACCCGGAATCCACAAACAGCGCCCCGACAAACGCCTCCACGATATCCGGGAGGCACTTCGGCGGCGCCTTGACGCTGGTCCAGTAGTCCCGTGCCCCCTGGGCCTCTCGCTCCGCCTCCTGCAGCTCGGTCACGTACTCCCTGATCTGGTGTTCCAGCTGCGCGTGGTTATACCGCAGGTGCCGATGGAACCCGATTTTCACGCACACGGCGCCGAGGAACTTGTTCGAGACCATGGCCATTTTGTGCTCGGTGAGCCACTGGGGGTCCTTGTCTGGGAAGCGGTAGAAGAGGTGCGAGATCGCTGCCATGTCGAGGAGGGAGTCGCCTAGGAACTCGAGACGTTGGTACGAGGGGAGTTTTTCGTATGCGAAGGGGAGGGAGGGGTGGATGAAGGCGGAGCGGAGGAGCCGGGGGTACTTGAAGTGGTACGGGTGCTCGAGGGCGACTTTGGCGGCCATGTCGCGGTGCGAGGCGGTCACGGCGCCGGTTTGGTAGGTGGGTATTGCGTAGGCTTTTAGGTAGTCGGACCACTCTTGCATCGTGTGGTCGGCGCTGTTGACGAGTATTGTCACGGCTTTGATGGCGTCGGTCCAGTTTTCTGCTTTCCAGCCGGAAGGGTCGTTGTGTTCGATGAACGCCGCTCCGATGAGCGCCTCACAGACGTCGGCAATCGTCTTGTCGCCTAGAGCATGCTTGATGACTTCTTCCCCGGTGCTCTTCGCGCCTTTGCCTTCGAGAAGTCTTAGGCCCTGTGGGTACCACGTACGCCTGGATTCAGTTAGGTTAGCAGCGCGCGGTATTTTATAATCAGCTAAGTTTACCTTGAGAATGCCATGCTGCGTATATACTCATGCAGCTTGAGCTTGACTGTTGCCGTGTTGAACAGGGTTTTGTTGCAGAGCATCAACATTCGAGTAACGTGGAAGTCGAACTCGTTGCTTTCCGGATATTGGCTAAATGTCGATATGGTCGTCGCCGTCTTCAAAAAACAGTCGCCCATGAACTCGAGCCGCTCATAATTCTTGCCCATACCGTGGCGGAAGTTGATCTTCTCGTCTTGATGCTCCTCGCTATTGTCTGAATCTTTGGTCACAGCTTCCAAAGCAAGCTCGGGATTGACCCTGATGCCAACGACCTCACAGGCCTCGAGAGCGATAAGGTATGATTCGAGACGATAGACGATGGCCGGAAAAACAAGGCATGTCGCTACGGCAGGAGCTGGCAGCTGGTCGCCCTGTCAGTAACAGATTAATGTAGGTGCAAACATACTTACCGCAGAGATGCGTAACGGTTCCGGGCAAACGTAGCATTTAGTCCGCAATGTGAGCTCTTTGGCGTGGGGCTCAGCCAACACATTGCGCCGATGCAATATCTTTTCCGCTTCGACGACCGGCTGCTCAAGGTTCCATTGCGCTTCTGCCCTCGCTTTCTTGTAAAGACTGACAGAGTAATCCAGGATGTTCTTGTTGAACCTGCCCTTGGCTGTGTTCTGCGGCACAGGGTCGAAGGGCTTACGACTAGGATCTACGCCTATGGAGAAGAACCGGTTGCCTCCGTCCCACTTGTCGACAAAGAACTTGTCGGCGAGGAAGGAGTGAGGCATGGTGGGCGTCCACTTGAACTCATCGTTCAGGAAGACTGTTCGCAGGGCTTCCCAATCAACGAGCCCAAATGGAGATACATAATCCGTTGATGCATCAGTGCCGTCGATCTCTATCAGATCGCCAACAGGACATGGCGTTATCACAGGGGCGAGCCAGTAGTCGAACTTCCTCATGTCTTGTTCATAAGTCTTGTTGAAGATATCTTTATACACACGCAGAGTGAAAGCCGTCAAGAGATCCAAAATCTCTTCAGTGATACTCAAGCTTGCAGCGACCGGTTTCGAGATGACCATCGTGGTCTCGCCAGAGTTCAAGAACAGCGGGAAAGTTGGGAGCGGCGGTAGCGCTGAGCGAGTGATTAGTGCTAGCGGTTGATGCGGCCTTTCCAGGCCGTTGGTAAAGTCCAGTATCGTCAAAAACAGCTCCTTCGGGATCGAGCCCCTGGTGCATTCCCACAGAGTAGGCTTCACACGCATCTCGTACTGGTTCGTCTTTTTGCAGTTGAGCGCTAGCAACGCATTCCGCATGGCCGGTAGCTTCTTCGTGTAGATGGGCAACCAGTGGTTGTCTAGGTACTTGCCCTTCATAAGGAGACAGCACGCTTCAAAGGCAGCTGAACGCTTCGCAATGGACTTCCTACTGGATGGGCGGCCAATGGCTGAGCGGATAGGTGAGTTCTCTGGCAATATCACCTCGCACACGAATTTGCCTCCATCGAAAGACATAGCGTAGAAGGGCTCCGAAGCTATCTCGCTCTCTCGAGGTAGTGCAGCTACGAAGTGAGCAAGGACTGCCAGGCTCGACCCGTAGGTCAGCTTTGCCCCTGTGCTGGCGATGGTGCAGGACCGAGAGCCTTTGCCCTCGATCAGCGCATCATCGAAGTCAGCATCGTTGCCTTGGAGGAGCCGATCACTGGGCAACGCTTCACAGAATTGACGCATAAGGTTCTGTGTTGTGCTTGGTCAGAGTAGATCTTTAGTTGGTTCGCTCATGCTGACATACCTCAGAAGTTCGGGCTTCGAACACAGTGCTTCGGTGAGCGAAGTTACCGTCTTCGATCATGTGTAGGTACTATTTCTCGTAAGCGCGATGGTTTACAGCCACACGACAGCAGGACACTCTAGGAGCCGATGACTGCCCTGGTCAAGAGGCGAGAGTTGAGTGACAACAGACATCAAATTGCACGGCAGGTCCTGCTGCCAGAAATGAAGAATGTTACAGATAGAGCAGAGATATCTTACCTTCGAGTTGCGGTGGCGGGCCCGCCCTCGAGATTGTATGTACTGGATCATGGTCCGGTATAGATCAAAGCGGACAACAAGATTGCAATCCGGGATGTCAAGGCCTTCTTCCGCGACAGACGTGGCGAAGAGGCAGTTGAGCTCGCCTTTGCGGAATTTGACAAGCGTCATAACTTGTTGCCGGAATGATACGTTAGTATCTCCCGCTCGCGTGCCTACGCCAACAAGGATGCCAGTGCGTAGGTGAGGGCCGCCGATATTCTCGAAGATCAGATGGAGAAGACGAGCATGGTGGCGCTTCTCAACAAAAACAATGCATCGAGCATCCGAAGGTCGTTCAAAATACAACTGGAGCCACTCATGTAACTTGAGGACCTTCGCGCTGACGTCGCAAAGGCTAGCTGTAGGGGAGCCAAAATCGTGGTCGTTGATCAGCTGCGCAGCATCACGAAGACGAGCAATGGCTGCATCGAGCTGCGCAACCGGCTGTACATGTTTGTGATTGTGGTGACCACGTTCGATTTGCGCCTCCAGTTTTCGGAGCTCATCTCCCTTGAGAGCAAATGACCAGACCATGTCGGCAGCCCATCTACCGAGGCCTGAAGTGGCATCTTTAGAGTCGAAGAATATACTTCGGAATGCGTCCACATCGCCGAACCGCGCTATGAGTTTCTGATTCAAGGGCGTTTCAAATGACTGCTGCAGGCGAGGGTAAAACGCAACTTCCTCCGAAGGTCGGCTGATAGTTATCTGCAGCAGGCTGAGATCGGAAGTTGTTGCTATCTTGCAGTGCAGCAATTTCTCGAGCTCCCTTGACTATTCGTAAGCGTCCTATCTACTATCCGAAAGGGACGCTTTACCTTGCCGCAGTTCGGGCATCGACTTTGGCATCAACAGGAGAAGCAGTCATTCCAAATATTTTTGGTCGCTTCGATTTTTCGAGATGAGTCAGGTAAAACTCGTTGATGATCCTGAACAGAGGGTTGAGTAGCCACTTCTGGAAGGAGCGTTATGAGGGAGTACCTGGCATAAGCATGACTCTTTTTCGCATGATGTGCTTCGTCGAAGACCAACAGATTGATGTCCTGAAGCCTGACGAAAGAGTGCATGAGGCCTTGATAAAGTACTTCTGCAGTACAGACAATGACCATGTTCTCGCTCAGATGTTTCTCCCATATTTTTGCAGTCCAGAGATCAGCATTCATAGCACCACAGGTCCGCTCAATCTTGTGATCAAGATTGCACTCAAGGACCGCAGCTTGTTGGAAGACTAAGGTGGTATTGTTGACCTAGGCGGCCCATTAGCTTTGCAACCTCTCGAGAACAGTCGACTTGCCAGAAAAAAGGAGATGCGACGCGGCTTGCCGGCTGCCCTGTCCTCAAGTTCTTGGTCAATGATGTGCTTTAGTAGTAGAACGGCGATCAATGTCTTCCCAGATCCAGTGTCCAACACGGCAATGATGTTCTCAAGCTTGGCTTTTTCGAAAAGTTCAAGCTGGTACTCCCTAGGGTCAGTAATGATCTGTTTCGATTCCTGTTTTGCGAGGAGATTGGTGATGGACAAGGTCTCATCGTCAGCCGATTTGATGGCCTCCTTGATCTTTTCTTTGCTAACTGACTCGGCTTTCTGGACTACCCAGGAGCTAAAAAGAGCATTCTGGGCTCGGCGTTTCGTCGAGGACGTATGGGGCCCGGAAGACTTCAATGCCTCATCCTCGGAGTCTGAATCACCAAGCTCGCCAGCGCCTTTAGAGTCAGGCTCGATATCGTCGATAGACATGTTGTTAATCGCTGAGAGTTAGTTAGGAAACTGTCATTGAGAAACTTAGAGATTGGCAGGATGCCACAGTTCGACGGCGCCAAAGGTTCCTTCAACAAAGCACGATGCTCGGCGAGGAATGGCACATAACCCTCTGGCAGGAAGTTTTGATAAATCCGAATTCTAGGAGCCACCCTATGTGCGTTTCCAGAGGCAAGCCGCCGATAGATGTTGCAATCGTGCTTTGCTGGCGCAACGGAGGAGTGCATGTTGTTCGTTGCGCCAACCGGAAAACGAGGCAAACACGCTAGCGCGATATCACGTGCATCATTCTGTTCTGACATGAACTTCGTCAATCCCAGAGACCACCTGCAGGCATTCGAGCTCTATTCGCACAACGCTGAAGATGGAAGAAAGAAATATCCGATCGCTATTCGCCGACGCTGAAACGGCTCGTAAAGAGTTAGAGAACCGCTGGGATACTAACAGCGCCGACCATCAAGACAAGCTCAACGCCACTATATCAAAGTATGAAGACTGCCTCCGAATTGCCGATCAGGTTTCGTTGTTCAGTCCAAATGAAACCGTAGATGACATCGCCTCAGGTGATATTCAGTAAGTGATAGGCAAGAAGTGGGTTGCGAGCGTTTCTCATCTCGTCTCGTAGATATCTACTTCTCAACTTCCGGATCGCAGAGTTGCTGCTACGAATAACCGGAGGGGACCGCAAGTCGCATCTACTAAACGCGCGGACAAGCCTCGAGAAATTTCTGAAGCTTGTTGACTCCTTCGACCTACTGTCACCCTCGGACTCGAAGCTACTCGAAACCTATCAGGAAGGACCCGACGTCTTCTCGACTGCATCAACTAGAGATGCCGCTTCCCGAAGAGAGACTAAGATCGCGCGATTCAGAGAGGAAAAGGCTCTCAAACAGAAGCTCGAGGTGCGTATTTGCCCTGATATCGGAACTTCGCTGATCGGTACTCTCCACAGCACCTACAGCAGAATCCATCAGCGCTACAGAACGATGACGGGGCTCTGAGGGAACTTCAGATAACTAACATCACTTACTCCGTACACCAAACATTCCAGTCGTTAGAGTCGATAGCACAGGAACTGCAAATCCTAACCATGGCTCCTCCGCCGCCGCCACCAGGCCAAGAGGAAAGCACTGCTGACCCTCGCTTGCGCAATGGACGCAATGGCGGCGGCTATTCCGAACGATTAGACCCTGCTGTACCAAGCCTCAAGAGTAGATCCGGGCCGATTCTAAGCGCAGATGGCAAACCTCTGCGGCCGTTCACTCTTCTAGACAATCGCCAGAGGTTGCAGCAGGGCGTGTTTCGGCCGGATCACAGTTTGCCAACGATGACCATCGACGAGTACCTGGAAGAGGAGAGGAAAAGGGGTGGGATCATCGACGGCGGGGGCGAACAGTCTGGAATCAGGCCAGAGCCAAACGAGGATGATCTGGAGAAGGCGGACGAAGAGACGATGAAGGCTCGAGCATGGGACGAATTCAAAGAAGACAACCCTAAAGGCTCTGGCAATACGCTGAACAGAGGTTGAGCAGTTTTGTAGAAGCTACCTGGATAAGGGAAGGGCAACGAACGGCCCAGCCTTTTGCCCAAATTTACCATGAAGCGCAGTCCACGATTTTGCCACCAATGGAACCGCAGGGAACTGATTTTCGAATGAGCATTACCTACTCAGAGTAGTGTCGGACTCAGTTTCTACCAAGGCCGCAGTTTCATTGCATCTTACTAGCGGCAGAGGCTCTTGCAAAAGCATATTCAGACACACTGTGCGCACGGCACCCTCATAGGGATTTACGCCCGGAGTCTCAGATCTCCTTTGTCCGGAGTTCACGCTGCAGTAGGTTTTCGAGTTGTGCATCCATACGTACTCGGCAGCGTCTTGCCTTAAGCCGCTGCGCCTTTCCAACAGTTCCATGCCTCTGCCGCAAGCCACGTCTCCTCACTTCAGAAATATTCGCATCGAATCTTGTCACGGTCTCGAGTGGTAGGTGGGGCATCTAACTGTCTCGTCAATTTCTTTGATCTCATCCATGTACGGCAGTTCAAGCTCTTAGTCAATGCAAGGATAGTTGCTGTACTTCTGGCTCGTTCAGTAACTGGAGAGGGATAATACGCTGTCTTCGTGTTTGCAAAAGTCAGCACTCTCAAGATGTTACATTCTTGATCGTTGTTTAAGCTGGTAGGCACAGCGTCTAAGTCCAGAGTGTTCATAACATCAACCATTGCAGTTGAGTGATACCTATGTCTGCGCTCTACTAGCAGTGAGGAAATCCAGCCTCGATCATGTGCCGTAACGATTCACATGAAATTATCAGTCCACTCCCGCATATGTCCACACACTGCATAAGCCTCAGTCGTGAAGAAAGAAGGCTGCATGCACTGCATGACGAATACTGCCGCCATGCGACGGTTAACGGTGCGCCGTGCAACTGTACCTTGCGTCTGCCAGTCTTACCGGAGAGGTTTATCACAGCAGGAGTTCTGGAGGCACGGCATTCTCAACTAGGGTATCACTTTTGTAAGGGCTCGTTGCTTGGTTGAGCGGAGAGCTCAACACACTTCTGGTTTCAGACTGTGCAGACTAAACAATCGCTCCTAGCCCTTGCTCAACTCGGGTGCTTCAAGAACCAGGACTGGGATAAACGCTGCACAACGGTTTGCTATCGAAGCACTTGGCATCCCGCCTTCTGGGATGAGGCTGGGATTCCACGGGAGGCGCTCGGATTTGCGACCTGGATTAGATAGCCGGAAACTGAGGACTCACTGCCACAAGCGGAGCAGTATCGAAACAGGGTCGCCGTGGATCAGAGAGAGTGCTTGTACATATGCGCGAAAAGCATTGGGGATGGACAGCTGCAAGAGGGCCCTTGAAGCACATCAGATGCAGAGTGCATCGCGGCTGCGGGAAAGGCCGCGCCCTGCCTTTTGTGACGCCGTTTGCGGCCCCCACCGACGGGAATCCCACACAAAAAGCCTCTGCCTGCTCATTGTCCCTCTGTCTGGTTTGCTTCTTTGAAGGGCTTGTTGGAGAAACAAGCACTCCATCCCCGTCTACGGAACTAGCTCAGTCACAACAACGAGCAAAAAGCATCTCGCCATGATGCAGCTGCAGGATCAATATATACACTAAGGTAGTAGTGTACGGAGTATGCGGCGGGGCAAGCCGACGGCGCCAGTACTGTGCATGCTGCCCGGACCCCGACAACGATGTCTTCTGGGTAGGACGTCCTGCCTTCTGCGTCTGGATTGTCTCGCGGTTCATGTACGCATTGTCATGCTGACTCAGTGTCTAGCAAATCGCTAAAAGATACTGTCAAGGCCCTCAACACCGCCTTGTCAGTATGCAGCGCCCGGCAGCCTCTCCCCGACGAGCTGTTGCACATGATCGAAGGCTTCCTCGAAAGATATTCGAACATAGACGAGCATGATTCGCAGCGGCTGCAGGATGAGCTTCGCACACTGTACACGAAACATGTCGCGAACGTACCCGAACGGCGCGGCTTCTTCATCAGCATCCTCAAGCACATACGACCAGGCATTACGGGTGATACTAGGCTAGCGGAATGGTGGGACACAATCATAAAGCCGACCATCGATGCTGTTGGGCACAGGCGCGACGAGAGTGACGATGCTCGGGACTTTCTGCTCAGTATCCTCGTCTTCGATGCCGACGAGGATAAGAAAGGCGAGAAAGCGCTCGTATCTGCCCGGTTTACGAAGCGGCTGCTGGACGCCTATCTTGCGCGGACGAAGATACCTGCAACAGAAGGGGAGCTTCCGAGTCCCGAAGACGAGTACATTGCCCACGAGCTCGAGTCAGTCCTCATTGCCTTCGGACGGCGCATGCCCAAGGTAAGCCGAAGAGCAGTGCAAAGCGTTTAGAACCGTCTGACCGCCTCTCACAGGAGCTACTTCACGCATTAGACGATCTCTTCGTTACCAAAGAGAACCGTGCGCAAGCACTCAGTCTCCTCAGTGCCTATGTGCGCGTCCAACCAGCACGCCTCTACCTAGTCGCCGAAACGCCCCTCATCGACCATCTCGAACAATGCTTGTTGATCGATACTTCTGCCACAGTAGTGGAGCTAGCGCTCACTGTCTTGATAATGTTTTTACCTCATATAACGAGCTCACTTGTAGCGCGGCTACCAAGGCTATTTCTCGTATACAGTCGGATCTTGTGCTGGGACAAGCTGGAGATCTCCGATCCTATATCTCGAAGCGCCTCGATAAGCAGTGAAGCGAAGAACGAGAGCTCACAAGATGGGGCGCTTGCCAACGGGACATCAGCGTGGGCGAAACTGGAGCAATCCTTCGATAACGCCGAATCTACGACCCCTGGCCTCATCCACTTTTTCACCTTCTTGTACGGGCTGTATCCGTTGAACTTCATGAGCTATATTCGGAAGCCACGGAAATTCCTGAAGAGTGTGGACTTTCCTGGAGCGGCCGATCTCGAGCTTGACCAAGACATCATAAGAAACCGGACTGAGCCGTTCCGCCAAGTCCATCTTCTACATCCCAACTTCTTCCAGACGACCGTCGAAGATGAGCTTGCAGAGAACAGGTGGCTAAAGAGCGATCCTGCAGATGTGGTAACGGAGTGTATGGGCCTGTGCATAGCTGTGTCTGCAGCTCTCGATGATCCGGGCCCTCCGCCTTCTACGAAGCTCCCCGACATCCCGGAAGCGCTGGTGCGCACCGAGGACATACCGGGTGATTCTTTGTTGACTGATGATGAGGCCACACTTGCCAATGAGATCACGTCGCCCACAGATCCCCAGTCGAACATCAGTTGGCGGAATACACAGTCCACGGCTGTCGCTAGCCCAACCTCAACATGGTACGAGACAATGCCCATACAGCGTAAAGGGTCCGTGCCCGTGCATAGCCATCCAGGCTCAAGGTCATCGAAAACCGCTTCGCCGGCTATTGGGCCTCGTGATGTCGCTCAGGATAGCCCTACCCTGCCGCCTCAAGGCAAACGCGTTGAGCCAGAGGTCAAACCACTCGTGATGCATAGGAAAGCGTCCGGCCCGCTTCGAAAAGCCAGCAGTGCCTCCGCTACTAGCACCTCTCGTCTGGAATCATTCGCGCAAGCGCTATCTCAAGGCAACCTATCGCCGCCTCCAACAAGTCCTAGCCTCCAGGATCGAAATTCTGCCTCTCTGCAGAGGGAGATCATGCTTCTTCGGAACGACCTGAACTTTGAGCGCTACCTGAAGCAACAACATCTGTCGCACATTGGGCAATTGCAGAGAAAGCACATCAGAGAGGCAACGGTTGAAGCTGAAACCCAAAACCTGCTCAACACCAATCGGACGCTAAAGGCGAAGCTCGCAAAGGCCAGTGAGCTGTATGTGCAGCTGAAGAAAGAGACGGCGATGAGTAAGAACCAGTCGAAGAAGTGGGAGGGCGAGCTCACGACCAAAGTCCGGGCCTACAGGGAAGAGCAGAAGCAGTGGCACTCAGAAGAAGACAGCCTCCGCCTCGAGGTCCAGAAAGCCCAGAGAGACTGCGAGCACCTCCGACGGCTCGTCGTAGAAAGCGAAGCCCGGGAGCTGAACTCCCAGCAACGACTCCGCTCGCTCCAGCTCGACATGGAAGAGCTCGAAGCCCTCCGACAAGACGTAGAGCAGCTCCAAGCCAAACTCCGCCAATACGAACTCCGCGAACTTGTCTTCGAGCAAGCAAAAGAAGATACCGAGCTCCTGCGCGCCGAGCTCACCACCACAACCATGAAGCTCACAAGCCGCGAGGCCGAAATGGAGCGCGCGCGCAAAGCTTACGACGGCCGCATCGCAGAGCTCGAGGCCCAACTCCAAGCCCATACACAGTCCTCTCACCCCAACCAACTGCCACCCTCAGTCCAGCAAATGATCGACTCCGCCCTGGCCGCCAGCCACGCGAAACTCCAGCAGCTGAAGAAAACGCACCAGCGGCTACTAGACAAATACACCGATCTCGAGCTGCGCCTCGCCGAGCTCGAAGCCGAGCACGAGGCTGACGCCGGCCCGCGCTTCCCCGGCAGCAACAGCAGCGGCGGCGGCAACTTCCACGACATCGGCCAGCTGCGCGACGTCGGCTCCATCTCATCCTTCAGCCGCAAAAACAGCGTCAGCACCTCCAGCATCGGCGGCTACATCAGCCGCTTTCCGCGCCCAAACGCCCCAATGTCCGACCCCTCCGGCGGCGAGGGCGAGGCCGAGGGTTCGATCCACTCGTTCAGTCCGTATACGAGCCCGTCGGTGGGGCCGAGTAGTAGCAGCTTTCCGACGTCAAGGCCGCAGGTGAGGCGACATGAGAGTCTGCCGCATCGGAGCAACACGGGGGATTTGAGTCCGACGCAGCTGGGGGGCGCGGCGGCGTATGGGGAGAGCCAGAGCCAGCATAGTCCGAGTTTTAGCTCGGCGGGGGTTGCGGCGGAGCCGGTTGCGAGTGGGAGGATGAGCACCATGAGTGGGGAGAGCAAGCCGAAGCCTGCGGTTAGGGCTTATGGGAGGGGTAAGGAGCCTTGCTGTGTTTGTTTCGTGGTTTGTGACAATCACGTGCTAATACGCTTCGGGGTTTCTAGGTGGCGCCGCTAGGAAGACAAAGGAAAAGGACAAGGACAAGAAGGAGGAATCTAAGCCTTCCAAGTCCGGTGGGTTCAGGGGGTTGAGAGGTATCATGTAGGACAGCTGGCAGAGACGCGCGGCTGCGTACTAGCGGTGTTCGGAGGGTATTGGGTGGTTTGGGTAAAAAGGACTGACGCGTCTGGAACCGGAAAATGGGCCTGTGAACGTCATGATATCGAAGGCTTGAAAGTTAAAGATACCATTGTGTTACTTCATGAGCGGCGTCATGGGAACTTTTGGGGGTATAAGGTATGAATCTAGAGATGACAGCAGCTGCGAAGCTAGTAAAATGGTATCCAGGCATCTTTCCTGCGCGTTCCATGCAACATTAACACCGTTCGAAGACCCTGTAAAGCCCCTTGAGGTTAGCGACTTCGACAACGCCTTTCAGTAAGCCCTTAGTAGCCACTAGCCGCGCCTTGAACGCCGGAAAGATTGTGTTCTCAATCGCACGCGCCAGCTGCCGTCTTCTCGCGACTATCCCCGGATCCTCTTCGATCGCTTCAGCGATTTCACCTGCGGCCGCGGTCGAAGGGGGCGGCGGGGGCGGCGGCAGCGATTCCGGCACGTAGAAACTGGCTAGCTCGCGCAGAAAGCTGTGAAAGCAACCTTTTTCATCCAGCCAGTTGACGTGCGGGCCCAATCGGAGCAGGAACTGGGGCAGTTTGGCAAGACTCGGCGTGTAGCCCTTTATTAGCAGTGGTATGCCGAGGAGGTCACCTTCCTCGGAGATCTCGAGGGAGAAGTACTCTGCGAGCATCTCGCGGCGACTGAGCAGCTGCTCTTTGACGGCGTCGACGACTTCCTCCCAGTTGAGCTCGTCTTCGGCGTCAGCTATTTGCTTCTCGTGGTCAGCGGCTACGGTGAGAAGCTCATGCAAGCTCAGCACCGGGTTGAACTTGATGCTGCCGAAGTTTCCAAAGTCTGTTAGCCCGACTTGGTAGAAGAACTCGTTGCAGACCATGCCGTAGTCGACAAGGTAGAGTTTGACGCCGCTCTGGATAGCTGCTATTCTCCTGCGTTCGTCAACGATACCGACGAAGGTGTGGCTCGCGAAGACGTCGGTGAGCCCGTTGTGCATGTTGTCGCGCACCTCAGCTCTCAGTTCTTTGACGGTAGTTAGGCGGCACAATGTGGGCTCTCGATCGGAGTACTCATAGTCCATCTCCTCGGGCCCTCCTCCGTCTGCAGCGGCCTCTGATAACGGATGCTGACCAGGCGGGAGCATTGAGGTAATTTTGCGGACCTTTGCATCTGTGCGAACGAGGCTGTTTTCGTAGGGCTTCTGACTCCGGCCCTTCTGCGTCGCTGGTGTCACTGGCGGTCGTGGTGTCTCTGGTATGGCATTGCCTACGTCTTGTGTCGGAGTAGTAACTGCGGTGGGAACCTTGACTCCTGGCAGAAGGCTCTGTGTCATAAAAGTCCTACTAGTGTCGACTTTGCCTAGATTTGACCGAATTTCGTCGCAGATGATCTCAATGATCTCATCTTCGTTCAGGAAATTGACCTCGCGTTTCGTCGGATGGACATTGACATCAACGCGTTGAGGGTCAATCTCCAAACTCAGGTAGATGAACGGGTGACCACCCTTCGGTAGGAACTGAGCGTATGTTTGCTCGATAGCCTTTTTAATGGCAGAGGACTCTACAGATCTGTGGTTGATGAACAGCAACAGGGTTGTCCTCTTGATGCTGTAGTTAGCGTTGCTGACATAGCCTTGTGACTTAAAGCCCCAGCGATCGTTCGCTGCCTGAAACGCGATCAGTTCGTTTGCAACAGCGGTGCTGTGAACCTGCCGTATGCGGTCCAGAGTAGTCGCATTGGCCGGTACAGAGATGCCCGCAGTTGAGTCGCCATGCTTTTTGCACGTGAAAGCGACGCCAGAACAGTGGACAGCGTATCGTCCGACGAGGTCGAGAATCTTCGCATACTCCTCGCTAGCCGAGCGGAAAGCCCTCCGTCGGGTTGGAACATTGTAGAAAAGATCCTCTACCTGGTATTGTTCAGCTTCTAGACGGAAACTGCGCTTTTACTTCGTGGGCTTACCGTGATCTGAGTGCCTTGCCGGCCTGCTGTTGGCTTCGGCTCAGCGGTCTGTCCAGGTTTGGCAGGCACCAGCTTGCCATCTGCATAGTGCGCTTTGTAGGCACAGCTTGACTCCTTGGTCCGCGTGGTCACGGTCAAATGGGCAATATGACTGATACTGGCAAGAGCTTCGCCCCGGAAGCCATAGGTGCCGATGGATGTAAGATCCTCAAAAGCCTTGAGCTTGGATGTGGTAAATCGCTCGCATAGAATAGGCAAGTCATCTCGCTGCATCAGGTCAGTTTGCATTCCACAGGAACACTAGAGAGACTTACATTGATGCCGTGGCCATTATCCGTAATCTGAAGAAGCTTCAATCCGCCTTCCTTGATCAGAATCTCGAGAGACGTTGAGCCTGCGTCCACGGCGTTCTCGATCAACTCCTTCAGTGCATGCACCGGCGCAACTATGATCTCGCCTGCAGCGATCTTGTTCACGACATCCTGAGAAAGGGCCACAATCTTACGAGGGGCGCCGCCGAGTGGCGGTTGCGTTTCGTCCGCTTTTCTCTTCGTCCCACGAGGCGTCGCCACGTCGACTTCCATATTTTCGGCCATGTCTACATTAGCAGCTTGAGCGTAGGCTTGATGTAGAAATGTATTGGATGATATTTTCTCGGGTTGCAGCTGCTTAAGTTCGCGCCTGGGTAGAGTAACGCGTCCTGATGATCGCGGAAACCCGTAGTCACGTGGCAACACAGAATTGATTGCCACAAGCATTGATGTGGCGATAGCCCAGGCATCGATGAGTTGCAGGATGCATACACAGAATAGATACATGAGTCAGAGTCAATTTCTACAGGGCCATATATTCGTGCAAAACAGAAGCAAAGCAATACCACGCGAGCCCGCAGTTTCCTTACAGCCCCCAGAGCGACCAAAGGTCAGTTTTTGACCCTAAGATACAGCAATTACGGGACCTTCCAACCAGTTCATAGTCTCTCCGTTAGCCTCCTCACTTTCAACCAGAGAACCCCGCCTCGCCTTCTTACCCTCCTCTACACTCTCAAGGGACGAGTCCGTCGTGTTGCTCAACTGATTCCTCTTGTGCTTTTTCGATCCCGCGCTTCTCAATGACAAGCGGTGTACAGTCGGGTCGGCGGCATCCGCCGAGTACCGCCGGTTCTTGGATTGTTCAGCAGGTGGCTCGACTGCTTCCTTCGGCCGAGGTTGAGGTGGGAAGAAGGCAGATTTCTGCGGTTGGCTGAAAGGAGATAGTGGTGCGCTCTCTTTTCGCCGATGGGCCAAGACAAAAGTGGTTGGCGTAAAAGTCGGTGCTGTAGGACTTAGTGTTGAGTTCTTTCGAGATTGTGTTGGTGGTTCGTCAGACCGGATCTGTAGTGGGACAAATCTGAAGTTTGGAGCGCTTAGAGAAAGTAGGTCCTCCGGATACTGCGTCCCCATTGCTGGCGTGAGGTAGCTGTAGTTTGGTGGATAATACAGCAGCTCATTGGGATTGACGTAGATCGATGTTGGAGGGCCATAAATGGGTTGGGAGAAAAGCGAATTGTTGCACTCCATAAACATAGATTCGCCACGCTGGAACTGGAATCCGTAAGGTTGCACTGGGGACCACAATGGCGATGAGAGTGCTCCATGGTCAACCTCATTAAGCGGTAGCGTCAGCTGTGTTGGAAAGGCCGGCGACCAGAGGCCAGTAGACGGCTGTTGATTGTACAACGCCGCCCTCTGTTGTGCGGCCGAGATCTTGGCCTCGCAGACTCCCAAGGCTTCCAGCAGCACCTGCTGCTCGTTTTCGCAATTCTCAACAGCCTGCCTAGTCTTCCAACGCGTATGCTCCGTCCGTCTCTTCTTCGGTCGAGGTTGGTCTTCCTGCAGACATCGTTCGATATCCACAAGCTCGGCACGCAGTCCTTGCAGGAGGACGTGTGTCTTCGACAGTGACTTGGTAAGGTATCCTTGTTCCTGATAGACCAGCTCGAGCATCATCGGTGTGCAATTTGTCGAGTTGAACATGGTTTGGTAGTCGCTGTTCAGACGCATGGTAGCTAGTGTCAACGGTGACTAGACATGACGCCTGAATAAATGAAATTGAGAGAAAGACGACCGAAGATGCTGTGGCTTGTTGGAGGCGAATGCAACCGGATGCGGTGCTTTCAAGAACAACTATGAATAGCTATGAAGCTACCCCATGAGGTATTGTGGAAGTTCACGGGCCTTCAAACAAAGCCATCCATAACAGACCCAGCGCGACGGGAGAGTCGATCGGAGGACCACTTGCTTTCCAAACATGCGACAAGATCCTTGCCGATCGAATGAGAGATGCCCATAGAGTCCGTCCTGCAACTCAACTCTGCAACCGAGGTCGGAGGGATCTTGAGTAGGACGCGTCATCACACCTGTTGAACCTGAGTACCCATGATGGGCCTTAGAGGGAATGTAGGTAGACAACTGGGCAAGGACAAAGAACGTAACATTGTCCGCAATCGGCCTTCTATACTCGCACCAAAAATCACTTCCTCAAGTGTTTGAGAGTGCTTAGCCCGCTGTTGCTTAGTACAGGTGCTTCGCGTCTGTAAAAAAAAAAAAAAAAAAACGGGCGAAAGCATTCCTCGGCTATCGCATATATTTGAGACTGCGAGACACCTGCCAACAGCTTGTAATTGGCGTTTTGCCAATGTTCAAAACCAATCGGCCGAAGTGATAGAGTATTCCTTCTCGGTTCGGATCAATGTTTTGCGGTTTAAAGCCGGACATCAGAACAGGGTGTTCAGATATTGAAGCCCCCATGCTCTGCGGCCTCCACAAACCTCCACAGGCCTGCATCTATTGCCGCCTCTTTTACACTAGAAACTTCCTGCATGCTCACAGGCCGGTTGATGTCCCCATACCGGATTTTCTCCTTGCCGTCTTTCGCAGCCGGTAGTCCCCCGGGCTCGGTAATATCTACATTCTTTCCAGTCGTGCGCTTAGGCTTCCCAACATGCGCTCGTGGGTGGTACTGCTCCATGATATGCACGAAGATGTCCTTGGATACGTTCTCCGCGAGCCACTTGACAATTTCTCGTCCTTCATCCTCCTTGCCAGGCATGACCAAATGCCTCACCAGCACGCCCTTCTTTGCAATCCCGTCAGGCGTGAAGCAGAGATCACCGACTTGGGCATGCATGGCTTTGATGCTCTCCATGGCCACGGAGGTGTAATTATCGGCCTTCAGTAACCGCTTCGAGGTGCTGTCTTTCCAGACCTTGAAGTCCGGCAGATAGATATCTACGAGTCCATCCAGTAGCCTCAGCGAGTCTAGGGAGTCGAAGGAGGACGTGTTATAGATGATGGGTATCCGTAAGCCCAGATCTCGTGCGTGTAGGATCGAGAGTACGACTTGCGGAACGACATGTTCCGGCGTAACAAGGTTGATGTTATGGCAACCGCCGATCTCTTGCAGCTTCATGTACCATTCTGCGAGCTCTTCAGGCGTAAGTTCGAAACCGTTACGCTGGTGTGCGATGTCATGGTTCTGGCAGAAGACGCAGCGGAGGTTGCAGCCCGAGAAGAAGACAGAGCCGGACCCGTTGTGGCCTTGAATGCATGGCTCTACTGTCCATCAGCGAGTGATCCAGCGCGCTGGTTCGAGTGAACAAGACATGCCATACCCTCGCCGAAGTGTGGGGCAATCACATTGCAGAGAACATTGACTCCGATGAGACAGGTACCGGTCTTCTCGTACCGATTGACTCCGCAGAGCCGCGGGCAGAGGTTGCAATTGCGCAGATGGGCGTATGCCTCAGACCGTTTACGAGCGGCATCAAGTGATGAGATGAGGTGATATCTGGGGATATAATCGTCCAGAAGAAACGGCGGGGCCAGATGGAGTGCCCGGCGTGTTGGCTGAGGAAGGACACTCCGCGGCCAGCATCGTGTCTTGCTAGCCGTACCTCGAGAAAATCGCTTGAGTGGGAGCACGAACATGGCGCTTCATTGTGTGGCGTGGTAATGCTTCGATTGTGGTTCTACACGGAGTTCATGAAAACACCACGCTCGAAATCCGCATTCTGATGACGTTGGCCGGGATCTTGCGGGACCCTGATGGCTGACAACCTGGAACGCCCGAAGGTTATTAAAACAAACACGTCGCCAGGTCGAAAGCTACTCGTGGAGCTATAGGCGGATAGCCTAACTATAATACATAACTCAACACTAACCTAGGAAGATTGACGCGCGAAATAGTCGAGCCGCATATTTAGTGTACCTTCTATGGCGTGAAATTAGTCTAGTTGTTTCTCCTAACCTGATTTCCTTCATAGACCTGGCGGTGAAAAAAAAAGCAGCAGCTAAGGTGCGACAACGGATGTTTGGATAGCCCTTGCCGCTTTATACATCTATTACAGTAAGTCTAAAGTAAACCACTCAGGTATGCATCTGGAAATTCTTGTTGTATGCCTCGATCTAGGCTCCTACCCAAAAATGTATCAGATTCCTTTCAACTATTGGGCGCGCTTAGTGGGCTTTGCAGGGCTATGAGACAGCAGTTCGTAGGGAACAGGTATTCAAGTACCCAAGATGGGCGAATGGAGTTGCATTGGGCAGCCGACGAGGATCACAGGGAACCTTCGACAAATATGGGATGGGAAGACCTTCATGACTTAAAACGTATTAGGATTCAATTTGCAGCTCTGACTGGAATGAGGTGCTGAGAAGGGTAGTATTGAACACTGGGCAATAATTTGCCATGTCGCAGAGCTCCATTTAGATTTGTTAGAGGATATACCGATACACTTACTGAGCGCAAATTCGAGTTGCTTTGAATTCACACCCCTTATTGTTAATGGGCCATTACCGTCGCCCTTTCTTGAACCTCTCGTGCCATTTCCTCCCTCCCGCAGCCAGCTTGCTGCCCGCCTCAGCCTTACCGGCACTGGTTTCACTGACCAACTCAGGCTTCAAAGCGATGTTCGTGGCACTCGAGAGTACGTACACGTCCTTTACACCAGTCAGCATCTCAACTCTCATGCTCTACAATCATAAGAACCTACCTGTATCGCGCTCAGCTCAGCCCCGCCGCGCCACGCTTCAGGCAGGCTATCCCTCCACCCATCCAAGAACCGCGCAGTAAGTAACTCCGTTCCCAGCTCCGCCTGCGCTTCTAACATCGTCGCCCCGACCCATGCGGCGCATTTGGACGCGTCAATGCTTGCCCAGCCAGTTGCCATATCCTGCTCCTCCGGCGTCAAGCGCCGCAGCACGGCTTCTACTAGGCCCTGGGGGTACCCTTCATCTGAAATTGCTTTCCACAGATCTGATGTGAGGAACTGGGATCCGGGGTCTATACTCTCCGAATAGGCAGCACTCATAAGGGCCTGCCACAATCGGAGGCGAACCCGCGCTGATGGTCGGAAGGACGCGCCGTTATGGCTGAAGGCGCACAGTTGCATCCATGCTGCGTCACATTCGCCAGATGAGAGGGGGACGTCGGTGAAGATGGCATGCTTGCTCCTTGTCGCTTGTGAAGATGGCGGGGTTATGACTTCTGCTTCCGTCCCGTGCCAGATTGGCAGAGCTTGCTTGAGGTAGGGGATGGCGGAGTCGGTTGTAGGGTGCAGCTCGAGAGTTGCGGTGCAGGCCGCTACTGCAGAAATGCCGGGCACTGGTAATTCTTCTTCCCCGTTGAGATAATGCTCGAAAGCTTGGGTGATGAGGACAGAATTGGAGGTTTGGACATGGCGGAGTTGGTAGGTCCTGTTCGGCGTGCAGAGGACGGCATGAGCGGGCTTTGGAGGAGCGTCTGGGCTGGCCGAGGCTTCCGCAGATTTTATCGACAGCCTGTTGAAAGTTAGATTCGAGTAGACTCTACTGCTTGAGATGGTCGACATTACCTACACCGGCGAATCTCCACTAGCTAAGAGATCGAGGAGCTCTGGGGGTAGTTCTATCAATCTGAAGCTTTGTTGCTCATGGGCGAGTGAGAACGGGATGCCAGTTGCATCTTGAGTCGCCATCTCTATCCCTAACCCTAACCCGAAGTGGGGTCAGGATGGGCGTGGGGTTTGGATGTGAAGAATAGCCTGAAGGCGGGATGATGCCTTGTTGCCTGACTGTTTGAGGAGCTATGACGGTAAACATGAAACGCGTCAACCGCGCCTGCGCGTCTCCTCTCATCAAAGCCCAAACGAGTAATATTGGAAACAGCATCGTCACACAATCGATCAAGCCACAGCTGCAGGCGCCGGGACTACCTTGCTCTCACCCTCGTTGTTTCCCACTTTAGCTGCATCCTCAGGGCGTACACTCAACTCTTTTGGGCCTTCCCGGGCCTGCAACAACAAGCCACCACCCGCTCACTTGTTTGCTGTCGACAGCTTCCACAACAACAGACAACAGCACCTGCGTCCGCTTTCTGGCCGACGCGTCCACTCATTCAACTAATTCGTTTCATGGCCTGAGAATCGTCGACCGTTCGGGGGACCAATTGGGACATCGCTCGAAGAAAGAGCTTAGTTATACTCACGCCGTCAACAACCATGGTTGTAGTCAACCCACCTCTACCGCCGCTGTCGCCAGACGTGCTGTCGCTGTTCTATACCACCGACGAATTACTTTCCGAGTCGCCTCTTCTGCTTTTCTATGGCAACTCTGCAACCACCATATCGAGCGCAAGCAGCTCGCGCATCCAAGTTCATGTCTATTCGCCGGCCGGATTCCAGTCGTTCCCGCGCCTCACCGTCTCGCCGAGCTCTCCATTGTACGCCGCCGTCCACTGCCTCGCGCGCGAGGAGCAAGGCGACGACATCTGCCGGGGCCTAGCCTTCAGTCTTTACAAGTACTTCTCCGAACTTCCAGTGAACGTGAAAGAGTTATGGGGAAAGCAGTCAAGTACTTTGGGCGGGTTGCCTTCGGCGCCGAAGCTGTTCACCGAGGCGCATGCTGCCATTCTGGCAAGTCGCATGGTTAAGGTGGAAAATGTCGTAGAAGTCATCAAGGACGTACGTCGCGCTCTTTGCGAACAATCGATGTCATGGCTTGATCTTGATGTTGTGCTTCCACCGGGATCGATGAAAGAGCTGGACAGCAACCGACCGCGGGAGTCTACAATGTTCGAAGAGGAGGAAGATGTTGCTGTCCAGCGCTATGGCGAGTATGCGCCGGTGGTCAAACTCTTCGGTGAAGCGGCGTTCATTCCCACCTCGAAGGTGCGACGGGCTCCCTCTCGCCCGACGGCCATCAATCGCAGTATAGTGTTCTCAAGAAAGCAGAAGGAGGCCCTTAGGCGCGAGATGTGCGAGCTCTTGGACACCGAAGAGAGCTACGTTGGCAAGATCTATGACCTCCTGCACAGCGTAGCGGAAGATTTTCGACAAAAAGCCAAGGACAAGGCGATGTCCAGTAGCAGTCCAAGCGAGCAAGCGCTCAGAGGCCTCTTCCCGCCCAGTCTGGATCAGATTCTTGAGGTCAACACCAAGTTTCTAGATGCGCTTCGCGCTGTCCTGGAGGAGACAGAGAACGACGCGATCCAAGACATCGAGGCTACCACGGATGGCTACCCTTCGGTTCCAAAGCCTGCTGACGCCAGCCGAACCGACCTGACTGGTACTCTTACGCTAGCTAGGTGCCTAGTTGCTTGGTTTCCCAAGTTCACAGAATGCTACTCGGATTACATCCAAGCACATTCGCAGTTCGCACAGTTCCTAAGGATATTCATGAAAGAGACCGGATCGAGCTTCTCGAAACGCGTGCAAGAAACCGGAGAGCAGAGGCTCACATCTATGCTAATAGAGCCGATTCAACGATTACCGCGCTACAACCTGTACATCGACAACATCGTCAAGCAGCTTCCCGCCAGGCATCCTGCATTGAAACCCTTACTAAAGGCGCGCGACATCATTACAGAGATATGCTCGCAAGACTCAGTCGCCACACAACAAAGCAAATCGCTTGATCGGCTCCGACGACTGATCCCAACATGGCCGCAGCACTTCCGTCCTCAAGGACGTCTTATCACCGCTATTGATGTGGCAGAACTTGTCCCTCCATATCATCCGGATCCTCAGGCTGCCGCTTCCAGGGCTTGTATTTTCTTGCTGTTCGCGGACTGTTTGGTACTGCTCCGTAGAGGGTCACCGGGTGCAATTTCGGCACGTGCTTTACTCGTGGAGCTTGACAAACCAGCTTCCGCGACTGCGGAGACTTTGAGCGCCAATCGAGACGGCGACGAGCTGATCTTCTACCAGCAGATGAGTCTTAGCGATGTCTTCATTACGGAGATGGACGGGGGCAGAATGATTCAGATGATCTCTCCGAAGCCTCCACCGGCTCCGCAGCGCAAGAATCCCTGCGTACGCGTCTTCTACCTTTCGGGCACCTACGAAGGAAGAGCAGCCCGCTTTGTGGAAGATCTCGTGAAAGCCAGAGTGGAAGGCCGCTTCCCAGAGGCTGAACGCGAAAGCCACAGATGGGAAGTTCGCAGCACCATGGGAGATCTGTCACTGTTCTCTGCCGTATTTGATGATGCTGGTGGGCAGATACAAGAAGGCCGACGGGCTCCCGCTCTTGTCCGAATGGTCGTCGATCCTACGAAGGGTATGAACGTGGCCAAAGTTGGACAGGAAGGTGTAGAGGTCGTAGCTTCCCTTACAAGCACTGGCGAGGGCTTCTTCCGCCTGGAGCTTGAGGCGCTGAACGAACACAGCACTCGCGATCATCTGACTGCGACCGAGTTCCTTCCTGTTCTGACCAAGAGATGTATGTGTTTACTTCCACTCCCTGTTTGGATCAACAGCTATGTCTTCCCACGGCTTACCCAACTCTACACCTTTTCCCTGCCAGGACTGATACTGACACCTTGTAGTGAGCAATTACTTTCAGATGCGAAACCAAATACGTAATCCGGCTCTGACCGCGACGCTACTGTTGCGCAATCAACAGACACTCAAATCACTAAAGATCTCTGCCGAAGACACCGAAGATGACTCTCAGCTTGAACAAAGCTACCGGCCTGCGTCGCCTGTCAAGCTACTCTCGAACCTATTCAGCAGCGGTTCCGTTAAGGAAAATGCTGCTCCAAAAAAGCTGTACCGCCCGTCCCCAGTTCTCGGTGATATCCCCCGGATGATGCCACCCCCAGTACCCCGATCGAACTCTGCCCGGTCTGAAGAACTCTCCCGTGAGGGTTCAGTCAACAAATCGATGTCTAGCCTCAACTTACCGGCCCTCGCTAGCGAGTCCTTTGGCAAACTAGATGAGACGCTGGCGGCCTACGTCCTCGCATTACATGCACGAAAGGGTAATGTTGTTGGCAAGTCGTTGATGGGCAGAGCTAGCGCCGACGAGCTGTCGGTGAATGAGCTCTACAACTCCCTCCTGGAGAATCCGATCAATCATGAGGTGGCGGCTCACGCTCCGGTCGACGTGCTCTTTGCCTCTTTCGAAAAGTTTCTCAAGGTTGCGTGGAAAGAGAAGATGGGCGCTGTCATCTCCCACAACACACTCGCCGTTATCCAGTCCAAGTCTGACAGCTTCTACCCGGGCGAGTTCGAGGAGTACTTCCGTCTGACGATCGGTGAATCGCTGCCACAAAACCAGCGGGCGCTGCAAGCCATCATCAAACTGCTAGCGGACCTCCTCGCCGGTACAGGAAATGACAGTGACCGCGGTATCCTGACAGCTGCGTTCGCTGAGGTTCTCGTACCGGAGGGCAACGCTCACGATTACATCTCGCTACTCGATCGGTTGGTCGAAGATGTCGATGCGCTCTTCGCTCGACCTGCAAGCAGTGGATCTGCTACTCCCAGCCAGGGATCGCTAATATCCAAGTCGCATCATCGGTTCGCTGCTGATAATGGATCTATCGGCTCGAACACTTCATCGCTGAGGAAGAAGTTCGGCTTCGGGACATTGCACAGGGAGAACAGCAAGTCCGAGCATGAGTCTAAAGTGGGCTCCGTGTGGCGCACTCTCAGCAAAACAGGCCGTAACGCGGATGGCCAGCCTGCAAGCATGTCGAAAGCAACGCTTGGCTCGATTGGCAGATCGAGGTCCATTGACGTCGATGTCCATCTCTCCCCTAAACGTCCAGTCTCACGGGACCGGCCTACTGTTCTTGGTGCCTTCGCGTCCGAGGAGAATCTACTGTCCGGTGGAAGACCTTTTGTTCAAGGTCTCGGCACGATTGGAGAAGTTCCGCCTACTCCGGGCCAGCCACCGCGCAAGAAGCGTCGCAGCTCGCTGTCCGACCTCAAGACGCTGCAGTCATCCCCATCGACGTGGTCGCCGCAAACGCCTCGAACGGCGCGACACGACTCTCTGCAGCGGTCGACACGCCAGACAAGTGCCACCCTACGCAAACCCTCGCACTCGAAGCACTCCAGTATCCCTGGGCCGCGTGCGCTGGAAGTGACGCCCTCCCCAGCGCGCTTTGGCTCTCCAAGCAGACGCGAAGGTTCCCCGAGCAAGGAGAACGCACCGACTAGCTCGCTACCCAGACCTCAGAGTACGGTTAAAGCTACCCCAACTGTTCAGTCCACCGACGTGACTATCACTAGCTACAGCCCAGTGAAGCGCCGGACGGACTCCATGACCAACATCCCGACACTGAAGAGCGCAGGGCTGTCAGAACGCCCTACTTCAGGCAACAGCACCAAGCAGCCGCCTTTCAATGGCACGGAGAAACCTTCCCTGGCATCACCCCTATCCGCCTCACCAGCAAAGAAGCTGCGCATGCAGAGCCCGCAGAAGCTTCGCGAGCGCCTGCAGAAGGAACAGCAGGCCCTGCAGACCACCTCGACCACCTTGCAAGCCGAGCTCTCGAAAATCGGCCAGGAGATCGGAGAGCTTAGCACCAAATCCTCTTCCCCCTCAAAGCCACCAACAACAACCCCTCCGGCCTCTAACGACATCCCATTTCTCGCCACCCGCCTCGCCTCCCTCGAAACCACCCTCCCAGCCCTCCTCACCCCCCTAACGACCCGCTTATCGACCCTAGAATCCGACATCAGCACCTCCCTGCTCGTCTCCGAGTCGCGCGCCAAGAAGCTCGACGCGCTATACCGCGACGCGGGGCTCGAGAACGAGGCGCTGTACTCGCGCTTCAACGACGAACTAGCGCGGGTGCTAAGGGCTGTCAAGAGCGGCGACGGGGTCGAGGAGATGAGACGGCGGCTTAAGGAGGCGGAGGAGGAGGGGGAGCGGCTTAGGAAGGAGAACTGGAGACTCAGGAGGGAGGTTGGGGGGCTGAGGGCGCAGTTGAGGGAGTGAGTCTCGGGAGTTGGACGTGGACGCGGACAGAGGGGCGGCAGAGTGAAGGGTTGGGGGAGGAGCGATCGGGGGGTTATGGATTGGGATTTGGTGAATGCTTACGGAAGGTTTGTGTGAGAGGGCTGGGTAGCGGTGAGTGTTTGCGCGATTAACGGCTTATGACGATGCGGGTTCAGCTTGGCGTTTCTGGAAGGAGGGACACACTGGTTTTTTCCCTTTCTGTCACGAAGGACTGTCGGGGGAAATATCTGAGCACACTGTTACGTCCGCATTCTACAGTGCTGGACTCCTTGGGCGCGTTTACAAAAGCAGCGTGGTATTCTGGTCTATACTTTCCGTACACTTTCCTTTCCCCGCCCCTAGTGCGGCTGTACCCTTAGAAGAGATGCCGATAGCACAATAGGATTCATGACTTGCTTCTTTCATACGGCCTCTCCGCAGCTTAACCTCCACTACCACCAGGTCTCCTTACCTCGCCCACCTTAATGCCCATGCCCATCATCCTCCCCACCCCCCCTCTGTTCCGGATCCAACTTGATAAGCGTATCAATCCTCATAATCGCCACACACGCCTCGACCGCGCTCTTAAGCTGCTTGACCTTACTCATACTAGGCTCCAACACCCCCGCCTTGACCTCATCCACCACCTTCCCTCTCAACAAATCCAAGCCGTAGTTCTTGTAGTTCTTCTTCTTGGCGATGGCGCGCTCGTCTTCCGTGTTGGTCTTGTCGGAGGGGTGGGTGGGGGAGGGGTCCGAGGAGGTGCGTTGCGCCAAGGCGTGACGGGAACGGAGTTGCGCGACGAGCTCGGAAGAGTCTTTGGCGGCGTTTACGGCGAGGGTTTTGGGGATTATGAGGAGGGATTGGGCGAAGGCTGCTATGGCGAGCTGTTCGCGGGATCCCTGGGGTAGAGGTTAGTTTGGGGGAAGAACAGGGTAGGGGGTTGCGATTGTGGGTGGATGGAGGGGAGACATACCACGGAGGTCGCCCACTCCTCGAGGTAGATGTGCAGGGCCGTCTCGACCGCACCGCCACCGGGAACCACACGGCCGCTCTCAAGTGTCCGCTTGACTGCGGAGAGGGCATCGTGAACGGATCGCTCCATCTCGTCGAGCGAGTAGTCGTTCGCGCCCCGCAAAATAATGGACGCAGACGAGTGTGCCTTCGTGCCCTTGACGAGAATGCACTCGTCGTCCGAGATCCGCTCCTGTACCACTTCCTCCGCCTGCCCTAGATTCGAGGCCTCGAACTTCTCGTCACCGTTCAGGTCTGATAGCGAGGATACCAGCGTGGCACCCGTCGCCTTGGCTATCCTTCTCAGGTCCTCCTTCTTGCATCTCCGCACCGCCATCGCGCCGCGCTCTACAAAGGTCTTCAGACACAGCTCGTCAATGCCTTTGGTCGTCATGACGACGTTCGCACCGGACTTGAGGATCATGTCGATCCGCTCCAACACGATGCCTGCCTCGCGCTCGCGAATCTTCTCGAGCTGCTGCGGGTCGTCGATGGTGATGTGCACGCCGAGCTTCATGCGCTCTTTCTGCAAGTTGATGTCCAGACAGGCAATCTTGGCGTCCGTTATCCGCGTCTTCATGGCCTGCGATGCCACCGTGCAGTTGAGGGCGTACCCCTTGACAAGCATCGACTCCGTCGCGCTCTTGCCGTGGGCTTTGAGGACGTTGACGGCCTTGACGGGATATTTGGTCTCGTTCCTGTTGTTTGTCGACTTTACGGACTGCATTGCATCCACAACCATGTTGGCGAAGAAATCCGAGTCCGAGCCGATGATCTTCGAGGACATGGACGTCTTGGCGATGTTGATGAGGCTCTCGCGACCCAGCTCCGCGACAGGCATGCTGATGTTCTCGGACATGTACCTCACAGCTTCCCTCAACGCTAACCGGTAGCCTGTGATGATGGTCGTGGGATGTATCCGGTTCTTCATCAGCTCGTTCGCCCGCCGTAATAGCTCCGCCGCTATGATGACAACCGATGTAGTGCCATCGCCGACTTCCTTGTCTTGCTGTTGCGCGAGGTCTACGAGGATCTTGCCGGCTGGGTGCTCGATGTCGAGGAGGGAGAGGATGGTGGCGCCGTCGTTGGTGACTGTTACGTCGCCGATGTCGTCCACGAGCATCTTGTCCAGCCCGCTGGGGCCGAACGAGGACTTCACGACATTGGCAATTGCGGTTGTGGCCAGGACGTTTTGGTCGCGGATGTCTTGGCCGCTGATTTTCGTGCCGCCGAGGACTAGGCGTTGTGTTAGAAGTTGGGTATGTGGTCAGGACGATGGAAGCACTTTACACAGAGTTCCTGCGTTACGCTGTTGCTCGAATATGCCGGCCATATTGGGGTGCAGAGGGTGGTGTTTGGTAGAGCTGTGTTCTTGACGCGCTTGACGCGAAGCTCTAAAAAGTTCAGATGCAGCAGAAGAGCAGGCTGAAATGTGGGTTGCTATACCTGGGGCTATGTCACGCGTGCAAAGTCGCAACCTTTAATTTAGCCTCTCCGTGCTTCGCGGCAACCGGAGAAAGAGTGAGGCCGGCGGCTTCCGGACCCTGAAAGTTGATCGATAAACACCCCTCGCACCCCACATTCGACGCGTTTAAGCAGTGAGTGAGTGACTGGTACGTAGTCGTAGAATCCGGGTCACTTAGTCCAGTTGAATGTGAGTCATATAGTCAGACAGAAATCCGCAAAGCTATACACTTGCCCCCCCGCCAATTCAGCCTCATCTGCAATTAGAAAGACGATCTGATTGTTCTGTCAGTAACAACCCGCGAAATATGGCTGAGCCGGTCTCGGAAACTACCAAGGCCGACGCTCCTGTGCTTCCCGAGCGTACGAGAGAGGACGGCGAAAGAAAGGAGAAGAAAGACAAGAAGAAGGAGAAAAATGTTCCCAAAGCCTCCAAAGAAATGGCGCCCAAGACCACCAAACCCACCCAGCAAAAGAAGAAGATCGAGGGCGCCGAGATGATAGGCATAGACGTGCGCAAAGAAGACGATCTCGCAGAATGGTACCAACAAGTCATCACCAAGGCCGAGATGATCGAGTTCAGCAATGTGTCCGGCTGCTACATCCTCCTTCCCCCGTCATACAGCGTATGGGAATACATCCAGACGTGGTTCGACGCAGAGATCAAGAAGCTGGGCGTGAAGAATTGCTATTTTCCTATCTTCATCTCGGAAGACGATCTGCAGAAGGAGAAGGATCATTTAGAGGGCTTCGCGGCTGAGGTGGCATGGGTGACACATGGAGGGAAGAGCAAATTGGAGAAGCCTGTCGCGATCCGTCCGACGTCTGAGACAGCCATGTACGGATACTACAGCAAGAAGATCCGGAGTCATCGCGACTTGCCCCTGAAACTCAACCAGTGGAACAACGTCGTGCGGTGGGAGTTCAAGCACCCTATGCCCTTCCTCCGCTCACGCGAATTCCTATGGCAGGAAGGACACACCGCACATCTCACGCGCGAAAGCGCCAGCGAAGAAGTCCTACAAATTCTTGACCTCTACGCCGCAATATACGAAAATCTCCTCGCCGTCCCTGTCGTAAAGGGCACCAAGACCGAAAACGAGAAATTCCCCGGCGCAGACTACACCACCACAGTTGAGGGCTTCATCTCGGCCACTGGCCGCGGTATCCAAGGCGGAACGAGCCACTGCCTCGGCCAGCATTTCAGCAAGATGTTCGGCATCACCGTACAAGACCCCACCAGCAGCGAACCCCTCAACGTGTGGCAGAACTCGTGGGGTTTCACCACGCGCTCCATCGGCGTCATGGTCCTGACGCACAGCGACAACAAGGGCCTTGTCGTTCCTCCCCGTGTCGCCGAGACGCAGGTCGCCATCGTCCCTGTTGGCGTGACAGCCAAGACGACTACGGAAGACAGAGACAAGCTATACAAAGAAATCGAAGCCATTGCCGAGATCCTCAAAGACGCCAACGTGCGCGTCGAAGTCGACTTCCGCGAAGGCTACTCCCCGGGCTGGAAGTTCAACGACTGGGAGCTCAAAGGCGTGCCGCTGCGCCTCGAGTTCGGCCCCAAGGACTCCGCGAACCACGTCGTCACCGCTTCGCGCAGAGACCAGGACGGCAAGTCTACAATCGCGATCACGGAGCTCAACACCGCGATTCCGGAGCTACTGGAGACGATCCAAGCGGACCTCTTCAAGAAAGCAGATGAGTCATTCCGCACACACAGAGTACAAATCACAGACTGGAAAGACTTCGTCCCGACGCTGAACGCGAAGAACCTGTGTCTCATTCCGCACTGTCTGGGCGGCCCGTGCGAGGACGAGATCAAGGAGATGAGCAAGAGGCAGCAGGATGGCGATGTCATGGCTGCAGAGGACGCGAAGGCGCCGTCCATGGGCGCGAAGAGCTTATGTATTCCGTTTGAGCAGCCGAGCGAGATTGCGGAGGGGACCAAGTGCACGAATCCGAACTGTAAGGCGGCGGCGCAGAAGTGGGTCATGTTTGGAAGGAGTTATTAGATCGCGCATCGGGGGAGCAAAAATTCGCGCTGTTCTGGTGTGATGCATCACGGCATTACGTAAAATTTATGGTGGAAATACAGCAATGGAGCTATAGAGATGAGCAAATCAAAGCATGCAAGAGGCTTCATTTCACTAGAGCTGAAGATCTTTATCGTCCTATGAGACTTTAAGACTGGTCCGCTGACAGGCAAGATTGCAGAAGGCTTGGGACACTCTTGGCGCATCGCCTCACCAATATGTGGCCCATGACTTTTGCAGCGTTGCCTGCTCACAGCCTACTCATGGGTGTGCCGATGTTTCCAGCCCTAGACTTGGCGAGCTGAGCGAACTAGATCAACGACACGAGTATATACATATACGATTCAGCTTGAGCGGGGTTTCCGGCCGCATTCCAGAGTGAAAAGAGTATTCCAGCGGCTTCTGCAAACTTGTCTCGAGCTCTCTTCTATCCTTCCCCGTCGCTGTTGAGCGTCCTGCTTTGAGTGAAGCTGTTGCTTGCTGCTTTTCACCTTATCGAATCGACGGAATTCTTGAAGCACGTTTCAGAAGAGCTGAATCCGAACGACAGGGGGTCTCGTATTTGCCATCGGCGTTGCGTAAGAGTTATAGCCTACTGAACGTACATATTTCGACCGGATATGAGTTCACCGAGCATGGATGACAGGGCACGGTCTGATATATCGGTTCACATGTGGTCTTGGGCAGAAGAGCTAGGATTACCGACTAATGACAAGAGAGAAGACCCACGGGGGGTTCTTGGGTACCTCTTCGAGTCCGACGGCGAGTCTGAAGAGATACCGTCCGAAGACACTCATACCAGGACACGACGTAAAGCTGATGAAAGACGTGAGCGGAGAGCAAGAAAAGCCGATGAGGACAGGATAGAGTTTCAGAAGGCTAGGGATCGTCTCGCTCCAGCGGAAACACTCCGCCAGGAGGGGAAATCGGTCGAATCGATTTTGTTCTGCGGTGTGATCTTGAGAGAGGAGATGGAGAAGTGCTTTCTACGTAAGCGGGAGAAAACAATGCTGTTACGTTACTGTATCATGCAATTGCTTCTCATATTTTGCCAGAGGCATCCAGACATCCTCCGCGATTGGTCCCATAGCACCCTCCGTCATCACGAATACCTAGATGAGGTTGTCCGGAAAATCAAAAGCACCGATGATGTCAAGTTGCTCAAGGTTATCCGAGAACTAGCCGGATATACCATCTCGTTCAGCAGCTTCGATTTTCCGGGCCCATGGGTCTCGGCTCAAGTGTACGATGTCATGCTTTCCAGTTATGGCGCTGAAGATCAAGAGACATTGCTTGCGTTGAAGTATTTAGCGGAGAGCTGTGTCTACGATAGTTGTGGCAGCCGCTTCCGTGAAGTATACCCGTGGCAGCAGCGTGAAGAGTGGATTTACCAGCATGCCATACAGATTCGTAAGAACTTAGGTGCCGATCGCCCACACGCTCTGAAATACCAATATGCCATGGCTCGGACCATACTTGCGGAGGGCAGCGTCTCTAAAGCAAAAGACAACCTTCGAGAGGCTTTTGATGGACGCGTATTAGCGTTTCAAGAAGCGCATACCGAATGTGATACATTCATAGATGGGCTCCTGGAAGCTTATTGTGACGAATATGTGGGCACGGCGCTTACGAGGGCCGATTATTACGATTTTCGCGTTGAGTATACGTACCTGGACGAGCTTGTGCAATTTTGCCTTTCCCGGGAGGCGTATGAAGAGATCGATACACTTGTTCAAGAGTGCACCTTTCCACAGAAAGCGACCAACGCCAGACGAGGGATAGAGCCTTCGCCGGCTGGTCTGAGTTCGAGTTCAACAGGGGATGCAAGATTCAACCTAGACTAGCCTCGTACAGAGCTCCTAACTCAGAAATGTATTGGGAAGACAGTCGGATGTACTTTCGCACGTGGAACCGAGTCACTCTTATATCTGCTTATCCCAAAGACCCTTCACCGAAGGCGCCGGTCAAAATCACTGTCACTGAGAACGGTCTAAGGGCTCAGAGTTGTGAGACCTGTCCGGAAGAGGCCCATCCAGGGGCTCAGCACCTCATTTACGAACGCGATCTTGTTGAAGCAGTTCACGAAACTGAGATATGGCAGCTGCTTGAATCCAAACGGTGTACTGGTGATTGGAAGATCTTACTTGCTTTCGGGGATCAGCGATGGAATTCGATGATCAAGGATTTGGTGGTCTGGCCGGCTCAGCATGAATTCTTCGTTTTCCCGGAGGACCAGGTTCGTTGCGGCGAGACGGAATCCGGTGTACGTCCTGCGCTGCTGCGCAACGCTAAGTTGTGGCACGCTGATGTCCTGTAGGATACCTCATTACGCAAATCAATTCAAGCCTTCTCCAAGACTTACAGATTCAAGCATCTCGATGCTCCTGGTTCACAGTGGCTCGTTACGACTTTCAACGAGGATATTTTCAATCTCTTTGACCTTAATGAACCCTTACCTGGAAATGCGGACGATAGATATGCCCAGAGGCATATTTTCAATTCAGAGTATGCATCCGGGCTCAAAGACGAAAGTGCCACACCGATTGGAATGGAGTATTCGATCAGCGGTTCTGGAGACAAGCGCATCGATGTTACGGTCCCCTATGTGCCTTACGAACACTTTCAGAGCAGTAGAGCCTACGACCAAGGCTTCACTTACATGGACTATCTTCGACTCTTGCTCACGGTGACAACCAAACGTGGACCTTATCCATATGATTTCAGACAGAGGTGGTGTACCACGCATCCGACCAGTAAAAAGGAACTTCCTTTATGGAAACTCTCTTTCCCGTCCACGGCTAAGCAGGTAAGACTAGGTGTGCATCTCTTTGAGAAGTAAGCCTCACAAGGAGTCGAAACATCCAATTCAATCTTGGGTATCGTTGCTCTTATGCTCGAACCACAACGCTGATATGGAGCTTCTTCCCTTCATATATGAAATGACCATTGACATGGTTGGACGACTGGGTTTCATCGAGCGAGCTTCACCGCACCTCTGCCTATACGCAAAGCGTTCCACTTGGCTGTACTCATGCTTTTCTGAGTGGGGGTCATATCTTGCTGACAAAAGAACAGGAATCGTCGCGTCGTCGGGGATTCCTCAACAATATTCCCACAGGCTTAGCTCTGCTTGATAGCGGAGCCTATGGCAACGGCTTCAGCCTCTTGTCCTCAAATTGGCCTGACTGGACAACCTTCACGCTGCATCAGCCGGGTTTTGACCGAATGCCAGTCCTAAAGCTGCATTCAGGGGAACAAGTGAAGTGCCATGGCTATGTCACCGGGACATGGACAGAAGGTGATACACTCAGTAAGCAGTGGACGGGACTGACCTTGTATGTCGTTGACTGCGAATTCGGAACGGATGGGGCTGGCGAGCAGTGTCACATACTACTCAATCCAGAGGTTCTTGGAGCACGAAACTTGCATCTGAGTAAGGGTTCTGCGTTGATTCTCTATGCACGCTCGCTGAATTATTACAGTGACTGGTCCAGAAAAGAGTTTTTCTGCGGTGCTCTCAACATGTGTTTCTTCAGATATGTGCGGTCTTCTGAGGAGACCTTGGGGAGTAGATGGAAGGGTAAGCGTAAACCACAGAAAAAGAAAGAAGGTAATTCTCCCTGCGGTTTAGTAGTGGTAAGATGCCATACGCCGCTATCACAGCTGACGCCGTCTTAGACGTAAATACTGAAGATCTGTTTTGGGATGAAATGAACCGGCGCGAGAAATGGGATCGCGACTTTGAGAAACGGACGCTCTTCTTGAGTACAAGGTCCCATCTCTACGATGGTGATGAGTACGAGACTGCGGCGCTGGAGGAGAAACGGCAGGAAGACGCTGCAAGAGTTGAATGGGATACGAGAAATACGGCGTCGCTGTAGATCAATTACCACACAATTAGCAAAGCATTTTACTACATGATGACTCGCATGATGGATGCCTGCTTAAACTCGATCCTCAGACTGCCTGCCAAACCAGCCCGGCACGGTCAAGCCCGTGGACCAAATTCCGTTGATATATTGCCGCTGACAAAGACCACCTGTACTGCGGCGTAGCTGTTTTCGCGTGTTAGAAATACCGGTACCACGAGCTGACCTGCATAACACTAAACTTACGCGGCTGTCGCGGCAATGATCTCCACATTCTTAGCATTGCTCAACGTAGCGAGTGTAGCTGAACAAAGCGCCGAGAAGGCGACGATGCACCCCAGCCTCGTCTTTTGCGAAGAGATGAAGTACAACACAACAATGGATAAGATAGGTAAGATTGACGACAATATCACGGCTAGGAATCTCACCGTGTTTCTGATCTTACCATCGGAGTAGAGCGACATCTGGCCGTTGCCATTGGAGACGGAGCTCTGGGAGCAATGATCGAAATTAGGCTCGAGTAGATAGACAACAACCTCAGCATCTCATAAACTGAGAGGCAATAGTACGCGAGCTTCATCACACTCACCCTGTATCCAAACAACCAGTAGAAGTGCCTCTCAAAGAACCTCGACATCAACTCCTTTTCCTCGTACGACAAAGCCACCATATCAGTCCGATGTCTCTCTGCGACGAACTCTGCATCGGTTTGAGACATCTCGTGGCGGTTTGCCTCAAGATATTCCACTAAATTTGCCATCGGTCTTGTAGCGGGTTTCTTCAAGCCGAGCAACCATGCTTGAGACGCAAGTGCTTGGTCTGCAGCGGGTCGAAGTATCAGCCCTAAACATGACTATGCATTGTCTGTCTAGCATCAACCAGCACCAGCCTTAGAGAAGCGGCCTTACTGTACTCCTCAAGCTTCTTACGAATCTTCAACATCAACTCCAGATGCTCGCCACCAGCCTTTTCGAGATGGTACCACGACCGAGGAACGGACCAAACCTTAAGTCCCATTTTTCTGTCATTTGCGGCAGCCTCCATCTCCTGCAATCGAGCTTCTAGGGCCATCAGTTCGCTTTGCAGGTAAAGCAGGTTGCGTGAATTTAGGACGCCTAATCGTCTATACAGCGCAAGGTCGCGGTCACAGCTCATACAAGTGGCTACTGCACCGTAACCTGACGGAGCCGGGTCTGCTGCTGAAGTCATCTCCGAGGTAATGCAATCTTTGCAAGACTAGTTAGGCATCGACAAATGATCGCAGGTCGAGTTAGTGTTGATGTCGAGCAGTGCGGCTGACGAGCCACGAGCGGCAGCCCGTATTACGTCACCAAGACAGCTTAAGACTTTAGATATCGTACTTCAAAGGTATTCATGAGAGCATAGTAGAACTAACTCCTGAAGCTCCGATTTACTAACACACTATATGTAGATCGCCATTCTGATTCGGCGGCTTCAAGATACTAAGAAGTTAAGTTATACGCAGCGCATAGTATGGCGATAGACTTCACAATACGATTCGTGCCTTATACCTAAGTTCGAGTACTACTACTTTACTCTAGCGTTCGCGCCAAAACACCTGCAATTTCACGTTCAGTTTCGAACAACACATGACTATAACATCACAGTTCAACAAGAATGCTATTACTAGTTGCCATAGTAGGCCAATCACCACACTCTATCCTCTCCCTACTACAAACGAACTGCGCTGTTGTCCCAGCCCCAATACCACCTCGTGTCCACCCAGCACGCTACCAGGAGATCCGTACTCTTCTCGTCTATATCCGCATCCAGCTTCAACACATACGGCCACAAATCATACCGGTCCCCCGAGTGGAATGTCTCCTTTGCAACAACTCTACCCGCCTCGTCTTCCCACTCCAAACCCTTCTGCCCCACCTTGTCTAGCATATCAATGTTCTTGTTCTCAGTGACATGGTACATCCGCCACCGTTTGAATATGCAGTCGATGCGGGTCTCGCTCTCTAAGCCCACGACGCGGACGACGCTATTAGAGGAGTCTTTGTGGATCGTGTAGAGAGCTCTGTCTTCCTCGAAGCGGAGCGGTGTGCTGTGGTCGGTGGCTAAGCGCCGGGTCTCGGAGGGAGCGAGGCGTCGGATACGGAGCTCTCGCGTGTCTTACTCTAGCGTCGTCGAGAGCTGGTATCGCACTTCGCTGGACGTCAGTAGGGCTCTGATGAAGGTGTCGTCGATGTTGAAGACCTCCTTGGCCCCTTTAAACGAAAGGACGTCGGAGTATATATTCGTTGATACGGAGGAGTAGGATTCTGGATCTGGACTTAGAGTGCGCTTCTGACGAGGCTGGGAGGGCTCTTCGACGTCGGGCATCGAGCGACGACGGCTTGACGGCTCTGCTATGTCAGGTGTGGATAGCCGGCAAACAGGTGCTTCTGATTCCTCGAGTAGAAACGGGCGTCCGCTTTGGGTGGGTGCGCTGGTAGAAGGCAAGGTGAGGTCAGGGGCTGCGGCCCACTGGCTGTCGACATCCATTCCGCAGTGAGCATGTTGGATGAAAGTCCTATACTGGCACGATTAATGTATAGAATTCAGGCGATTAGGAGGTGGAGGCTATGTCCTAGGATGCGTGTCAGCTCGGAGGGGAAATCTGCCTGTAAGGCTTCATCATTCGTAAAGCCGCCAGCGAATGGCCGTCTAGGAATGTTAGCATGACAGCACGACAGAGAGCTGCAAAGAGACCGAGTTCAATCTCTGTATTGTAGCTTGATGGCTTCTAGCTGACCATACCCTGATGGCTCGACAACGACGGCACACCTTAGCGGATCACGTGCAGAGCACGTACGTTGTAACCGTGGCGCGTCTTCAACACCACGAGTTGGCAACCGCGGCTTGGGTGTAGCTTATTACAGCGGCACGAGATACGAAACTCTTGGGCTTTTGCACGCAATCTCGTATTCAAGCTCCCCGGATGCATCAGAATCGATTTCAACTGCGCGATCGAGATTGCTCAACCTCTGTCAGCATGTCAGCCGTGCATGCAACTAATCAGAAGTCTCCGCATGCAAGCCGCAGAGGATAAGTGCTATCTGAATGGAGGGGTATGTAGCGTTATCAGAAGGGAGGGGAGCGTGAGGCGAGGGGAAGAGAAGGACCTTTTATAAAGAGTCGCTATGCGAGTGCTTTCCTAGGTTCGATAACGTATTCCCAAGAGTTCATACGCGTCACATCAGCGACAGCGAGACACCTGAACAATGCCGCTCCCTAGCGATGAAGAGTTGCTCAAGACGAGCTCGGATCTTGTGGCTCAGATGCAGGCAATCTTCGGCCTTCACCCCGGCTTTCGCCCCGGTATGCCTGATTTCTATTCCGCTCTACTCTCATCTTCGCACAGCCCTGCTGCTGCCGCCCAACTAACAGGCCGCCTCCTGCCCAACAGCTCACGCCCGCGGTGCCCTCTTGACAGGCTCCTTTACGCCTTCCCAGCAGGCCGCAGCCCTCTCCTCAGCGCCTCACTTCTCCGCCGCCAGTACGCCCATCCTCGCCCGTTTCTCCTCTTCTACCGGCATTCCGCAGATTCCCGATACTGATCCGAATGCCAATCCGCGCGGTCTCGCCATTCGCTTCAACCTGCCCTCCACGCCTGACGGTCACCGTGTGCATACGGACATAATCGCACACACGACCCCTTCCTTCCCCACGCGCACCGGCGCCGAGTTCCTTGAATTTCTCCGCGCTGCGGCGGTTAGTCCTCCCGGGGCTGAGAGCCCGACGGCGGTAGAGAAGTTCCTAGGTGCGCACCCGGACGCACTTGCCTTTGTGCAGACACCGAAGCCCTCCCCTGTTTCGTTTGCCAGCGCGGCGTATTTTGGGGTCAATGCGCTGAGGTTCGTCGGCGGAGAGGGGGGCAAAGAGATTTTCTTCCGGTACCGCATCGTGCCTGCTGAGGGCGAGATCGCGACGCTGGGAGCGGAGGAAGTTAAGGAGAAGGCGGACGGTTATCTCTTCGATGAGCTGCCTGCGCATCTTCGGGACAGTGGTCCTATCAAGTTCAAGCTTCTAGCGCAGATTGCGCGCCCGGAAGAGGGTGATGTGGTCGATGATGCTACTAAAACCTGGCCGGACAGTAGGGAGTCAGTGGAGCTAGGCGAGCTCACGCTGGACAAACTGGTTGGGGAGGACGAGGGGAAAGAGATGCAGAAGAATGTCATTTTCGATCCCATTCCGAGGGTTCAGGGCATCGAGCCATCGGAAGATCCGCTGTTGGAGATGAGGGCTGCTGTATATCTAATCAGTGGCCGGCAGAGGCGGGCGGCTGGGGCTCCGAAGGAAGTGGTGGAGGGGTTGGGGCATTAGTCGCAAGATATCTGCGGCCTTGTCCTGTGTAATGGGTTGACGTAGACACGAGACCGTGGATTATCTGGTGAGTCTCGACACCAAATTGCCTTGAGACTGGAATTGAGCGGAATATTAAATGAAAAGGGATGACTAATACCGACGAACTCGTGCAAAATCCAGCAAGGCGTAATGAGATAATGAACGTTGTTCTCTACCATTTGCTAAGCAACTCAGAAAATTCGTGGTTCCGCATGTCGGCACGTCTTCCGGATACGCTCGCCATATTTAAAGCAATCTCAAAGCTTTTGAACATGTTTTGATTGTCAGTTTAAAAGACGCGGACACAAGACCAAGCAAAAGCAAGCCGCGCCAGTAGCCGCCCTCCTTCCTCAGACATCTGTCAGACCCGCCAGCTCCACACGTAAAAAACTTAACGGCTTGTGTGCAATTTCATGGTCTACTCCGAAAAGATGACCAAAGATTTAACCAAATAAGTTGTCCAAGAACCCAAGATAACTAAATCCAACTACCCAGCGCAATATGTACTCCTAGAGCGCAGCCATTGCCCATACTTCCAGAGCAAGACAGGCGCGACTATCCCAAGACCAAGAGACACGAAGGCGAGCAAGCTATTGCCCCACCCAAGGCCAAGGCTCTCGTACAACTTCGGCGCAAATAACGGAAAGCTAAAACCCGCCATGGTGCGCACAAAGGCGGCCGCGCCTGTAGCAGATGCAGCATACCGTGTGTACGCATCGACCATATAGGCCTGCGCACACTGAAAACTGATAATCAAGCCTATGCAAAAGATGACGGCGCCGATGTTGGGAACGATCCAATGCGTAGCGAAATGTGCGGACCAGCCGTAGATAAGGAACCCGATTGGGACGAGGAGTCCACCGGGAAGCATCAAAGGCACCCGAAACTCGGGGCGGCCCGGCTCGTTACGCTGCTTTTTCAAAGCGCAATATATCTGCGAAGTGAGGTCAGTTTTCTGATGCGTGCGATTATAGCGTTTCGCCCGAAGGGGAGCAAGAGAAAGAGGTCTTACCCTGTCCATCAATGGACCGCAGATTTGAAGACCGATTACGAATCCGATCCCAAGAGAGATATAATTCAAACTGGCAGTGGCAACGTTCTGCTTGTATACCGATTCCCAAATCATGGGGAACGATGCGAGACTTCATCACACAAGACACGATCAGCTACGCACAAGAAGCAGCCGAGAAGTCAGGATACTTACACGAGGTACATGATTCCATATTGATATGCTCTGTATATGGCAAGAGCCTGAATAACAGGCTGCGTGCCGAGCATGATGAAGGGTCGTACGAGATTCTTCCTAAGGATCTGTCCGAACGAGTGATCCGGGCTCTGCCACTTTGTATGCAGCGCATCGTTGCCGGTCTCTTGCCGCAGTTTCTTCGCCTTGACGGCGAGAATCTTCGGCGCATAGGTCTCTTGTAGAAAAAGGAAAGCCAGAAGCTGCACGACGGCATCGGCAATCGACACGGACCAGAAGATCCATCGCCAGGTAGTGTACTGAGCTATGTATCCGCCGGCTACGCAGACGTCAGCGAGAGACTTTGCATTAGAGGCATAGAGCTCACCGATAGGCCCCACAGCAGGACCGAGGAAGGGAGCGAGGCTGTAGATGGCCACAGCTTTGCCGCGTTCCTCCGCACGCCAGCAATCACTCAGAACGCCTCCACCAAGCTAGTAATCAGTCAGCCCACGCCCAACTGGATGTGTAGGGAAGGGCACAAGTCATACAGCTTGTGGAGCGCTCCCTCCGAGACCGCTAAGGAACCTGAAGGCGAGCATCTCCTCCTTAGTTCTAGCAAACCCGCAGGCCGTGTTGAACACCAGGTAGAACATATTTGCCGACTGCAGGACGACTACCCGGCCAAAAATCTCAGAGAGAGGGCCTAGAACAAACGGTCCAACTGCATAGGCAAGAAGGAAGATCGACATGAGAAACATCTGCTCGACGGAAGAGGATACATTGAACTGGCGAGCCAGCTCCGGCAGCGCCGGGGCCACCATGGTCGATGAGACGGGCGATATAAAAGTGAAGCAGGAAACGAGTACCGTGGCTACCCATTTCCTAGAGTAGCTCCAGTTCAAGGGATTGGCTGGATCATGAGGCCCAGACCATGTAACCTTCCATGGGTTAACTCAGAGGCACTCGATGCTTACAGGGTCAAGCGTCACTTACCAGGTTGGGATCCTCCACAGACTTTGCGCTCAGCGATCGGACCAATACCGAAGGCCTCCCTGCATCGTCCCCAAGGCTGGTGTCCCTGCTCTCGGTTGCAAGGCTTTCACCGTCATGAAAACCAGCGTCACCCCGTTCGATGTCGATGGCGGTGGTGCTGGAAGATTGGGAACGATCGTAGAAGAGATCATAACAGTAATGACCGTATGGGCCTTTGGCCAGCCACGGGTACTCTGAGATGGAAAGTTCATAATCAGAATCGGATTGGAAACTGAGAGACGCCCTTGGAAACTCTGCCATGTTTCCCGTAGGCTCATAACTTCTTTCGTAATTGTTCTGCATCTTGGGCTGATAAACGAGAGACACAGGATGAAACGAGTGTAAATAGCTCAGACTACTGCAAGGATACAATCAGGAAAGTGAAAAGAATGAGCTTTATGGACGAACAGACGTCTCAACGCAGAGTGCCCATCACGATGAACACCAGGGACAAGAGCTCTGCCACCTCTAGCGTATCGCGGGGCCCGATCACAGCTACCCGGAGATGGGATCATATTCCTTATTTGAACCTGAAACATTGCCTAGAAGAGGGCAGGGAAGTAAAAAGCTAGTCTGCCAATGCCGGCTGTGTACTGCAGAAATGTACATGCTTTGACATGCACTTCGACACGCTGTCCAAAATGACACGCGACAGTACATCAATCGACGAGGCTGAGCCTGTCCAAAATAGCCAATATATCGCGTGACAGCATGCCTCAAGAGGAGGCCGAGAGAATCCAAGCAAGAGGCCGAGAGAGTGTGAGACGGGAAGAAGCATCGCAAAAAGCTTGGGATGGGGATGTTCGAACGGCCTAGGCTTTAGGGCGATCTTGGAAAGTGCAGATCACTCTCGGCGCGCGCCGGCCGCGTGTGCGCCATGCTCGCTTGGCGCGACGATCTTCTACTTCGCCCACTCCGTTCTGTCCGGTAAGACTGTGGTGTTGACAAAGCATGTTACCAAGCGTGTGCGAGTCGTGAAAGACTACTCCACCAGCGTACGGAGTCAACACCTTGCCCTGCCATTCTCGACGTTACAAAGAAGAGCCGATAAGCGCTAAGACTGTTCGGCCTATCAGCTTCATGACCCGCTTGGAAGGTAGCCCAACGAGCTGAAGGGGTTTCAGATTCCATTTTGAGATATGCTTCACAGCTGCGTGCTGGCAATGCCGAGCCAAGTCTCCGATTTTAGCATTTTCTATAGCATTCGTCATTTCGTCAAGTGTACACTCAATGCTGCAGTAAGATGAACGGTGCGGTGTACAATGTTGCCGAACTCACTGGGCGGTTCTTTTTCCAGCATCCAGTAGACCAAAACAATCGTCAATCCGATATCTTGACGCTCTGCACTGCCCAGGATAGTCTGGGCAGCTTCAAGCGAGTTTCCGTATAAAACCAGGGGGAAGATGCGTTCAAACTACCCTATCATCAATCGTTTCAGCAGCCCGATCGTCCTTCGCTGACTCTACTACAAACACCCATACCACAGATCGGAGTCTGCTGCTACCTTCATCTTCTCATCTACTCCAGAAGAACAACTACCCAACTATGCAGATCCTCATCTCACCTTCAGGTTTCAAAGAGAGTCTCGAGCCTTACCTCGCCGCAGATTGCATCGAGACTGGTATCCTGCGCGTCTGCCCAGATGCAATCATCCGAAAAGCTCCCCTTGTCGACGGAGGGGAAGGCTTCGCGCGTGCTCTCGTAGAAGCCACCGGCGGAGTGCTGAGGCACTTGACAGTCACCGGACCGACCAGGCTTCCTGTCGAATCGCACTACGGGATCTTTTACAACGGCGGTCGAAAGACGGCCGTTGTCGAGATGGCGGCTGCCGCGGGCTTAGGTCTTGTACCACGAGACACGAGAAATCCATGTATCACCACAACATACGGTGTTGGCGAGCTCATGGTCGCTGCTCTGGACGAAGGCGCCCGACAAATCCTGGTTGGATGCGGCGACTCTGGTACAAGCGACGGCGGAGCTGGAATGCTCCAAGCGTTAGGAGCGCGCCTTCTTGACTACCATGGGAACGAACTTGAACCGGCCGGTGGAGGACATGCGTTACTGGAGCTCGCAGACATTGACCTCTCGGGCTTACACCGTCGTCTCAGGGAGGTGGAAATCGAGGTGCCTTGCAACTGGAAGAACGTATTGTGCGGGCCAAACGGAGTGGCCCGAGTGTACGGACCCCAGAAAGGAGCAAGCCCAGAGCAGGTCGAGCTGCTCGCTGCTGCCCTAGACACATATGCTTCGGTCGTGGGGCGCGAGCTGGGATACGACGTATCGCGAGCGCCTGGAAGCGGCGCCTCAGGAGGGCTCGGCACGGCTCTCATCTTGCTAGGCGCAAAGTTGCGACCACGGTATGAAGCCATCACGGAGTACTTCAGCTTCGACGGTCTTTTCGAAGGATGTCAGCTCGTCTTTACAGCTGAGGGCGCAATCGACTTTCAGACACCGCACGGGAAGATTCCAGCCGAGATTGCGATGCGAGCCAAGAAGCATGGCCTTCCCGTCATTGCACTGGTTGGTACAGTAGGGCTCAACGCTGGCGATAACTACCGAATCGGGATCGACGCATTCTCCAGCATTCTACAGTGTCCCACGACGCTTGAAACAGCGACAAGGGACGCTGAACGGCTGCTGATTGACGGCGCGGAGAGTGCCATGCGGATGGTCATGGTGGGGAGGTCACTCAAAGGTGTCTAGCGATTCGTGTCGTTCAGTTTGATTTCAACGTAAGCTTTTTCTCAGAACTGTGCGATGTTGTTATACCGGACATCTGTTGGTGTTTGTTGTTGCTGTTCTCCAGAAACCATTGAGCGTACTAGTAGTTCCAAGAGAAATAGATAACTCTTTTTAATAAGCGACTCAGACATCTGAACGATAAACAGCCTGTCCTTGATCGTATCCTAGCGGCTGCAGGCGTACCAGGAATATCGCATCAGGGCCGAAGTCCTCAACTAGGGGATTCGATAATGGTTGATCACATGCCGGGCTAGGTGGGCTGCTCCTGCGAGATCTCCTCAATATCTGAAAACCATATCAAGCACGCATCTCCCCTATTCGACGGGGTAGAGGCAGTGCTGTCAATGTATACACGTGAGGTAACTCAGTTATCGATTTTGGAGGCGGCCCTCTGGCCAAAGCGGCGGTCCAAAACTCCGCCGCTTTTCGTCCGTCCGGACGAGATCCCTGCACGGCGGCGCGCTCAGCGACGACATCGGTTTAACCCAGCGCGCAAACGCTCTCGGTAATAAAAGCATACGAATCAGCAGATCGCTCAAACGATGATAAAGATCGAGCATTGCGCAATCTACACCGAGTTTATCAGTTCATTTGATGGACTTCACCGTTGCTTCGGCCGCCAATTCCCCCGTCTACATATCTGATATATCTTGAGCCCACCTTCTACCTTCTATGTTCATCTAAGTCTACAGTCAAAATTGGATCACTTCCTTTTTGCTATCTCCCATCTGGGCCGTACTTCATAGTCTTATCCCACTTAGGCCTGTGAATCTGTTTCATTATGGGTTTCCTTTTGCCTGCGACTGGAAAGCCCTTTGACCCTGAAACTGATATCCCAGACCTTGCCGGCAAGGTCATTCTAGTTACTGGAGGTGTGTAACAAATTCAAACTGAATCACGACACGCATCTGCTGAGTTATATTTGCAGCAAACACGGGCATAGGCAAAGCTACTGTTGTAGCTCTCGCCGTGCACCAACCCGAACGCATCTACCTCGCAGCCCGGGATGCCGAAAAAGCTGCCGGCGCCATCAAGGATGTCGAAGCTGCGGTACCCGGCGCATGCATCTCGTTTCTTGAGCTTGACCTTGCCTCTCTGGCATCTGTGCGCAGCGCTGCGAGGCGCGTGATTTCCGAGGTTAAACGTCTAGACATATTGGTCTGCAATGCTGGTATCATGGCCGCCCCGCCGGGTTTGACTGTGGATGGCTACGAGCTGCAGTTTCAGACCAACCATCTCGGTCATGCTCTGCTGATCAAGCTTCTCCTGCCCACGCTTCTCCATACTGCTGAAGCTCCTGACAGCGACGTGCGCGTGATCTGCCAAAGCTCGCTGGGATTCCAGATTGCCCCGATGGGCGGCATACGATTTGACAGCCTCAAGACGACACAGGAAGACCTCAGCGTACTTCCAGATTCTTTCGGCACGTATTACCGCTACGGTCAATCCAAGCTCGCCAACATTCTTACGGCTGCCGAGCTGGCAAAGCGCTATCCTCAAATCACTGCCGTCTCTGTGCATCCTGGCATTGTTGATACGCAGTGTTAGTACTCCGGATGAACTACTGGAGTTTGCCAATCACTAACATAAACCAGTGCTACCCAACTACTTACGAAACAAGTGGATAAGGTTGGTTATGACGCGATCTACATCGTTGAAGACGCCCATGGAGGGCGCGTACAATCAGCTTTGGACTGCGACCGCGCCGAAGGACCATCTTGTAAACGGCGAGTTCTACGAAGCTGTTGGAGTACTAGGTGTGGACTCGTGTTATTCGAAGAGTGAGAAGTTAGCGGCGCAGTTGTGGGATTGGACTATGAAGGAACTTGAGGCTTATGAGACGGATATGTGATGGTGATACCACTCGAGGGATACAGTCTTGACAATTAGAGTTCATTGCGGATGTCGGTCAGCCGATAGTAGTTCGTTCAATCTTGGATCTATTAAGAATCGTGATCCATGATGCTTTCTGGACCGCTGCATCTGGTTGATAGACTTTACTAGGCATGCCATTAGAGTGGAAGATCAAGCGAAAGATTTGGCGCAAACGTTGAACAGTACACGATAGTAAAAGGTAGTCAATATAAGGAGTGGATTTGAGAAGCAGACTGTGAGAGGAGGAAGAACCACAGGACGATGTCACCGAAAGCGGAGATGTCGAACAGGCCAAACTGGTATCGAATTCAAACCCCCCCCCCCCCCCCCCCCCAGTTGGGCACGTATATCGAGGTCACTTCTGCTACAATCTGTGCTTCTTGAACGCACACAGGAACACTGGAGTAGCCCTATGCTGTTCGTGCTGTCATGCGCCGCGTGGGCTGAGCCCACCTTGTCGGTCTGCGGCTCGGCCCGGACCGCGTGGTTCGTCCAGGCCGTAATAGAGTTTAGGGAAGTAAGCGCATGCCTTAATCCACATTTGCTCATCAAGTTCAACCTCATGTTGCGGCCGCAGGCTTTGATATCTCTCGGCCAGGGGCTTCGTTGCACCCAAGCTCTCACTTAACTCCACACCGTCCAGATCCCTGATATCCCATCAAGCAGTCCATGAATTTGTCTTCTCTGCCGCGGCGATATCAGCTCGCCGCCGGTCTCGTCTTCCTCCTCCTCCTCCTCCTCCTCTACACGCTTTCACGACTCCAACTCTCGTCATTCCAAACTTTGCACTTTCCAGCTGGCGGGCAAGCTGTGCATCATGAGGCTGCGGCCGGCGCGAGCACTCATGAGACCGTTTTCCATCCCCTGGCTGCGCCGAAGCTGAGCAGCTCAATGACAGCACCCTCCCCGGCCCCTGAAATAACTGCCGCCACACCCGCTTCAGTTGCTGCACCTTCAGCTTCTGGAACAGCTTCCGCCATACCCGCTGGTCATGCCGCACCAGTTGAACCCCAGTGGTGCTACGAGCGGTTCCAGTTGGACTACCTCTACAGCCTTGCGGGTTCCTCGACCAAGTACTGCGCCGACAGTTCCAAGTCCAATCTTACTTGCTTCCACAGCCAGACTGCGAAGGATGGGCGCACCGACTCGTTCTGCGTTGGCGGCCCTTCATCTTTCGACCCCAGACTCAAAAAGTTCAAGCTGGACTGCCAGCTGCGCGGGTGGGCCGCTGAAGGTCCTCCCCATCACGTGCCCACCTTCGAAAAATTTGCGCAGTATCGATACCAGACGGGGCCGAAATATATCTTTGACAACTACATTACGTGAAGTGAAGGGTTGGACGTTGCGAAGGGCGTCAGCAGCGTTCCGAGGAAATTTGTAATTCTGGTGAAGAGGGAGGATGTTGTAAACGATCTCTTCCACACCCTTATGCAAATCTCTTCCCTGACGATGACTCTGGATGTCTTGTGCATGACTGATCTCCCTGCTGGCTCCGCCTTCACGCTGGACGACGTACCCAACTCGCAGATTGTGATTCTCGACGATCATGAAGAGGGACCATATTGGGATCTTTGGACGGTCTATGCCGGTAAATTTATCAAGCGGCTGGGTGCGCTATCCGCAGACGAGATGGCTAGCAGCAGCGTGGTAATACCGCTAGCTGGCGGCAGCAATCCCCTCTGGCAGGCCGACTGGGAGCCAGTTGCCTGTACTTCCTCCCCGCTACTCTCTACGCTCACCTCTCGTGTATTGACCTTCTACAATATCTCCACCTCGCCACTGCCGGACGACCGTCCTCTGACCCTCACGTTCATCGACAGGAAGGAGACACGCCGTCTCCTGAACCGGACTGCTCTACTTTCCTCGCTGGAAGCCAAACACCCAGAGCTCAACATTAGTGTAGTAGACTTCGCCAACACCACATTCGCCGAGCAACTTCAAATAGCCCGGGAAACCGACATCCTACTCGGCGTGCACGGATCGGGTCTGACCCACTCCCTTTTCCTCCCTACCGGCTCCGCCGTTGTGGAAATCCTGCCTTACAGCGTCACCCGCCAACGCTTCCACAACCTCGCCAAAATGATGGGACACCGACACTTCGCTGCGCATGCTGACGGGCAACTCCGAGAAGGCGGCACTGGAGACTGGCAGAAAGACGATGTCTCCATCTCACCAGATCGGTTCTTAAGTCTCATTGACGAAGCAGTGAAGAGTATGGAGGACAGAGGCACCCTCAAAGACGTCACATGACTTGACTCAGCCGTCGCGACGGGTTTAACCTGAAGTTAGCCTCTACTTGCTGCGTTGGTCCTCGTTTTCTAGTTGTTACCAAGGAAGAGGCGGTCCAAGGCTTGCTTTTCGTGCGCTGGCGGGCTCGAAGAATCTGCGTCACGTCTGGATCGTCGACTTAGATTGCGCGAGAGGCTTCCCTCGGCAAGGGGACCGAGACGAGAAATCAGAAGGAGGAGCTGCCTTAATCGCGGTGGAATGAGGAAGAGCGCACTATTATTACGGTAACATCTCGACCGTCTGGCATCTGAGTCGGCAACATGAGTCCTGGTGTTCTAGTGGGCCGCCTAGATGGGGTGGAGACATGTGAGTGCACGAACTTTCAGGCGTAGAATCCAGCTTCAGACCAAGGGCAACGATTGAAACACCTTGTACGGCCCTTGAGACGGGTTATAGGCATAACAGTACGGCGAGATGCTGAGTGACATGCCGAAACCAGAACGCTTCACGATTTAAGGAGGCTCTCTGCTCATCGAGTGCACCGTCTGACGTGGACGCGAAGGTGGTCGTGGGATGGAGCAGCAGCACGGCAATCACGGCCACTATAGTCAAGCAGATTTCGTGCATTGATTGACGATCCACCTTAATCAGCATATATCATATACACCTAAGACGGTCTATCCACCACTGGTACAATTTATTCGTCAAATGTCTCATTACGTTCATGCGTGCACACCTGTCCCCAGTATTCTCCATCCACTCCGATCTGTACATCTCACTACTCTGGTGGTGACAGACGGTTCAGCAGAGATTCATCTAAGACGCCTGACCCCCCTTCCGACCAGCCTCCTTAGCCTTCTCGCTGCCCTTCTCGAAGCTGCCCGACGAGGCCTTGCCGCCCATCGAGGCGATCTCCTTCTGTGAGCTCGTCAGTACACCAAACTATGAGAGCCGATGCGAGCAGCCGCCGGAGGGTAACAAACCTGCTTGTCCGGATCCATGGATGCGAAACCACCTTTGCTTGCCTGGCCGCCCTTGGATGCGATCTCTTGGACCTCCTCCTTGGGGCGGTTGGCGAAGTTGCCCGGGTTGGTGTTGTCTGTCATTTTGAGGGATTTGGATGGGAATGAATCGGTAATTCTATTGTAGTGGATTGGATTGTGCTTGTTTGTTGCTGTAGGCTGTGATGCTAATGCAAATACACCCTCTCGAGGTTCGATGAAGCAATACTTAAGCTTCTCCAGCTCTCCCGCTTCCATCGGCTACGTCAAGAGTTCCTCCGAGTTGTCAAGCTACATCAAGCCCCACCATCCTTGCTACGAGAGTTCCGTGACGTCCCGATGATGCTGTGGATTGCGGTTTCAAGCAGCCCGCATCTCAGCCTCGCAAGAATCGCATGCTGATCTCCCAGATCCCTCCCAGATTCGCGCTGCTTGGACTGATGTGAAACCTGCAAGTGAGCAATCACAGCTCCAGGCGTGCCACGAGAGCGTGAAGAGGATTGCGGGATGACATCTACGATGTTGCACAACGTGGGACATCTTGATCTCGGCGGGGCGGATCTGCAACGGCGCAGGGCGGATCGACAGGGCGGGAGCGAGCGCCATTGACGTTCCTTGGCGAGGTGGTTCTCTGTTGATAAGGCGACAGCCTTGGGACATGATTAGATTACGATTTAAGGCGAACATGATGCTTTTAGGGAGAGGCTCTTGCTTGCCATCTCGAGTCGGTATAATTGATGGGATGGGGGACTGGACATAGGTTGAGTTACCGATAGGCCGTCATACGGAGTCTGCAATGCTTCATCACAATACAACTCCGTGAAGCGCGAGGTGCACATACGGTACTTGTCCGCTATGGATCATCTTTTTTCAAGTGTTTCTCGAGCCAGCAATACCCATGACAGCTCGCCAGGGACTACAAGTCCCTTCAGCAAGGACATGTGGTATCTATCTCAACCACGCGCAATAGCCTTGACCCTTTCACAGGCCTCTCAGCATACAGAGCGCATTCACCGTGCGTCATCAGCGCCGCGTCACGCTCAACGCGGACCTAGACCCATGCTGTTCACAGCAGCACGCTCATGTTCAACACGCGCCTAAGACCGGAGGCTTGATGAACAGCCCCTCACATCCCAAACCCGCCTTGCGGCCTTCCACCGCCCCTCAATCGATACTCCTCCAGCAACGCCTGTTCCATACTACCTAAGCCACCATAAGCGTCCTTGCCGCCCATCCCATGCCCCTGCTGCATCAAAAACGCCTCTTGATGGCGCTGTCCACCGAATCCCGGCGGCATCGGTCCCTGCATCGCGCTGTTAGCAACGCCGAAAAAACCTGGAGGCCCCTGTGGCGGCATGTGGCCGCCATACATGTGCGGTAGGGCCATTCCGCGCTGCTGCTGCGGCTGGGGGAGCTGTGGCTGCTGCTGCGGCTGCGGCGCGCCGAAGGACGGGTTGCCTTGCGCAAAGGACAGTGCCGGGTTTGCGAAACTGGGAGGTTGACGGTGGCTTTGCGGTGGTGGGCCGAAGCCCGGTGGCGGAGCGAGAGGTCGGTCTTGCTGCTGTCCGCCGATACCGGGCGGTGGCTTCATCATGTATTGGTGGTCGAGGGTAGGCGGGTGTTGAGGGATGCCCATGTTGGTGATCTGGGGACGGGGTTGTTCATTGGTGCTGTGGCGCTGGAGCGTGGCGAGAGAGGGATCATCATAGAAGCTGGGTGGCGGGCGCTTGGGAGCTACGTCGCGCATTTGTGGGGGGAAGGGGTTGGTTTGGCGGCGGGCGAGCATCTCGCGCATGTTATCTTGAGTAGGTTGTTTATACTGCGGTGGCATGTCTTCGGGGTCTGGGGCTCGGCGAGTACTCCTCTCCATGCTCGATAATGCGTCGAGGGGATTGGACCGAGGCTGGAGCGGAATGAAGTTGGGGTTGGGTGGCTGAGAGGCAGGCCCGCGTGTTTGTGACATGAGGTCGAGCAGAAATTGACGGTTGTTATCCAAGCCTAGAGATTGAGGTCCCGGCTGACCGTGTAAGCGCTGAGCGTTGAGAACATCATGTATCGCATCCTTGCGAGGCGTCGGCTCTTCCAGTCGAGCGCCGCCGAAAGCTTCGAATTCGGGACGCGAAGGGTGCGTCCCGTCCAGCCCTTGCTCGGCGAGTGAGAAAGGAAAGAACTGTTTGGGTTTTGGTTCTACTTGAGCCGCTCGAGGGGCAAGAGCTGCGTCAACAAATGCGGCACGCTCCTCACGTGAACGTGGCAAGCTGACGCGACCCAAATCTGGGCCATCCATTCGGTGGTGTTGGCTCAAGCCAGGTGGTACCGATGGTTTTGCTTCATTTCCGAAGAAGTCGAGCTGTTTTGGCGCAGCAGTCATTTGTGATTGTGGAGATTGGGCACCTAAGGTCGTGCCGGAGAGCATCGATAGAATTCGATCGAATCCAGCGCGGTCCTCATCGTTGGATATCGCAGCAGGCGGAGGGCTGCTCGGCGCTGCTGTAGGCGCGGTGTCAGGCGGGGCGGTAGGACTGTCTGCTGCAGTGGGAGTCTCCGCAGGGGCAAAGAAACCCTTGAACCTAGAAGCTTTCGCCTTGGTCTGCTGAGGCTTGGATACTGGCGTAGAATCCGGCGTGGTGGAGTCTGGCTTCTTCATATCACCCCATTTGCCGAACCACTGCTCTTGACCACCCTCTAGCGCCAGAGGGGTGACTGGCTTCGAAGGCTTCGCGGTGGTACTCTCTCTGGGGACCTGCAGCGGCTCTTCAGGCTCTGTCTTCTCCTCGCCTGTTGCATTGCCAGCTTTCATCCGCTCTTTCCACTTCTGAAAATCTTCCTGCGTGTGGACCTTCTTCTTCTCGTCACTCGCTTGTGAGTCCATCCATTCAGGATCCGATTCGACCGGTTGACTACCCCACTGCCGGCCGGCGCCGCGCTCACGGTCGCGCCATCCAGTTCTTGCTGCACCGATCTTGCTACCATCTCCCTCTTTGGCGGCGCTGTCCTCGCGCCCCCACGGCTGCTCAAACCGAGCCTTGGCCATGCCATTGCGACGCACTGCGTCTGCGTTCGCGTCAGTGTCAGCTTCGGGCCTCCACCGCTCTCTGTCTCGATCCCCATTCTTCTGCACTCTGTCGCCCTCCTCCGGAAGACCCAAGCTCTTGCGTGATCGGGCCGTGTTCCAGCTTTCGCCTTCCTGGCGGCCATTGGTAGCTCCACTCCTGTCACGTAATCTATCATTGTCCTTATCCCGTCCAAAGCGACCCATGCCTCCAAGGTTCATGCGATCCTTAGCGCGATCCCTGCCTAGAGAGTCATCATCGTTAGCGCCCTTGTCACTGAGGTCTGCAAAGGTCTTGATGCGGGACGCGGATGTGAATGTGGCCTTCGAAGGACCGAGCAAGACGTCTTCTGAATCTGCGCCCCGGAAGTTAGGCACGAATAATATATAGGGGGATCGCGGATGGCCTACGCGCACTCGTTGTCCTGTGAAGAGGTTTCATACCCAAGAGCGAAGGGCGCTGCTGACCGTTCTCATTGTTGGTGGCCTGTTCATCGCCTCTACTACCCTGAGTCCGCTTCGTCCTTTGGGCCTGTTCCGAGGGTCTTTGACAACCGCGTTAGCCATAGTTGCGGTACATGTGCTTCCCGTAGCTTACTCCATCCATTGCTCTATCGACGGCAGTCCGTCGGGTTTCTGTGCAAGAGGGGAATCCTTGAAACGAAGAAGTTCCTCGCGACTGTAGCGGATAAGTGCCATGCTGATAATAGCGTCTTGATTGAAAGTTCTGTATCAGGCGATAAATGCAAGGTTGTGGGGGATTTTTCGAACGATGGATTTCCGGAAGCTGATTGGCAGGCAGCAGGCACCACACACTGGAGTCTCTACAAGAATATGCGTCTTGGTGGGTTGTATGGATAGCGGAAAGAATGCGATGCGGGAGTGTGAGTGGTGTTTGCAATGGGCGGCGTTGAGGTGGCTGAAGAGGAGCGCAGTGTGTGACGCTTCGCGGCAGGCGCAATATCCGTGTTTTGTTTAAGGAGGAAGTGAATTGGTGTCGCAGGTAGGAAGGAGCATAGAACGTGGGCGGAGGCCAAGCGGCGTGTGACGTGCGGCAGTGTGAAGAGAGCAGCCGAGACGAGAATGTCGATCTTCTTGTGTGGAAGTCTGCTTTCTACATTCAGAGACAAGCGGGAAAGCTTCGTGGATGTGCGTTGTCGGGTTGTAAGCTGTGAAGTCCTGGATTTGAGTGAGTCTTTGCGGGTTGCAGTGTGAAGTGTCGTCGGTCTCCAGTCTCAGCGACCTTCGAAGATCGCGCGTCTCGGCGGCGGATGTGGGTGCAGGGCTCGCGGCCTGGGTTGACCGGCGGAGCTTGCGCAGGGTCAAGGCTGCAACACGTGATTGATATCAAACATATACAAACTATTCTACACATCTCGCATGTTTGTTCTCCTTGGATCAGAGGTGCAGCTAGTAAGCCAGGAAGGGTATCTACAGACGCCCAGCTCAATCAAGCTGCTGCCAACGCCTCGACCGCGCCCTTCAGCGCACCGCTACTCCACTCAATAGCCCTTTCATGCTCAGCCGTCTCGTACAGCCGTGACGCCAAACTTCTCAACCTCTTCTCGTCAAAGCTTCCAAGCGCCAGCTGAGACTGTACCCAGCTGATAAGCCCTGATCTAGTCAGCAGCGTCGTGCTGCCACCTACAGCAGCTGCGCGAAAAAGGAGCCTCAGTACCCTTTCTTTGAGCTTTCGCTGGATGAACGGCGAGGCGCACAGGGCCAGAATACGCTCAAAAACATTGCGAGCCCGGAAGATGTCCATGTCCTCTTTCGTCCGGAGCCCGTCGTGGAGAAAAGCCAGGAGCCAGTCCATCTCCTTGTAATATGCGTCGTCCTCGTCAGGCGGATTCAGTATTACCTTCTCAGTCCAGTAAGAGGGTAGCCTGCCGACATTCCACGATGGTCCTCTGTTCAGGAACTTGTTGATCTTCGGATACATAACATGCGCTGGATCCGCAACGACCCTTAACCCATGTACAGCGAAGGCGCCGGCGATATAGGGCAGCGGCGCGTCGTCAATCACGACCTTTGCTGTTTCGACGAGCTCGCCAAGAAGTAATTCGACTTGTTCTCTTTCCGCATAGGCTGAAGTCTGTCGGATGATGTTAGCGGTAGTCCACAACTTCAGAAGTGACTCAGTCATGCCTTTAGCGTGGCGATAAACTTCCTCATGTTCGACAATGCCTGTCGCCTAATATCGGTGTGCTCTGAGCACAAGCACAAAATCAGCTCTTCCACATCACCTTCCTCCACAGCAGCTTCCACGTCTTTCTGGGTCCATCGACGTAAACCTGGGTGATTCTCGTCCTCCAATGGGGGCATGTCAGAGTGGACGGCTCTATAGTCTGTCTCTTCGTGAGTTGAAGCTGGATCGTCTGCGATAAGTGATGTGGAAGACGTATGTGATTCGATTTGGAATGGGCTCGAGGCAACTATCTCTCGCTGTAGTGACCTGATTTGCGGACCTCTTCCTTCGAAACAATTCTTGAGTGCATGTCGACAGTCCTTGTTGAATTCTAGTTTGATCATTGAATTTCGAAGATGCGACAAAGCGGTGTGGTTTTCACCAACACATCTCAGCCGTCTGAACAGCCTGGCGATCCAGATCCCGACTTCAGACGCTCTGTCGAAATCGATAGTTGCAACAAATTCCCACTGTTCTACCATCGTCATCAGTAATGGACTAATCGTCCCTGGCTCAAGGCCTTGCGCAACTCTAGGATCCAGGTTGATGACAGCTTCCAAGTCGTCTTGATACTTGATTGGTCTACGGACGTAGCGGTTCAAGCAATCATCGAGAAAGGAGAAGATTGCGTCTGTAGGCGTCCAGGCTTTTGACTTCTGCAAGCTTGCTAGAAGAGCGTCCAGCGAGGATGGCTTTCCTTCGGTGAGTACTATCTCCTGTTCGCGGACGATGGAAGTGATCAACTGCCGAATGGACGACGAAGCCGTACCGGGAGCGACAGAGCACACAAGCTTGAGCAGTGACGTGAAAGGCGAGAAGGGGAGGGACTCTGAACGCGGTTAGCTATGTCGCTGTGCGAGATTTATCAGCCTACCTGGCTTGTTCCACCAGCGCATGCTCGGAGAGTGGCGCGCAATAGTCACCAAGTGAGATAGCTCAAGTAATCCGATGCTATTCTCACCGTCATTCTCTGCAGCTTGCTCGGTCTTGGACAATGCGGTGGCTAATGATACAGAGACGTCAAACTTCTCGTCCAGTGCTAGCTCTGGCGTGATCTCGTAGTACATAGCCAGCATTCTTGCCGCAGCTTCCCGCTCCATGAGCTTATCCACCGGGATACGCCGATAGGCGGATATTCCATCCTTCATTCTGGGACATCGTTTGCAGAATTCAGAAATGAGTCTTGTTGATGCCTGCTCCCAGAGCAACGGTCGCTTGGTAGATGCGCGCTTCCACAGGGCTAAGATTTGCTGTAGTTTTTGAAATGCAACGGTCACTAAGCGTATGGCGAAGAAGGTGATCAGCTCCGAGTTCTGATTCAAGCATCTAGTGAGCACTTTCTGGTTCAACGGGCGCGGCAAGATGCTTTCGATAGCGATTGCTATGGGCGGAGGAACATCGCCATAGTCTTGCTTTCGCCCGAAGTACGGCGGCACGGGGAGTTGAATGGTAGAGAAGAGGAACGACGAGTATCCGATCCAGGTAGATGTGAGCTTGGGGTCGAAGGGGAAGTTCTTCTTGAAGAAGTAGTCAGCTACTAACTCTGGAGCCGCGTCGAAGATCGATAGCAGCAGCTTCTGCTCAAGTTGATTCGAGTAAGGTCGAAGCGCTTGAGCGAAGGACGCAAGCGTCGTGTTTTTTATGGGTACTTTCCCGTTGTACCTGGCATACCAGTCTATCGAGTCAAGTCCGAGATCAATACCAGTCTGATCTTCCTCAATAGAGTCCCCATCGAGGTCCTGCTTTCCGGTCCCCGGTGGATACCAGCCCGATGAAGGATTCAACAATCCCGCTTCTGGTGATGTACATACGAAGAGCAGGAATTCGTGTGTCGTTACGGATATTGGAACGTGACCATCGACAACTTGATCATCAGGTTCATCGACGCGGTAGAGGGCCGCTATGTTGCTCAATGTGCGATCCGTAAGCAGATAGCTTTTGTGTGACCTCGGAACGTGATTGTCCTGAACGACATGTGTTCGGACAGTGCGCAGAATGTCCGTAGCGAGCTGGGGAGGATCGTCACGGATGCGGTCAAACAACGCCCGCAACACAATGCCTTGCTTGAGTATATCGACTTTTGCCCCTCCGTCCTGATACTTCAGATCGGCTAAGAGATAGCGAACCGTATTGGATCTCACAGAGGGTTTTCTCCTGTCTTCCGGACCTTCGTCCATAGAAGCCCTTCCGATACTTAGATTCCTGGCGACTATCTTGACATCAAAGGTGAAGTCTCGCTTGGAATAAACTTGTCTGGCCAATGTGCCTCCATCAAACAATACAACCTCGGTCAGGAGGCGGAGAGCCGGCGATATTACATGCTCTTTGTGCTTGGGCGCCGAAAGGCTCCTAGCTATGAGCTTAGCTTGAGGTGTTTGTAGAACAGTCTTGCCGATGTTCAGGCCGTAATCTCGAAGTTCCAACTGTGTAGAAATAGTCTTCAGTAGCAGCGCCAGAAGGGCGGTTATGGAGGACGTAAGGTAATCATTATTGGATTGAGCTGCAAAACTCCAAGCTTGGATCAGGCTTGGAAGACTCGTCTCATCGCCTCCGCTGGAGTTGGCTTGCAACTCCAGAAAGTCTCGCAGTATGGCTCGTCGGCGTGGTACTTCGCCCTCGTCTGTGGGGTAGAGGATAGATTCGAGGAATGTCTTGAAAGCCTGGATACCTGATGCATGTCAGAGAAAGAGTCAGTGTAACTTGAAGCTACCTTACCACTTCTTAGTCGAGGTACCGCGTCCTGCTGAAAGACCAGCAATTGCTGGAGCTGTGGCGCCGAATGAATCTCCTCTGCTCTGGTCGCATGCTCGTTTGAGACCTCAACTTTCTGTCGCTTTGCAGCTCGGGTCTTCTCGGAATGGTCGGCGCCGGAAGAGGACACAGGTCGTTTGCTCATCTTGCTGCCATTTCCGGGTTTTCTGATGTTGATGAACTCCGAACAGCTCAAAAAATTCCTGGCAGAAAGCGGTCACCGCTCGGGGAGTCTACACGGACTCGGCCTTGCAGCCCCACCAACCCCACCTGCCCACAACGAGCAAGCCCACTCAAAGGACAGGTAAAAATTACCCACCTCTCTGCAAAAAGGTCGTGCCCGGGATCGAACCGGGGTTGCGGGAAGTTCATATTCTCAGAATCCCGAGTGCTAGCCTAAGTGAATGTGAGTCAAAGTTACCCGATTTGATCGGCTTATAGGAGAAATTACCACTACACTACACAACCGTGCAATTGTGACTGTTATTTGGCATTTTCGCTGAGCTGTTTACATATAGCTCTGATTTCTAGAGATACAGATTGGTGCATCCGCTGTACGCATCCTCATTGCAATTCGATATCAGACACTTGGGATGACGGAACCGAGGTACGACTAAATCGCAACATTCCCGACACCTCACTTTGATTTTTTGACTAGCTATTATTTTCTTCAGTACCATACCGTGGTTTATGTCTAGTAATCATTTTTGGAGCATTGTGAATTTCTTCCGACAGAGGCTTTGCTCAATTCAGACAGGCCGTTAATCGCGAACAGCTAAGAGTTTCGAACTCCTTGTTGTTCAGAGCAACATTATTAGCACCGGCACTCCATCCCCGGCCATTGGCGATGTGATATCGATTATGATTTCCTTACCGTTCCACGAGCAATTCCACCTCCGTCCGTGTGAAAACCAAGGTAGATTCCTAAGAGCTTCTGCTTTCTGTCAATCAATCTCATAGCCCTACAGTACAGATCCGTAAAACAGATGCATTCGTAGTTGTATGACAGTTTCCCGTTCTCTATGCGTCAATCTTTTGTAGTATTCCACATACGCAAATATTCTCGAGGAAATCGGCTTCAAGTTTTGTACCATCAGCTTGTGCAGAATTCATAGTCTCTTGTTCCGCCGACATGACTGCAAGCCCTCATCGATCACAATTCCATGTCACGGATGTTGCGCGATAAGAAATATCTGTGTTGTGCTGGAGCAAGCTTATGAAAGTCTCTAACATCGCCATTAGATACGATACTTTGATCTTTGGCGGCTCGCTCTCAATCAATGATTGTGCATATACCCTTTACTGTCGCATGCCATATTAATTGATATCGAATTTTTACCATGGAACGAGCTTTCTCAAGTGAGACTACCTTCGGCTTATTACTGTTGCCCTTCAATCAGATACTTTTCCGCAGCAAAAGAGGCTTATCCAAGCTAAGCCTTCAGCCCACCGTCAATCTCCACAACGCTCCCGTTCATGTACCGACTCTCGTCAGAGAACAAAAACGCAACCACATCCGCAATCTCCTCCGGCGTCCCCATCCTGCCCAGCGCCGTGCTCTCCTCCTGCTCTGTGACAGCGTCCCCGCCCTTGACGACTCCCGCATTCGTTGGGGTATTGATATACCCCGGCGCCACGACATTGGTCCGGATGCCCTTTGGACCCAACTCCAGCGCCATGCACTTGGAGAAACCGATGATCCCATACTTGGTCATGCAGTAAATCGCCTGTTGGGCGGTGGGGTGCAGGCCGGAGATAGAGGAGACATTGACGAAGGAGGCGCCAGATTCAAGGTGGGGAATGCAGGCGCGGGTAATGTTATAGGTGCCTTTAAGGTTGGTGTTGACCAGTTTGTTCCAGTAACCGTCTGTTGTGGACTCTAGTGGGTAAGAAGTCGGGTTTACGCCAGCGCAGTTGAAGACATGGTCGATGGAGCTGTATTTCTTTGTGACCTCCACCACAAAATCATTACAGGCATCCGTCGAGCCGACGTCAAAGGCTGACCAGAAGTGGTCGTTGTCCTCGCATAACTTGATGGTATTTTCGAGACCGGATGAGCTGATGTCACACAGGGCGAGCGATGCTCCAAGTGCGGCAAGCTTCACCGCAGTTGCTTGTCTGTCCGATACGCGGTCAGTCTTAGAGCATTATAAGCGTTATCCAGCTGCATTACCCAATGCCGCTTGCGGCGCCAGTTATCAAGACGATCTTGTCATCGAACTGAGGCGCCATCTTGCCATATGTTGAGCTTTGCTGCAAGGAGCTGGTATCAGAGGCGCCGTGCAGTTGCGGACGTTACTCGATCAACCATAGAGAAGCATTGCAGTTATTCTCTCAGAGAGCATCCACAAGATGCAAGGTTGGGCTTCGATGCAGGTGACTGCATCGTATTGTAAGTCTGAAGAAAGCAACTGAAGTCTTGATGGGACGAATGCCTATCGATTATGCAAGCACTCAACGCGCTCCCGCGAAGAAAGCGCGTTTCGCGTTGTCCCGCCAAACCTCCTGAACATCAACACCAGACTCGTCACGAGCAGCGCGTCCCCTCTATACCCAAGTCAAGATGTCTTCGTTGATAGATGCTGTCATAAATTCAGACAACCTCAATGCCGACCTTGCTGCCCTCAATGTCGGAACTCCTGCCAGCGACGCACAAACGCCGCGCGCACGGCAACCTCGCTCTTCATCGCGGCCCCGGGGGCCCATGTCGGAGAGCGCGGGCGCGAATAGCGATGCAGAAGGATATGCAGATGATGAGCTTGTTGGTCGAAGAGGCACGAGGAAAGGACCACGGGGTCCTCGAGGCGATATCCCCAGAGTGGTGGATGCGACTGGCGAGAAGCTTGCACAAACGTTCGAAGGGTTCTTAGAGAGGTACGCCCTCTATAGCCTGTACGCGCCAACACGGGCAGCTGATGCTTGAACAGCTACACGGAAGACCTGTCATCTTCCGGCGCCCCAGTTTCGAGCATTCAGACGACAGACAAGTACTACATTGCCCAGATACACGGCCTCAAGCAGTATTCGCTGTCCACTCTATACGTCGACTACACCCATCTCCTCCGACACGGAGACGGTATCCTTGCTCAAGCAGTCGGCAACGAATACTACCGCTTCCTCCCTTTCATGATTCGAGCACTACACAACCTGATCGCAAAGTACGAGCCCCAATACTTCCGCGAACATCGCCAGCCGACCTCTACCTCCTCTGCCGGCACCAATGCATCCGTTGCAGGCACCGACCCTAGCCAAAACGACAGCATAGCGGATAAGACGCCGAACCAGCAGACGGACAAGCTCTTCACACTCGCATTTTACAACCTGCCCCTCGTCTCCCGCATCCGACAACTACGGACCCTGCAGATCGGCAGGCTTCTCAGCATTTCCGGCACCGTGACCAGGACATCTGAAGTCCGACCCGAGCTCTCTCTCGCAACGTTCGTCTGCGAAGTCTGCAATACGGTCGTGCCAAACATCGAGCAGACATTCCGCTACACCGAACCAACGCAATGTCCCAATCTGACATGCGGCAACCGACAAGGTTGGCGGCTCGACATCCGCCAAAGCACATTCGTCGACTGGCAAAAAGTTCGCATCCAAGAGAACAGCTCTGAGATCCCTACGGGCAGCATGCCGCGCACCATGGACGTGATCCTGCGGGGTGAGATGGTCGAGCGCGCGAAAGCAGGCGAGAAGTGCATCTTCACCGGCACCCTCATCGTCATCCCCGACGTCAGCCAGTTCGCCGTGCCTGGCGTGCGGCCGCAGGCAACGCGCGACAACGGCAACGCCCCTCGCGGCGCAGATGTCGGCGGCTCCGGTGTCAGCGGTCTCAAGTCCCTCGGCGTCCGCGACCTGACATACCGCCTCGCCTTCCTTGCCTGCATGGTAATCCCGGACACCTCGACTGCCGGCCAGTCGACCCAGCACCACCACCTCACAGGCCAAGCAGGCAACATCCTCGCTTCGCTCAACCAGACCTCTCCGCTAGAATCAGACGCAACAGGCGAGGAAGCACAGACTGAATATCTAGGCACGCTCACCCAAGCCGAGATCGAAGACCTGCGAAACATGGTCCACAAACCCAACATCTTCATGGCGCTCGTCGACTCCATCGCGCCGATGGTCTGGGGCCACCAAGTCATCAAAAAAGGGCTACTCCTACAACTCATGGGCGGCGTTAGCAAAACGACCCCCGAAGGCATGGCGCTGCGCGGCGACATCAACATCTGCGTCGTCGGCGATCCCAGCACCTCGAAATCGCAGTTCCTCAAGTACATCTGCAGCTTCCTGCCGCGCGCGGTCTACACCTCCGGCAAAGCCTCTTCTGCCGCAGGTCTCACAGCCGCAGTGGTCAAAGACGAAGAAACAGGCGAATTTACAATCGAGGCCGGAGCCCTCATGCTTGCGGACAACGGCATCTGCGCCATCGACGAGTTCGACAAGATGGATATTGGCGACCAGGTCGCGATCCACGAGGCCATGGAGCAGCAGACCATCAGTATCGCCAAGGCGGGCATCCAGGCGACGCTGAACGCGCGCACCTCGATCCTCGCGGCCGCGAACCCGGTCGGTGGGCGGTATGATAGAAGAAAGACGCTTAGGGCGAACGTCAATATGAGCGCGCCCATCATGTCCCGCTTCGACCTCTTCTTCGTCGTGCTGGACGAGTGCTCCGAGTCCGTCGACCGCAAGCTCGCAGACCATATCGTGAATATTCATCGGCTGCGCGACGAGGCTGTCGAGCCCGAGTTCAGCACCGAGCAGCTGCAGCGCTACATCCGGTTCGCGCGGACCTTCAAGCCGGAGTTCACGCCCGAGGCGAAAACGGTGCTAGTCCAGAAGTACAAAGAGCTTAGGGCGGATGATGCACAGGGCGGTATTGGACGGAACAGCTATAGGATTACAGTCAGGCAGCTCGAGAGTATGATTAGGCTGAGTGAGGCGATTGCGAAGGCGAACTGCGTCATGGAAGTTACGCCGGAGTTTGTGGGCGAGGCGTATAATTTGCTCCGCCAGAGCATCATCTCGGTCGAGAAGGACGACATTGAGGTTGAAGACGACGAGGAGGGCGAGGCTGTTGCGGGAGCTGAGCGCGACGGTGATGGAGATGGTGACTCGCCCATGGCGGACGGAGATGCAGATGCAGACGGTGAAGCTGGCCCGTCGAATGCGTCCGCAAGGGGACCGTCTGCTACGCCTGCGCCTGCGAGGCCGAGGACGAAGATCACGTACGACAAGTACATGTCGATACTCAACCTCATGGTGCAGAGGGTCAACGCGGATCAGGCGTCAGCGGAAGACGGCGTCGAAGAGGAGGATCTGCTGATCTGGTATCTCGAGCAGAAGGAGTCCGAGCTGGAGAGCCAGGAGGATCTGGAACACGAGAGGAGCCTGGCGAAGAAGGTGTTGAAGAGGATGGTTAAGGTAAGCTTCTGGAGCCGCGTTCCCCATCCTGCGGTGGAAGATGTTGGCGGGTGATAACCATCGCATACTAATCTTGTGCTAGGACAACGTCTTCATGCAAATACGTGGCGAAGGCCTTGCTGACGAGGAAGGCCAGGGCCTTGAGGGCCAAGCTGACAGGGTGGTCTATGTGCTGCATCCGAACTGTGCAGTGGAGGAGATGGGTGCTGTACCAGCTGTTGGATAGATGTCCCCTCGATGTTTACGCGCCAGTGATTTATGAGCATGGGGGATGGCATGATCATGTGATCAGTGCTATGAAAGATGCATTGGGTTCACGTACACGTACGACAAGCTCCGTAGGAGGGGCGGGGGCGTCATAGCGAGTTTGGATTAGATACCAATTGTCTCTACGTCGATCGCGTTTGTTGTATGCCATTTCAGTCCCCTTTCGCAACGATTAGTAGGGTAGTGAAGCACAGCCTAATGTCCTACCCAGATGCAAACAGCAGGAAGATTGTCGCGACGAAGACATGTAGATCTCGAAGCAATGATTGTGCAATTTCGTACGCAGATTCTGAGTGATTCTCTGTCATGGTGGCATAGTTGAACGTGTGGAAAGTGGACATCCGAGGGCCAAAGTGGACTGGCGCAACGTTTTGTGGGGCGGGAAGCCGGTGCTAAGAAAGGGCTACTGAATACAGATTGGTATTAGAGCTCGCCGCATGCTAGGAGAAGGCGCGGTTGTGTTCAACGATAAGCAACTGCGAGGTGAGAGGTTTATGTGACAAACAACGCATGTAGGTGTAGGAATATCCACAGCCTCGAGCAGGAGATGTTGATTGCCTGGGATGATATGATGCGCAGGTTGAGTAGAGCTAGGGGGCATGCGCCAGCATTAGATTGAGAGATCATGTTACAGACTCCAACCGATGCACCCCGTTTGTGGATGACCTCTGCGCTCGTCTGTCTCAATGTTCAGCCCTCAGCGCATAGGGGGAATGCATATTAGGTCTTTTGCACTTTTTTATTAAGCTGCTGCGCGAACGTGTGGTCTATCAAGGACAATGCTGATGCAAGCAACATATCAGGGTCTAAGCCTCGCCGTCCAAAGCGAATGCTAGTCACTGTCCATCATAGCTTTTTGTCTCTAGAGGAAATAGTCAGGTGTCCTGCGCGAGACCATGGGCTCTCCTGCACGCGGACAAGGGTCGAATTGCAGGCTTCGGCCGATCAGTACTTGCCACCAAGAAGGAAGGGGAGAGGACGTACAAGGTATACTTCAAATGCTCGTCTATCTCCATAATTGCGGCCTGGTTGCCGCAGCGGTAGCAGTAATTGGGCGCTAGTCAGGGTCAGCAACCACCCACGTCCCTTGCTAGGAGGCAGCTTACCAGAAAAGATCGTGACAACGTTTCTGTCCTGACTCCAGTTGTACCCCTCCATCACCAGCTGATGCGCTCTTGCAACCAGTGTCAACCCGTTGTTGTGGTTGAAGGCCTCCGAGATGTCCTGCCCAAACGTGTACCCCGCCCCTCTCGGGCTTATCCCCCATCCGCACCTGTCATCTGGGTCCGACCAGAGCAGGTCGCACATCGGACCCTCATGCGGTACCTCCTGTATCCTGTCCAGAGCGCGGATGTTGTCGAGCGTGTCGATGGAGGGAGAAAGTCCGCCGTGCAGGCAGAAGATCTGGTTGTCGATGAGGGCTGTGAGGGGAAGATAGTCGAAGAGGTCCGTGAAGTATTTCCAGACGTTCGCGTTGCCGTACTTGCGCAGGCACTCGTCATAGAAACCGTAGACCTGGGTGATCTGACGCGATTCGTGGTTGCCGCGGAGGATGGTGATGCGCTGGGGGTAACGAATCTTGAGGGCGACAAGCAGGGTGACGGTCTCGACGGAGAAGTAGCCTCGGTCGACATAGTCACCTAGGGATAGTTAAGGAGAGCGCTTGAGGGATGAGCGTACGACGAACCCATAAAGAGGTAGTTGGTGTCGGGATTGGGACCCCCAATCTTGAAGAGCTCCATCAGGTCATGGAACTGCCCGTGGATGTCTCCGCAGACAGTAACGGGACATTTCTGGTAGGATTTCAGCGCTGGGTCAGATCCAAAGCAATAAACATGCTTACCACAGGCTGCACATTGGACTCTTCTTGCAAAACCTCCCGGGCCTGGATCGCGGATTGTCAGCCCTGTTCCAATGACCTAGTGTGCTCAACAGCGGCAGGCCGGCCAGCTGCCTCAACCCAAGAGCCATGGAATCCTCTCATGTACCTTCTCACACAGCCTCCGCACATCGTTCTCCGCCAGCTGCTTGCACTTCATCAAGCTCTCAATCCAGCCGTCGAGCGTGGGGATGGTCGCAGGCTCTGAGAAGGTCGAGGAGATTCCTTCCTGCGGCTCTGGGATCTTCACGTCCTCCATGTTCGTGTCCATGTCCGCTACTTGGATGACAATGCCGGTGTGGGGATCCAGTGGGGAAGGCGGTGGTCGCGTGCGTGAGACTCAGGTTGGTGCTGGACGGGCTCGGCGAGATATGACGTTTGTTCTTGCAGGAAAAAGGAGTATGTTCTCTCCGCGAGAATCGGATGAGCTCAAGGGTGGGGTGGGGATATGGTGAGGAGCGCAATCGGGCGAGCAGGTGTCTGTTTTGGGGGGTATCTGATATGGATGTGGTCTACTCTGGTTTGTGCAGCAGGACCCTCAATGCCTTGTTGTGATGCCCGTTTCTAGACTCAGCCGCATCCGCTTTAGTTCTTCCGCGCCGCCCCAGCCTTGCGACTCTCCGCCAGGCCTTTCCGCTCACCACGACAGCCATCTGGTGCAGTCACCTTTGAGTATGCCCAGGTACTGTCTAATTCGCACAGGAACGCACCAGAGTCTCGTCGCAAGCCGAATCCCATTCAACGGGTGGCTCAACCGTGGTTAACCTCGCGTCAAAATGTGACGTCTTGGCACTCAACCTCACTGAGTCACATCCAATGTACCTTTCAGTTGGCACGCTTCTCTGGGACGAATTTCGTAGCATGTCGAGTGACAGGCAAGGGATAACACCAACTTGCAACCTACTTGAGGATATACGGGAAGCTGAGATCGTATCAAGAGCGATGAATTTTATTGAAGTCAAAGCATAAATAGTCGAAGATCTTGTTATTTCCATCTCAGGCATTAAGTCTGCTTCATTCTCCCATCTATCAGTATTCCACACGTCCTGCCTGAACGTTCTCTGCCATCCTTTCGTTACACCTCAGCTCTGTCCTAAACCGGCCACAATGTCCTCGCCAACCCTCGTAATCCGTCCCGCCCTCTCCTCAGACCTTCCCCTCATCCCTCAGATTGAATATCAAGCCGGTCAGATCTTTCGCGTCGTGGACATGGACGCCATTGCGGACGATGCGCCTCCAACCATAGACTCACTTGCTCACTACGCCTCGACCGGCCGCCTTTGGGTAGCAGTCTCCTGCTCCGACTCCGCCGCGCCAATCGCGTACTTGACCGCCGACCTTCTCGCAAGCGACGGCCTAGCCCAGGTCGCGCAAGTGACGGTATTGCCTGAGCATGCCAGGAGAGGCATCGGCGCGAGCTTGCTACGGTACCTGGAGCTTTGGGCGCGGGAGATGAAGCTGAGGGGAGTGAGTCTAACGACGTTTAAGGACGTGCCGTGGAACCGGCCAATGTATGAGCGGTTGGGGTACAGGACTCTCGGGGACGAGGAGCTGCAGCAAGAGGGACTTAGGGGTTTGAGGGGTCTGGTAGAGGAAGAGGGCAGGAACGAAGTGCTGAAGAGGTGGCCGAGATGCGCGATGGTCAAGATGTTCACTGGATGAGGGGCATAGAATAGCAAACATCGTCCTCGAACGACAAGTTGCCGGTGCGTTCCGGGCTGGACAGGTCAGCGTAGCCGTAGTCAAAGAAGGCCTTTCGCACAGCTCCCCACAGGGGGCGCTCTATGTCCTGATAGCCCCTGGCACCTCTCGACCTAGGTGATGGAGAGGGATGCGCGGTATTGTTTACAGGGCCAGGTAGTCCTGTTTGATGTAGGATTCCCATCTATCTCCAGCATCTGGAATGTTGCATGCCAACACCAATACGTACGTAAGCTCATGCACACTTTGACATAGTTCACCGCGCCATACCCACTAGTCGCCGCTAAGCGCCATCTCGCTTGGACTGCAACTGATACTTCACTATTCAAGCAGGATAATGTATCGCATCATCATCGCATCTCCAAGTGAGAGCGCAGAATCTTTCACGAGGAACTCTCTTGTGCCTGACATCGGAGCTTGAGAACAACCTTGAGAGGGCGAGGCTCAGCTCCAGCCTTGGGCGAGCGGCCTAAATACTCTTGTCGTGGGTAACCTTGAAGCCTGTGTAAAGCACCACTCACAGCATCCCGTTAGGGCACTCGAGAGCAGACGCTATCTCCAAACATAGCACGGAGCGGAACCTGAGGCGCCCCCCGGATGGTGTTCCCGAACACTTCCCCTATCTCCGATCTGGTATTTTAGACAGCTCGTATCGTCATATTAGTAACGTGTTTGCAGTTCCCCCCTGAGCTTGAGATCAGAGCCTGCTCATAGAACCGGCCTTATTCATGCCCCGTTCGGCACTCTTTCCTTCAGTTCAAACTTCAATATGACTTCAGTGGACGGAGTCACCTCATCCCGGTCACCTATATCTCCTTCAGGCCCTACCTCAACCGTACCTCTCACAACCATCTTCACACCTCCTAACACTTGCTCCACCTGTTGGATCACTTTTGATCCTGGTACACTTGTACAGAACGCTTTTACTGAATCTTGGGACCGCGAGTACTTCCCTACGTAATTTTTTGGCCATGTCTTGAACACACTTCCTACCAGCGTAGTCTACAGTCCGGGCGCGTGCCCGGAAGATCATACCACGGCCGCTAGTAGCGCAAACGGTGCTGCTACTCAAGCAATCTGTTGTTACACGTATGCGTCGCATTCTCCTTGCTTTCTCTTCTCCATTTACCTCAAGGCCCTAATTGAATACAACCTGGCGATTACTTCGTTCGCATTATGGGCCTATGCCCCGCTAATATCATGCGGACTACGGACAGAGGCTTCGCTTGCTACACACGCTACGCGCCCAATCGCCACATCGTAGTTGGCTGCCTCTCGCTCCGGGACGCGCCATCCGACCTTATGGCGGCACTCGACTGGCGGCAAACACAAGCGGGATACATCACATGGCTCGCCCAGCCTCAGAGCCCGTGGGCTCAGCCGATAACTGTGCAGTTCCAGCAGGCTGATCTCAGCCTGTACCCAGAACTTTCTCGTACAACGAGCGGGTCAAGCACTGAGAGTCTGGCCAGTGAGACCGGCAACGCAAGACCCACTGTTAGCATAACATCGACGTTGGCGCTGTCAACGACAACAACTACCTCAAGTCAGGACACGGCGGGGGTTAAGGGTGACGACCAGCCCTGGTCAAACTCCGCCGGCGGCAGCGACAACAACCACCTCAGGGCAAGATATGCTGGTCGCAACACCGACAATTACCTCGGGTCAAAGCTCGCCGCCTGCTGCCGCGGACGATGGGCTATCGCAAGGCGCGAAAACTGGTATAGGCGTCGGAGTGTCCTTGGCTATTCTACTAATTGTAGGTATCGTAGGGCTTATAATCTGGCGCGAAGAAGTGCAAAGGCCAAGATAGCCTATGAAAATCTGGCTGCCGAGAGAGACGGGAAGCCTATTACCGAGAAGGACGGTAAGGAGATCATAGGGGAGTTGCCGGGCGATCGAGGGACTAGGCCGCCTGTGGAGATGGAGGCCTGAGTATGAAGAAGGTGGGTCGGTAATGTACAGGAGACACTGCCTTGGGCGGGATGCGCGATGGCTGCTTGCGACGGGGCTGATGAAGGCGTCGGACTTGGAATCGATACCCATTTGCTTTTCACATTGTAGCCGGATGGCGCGCTTAAACCATCACGAAACTACAGGACTGTAGAGAAGAAGATACCCCACAGATGGTTTCGACCTCTCGCAGCACGCCGATATGGTTCGGAACAGAAGAAAAAGCACGTAAGAACAAAGAGGCATGGAGGAATATTAGACTACTCTTGATGGCAAGAAACGGCAATGCTTACACAACGACATCCAAATGAGAACACAGCGAGAAGAGAACAGCGACGCGAGCCAAAAACAGCACCAGACCAATCTCAACTCCATCCCGCCCCCCTCACGCCCTTCCCTTCCCCTTTCCACCAGTCGCAGAACTCAGCGCCGGAAACTCCTCCCCTTCCTCCACTGCAACCCGCTCGACCTCCTTCCGGCTCTGTTCCTCCGCCAGACTCAACTGCAGCGCAAACTCCAAGTCATCGAGCTCCTTCTGCCGCCCACTTCCCCCAGCCCACTGCTTCGGGCTCGGAGTCTTCGGCTGCGGTGGACTCTTCGCAACTGGAGAGCTTCGTCCTCGACCTCCAGGTGAAGCCCGACTGTTCTTCGCGTACCTAATCGGGATATCGAAGCCGCTACCCGAGGGCGTCGGGCTCACGGCTCCGTAAGGCGGCGACGACGACGAAGCCGGCTCGCCCTGCAGACTCAGCCGAATAGCCTCCGCAATCTCGGCGTCAAGTTCCTCCTGGTCCTTGACCCGAGGATGCTGTGGCGTCCCCGTCAACGAAGGATCGAGGGGTGTAGGCGTAGGTGTCCCCCCATTCCACGTGCGGTCCGAGACAGCAGACGTCGCATCGCTCTCCCTCCTCCTCAGATCCATTGCCAGACTCTCCTCACTCAACATAGCCGCATACGCAATCGCCTCCTCCTCATTCAACATATCAACCCCAAATCTCCCAGCCAGCCGATCCGCCTCCTTCTTTCTGCGCTCCTTATCCTTCTCAAGCTCGTACTTCTCGTTGGCGATATAGTCCTTCAGGTTCCCCGACCTGGTTCCCGCGAAACGCTCGCCGCCGTTATTGCTGCCGCGCTCGGAGCGGCGGAGCCGGCGCTTGTGCGACTTGTACTGGTCGGCGGCCGAGGAGCTGTAGCTCCAGTACCGAAGGTGCGTGCCGAGGGACACCATGCCGCGGAGGACGGTTGGGTCCGGATCGAGGCAGACGGCGCCGGCGGCGAAGAGGTTGATGCCGACGCCTTGGGGGGAGGCTTGCGCTTGGACGAGACGGCGGCGAGCACGCGAGGAGAAGCGGGAGTTCAGCGTGCGTATTGGTTGGGTGGTTGAGGCGAGTGGATCCCATGCTTGTACGAGGCCATCGTTGCCACCGTGGACAAGGTGTAGGGCTGTGAGCGCGAGACAGGATATCTGTGGAGAGTCCGTGTAGATGATGCGGACGGGATCGATAACGTTGACGAGCTCCGTGGACTTAGACACAGGCGCACGGATGTTCCAAAGGAGTACACTGCCAGTGCTCGTGCCGGCCGCGATAAAGCGAGCTCTTTGGCCCGGCACGTCCGCAGGCGATGCTGGCTGGCTATTCGTAGACGTCGGCGACGCAAAAGGCGAGGAAGCATTGGACATGCCCGAAAAGCCTAGGGCAGGATCTTCAGATTGAGTGAGCGTGGCGTATGTCGAGCAATCGAGCGCCGTGGTGGTGACTTGCAGCGATTTCAAACCTCCAAATGTGAGCTCGGAGGAACGCCATTCTTCAATCAGGTTGCTCCGCTCTGGTGACGAGCCAGAAGAAAGCGCGGACGAGCGGCGGTTAAGACGCCCTACCATGCCAGAGGCCGGAGACTGTAAACCAGTCGAAGGGGTCGTCCCGCCAAAGAGCGATGGAGGTTCGGAAGCAGGCGTTGCGTCTCCGGCGTCGGCTTTGAGATAAGAATCTTGGTTCTTTTCCTCAAACTTGCACCTGGTGTACCTCATCACTGAAGCCTCACTGTCTTCCTCGAGCCCACACCTGAAGACAATGACAGCTTCACCAGCAAAGTTGCCGTCATCGTTGCTGAAATCAACTTCAAGGCGGCGGCGCATGTCCCAACCGTGGCAAGCCTTCTGAAAGTCTTTGGGTCTTTTGTGGAGAAAACTTTCAATTTCCCGAGTCTCAGCCTGGATCTGGGATTTAGCAAGGCACATGCCGTCCCAAGACGATCGAGGCGAGTAGCTGCCATCCGTATCCGAGAGGCTGTAGGGATCAACCCGCGCCGTACGCCTGCTAGATTCCACTAGGTTCCAGTAAACCGTGCGTCCGGTGGCCCATGCTAGAAGCTCACAGTCTACGGCCTGAGCTCTTTTGGTCCTTGTCTTGTTCGCGCGGTTCGGGAACTTGGTGAGGTAAAACACTTCGCCGAGAGCATTTAACGCTACTGCCCAGATCCGGTTCTGAGCATGACGCTTCAGCGAGTACGAATCATCCACTGCGAGAGCGATGATAGGTACACCCGGACTCAGAACCCATCGAGCCGTCACCTCTCCCCGGCCGAGGCGATGATCGCGGAAGCCTTGATCGAAGCCGAGACTGTAAGCTGTGACGACGCCAGTAGCAGACCCTGACATGATCCCGACAAGCCCTTCCGTGAGTGAAGGTACGGACGATGATTTGGCGATCCAAACTGAGCAGATCGACTCGAGTGCGGTCGGAATCTGAGGTATCCCAAGATCCGGCAGCATAGTGAGCTCTATTGGCTCAGTAACGAACCGGCCGCGCATTTCCTCCACATGACGGAAGTAGACCGAGCCACCAGGGAAACCTTCGCCGTAAACCATGCCGTACGGCTGACTGACGTCCATGGTGTTAGGGACTCCAACCACGTCGCCAGCGCCAAGGCCGTACTGAGCCTCGCCTGGGAAGCGTTCGAAGAACTGTAGGAAGGACTGCGGGTCAGATGAGCCCCAGCTGTCAGTCTTACCAGAATTCGGATCACTGGAAGATGCCATGCCGACATCATCAGCGCCATGTATGAAGCGCGGGAGCCGCTTATTCAAACCCGTTCCAAACGTTGCATGGAGGTGATTGACGGTAGTCACCAGCTGCGAGTTGTACATAGTAATCGTATTTGCCACATGATTGATACCCAAACGCGCGGAAGCTGGAGTGGCTAGAACCTGCATAGGCTTGCCGCGTGCCAACGAACGTAGCAGACGAGTTCGAAGAATGTATTCGCTCCTCCAAGAAGCAAGCGCGGTGAGCCTGGTGAACGAGCGTCGGCCCGAACGTAGATCGTCACTGCCATCCTCTGGCACGTAACCCGCTGGTGTGCTGAGAGAGTCGGGGCCCGGAAAGTAACGAGCAAACGCACTCCTCCAAGCGTGGGGTGTGGTGACAAGGTTATGGAATCGATGAGAGACCATAGAGACTGCGGAGAGGTCGGCTGGTGCAAGATGAGACAAGGCGTGCGTAAGGATTTCTGGAAGGACCTCTGTTAGCACTGCTGCTGCGAAGCCTGGATACCAGAGTAGCCACGACCCTCAGGCGTGAGGTGAAATGAGAGAGCAAGCCAGCATACCATTCGGCAAACTCGCGATAGGACTCTTCTTATCACCAGGCTTTTTCGTATTCTTGATAACTTCGAAAAGAGGTCCATCAGGCTTTCGTCTAGGCGACGAGCTCACACTTTGCTCATACTCTTCAATCCTCTTGCCCGTAGGCGTAGTCACAGTATTCAATCGTGCGGTTTCTCCGGAATCCTCGACGCGTCGTTGTTGAGACGCGTCTGGCACCGCATTTGTGTTGCCCGAAGACGATTCAGCCTCTCCCTGCCCTCCATCGGAAGGGAGAGCGGGGGGAGAGGTATAGTCATGTTGTAGTCCATGCTGGGAAGGAGGCGAAGGGCTGTCTATGTGGGTTTCTTGGGTTGAGGCGGTTTGTGGGTTATCGTGAGGCTCTGATTGCATAAAATTGGAGGGAGAAGCGTAAGACAGTTGATGACTGAGCCAGTGCGCCTGGATCAGTCGAGAATGTGCGAAGAGTCGCTGTGGATGAGGCGTGAATGGGGTTGTTGATGAGTTGAGAAAATTGAGGTGACGTTGTATGAGAATTGAAATTGGCTTGGCGCGTTTCGTCACGTGAAATTGTCCTGAGTTCAGCTGAGATAAATCAAATGTATCCCATTTCCATGCCTCTAAGGGCAGATGCTATAAGTCTATGGCCCGCGAGCCGTTACATGGCATGAACAACAAAGGGATCACTAAGCCTACAACACCACCCATACAACCCATGACCATGCCAGCAAATAGCGCAACGCCTAAACATTCTCTATCAGAATCCATACACGTACATGTACACGCACTCAGGGCACGAATAGCCTCGAGTATGCAACAATATTCGTCCTACAGCAAACGCAGGCCGCAAAGTTCCTCGAAGCAAGACCCACCCTGCATTCATCACACAGGCTTAAACATCCACAAGGCCAGACCAGAATGGTTCTAGGCGACTGCTGGCAGACCACGCATTGGGGCCCGCCTGAGCCCATTCCATCCGCGCCGGATTCCCATGCTGCGGCGTTGTCTGGTTGGGGAGCATTCGAGAGGGCGTGCCCCTTGCGCTTCGCGATAATGAATTGCTCAAGCATGCGTTCCTCTTGTTCCGGAGTCAAAAGAGCGTCAGGCGCGGGAAGGCCAGCGCGACTGTAACGGGAGCTCGTCAGCACTTGACTTCGCTCTCTTGCTAAGGCCTGCTGGTATCCGGACCGCGTCATGATCCCTTGACTCTGGAGATGGCGCGCCAACATGCGGGCTTCCTGCTGATCCTCGGTCGTTTGGGGGTCCAGGAGAGCAGCCAAGCGGGCATGATCTAACACGCTCTCGACCGCGGGTGTGGATTCGCGGCTTGAGGGGTATGGGTTTTGCTGCGTCGGTGTTCGTCGACCGCTGTCGGAAGCAACGTCAGACCACCCATCGTCTGTTTCGGCGTTTGTAGACATTGAGACGACGCTTGTTGTATCATCGTCTTGCGGCGGTGGATGGTAAGAGCCGCTGGTGTCCAGCTCGCCCCACCAGCCGCCGGTTTTCCACCACCCATAAAGCTGGTTGTCGAGGATCTCGCTCTGATTGCCAGCGCCCATCAGCGTACCGCTAAAGTTAAGACGATTCCTGGTTTCGGTTTCGACGTCAACGTTTAGGTTGGATGGGAGTGAAAGTTGGCCGTCCTCGGACAGCAGCCAGAAGTCTAGTGTGCCAGGAGGTTGATCACTCCGTGTCGGTAGAGGCTCTTTCTTCGAATCGTGCTCTCGTCCAGCAAGCTTCATGAGCCACCTTGGTCGGTAGGCGATACCAAACTGCTCCAGAGACCAGATGATCAGTCGAGAGTAGAGCCCAGCCACCAACCAGCAGACTCCTTTGAGAAACTCGAAGGTGATGGACCAGCGCCCGCGCCTCTGCTGCAATCCTACACCAACGTTCGTCCTTGCGTCTAGCGAAGCTTCTGACGCCTTGTTGTTACCTCGTGTCTTGCGCTCTCTGGCATACCCGGACACAGCAGAGCCTCCGGGAGCATTACGCTCATGTGACGATGTTGCAGCTTCTGCTATAGTGAGTTCACGAAGCTCCACAGGGACTACATCTAACGAGCGCTTGAGCCGACGGCGACGTTGGGCAATCTCTTCAACCCTCTTCTCTTCTAGCCACGTAGTCTGAGAAACACGGACAGCAGCACTCTCCTGCAAGTATACCGCCTCGCTCGCGGCTGTCAAGATCACAAAGCCGGTCTTTAGTAGAGTAGAATAGAAGTCATTCTGCCAACTAAACTCGATATGAGGGGATGTCGAGAGAAGCATATTGGCTTGCAGATTGTCGTAAGCAGCGGTCAACCTCTCTCTAAGCGACCGAGGATGCGAGCCAGGAGGCAGCGCCGCAGCAGTTAGCAGGATAGCAATGCCGTAAACCGCGGCGCAAGCCAACATCCCCAGAAAGATGAGTAGATGAGGAATGAACCCGACGATGCAAACAGTAGGGAATCGCAGGATACCGATATCGTTAATCTTATCGGATGTCATGAATCTCGATAAGCTCCACACAAGGGCCACCATATAGGCTATACCCCAAATTGCGGTGTTAACGAAGCGGAATCTTGTTCGAAGGCCGATGGCCGCCAGTACGTTACTGCTCAAGTGGCTGAAGCATGATATCAGTGAGATGAGAAGCACCTCCGCAGGGACGTTCATGACTCCTAGGACCATTGAACGGGTTATCTTCATGCTCTCTCCGTCGCTGCCGCTGGTCGTCTTGGCCTTCAGTAAACCCAGATCGAAGGGCCTGGTGATCATAGTCTCCGCTTCTGCAAAAGCAAGGGAGTGCTCGAAGACGGTCATACCGGTCTCTGGCAATGGTTTGAGACCCTGCAGAGCGCATGAGAGCGTATCCACAAAATGACTCAGGCAGATTGCACCGAACAGCGGCCAGAGCCGGGCTAGTGATCCCTGTAGAACTGAGTTTCCTTCGGAACCCATCATATTGACAGCTGAGCAAGAGGCTGCGTCATCCTGCCAGAAGAGCAGCGTGGAGCTGAGAGAGTACAGAAAGCCTCCCTCGCCGGCGTGATCGATAGAGAGTTGCTTGTCCGGGTCGCCGTACCGCATAAGGGGCCAGGCAGGGGATGTCTGACAGCGCATGGCCTCCAGTATCTGCACAATCTGAAAGCAGAACATGACAATCGGTACGATGTATGCCGCCAGACGGACGGGCCACCTGAAGTTCAGCGGTGTGCGGGAGGACGCGTAAAACCGGGTGCGGTCGAGTATAATCGCCTGGGATCTGAAATGAGCTCGGCACAGCTATCCTCAAGCGCGCACTGAACTTACCGCAGCAAACGTAGCCATCGCCCACCTTGATGTGAGGTACATAAATATGCCTCCAAGATTCCTCAGGTTCTCAAAGTTCATCCAGCCGAACCATCCTTGCACCGCTGGCGCCGCAGTGCCTGCTGCGCCCGCAGCAAAAGATGCTGCCGCAGAGTCTTGTGCAAACCCGGCAGCGCTGGTGATGACTGTCGCGTTGACGCTGCTCGTTGTGGTTGGCTCCGCTATCACGCTGCCGCCGTCTTGTACTTTGCCTAGCAGGTTATCGAATTGGTCTGGGAGGTGGAAGGCGAATGATCCCAGCCGCTGAGCGAGCCGTGGGACCGCCATAAGCAGGTCCCTTGACGATGGGAAATAAGAGGACGTCGTATTTGCCATGGTGTCTGGTGTCCGGGTATCCGATAGTGCGCTTCAGGTTGTTGAGTGTCTTGGAGGCTGGAATGCGTGCTGGCGGGGATCAACTGTTGCGCAGCCAGAAAGGCTTTGTGTGAAGCCGCATCAGGTCATCACCCGAGCATTGTTCGCTGTGCTGCGAGACACGGCGAACTGTCTGTGAGGAAACGACCAAGGTTGTCGCTGCTGCCCTTTGCGGCTCAGCGTCGGCGATGAAGTGACATCTCTGGATGTTCGGCTGACGCTGCTCCGACTGGTGGGAAGAACCCCCGGACAGCTGCCCGGACAGCTGCCCCGACTCCATTCCGCACCGTGGAATGGTTCCGTCTCTACCCCGGATTTCCGCTCGCGAGGGACGTCCCTCTGTGGGGTAAACGCCCGTACAGCTTTCAGTACAAATGACAGCTCCCTATCCAGCAATGGCTCTCGTCTGCTGTCGCTGTCCGTCTACCGTAATCGGCACATACTCCAGCACTACCAGCTACCGAGTCAGACATTCCCCTGCCACCACACCTATTCCAGCCTCAGCTCCCCCGCTGCCAACCCACGCCCTCTTCCCACCATGATCGCCAACATCCTCACCTTCCTCGAATCCCAAACTCTTCAGCATCCCCTCCGCACGCTCTTCTTCCTCCTCATCGCGACGCCATTGACCTACATCATCGCCAACGAGTTCGTCCGAAAGTCGCGGCGCATACCTGCCTTCAGCGGCCCTCCGGGCTACCCCCTGGTTGGCAACATTCCCCAGATCCGAGTCAATGCCGCGGAGACATACAGACAGTGGGCGGAGAAGTATGGCGACGTCTACCAGATCCAACTCGGCAACGAGCCCGTCATCGTCGTCAACAGCGCCGCAGCCGCAAAGGTCATCTTTGGGCAGAACTCGCAGGCGCTGAGCAGCAGGCCCGTGTTTTGGACGTTCCACAAGGTCCTCTCGAACACCGCCGGCACTACAATCGGCACGTCCCCCTTCAACGACTCCCTCAAGCGCCGTCGCAAAGGCGCCGCCTCCGCTCTCAACAAGCCCTCCATCAGCACCTACATCCCGCACCTCGACGTCGAGACGCGCGACTTCGTCAAAGAAGGGCTAGAGTACGGACAAGGCGGGCAAGTAGGCGTAGACCCAATGCCCATGATCCAGCGGCTCTCCCTCTCCCTCGCACTGACGCTGAATTGGGGCACGCGGCTGGGCAGCCGTGACGACCCTATGTTCCACGAGATCACCGAGGTCGAGGAAGCCATCTCAAAGTTCCGCAGCACGACGGGGAATCTGCAGGATTACATCCCGCTGCTGCGGCTGAACCCGTTCAGTGCGGGGTCGAAACTGGCTAAGGAGATGCGGAACCGAAGGGACGTCTACCTCAACCGGCTGAACCGCGATTTGGACGACCGCATGGAGAAGGGGATCCACAAGCCCTGCATCCAGGCAAACGTCATCCTGGACAAGGACGCCGCGCTTAATAAGGAGGAGCTGACGTCCATCTCGCTGACTATGCTATCCGGCGGTCTGGACACCATCACGACGCTGGTACAGTGGAGCATCGCGCTACTAGCCCAGCGGCCAGATATCCAGGCTGAGGCGATCGATGCCATCAGGGAATTCTACACCGAAGCAGAGCCGCTGTGCGATGCGCAGGACGACCAGAAGTGCGCCTACGTCGCGGCGCTTGTGAGGGAGTGTCTGCGGTACTACTGCGTGCTGCGGCTGGCGCTGCCGCGGGCGACGGTCAAGGACATCACGTATGAGGGGAAGGTGATTCCCGCGGGGAGCACCATCTATCTCAACGTGTGGGCCTGCAATATGGGTAAGTCGAGTCGTTCTGCATCCGTCTTTCTCCTTCCTCATCGATCACTGCTCGCGTCCTTGCTCGTCCACCCTACTGACACCCCACAGACCCCAAGGTCTGGCACGACCCCTCCGCCTTCCGCCCCTCCCGCTGGCTCGAGCAGCCGGACGCCCCGCTCTTCACTTACGGCCTCGGCTACCGCATGTGCGCCGGCTCGCTGCTCGCGAACCGCGAGCTGTATCTCGTGTTCATGCGGCTGCTGAACAGCTTTGAGATTCTGCCGGATAGCGAGGTGGATGTAGATCCTGTGAGGGGGAGCGCGGATCCCACGAGTTTGGTCACCATGTCTAGGGCGTATAAGGTTAAATTGGTGCCGAGGGATGAGGCCGCTTTGAGGGTGGCTGTGAAGGAAGGGAAGAGAGAGTGAAGAGTGGGAAGCGAAAGGGGGCGGAACGGTGTCTTGCTTCGCATTTGCAGCGTGAAACTCAAGGTAGTTGGAAGTTTTCGAAAATGTAGCTGTTTCAGTCCCTTTTCATCTTGCGGCTGGCTCGGAGAGGGCATCGTAGCAGACTGCCTTATGACGAGCGCATGGACGTGTAAGGAGAACCGCGCGGCAGGACAAAGCTGTGAAAACTTTAGGATAATATGACAAGCTTGGATTGTGGGTATCTTATTGCCTCCAAGGAACACATCCGCCATTCAACCGAGACCGAGAAATCAAAGCCTTACGAGTACGCCATTCCAACGACCAACGCCTTACCAAACTCCACCATTCGACATAGAACAGCAAAACTACCAGTTCCACGTCCTGGCCGATGCAGCGAACACCGGCGGCTTCCAGCTCAGCTTCTCCGGCTCGATGCGATGAGCGCCCTTCGCCTTCTCCTTCTGGCGCTGGCGCTCTCTCTGCTCTATAACCGCGTCCGTCAAGACGATAACGTGTTGATTCCTCGAGTACCTCAACATGTTCAGATTCTGCAACGTGTGCAGCACATCATTCGTAGTCATCGCCGTCGCCGCGCCCAGCTCCTCGATGTTCGCGTCTGTGCGGCCGTCCATCAGCAGGTCGACGATTGTCTCTTGCCAATATGCGCGGTAGCCCAGTAACCCTAGATCGCTGAGCGGCTTCTCGGGACTGCCGAGCTTGTTCTCGCGCTTGCTGAGCTCATAGGAGAAGGCGATGAGGAGGCGACCGAAGCCTTTGCGCTGGTATTGCGGGAGCGTTAGGATACAGGCGACGTTGTAGCCTTCTGCGCTCTCTTTTTCTTTCGAGAAGTAGCCGACCAGGTGGCAGCCGTGCTCGTCGCGGGTGGTCATGCAGTAGAACAGGAAGGGGTCGACGTCGAAGTATAGCGTCTTGTGGTCAAGAAACAGTTTCGACAGCAGACACAGATTGCGACACCACGTCCGCTGGCGGCGTCCGTCGACCTCAAAGAAGCTGACATACTCGTCGCGGTAGATCTCGTTGCCAGGCGGGTGAAGCAGCGTGCACTTCCTCCGATGTCGCTCAAACTGCTTCATCTCTGCAAAGTAGCACAGGCAGAACTCGCAAATATAGACCATGTCCGCGTCGCTGAACTCGATCGGGTAGGGCGAGAAATACCACGGCTCGATCTCGTGCCGGCCCATCTGGACGCGGTCGAGATTGCGCACGCGTGAGATCTCGGTCTGGTTCTGCGTCATCGAGCCGGATGTGCGCAGTTTTTCGAGCTCGTCCTCTCGCGAGTAGATCTCGGGGGGTGCGGCTTTGGCGGCTGCGGCTGCGTCTTGCACGTCGACGAGGTCCATCTCGTCATCTTCGGGTTTCGGGGTTGAGTCGTCGCCAACTTCTGTCGCTATGATGGCGATTTCTTCTCGGTTTTCTTTGCCGCCGGCTTTGGAGGGCCGGGCGGCTTTGCTGGGGACGTTGGAGACGACAGACTCGGGTGTCGCGGAAACATCCCGGTCGAGCTTCGAAGAGCGCTGCCGCTTGAGACTGCTCTTCTGTGATTTCGATGTCGAGGTTTGGGCGGGCTGCGATTTGCTCTGGGCACTGGTTGTCTTGCTTTTGGGGGGCTTCTCGGGCGCTGGCCATTCGACTTCGCGACTGAGATCGAGCCGCTCGGCTGACACCCACTCATCCAGGCGTTTGTTGAACTCGTCGTAGTGAACGTAGAATGTTGGCTTGCCCTTCCGCTGCTGTATGGAGAGGATCTCCGCTTTGCGCTTTTCGCCATCCTGCACAGAAACAACAGTAAGCAGACTGGTTGAAGACACTAGCAAGAAGAGGACTTCGGCGATGCTTCGAGATGAACAGATAGATAGAGGGTTGTTCCGGACAGATAGAAGCAAAAAGAGTAATGAGGTCAAAGAGGCTTAAAGACTTTTGCGAAACTAGAGATGACTTTGATGAAATGGTGGTGATGCTCTAATAGCCTGCAGCCGCCGAACCCGTACCTTTTCCACAAAAACCTTCACCCCAATCCTATCTTAACGTCAGCGAACGCTGTTCTTTTGCAGTGTGCGAGAGGGTTCGAAGAGTACCTCAAGGTCGCCAAAGTGGCGTAGCCTCTCTCCACGGGAACAGGCGTGCTGTCAGGCTCATGCGATGCCTCGCGTGGGGCCATGAGGGATGAATCTTAAGATATCTAGCCTTTTTAGTTACGGCAGAGACGTCCAAGTCGCTTCTAAGTGAGATGTATGATTTGTGGAGTGCTGCTACGCAAGACTCATGCCTTCGTGAACAAGTCGCCTTGGTGGTTGCGGATTGCGACCGGGCGCCACGGTGGCTGATGGATGACTGAGGCGCCTCACCCAACTCACTCAATCTTTGTCTGGGATTCCTAAGAACGGCCATGCACTTCAACCTGGACGTCTTCAGTTGGAAGGGCTCTCGCTCCGTTACTTCAGAAGGGGGACGGATGCTCGTCCCTGTCGCTCGCTTGGATTGTCACATTAATTCATAACCGCTGACCTTCGAATTACTTCGGACTCTGCATCAGAGAAGCCGCGAGCGGACCTCCGAATGTCGAGCCGACGAGTCCAACAAACCTCTCATCGCATGATGCCAGATGCTTCTCCATGCTGAACGCTGGCCGTCACAGAGCGCGTGTAAGAACCGGGGAGTTAGCTGGCGAGAGTAGCATGAACACCACCACGCGCCGCTTCCCTAGGGACGAAGAGCTTGGGAAGAAGGACGATGACCACGACAAGCTTGGGAAGGCCACTCCTTGGGCATCATGGCGAGCACGGCTGAGGTATCGCAAGCGGCGGATAACTGCCCTCTGCGTCGGCCTGTTCGTCCTGTGGCTCTTCGTACATCATATGCCGGAGCCACTGGGTCCTGTAGAAAAGAGATACGGACAAGGCGGATTGGGCACCAGTCAGCCATTTGGCCAGCCGCGCAGGGGACCAGGTCCGACTGGGACACCTCCTCGACCACCTCAGGGCACACAGACGGAGGACGCGAAACACTACTTCTCAGGCCCCATCAAGTTCTATCAGCTGGGGCGGACTCTCCATGGAATAACCAAGACCTGGGGATACCAAACCGTCAACCGCAATGTTCTCTTCGCCGCGTCCAATCTGCGTAGCGCATCCGTGCTCATACCGATTGCCTGTGATATGGCAAAATGGAACAGGAATTACGTCCACATGGTTTTTATGGGCAGAGACAACATGGATCTGGATGAGATACTGGAGATCAACGGTGTCGACCGGGAAGAGTGCGATGCATTCTGGCATGATGCGCGGCCAGACTACTCCGAGTACAGTTCTGAATCCCGCGCGGAGAAGAGCGTGGCAGCAGCGCTGGGCTACATCAATGACTTTATGCATCCGCAGGTCATCATTACCGATGACTGGGCGCAGGAGGATGCTTTCTTCGGAACAGCTGTGCAATCCAAGACCAAGCTACAGAGGCATCCTGTCGTTCAGCTCCCGAAGGGCGCCGCGGAGAAGTTTGAGTGGATGACTCGACTAGATGCTGGATCGCTCAGCGCATGGCACAAGTCTACCATTGACATACTCATTCATGCTCCTTCCGAGTCTTCCGGCTCACTCATCAGAACCATCAAGTCAATCCAGGATGCGGACTATCAGGGCTTACAGTCGCCGCGTATCATTGTGGAGCTACCACCCGAGATCGATCCTCCGACTAAGCACTTCCTTGATACCCTAGTTTGGCCACCGTCGATCAAGGAGAACCCTCTCCAAGCGAGTCAGCTCATTCTGCGACACCGCATTCCGACACAGAAGCTATCGGCTGAAGAAGCCTCTATCAAGTTCATGGAGTCCTTCTATCCTGCTGCTTCGGGCACCTCTCATGTCCTGCTCCTCTCTCCACAGGCTCAGCTTTCCCCGCTATACTATCACTATCTCAAATACCATCTCCTCGAGTACAGATATTCTACCTATGACGAAGAAGACCGCGCCAAACTTCTCGGCGTCAGTGTCGAGCTTCCCTCTACCCAGCTCAACGGCACAAGCCCCTTTACACCCCCAGGCGCCGACGTCATGAACGATCCAAAGTACAGCAAGCAGAAGGGAGCTGCTCCCTTTCTTTGGCAGGCACCAAACAGCAATGCAGCACTCTGCTTTGGCGATAAATGGATTGAGCTTCACTCATTCCTCAGCAATCGCATCGCCAAACAACACTCCGCCTCGCCGCCCAAACCCCGAGCGAAGCTAGTGTCGCCAGCACACCCCTCGTGGACTGAGTACCTCCTCGAGCTCATGCGAGCGCGTGGTTACTGGCTGTTGTATCCCGGCCTCCCTCCGTCCGAAACGCTCGTAACCATTCACAACGAGCTGTACCATCCACCCGAAGAGTTTGCACCCCCCACTGCAGCCGAGAAGAACAACGCCGTCGAGCCACTAAAGCTATCCGAGCACGAAGCCTTCATCGTACCTGCCTCTCCACCTCCACCCCCATCCACCCACGAAGCCCCGCTCGTCCCGCCTTCGAGACCGCTCCACGTCCTCCTCCCCTTCAACGCGGATCTCCCGGAAGTCCCACACATGGCTCACGTCTCCCATGCAGGGGAGTTGTTATCGCCCGCCGATGCCGAGGAAGCGGCTGCCGAGTATGCCGCCCGCTTCCGACGGGAGGTAGGCGGGTGCGGAAAAGAACCTAAGGGGAAGAAACGCGTTGTGAAGGCGGGTAGCGCGAGGGATCTGTTTTGCTTCGGCGATGAGGAGAATGAGGAGTTTGAGAATGTGGCGGCGTTGCCGACGGCTGTTGCAGCGGAGACCTTGATGGAGACGTCAAGCTTGGCGAGTAAGAGTAGGACTAGTAGCAGTAGCAGTAGCAGTACGGCGGCGCATACGCGTGAGGCTGTTGCGGAGCTAGTCGGTACGGTGTCGGACGGCGTGGACAGGCCTGGGCCGACTACCGCTGAGACAGGTGGCGAAGCGGATTCGAAGTATTTGGATTAATGAAGTTATGCACAGATTGTTGGCGCATATGACTGTATGGTTCGCTCTATAAGAGATGTTTGTTGATCGTTGAGGGGCATTGATATTGGAGTTTTCTTTTCATTCGTCGAACGGGGAAAAGCTAGTTTGTGAGGTTTCCATCAGTCTTAGGCACTGGCGGAGTTATTCATTCGCACACAACGTCAACGATATTTTCGGCATTGAGGTTCCTGGTAATTGGATGGCTTGTACAGTACAAACAGGCATGAAGGATGTAAGGGAAGTAAGTAAAACTGGCTTTAGATCATGAATGAACAACTCGTTCAGACCTTGCATTCAACGTGTCTCTGTTGGTCATAGGAGTAACGATCTTACGTACCGGTACACGCCCTTTCAACAGATACTGGCTATGGTAGTGACAGTTGTCCGCTTTCCCGTTGCAGCACGTGACCGGGTGGTGTTCAACCTCTGCCGACACGCTTATTCAGAATATGCATCAAAGCGTACACCTCGCTGGTGAACGGGACTCCTGATTGAGAGGGTCCATCGCATGTGTTCACGCCGGCAAGGTCCTCATCCTGCTACAGTCCAGTCACAAATGCTGCTTCCTTGTTGGGGTGGCTCCAACATCGATGGACTGTCCCTCGCACAGTCTTGACGCAGACGCATCGTCCCCTTGAGCGATAAGGTATTGGAACAGAAACAGATGTCCAAGTTTGCAACCGTCACAATTGAACGAAGCTTTGACGAATGCTTAGTGACACGATCTAATGCTCAAAGATCTTGCTACAAATCCTCTCAATATCCAACACAGCGTTAACGCCTGCAAATGCATCCCAAAACACCTTCGCTATGCAATTCAAACCACAAACCCAACCACCCTACCAAGTTATGACGAAGAAAGCTTTCAGAACCCAGGCTATCGCCATCTCAGCATGTAACCCGAGTGCTTGGCGGTCGAGCGATGGGCGGCCAAGTCCCGTTTCTTAGCATAAAACTCGGGGTTCCCTCGATACGAAGAACCAAATCCCTCGGATGTTGCTGAGCTCTTGGTTGAATGACAGCGCTCCGAGAGTACGAGACGGAGGCATCCCTGATGGTATCTGTTCTCGGTGTATTGTAGCGTGCGGGGGTTGAGTGGGAGCGTGCACCACTCCCGGCCTTCTGGGCTCGCGGCAGTGGGTCAAGTAGGTAAGGCTTATCTGTCTTTGCTCGTTCCAAGAAAATGTCGAGCTTGCGGAATAAACCAGCTGCGTCAATACGTTCTGTGGAGTCGATAATGAGAAGTTGCTCCATTATCAGCTCTAGGAGTCCGTGAATCACAGCAGAGCACTTCCCATGCTCGTGGAGTTTGTTGACCCACTCAGTGACTTCGCCCCGTACTTCGGCTCCAGGTCTATTGCCAGATCGCGTATAGATCGTGTAGAAGTTGTCATCGTTGATGCCCGTTCTCGCACACCTGGCTCGATAGTCGGAAAAGCCTTCTATCTCCGCGGAACCCATAAGGAGCCAGGTGATGAATTCCAGATACAGGCAACCGAGGCTCCATATGTCGTAAGAGCGAGAGACAGACCTGCGAAGCTTGCACTCCGGTGGCTCGTATGTTGGAGAGGACCAAACAGTGGCCGGATTGATCTTCGATCGCGAGTCTCGGCCGTGAAACCTCCCTAAACCGAAGTCCGCAATCTGTAAGACCCCATTCTCATCTTCAACTTCGCTGCTTTGCTTGAACCACAGGATGTTTTCAGGCTTGATATCTCCGTGGCGACCAAACTTCTTTTCTTCTTTTTCCACACTTAATATGCCGTCATCTAGCACTCGAACCTGACCATCAACCGGAAGTGGCAGCGTGAAGTTATGAATCACCCACAACGCGTTTGCGATACCAGTCATCTGTTTCAACGACCACAAGACGGTTGCTTCATCAAAATTAGGATGCGGCCTGTCTTCCCAGTACTTCCTCAGATTGGCGTTCGCGTAAGGAAACATCAAGTGATATTTCTGTTTGTGTTGGAAAGTAGCCAAGAGTTTGATGAGGTGGGGATGATTTCTGGAGCCGAGGGCTATGAGAATGGTTTGTTCCTTCGCGAACTCCGTCCGATCAGAAGAGAATAGCTTCTTGATTGCAATCAATGGCTCGTCGATCTACGTCGTGTTAGAGCTGATTCTATCGAAGTGTGAGTGATGTTGAGATACCTCTGACGCCGAGCGCTTCCAGAACTGATGATGCGAAGGATGGACACGGACTGGATAGACCTCGCTGTACCCGCCTTGCTTTGGTTCCTCTGTCTCTGCATCGGGCTTGAAAGGAATGAACGGTAAGATTGTGTTGTCGTGCAGGTTGTAGTGTCGTTTGTCTTTGAATACAGGAGCAGTCATCCAGTATTGGTAGCGATCAAATTTCTCCAGATCTTTGTCGCTCCACTTCTCCATTGTCTTGAGGGACTCTCCTTTTTTCAGTTTCAGTGCGAATCTTTGCTGGCCATCAGACCTCCTCAGGAGGGGTAGGTCTTTATCAGACACCCCTTCCTCTAACAGTGTGCATATCTCTGCCCCCCTCTTCATGTATGCAAGGATAGCAAACAAATGTCTCGCAGATTGGCATACTTCTTTTGCACGTTCGACAGCTTCTGCGGGTCCAAAACGGTTTCCAGCTTGGATCTCTTTCGCGACGGCAGCGATGGTAATCAATGATTCCTGAGCACAGTTCGGCACAATAAACAAGTGAGAGCCGGGAGGACATTCCTTTCGGGCGCTTTCTAGGTGTCCTCTGAGTGAGCCAGCTGTTGCCGAGTTCTCGCTGCTGGAGCGGCTGCGAGATTGCCGTGACACGCTGCCACCATGGCTTTTGGGCAGCGAAGAATTTGAATTTCGTCTCGAGGAGTTCAATCGCGTCGACGCATGGGACTGTGGAGGCGCTGCATCTTCTCCCGGTAGAGGTTCAGGCTCGTCGATTAAGATTTCGGGAACCGCATTTGATGGTTCTGGAGAGTCGTAGTTCTTGTCGGTCGGTGGCGCTGGTATCTCTATGGCCTAGAGGACGATTAACTGAAACTGTAGTCTCTTACTCCCGGATCGCTTACTGGATGTGGTGCGTTTGCTCTGTCCTGGGCGTCGGGGCTGGGTCCTTCGTTTGCTGAACGGCGGATTGCATCCCAGATCGATCGAACAGTGCTCCTGAAGCAACCCATGGAGAGCGATGGAGAGCAAAGCCTTAGCGTAGACGGCTTCGTGTAGCTAATAACAAAGCATATTTCTAAGAAACTCACGCGGTGATATATCTCCAGTTGTACGGCGGAAGAGCACTGCCTGGCAGCCATAAGGCAAAAACACAAGGCACATCGCTTTCAGGTACTCAGCCACTTCAGATCCTCATTCAGCCTGACCAGCTCCCTCGCTTGATTATCAACCTTAGGCAACTTAATGCAGTTAAAGGAATACACTGCCCCTCACCCCTTAGCCTCGTCCGATTGAATGGGGCTCCAGCCTGCAACAGATTCGGGGTTATCCCAGCCTTCTGCAGGCTGACACCACCAGCCTACGCCCGATAGCTAGTCTGCAGGTGGCTTCTGCACGTCGGAGAGCCCACCGTATCATAGATTCCTTATTGGCTACGATGTAGATCCGAACTAATCAAGTCTGGCACCTGCACACTGATAAAACACATGATACTGCGAGTAAAACCGCCATTGGACACGGAAGGTGGTTTGTTTCCCTACCTAGGTAGCTGCAGCTGCAAGCATTGTAAGAGAAACACACATCGTCAAAACGTGCATCATTCGACCTGTAGTCGGCATAAGCAGAAAGACGCCTCCCCCGACCGAAGTTGCACAGAAGAGGCTCCCAGATACCCTATCCTGCCTTCGCCATCATTTTTGTTCCAACACCAGATTCTTCAAAAGGTGATGGCGAGATCTCAGGATGATGCAGTACATTTGCTGGGGAATCTACTCCCGATTCAGCATCATTTAACCGTTGTCTTTTTCTCTGCGAGAGCAATGACGTGACACGGTTTTGACGCTGGAATCGTGGAAGAATGGAGTGCCGTGGGATTTTGGGGACCGCAGCACTTTTGCAGTGTATCCAAGCCCACCAGACGGCAATTGTAACGGCAGTCAGGGGAATTGCGATTGCGGCGAGGAGCCAGGCGCTGCCAGATACCCGCATGTTGCCGTTATCATTCGTGTGTACGAATTGAGTTGAGAAAAAGTTCTTTTAGTCGTAAGCCGGGTAGTTTTCTTCAGGAAAGGGGTAGGCTTACCGCAACTATCGTGGAAGGAAGATACACAAGACCAATGACTGTTAGGACCTTGACCGCTGCGGCGTCTTTTGTGCTTTTCTCCTGAAATACAGTCAGCATATAACCCCCAGGGTTTCTCCTTAGGTCAGTTCACTGTCAAATAACACATTGTCTTGCTTTCCAGTTGTGACTCCCGTGCGAGATCTTTTAACGCTACTGCGTTTTCGAAACTCAGTAGGTCTGACAGCTGTAAGCATATTAGCCATAAAGATCTTTCATTTCTTGTAACATTCAAGGATACGAGGCTCGGACTCAGATACGAGGCTCGGACTCACCAGTTGCGTGGTAGACTTCGCCCTCTCTCTCAAAAGTTTCACTCGTCGAACATGCAAATCTACTTCCTTGACATGCTCATCAAACTCCTCAACAATCTGATCACAATCACAATCTCCCTTTCTTTCTTCCCTACAATACCTTTCACAGCACTTTCTACAGTGCTCGCGAATCCCAACGATAGTATTCAACATAGTGGAGAGAATGATCTCCAAGTCAATTACAGAGTCTTCAAGAAGTTTGAGAGTCTGTCGATCGATGAAGTTGATGTTGAAGTCTGTCAGTGGGGATAGATACTCCTTTTCTGTCCCAACTTTGGCGAAGACCATGCGATTGGACTGTCCCACATTCCTAACTGTTAGCTAAGTTGATTTGGCTGAATAGATGTGCAAGATTGAATCGAAGGAGAGTTAAAAACAAAGGAGAGTGAGAGGAGAAGGGTGGCGGTGGACCTTACCTGATCACTCAATCGTTCCTCCAACCAAGCCATGTATTCTGTCCAACCTCCCAAGCTATCCGCAACAAGCAGCCTGTGCACATTGCACTGGGCAACTGCGCACTCATTCGAGATACCCATTTCAAGTGACTGGGCGAGCTGCTTTTCAAGGGACTGAGAGGGGGCAATGAGGAGGAAGGTTGACCTAGACCTTCTGGAAAGGGGACTAGAATGGGCGGAGGCGGATGACATGGTTTCATTTGGGTTGATCCCGAGCTTATGGTAGACAGCCGTTTGCCGAACAGACCATGGCGACTGCCCTTCTGTTAACATGCGATGGTTGAGTTCCGCGCGGCGGAGGATATATGCTGATTCTGATAATTGGTCAGCATTTCATATACTTTCATGCCTCAGTTCATCGGACATGGAATATATTCTGTCAAAGAAACCTGGGTCCCAACCATAAAACTCATTTGGACTAGAGCCCGAGCGTGGAGTCCGTCGCGCCCTGAAACCCGGAAACGCAAATTCATTCTCCTCACATTTCCTCCCGAACGTGAACGTGATGTTCCACAGCTGGGAGAAAACACCGTACACACTTATGAAATCCTCAAACAGCTCTTGGGAGATGTTCAAAGTTGTCCAGGAGCGATCTTGACGAATAACGAAGATTTGAGAAGAGTCATTTGATTCCTGAGTATCAGGAAAACATCAGATACAGTACGTTGGCTGAGTCTCTCTGCAGCCCGATAGCGAGGAGCAACGGTTCGTAAGGGAACTGGGAACATTGGAGCTTCCGTACATGTAACAAAGCCTCTAGCTGCGACACATCCTCGACATCCCGATTTCGCGCAAAACGCACGCCATTTCCCGTCTTCAAAAACCGATTGACTTGTAATTGCGGCTTTACTGGCTTGGCCTTGAACAAATCATGTGTTTTCTTGCCGATTTTCGCTCTCAGGCTCTCGGCGTCGTAGAGGTCGAGGTGTGAGGTCATTGTAGTCCTACAATTTCACTTGTTCGCTGGCTTGGCGTGACGAGTCTGCTTGGTCGCAGCTGCAGTTGACGTGGTATGAAAGTTTCAGGGAGCATCAAGTCATAGCGTGCGATGGTATCCTCAGACATTGAATTTAAACATGACGAGTTATGTAGGGCAGCGGGGCGCAAAACAATCCTCCGCCTTGATCCGGTGAGAGGGAACGCGGCCTGTGCACAGCCTCCTTTGCTTGCCATTACAGTATGCATGCAGATTCCATGTAGATACGCAGCCTTACCTCGAAACGAAGTTGTTGGAATTGTTTACCTGGCGTGTCACTGAAGGCAAGAGTATTACCGTCTTGAAAGCCGCGCTCACACCATACGGGAACACATTAAAGACTCGTCCTCGATCGTTAATGTAGCAGCTCTGAGTAATTTCTCTCGCAAATTTTACAACGGTTCTGTCCTTGCTCCTTGCCCCTCTAATTCTAGTTCCATCGCCTTCTGTATACTCGACAGTCCTGAATTTGATCCTAACGAGATCACAATCAGCTTTCCCCTTATGACCGGTACAGATCAGCAAGTGCTTTGCACCTTAGTAAGCACGAGACCATCGCCGATATGTTTCGAGGGGTAGATCTTGTAGCGATTCCGTCTAAGCTGTTGGCGCCATGTTGTCAGCGCCGAATCAAAAAGCGGATTTGGAAGAGAAGGTATCCCACCTCAACGCGGAAATTGTTTGTCCCGTACACGTACTTCAAGAGGTTCAGGAGTCTCTGCTGATCCAGATACTGACCCTCTATGATCTGGGCGGGCTCCGCGCTGCGAGAGCAGTAGACTGACATAGTGCACACAAAAGCTGTCGATAGGTACGGGAATAAAGCAAACGTTTGGAAAAAGGATAAACACGTATGTAGATTGTCCGGCAGATGGTGAGAGTTTGGGATTAGGCTTGGCAAACGTGGTATCGATGAAGTACAGGGGAAGGAGCGGAGTCGACCGCCGAATATATCATTAGAAGAGCCCGAATCGCTTACGGTCAGCCGGAGGCACGAAAACTCAAAGGGCAAAACATAGAGTACCACAGCCCCGCTCGGCAACCCTGCTTATGTCTAATGCAGAGATGGGGCTTATCTGTGGGATATGACATGGGCCGCGCACCCGGTACACAATCAAGGACTTGTACCGAAGTTGTCCAATAGATACGCACGAGTTAACGACACGTGTGGAATGCATATAGGCAGAAGGCGAACAAGGCAAAGTAATAAACAAGGCAAAGTACAAAACAAGGCAGAGTACTGAACAAGGCAGAATACTAAACAAGGCAGAGTACTAAACAAGGCAACCACCAGCAGACGTGGTTGTCCCAAATTGGGTGGTGTCGGGAACCAGCGCTCAGCCCCAAACCATGCGTATTCCCTCTCATGGGTGGCAGGAATCAATTTGCTCCTAAGACTCAGGATAACGTGAGCGATCAAGGCCCAGAGAAAAGGGATGATTGCAAGATAGAGTCAGGCGAGAAGGGAACGGTTCAGAAACAGACCTTAGTCAGAGGGACAGGCGTTGTGATGATCCATTTTCCCAGTCGGATCTGCGAGACAGCCGAGAATCAGTTGCGAGCGCCTGAAAGACAGCCTTACACAGCACTTGCCCTGAACAGACCTGGGAGTTGATTAACACTTAGTAACTGACCTCAGCCGTGTATGGTTGCCCAGAAAATAGCTGCGCCAAAAGCGCCATTAGTTTGGTTTCGTCGATGTATCGGGGCTCGACTCTTTTCGTCTCCGCCATCTTTTCGCTTGGAAAATTGTGTCACAAGATCGAGATATGATACGCTGGTCAGAGTCCGAACTCGGGAGGGAAGGAATTGCGGAGAGAAGGGCCACTAGAATGAAGGGTGATGTTGTTTTATCAATGGGTTGTGGAAGCCCGATTGACAACGGGCGAGCAGAGCACCTGCAGCGCTGCATGAACACGGCTGCGGCAGGCATGGAGTGTCCTGCAAGCACCGGCGCATGTCTGAGGCTGTCAACTGATCGATCCCGTGCATGCATCGCCCGATGGCGGGCTCAGATTGCATGAATAGGGCGTTACCTATCTCCTCGTAGGATTCGTCCGCCATCCAACGGCGTGCTGCATCTTGCACACTGCATTAGATACTGTTTTCAACTCACACCGGCATGACCGGATGCGGTAACTCGTAGTTACAGTTATCTACGAGTGCTTTCGTGTTACGGCACGTGACTGCGTGATGATCAAACTCCAACACGTTTGTTCGAAACTTGCACCAACTCCCTGAAAGAAACTGCCACAGTCACCCGACGAGTCGTAATGGACGCCCCCGAAGACGACGACCTGAGGCTTCAGCGGGCATCTGTCAGCTTCTACTCGCTGTCTCTTGCTCGCATCCTCTGGAAGCCTCCATCAAGAAGCAACAAGCAGCGTGTCCACCGCAGCGTCAAGGCTCAGGAACTTGACCAGGTCATCCTTCTGGTATGTTGAGGTGAAGGTACTGTTCTGGGTAGGGCTGATAGTGCCCCTCCCAGATCGAACCTTTCCAGGAAGACCCGCAATTACTAGATGCCCACCTGAAGCACATCGTTCCTCCGCTGGTGGATGCCTATCTCCAATATCTGCAAGCACCTCCAAAGACTTCGACAATTGCCAGAACCGTCCCCTTGTCAAGTGCCATCTCTCGCATCTTGTATACGCTTTGCAAGGTCAGGGGCGAAAAGATCATTACAGGCTTCCTTAACAATGAGCCACGCTACCTGGAACTCATCTTGACTAGATTGGAGCAAGGTATCGATGGCACTCAGGTTGGTGTGGTACCAAACGAGCATGATGGCATGCCTTGGGAAGAGCGATACATCCTCCTGCTATGGCTTTCACATTTGATGCTGACGCCGTTCGACCTTGCCTCAATATCATCCAAGCATTTGACGGATGCTATCACAAACATCCAGGACCTGGATGTGCCTCCCAACTTGCCGGCAATAGCTAGTCGCCTTATGCCATCATGCATCCAGCAACTAAAATCCGCGACTCGAGAGCGTGACGCCGCAGCGCTCGCACTTGTCAGATTATGCATCAGGCCGGACATGCGTAAGCTCGGCCTCCTCAACGCTGCTGTTCAGTGGGCTTTGTCCTGGCTTGATCCAAAGTGTACCAAGCAGCGAGATATCCATCAGATGCACGGCGTATTGTCCTTCATCAGTAAGCTTGTCGCTTCAGCAACGTATGAAGAGCTAGGACACTTGCTTCGCGATATCTACGACTCTTGTCAACACGTCCTCACACACAATTCACTCTCGTTTGTCAAGTCTTCCGCAGTGGCGAGAAAGCTTATCATCAAGACCACCCGCAATATTGTTGTCCACTACATTCAGTCACTCGATATTGTGCAATCTCCTGATATATCCACACTGTTCGAAGAAGTCATTGATTTCCTACTTGAGGCTGTTGCGGATGGCGACACGCCAGTCCGCTTCGCTGCCAGCAAAGCGTTGAGTATAGTCGCAATGAAGCTTGAATCCAACATGCGCACAGAAGTCATCGACGCCATTCTAAGCTATCTAAATGTTGATGTGCTCTGGGAAGGTACCACAAGAAACCTCGCCATGGTAAACCCACTACGGTGGCACGGCTTGACCCTAGCTCTATCACACCTCTTGTACAGGAAGGCGCCGCCGGCTGAGCAGCTTCCGGATGTTCTGAACGCACTAATGCTTGCCCTTACCTTCGAGCAACGCGCTGCGACTGGCGGATCTATAGGGTCGAATGTGCGAGATGCAGCGTGCTTCGGCATCTGGGCAATCTCACGACGATACACCACAGCTGAGCTTCTTGGGGTGAACACAACCTCGATACGCGCAGCACAAGCCTTTGATCATCGGCTCTCAGTGCCGCAAATCCTTGCGATTGAGCTCTTACAAACGTCGTGTCTCGACCCTGCAGGAAACATCCGCCGCGGGTCTTCGGCAGCTCTCCAAGAGCTCATTGGCCGCCATCCCGATATTGTAGTGGAAGGTATACCGCTTGTTCAGATTGTAGACTATCACGCCGTTGGCCCAAGAGACCGCGCTATGACCGAGGTTGCTGTTAAGGCGGCTCAGCTGGACAATGCGTACTGGCAAGCACTCTTCAACGGCTTGCTGGGCTGGAGGGGGGTGGCCGCACTGGACACCCCTTCTCGACTCTCCGCCGCGAATGCGATCGGACGGCTGAGCATTACGCAGCCCTTCGCTGAGGTCAGATCCATGATACAACGCATCTCAAAACATCTGGCCGAACTGGGCCGCAACGACGTTGAAGAGCGGCATGGGCTTCTCATGGCGTTAGCCTCGGTGCTTCACGGTTGCGTAACACAGATCGACTTCAGGTATGCGGAGCAAACCCAGTTACCCAACAGGACGCTGGGCGACATAGAAGTACTCGATGGCCTGTGGTCTCTCCTGCAATCCTACGTCAAGAACGGGCAGGGCGGCACTCTCCCTATGAAGTTGGAAGAGCGGGATTTTAAATCAGCCGCGTTGCGTCCTGAACTCACCGCAGTAGCCATATGCTCGCTTCTCTCCGCACTGGCTCTTACGACCCTCCGGCTTTGGCACATGTACGGAGGCATACAGGATTTTCCTCATGGCGAGACAGTCATCACACTCTTGACTTTTTGCCTTACTCGGACCGAAGACTCTGTTCTCCAAGCGCTTCCTTCGGCTGTGGGCAGGATATCCCACCTACTGTCGCTTGAGGAGCTGCTGCCACTTAACCAGACTTGGCTGACATCACTCATCAATTCCCGCAGCCCTCGTAATTCTGGATATGCTCTGGCTTTAGGGGCCATGTACGGAGACCTCGAACCCGAAAGTACCGAAGCAGCTCAGATCATCGAAGTCTTGACATCGCGCTGCACTCCAGCTGTCGAAGTTGAAACAAGGGTGACAGCACTCCAGAGCCTGCGTCTTTTGATCCCCTCTGTGGCTAAGCATTCACTACACCAAGGTGTCGACGATCTAGAAGATATCAAGGCCGCTATCTCCACAGCGCTCAATGACTACACAATCAATGAGCGCGGGGACATAGGTTCACTCGTCCGCCTCGAAGCCCTGAATGCTGTATCGGCTGCCGCTGAGCACGGTTTCTTCGACGCCGACGCAGATGAGCGGAACAGCACAATCGCCGCAGACGTAATCCGTCTCTCGCTCGAAAAGCTTGACAAAGTCCGCGGCCCGGCTGCAAAATGCTTGCGAACCCTCCGAGGTGACAAGCTTAAGGACCTCAAAAAGTTGATGTGGGACGAAGAACAAGGCGTATCGTCTTACGCATACTTCGCTTCAGCCCTCAATACTCTGCGGCGTCCAACACCAACATGGATTATGCACGCCATACTGGAAGGCTACATTAGCTCTGCGGGAATGGGCTCGGAGTCAGTGCTTCGAGCTTCAAGGCTCGCATTGGTAGACCTGGTGGAGGAACTTTTTATGCAGACAGAAGAGTCTGTTGCCCCGGTGCTGGACATCTGCAACGCCGTGGTGGAAATCTTCAAGGAGAACATGGCTGTCGACAGAGTGATTCTTCCGTTGATGGAAGTCCTGGCGTTTCTGTTCGACATGCAGATCCTGCAGAGGCTGGGCTCCACATTCAAGTATGTCTTCTTGTTATCGGAGCCCATGATATCATTGGCTGACAGCAACAGATGTCGGAACCTGCTCTCTCTGGTGCAGAAGGCACACTTCAAGTCTCAAAACATGGTCAAGCTTTCCGTCGCGCTTGACCTCTATCGTGGTCTCGCTGATTTCGATGTTACGAGGGCTGATGTGATCGCTAAGTTGATGAGCATGCTGCTGCACCCGTTCCCAAAGGTGAGTGCTCGCATCTTTAACAGCGCTTATCCATCGTTGGAGCAATGGGCTGACGTAGAAATAGATTCGTATCGCTGCAGCTGAGACGTTGCATACAGTCACGTTGGACGATAGTCTGAAGCATCATGACTGGTCCGCCTCGCCCAGAGCTCTGAAACAAGTAGTTGAACATCTAAAGGCAAGATACATGCAGTCCTAGACTGACCATGCCCACTCCCCGTTGCCCGCCCTTATCAAGAAGAACTTCTTGTACTTATCTTTGCTCTCTTGCCTCTGAGTATGCTCTTTGATTGATACAAGTCAGGGCCAAGGGAGCTTTTTGGGCCACGAATCATCAGCTTACGTAACAGCTTCCCTGCCCTCAGCTGAGAGCGATCTCTTCAGCTGCATAGCAGCACCGTCCAATTGAAGTCACCTGCTTAAGCCACTGTTGCCATGCGTGTCTTGTGAATGTCTGACACTTGGCAGCTTTTGACGTCATCGTAAGATTATCTAAGATTAGGTGTCGCCGCAGTTGGGCTGGCGCAAAGTTCAACAGGCGCATTCTCCAACACTCAGCCCAAAAGCCACAGCTGATTCAGAGGTCCTAACGCTTTCTTTACCAGCCTCGATTGCGCTTCACCATTAATGGGCGAGCCGCTTTCCATCGCCGCCAGTATCGCGGGCCTGAGCAGCCTTGCTTCAGAGTTAACTAAGGCATGCTTCGCTTGCTACCGCGCTTACAAGAAAGCGCGTAATGCACCTGATACCATCGATAAGGTTATCAGACAGTTGAGCCTTTTCCGTCGGCTGCTCGTTGACCTTGAAGACATTTACATCATCAAATCTGGGCCTCTGTCATCTTTGGACAGTATAGAGCGCGAGGTCAAAGAGTGTCAGTCTGAAATAAAGATGTTTCAGCAGAGCTTGAACTCTTCGCTTGGGGATGGGCATGGCATGAAACTCCGGGTGAAGTTTTTGCTTAAAGAGGAGGAAATCCAAGCCTTCCTCTGTAGTCTTCAAGTCTATCAATCGGCATTCGAGTCTGCAAAAGCCAACGATGGCTTGAGGATTGCTATGAGCACTCAACAAACGGTAGCCACGATCGGAATCGCCGTTCAAAGCATACAGCAGGAGGCCAGCGCTGAGAAAGACAAATTGCTGTCCGATGAGGCGCTGAAGTGGCTTACCCCCTGGACTTTATGCGGAGACAAGAAGAGCTTTATCACCATCGCCGTCACGAGGGCACTGGAACCTGGATCTTGAGGGAGGGTGCTCTACAAATATGGTTCGATAACGTGCGCTGCAAGGAGAACTTTCTCTTAACGCTGCGAGGAGACCCTGCTGCGGGAAAAACGATCTGCTGGTGAGTAATGCACCATGCTTGCTGTGAATTGTTGGCACAGGCTCACTTCGGAGGAATCAGCTCGGTCATCGTCAATTACCTGCTCGAGCAAAGAACAGAACAACCGGGGATTGGCGTGGCTTTTGTTTACTGCGAGAGCCAGGAGCAGGCGAATCAAACCGTGAAACACTTGATTGGGTCGCTCCTTCAGCAGCTCGCCTCCAAGAACGAATCCGTGCACCGCGACATACGATCCATGTACCAGTCAAAGAAAGATGCGGGTATCGCATCTCTGAAGGATCTTGTCCAGCTTTTGCTGCGTGCACGTGATTATCACGTCAAACTGTTTATCATCGTTGACGGCCTGGACGAGCTGCGAGATGAAACCCGGCAGGTCCTTCTCAAACTTCTCGACGGAGCGCAGGCAGAATTTATCCGTGTTCTTGTCACCGGTCGTCCTTTTGCTGTTCGGCCCCGCGGAATATCTGATCCAGGCCTCCATATTGAAATTCAGGCTAAGGAAGACGACATACGGACGTTTGTACAGGCCTACATCCAGGACAGCACTGACCTACAGTTCGTTATCGACGGAGACAAGTCATGGCAAGGCCGCGTAGTCGCAGAAGTTGTTAAAAAGGCCGCTGGTCAGTACGTTTATCCTGGACCCTCCGAATGATGCCGTCGTTTCTGAAAAGCACGTAACAGATTCGCCCTTGCGTACATGTATTTGACTCGAATTGCAAGCGAAACGTGCAAAGCGGACGTTAGGGCGGCTTTACATACCGTTGGGGGTACTCTGCCAGAGAAATACGGCCAAACAATCGAGCGCATCAGAGAGTCGACCCGGCGAGCCAAGCTCGCTTTCCGGGTCTTTCAGTGGCTGCTCAGGGCCAGGACCGCGCTAAGGACCGACGCCTTATGTGAAGCGCTTGCCATCGACGAACGAGATAAGAGATTGTCCAAGGAACGCATGCCTAGCATTGAGACCATACTTAATGTCTGTCAAGGTTTTGTGGTGGTGAGAGAACTCTCAAAGACTGTTGATTTCTTCCACGCCACGATTAGGGAGTACCTTGAGGCCTCGCCCGAGATCTTCAAAGATGTGCCGGTGGATGTCGTCAAGAGCTGTCTGACATATGTGTCTCTCGACGACTTCATCCATCCTTGCTCCAATGCCGCAGATCTTCGAAGGCGACAGAACGACCATCCTTTTGCAGCCTATGCAGCACGATACTGGCCTGATCACGTCCGAGGATCCTCAGAGCATGTGCACCAAACCTTACTGGTGAACATATTGACCACCAGCAATGTTGTAAGTATGATTCAGCTAGTTCCAGAGGCCTATGATCGTCTTTTCGGGCGCCCCATGGAACTCTTGGAGAACCAAACACACGAAGCACGTATCCCGATATATCTGTCGGCGTGTTTCCAGCTTAAAGAAACACTCAAGGTCTTTTTGTCCCAAGAACCGCATAACGCAAGTACAACCGTGCCCTGGGGGGCCTCCTACTCGCCTTTGCATGCTGCGATCTGGCTTGACGACGAACAGGCGTGCCAGGAACTACTGAACGCAGGAGCCAAGGTGGATGTGCAAGATGACTGTCTTCTTACTCCGTTGCATCTCGCTATCCCGCTTCAGAGGTCTTCTACGTCGCAGATTGTTGAGCTACTCTGCGCAGCGAAGGCCACCATTAGTATGCCGGATCAGGATGGACAAACAGTATTGCACACCGCAGCTATCCATACGGGCCCAGATGTATTGAGGTTACTACTCGAACATGTTGATAAGGCCAGGGTAGATGACCAGGACTCCTCCGGATGTACAGCCCTGCATTATGCTATTAGGCGGGAAAGACCTCAGTCAACACAGCTACTTCTTGCAGCTGGTGCACACCCGACGACAGTCGACAAGCAAGGCATGAATGCGCTAGATGCGGCAGCAAGTGTTGGAGATGCAGACATAGTTAGATTGCTCTTAACGTCGACGAATACCAATGGGCGTTCCTATCCTTTTGACAGTGACCAACGAGACACTGCCGAGGATTTTCTGAGAGCACACTACAAAAAGGCCGAAGCCCAAGCCGAGGTGCAGAAGGCATCGGTATGCCAGCAAGAGGCGGAGATTGGCCGAAAGGTCCGCGAGCAGAGAGACAAGAAGCTGGAGGAATTGATTAAGGCTGGAGGAGACTACCAACCTTCGCACCACGAGACAGTCAGCAAACGTGTAAAAGGCCTCGTATACGCAGCTGCAAAGGGACATTCTGAGTGGTTGCAGAAAGAAATCACGAGAACTGCTCACCTGGACGAACTAGATCCGTTTTATGGACTCAATGCTCTCCATGAGGCGGCCATGTTCAACAGATCCAATGGTGTTTGGCATTTACTCGCAGCCGGAGCTGATCCGACCGTCAAGAACGCACGAGGCCGTACAGCAAGAGATCTCGCTACTGCTTACGGGCATACCGACGTGTTGAAGCTCTTTGATAATGATTACTGGCTTCAGTATGCCAGCGAGGTAACCTTACAAGATAGCCCCTGGCGACGAGTTGAACTGTCTGGCGCTCAGTTGCGGGATTTCTATGTAAAGAAAAGGAAAGAGCAGATTACAGGTCCGGCTCAAGGGGACCGCTCATAACCGGCGAATCAGTCTGGGCGTCAGACCTACCTCATCCTATCTCTTCAACAATCTCAAGCTTGTCCGAAGTGCCGTGAAGTACGGCAACAAGGTGACGACCGGCTGTCTGCAGCGAGTCCATCGCCAGTCATTGCCTCCACCGACTACGAAGCGGCATCCGGCGGCGTAGATGAGGATTTGCCTGAGTATCCCAACCAGCTCAGAGAGCAGCGGGTCTATCGTATCAGTCCCATGGCGGCGAAGCCGGTATCAGTTCAGACCCAACACGGGAGCGGACCTATCGCTCATGCTCATTTGTACCAGGCTGAGACTGGGAGGAAGAAGGATGAACGTGGCTTCACTTGAGCATCAGAATGAGAAACCTTTCTACAAAGCGGACAGGGTCCCGCCGATGGAAAAGGATCTGAAGGGATTGGGAGCTTGTGGCCATAAATTTGGGTGGACGGGTGGAGGGAAAGCCGCGCCAGCGTGACCAAGGTGACCGAGACGGCTGATCTTACGAGCAGATCTGGCGATGTTTAAGTTAGGAACAATGGAGGCTGTTACAGCAAGTTGTAATCCCATCACTTTACCTGCAATGGTCGTGGTTTTGTCCCAGGTAGCATGACATAGTGACACGGCCGCTTGCTCTGAGTAATCGCCAAGGGGCATCTGCTGGCCTTCAAAACACAAGGTAGGGACGGAAGTAAGGTAGTAACAGCATCGAGCGGGCTACCTAGGTACATAAAAAAACGTGGCAGGGTTAACTACAGCAGGGGAAAAGCGGCCACGGATTTTTGGCATAGCCCTTGGCCGCTACATCGATTTCTTATCGATAGTAGACTTGACGCGAGGCCATTGCTAACGCGACAGCGCGCGCTGTAATTAGATACAACGAATACTTCCCTCTACTCGTGTCGTTACAGTCCTCTATGGCCGAAGCCGTCTTCACGTCTGAGAGGGTTCAGCTACAGTACCTCTATCTGCAATGGACAAGTACAAGGAGTTTCTCGCGCTCAATGTGCTCAACGAGGAGCGGATCGTAGGTTCCTACATGACTGCACCCACTGCGGAAGCTGACAAGAGACCTCTAGATCAGCTATCGCGCGTTGAGTAGGGCGCTCAAAGTACACACCCATTTGGCCAAGCAGTCAGTCTTTCGCACTGGAAGCACCGCCCGCATTCTCACACAACTGTAGGATGCTTTATGCTTTCCATCATGACGAAAACGCGAAAAGGCCAGGCTCAGTCCACGCAACCTACATCATTGCTGGAACGAAGGCTATACAGACAGTACCACAGACGAACGGCGGCCCGAGCCAGCGCAGCACAAATAGCTTCACACAGCCCAGCTCGCCGCCCCTCAGTTCAATGCCGGACCAGGACGGCCAGGAGGACCATGAATCAGATGAGAACATAACCACAACACGTTTCTTGTTGGTAAGGGAGGAGGACATGAAGGAGGCAAAGGCACAATTCGACGAAATCACATCCATCCACGTCTACACTATAGAGCCCACTCCACCAAAGGATCTCCAAGTCTTGACAAACTGCAATCGGGAAATCCAGAAAGAGTACGCCAATGAGGATCCACTTAAGGACTGGAGACAGTATGGCACGATACAGAATCCGAACGTCAAGCGGAGGACGAACCGCCGACCTCCGCCTCCGGCTGCGCCCATAGCGACCACAGCCGCCGCAAAGATGGCGCCGAGACCAAGCAGCACCACAATAGCGAAGTCTACAGAACCGCCGCCAGCGAAGCGCAGGAAGAGCAGCGAGTCTGCAGCCAGCGCCTCCCGGGCCTCCACACCGCAAGTCGATGCTGCCGCTATACCGCCTTCGAAACCCGAAGCCAAGGCCAAAGCACCCACCCTCAAGCGCGACAAATCCGATATCTTCAAGTCATTCGCCAAATCGAAGCCGCCGAAGCCGAAGAAGCGGGATACAGCCAGCTCGGCTGAAGCAACACCCGCGCCGGAAGACGAGGCAATGAAGGATGCATCGGAAGACGAACAAGAGGAGGACTTCGCGCTCACGGCGCCGACGGTTGACGACAAGGCCGCACGTCAAGCGAGGAAAGAGCGGGAGGAAGCACTCCGTAACATGATGGAGGACGAAGACGAGCCGATGGACGACGCGCCGGAGATGCAAGCAGTTGCCGAGCAGCAGGCCACACTCATCGACTCGAAAGCTGAGGAGGAGCCGGAGCAGAAGGAGGAGGTCACGGTTTCGGGAGGTAGGAGGCGAGGCAGGCGGAGAGTGATGAAGAAGAAGACGGCCAAGGACGAAGAGGGATATCTCGTCACCAAAGAAGAGCCGGTGTGGGAGTCTTTCTCGGAAGACGAGCCTGTACCGAAGAAGGCAAAGGTGCCGGTGTCGAGTGGGAGCGCGGCGAAGGGGAAGAAGGGGGCGAAGGCGGGGCAAGGCAATATCATGTCGTTCTTCGGCAAGAAGTGAGGCAGCTGCGATGGATGCGTTTGATGAACACGACAAGGCGTAGATATCAGTGCTCCACTGAAGTCGTGCTTCGTCGTTGAGACGCCGGGTTGTTTGGAGCTTGTCGCACGGAGCATTTTGCATTTATGAACACCTAATTGGGAGGCTCTTCGCTGGAAGAAGAATCCACCGGTACTGCATACCGCGCCGTCCCGAGCTCTCCGTTCTGCCTGTATGGGGCTCAGTGATCTTGACTATCTTTAATATTTACTATTGCTGGCTTGTTGGCTTGATAGCAAAAATGTGTGTTGCTTGAGTCAACATCATTTCAGAGTGAAATTTGAAGCAAGCTGTCAGCCAGAAAGGAACCATGTTTCCATCCCAAATACAAGAATAGCTCCACGCTGACCAAAGACAATACACTTGGTCATACACCGAGGGCTTTGAAGCTCAACCTGAGCATCATAACTCTCAAAACATGACCTTAGATGTAAGGACGTCATGGTGTTGAGGCCCGTGCGCGGATTTTTGATAGGAAAACTCGTGATTCCTTCGAGGAGTCCTCCGTCCCATAACTCCAACTAAACCGCCCTCACTATGCCTCGATAGCACGCAATGGAACATAAGACCCTCTCCAGCAACTGGAAGAAGCTCCAGGCTACTCTGCAGAAAGAGCAGCCTACATCTACCAGATCCAATGCTCTGAAGCGCAAAAGCACAAACGAACAGTCAGCGCCGCAGCAAAACGGCCACAAGAGACCGCGGCCCACGAAGCAAGAACATCTTCCTCACAAACGGCGCAAGATGGGGTCAACAGCCTCCCAGCCCGCTCCCACTCCTCCTTCCGCAACCCTCGCCCTCTTCGCCGAAGACTATGACATCCCCGCCGCCGACCTCGCAGCCGCCTACAACCTCCCGCTAAACAGCACCACACTCCCCACGCAATCCCCAGCCGACGTCCCAAACGCTGGCCGCTCCGCCACAGCCACCTTAGGCAAGTACATAGCCCTCGACTGCGAGATGGTCGGTACGGGCCCGCCGCCCGCCCTCGACTCCCAACTTGCGCGCGTCTCCCTCGTCAACTACCACGGCCACCAGCTCTACGACTCATACGTACTGCCCATTGTACCGATCACGGACTACCGTACCGCCGTCTCTGGCATCACGCCTGCGCTGCTGCGCAAAGGCCACGCGCGGTCCTTTTCCGAAGTCCAGCGGGACGTCGCCGAGCTAATCTCAGGCCGCATCCTCGTCGGTCACGCGCTCAAGAACGACCTCGGCGTGCTGATGCTCAGCCACCCGCGCCGCGACATCAGGGACACGGCGCGACATCCGAAGTTCAGGGCGCTGAGCATGGGAAAGGCGCCGAGTTTGAAACGGCTGGCGAGCGAGGTGCTGGGGGTAGAGATACAGGGGGGGCAGCACTCGAGTATTGAGGATGCGAGAGTGACGATGGCGTTGTTTCGGGGAGCGAAGGAGGCGTTTGAGGCGGAGCACTTGAAGCGGTGGGGGAGGCCTAAGGACGTGGGGATCGAGGTGGTGGACAATGGAGTTGAGGTAAACGGAACTGCGGCTGAGGGGAGGAACAACAAGAAAAGGAAGAAGAAAGGGAAGAGGTGAAGCAAGAGCTGAGAAGCAGTTCGTCAAGCTATATGCACATGACGCGCTACACACGGTCTACGGTCTAGATAAAGCCACTAGGGTATCGAGCTCGTCGAAGAAGCACGTAAGCAAAAGAGCAGGCCTGGCACCTCGAAGGGCGCTTCCTCATACGCAGTATGAAATACTGCACCAATAAGTGTCCACATCACAACGGGACATCCTCCAACATTTCCATGGCTCCTTCTCGTCCAGCGGTAATTATCACATCGCCCAGCGTCTTCGTCGCGAAGCCTGCTTCGCAGTACGTAAAGTAGTACTCCCACTTTCTCCTGAACGTCTCAGCGTCCCGCTTGGTCATGTGCTCATGTTCCGCCAGCAGCGCCGGCCGAATCTCGGCGTCGAAATTCCGCATGAAGTTTTCTTTCCATAATCGCAGCGTCTTGGCATAGTGTGGGCCGATGTTCTCGATAGCATCCACCACGAGCGTACCCCTCGAGCCTTCTGCGATCTTCTGGACAAGCTGCGAGACCGAGGGAAGATGGCCACCGGGGAAAATGTATTTGCGGATAAAATCGTCGCCTTTGGCGTAGGCCTCGTATCTCTGCCGAACATGTTAGTTCGTGCTCTGCAAACATATTCAACCACTCCGGGAAAGCCGAACATACCGCTTCAGGCATGGTGATACACTGGAACACCGCCACGCCGCCCTCCCTCTTCAGCAACCTATCCACGCACTCGAAATATGTCGCCAGATATTCCCTCCCCACCGCCTCGAGCATCTCAATGCTAACAAGCTTATCGAACCCGCCCACCGGCACTTTCCCCATCTTTTCCAGCGCCCTATAGTCACACAGCAGCACCTCGATCCTGTCCTCGAACCCCGCGCTCCTGATTCGCTCCTCCGCGAGCTCTTTCTGTTCCACGCTCAGCGTCAGACTCGTCACCCTACACCCCGACGCCCGTACCGCCGCGATCGCGAAGCTGCCCCACCCCGTACCGATCTCGAGCACATGGTCTCGCGCTTTCAACCGCGCGGCCCGGATGAAGCGGGACAATTTCCGCATCTGCGCCTCTTCGAGCGGCTCGGAGCTGCAGCGCGGATCGGAGCTGGGCCGCCAGATCGGACACGAGTAGGTCATGTCGTCGCTCAGGAAGGCGGCGAACATGGCGTTGCTGATGTCGTAGTGGGCGGCGATGTTGAGGCGGGCGTTGGAGAGGTCGTTGGTGCGGCGCAGGAGGCCGGTCAGAGAGGTCGAGAGCGTGGAGGTCAGTGTGGAGCCATTGGAGAGGTGGGAGCGGTTCAGGATGAAGAGCTTGAAGAAGGCGGTCAGGTCCCCGCAGGAGATCTCGGAGAGCATGTAGGACTCGGCGAAGCCCATGTCTGCGAAGAGGAGGAGCCGCACCCAGAAGAGGTCCTTGTGGACGTGGAGCGTCGTGGATGGTGTGGAGGGCAAGACGATGCCGCAGTGGTAAGCCTGGCCATCCGTGTCGATGATGGTGAGTTGCCCGGTCTGGATGCGCTGGAGGAGCGAGAGGGTCAGGCTGCGGGAGAGCTGGACAAGAGGGCCCCAGGCCAGGGAGCCGGCATAGCTGCGCAGCGCGTTGAAGCGCGAGACGATGGGGTTGGAGAGCGACATGGTGGAAGCGGGCGATTTCTACGCAAGCATAGAATTGCGGCCAAACAACAGGCTTATGTACAGTGGTATGAGGGCAAGCGACGGCAGAAGAGAGGAAGCACAAGCTGTTGACGCTGTTTCTGCGGACTGATTCAAAATGCTCGCGCACAGCTCACGGCCGAAAGAGAGGTGCAGCACCATTTTTGACAGCTCCCAACTTGCGAGCTCGGAGGGCGATTTGCTCCGTCCCCCCGGCGGAATGCGAGAAAACAGCAAGCGCCGGTGCCGAGCAAGACGTGTCTTTAGCAGGAAGTGGTGGACGAGGACTTTGCCGCATTGAGCACGTCGATGACGCTACCAGGTGTGTCTTGGTGTTTATCGCGGGAAGGGATGTTTGCGGACAAGCATGTGCGGTCGTCTTGGTAAGAATGCACGTTTCCTGGGCGCTGTGCATTGGCAGAGCCTGGCTGAGCCAACATCTGAAGCTGCAGTCCTATAACCCAGGCAGCCTCTATTGTCTGAAATGCTTCTTCCGAGCAGTCATGGTCAAGATAGTCCTGTTCCTGGAGCTGTTATCGAACTCACCTCAGCCTACTCGAGTAAGGGTCCAAGGGTCTTCGATTGCTAGGCAGGGTCTTACTAGCGCGGGGCATCGCCGGGATCGCGCGCAGTGTGCCGTTGCCAGGGCCGGCCCAGCTGCGTGCTGCTCGGTTCCTGCCGGTGTGCCGACCCTTCCCCTTGGTAAAATAGGGAAGTGCGCTCCCTGGACATATTTACCCGTGTAGCGTAGTATTAGGGATTCAGCGACTCATGTTTGAACCGAAGGCTGCAAAGAGAACGTCAGAACCCCCGATTGCTTTCTCGTGTCTTTGTGGTGCCCTAGGAAGCAAGCGCCACTTTCCTAATGCCGGCCGGATTTATCTCCGTCGCGTCGAAACACGCTTTGACGCGCCCGTTTATCCGAGTCGCGTGCATGACCGAGCAAACACGACCACTAGAGAATCTGATTTCTCATGCCTGATAACTTGTTCTAGAGCCCTCAATGCTCGCGCCACAATCTGCTAAAGGTCACAAAGGCGTCTGCACGCCGAATGTCCTCCCTTGCCGTATCAACCACAATGGCCCCGTCGATGCATCGGAGCGGTACTGGCAGCCCAAGACCGACGACGGTAGCTTCCCCGTCGCAAGACACTAAGAGGCCAAGCAATAATGACAAATGCTAGATGGCAAGACAACCGCCTATTTCCGCGGCCGCAAACTACGCGGTCGAGCCGTGAAGATACCAGATGGCTACCGAGGTCCGTACCTCTCCTCCCTTCTCCTATGCCTGAGAGCACCCACTGATTACATTACCCAGGCACCGTCCTAAACACTACGGACAAGCTCCTTCCACAAGCACAAATACCTCGCGAGCCATCGTCCAGTGCTCCTGAGGAGGATGAAGAAGATGACGAGCAGCCTGCTGAAGTCAAGGTCGCAGAGGAGGTGGCATCGTTCGACGAGATAGTGGTTTGGGGACACGATGTGCTGCCAGACGGAACGGATGATCCATATACGAGAGGGGTGGCGGAGTGGATCGCTTTCGCGGAGACGGTGCGTATCTTCCGGGATGCTTCACCGTGGTGCTGTGCTGACAGACGCAGCTGCACTCGTGGCAAGGTGGCGACAATACTGAGGTCGCGAAGGCGGAGCCCAACTTGGCGTCCTCGTGAGGATCGGCGGCGCACAATGTGGCCGGCATGGTGCATACGGCGAGGGCTGCGGCCGCCGGGAGAAAATGGGTCAGAATGCGGCGGAGCGGGATTGCTGCATTCAATCACCGTCCCTGTCCTCCTTCTTGACGGACACCACGGAGTTTTTATGCTCCTTGTCCCACTCTTTCTGCTCCTTAAGGAACTCTTCTTTGAGTTTCTGGTACTGCTCGTGCGCCTTGCACCGCTGCCAGACCTGCTTGAAGATCTCAGAAGCTTCCAGCTTGGCGTCGTGGTCTACATGACTAGAGCTCTTCTGCAGTTCTTTGCCGCTGCGTTTGTCGTACTTGCGCCCGCCAGCGTGGTTGGCGTAGCGTTTGGCGCGGGTCATGCCCTGTGGGATAGGATCAATATTTCGATACAAAGAAATAATATCAACACCCCGTATATAGATTCATTTAGAAGTGCAACGTCGGAAACAAGACGAGATAAACCGAAACGATTCAAGTGGCACCAACATTCCGCTTCAAGGAAGGACTTAATCTAGAATCTCGCACAGTACTACCAAGAAAACATACACACCATCTGAATAAACTTCCTCGTCATATCCATCCCCACGAAATCCCCCAACCTACCAAACTCCTCAAACCGCTCCCACAGATCTGCAGAGCTCTTCTTGGCGATCTCGACAGTGCGGAAGCGCCAGAGGGGCAGCAGCATCGATTTGTACGGCTCGAACGTCAGCACGCCCTGCTCGCCGCGGCCTATGCGGTAGGACATGCGGAGGGCTTTATCACGGAGGGCTGGCGCATTGGACATGGTGTCATCTGAGGTAGTTTGTTTTTTCATAGCAACCGGCGCGGCTTGGAAACTGACTTTGTGTGAATTGTCGCGTAAAAATGCAGTCGTATGGAGCGGCCTGGAGGAGCTTTGATGTATGGGCGTAGGGAATGACGTATCGTCATGGGAGCAACTGCGAGTTTCAGGATTGGGGAAGTCAAAGCGCTCAGCTTCTGAGTTGGATTACAGGTGTTGGTCATATTGAAAAGCGATTTTATACGGTAAATCGAGCGGTAGTAACCACGCAGTTGCGAATTATCTCGCATCGCCAGCTGCAGGGGAGGAAATGGACATGGTCATAAGGATTGGCTTGATCATCAAAGGCCTTAAGCTTGTCAGCCTCTGCAATCTGTAGCTGCTCAGCTCATATTTGAACTGAACTAAGCCTCCCGGGAGAGCCTTCACAAACCGTAGAATAGAGTCACGGAAGATATTCCATTCAATAGCTACTGAGGTAATAACGATTTCCATTGTATGACATTCGTCCCTCTAGAAGGCCTAGATTTAGCTGAAAAATTTTAAGCTTCATCAATTTTAACAGCACAAAAGGCCCCTAATACGCGGTCACGTAGTGTAGTGGTTAGCACTCGGGATTTTGATCACACCAAACTTCCCGCGACCCCGGTTCGATCCCGGGCGAGACCTTGCTTTATGCTTTTTTGCTCGTTTTAGCAACGTCAACTTGGATACATTATCTTCTGCTCAAGGCTTAACTTTGGGAGCATTTTTTGGCCGCGGAAAGTTTGGTGTGATCAAAATCCCGAGTGCTAACCACTACACTACGTGACCGTGTATTAGGGGCCTTTTGTGCCGCCAGCTGGCGCTGGCGCAACGCGCTGCGCGCGTTGAGCTCAATTTTGCGGCGTAGAACACCTGTATTGGCTCTTCGGTTCTTGCTCTGCGACGGCTTCAACCTGCGGGGCCGACTGAAGGGAGAGCCACGGGGAGCCAGACGACTTCACACGCGGCTACTTCACAACAGAGACATTCGACAAGCGTCCGGCACGCAGCATAAAACGGAGGCGCAAGCATGGAGCATCTCCTCCGTCAGGATACGATCCACTGTTCGGGATGTCTCTCTAAACCGACATCTCAACTGCCTATGAATCTGCTTAATCTTCCACACAAGCATCACTCAAACCCCTCTCCTCCCCTCTCATCCGTCAAATACTTCCTCCCCTTCAACCCATCAGTAACTCCCTTGACCGCATTCTCAAGCCACAGATGCCTCCGCGTCTCACACAGCGCCTTCCCCCACTCGCCCCCCAGAACATCTGCATCGACGCTCCCGAGAAAGATCTCCGTCTCCTCCGGCGTTTTGTCGTAGCAGAACGTCAGGCTGCCGCCGCAGGTCCCGCAGAAGCCCCTCTTGCCACTGGGGCTAGATTGATAGGTCTTGTAGCTCTCGTTCGAGCTCAGCGGCGGCGCGATGTCGGCTGTAGGCACGCTCACGGGCTGCGCGATGAGGGCGCCGGTGAATTTGCGGCAGAGCGTGCATTGGCAGGTTGCGTTCTGCGAGGAGAGGGGTGAGTGGTGGTGTGGGATGTGGTGGGCAGGAAGAAGAACATGGTTGGCGCAGGAGCGTGGAGGAGAAGAGAGGGGGGAGGGGAAGGTCATTACCATTGGTGGCGGCCAGGGCGATGATGCAGGGAAGGAGATGGTGTAGCGGATGGCGCCGCAGAGGCAGCCGCCGGTGATTGAGCTCGGACGGGAGGTGGAGGCCGTTTCGGGAGGCATGGTTAGCTTCTGACAGATGCGATTTGATACGGGCACAAGGTTCTTCTAGAGAGTGTGGAGGAAAGGAAAGTTGTTCCAATTTAAGCTCTTTCGAATGTGTTGTTGAGAATAGGGCGTGCCAAGCTCCGTCGTGCAGATCAACACGTGAGCAACAGAGAAACTACAGGCGTGACCAGTAGATTGGGGAGAAAATGGCTAAATGCCTGCACGATACAAAAATCTGAATGCCGGTGGTGGTTTGTGGTTCTGCTATTTCAAACTACGAAAGAGGACTCAATCTACGTATGAACTAAAGAAGAACATTTTGGAACTCGAAGAGAGAAAAGCTTAGCAATTTCATCCGCATCCAAGCAGGATCTCACACATGCAATTTAGACGGCCCTCACTTGGCACTTCAAACTCACCTACCACCATCCCACCCAGGAAGCCGCCTCTACATGGTTGTCCGGCAAGGCTAAGGCACCCATTTCCAGGACTCCAGCCTCACGGATCAACCTTGCAGCAAGCAGCCGCCTGGATGGATCAGACCCAGGCTTCTGGAGCGGGTTCTCTCACCATGATATCAAGCTCTACGCCCTTCTCTGCCCTCTGCAGATGGATCTTCCTCTTGACTTCAAACCCGAATTTTCGGTAGATCTTCGGATTGACATCGTTCGAGCTTTCCAGATAACAAGCCCTGGCTTCTCGATCCGCCACTCTTGTAACATTCTCGATCAGCTTGCGAGCGTAGCCTTTGCCGGTCGAAGAAGGTCTGGTGCCGATGTAGACGAGGTACCATGCGGATTCGTCACGATGCCCGAGAATGCTGTGTTTGGTGTCGTGGAGCAGCGGCAGGAACTCGGTGAAGAAACGCTTCTTTCCTTCGGCGGAGAGTTTGTAATTCAGGCGCCAGAGTCCGGAGCGGAGGATGGTGTAGAGATCGTCCATGTTCTTGCCGGGCGGCATCCTGCTTAAGATTAGATGCTTGTTGTTGAAAGCGTTGGAGACAAGACGGCTGCTTAACGGTGGCGCGCATGATACTTACCACAGAGCTACAGCACCGTAATTAGGTCCCACAGTAGTAACTAGGCCCTTCAAGCAGTGCGCATAAGTCACGTACTCCATGATCGACACATGCAAATCCCACTTCTGCTTCGCAGTGCAGTGTGCACGATCAGGAGTATCGATGAAGTAGCGAGCCACATCGTCGTCCTTGAAAGCTTCCGCAAGACACTGAGCGGCTTCCTTATATTCGTCGATGGAGATCACACGGACACCATCGTCGACCTTGCTGCTGAGAACCGCAGTCTCAGGCTTGGTCTCCGTAGGAGCGTCCGGAAACATAGAATCGCTTCTGTTGATGCTCTCTCTACCATTCAAGGATTTGGAGGCTGAACTCTTGTCGACGATGGAAATCGTAGCTGATGCAAGACCTTTCTCCATGATTGCGTCTTGTTGCTTGTTCTTCTACTACTAATCTGGATGTGGGATCGACCGGTGCGTTTGTGGACGTGGATGATCGCGTGCTTAGCCAGCGTGATGGTACGCAATGACAACGACGCAGTCGCCGGGTTGAGTAGGTTGATTGGTTGCTGGAGAGATTGTTTGCGCTTAGGTATGCTTCTTAAGTGTTAGTATATACGTCTGTGTTGGCTCCGTAAGTAAGTAGTGGGCGGAGGAATCAGCACCGTACCGGCTTCTAAGATCAGATTTGTTTAAGGACTTTCGGCCGGCCTCGTGTCGTCGCCTGTATGTATTTTTGACAGCCCAGATCTCGAGACAGACTCGACTCGAGACGGATATCGCAAAGAAGTAAAGGCTTGGCGTAAATCAACCGACATCAATAGAGATATGGTCTAGAGAAGCCGATAGATGGCTGGGAAAAGCTGAGGTCAATGTTGTGCTGCTGCAGCTTTCCTGTATGCAGTAGTCAAGTATGCCGGTGGTGCAGTCGAAACTGTGCAGCGAAGCGTTTGAGGTCCCGACTCGTTATCTGAGCGTTGTCGTGCACGGTGCGACTACTTGTTGTCCTCCGAGTTGTCTATCGTTTACGCTGATGCTATGAGCAAAGAGAAAGATGAAGTGATATTTGAGTGGTGAGAGTTGCCGTTCTGATAGCTGGACGGCCAAGCTGCGGCGCTGATCCCGTGAACAGTGGGGGCGTGGTTAGCTGGCTGAAGAAGGGTGCTGAAGTCGGAGTGGGGAGTCCTGCAGGATGTTGTGGTTTCCGCAAGCATCCAAACCGGCGGGGGAACGTAACCTTAGATACCCTTTGTACCTACCAGCAACTGCCACACCGTCCGTCATGCGGCGCCATCCGAGAACAAGGCTCATCATGAGGCTGGCTAGACGCGGTTCCTGGCCTTGCATTCGGTGCTGTCAGGCCTCGTATCAAGGTCATGAGTGGTTGCGAAGTTAGGGAAAGTCTCCGGGGATGCCGGAAGTCCGGGCGAGCGTTGTCCACATGCACACCGGGCCGGCAGGCCTGGCCATGCGTGAGGGTCGATAAGTTTGCAGATTCGTAGGAATGGCTTGAACCGGTTGAGGCGATGCGAGGTCGTAGGGTTTGGTTCGCATGGAACTGCTTAAAGCGGCAAGGCCGGTGGGGAGAGGATGATCGCTGAAATACCCGGTACCCGGACCCCAGCAACACTGAATCACAATTATGGATGTCACCCGGTACTTATCGGAGCGTTACCGTGGTGTCGGAAAATATCTGGCCTTACTTGTCACGATTCCGCTGTTGAGTGCCTCAGTTGTACGGGGAGATGCCTGTGGAAGAGCGAGAAGCCGTACGAGCAGTGATGCTCTGATGCGATAGCTTCTTGCTTCGATATGACGAGTGCCATCTAGCATGTGATCGAGGAGAGAGAGCTCCCACGACTCCAGCGATGCAGTTTGACCTTCACAGATAGGAGGCCAAGTCTTGAACCAACGCAGCCATAAGCCCATTGTCCCCCAGTTTACCGCGCCCCAACATCAGCCGGCCCAGCATCCTGCGCATCCAACGCTTTGGGCACATCGAGCATCCTCCTGATTTCCTTCTCGCCCATATACTTCTCAAGCCCACTGTCCAGATGTTCCCACCACTCGAAAAGCATGCTCTCGCAGATCAGCTTGAACCACGGCGTGAACGTTAGGGTATCGTCCTTGAACATCGCCTTCAGCTCCTGCTCAGAGACATAGCAGGTATCGCGCACTTCGTTCGGATTCGGCTCCAAGCGTGGATCTGAGCGGATAAACAGGATGTAGTCAACTGGAATAGCCGCGTGAGCAAGTTGTTAATTCCAATCGGTGGAGAAGGCTTCTTTTACTCTCGTGCTCGCCCCACTTGCCATCACTGGGCGCCTTGTAGTGTATCCTCGTCAAGAACTTGAAGTTTTCTAACGGCACATCCTCCGCCTTGATACCCAGCTCTTGATCCAATTTCCTTTGCGCCGCACGCTTGACACCCTGTATACTCGCGTCCAAACCCACACCAGTCTCTCCGGGTATGCCTAGCGGATGCGAACAGCACGTGTTTGTCCACATATCCGGGAATGTGATCTTCTCCGTTGCGCGCTGCTGGAGGAGAAGGCGGTTTTGGGAGTCGAAGAGGAAGACGGAGAAGGCGCGGTGGAGGAGGCCTTGGTCTATGTTCGACATGAGATGGCCTGGTCATAAAATTAGCCCATTGTGTTCTCCGTAGCTGGCCTGCCTGGCCTGGCGCAATCCAGACAAGGCGCACGCGACAGTTCTCCTGGTCCACATACAAACTTTCTTGCTCGCGCTACCGATAGGTACGTCATTGTCGTCTAGCACAATGCAGACCTCGTCCATCAGCCGTATCTGCTCCTCATCATAGCCCTCCAAGTCCGCGTCGCTGCTTGCGCTGTTGCGTGCGGCGCCAATCAGGCTGGTGTTGACTTCGGGGAAAAGGCGTAGCACATTCTCTGCAGTGTTCGTGGAGGTCTGCGTGACAGTGGTGGTTGCGCTCATTCTGGCGATAGCGACAGTGCTTGGATCAACGTGCAAGAAAGGGATTGGGTGTGAGGGCACAAGTTGATTGAATTGGGTGGGTTGAGAATTGGCAGTAATTCAAAAGGCCCTCATGCAGGGCGCGAAGTGGCGCTCACGTGGCGCGTGAACAATGATTGGCTGAACACGGCAGGGTTATGGCTTCCAGGTACCAGCAACTTTATCATTCTCCAAGCTTTTGATCCTGACTCAGGTATATGTTGACCGTAGCCAAAGTAACAGTATCATTTTGTTCCTTTTACCCGCTCCATAGCCAATGAAAATTAATACTGTATGTACAATAAGATCTCAATGGACGCCTGCAACCCCATCTGCGCATCTCGTCTCCTTCCCTTATTTCCCGGTTATTTTTTTGATATACGTACCGCAGCCGCTTCAAGCAGTAGGCGAGGCTGAAAGAGGCTACTGTAAGAACCCTTCGAGCATCTCTGCGACATTGTAGTCCAGAGGACTCAGAGTCGTCTCTTAGTCGCTCTCACCAGGGCCGTGTACGCCTAAGTCCGATTGTTACCCTTCCGAGTCCGGGTCCGGGTCCGGGTCCATGTATTCTGTTGAAGATGTGGTCTGCCTCTAATCTGATGGAAAAGCTGCTTGCTGGGTCAGATGAATCTGAAGACGGTGGCCGAGCTTGCCTAACCATACAGATGAGGCTGATTTTGCGGTTCAGTGAGACTCAAAATCAATGGTAGGCAACAAACAGGCCTCGTTCGAGTCGGTATCGATATTAGTGCAATCGAAGAACATGTCCTCAGATACAGCCATGGAGCTTCGAGCCGTTCTGAAGCCATCCTCTTCATGGGTGTCCTGGAATTCGTCGCCGGCTCGGTTGTGCTCAAAAGTTGCCTCGTCCGCCGACAAAATAGGTCTGAGGGTTGTCGGTGTAGTTTCTGAGCGATTCTGCGGAGATGCAGGATCCGCTTCCGGCCCAACGTCAAACGCATCCTCAGACTCGTCTGAGTGGAACCCAGATTCATCTTTACATGGATCACCTGGCAGGCCTTCGGCTGCTGCTTCCGCAGAAGACTCCGAAAGCCCGAGGAGTATGAGCTCCTCTTCCAAACTCCGGTCTGCCCAGTTTCTTGGACTCGGCACGCCGGTACTCAAGTTCTCAACAGCCAGATGACGAACGCGTGGCATCGTCGCATAGTGGCGGTCAGGCTCTGTCTCGTCGGCAGCCAGAGTGACGTATATTCGATCCGGCAGCAGGCGTGTTGGCCAATTGGAGTCATCTTCCTTGGGCAAGACGTCTATTGGAGAGACATCAGAGTCAACAGCAGTCGTTGAGCTACCAAGATCGCTTTCCTCTGATGCGCTATAAATGGTCGTTAGTCTTGCAGCGTTGTCGGCATTCAGTGCTCCTCCTTCAGCACTCACTGGGCAAGACGGACGGTGTGGAGCAAATGTGCGTGTCGTCAGGAAAACGGGCGTGCTGTGTCCCGACAGAGGCTCGTCGTTGATCTCGCGAACCGACTCAGATGCTTGAGCCGCCCGTATCAGCGTCGAGTGATGCGAGGCGTCGCTGGACTTCTGAAGCTTAACCTTAAGTTCTTCGAAAGCGCCATCGGCCTGGTCACCCTCGAAGTAGATTCCCCTCGCCGCTCTGGCGAGCTTGTAAGATCTCAAGGCGCGTCCATACTCTCCTGCCTCCTCTTCAGCTCGCCCGTTCCAGAAATGGCACCGTGCCATCAGAGCCTCGGAGTTGAGAGGTTTTGCTAGTTTAAAAGCGCTCACCGCGAGCTCGGCGGCCTTGGCGGCTGTGTAGGGCTCGTATCTCTGGAGTTGCATCTGGCATTGCATAAGTACAAGCTTTACACGCATCTCTGTGATTTGGGAATTGACATCTAGAAAGCGAATGTCAGTAAGACTGTCGGAGCAGTTGTCGAAGGCTTTGACTTACCTGAATGCAAGAAGTGACCGCAGGCGTCTGCAACCACTCCAGATCCGTTCGGATGCGTGAACACAGGCGACCGAAGAGGACTCCTATTGGAGCTGTCCGCGCTCGAAGACAGAGGCGGAAAGATCTCTTCCGAGCGTCCCACCTCAGTGCTGAGATCAGACTCTGCAGGCGTAGGGCCGTTATTGGAGAACGCATCCGTCCACTTGGTAGTATCTCGTCGCTTGTGGGTATACGGGAGCTCCCTTGGCGGTTCGTCGAACGAAGAACTTCGCTCAGAGTTGTTGCCGTTTGATTCTGTCGGGGAAACTGTGTCCGGTTCCGAACTCCCTTGGGAGGAAGATGCGGCCCAGGGTTCAGTCTGATTTACAGGTCAGCGGGGCACTGAAAGGACTATGCGCTTGTTGCACATAGTTACGGAATCGTGGTTATTTCTTACATCTTCGCTACCACTTACAATGGCTGTTTCTTCGCTCTTGTCGGACTGTGCGTAGTATGTAGGCTGCTCGAGCTCTGTATGACAGTTTGGGCATAGCCAGAGATCACGGCCAACTGAAGGAAATTCGATTCTACAGACAGGGCAAGTTGGCCGTGTACGTGTTGCTTCCATGTTCTTTCCGAGTGGCGACAGACAGGGGACAGGTATCGGTTGACGGTGCGTATGCCCAGGGAAAGCCTTCGAGACGATGTACGTTGTAAAATTGAAAGCTTGGTTCTCAATCTTTGGTTCGTAGTGTATCAGCTTGACAGAGGGAAATGTGGTTTGGAGACAGGAAGGAGCGATAACCAAACATTGCTTAATTTCACGTCTGCTGGAATGGCTGTATGTTCTTTGTTTGATGTAAAATTTGGGCAGCGGGTGGCGGTCTCTATGTCAAAACACCATTGTATTGGATTACAAGGTTCATCAAGGAACAGACAAAGACATGAGAAAGGCCAAGGGCGCAAAAAATAATACAACATTCAGAGAACGCGTGACCACACTGCACACAATGGCGAATGAGTCTTAGCGCTTATGGACAGCTGAATGACTATTAAGTAGGGACTATGCTAGAAACGCCGCACAACATTCATAAGGCCGATTGATGATGAATTTCAGTACATGAAATGGTGACTTGCCAAAACTTTCCATCTAGCGGTTTGGTAGAGGTATCAACACAGCTCCAAAAATCTTGCGGTGGGGTTGCCTCAGAATAGCAGTCAGGTGCGGGGTGTCGCTGGAGGATGATTGTCCAGTTCCACATGGTGTTGAACGATGCTTAACTGATTCGTTTCTTCTTAGGGGTGGCGCCTGCTGCGGCGTTGGCGCCTCGATCTGACGGGCCTTTTCGTTTTCTCTGACCTCTCTGGCGCTCTAGTTCCAGCTCCACCTGCGCCAATGCAATGTACATATTGCTTTCGTCCCGATGGCCCTTGGTTTTGGCTTCCTCCGCACAACCGCGCAACACACGGACTGCATCTGCATATCTGCACATCTCGAAGAGGCACAGACCCATGTGGAAGCGTGCTTTTGTACGGCGTTCCCAAATGGTTGGTAAGTGGATGACCCCATTACACTGCTCCACAACTTCTTGAATCAGCGCAAGGGCGGTCTCAAGGTAGGATCTGCCAAGATCTTCCAAGGGGCTGGAGACACAAAAAGCGTAGTCCCTCAGAATCGCCGCTTTCAGCAACATGGCTTCCAGTAGAGTCTCGCCCAGAATTCCGTTGACCTTGATGACGATATCCGCTTCCGCCACCGCCTGCTTATGCTCAAAGCCCGGAGAATTCCAGAGTCTCTTGACATGACTGAGACGGTCGCCACCTATGGGAGGCGTATCCGACCAGCCACGCCGGGACCAGTTGTGGATACCTAGTCTGGACCGCTTCTCGTTGTGGGTCGTCTCACTCTGCAGCTCGCCAACGGTACGACGAAGAGCGTCCTCCGCACTGCTCAGCTGTTGCCTGAGTTCGCCAATGGCGAGGCGAGCTTCGGCCACCGTGCCTTCGTGTTCTTTGATTCCATTTTTGAGTACCTTGTTTTGTGATTCGAGCTGATCCAGCTTTCTCATGAGAGGAGTCCAAGGTGGATTCATAGGAGCCGTTCCGGATGGCATGTTAGCGGCTTCGATTTGGCTCTGTCGCTGCGACGTAGGCTTTCAGGCTTAGGGAGATGAGAACGATAAGGAGTATCGGTAACGAGCCGAGGGAAGTATAGTATCGACACTATTGGCAAGGTCTTGATACTTATACTCTGCAGACTCCATGGAATATGCACCTGACAAGCGTGACCCAGCGTATCGTATGATGGACTGACTTACATGGGGCGAAACGTCGTGATCGTATACAAAGCCTGTTGTATGTTTCAGCTCAGCATTACGTTGTCTCATTCGAGATTGAACGGAGAAGAGGCAGTTGCACGAAACTCTTTAACTCGGCTCCAGATGAAGCTAATGTTTCGCTTGCGCACAGCTCGTCTTTAAATCGAGTGGGTGGAAGAATGAAGGCTGTTTAGCGTAAGCCCTCACTGTAAACTAGGCTGAGCAATACCTTTTGTGTTCGAAACACTGGGTGCCCATGTATCGAGACTTGAGATTCCCCTTGCGTTTACCGCAGAATTCTGTCTATGTTCGAGAGGGCCCCATACTTGCTTGTTTGGTCAACTTTAGTAGCTAAGGGTCAGTAATCTACGTAGATGCCCCATGCTGGCGGCACTGGCCGGCGTAAAACGCCGCTGGCTTGGGCAGTGGATCCTCGGGTCATGATACAGAAGGTTTTGCTTCGATCGCCGTTGCAGTGAGTGATTCAATCACAACATTGGGCAGGTTGGAATCTGTGGACGCTGCGCGGTTTCTTTATGGCGTTGAGGGTTGAGATTTTTGAAGTTGGAAGCCGCTCACGCGTTCCCTTTTTGGGCCATGCGCGCTCATGTTCCTCTAGACTCTTTTTATTTAGGACTTTATACGCAAAGAGACAATACAAGCTGAAACGAATGTATGTATGCGCCGGATAGATTTTATTGACACCGTAGTAACCTCAGGAACTCCATTAACCCTCTCGCCTTAAGTCTTGGCCTCCAAAATCCTCAACAACCGCTGCTCTGCCGCCCTTCAGTCGGAATATGCCTTCCAGTCCCTTGCGTGAGCTCGCAACCGACCAGCACATTCTGTGCTTCGGCGGTCAGTCACGTTGCGAACGCTGCAGCCACATCACAGCTGCAGCTAACGCTAAAACAGCCAACACAAGACGCACACATAGCGCTTTGAAGCAGATAGTGGAACCTGTTGAGGAGCTTGCTGTGGAGCGTCCTCTAGCGGAGTTGTCGGAGATCGGCGGAGCATCTGATTGAAAGCACATAGCCAAGGTAAGTATGAGACTAGAGGGGCAGCTTGCGAAGTACTCACTTGCTTCTCCGCGATCCGAGGTCGATATGGTGGCACCATGGCCACCTGTATCGTGCGAGCGCTCACTCTCCGGCACCCTATAGTGAGCGGCGTGCTTGTTCTGGGCGATACAAGCGGCGACTCGGTATTTCCTCTGGAGCTCAGCCCGCTTCTCGCGCTCGTCGTCGAGCATTACAGTGGCTGCTACCGCACCGTCGGAGATTCCCTGTCGGCTGGCGGTGCTGTAGAAATTATCCTCGATCTCTGCAAGCCGTTGGCTGACACGGAAAATGATGTTGCGGGCTTCAGATTCCCCAGCCTCCAGCCGCTCCAGTCGTTCTTTGAGAGACCGGTTCTCCGCTTTGACATCGTCCAGCTGTCTCATGACGAGGGCAAGGCGTGAATTGAACGCGTTAGACGGTGCAGGCGATGTGTTGGACGGATGATCCATGTTCGTTAACTTCTTGACTTTTGGCAACTAACAACAACGACTGTGAGTGTAAGGTAGCAGAGTGATGAACAGGAACCTGGAGCGATACCTAGGAAAACAGCCTGCTTATCTACTTTCTGCTGGTTCCATCAAACGGCGGTGTACTGCAAGACACGTTACGTATACTACGATGATCTGATCTACTTGGGGAAGGGCAGTGCCCTGGCAGACACGGAAGACTGCAACCTGTTTCGGACTACCAACACTTGGCGCTGATCGAAGCAAGTGGAGCTGGTGGGCATAATCCCATCTCGCTTGCAACCGTTCCCACCGAGAGTTCTTTGTTCGCACTACCAAGACGGATAAACGAATCGGTAGGCTGCAGAACTCAACACGTATACTGCGCGTCTCTTTGATGACATGAGAAGTTGAGTTGGAATCGCTCGCCAATGTGCTTGTCCAGCTGTTCGGATGGTTCCTTCAGATGGCTCATTCTCGCCTGTCATACCAAAGGATTGGTCAAACTCTGTATGCTGTGTTGACAGTCAAGTTTGAGTTAATGAAAATACTTTTGTCGACTCAACGTTCAGCGTAATCTTACAATCACACCAACCGCTTGATCCTTTCCAAATCCTCGCCTTCCACACAATCCACCCCCTCCCTCACACACCTCTCCACCACCTCCTTGATATCTTCCTCCCCATCCAAAATATCCAACCACCCCTTAGCCGCCTCGTTCTCAAGACACGCGACAATCGCCTCCGCCACACTCGCCCTACTCGAATCTCCCCCTGCCTTCGTCTTCCCCATCTGCACCTTCCCCGCCGGCTGATCAGTCAGCATACCCGGCCTCAGATCCACCGCCTTGAAATCATCCCTCTTTAGCGCGCAGGCCGTGAGCACTTCATCCGCCGTGACTTTGGCCTCGAAGTAGTTCTTCAGCGCGCCCTGGTTTGTCTTCTGGGTGTTGGCCCACTCGTCGTCGCTCCACCAGGGGGCTTTGTTTCGGCGCGAGCCCAGGTAGGAGATCATGATGAACTTCTTGACCGCGGGTGTGGCGGCTGAGGCGCGGATGAAGTGGGAGGCGGCGTCGCGGTCGATGGCGAAGGTGCGGCTGGGGCCGCCTTTGCCGCCGGCGCCTGTTTCCCAGGTTTTACGTTAGCCTTAAACGGCTCTTGCAGACCAATGGCAGGATCTGGTTGTTGCCGCACCTGCGCTCCATATCACCCAGTCTGGCTTGACTTGGTCGATGACATCTTTTGCTTCGTCCTCGCTCTTTACTTCCTCGAGACTCCTGACCAGGACATCGAGCTTGCCGGGTTGGTCGGCGCCGAGCTTGAGGATGGTCGACTCCTGAGCTGTATCGCGGATCAAACTTGTCACGGCCCACGAGCGGGATAGGAGCATGGGCGTGACGAGCTGTGATATCTTGCCATGACCGCCGATTAAGAGGACTCGGTGAGACATTGAGATTTGTCAGTTGGGGATTTGCTACTATTGTTCGATATGCTATGAAACTTCAAGCTGGCTAGTTTATAATTCTCTGTATTTATGGTTGAATGTCAGGGCATACTTGTTAAATGTTAAGGTTGGTAATCCTCTTCTTACGGATGTCTGCGGAGAAATGACGACAGCCCAGAGAACAGGCACGATGCAGGTTGCGGGCCGGGCCGCCGTCGGACGTTTTGGGCTTAAGGAGGCTTAAGCTCAGCGCCTTATGTCTTATGGGTTTTGGACGCTCTCAGGAGACAGGTATTTACTGTTATCTGCTTACTTTATCACGTTCACAGTATGAGAACTCTCTGTTTGTTGGTAGGCTGCTTCAGCGGTTATATATACCTTACAGAAATTGCCTAAGCACAAATAAATCCTCCTACAGCTATTGAAATACGCAGAATCGGCGCATGCCCAAAGCGCCTGTCAATCCAAAACTCATCCATTTTTTTTGTCCTTTTCGTTCGACATGAAGTCCCAGACACTCACCAGCAAAGATCGCCAAGAAACAGGAAAGAAAATGACGCTACCAAGGAAACAGCATCAGCCGGAAACCTGGACGCCGAAAACTCCGCGCTTGCGTCCTTGCGAATACCGGCAAGAAAATGCGTGGATGCTGCGAAGTTCGAGAATGATACTATTGTGAGAAAGGCGGCTCATCCGGCTCTGAATTGCTTCGATCAAAGCGAGCTTTGGAGCTAGTACTCCCTGGACCTAATCGGGATGGGGCGTGACAACGTTGCTCCCCGGCTAGGTGGGGGTGTGGTCTGTGTGTACTGAAAGTTTGACGGATCTTCCGCAGGTGGTGTGGTTTGACTTCGAGATTGCTCCTGAGTACCGAGCTCTGGGTCGACGGCAGGCGGGTCAGCAACAGCGTGATCGGACGAGCTGGGTTGACCTCGCGGAGACTCTTGCAGTGGCGCAGCTTGGTGTCGGAACTGTGTAAGTGGTGATGGAATGCGAGTAACAGCAGCTCTGGCTATGGTCGGAATGGCCAAAGGGCGACTTGGTGGGAACAAGGAGACTCCAACTTCGTCCTGGACTTGCGGAGGGGTGAGAGTCCTCGCCCGCTTGACGTCTCGTTCAGATTCCGTCTCCTCATCAGCCTCATCCACAGCCTGAGCTGTGGCCCGCTTGTTTTTCCCCTTGGTGATGCCCATCTTCTGACGTGTCTCATCGAGCTCTTTCTGCCTAGCAACATTGTTGCCTCTCCATGAGTCCTTGCGCTTCAGCTCTGAAAGGGGTCCGAGGACAAAGCGGTACGCAGTGTTGCCGCCATCCGCTGCGTCGGATGCGAGCCCTTTCTGCTTCCTAAGCCCATCCACCAGGGCCTGCAAGCGTGCGATAACGCCCATGCTCCGCTCTGCTGGAGTTGAGTGGTCGAGCCACTTCGGAAGGGTGCTTCCTCCTCGGTTGTAGCCGAGCTGGTGGTTGGGAGCACGAGGGTACAGACCGATGCACTTCCAGAAGAGGTCTTGCATGACCGCCTGCAGATACTGCTGTGTGCAGAATCCCCCTTTCCTGAACTTCTCATAGAGCTGCTTCCCAGGCGGATCCGCGCAGTTGGTCAGGTCAATAGCCGCGTCATAGAGGTCCTGAAACCACTGGTCACGATTCAGGTACGCATCCATTACACCGGCATCATCCGCAGGCGGCGTCCAGATTGCGGTGCTCAGCAGGTTGGCTGCTTCGCCACCGGATATGGGTTGATACGCGCCGAACCCGGCTTGGTTGGCAGCTCCTGTAGCTGGAGCAGCTTGAGGCTGGTGTTGAACATGCTGATAGGCGCCGGATCCAGCTTGATTGGGAAATCCCGTGGCTGAGGCAGCTTGTTGATGATGGAGGATGGGTTGCTGTGCGAGCTGCTCTACAGGCTGCTGTAATATTTGCTGTGCTGATGGCTGTACCGGTTGTTGTACTGGCTGCTGGGCAGGTTGCGGCACAAGTTGCTGCACCAGCTGCTGGAGGGACTGCTGCACTGCCGCCTCGACAGGCCGCTGGATAGTTTGCCGAGGTAGCTGTTGCATAGTCGGCTGCATTAGTTGCTCCAGAGCATGTACAGCATGCTGCTGGTCGAGATCGTACCCGTTTCCGGGGTATTGCTGGCCTGATGGCGCCACGGGAAATTCGAGATAGCCGTTAACACGCGCATCAAACTGAGTTGAGGCTCGAGGTTGGTCGAAGGTCAGGTCAGTGTCGCCGAACATGTTGGACTGGCCATAGCTGTCGTAGGGTTCTTCGATCTGGCTATAGGCGGGAGCTAGATCGTTGGTAAATTGCGAACCAGCGATCTCACCTTGCTCCTGACCAGCATGCCCTAGCTCAGAGTTGAGCTGAGTCCGTAGGTTGAGGTCGAAACCATGGTCGGAATCGTCGGATGGAGTCGCTCCAACACTTGGAGTCCGAGTGGACGCTCGAACTGGGAAATGACCTTGAGAATTGTTAGCTGGAACAGTGGTTGCCACATCCTCGGCAACATCTTGATTGACCGGCGGCTCAGTGTTCGTACCGGATGCAACTTGATCGACGAATGCAAACTGCCCGCCTGGCGAAACATCTTGCTGGACTTGCTGCTGCGTGTTCGTGCCTAGCGCGCCGTAGTCGGTCCATTCGGTCCAAAAAGGATCACCGTCTGGAAACAGGTTGTCGAGGAAGTCGGCATCATCTGGATCATAATACGCGTTTGGAGCTACCGGTGGTCGAGACGAAGTTGAGGGAGCTTGTTGTGTCCCTGCATCGCCGTTGTTGGAAGATCCAGCCGCGAGCAAGGCCGGATCGATGTATTGAGAGTCCATCGTCGTAGTCGCGATGTCCTGGATCTACGCTTCCACGATCTCAGGCGGATTAAAGCTTTGAAAGTCTGACACAGTGGATTCTCTCGCGGTGTTGTCAACAGAACTTAGTAGCGATGCAACTTTTCAGAAGCGCGTCGTGGTACAAGCCGGTTGGAAAGAGTTGCTCGAGGAGAGTTGGAGATCAAACGGGACAGGAGGAAGAAGCACAATGCATAAGGACTCACGTCTTAATGAGGGGTGATTGTAGAGCATAAGGCGAGAACGTTCACAGTCTTTCCGAAGGTGAATTTGCACCATTGTGCTTGAGAAGCCCAGCTCTTTCAAGAGGTGAGGAAATGTGTGGTATTTTCACAGCGGAGGCTGTGAAGAACTGGTGCTAGCCCAGAATAGCATCTCTCTAGGCATGAAACGATGTGTTTGTACAATGAACGAGCCGATTCTAGCAGAGAATAACGAGGTGTCTCTCCTTGGGCCATGTTTGCCATTAGGGACCTAGCAGAGCTCCGCGGGATTCGAGATACTACTAAGGCCAAGGAGAGGAAGATCGAGAGCGAGGCGGCGGTATCCTGCTTTTCATGTATGACCAAACGTGGAGAAACGTCTCCGTGACTGTAAAAGATAAATGCAGACTTAATAAGAGACGAACAGAGGCGGATTTCTGTAAAATATCGAGGAAAAGTAGCAATAAAGTTGTTGACGGAATTCTTAGAATAATAACGATGAAGAGCAAAAATGGCGATATCATGAGAGGCACTCTACGTAGCTGCACAGTAGACTGCACAGAGCATTCTTACACAGCGTAACTGGCTACGCAACCCCGAAGGTCTTGCGCTGTCCATCGTCGGAGGCCCGCCGAAGAGGCCAGCCGTAAACCTTCACGCATGAGTCCCACCGTTGTTGACATACGGCTAAGCTGTGGGCCGACAATCGCATTCTCGGAAAACAGGGGACCGTTCTCCGTTCTTCAGGACCACACTTGGACGGAAGCTGGGACGCTGAAGAGAGATGAACAATGGAGGTGCTGTGCGGGAGTGAACGTGGTGGAATGCGCTAAGCAAACACCCTGAGTTTCACGTGATCTGCCACCGCCCCTTTGAGTGTGGAAAAAAAGCGCCACCGCGAACTTAACAGGTCTCGTAGTAATAAAACAACAGCCACGCGGAACAAGTATTTAGACAGGGAAACTAAGGTAGCTAGTTTACTAATAGCTATCCTAGCATACTTATACTATCAGCAATGTTCAAGGTGTTTGCGGTGACACTGTTTTGGACTCTCGGGTGCCACTGCGCAAAAAGTACATTGCGTGCTTGCACGACAACTCAAACTACGCAGAGTGAGATTGAAGAGTGGCAAGGGCAAGCACCATTACATGGACTGGTTTCCCCATTAGATGAGTTCGTGGAGCGAGTTGTCATCGCCTGGTTTTAGCTAATGAGACATCGGTAAGGACTGTAACATGACAAAGCAACCAGGTACGTCTGAAAGTTTTCGAGCTACAGCGAAAGATTGGCTTAATGAAATCTGAAAGAGACGTTGAGTAGTCCCAAAGTTTGCACTTGGTAGACTCAGAGATCGCGCACGAGGCGAGCACCAGCCCAAACATAAGGGTAGTTACGCTGATACCAATTGACGCTGGCAATCCATGTCAGTCAATCAGATTTGATACGCGTAAAACAGCAAGACTTACAAAGACTTCCGGCCAGCAATCCTTGGGTGCGTAGCCCACGAGCCGCCAAGCACGATATTGTGCTTCCCGTCGAAGAAGTCCGCCGTGTACCCAGGGTACAGACCCATGGGCTCGAAGCCTTCATGCTTCTCCAACACAGTGCTGGTCCATTCCCACACTCCACCTAGCTCGCCTTGACCTGCCAGCTGAGTGCCGTTTTGGGTCACGGGGATCGGGTGCCAGTGCTTGAAGCCTATATTCGCTCCCTCAAGGTCGATGAAGAAGTCGCTGGGCTTGGGACCGGAGACTGTGCCGGAGAGGCCATTTGAAAAAGGTTGGGATGGTGGAGTCTCCTCCACTCCGTCGTTGACGAGATGGCTGCAAACAGTCAGATGAGCAAACGGGGTGAGACAAATGAACCACTCACCCGTTCACGGCGGGAATACCGTTGACGATAGCATTCTGGACGTCTTTCGTCTTTTGTTGTTGAACATACGAGTAGATACTTCGGACCTCTTCCGCTGTCGGGATGCGGCCGCCCATCCAGTTTGCGCAGCCAGCGAGCTCATCGTAAGACGCAAAGACTGGCCAGTGGAGGGCTTGAGCGAGAGGAACGGCGCCATAAACCGTCCTAACGCTCTTGTTTCCGAGAAAGGCGCCGCTAACTGACATTCCATCTCGGTGCTCCTCAGAAGTGCCGTTGGCTTTGTGCCCATTAACTTGGTTGTTCGATGTGCCATTTGAATGGAAGCCATTGGCCAAAGCCTGTTCGGACCAGCATGCTGGAAGCTTGGAAGTGCCGGTGCTCTCCAGGTAATGCGCATACTCTCCGATCGTAATTGCCCTGGCCTTGGCAGCAAATGCGCCGACATGGATGGTTCGGCGAGGCTTCTCGTTATCCCATCCAAAGAAGCGGTCAGGAGCATTGTCATTCTCGGGATCATCGAGACCAACAACGACATCACTCTCGGGGACGGTGACCCACTCATTAAGAACAGCCATGGTCTCGGCATATCTGGCCATTGTCTCGAAATCTGGTATGACGGATTTTGGTGGAGCCAACGTCTTCTGGCTCTGGACAAGCATATAAAGCAATGTCTCCAGATGCATGATTTCATGCTCGTAGCCGAGCCACAAAGCCCTTCCTACGCAGCGGTCTGTCTGTGCAACATTGGAACCGTAGAGGTCTGCTACCCGCTGACGGACCCGACCTTGGAACGTGATGACTTCCTCAGTAGGCGGCCATGAGTCTGGTATCTCGCTGTGTGCATGACACAGGTCGGGATTGTCAACGTCCGGATCGACGCCACGCTCAAAGATCCGAGGATAATGCGCAGGCTCCGTTGCTGCTCCTTTCGTAGCGCGCGTCAAATGGATATCCAAGAATGTTGGAATATGGCCTAGATAGAAGATGCATGCATTGCGCAGCTTGATCGGTTGAGAAAGAAGCTCATCTTTGGGGATCATGTCACGTGTGACGGCGTCCCAAGCTGCCCATAGGTTGTGCCAGTCGGGCAGGCTCGGAACGGGCTTTGCAGCGTAGCGCTCCGGATTTGAACCGAAGAAGAACTTTGGCTTGGAAACCATATGGAGAGCTAGAACAACGTGAGTATGAATTCAGCGGAATAGTTGACAACGTTGCCCTAACATGCTATGCACCATGCATTGTCCGATATTGACGGGCAGCAGTCAAACAACTAACAGGCAATGCATGCGGAGCTGAGAACACTCACCATATTCTCCAGAGTCGGTTGCCCATTTGGCTCCTTCCACTAGACGGGCGACTTCCCAAAGCCGTGTCGTCTCGCGCGCATCGTACTTGTAGCTCTCCTCGATACGTATCTTCTCGCCATGTTTGACAAGTATGCCATCCACCTCAACATCCTTCAAGGGAGACACAAATGCGTGATGACGGCCAGCAGCGACGTCGTACTCTCCGATGACCTCCCACTCCTCGCGTTTGAAAACATCCTTTCCAATCAACTTGTTGGCATGGAAGAGGCCGCTCAAGATGAACTCATGAGTAAGCCCATCTCCGTCATTGTACGCATGATAGACTTTCTCCTGATCCTTGCACGCGTCAATGCCAAGTAGAAGGGTGTCTCCTGGATTCAAGATGTCCGCAAAGCCTTTGAGGAAGAGAGCTGCGTCATGACGTTTGAAATTGCCGATGCTGGATCCAAGTGAGAGCACACTCTTGGGTCTGGAGGATATCTCAGGCCTCTGTAGCCACTCCAGTCCGTCATCGTATGTCCCGTGAAGGCCGAAGCACTTCACATGCTTGTAACCACCATGTGGCACAGTGGCGAGGGTGCGTTGAAGCTCTGAAAGAGACAGATCCAGGGCATAGTACTCAACGTCTTTCCCAAGTTTCTCAATCGCTTCCAGAAGGATGGCTACCTTTCGGAGGTTGCTGCGCAGCCATTAGTACGTCCGTTGCCCGCTTAAATCACCGGCGGGCATGTAGGTGTGGGGTTTTGTTCATACCCACTACCAAGCTCCACAATGAGAGAACCGGCCTGGATGCGGGCAGCGATTCTGTCTGCATAGGTCTGAAGAACCTCGATCTCCGCATTCGTGAGGTAGTATTCATCCAGATAGGTGATCTTCTCGAACAGTCTCAGACCTGCCTCGTCGTACAGAAGAAGAGTAGGCAGAGTCTTCTCAGCGCCGGTTACTTGCCGCAGTCCCCTCCTAATGTCATCCAGGATGGAGTGTTCATCGGTTTCACGTCGAATATCGATAATATTGGCTTTCGTGCTGACATGCTCGGGGCAGGTGGAGTCGACCCGGGGGCAGACTCCTGCTCCGGGTAGAGTCTCAATAGCCATGATATGCTACGAGCCGCGACCCGCGATCCGTGTGGGGTTTCCGTTTAGGAATAAGTCCTCTTGAACGGGTGGCTTTAAGAATTGCTCTGGCAAGGCACTGTTGTTTGAAACCTTCGAACACGTATGTCAGTACGCCTGGAGATTGATGGAAACCTTGGGGTGATTACAGATGGAACACACCCTGAGTATATGAGTACCTGAAGAAGACTTTACTCGTACGCCCTACAGCTTACTTTACATACGGGATCATTACCGTTTAAGGGAGCACCCAACCCCACATTCCCGGGAAGCCGGCGGGAGCCCGGCGTTTTGATTGCACCGGTTTGGCGCTTTTCGGAACGGTCCTGAACACATGACGTCTAGAGTCCATACATTCGGCGGTAGGGCGCTTACTTAACTTACCCTGGGCGGCCGTCATGGCGGCTGCACTCGGAACCAAAAGAGCTAGCATACCCGCTCCGTACGGTGCTTCGCTAACAGGTGGCATGATCCGATGGCTTTTAATTGCTGAGGTGGGAGGCCTGGTGAAACCGCTGGATCTTAGGGCCAGGAACGTTCTCATAACTAGGTACCCGGTCGGTTGGCATGTCTCATTGTAATCCAGCCGATCCCAAGAGGCTGAATGACAGGGCACCTGCTGCAGGGACACGCCCGCGGCCTGAGCCAGGAGGGCCTGGAACTGACAAATCTCCTTGGTAACAGATACGCCCGACTCCCTCAACAGCGGAGATGTTCAGCGTGAAGGCGGGGCGCCTCGTCGGGCAGATAAATAGCCTCACTCGGAAAGCCCCGCTCTTCAACCACCATTCTATACCATCCTCTCTATTAGGAACCCAATTAATTAAAACAAGTGATTAAAATGGATGGTAGAATAACAGACAATTAGAGAGCAACCCAGGTTTCCAAAAGGCTTTAATTTTTAGTAATAAACGACGTGTTTGATGGAACCGTGCTTTGCGATTTTCGTGGTGATTTTCCGGAGTGAGGCCATTTACCTGCCCGACGAGGGCGCATAAGGTAGCGGTGCTGATCGGGATGGAGGGGTGGTGGGGTTAAGCTTGTGTACCGCTAGCCCAGTTTGGCTTCCCGAAGTCGGTGGCAGCCGTTGATCCGCCCCCTTCAGATGTCAAAACCGTCGGCGGTAGCTTACTCGAGTGACTACTTCATGAGAGATTATGGAGGTTCTCCAACTAAACAGGGTTCCGCTTTACAGTGTCAAATCCTCGACCTTGCTCTACTGCGGCCAATGGGGCTTGCTGCGGGCATAACAGGGGAGGAGGGACCGTAAGTCAAGTGATGTCAATCAAGAGCTTGCCCAGGTTGTACTCGAGCGGTATTCGGAACAGACAGCGGCTGTGTTCCAGAACCCGGCCGGCAACCTACGGCTTCCAGCTAAGTTTCCACCGCCATGCTGACCCTCATGAAACGACAGATTTGCACGTGCGGATGGCTTTCAGGGCTTCGGCGGCCCGTTGTATGCCAAGGCCCAGCCGAACTGCACGGACAGGCCGCCGCCACATCTCGAGTTTACGCCAAAGCAGATGGCTCCGGAGAACCTTGGAACACCTCAGAGTTACAGGCGCCATTGGCTGTAGTGGGTCCCAAGGACCCTTTGTGTGCGTGTTTATTCTGTGCTGACATGCCAAAATCCTCGCTATCTATTCACCAGAGAGGCCTGTGACCCTCCAGATTGCCGTTCGAGCGCCTACCTCGCCAACTCACTTGGAATGTTGCAGCATCAGACGCTATCTTCTTCGATATCGAGCACGAGTACCACATTGAGTTTTCTCACAACGCCTTGAGAGCTGAATTTGTCCTGGCCTAACAGCCATGAGCGTCTCAAGCACCGATGCCGCTGACCAGAGCGATGGCCTTCGCGAAAGGCTTACAAGAGAGCCAGAGATTTCTCGGCAGGCCGTCTCCGCAGAAGCAGCAAGCAAAAAGGTCATGGAATTGAACAGTGCGGAGGAAGAAGCGGACAAGGGAGGCAGGGAGAAGAGGACATATGGAAGGACGCCGGACGGGACAGGTGGGTGAACAGCTCACCAAGACAGAAAGAGGTGGATACATATCACATACTTCGTGGCTGAGTTGCTTAGCGAGGATCACTGCATGACTGATATAGCTATAGCATGAGAGCAGTCACGCTGATTTTGGTTCATCTGCAGTCTTTACCGTCCCGCAAACCCACGACATGGTATCGCAGCTACTGTCTCCTTCGCAGCCCAAAAACCTGTCTGATATACTCGTCCTTGCTGTCCTCGCGGTGCACGTTTCGGCTTTGTACTGGTTACCCGAACCGCTCCGGATACCTGTCTTCGCAGTGGTTTTTCTGTTCTGGAGAGCATGCTACAACGCAGGTATAGGGTACTTGCTCTACGTGCAGTCAAACCACAACCGGCTAGTGTCCTGGGCATCAAAATCGAAGATATTTGAGAATCCATCTCTAGGCCAGAATCCCCATCCAAATCTTTACGCTATCCTGAAGCGGGAAATGGAAACTAAAATTCCGAAAGACTACAAGTTCGAGGAAGCTCCACTCGAGTACAACACATGGCTTTTGTTCAGAAGAGTAGTGGACTTAATCCTCATGTGCGATTTTGTATCGTACTGTCTGTTTGCAGTAGCCTGCGGCGGCAGGCCTGTAGGTGAAAGCTACGTTACGACTATTGCACGCTGGGCTGCGGGTATTGCCTTGGTTCTCTTCAATCTGTGGGTCAAACTGGATGCACACCGCGTGGTCAAAGATTTTGCCTGGTACTGGGGTGATTTCTTCTATCTCATCGATCAAAACCTTACTTTCGACGGTGTCTTTGAGATGGCTCCTCATCCCATGTACTCAGTCGGGTACGCCGGTTACTACGGCATCTCCCTAATGGCAGCAAGTTACAAGGTCCTCTTCATCTCGATCGTTGCGCATGCTGCTCAGTTTGCTTTCTTATCTCTTGTGGAAAGTCCGCATATTGAGAAGACATACAACCCTCCGCCACCACGCAAGCTCACAGACACCGGTAAGGATGACCCGCGTCCAGCTTCTCGAGAGTTTCATGCCGAACGCGACAACGACTCCGCTGTGGTCTCCACGCCGGAACCGTCTCCCGTGCACAACATCATAGGCTTCCAGAACATTGACTTTCATCGTGTCACGGATACCTCAGTCCTGCTTTTCCAGCTTTACCTCTTCCTGTTCGCTGCAGTGACACCTCCAACCCCTCTCTACAAAGCGCTTTTCGTTACGAACGCCATCGTCTGGCGGCTCTGGTACTCCCTCGGCGTAGGCTATATTCTCGACCGCCAAGCCAAAAAGAAGAATTGGACCCGCCACTTCATCAAGTACGGCGAAAGCACCGAAGAAGCTTGGAGACAATGGAAGGGTCTCTATCACCTCAGTATGACCATGACCTACGCCAGCTTCATTTGCGCAGCGTGGAAGATGTACGCCCTACCACCGGACTGGTCCTACGGCATGGCAACGCTCAGGCACGTCTTCGGCGCTGCTCTCATCGCCCTCCAGCTGTGGACGGTCGTCAGCATCTACGAGTCGCTTGGCGAGTTCGGCTGGTTCTTCGGCGACTTTTTCTTCGATCAAGCACCGAAGCTAACCTACAGCGGCATCTACCGCTTCCTCAACAACCCGGAGCGCTTCCTCGGCCTCGCCGGCGTCTGGGGGTTCGCAATCATCACCTGGAGCAAAGCAATATTCTTCCTCGCCTTCCTCAGCCACATTCTCACGCTCGCATTCATCCAATTCGTCGAACGACCCCACATGCAAAAACTCTACGGCGAAAGCATACGGCAGCATTCCGGTCTCTCAAAGAGCCTGCAGCGCAGTCTCCCATCCCCGATCCGGCAGTGGCAAGGCTCCATGGACAGAGTCCTCGGCGACACGGTCGACTTCCTCGAAGACCTCATCGAGTCCGCGCAGCCTAAGCTCGCCGCGGGCGTAGGAACCTTCGTGCGCGACTCGACCGCGCTCTTCAAGTCCTTCCCCGCGCGCGTCAGCATCACGCGTCTCGCCCCGGACCTCGCGGGCTACGACCCCAAAGACTACTCCATCTCCGTCTCCGGCACGCCGTCCTCGGCTCTCGCGGAGCAGGACAAGCGCTCCGGCCGCGAGGGCGAGGACGCACGGCTTCCGGCTGAGCGGAGAAGCGCGTTCAAGACGCTCAGCTTCGAGTACGGCGCCCCGATAAAAGTGCGCTGGACGGCTCCCCTCAACCACAGCAAGAAGGACTGGATCGGGCTGTACATGGTTGCGGATAACGCGTCGCGCGACGTCACGCGCGTGTCGTCGCAAGGGCGGTGGATCCCGACTACTCCCAACCAGTACGACTCCGTGCGCGCCGACGCCGGCATCTTGGTCTCCGACACGCGGGTCTCAGCGCAGCAGCGCAGCGACGGCGAAGTCCAGGATTTCTTGGAGGGCGAGATGGAGTTCGGCGGCGACAAGCTATGGTGGACGACCGGCGTCTTCGAGTTCCGCTACCACCACGACGGCAAACACAACGTCATGGCCATCTCGCTACCGTTCGAGATCCGTATCGGGCGCTTCGACGAAGACGATGTCGAGGTCGATGCAAATGGCTTAATCCGTGGAGCCGTGGAGCAGGCGCTGTTGCCGGTGGTGCGGAACTGCTTTGATCGCGATCCGGAGATCGCGCCGGGGACGACGGAGGAGCTGTTTGGGAGTCTGGTGGAGAGGGATGGGAAGTATGCGAAGAGAGTTGTGTTTGCGGTGCACCAGATGTTTGGGATTGAGTTTGCGCCGGAGGTCGTGCAGGCGGATGGGAGTGTGAAGAAGTTGGCTTGGAGAATTTGTAATGCGAAGAAGGTCTTGGTGAGTATTGTTATCCGTGCTGGGTTTCTGGGTTATACTCATGCATGGAATAGGCCCCGTACAGCATGTCGCCGTCGAGAGGCCATACGACGCCGGATGCAGCGAAGTACTAGATCCTGGAGCCTTGAAGGTGAACACCGGAATTATAGATGCCACACGATTTCTCTTTTCAGTAGATACAGCACTATGTCGTCTCGCGCTGATGGCTGGGGCGGAGTGCTAGAAAATTATCTTTGTGGTCTTGAACATTTTGCGCACCACTCAGGCGTGCGGATTTATCTTCCCCATTTCTTAGCTGTTGCTTCTTGGGTGGTTACCGTTACTCTCGTCACGGCGGTTGAGTGTTTGGTAGATCATCAAAGTGCGCAGCTTCATCTGAACTCGGGTGGTAAAATGTTTGGCGAAGTCGAGGCATCACAAGTCACAGCATTAACAGACACTTCGTCGAGTTTGAACATAGCGTTCTTTTGGCGCTTTTTGGCAGTCAATGCAGTCGTTATTTACAGATGCTTTTAGGCACTGAAGCGGTCATCGCTTCGAGTAAATGGTCGTACTTCCACCGTAAGGAATGGAATGCAACGCCATGCAAGTGTTTTCCTTCATCTCAAGGTCCTCATGACCCACTCCTTCACCACTTAAACTATCATCCCACAATCTAAGTGCCAACCTGGATCAGGTAGCCTCCATCGACCGGGATGGTCTGACCATTCAGATACTGACAGCTAGCACAGAAGAGCACTGCAGCCGCCATATCCCTATCATTGCCCGGTCGCCCAGCCGGCAGACTTTCCTTCTTCTCCTTGGGCATCTCACTCTTCTGCGTCTCGTCGCTGCTCTCCTGCGTCGTCATCTCCGATGGGAACACGCCGGGTGCAATGGAGTTGATGCGGATCTTAAGACCTGTTTTGGCCACCTCGCTAGCCAGCATCTTGTTCAGGTGTACCGTGGCGGCCTTCGATGCGTTGTATGAGAAGTGGCCCTGGCTGATGCGGACGAGGCCGGAGATGGAGCTGATGTTGATAATTGTTCCCGAGTAGCCCTTTTGGTGCTCGGTGGCTTTCTGGAGGAGAGGGAGGAAGGCGGTGGACATAAGGAAGGGGCCTACAACGTTGGTGGCGTAGGTCTCGGTCCACTCCTCGACGCTGTTAGGGAGATGTCAGTCGGCGTCTGTCTTCACTACAGGAAGGATGGGAAGAGAGGTGGCCGGGTACGTACGATGTAGGGCCGAAGAGATTATCACGGAGCTCTTCGGCGTTGGCGCCGTCGACAGTCGTCTTTCCGAAAGCGATACCCGCATTGTTCACGAGGATGCAGAGGCATTTCTCCTTTGACTCGATTTCCTTGACGAGAGCCCTGGGCAATCAGTGCACTGTGTGAGGGGATCGTATAATTCAAGTGTCTTACTCGACGCCCTCCTTCTTGCTCACATCGCCAACGATTGGGATGATCTCGCCAGCAATGTTTTGGCCGTGTGCCTTGACGACCGTGTCGAGCTTCTCCTTGGTGCGGCCAACGATGTAGACCTTGGCTCCGTTGACAGCGAGGGCTTGGGTGATCTGGGGGGTTGACAGGTTTCAGTTCTGAGTGACAGGAGAGGAATTGAGGTTAATACCATCAAACCAATCCCGCTGCCACCTCCAGTGACAAGTGCCACTTTGCCTTTGACATTGAAGACCTCATCGAGGGTCAGGTCTGCGTTGTTCGACATCTCGAATTGTTTACTGTCAGTTAATTGATTCTTGAGTTGGATTGTGCGTTCAATTGCAGTGGACATGTAGTGGAGGTTTTTGAGAGATTAAGTGGGATGTATATATGACATGACGAGTAAATGATGTCATGCTGTAAATTACCTTCGTAGGCTCTGCCTGTGCAGCCCGCGCATGCAGGTGAGAGAAACATCTTCCTTGCTGCCATTGAATTGGAACAGTAGAGGACTGTGCTGATGTTGCAGCAGGCAGAACGCGAGGGGCGCGCAGTCGCGAATGCGAGTTCAAAGAGGAGAGCGATCTGCGCACAGGACAGGAGAGTCGCTGCGGTTTACAGCTGAGGTTCTGGACCACTAAAGGGCGAGGAATTGGGTTCTTCATAGTGAGGGAGTGGACAATGGAGTGCTTCAGTCTGGGTCAACCCTATCCGGGAGACAGCGACATGTATCAGATTAGAGCTATGGATGGTCAGCTCGTCCCAAACATGAAGATAACAATGATGTCAGCATTCAGTAATGGGATTTCTTGAGGTCTACAGCTCTGAGAAAGACTCAGGAGATCTCAATTGACCCTCTCTGATACAAGACATAGCATGCCATACTCAGTAGTGACCTACCTGCAAAGAGGACCAAGATATCAAAATGGCAAGCACGGTAAGGGTCGGGGAGACGGTGCGGAGGAAATGCGGAGGTTCTGCACTTTTGGACCAGCGGGCCGCCGTAATTTTCTAAGTCTCTCAAACTCCACCATCATCTATAGCTATAGCAGTCTGTAGGACAAGGGAAAAATCAGTCAGCTGTATACCAGGCCATAAAGGGCAGCCGAAACAGCTGTGCTCTATACAGCCTAGTTGTTGTCCTGACCATACTTTGATACTCTGTCAGAGAAACCTCGCCAAGAACAGTTTCTTTTCTCTCCACTAGATTATGCTGCGATTGTGGTTGCTTCTTCATTCATCGTTCAAATGCTTTGGTATTCGGAATTGTATCATTGTTGTGTTACTCCCTGCAGATCATGTGGCCAGATCGCTGCGTCTCCAAAGGTACGTCTTGCGCGAAGCACCCATTTTGTCTCCCTGGAACAGAATCCCCTTTTCGCAGACTCAATGCCAGCAGTCATTTCTCCATACGATGCTGTTTCCAGAACTTCAGTGTACGCCAGTAAGAAGACTCCCATCCAAATGTTACGTGCCACCACCCACGTCACACAACTGGTGCGAGTAGTCTCCAAGGCCCGAAAGAAATGATACAAAGAAAACAATGAAGCGCCCCCGTACCGATGTAGCCACAATGCCTACTTCTTCCGCCCAGCAGACTTGCGAGACGATGCTCGTCTGCTAGCGCCAGTCTTGCGGCCCTTCTTTCGTCGAGTACCGTAATCTGGGTCGACATCTGAGGTGTTGCAATCGCTGATAAGGCTGTCATCATCGCTGTCCTCGATGGCTCCTGCAGTCGGTGACTTTTCGACTCGAAGTTTGATGACCTCCCGGATCTGACGTTGCCGCACCGATCTTCTTCGAGTAGCTGGCTGTTCGCCCAGCTCAGTAACTCCGGCTTTTTCGGAACGCGTTTGGGGAACGGATGCTGTGGGCTTGATATCTTTCTTGCTCAAGGGAGTAGAAGGTTCCCGGGCGGTTCCCCCAGCTTGTACCTCTGCCTCGGCAGATGGCTCTGTGCTACTGGTCTGAACTTCTTCCCCCTGTGCCGGCGCTGTCGAAAGGACAGCTTCAGCTTGAAGCGGACGGACATGAACAGTCGATTCCATGGAAGATGTCGAGTCGATCAAGATCCTCCGAGCCGGGCTTCTACGCCGCTGATCCACTGGTAGAGGGTGGAAAGATGATTGGGGCCTGGGCGTTTTGGATGCTGGACGAGACTGGGTTCCTGTAGGAATGGTTGAGGCGGAAAGATTTCTACTTGGGCGGACGGCTTGCGAGGGGAAAGACCGCGTGTCTACCGGAGCTTGCACGCTTGCTGGTCCACGTCGGCTCGATGGAAGGCTAACCACCGATGTCTGTCGGCTCACGGTGGTAGAGCGGTCATCGTCGTCATCCAGGAAGCTGTATTCTGAACCCCAGATGACGGAGTTGGCACGGATCGATGTGAGGTTGGCCCTCTCGAGCGCGTCTTGCCAGTCCGGAATGTTCGACATGATGGGTTTGAGAAGACTATATTCGCCGAGGGAAAGCTGAAATAGACGTGCGCGTTTGTGTTGTGGTTTATCGAACTTCTTTGTAGTCGAATGCGATGGTCTATCGTATGTATGGAGTTCAAGATTTGATATTCGAAAACGTGTGGTACTGGGAAGGAGGTAAAGAGACGCGGAGGCAGAAGCAGAAAAGAAACATCAACAGCACATAGCGGCACACTGTAGTGAAGTATAGCCAGGTGAAGCACTAGACCGACTTTCAAGAAGCCGTGAAGCAGACCTTGGCTGCAACTCGGACCACACGAAACTCTCTTCTGACCGATACCTTTTTCGTCTGTGAAAGCATCCATCATGTTTAGCTGTAGATTCGACCAGCAAATTATGACCAGTCCGATTCTCTGATGTCGTCCACAGTTCAATTCACGTCCTCGAGTCGAATTTTCTTATCAAATGTGTCAGAGACTTCGGGAGAATGATTACCAAGAATCGGAACGACCATGGCACATCCGCATGGCCTCCAATCTTGAATAATATCGCGTGCAAAACCATTTCCCAGCCGTCATGCCGGGATGGCTCTCGACAGACTCTTTTGTAACGAGCGGTAGAGACTGAGCATGCGCTACAGCATACACCACCAAGCGATGCGCTAGCGTCGGTGTACTAAATTCATGGCTTCGGAAGCCCTATGGGACAATCGTGCAGAAGCGGATACCAACTCCCAGGCTCTCAAAGGTCGATTTAACCGTCAGCTAAGGACAAAGGATGGTACCGGGAGTGAGTACAAGGCCATCTCATCTGAAGGAAGAAACAACAGTTATAACCGGAAGAGAGGTTAACAACGACGATTACGTCTCTGGCGGCTCCGTCCACTGCATATGTTCTGTTCCACGGCCGTAGCCTAAGAGGGGAAGTATCATGGCATTGAGATTACCTTGCTCATTGCATTATATACCCAAGCTGGCAGCAAATACAACACATCTCACGCCGAACACCGCCGCATCAAGCGCTCCAAGCAAACGCAAACACCCTACAAACGGCTCTCAAACCCAGTCCAAGCCCTCTCGCCCGGCCAATGCGTATCAGGCCACACATGCCTCATCGCCTCCCAAATATGCTGAACATGCACAATCTCCAAGCCCTCCTTGACCTCATCCGGCAGATCTTTAACATCCTTCCTATTCGCCTGGGGAAGCAGCACCATCTTAACCCCCGCCCTCAACGCCCCAATCAGCTTCTCCTTGATGCCCCCTACAGGCGTGACTTTCCCTCTCAAGCTCACCTCCCCCGTCATCGCGATAGTAGGCGGCACCGCCTTCCCGGAGAACAGCGAAATCAGCGCAATTGTGTGCGCCAGCCCCGCAGAGGGTCCATCCTTTGGGATAGCGCCGCTGGGACAATGCACATGCACGCTCCGCTTCGCCATGATGTCCTCGCTCTCGTCGTGTGTCAGCCCAAGCTCAAAGGCATGCGCCTTGACCCACGTCAGCGCCACCTCTACGCTCTCTTTCAGCACATCGCCCAGCTTTCCAGTCAGCTGCACGCGCCCTGTGCCCGGCATGTCGGCCACCTCGATGAAGAGGATACTGCCCTGGCCGCCGGTGGAGTAGGCGACGAGGCCCGTCACGACGCCTGGGCGGGAGGTTGTCTCGGCGATTTCTTCGTCGAAGCGCTCAATGCCGAGGATATTCTCTAGGTCGTCTAGGGAGACGGAGGGGTTATACTTCTCCAGATGCGAGGTGTCCTTTGCGTCGGAGTACTCAACCGCTTTGAAGCGGCAGACGGCGCCGATTTCGCGCTCGAGGTTGCGGACGCCGGACTCGCGGGTGTAAGAGGTGATAATCTTGTCGAGGACTTCGTCTGTGAGTTGCACTCGGTCGGCGGTGAGGCCGTTAGTGGTAATCTGCTTCGGAAGGAGATGGCGTGTGGCGATGTGGCGTTTCTCAAGGGTAGTGTAGCCGGAGAGCTGGATGGTCTCCATGCGGTCAAGCAGCGGTGGGGGAATGGTATCGAGGGAGTTGGCGGTAGCGATAAACAGAACCTTGGACAGATCGATGGGTATGTTGACGTAGTGGTCTGTGAAGGTATGGTTCTGCTCCGGATCCAACACCTCGAGCATGGCTGCCGAAGGATCGCCGTGGAAGTTTGACATGCCGAGCTTGTCGATCTCGTCGAGGAGGAAGACAGGGTTTGCGACTCCGACTTTCTTGAGGCCATTCACAATCAACCCCGGCATTGCCGCGACGTAAGTCCTACGGTGGCCGCGAATCTCTGCCTCATCTCGTACGCCGCCGAGCGAAATACGATGGAATTTGCGGCCAAGTGCTGTAGCTACAGATGTTGCGAGACTGGTCTTGCCCGTGCCTGGAGGGCCAACAAGCAGTAATATCGGTGACTTGTCGACCATTCGCTTCTTTTTCATGAGCTGGAGCTCCGCATCACTTGCAGCACGGGACTCGGAGCTATCAGTAGATGGGATACTTTTTGGATTCAGGTCCTTCTCGTCGACTGCTTTTGCGCCTTCCGTAAGTCGTTTGATTTGCGCCTCGAGATCTGTGTTGACGGCTTGCTTGAGCTTGAGCACTGCCAGATACTCCAGTAGTCTCTTCTTAATCTTCTCCAAGCCGTAGTGATCGTCGTCCAGCTGCTTTCGTGCGCGCGACAACGTCTCTGTGTTAAGGTTGTCCTCAGTCATCTTAGACCACGGTATTTCCGCCAGATTCTCCAAGTAGTTTCGGCAGACTTGGTACTCGGCTTGCGCCGGATTCATCTTCGATAACCGCTGTAGCTCACGCTGAGCGACCTTGTCTGCCTCCGGACTGAGACCAGCCTCTTCTAATCTCTTCTTCAGCTCTGCCACTTCATTCGGCTCTTCGTCTCCCTGACCGGCGCCAGGGAATCCTGGTAGTCCACTCATACCGGCTGGTCCTGACTGGCCTCCTCTCCGCAGAAGTGCTGACTGTTGCAGCTTGCGCAGTGTGTCCATATCCAATCCGCCCTGTGCAGCCGGCGGAGTTTGGGTTTGGATTGTCATGATCCGGCTATTGCCCTGAACGCTTGAGATTTGTCGCTGAAGGACTTCGATGGCTTTCTCAAGGCGATCCTTTACTGACAGCGCCGAGAGTATCTGTAGCTTCTCGTCGTTTGTACAATCTGCCACGTTTGACATGAAATCCGCAAGAACACCCGCGTCTTCGATGTCCTTCCGTGCAATGTATAGCTCGAACCGGCGCGCGAGTATAGGCGATAGTGGAAGGGCCGAACTGCGTGGGAAGAGAGAGGAGAGCCGCACAAGCGCCAGCAGTTCTCTTGCGCTTTGCTTCAAGTCCGCGAAGAGCTGCTGTATAGCGAGATTCGCCACGTCCACTGGTTGTCAATCCCGTCAGTAGACGTTATGGAGAACCGGGCTAGATATTCCTTACCTTCATCCTCGTGGTATATAATTTCTGCCTCCAAGAACGGCTTCTCTTGAATTACCTTCCCCAGCTTAAACCTACTGACGCCCTCCACCACCAAACTCAGCTCCCCTTGCCGGCGCCCCTGCACGCCCGACACTTTCCCTGTTGTCCCATAACCGAAGAGGTCCTTGGGGCTCGCCTGCGCTGGATCCTCGCTGTACTGTGCATCGTTCCGACTGCCCTTGCCATCCTCTATTAACTTCTTCCCATCCCGGCTAAGCTGTGGCGAACAAAGCGGCACGCAGCCGATCGTGACTGCGTTCTCAGGTTTTGGTGTCGTCGCTCGGCTGTAGATGCTGGCGAGGAGGTTTGCAATATCCGGACGCGATTGCAAGGGTATTCGCAGGGTACTGCCGGGGAGGAGTACGAGGTCTCGGGGGAGCGCTACGATGGGTAGGACAGGAGATTTGGGCTTCGCCATGCTGGATGAGGACAGGCTCGGTGTACACGACGGATCAAATGGCTATTAGATGTTGTTGCTGAAGATAGGTGATAGAATAGATGAGGCGGCGATGGAGGATCAGCTTCCGAATGCCCCAGAATGTCATCATGTGCCGAGGCTCTGTGGGGAAACACGAGTCACGTCAATATCAATCATGTGTCATCCATCTTTAATCGAACTTCATCTCACATACGACATCACGTGAACATCAAAGGAGCGTCTCGAAATGTAATGTGATATTCCCGAAGTAGTAACAAGGATGCTGGTGAGTACCATGCCACTCGCAGTACAACTGTTCGGCATAGCCGCATCTTTGTATGCCCTCGCCTGCTCAAAATCAAACCCAATAAGCCGTAAACTGTCCGGGTATCTCATGCAACCATTGCCCAAACCCAAATGCCCGCGCTATACATGTAGAGAACCCCAGAGCCAGCGCTATGCAACAAAAGAAGAATCAGGAAGCCAAACCCCACAACAGAGTCGCCTGGCTCCAATGCCAGCGCTATGCAGATCAGGAGATTGGAAAACAGCCGTGTGCCGATGACCCAGTTCAAAAGGCTAAAAAACTAGAAAGCCAAACCCCAAAGTCGTGTAATCACCAGTGCCAGATGCGAAAATCAGAATGGCAATACCAGAAGAAAGTTCCGGTTCAACAGCCTGAGCCATGAACGCCCGTCATGTCGTCTGGGTATCAAGAGAGAAGTACGCTCAACGCCGAAGCTATGCAGCAAGTCAATGAAGAACGACCCATCCGTGACAGGTATGGGTCGATCTAGTTGGAGAAGTGCCCACCCGTACTCATGACGGTAGGATTCCTAGGGAAGTTGGAACTACAGTTGTTCCGGGCGGGGCGGTGAGGTGGAGCGTCCCTGGCACCTCGAGGATCGTCGGACAGCGGACGTATCGGGAAGAGTATCGGCATGTGTGCTTGGAGGTGTGATGGCGGCATCGTCATCTCCCGACCCCAGGATGCTTTGCCGTGATCCCCCAGCTTGAAGTGGAGACGCTAGGTTTGCATGAGCCCTGAGTTGCTGCGACCGCAGCTCACGTTGGGAGCTCCCAGCTTGGATCTGAGCCATGCGACCCATTTCTGCGGGCATGTATGTGCTGACGTCCACCGGCATCGTAGCAATCTCGGCCTCGCCCGTCCTTGGAATGCTTGAAGCTGCGCCCATAGCTTGAAGTCGTGGCATCGATGTTGCTTGTGAGCTGAACAGTTGCGAATGCTGTGAACGTTGAGAATACTGAGGAGAACCTTACTATTGGAAGTAAGGCATGTTCGCTGGCGCGTTCAAGGCTGGGTCTGCCACTGGCGTAAGACCAGGAGCGACGCTCGTCCTGGACTCGCCTTCTTGTGCTGCAGAAACTTGGGGCGAGGCCAATGATGCTGCCGGCGAGCTCGCAGGCTGCAAGCGTTGCTGGGCCTGAATACCGTGGAAGCTGCTCGGACCCGGACGGTGCAGTGTGCTTGCTGTTCTGTCTCTGGGAGCTTCTGCAAGCGCCGCAGGAGGGTGAGCGTCAGCGGTGCCCGTACGGCTTTCTCGCGCGTTCATGGCTTGCACGGTTGGCATTCCTGTACCAACGGAGTCATATCGAGCGGGTGCATCCACATGTTGCTGCTGAGCCCCATCTTGTGCTGCTTTTGCCGCCTTTCGAGCCGGCTGGGTCTTCCTGGGAGCCTGAATCTTCCGCTTCTTACTCGGATTAGCCGTTTCCTCCTCAGGCTGGCTCTCTTCCTCTTCAGACGCCTCAACCTCAGCTCCAGTTTCGCGCTTGCGTTTCCTAGCGTTTCTAGCATCTTGGCCATCCTGGTAGAGCGATTTCTTGTTGTCATTGTTCTTGGCATTGGTCTCCTTCCGGCTCCCTACGGCATCGGGGTTATTGACAATCTGCCCTAGCTTGTGGCCTTCCATGACATCCAAACAGGCAGTCTTGTAACGCTTTGGCGACGGGTTAGCGAACGGACAATGAGCGATGGGAGGGGTGTATCGCTTACGCGCAGAAGATTGCAGACGTGGGTCATCCGTTCGCCGAACTTGTGCTGACGGGCTGCTGCACGAGGCCCTACCTGGTCGAGGCCTTCCATGAGTCTCGAGCCATGCTGATGCAGGTCCAGAGCGGTTTTCTATTATGAAGTCAGTAGGCTGCCAGCGTATAATCAGATCATTGCGTAGTACTGACCACGACTTGATGTGCTCGGGCCTCTACGTCCGCTTGGCTCCAATGCTGCCGCCTGAACCTACTGGCTTGCCTTGAATGCGGTGCATCTTTTATGTTGTCCAGGTTCACGAGCGCGTTGTAGACCGCCAGGACGTGACGCTCAATCTCAGCATCATTCGTTGGGAAGGTAGGGTCGGCGGTATGAGCTGTTTCTGGCCTCCACTTCACACTGTCGAGGTGCTGAATAGCTGCCTGTACATTCCCGAACTCGCGCTGGAAAGGGCCATAACCCTGTTGAAGGTTTGGTGGCTGAGCGTTGCTGGCAGGGGGGAGCGCAGCTTGAGGTATCTCAAGCCCAGCTTGCTGCGCGTGCCCTGTTGCTCGAATACCGCCGTAAAGTTGCCCAAGCTCAGCTGGCTGGGCGTTCACCCCTGATGGGGTACCACCGTAACCGAGCTGAGGGTTTATGGGCTGTGGGTAGGCACCTGTTTGCGTGGCATCGTAAGGTTGCCCAAGACCAGTTTCCTGACCGTTCTCGAGTGTGAACGAGTGCCCATGAGCTTGCCCGAACGGTGACGGCTGAGCACTCCCGCTTCCACGGACCGCACTATAGAGCTGCCGAGAGTAGCTAGACTGCGCGATGCCGGGCGGGTAGAGCCTGTCATACACCTGGTAAGGATGAGCAGATCGCGGGTTCATGCTCGCGGGAGGACCGTTCTGATAACCCTGAAATCCAAAAGGGCTGTAGTGCGCGGAAGACGCGGGTGAGAATGAGGATGCGGAGGGAGGATGTAGACTCGAATGAGATCGAGCACGAGTCTGCGGTACTCCCTCGAACGGCGGTAAGCCCTGAGGTTGGTCGCTGGTAGAGTCGTCCTCAGGACCTTGAGCGGTGTTAGTAGTGATCTTTGAGCACGATGAGCGGCCATGGGTATCAGGATAAGCGGTCCATCATGCGCGAACCAGCCTCCTGGGTGAGGCGCAAGATGTATAGAGGCACCAAGCGACCTGATCAGGGTGCTAGGAAAGCATGAGGATGGATGGGATAGTCTTTCATGAGTTCTTTGATTGAAGCGACTAAGACTGATCAGCACTGACCTTGCATATTGAATTGGTCGGAGAGGAACAGAGCGTGGTCTGATGTTGACCCCACAAGACCTTGGTAGTAGTCTTCTGGAGGGAAAGGAGTGGTTGAAGCGGTTGATCTGCTTTGGTCGTCCGCTTCGAGCTCGTCGGGCTGGCGGATATGCTGATTCCGACTGTGGATTGAAGAGTTGTTAAACGAATTCATGACGATAACAAGAGGGAGTTAACGGGCGTCTTGACGTGTGAGACAGAGTGAAGGTAAAGATCTGAGCTGGTAGATACTCAGTGCAGAGCAATTCGAAGTTGATAGTGAAGAAGTGGAAGTTGAGCGAGCGGAAATAATATGCTGTATTTATGGGGGCCCGAGCGCGTGCGGTGACGAGCGTCCAGGATGGTCACCTCCGGCCAAATCACGGTAGGGCTGGTCGGCACAGCACCCAATGCGGGCTCAGCCTGGCAGACTATTCACCTTAAAGGTACAGGTGACCATGGCGCAGCTGTACTGACAGCAATCCCTCACAGAGAGAGCCGGTACTGGCCGCCAGGAGGTCAGGTCGCATGTGCCGTGCCTCGCTTGTTGATGGAGAACTGCTCGGATGCAGTCGCGTATGCCGCACACATCCTCGCATGGCCATGCTCAGAATACGGAGGCTAGGACCACCTTACCGCATCAATCACGTCCACTCCGTATAGGTAGGACCACTGCTAACCGCCGACCATAATAGCAAACGACCGTAGACCGAGCCATCCAGGAGTCACAAGACTCGCGCGATCAATATGAGTCGGCCAGTCGCAGGGCGCGACAACCACGTAACGATCACCAACACAAGAAGTACCTGACCCGGGTTCATGAACACCCACTCAGATCAGATCTTGCTACGTCGAGTATGACAGACCCCGAGCCAAAGACAGGACGACGACGTAGATGGCGGCCCATTGTTCGGCTTGACAAAGAACGTCCGTACTCGATTTACGGACTTGCGGGCGCCGTTAGATTCGAAAGAAAGCGGAAAGCTTTTGCAACAAAGAGCTTCTTTCGGAACTCTTTGGCAAAGAGCAACGATCTCCAGGCAAGGCGTTGGACGACCTCCGATATCGACGTCTCCGGGCCGCAAGTCGCTCATCCGGCAACTACCCCATACGACTCGGCTACGGCTATTTCGAGGGAGCAAACCCAGATCTCGCATCAAGGAGGCCGCGTATACCAGCGTCAGTTTCACTTTGAGCCTAGAAGACTCCCAGCAATGTCACGTCCAGGAGGAATGTGCGCCAGCTCCACCATGGAAGAGGCGGAGAGGCTGCTGAGGGTCTTGATATAAGGTACGAGCGGCAGACCTTGTAGTTATAATCCTCTTGTCCTGCAATGGACAGCGCTTCCCAGGCAGGCTTGCAAACAAGGGTCTCCGAACATCTACGGCGCACGCAGCTACGGGTCGCCATAGACGGTAAGTATGAAGCTGACCGATGTGCAGATAACCGGGTGCTCCACACAACAGCGGTGGGATCTTCAATCCTTCCAGCCACGCGGTCTATGGGATCCCTTATAAGCTACGTCGGTGGAGATCCCGGGTTAGTACCTATCGATGGTGCAAAGGACCTACGGCGGACTCATAACAAGAGCATAGAAGTAGACTGCAACACAAAAGACACCTACTATTTTGCCCAGGGAAAGAGTGGTCTGAAGACTAGGAAAAGTATCGCTAGATGCCGTCGTAGCACAGCTGAGGAGCCCTGGAGGCCGCTCGACCCTGGAGAAGGAGATCATTACACAAATATCCTTCGAGACGGGGTGGCCACTGCAAGACTTCAAGCGGGCCATCGTAGACGGAGATCTAAATGACGATCCAATGAGGATAACACACGGAAAGCTTTGAATACTCAGAAACTGTCGAGGAGAAATCGGTGACAAGAAACCAGAAACTGGCATGGACCATTGCATGGATCAGGGGAATGAAGACTTGTAAGAATGAAAGGTTATCTGACTAGACTGACGTAACACCTACGTCGGACAGTTGTTATACGTACCGTCAACTCCGGCGTACGAACAGTGTAACGGCTCCTCACTCCAGCATTGAATCCGACAGGCTTGAGGCCATCGGTTTGAAACAAAAGGAGGCGAGGAAAGAGAGACGAAAGACCAAGAAAAGAGAGAGTGTATATGACTTGACCGAACAACACTTATATATGGCGATTACAGGCGCCTTCGACATAGTTGAGCTATCAGGAATTTTCTAATGTCTTCAGTTGTATATATATACCATATTATAAGCGTAGTTGCATCGTGTTTGCCTTGAGTCCAGTAATACTCGTCAAGCTCTTGGAGCAGAGTGTCGTGCGTTGGCAGGCTGGCGGTCGGCCATACCAACGCAGAAACGTTTGATGTACCGGTAACGGTGTGTTGGACACAAAATTACCACATACCTATTCTTCCTTACGACTGTGTCAATGCCCGTCTGATCTCTCTTATTTGTCAGGCCGCCGTAGCCAGTTGGCACTACACCTGTCGGTATCTCTGCTTGCGCCAACATCAGCGATCTCAAGCCGATGTACATTATCATGCATATCGGCAAACCGCAATTGGTCATGGTATTTCCGGATTGGATCCCTCCGCTTGGCTACAACAGCAAGCATGCAATGCTGCTGCCTTACTGGTAGATGTCTGAGTGCATGCGCTATGTACATCTTCAGATCCTGAGCAGGATCAGAAGCTCCTCGCAGGCGAGGGCATTCGCGTATATCCTTGAGATAAAAGCTGGTTGTCATCCTGTACAACACGATGCGGGTGGTTGTCAGCGAGGCTCCAGCGGCGGCACCCATAGACTACCCTTGAATTACACGTCAATATGAACAGCCGACAGCGCCAAACGGGGGCGAGCCAGACTAGTCGCTCTCCGCAATGAAGTCTTCAAGCCGCGATCTTTGGCCGACGACAATCGCTTCTTTCGGGCATCCCGGATCTTCATGGCGGGAGCCTAGGAAGAAACGTTCCAATTGTCAGGCTAGGAGCTCTCAAAGCCCACGTATGGTTTGTACAAAGCTATCAGTCCTCCTGCAGATGAAATGTGGCCGTCCTGACATACGGCCGAACCAGGAGAGCTTCATTGTTCTCGCACAAGGGGTTTCCGGATGCCAGGATCTCAGGAGGTATACCCAAGTGGCTGCTCGGTGGCCTGGGAGGCTGCTGTTGTAGTTTCCTCCCATGCTTAGAGGGTGTAGCGGAGGGCGTATCCAGCGAGTAGTGGTGCAATCAAGGATCCTCGCCCCCCTAGCGGGAAGCATTTCGCGCTTTCATGTACCTCCGGTCCTGTCTAGCGGACGTTTCCATCTGTGTTTAACCCTTCTCAATGCCAGAGTCTGGCAAGCTTCGAGCTCCTGTTGGGACTTGGTCGGGCGTTAACCGGTTGCGTCAAGGTAGGTTGGTTGTGTCTCCACTCCGTGAAGCTGGCGCTGCTGATAGCCATACTATCAGCGTGGGAGTAGCTAAGGGTCCTCGATTCTCGCCAGCCTGTGTCTGTCGCCCGAAGGATGGCGCAGAATATGCTGGCGTGCAGAGGCTGGACCGGTATGGGAAGGAGGAAGTCATAGTAGGTAAGTCTAGCCGTGGGGCAGCATGTTAAGATAAGGACAAAGCTTGTAGCACAGCCTTCCTCCCTCCCTCCTGATCCCCGTATACAGGAATCTTCAAGGTATTGGCGAAGTTATATCAAAGGTAAGCTGGCGTGGTTTTGTTTCCTTTATCGATCTCGCCAAGCTTCCAAACTTTCCGCCTTAGTGCCTCACCTGCACGTGACTTCAGCTTTCAGTACTCCTGTTGCTCAACTTCACCATCATCCCAACTCCACATCCCAACCTGATACCCGGTAAGAAAAATCCTCGTCAAGCAGTTGAGGGAGCTTCGGCTCAGACACAAAGCGGCGGCTGGCCGCCCAAAGAGCCATGAAGATTTCGTGCTCCTTGTGGACGCATCAGGACGGCGCCTTTCCACACGATGCAGTCTTCAATGCCTCCGCATTTGGAGAGATCGGGCTCCAAAGCGGTGATCTAGTGAGCCTGCTGCATTCTGGCAGCAACCAGAGACATCTCGTTGTCGTCCATGAGATCACGCCGGAACAGAAGTCAAAATACCCAGGCCTCCAGATCTCCCTTTCCGAGAGCGCGGCCAAAGCCTACGATCTTCGCAACCGCTCCACCGTAGAAGTAACTGCGGCTAATGTCGAGGATAACTCTGCCTCTCATGTCGAGCTGACATTCCGCGATGAATACCTCTCCCGCGCCGATATGTGGCGGCTCGCAGTGTCAGAGCTGAGCCAACGAGCGCTCTACAGAGGCCAGAAGATTTTGTTCATGGGCACCATCAAAGCAACCGTCCGCAACATCTATGTCAACGGCAGGGTCGAAACTTCCGCATACTTCTCGTCTACCACCAAGCCAATCTTCCGTAGCGAATCAGCACGCTATGTACTATTCGTTCAGATGTCAACCGAAATGTGGCAGTACGCTACCGGCCAGAGCGGCGACCTCCTCCACGAAAAGGTCATTCGATTTCTTGAAAATCTCTTCTTACGCTGGGAATCAATGAATGCTCGGCATCTCGTGACAATCATTCTTTTTACACGTGTTACTTACGACTCCGAAGAAGTTCTCCCCGGCGGATCCCTGCTCCAAAACCTTCGTAATGGTGCCACCAAGCATAAGGACTTCTATCGCGTTGTCATCAACGAGATGCAGAGTGTTGCTTGGATTGAGATCCTCAATACTCTGAAGCGAGAGTTCAGGTACTTTGGTCGCAGTGTTCTCGTCGACAGCAACGTACTACTCGACTGTTACGATGAAACTGATCAGCCGCCATCTTCGGACCAAGGATTAGGGACCTCGTCAGCCGCACCAAAGCCTCTAATACGCGGGGAAATCACTACAGCACCGGAGGGTAACATCCTGGAAGCCATCACGCTTGCTTCATCGCAGTTCTCACATGACTATATTGATCGTGATCTTGTTAGGACAGGGATATCAGTTGTTGTCATCACACCAGGCAACGGCATATTTCACGTTCCATACAACATGTTGAAGCATATTACGGACATTCTGGTTGGCAATGGCATCGGCATCGATCTGGTCTGCATGTCACCTCTCTCTCTTCATTCAACTCCGCTCTTTGTCTTTCGAGAACCTTGCACCGTCGACTCCGCTGCAGAAGCCGCTCCTTCATCCATAGATGACAACACACCGCGTCAGAAACAGCCAAATTTCGGCCACCTTTCATCCTCCGCCGGTAGTACTGCGTCATCCTCAGGAACAATTACCAAAGAATCGGCAACGGAACACATGGACAATACTATGGCGGAAACGCCGAATCAAGGCTCTTCTAAGTCTATATCACTGTCCGCTAAAACCACCTCCCTTGGAAGAGAGGTCTGTGCTGTTCCTCACTGGATCGATGTAGGATACTGGGATGAGTCTGTGGACCGACAAGCTCATGGACAGACCGCTCGCAGTCAGAATCTTGCAGGACGAGACGAGTTTAGCCCACAAGTTCGACTGTACGATCTCGAGATGACCGGAATAATGGAGAACCAGATGAGCGACATCTCTATTCAACATATAATTGAGCAGTGTCAGAATTTTGGAGCTGGTTGTAGCCCCCGCCATGATCGCACTAAGGCGCATACGTATCTTCGGGACGACTGGCTGAAGCGCTATGATCGAGACGTTTTCAAGAACCTACAAGCCACTCCGCCAGCGGCTGGCAACGCTCGCAGGAAGCAGCCGGAGATCCAGCAGGATACTCGTGCTGCTGGGAGATCCTCGACGCTTTCGTTGCTCTCCACGCAATCCACTCTGACTCGTTCTCTCTCAAATTCCACTCAGCCGGACTCGACGACGAAGCACACCAACACCGCAAGGACCGAAGCCTGGCCGATGTCTAAAGGCCTCCAAGATGCTAGAAGCATACTGCCTCATACCTCGATGACTACTCTGGCAGCACCAGACCGAGCCGACTTCACCCAGAAACCGGATTTACTCGCACGGAAGCCATCCGATCATGCTACTGGATTTCCGGGATTGGTTTCTGGAAGAGTACGTGAGCAGGATGGCCATGATGATGATGCGGCATCTTCGAATGCTAACCGCCATACCACCACCGAGCGACCGAACCGGACATCGCGTCAGATCAGTTTCGGTTTCTTCGGCTTCGGTTCGAAAGCCTCGGCAAGCACCGCGCTCTCGATGGGAGGACCTCAATCGGCAACGGCATCAAGAAGACCTAAGATGGGTGAACAGTCGGGAAAGCAGGACAACCTTAACAAAGTCAGGGCTTCTTTGATTCGTAAGGTCTCGCACTCAACGAGCATCGCTCCAGCTTCCATTGCATCCGAGCATCACAGTGACAAAGTCAAGGACGAGACAGTCTCGGTGAAGGACGAGCCAGAATCAGTCGAATCAGATGACATTTCGGTTTCAAGTCAAGCTCCAGGCGCTACTAGCACTAATGAGCTGATTATCCCATCCGGGCTACAGAACAAGACCTTACTAGGCTCAAGGGACGTAGCCGCTATCGATGGTACTCAAGACATCCCTCAGACACTTCTGCCCCTTGCATCACTACTACCATGGCTTGAGATTATCAACCCTTGCAACCCGACAAAGAACGATGCGACTGGCAATGGTCTATGGCGTCGCTGGCACCACATCTATCCCAATACGCCTCTTCTCACTGCGATGAAGTGGAAGTCGCTCTGCTGTCCCGCGGCTATTCCTTTGACCAATGAAGATTTTCCAACGGCTAAGGAACTAGCTACTGAGTTCAGCGAGAGCCCTTATCGCGTTATGCCTTGCGAGGAGGAGGAGTACGAGGAGTCCTCTTCGCGCAGGGATAGACTGGTGAAAGAATTGATCGCGGCCAGACTGACTCACGGCTTTCAGATTGTCGTAGGCAAGAAGGTTTTGGAAACTTCTGGTGTTCAAGCGCAAATCAGCAATGTGTTTGACGATCGATTCATGACTGGAGATGGCGCGACAGTTTTCTTGACGCTGGGCAATACGATACACCAAATCATCTGCATCGGAAAGAAAGAGGTCGAAGTCAGGAGGTTTTGTCGTAAACCCATTGCAGCCTTGGCTTCTTCGAACGACCGTATTGTGCCTTCCAGCTACAGACCCTGGATTCGAACGGCTCATGCAACTCAATTTAGTGTTGAGTTTCTGACTCTGGGATCACCTACCAATGAGTTGAACTGGAACGCAGTTGACAGCTTTCTGGCGGGATTTGACAACCAGTTCTCAGAAGCTCTGCGCTTCTGGAGGGCTCGATTCGTCCTGATACCTGTTGACGTTCCTGCGACTGGACGCCGTTTGCTTCCCGTCGGGCCTCAGCTATCAGCAGAAGAGATGCGACTTGAGGGCATACGGAAGCTCACTCAGTTGTGGCAGCAGCGCCGTCACCTCTCCTCGCAAGAACAACACTTCCAAGCGAACACGCGCAAGATTAAGGATCTTAACCCACTTGCGATAGAATTTCAGACCCGGGACCCTTCTGCTGTCGTTGCAGCTGGTGTTAACTCGTCAATTCTTGCGAGCAACGACCCTGCCGACTTTGTCACCCAGATCTTCAGCGAGAACGAGCCCTACAAGACCTCCAACATAGACCTCAAGAAGCTTGCTCAAGACATCCAAAGCACCAAAGATATCCCGCTGGAAGATCGGCGTTGGCACCTCAAGCTGCACTACAACTGCTTCATCGGCACCGACCTGACCAGTTGGCTGCTACGAAATTTCAGCGATGTTCAGACTCGTGAGGAAGCAGTTGAGCTAGGAAACTCGCTGATGAAACAAGGCCTTTTCCAGCACGTACAAGGCAAGCATCCGTTCCTCGATGGCAATTTTTTTTACACCATTGCTTTCGATTATCGTACACCTCGCGCGGAGGGTAGAACTGGCTGGTTTGGCACTCGGCGGGGTGACAAATCAGTCCCATCCACGCCCATGACCGAGCCCCTCAAACATACAAGTGGTACATCGCGAGAGCGCTCCAGGCCGAAGACTGGCAACTCCTCCTCGACCGAATCTAGCGATAAGACGCCAACAAACGTGCCAGCACCGAGACGCAAAGTTCTCTTGAGCCGCTCCATGCGCTACGACGTTGACCACAGAAAGAAGTCTTATCGCCCAGAGATCATTACTCTACACTATGACCGCCTGCACAACCCTGGTAATTGCTTCCACATCCGCATAGACTGGTTGAATGTCACACCGAAGCTTATCGAGGATTGCATTGTCACCTGGTCAACAACAGTCGAGAAGTATGGCTTGAAACTAGTCGAACTGCCTATTGCTGAGGCCACAAGCACGTCTTCCGCACACCCGTTTCGCGCCGCTTCCTACGTCCGTCTAGCAGTGCCACCCCCTGAGCCGCAGCCTCAGCAGTACTTCGATACAACTCACTTCACACCCGTAACTCAGGCCGACAAGTTTGCTTATCACAAAGCTCTGCTGAAGAAGCTTGACTTCGTTCTTGACATGGAGTCTGTGGACTCTTTTCCTCCAGACGTCGAGGTCACCTACAGCTGGGGCAAGCCAGACTATTGCTACACCCAGTTCATCCACAAATCTGGCCTCGTCCTCGCGCAGATCAAAGACGATGGCGTTTTCGCTCTCATAGCCAACCGTCTTTGTGTCAACCGCGTTGCCGCGGCTCGCGTCGACACGACCAAATTCGACCGTCTGTCCGGCTTCGAAGGGGCATCGGGCCCACCTCCTCCTGTGCTCTACGCCATGCAAAATGGCCGTTACATGTATTGCAACCCTGAGCACACTATGCCTCCTCCTTCCAGCGCCGGCGAACCTAAGTCCATCACCGCCGAGACCATCAAGGACGACTTCGAGAAATTCTGCAAAGATGAGCGCTCTTTGAAGAAGTTCTACGCAGAAGCCTTTGCTAAGGTCGCTGCTTCTCCCAGTCCGAGCCCGCACAATACTCCGGTTTTGGACTCCTCGATTCCGACTATCCGCTTGCCGCCCAACATCAACGTTCCTGCGTTGAGAGACCCCTCTCCGCTTGGGCAGACAGGCTATACCGCTTCTTGAAGGCGGACACTGGTACTTTCTGGCGTTTGCTTCTAGGTTTTCTGGCGTGGGACTTTGACTTTTGTTTACTAATACCCCTGTACGAGTAGTCCACCATGGCGTTAAGGAGGTGTGTACACATTGCGATTGCGAGTAACATACGAATGCAGCATCAGACGGATTTCATGAAATTGGCAATGACTAGTCTCCTGCAAGCGTGCAAGCGCAGGTAGTAAATCAACTCAGTATTAAAATCGCTCAGCCTGCAGAAACTCTTCAATTTATATACCTACGGCATATTCCTATATTAAAATACTCGATGTATCGTCAAACTACATAAGGGAGTTACAGCAAGATTTTACTGTGTCACAGTGCTCTGGCAGCGACGCCAAGCAACCATGCCTGCTACACAACATGGAGCAACCCGGGAGTGATATCCGAGTACTTGTAAGGCGGATCGCTAGCGAGCTCCAGATGTCGGGACAAGTGACACAGTCGCCTCGCAGCCGGCAAAAGACGGACGGAATTGATTGTAGGGATTGGTCTTACAGATACGGATATCAGCACATGTCGAGCTACCTGGATGCCTGGATAACCAAAATGGCAGCGAAGACACTGCTTCAGTGCAAACAGCTGTCTCATGCCAAGTGGCAGACAGTGAGCCCGGGGCTTCGGCCTTTCTCATGTGCTCCGGTAGGATCTTCAGGAGCAGATCGATGAGTGGATGCGCGGTCGATGTTGAGTAACAACGGAGTAAAGTAACCGCAGCGGTCAACATTCAGCTGACCGCGAAACCTCTCCAATAAAGGACTTGGAGTAGCAACTCTGCGGCCGTATCACACTCGGTCAACAGCATTTTTGCGGAAGCTCTTGCATCGTGGCTTTCTGAGGACACTTGATGGCGTCTGCGGTGGACACTGAACGGCCCAGAAGCCGCCGTGTTGCAACGGTCAGCCCTGTCACAAAGCTGCTGCATGCCATCGAGGCCGGGAGCCACACCCATGCCAACGCATGACAGCAGGCTTGAGCGTGTCGACTCCATGACTCGATGGCGTTGGCAACTGCTATTTTCGGGCTGCCCTAATGCAACGCCCTGGCTTCTGCATTGGCACCATGGAAGGCTTCCTGCGGCTTCGGCTTCAGCTTCAGCTTCAGCTTCAGCTTCGGCTTCGTTGCTTTTGTGACTTTGGGGTGGGAATGCTCTGGGAGCGATCTGCGAACTGACTTGCGATCAGCCGGTTCGGCAGCGACGCCCAAGTCGATCCCGCTGGGAGAATTCGAGCTACCTGCTCTACGATCAGCGACTAACGAGCAGCATCGGAAGTCAATGTAACCTTCGAACAATACCGACAGCAGAAGTGAGCGATAGCAAGGAGCTCGGCCGTCTTGGAGAGCATTTGGTGGTGTTGGTGGCTTGCAGAGCCGCTCACGGAAAGGCAGGTCTTCGTCACTCTGCCAAAGTTCACCGCTCTTCCGCTCTACCTACTACCTTATCCGTACCTCCACAACACACAAACCCCCCGATACAGCACCTCACACGCCCACATTTACATCTCTCCGGCGCTTCCATGACGTTCTGGTAGTCATTTCACTTTGATGCAACAAGAGTCTCTTCGCGCGGTCTCCCGGCGGTAGGGCTCGGAGTTAGTGACCGCTTGGCCGCGGCTCACTTCACTCTACTTCAATTCACTCGCCCGCCGAGCACACGAGTACATCGCGGAAAGACGCCCGTGCCTACGACGGCCATGGGCTTTCCGCTTCAGATACCACCCGATATACGCGTCTTCGAGGTCCACCGTGCATTAGTCACCATTCGCCATTCTTTTGCTGAATGAAGATCGCTTCAACAGCATCAAGATGCTCGGGCAGCTGTTCCACCGTCGAGGGTCGCAACGCCAACACGCCCAAGTCGAATCGTCAACCGAAGACAGCCATACTCGTAACCTGCTATTCCCAGAAGCGTCAGTCTTCCACCAGCCCGAGGCTCAAGCATACCCTCTACCAGCACCCTCAATCCACTCGGGCAGTCCGGGTAGTGGGTTCTACGACAGCACATTAGGAGAAATCGATCTCGAACAAGCACGAGACATTAGGATACTTGTAGCTCAAGACGATGCAGGCAACCTGCCGAGGACCATCCTCTTCGACTCAAAGCCCGGTAGCGAATATACAAATCCCGCCAGCAGCCCTATCAGTTCAAAAGGCGCGAGAGCACCTGGTAGACCACAGTCGCCTCGTGCGACAAACGCGGGCACTGCCGGACATTCACGTACTTCGTCTTTGGTATCCACGCCCAGATCCCCTATAGGAAGCGCCTTCCAGCGAAGCCGCACTCGCAATGCATCAATATCATCCATGCCGGGCATTGAAGAAAGCTCACAGAGCAGTCGTGCAAAAGACCCAGATGACTTGACCAAAACATGTCTGGACTGCATGTTCGGAAACACTGCCATGAGCTATCGCGGACCTAGCAACAAGATTCACATCATACCCTTGGACTCGAGATCTATTGATTCGGCCACTGTCAGTCCAATAGCTAGCGATGGGTATCACTCCTTTGGCAAGGCAGAAGGCCGCAGGCGAAGCCGTCTCGCCAAGTCCTTCACCCCAGCAAACCCGCCTCCGGAACTTTCAACCTCAGCACCGACTGCTGAGGGACCGGAACTGCCTAGCAAAGCGGAGCGACGCCGCACCATACTAATCACTCGCACCTTCTCGGTTGCCGGTCCAGAAGACACCGAAGTGGTTGACAGCAGCAACGCCCGTACGCCCACTCCTCGTGATCCGGTCTCTCCCGACAATAGTTATCCCTTCCCGCGAGTGCCTGTAAACGGACCAGCAAGCCAGTCAAGACGGCGACGGGTGAAGCCGCGAAAGTCGCCCATGTATGCAATCACTATCATCATATCCCTTCCAGTAGCATCAAGCTCTACGCCTTCCCGGTCAAATTCGCAGCTCCCCAGACCCGGCAGCCTGAAACCGGGTTCACTTCCTGGACGCGACTCGCTCGGCTCATCTTTCGATTCGGATAGGCGAGCTGGCTGGGCTTTTGTTGATCCCGCCTTCGGTGTTGACTCGCTGCTGTCCGCTTCGTTCTGCAGTGATGTCGATGATCGGGTAGACGTCGTTGGCCAGCACTGGGATGTCATCACACGAACACTGACAAGCCTCCAATTCGCTGTGCAAGGGAAGATTCTCGCAGTGTTCAAGCAACTCGATGCTACCGTTCCACTGATCAAGCAGCCAACTACGGACACTCCATCCCGCATACCAAATCGGGAGCTGCACCTGACATATTCGCGCCCGCAAATACTGATGATTGAGCCGTACGCGTTCATGAACGATGGTAAGATCAAAGCGGCTGTTGAACTTGCTGCAGAAAGAGTAGTGCGCGGATTGAGGATACCCCGAGTAGCCACTGGCCAGGGCATTGACAGATACCCAGGCCGATGGGGCGTCTGGCGCGAAGAAGCTCGATGGCTGGGCAGGTACGGTGGAGGCAAGGAGCAAAACTATTTCTTCTTCAATCTCATGACCGCATTCTTGGGCAATCACACAGAGTGGCTTGATATACTAGGTCCGAAGTGGGCCCGGAGAAAGCACCGGGAACAGCAAAAGGTCAACGCAGGCGAGGACATGACGCTCTACAGCCGGACAATCATCGTGTCGGAAGACAAAATGGCGGCACGAAGATGGATCTTTCTCCTTGCGGCTTTCCTGCCGGCTTACTCACACCCTTCCTGCGAGAACGCATCACCACCTCGGCCCGGCACATCTTCTTCGGTCAGAGGCTATTCACAGTCACCCCCTGCTACCGGACCTGTGTCGAGACAGCAGAGTCTTCGTCGGACGATCAATCGCAAAAACAAGGGCAGTCAACCGAACATGCGATCAGGTCTCCGTGATCAGGAAGCGCAAAGTGTGAACTCCGATGACAAGACCGAAATCGCAGTCCCAGGCGTGATCGAGCCAATACACCAGTCAGGTCGACGAGCATCGGACGCTCGATCGATCATGCCTGCCAACCTTCATGTTCCTGCTGTGACCGAGAGCGTTGCACGGAAGAGCACCACTGCAACCCCGTCTACAGTCACTCCGGATACCGCAGTGCCCGTTGTGCATTTCACCGTGCAACGTACCAACTCTGGAATGAGTGTTGCAGCTGAGCAGCATCGGCCTCAGAGCAGCAGCAGTTTAGCGTCAGTTAACCTTATACACACGTTGCAGCGGAACAATACCGCGAACGCAAGCAGTAGTGGCTCTCAAGGAGGTAGCCGCTGGGGAAGCCTCATGAGTCTGTGGAGCGGCAGTAATCGCAGGTCATCTTCTACCGATCACAGCGACATTCTCCAGTCCACAGACGATGGTCTCGGGACTCTCCCATACGCAAACCGACGCCCTCTCGACCTTAAACAGTCTTCAACCAAGCTGGAGCAGATGGTGCAGGAGCTTGCTGTCGCCGATGGTGAACTCTATCAAGAAGATCTCGAGTCTTATGCGGCGGCGGCCGCTGACGAGTGCCAAGCAACACTCGTCAAAGCGAGTGATCCGTCTTTGCCACTAGCTTCACCCAATGTGCCCATCCCAGAGCGGCCAAAGGCTCCCTACACTCCGCCGCTAAAGCTGTCGGTCAATGAGAAGGATGGTGTAATAGACGTGGAAATACCCTTCCCTTCTTTCGGCTCGCCAATGCAGTCACCCTCAATGGGCGGCTTCGCCTCCGAGTCCAGTGCAGAAGGATCCAGCTTCGGTCACTCGTCATTCTTCTACAATCCTCACCGAGAGAACGAGCAGCCAGTCAACGTTGCAGGCTGGCTTGGTACTTTCCACCCAGACTTCGCTCTACAGGGCGTACGCCCGTATCCAGAACTCGACAAAGAGATCCGCCGCGCCATGAGCGCAGAACCCACCCCCGTAGCCGCCGCCGCTACCTCCAACCTCGACCAGGGCCCCGTAGAGAAGTGGGTAGATGTCTGCACCTCGCTAATCGCAGACTGCCGCACCTTCACCGTCAAGCGCATCAAGCTCCGCCGCCTCGTTAGGCTAATACCGCCGCCGGGTCAGCCGGGGACCACTTCCGGATTATCCGCTCCGCCACGCTCACAGTACGGTAATCCCTACCTGCAATCGAACCCCGCAGCCCGCATGCCCGAGGCGGAGATCCACCTCGATGAGGAGTTCACGGAGGAGCCGATCGTGGACACGGATGACACGCTCATGAAGGCACTGGAGAAGGCGCTGGCGGTTAGTGGGCCGAACTCGCGCAACCAATCGGCTTCTTCGTCACGCTCGAGCTCGAGACGCGGAAGGCAGGGTCAAAGGTCGGGTTCGGATGTTACGCCTACGCTCGACATCCCAAGAGGCGAGTGTAAGCAGCTGGTCTTTGGGGCACTCGAGCAGGTTGTCAAGAGCGTCAAGGCGGAGCGAGAGGCGCAGGGGAAGCAGGTGCAGGGCCAGGCGCAAGGGTCTGAGGGGAAGGGCAAGATTAAAGCGGGGAAGGCTGCCGAGAGTACGTTGAAAGAGGGCGTAAGGAAGTGGCTTAATGAGGTGGAATAGCGTCTCTCCATCAACTACTTCCAATTTACAAGGGCTAGGAGGACATACGGGCGGTTTGTTGCATTTTCGGAGCGGGAGTTGCTACGAGGTATGCCTCGCGGCACTTACGACTGATGACTTGGACGGCCGACTTTCTTCGCGTCTTCCAGGGCGGCCATAGAGGGTTTTCACGGCTTGTCAGAGCCCATGGTCTCAGAATTTGGCTCATCACTGTACAACATCTGGAGCAGCTCCGCTGTGCTTTTGAGCTTGAGCTTGAGCTTCACGATACCTTTGCTGCGATTCAGCGGAGCCTGTCGGCGAGCAGGAGTTTTCTTGGGAGCCACAACTGCATTCTGGCAGTGCTTCCTCTGGGGAAGCATCGGGATGACTGCCGATAGGTATTCGTAGTCATAATACTGGGAAGTTGCTTTGATCGAATAGATTTGTCTTGCTCAACGCTAAATCGTATGACCTGATGCTTTGTGTTACAGATTGTCCCCCTGAATGAGCATTCACCTATGAAGTGCTATCGGCTGGGTTCCAGGTATGCATTCAGATTACATCAGAAAACTGAGGTATTTTGCTAGCCCACTTTGCGAGCCGCTCACAAATCCCATGTCAGCATCTTGGCGGATTCCAAATGATGACGAAAGCCCGCTGCCCCGCCAAAGTTGCGCCCAGCTCGGAGCTCGCGCGCAACGACCCTTATGAATCGATGATCACTTCATATAAATACCACGCTGTGTTCGTAGCTTCGCTAGCCATCTTGCTTGTCTCCATATACACCACAGGAGATCGGCAGTACATGAACTCAATTGCCTCCCGCGTGCGACTCATCGGCAACCATCTCATCCCGCGCTCAGTAGTACCACAAATCTTCAGCGCAAGGATGTCGGTGAGTGCGCACAGGAGCACAGGGCAGAGATTAGGCTAACTGCGGTCCAGACACAGGAGAAGAAGAACGATATCCTGAATTGGGTGGATCCGAAGGATAAATCCGGAGAGTTCAAGCGCCAGCAGTCCATATTCAGGAACCACATTTCAAAAGATCCAGGCGCGGAGTTCCCGCCTGAGAAGGACCGATATCACCTCTATGTCTCATATGCGTGTCCCTGGGGTAAGCGTTCTTGGTGGTTGAGGTAGCCAGGCCGCTAACAGGCGTCCAGCGCACCGGACGCTCATCGTGCGCAAGTTGAAGGGGCTAGAGGATATCATCTCCTTCACCTCCGTACACTGGGAAATGTTGGACAAGGGTGAGTACACCGGCCTAGGCTCTATGGCAACATTGCTAAAGCATCACAGGGTGGCGTTTCGCGGAGAAAGACGAGAAAGTACCGGGCGAGAACGTGACGCCAGATCCCCTACACCCTGAGTATACGCATCTCCGCGAGATATACTTCGAGAACAACAAGGACTACGAGGGCCGCTTCACCGTGCCTACGTTATACGACAAGAAGCAGAAGAAGATTGTGAACAACGAGAGCGCCGACATCATCCGAATGCTGTACTACGTTTTTGACGACCTACTGGAGGACAAATACAAGAAGCTGGATCTGTTTCCCGAGGATCTGAGAAGCACGATCGAGGAGACGAACGAGTGGACATACAACGATATCAACAACGGAGTGTACAAGTCAGGCTTCGCTACGTACGCGCCCTCCTCCCTACCCCACCCTCAGCCTGCCCGCCCCAGCTGACAACCCACAGCACCCAAGAAGCTTACGAAAAGAACGTCAAAACCCTCTTCTCATCCCTCGACCGCGCCGAATCCGACCTCTCCAAGTCCCCCGGCCCCTACTACCACGGCGACCGCCTCACCGAAGCCGACATCCGCCTCTACACGACCATCATCCGCTTCGACTGCGTCTACGTCCAGCACTTCAAGTGTAACCTGCGCGACATCCGCTCCGGCTACCCCGCGCTGCACAAATGGGTCCGCAACCTGTATTGGGATGTGCCCGCGTTCGGAGAGACGACGGAGTTCACGCATATTAAGAACCATTACACGAAGAGCCATCGCCAGATTAATCCGCTGAGTATTACGCCCCTGGGACCGGAACCGCCGATCTTGCCCAAGGATAGGGAGGTTGCTACCGCGGAGGCGCTGGTGAAGAACCAGAAGGAATGAATCCCGGAGGTTCGGATGGGTGGAAGTCTGGGGGTTGGAGGAAGAAGTCCGAGGAAGAGTCCGAGGAAGAGCACCCTTTCGGGCCGGTGGTAGTGGTAACTTTGGATCTGGTGCAAGTGTGGTGAATCTGACGTGATGTTTGGAGATTGTAGTCAAAAGGCTGAAATACCTTGAATGAAGCTACTCTACATACTGAGATGACAGTCATGTCAATTTTGAGTAATGTCTCTCTAACAAAGATACTCCCACCGCCTTGTCCCTGAGTTGATGATCGACCAAAACTCCATGCCAAGACCTCCGCGGCTAAACTCCGCCACATCCCTGCATCCTCACCTTTTCGCCGCAACTCATCTTCACCTAATCTATCGAACAACCCAAAGCGCGACTCTGCGCGCCGCCACCACTGAACCTCCTCTCAAAAACGCTCACACCCACACCCGTACGCCTACACATATCCTTCGTAACCGCCCGCCCGCACTCCACACTCCACAAACATCAACCATGGACGACGACCTTACCTCCCTGGAACTCCTCTCCCTAATTTCGCGCATAACTTCCGAACTACAAAACCACCTCGGCATCGCCGACAAGACACTCGCCGAGTTCGTCATAGACCAACACACGCAATGCGCGTCGCTGGCCGAGTTCAGGGCCGCGCTTGAGGCGCTCGGCGCGGATTTCCCACCCAGTTTGGTCGAGAGTGTTGATCGCCTTGTGCGGGGGATGCATCCGGCGTATCGGGGGAAGGGGAAGGGGGAGAACGGGGGAGGGGGAAAGGGAGGAAGGGAGGAGGAGGAGGGAGATAGGAGGGAGAGAGTTTTTAGGGGGTTGGCTATTCCGGATAGGGAACCGAGTTTCCAGGACGGGGATGCGGATGCGGATGCGGACGACACCTTTGCGGCGCTGGAGGGGCTGGCGCCGAGGAAGGCTGGGAATGGAACTACAGAGGCAGACGCGAAGAAGGATGCGCTAGACGACACGTTTGCGATGCTCGAGGGCTTGGCTGGTAAGTCGGGCGCGCAGCCGACGCGGAAACGGAGTATCAGCCCTGCTGAGAACGGGGAGAGGGAACGGAGGAGTAGGAAGAGGAATAAGTACCGCTCGAGGTCGAGATCGCGCAGTCGGGAGAGGCGGACGAAGAACGACGAATATGTGTTCGAGGATGAGTTTGGCCGCATGAGGACTGCACCGAGGGAGCCGAACGGACACAGCGAACGGAAAAGTAGGAGGAGAAGGAAGAGCATGGACGAGGATGAGCAATTTCGCAGACCGCCGACGCCGGAAATAGATGACGAGCCGGTCTTGCACAAGGTCTACAGAGGACGGGTCACGGGCGTCAAAGACTTCGGCGTCTTTGTCAACCTTCAGGGCGTCAAGGGGAGAGTCGATGGGCTGGTCCATGTCTCAGCGATGCAGGAGGGCGCCAGAGTCAACCATCCGTCGGATCTGGTCTCGCGAAATCAAGAGGTCTGGGTCAAGGTCATGAAGATGGAGAACAACAGGGTCAGCTTGAGCATGAAGGAAGTGGATCAGTCTACTGGGCAAGATCAGAAGCCGGAGAGGCGACTCGCTTCCGGGGCAAACATGATGGGCCTAGGGGACACCTCGAACGGTGACGGCCGCTACGGCAACCTCACCTCAGATGTTCCTGTGATCGAGGGCAACATGAACGGCAAGAGCAATCGGAATCGAAAGAGGATGACTAGTCCAGAGCGGTGGGAGATCAAGCAGCTAATCGCTTCCGGCGCGATATCCGCTCAGGACTACCCGGACATTGACGAGGACTACAACGCTGCAATGAACGGTGGAGAGATTGAGGAAGAGGAGGATGTAGACATTGAGGTGAGAGAGGAAGAACCACCCTTCTTAGCTGGACAGACAAAGCAGTCTCTAGAACTGTCGCCCATACGAGTGATCAAGGCGCCAGATGGTTCACTCAACAGAGCAGCGATAGCTGGAGACTCCCTTGCAAGAGAACGACGAGATCTACGGCAGCAAGAAGCACAAGACAAGGCCGCGCAGGAAGCGAGCCGAGTCGATCTTCAGTCACAATGGCAGGATCCTATGGTTGCGCCAGATCAGCGCAAGTTTGCAAGCGATTTGCGTCAGGCACGTCCGAATCAGAACAGCGAAGCGGTACCTGAGTGGAAGCGGATTACCCAAGGCAGGGAACAAACTGGCAAAAGGACAGACATGTCCATCAAGGAGCAGCGAGAATCTCTACCGATATTCAAGTTGCGGAAACAGCTGATCGACGCAGTGCATGCTAACCAGCTCTTGATCGTCGTCGGAGACACTGGCTCAGGCAAGACCACGCAGTTAACGCAATACCTCGCTGAGGCCGGTTTTGCGAACGAAGGCATGATCGGCTGCACACAGCCCCGTCGTGTCGCCGCCATGTCTGTGGCCCAGCGTGTAGCAGAGGAAGTTGGTTGCAAACTAGGCCATGAGGTCGGCTATACGATACGCTTCGAGGACTGCACCAACGCCGACACCAAGATCAAGTATATGACGGACGGCATCATGCAGAGGGAGATCCTACTAGATCCGCTACTCGGCAAGTACTCCGTCATCATGTTGGATGAAGCGCACGAGCGTACAATCGCAACGGACGTACTGTTCGGACTCCTCAAGAAGGCGTTAAAGAGGAGGCCGGATCTGAAGGTCATCGTTACCTCTGCCACGCTCGACGCGGAGAAGTTCTCCGAGTATTTCTACAACTGCCCCATCTTCACCATCCCCGGCCGCACTTATCCAGTCGAGATTATGTACTCGCGAGAACCAGAGTCCGATTACTTGGATGCTGCATTGGTTACCGTGATGCAGATTCACCTGACGGAACCGCCAGGGGATATCTTGCTTTTCTTGACTGGCAAAGAAGAGATCGATACAAGTTGCGAGATCCTATACGAACGCATGAAGGCTTTAGGTCCCAGTGTCCCAGAGCTTCTCATCTTGCCTATCTACGGTGCGCTGCCAAGCGAGGTTGCAAGCCGCATCTTCGAGCCGGCACCACCCGGCAGCAGGAAGGTAGTCATTGCAACCAATATTGCAGAGACATCCATCACCATTGACGGCATCTATTACGTTGTTGACCCCGGTTTCGTCAAGCAGACTGCTTATGATGCCAAGTTGGGAATGGACAGACTCCAAGTCACACCCATCTCGCAAGCACAGGCCAAGCAGCGAGCCGGCAGAGCCGGCAGAACCGGGCCCGGAAAGTGCTTCAGGCTATATACCGAAGCCGCATTCCAATCTGAGATGCTCCCTACCACAATCCCCGAGATCCAGCGCCAGAACCTCTCCAACACGATCCTGATGCTCAAAGCAATGGGCATCAACGACCTGCTTCACTTCGACTTCATGGACCCACCCCCCACCAACACCATGCTGACAGCCCTCGAAGAACTCTACGCGCTCTCCGCGCTCGACGACGAAGGCCTCCTCACGCGCCTCGGCCGCCAAATGGCCGACTTCCCCATGGAGCCGGCCCTCGCAAAAACGCTGATCGTGTCCGCGAGCATGTCCTGCTCCGACGAGCTGCTGAGCATCGTCGCCATGATCTCCGCCGTACAGAGCGTCTTCCACCGGCCGAAGGACAAGCAGCAGCAAGCCGATCAGAAGAAAGCCAAGTTCCACGACCCGGCGGGCGACCACCTGACGCTGCTGAACGTGTACAACGGCTGGAAGCAGAGCAAGTTCAGCGTGCCATGGTGCTACGAGAACTTCATCCAGCCGCGCAATATGAAGCGCGCGCAGGACGTGCGGACCCAACTCCTGACGATTCTCGAGCGCCATCGGCTCAAGGTCGTCAGCTGTGGCCGCGACACAACCCGCGTGCGACAGGCGCTCTGCGCAGGTTTCTTCCGCAACGCCGCGCGCAAGGATCCACAGGAAGGCTACAAAACCCTTGTCGAAGGCACGCCCGTCTACATGCACCCCTCCTCGGCGCTGTTCGGGAAGCCGGCCGAGCATGTGATTTATCATAGCTTGGTCGAGACGACGAAGGAGTATATGCATAATGTCACAGCTATCGAGCCTAAGTGGCTGGTCGAGGCTGCACCGACGTTCTTTAAGGTCGCGGGGAGGGATGGGTTGAGTAAGAGGAAGAAGGCGGAGAGGATTCAGCCGCTGCACAATCGGTTTGCGGGCGAGGATGACTGGAGGTTGAGTGCGCAGAGGAGGCAGGGGAGGGGAGGGGGTGGAACTTGGGGGTAGTGGAGGTGGAGCCAGTGTTTGTGCGCAGCTGTGCGTTGGGAAGGGACATATGCACTAGGGGTTGCCGATATATTCATGCCTCGTAGTATCAATCTACGTCTGTTTTTCTTGAGCTAAATTGCGCGGAAATGTGTGAGAGCGCTGGTGATCAAGTCTTAATATATTCTCAAGTCGTCTCAAACAGTGACGTTCATTTCCCGAGCCGCCGCCGCCCTTCATAGACGCGTTCCTGGTCATCATATGTCGGAATGCCCTCAGATGTGCGAGCTTCGCGTGCGCTGCACTAACAGAGCCAACGAGTTCAACATCTTAGCCAGAAAGTCTGGGTGATCCTTTCGATGAGGAATGCATGGGAGGCACGTCTCCTAGCAGGCGTTGATTGCATCCCTGCCCTTTGTACACACCATCTGTGGCTGCCGATCGACCGGCTCAGTAAGGCTTTTAGGACCGGCTCCGCCGCTCCTTTCGTTGCGCTGCTCGGATGTTCGGCCCATTGTCGACGTTCCAGCAGTCATGCCAGTTCCCTCCACGTCATTCCTGCGGGTAATCTGATAACGGCTTGCCTCTCAGAGTAGTGTCCGTTCAACGGTGTATCGCGGCTGCCCAGAAGAAAGGCTCGGGGGTTGCTGGAACCCGCTGTCGGGGAAGCTACCGGACTGATGCGTCGCTCAGCTCAGCTTCCCGTTGTCTGTGAAGCTTTTGTATGATGTAGCTGCCCTAGAGTCGGGATAGGGACGGCATAGATGGAGGATTGTCATCCCTAGGCATGTAAACAGCAGCGCTGAGGGCGAGCGACTACAGAATCTGTCGTAAATTGTTGGCATAGTGTCGTATATGGCCGCCGTCCCTCATCCCGCACTGTTGCAATCGTCGTCAGCGTCAAGAAGACTTCTTCGTGCTTCATCCTCGCTCGTATCTTGCTGCCTCCATTCCCTCAAACCGGCGTAACGTCCAAACTTGACGATCTTCTTAGTCTCCCCCACCGTCCCAAAGCTCACATGCTCGATCTTGCCGATTCCCAGCCCACCGCCACCATAAACCTCAGCCTCGTCAGCCTCCTCCAGCAGCACGCCAAACCTAAGCTTCGTCCTCCTCAGCTCCTCCGGGAACGGATCCGAGCCGAGGCACGCGCCAACGCTCAAATGGTCGATCGTCGGGTTCCGGGTCGTGACCATGATGCGGCTAAACAGCGTGTCCGACGCCACCCCATTCGAGTACATACTCATACCCCCGACCACCAAAAACACGCCCGCCACAAAAACCACCGCCGCATACCCGACCCACAGGCCCCCGGGGTAGTATTTATACACATTCACCGCGCGCTCCTTGGTGCAAGGCACAGAGACATTATCCGCGATGATGAGGTGTGGCTCGCTCAGCAGCGTGAGGATCATGTCTTCGTACACGCTCTGGATTTGCGCCATCAGGTCCGGCACGGGATAGCTGATGCGCTGGTCAATAAGCCGCGTGTCCGAGATCGCGGAGCGCGTGAGCTTATACACGCCTTCGTCTGTGATGGTCCCGGCGAGAAAGTTGCGCAGTAGCCGGCCCAGAGCATGATATGCGGCGACGAGCTTGTAGCGGTAGACGTCGGTGTTAGGTCTTACGAAGTTTGTGGTCGGGTGGGCGGTGCCGCTGCCGTTGGGGCCGCGGTGCCAGGTCGTGTCGATGATGGGGTGCAGGAAGGTCCGGGAGGTCACGTGTCCGGACTGGATGCCGTCGACGGAGGTCAGAGACACCTTGTACACTGTCTCGTAGTGCTCGCATTTGAAGATCTTGGGGATGCGGACGGTTGACCAGGTGGCGGCGTAGGGGGAGTCGGCAGGCCAGGCTTCCCCTGTGTCGATGGCGTAGCCGATCCAGATTACTGGCTCTGTCTCGAAGACTCCTAAGTGAGGAGGATACGGCGGCTTCTTTTGGAGCGGCTGCCCGTTGCTCCCCGTCGGAACTTGGGGCCGGATGTACTCGCCTTGCTCCACCTCTGCCATGTAGATCAAACGGCCCTTTGGCGCTAACTCAGAAGTATTGAAGGGCACCCCCGTCGCTGACTCCAACTCGTCATGATCGAGATAGAGGCCACTGGCGACCTCTGTGCATTTGTAACCAGGGCCTTTGAACTCGAGAGGGTACGTGCAATTCCACCCTGCCTCGCATGATCGATGACCTGTCTCGACGACATTGACCGGCCGCTTTGTATAGGCGGACAACATGGAGAGCTTCGAGGCGGCCTTGCTTGGCTGGTCGTAGTAATCAAAGTAGCCTGCAGTGGCGTTGATGTCTGTGGTGTTCCAGTACATCAACTGGTAGCCGGGATAATCTTTAGTATTTCGGAAGTTGTTAAAGGACTCGCGAGTAAAGTTCAGCGTTGGCACCGACGAGCAGAGTGTTTCGTTTCTTTTAATCGCAATCTCGGAAGTCAATGAAGCCGGCGACAAGACGGCAGCCAACGGAATCAACCAGGTCGCGAGAGCCATGAAAGTTGCCAGCTTCGCGTTCTTAATCATTTCCCACTTTCGAAACTCGGTTGGGTCTTCACAGGCGGCGAAAAGGCCGTCAATGGCGCTCACCGTCATAGCTTTGGAGCGGAACGTGTGCCAGATGCGTTGCCGATAGCTCACCACCACGGAGCCGACGAGGGTCGCTTTGACGAAGAATGCAAACGCGACTCCGAACCGTCCCATCTTCACTTGATCTACCGCCGGCTGGCCGGCTAAAGAAGCGTAGAAGTGATGATGACCTATCGCCGCCGCGACGCCCATGACGAAGAGGGACACCATGATGACTGGTGACGCCCAGTGAACCCCCCATTGCGCCACTTCAGCGGCGCGCTTCGCGACCAGACTCTGGGTATCGGGATCTGAGCGAAAGCGCGACATAGATGTACTGAACGTCCTCTCGGAGGCTGTGGCAGGTGATTTAAACATTGATAAGTGGTCGGCGGAAGGAGTGGTAGCAGGGAGGGCACTGTAATCGCCTGATCTATTGCCACGGGCGAAATAGCCTGTGGGAGGCAATTTTCCTGAATAGTGTAGATTCGGAGAAAAGCTCGAAGATCCCTGGGTGATCTCTGGCGAGCGCCATGACGGGCTTGTTTGCCGCTGTGTGCCGGTGGAATCGAAAGCGTCGCCAGATCTGTCTACGCGGCCAAAATAGCCTGTTGAGGATGATTGCCGTCGAAATTGCAGGCCCGGGGAAGAACCTGCGGAATCTTGAGTGATCTCTGGTGAGCGCCATGACGGACTGGTGATGCCATGCATCTCGACAGAGTCATGCTGCTGATCAAGGGGGTCGTAAGACACTGGAGGAAGCTCCGGCGAGGAATAGGCGGAGGAAGGTCTTCGAGTCGTCATGGTGAGCGAAATATAGCTTTAGGTATGGAGGAATTCGGACTAAGGTACACTCGAGGTGGTGAAGCCGGATTGGCGAGACAGCAGTCGCATGCTACCGCACAGCCCGCTGCTTGGTCTAGATAAGCAGTTGCCTCCTCGTGCTCCGGTTATGCTCCATTGGATGTAGCGGAAAGCTTCTTAGCAGTGAGCAGTAAGCAGGACTGGGCAGGACTGAGCCAGGCGATGATCAGCTAAATCAAGAAGTACTCTAGCGAAGGAACCAGACGAAGACGTAGAGGAAGAGGATTACGGGTCACAAAAGCATGTGGATAAGAGAGAGGGCATCTTGGAGACGCTTAAAAGGCCGGACGTCAGCTCCTCAAGGTTGAGCTCTTCAGCTGAGCTCCCGGCTGTAGGGCGCACCCGCATGTAGACTAGGCTCTTCGATTTCAAGCCACAGCGGCCAGCAGTTGACGGCGGACTGCAGGACACAGCGCAGATGTGCTGACATGTTTCGTCCTGCTCGCGTTTGTTCCCATGAAAGGTTTGTGCAGATTCTGGAGCTTATGGCGTCCCGGTGCGCATGTGGCCGACCCCAAGCTTACCCGCCAGATTTGACGACGCCGGCAGGGATCGTGCTTTGGTGTGTTTTCGGGAAAGCCGTTCCATCGGCTTGCCGACTGCAGAGTAGATAGCGCGGCAGTGAACCATCAGCCTTAGGGAGCAAGGTTTCTCTGTTCTCTCACACGTCCTCCGCAAAGCAAATCCAGGAAACATGCCAAGCCAAGGCTGAGATGCAGCCCTGCTCTACGTGTGTAGGGTGAGGAGGGAGCTTTCGAGCCTTGAAAGTTGGCCTCAGGGGCCTCTGCGCCACGGGGCTGTGTTCCTGCATCTCGTGTCTTGTACTCACTGGCTCCATTTTCGTAGTCACAAATTGTTCTTTTGTCTTCAGTCAAGTATCAGAGGCAGCCCTTCTTCCCTCTGACAGCTGCTAGATTTTGTCTTAATAACATAGCTCATGCTCTACGTGCGTTATGACACCATTGACGCCGGGCGCAATAGGAGAGCCAAAAACGACAATGACACCCAGTCAAAAGGCCAGTGACCCTCTGGAAGCCCCAAAACTGGAGACCTGTTCACCAGACCCTTCGACTTGCCTTGTGGGCGATAAGGGCACAGAAACGCCAAGCAGTACCACCACGTCCGGCGAGATGGACTCCTCACAAAACTCCTCGCTCCTTAAGCAGAAGCCTAGGAAGATCGGATATGTGCTTGACTGGGCCGTTAAGGTTGTTAGTCTTATCGCTGCGATCCTATTCGGTATCTGGGCACCTCTATCGTATAGAGCCACCGTCGATGAAAGTCACAGCAACGACGCAGCGCAGCAGAAGGTCGTGAATGCAATGGAGTCCGCAAATGCACAAGCTTCAAGCGCACTCGACCTTCAGATATCTGCACTTGGCCTCCAGCAATCCGCTGCGAAGGCGCAGAGCGCAATATTAGACGACATCGGGAACCGCATTGCTGCCATGGGGCAGCTCTCCTTAGTGGAGTTCTGCCTCAGCCAGAAAGTGAGATGGATATTTCTTTGCCGGTCGAGTGTACCTGCATAACGAGTAGACCGTGCTATCTGGTAGAAAAATGCTAACCTGGCTCGTAAACTAGTCATACTATCCTTGCATGTCATACTTGAAAGACGTTCACGTTACGAGCCTTATCCGATTCCTAGCCGCCACAACGTCTTCCACGACCAACACTATGGTCACCTCTAGGACGACTCGCCCCACTGACCCTGCTTGGTCAGAGGTTGAATCATTCTACGATATGCCCAGTTCGATCGGTACGATAACGGAGGACAGAGCCTGGAGAGTACTTAATTTGACCACTATGGCAGGGAAAAATAAAGCCCCTAGCACGACCTTCTGCAGGACAACTTTTGACATAGGCTCTTGGGGTTTTCCTCTTACTCTTGGTGCGGATCGGAATCTATGCGGGCCGTCATATGATATATGGGACAATGGAATCCTTGCTAGAATGCTGTCCTTCGGCGCCCTACCACCTCCTGTCATTCTCGGCATGATCACCCCTATCCCGGTTCTTTTGGGCGCTGTCATGGGAGTCTTGGTCTGGAAACACAGTGTCAGCCAAGCCAGACGGCGGTGAGTCCGGCACGAAGACGAGAAATTAGTCATGAAGTGATACGGTGCATTCTATCTACATGTATCGTACATACCTGACTGGCGGGGCATCGGACATGTTCGTCGTAGCAGTGTTGAATCTGAGCGTTCATATAGCCTAGACTGAGTTCTCAATCGGAGCAGAAACATCGCGCTATGTAAAGGCAGACCTTCTTGGTGGTCCAACCGAGGGGTTCTTTGGCTCGGACATCCTAGCCAAGCACCAGTCCATGAGCGTTTCGCTCAAATTTAGATACATCGGGCAAAGCACGTGCTGTTGGCTCCAAGGGCATACAGGATAACAAATCATTTAAGCTAGAGGAACTTAGGGAATATATACAGCTCAACCCTCAAGCCACTACGTCGTCCTACTTTGTCCTAATATTCTTCAGCTTCTTCGGGCTGTATACAAACTGATCCGCATACGCCTTGGGAATAATCCTCCGCTCATTCGGCTCCTGTACGAAATACTCATAGCCCTGCTTGTTCGCGAAATTGATCGCCTCCTCCTTTGTCCTGAATGCGATGCGCTCGCTTTGCTGGAAGTCCGCCGAGCTCTGCCACCCCATCAGCGGGTTCTCCCACCTGTGCCCCTTGCCCAGCACGTCCCAGTCGATCTGCCACATGTGACCGTTCCAGTCGCCCGACTGTGTTGCAGTCTTCACGGGGCGGTAGATACTGCGACCGGTCAGTGTCTATAGTTGCACTTGCTCGAGGAAAGGCGGGGTGGGTGGGGGCGCGAAGCACTCATACCGGACCGTCCGCGCTTGGAGGTCAATTGGCGCGCCGGACAGCACCGCTGCTGCGACCGAAACCCCCGGCTCACTGCCATCCATGACGCGCTTGGGAATGGGCGAGAAGGTCCTACGCAGCCGGTCAAAAAGCGGGTCTTGGCGTTGCTGGAAGGGGTGCGCTACGAGGTTCTGTAGTCGATTGCGACGTTGTAGTCCGGTTGGTGCCGCGGTGCTGCCTCGACTGCATTCTCCGAGGTTATCATTGCGGAGTCGCCGCCGCGTGCTGAGGGTGCATCTTCGGTGGAGGCCTTGGAGTCGGGCTCATCGGTGGCTTTGCTGTAGGCTCGCGAGACTGGGAGAAGGGTTCGTGCAATCGTAGGGCGGACAGCCGATGCGATCAGCCTGGAGCCGATTGACCTTTGGAGAGCTGACATTGTTGCTGTGGGGACTGTCGCTGGAGCTCGTGGATAGAGGTGGTGGTTGCTCTATCCCCGGCTTCGTCGGCCAAGACTTGCCTTACATAAGCGCCGCTCTGCAGGCGCGGGAACCATCATTGCAGCACCCCAGCACAGCACTGCAACGACCGCATCCCACTCGACGTACCAACTTGCTTCAGTTTGCCGGTAAGCCCGAGTTCGACTTATCACCAGCCACAGGTACACTTCCGGTGCCTCAGGGGGCTAATTGGCGCCTAGATCAGCCAGGATGAGCTTCATGCAAAAGCGCGGTCTCTCGACCCTTATCCCCCCCAAAGTATGCCATCCTACTTGCGACTGCTAAACAACGGCTAACATGAAGTCTGAAGATTGCCTCGCCTTCCGTAAGTCGCCTCCATCATCCCTCGCCTATGAGCATAAGCCATGACAGTCGGGCTCGGAAGCCGTTGCGACCGGCTTCGTGCCCCTTCCTCTTTACGATACCACTGGAGACACTTCTACTTTTGGCATGAGCAAGGGCGGATGTGTGCTGACAACCGGAAGGGTATCGGCGCTCAGCAAGATGCCGCACGGATGCACCGGGTCGTGAGCTTCTACGAGAAGCTGCCACGGGGTCCAGCACCGGACCCGAAGCCAAAGGGCCTCCTCCAGAGGTACCAGGCGCGGTACATGGGCAAGAATGCTTCAGCGATGCGTAGGGCTCCGCGCAAACGCTATATGGGATTGAAGTTAGCTAACCGTTTGGGACAGCCATTGTTCACGTCATTGGCGGCCTGATGTTGATCGGCTACATCCAGAACTACTACTTCCATTTGCGTATGTGTTGGGGAAGGTTTGAGCTCACGATTTTTACTAATCGGCTGTAGGTCACCACAAGAACAATGCTCACTGAGGGCGCATATGTGGCTGTTAAAGCATGGATCAGAGCGTTTGGCTGTAAATATTCCTTAGACAAAGCGTGAGCGCAGCGCAACGAATCTGACAGCGTTGTATTGATGATGTGAAGAGAACCACACGATTCGTCGCGAGTGCCCACGGAACAGCCTCCCTTATAGAGATTCACTCCGGAAATTGAGGAAAGAGAAACGAGCTGCCTTACTGCCTGACTGCCTGAGTGCTTTGGCTCTTGCACCTGCCAAACTTGATTCGCGCACGAGCACCCCAACAGCCTTCGCATTTGATACCTAGGTAGTTACGAAGCTGCGACTGATCTGGAGGTCAGTCATCATGAGAAACCACCACCGGTCTCTTTTCGACTGTCGGCGTCAAGCATGACATATCAGAGCTTGAGGTCTGGATCGCTGTTTCCTTGTACCAGAGTTGATGGCTGGGTAGCACCCATAGACCATCCAGGTACTATACCTTATGGCCGAAAGTCTAGCTTAGTCCTAGATTCTATTTCACCCACTTTGTCTCCGTGTTTGTCTCTGGTGAATTCTGTCTTAATCATGGATGAAGTGATCGCTCGTGACCTTGTCGCTTTCAGCCTTATCCGGGTCTTGGCGCTCCGTGAGAGACGACAGACCCAGTGCCACGCTGCAGTACCGTACTCCTTTCTTCAAATAACTGCCTACACGGAGCCCCAAGCGTCCGCTGTCACCTCCCTCATCTGAGCTCGTCACCGAACGAAGCTCGAAGCCGATAGACAGGCTTGCCATCACTCCAGCGCGCCAGCTCATCCCCGAGTCCGCCGCAACCTCACACCTCCACCCGTCGATACGACCCCTCGTAGCCATCATTCTCCTGCGGAAGCGCCTACTTGAAACTCGTGGCGACTTCGAGGACCTGACATTAGGTACAAAGCTCTTCCACTTTGCCGGCGCATGAGGGACGCCTATCCCTTTACAACGAGCTCCGTCGTACTTTATACCTGCACAACTTGACACACCTTTCTGACGACCTTGACGCTATCTCAGACCCAAGTTTGTTATGGCAGAGCAGATCACTCGCGATGTGGTAAACGAAGCACAGTCGATGGGTGACCCTTCGCCCATCGACGCTCCTGCGACAACCACCACCATTTCCAGCACGGGCAACTGCCAAGCCGCCCCAGAAGCCGCGAACATCGAGCCAAAAGCCTCCGACGATCTCCTGCAGTCTCCACTGTATGCCCCCATTATCGAAGCACCAGCCGCCGATGACACACGCCTTCCCGACAATGTACAGGTGAATGATGTGAAAGGGAGCGGTGAGGGTGTATTGAGTCACGAAGATGTGCCGACAGATGTACAGAATGCGGCGCCTGAGGGAGTACAGTCACAGCCCCCAGAAGCTTCCGATGGTGCAGCAGATGAGCTCGTAAATGGCGACAGCGGAGACTATCTGGCACCTGACGATGGCACGCGAGAGCTTGCCGCAGCGGAAACAAGCGGCGGGTCGGATACAGAGGCCAGCAGAGCGGATAGCACAGACCCTACAAGCGAAGGACCAAGAAGGCATCTCCGCTCGAACTCGGTCAAGAAACCTACGTCCTTCAAACCTGTCTCTGTGACCAAGAATTTCCTCGCCAAATCTGGAGCATCAACACCCTCTGCACGCCCCACCGACAGAGGTAGGTCAAAGGCAGAACCGTGCGATGTGCACCGCTTTGCTGATTCAATTGGTAAAGGTGGTTCTCCCCTCGGACAGCCGAACAGCTCATCGCAACAACTAGCAAGACCAAGACTGGTTGCGAAGGCAGGCAGCGGCACCTCCGCCCCAAGATCGGGGTTGTCCAAGGTCAACGGAGCAGGCGGCGCCCCGGACGCAAGCACGGTTTGGAACAAGAATCGACGTATGTTCGTTTGCTACCATCATCCCCAACAGACAAACTAACTGCTATAGCTGCGCCAACGCCTGCCGCAAAGTCATTAACAGACGAGGAGCTGAAGCAACAGTTCGGTATTCATATGGCCACACGTCTACAAGCGGACGAAGCAAGCAAGGATCCAAAGTGGGCAGACATCGAGGACGACGAGGACGATTGGGCGCCCGAGACTGTGGAATGGATGGATGGCACGAAGTCGACCCTTGCCCAAGCCGAGAATCAAGCCCCTTCTGACGAGGAGAAGCCGAAACCTGCCCAGCGAGAGAAGCCCGCTGACAGTCCTAAACCTGCGTTAGCTATGGCGCAACGGCCTAGTGCTACCGGAGGCACGAAGACGATACTAAAGCCAGGAAGCCATACTCCAGTGAACCAACCCAAGCCTGGCGGCCTTGTGCTGAAGGGTGCTCCGGAGAAGCCCACACTCGTAGCTAAACCGGCAGCCCCTGTACCAGCAAAGTCTCCATGGGCGCCCTTGCCTCCCATTGATAAAGTCTCTCCTATTGCCCCTTCAGTGCAACCACTACCTCAATCACGATTCTCGCAACGAGATCCACACGGGTTTGATGCCTTACCGCCAGCCCCATCCCCTGCCAAGGAGATAGCCGCCGACGACTTCAGCCGATCGTGGCGTGAGGATCGAGGTACCAAAGAGCTGTTCAACTCACAATCTGGACGGTATGAGCCAGTCAACGAGACACGTAGAGGCTCTGCGCGAATTGATGGTGGTTTCCGGCAGCCCTCGGTACTTCAGAGACCTCAACAAAACCAGCCCGGACCCGCAGAACCATCAGCAGCATTTCAGACGAACAGAGCTGGCCACGCCGCTGAAGGAGGCACGTGGACGAGGCGGCGAACATCCTCTAATGTTAGCGGCGGCTCCGGCCAGATGCGTAGAATGTCCTTTAGTAGACCTCACGAGGTTCTGTCTATGCCCTCTGATCCGCTTCAGAGGAGGCCCTCTCAACAACTGAATGTTGGAGATGCTGGTAGACCTCCGTTCCCACAAGGACGCACACCTTTTCCCGAACAAGGCATGCCCTCCGTGGGGCAGACCATGGCTCGCGGTGAGCAGATTCCACCTGACTCGGCTCGGGATCGTGCACGACCCGCTTCGCCCGGCGACCCCATCATATCAACGGTTGCGGCAGGCACGGATTCTCAGGTACCGGAACCTCCACTGCCTCTGCCTGAGGACCCAGTTGTAGTGCAGCAGCGTCTCATGCGTGAAAAGATTGAGCGCGCGAAGAAGGAGAAGGAGCGTCGCAAGGAGGAAGAGGAGCGGGAGGAAGCGGCGCGCAAAGAACGGATCAAGCTGAAGCTTGCAGCTCTGGGGCCCCCACCAGACCAGAAGGCGAGGGCCAGAGAAGCATCTGACCTCCCGAAGCCGGGCGCGCAAGCGGAAACCCCTAGTGCAACTTCAGCTTCACTTGCTCAACCAGAGCTAGACCAGCCACCTCCCCCGCGGGACGGGCCTGCGCGGCCGTTTATTCCCGAGTCCCCAACAACGGCGATACCGGCAATACCGACAATACCGGCGACAATAACAGGCGAGGTGACGCACTATGGATTGATGAAAATCCACCAACCCCGCTACTTAAACCCCCCAGCCCCCTCGCCAGATTCCTCTTCTTCCCACACTTTTTCCCGCGAGCGTCCAGTACTTCAAAAAGCATCTTCACGCTCTGCACAAGAGATCCAGTCTGCTACTCAATCAGCCCACTCAACCCAATCAACTCATTCAATCCACACGAACCCATCATCCTCATCAACTCAATCAACTCGATCAAGAGAAATGGCTCCTCAAATGGATGTCCAGATTGCCTCCAGCGCTCTTCACCACGACCCGCTTGTCAAGGCTCAGGCAGAGCTTCGCAAAGGTACTGCACCACTTTCGCACAATTTCTCACTGCCGCTGGTGTCGCAAGCATGGAAATCTAATAAACGTGCAGATGCCATCAACCCTTGGGCTGGTAGCAGCGGCATGGCCGTTTCCATGGCTACGGGAGGCAATGTCTGGGGCGCTCCTTCCCACGATCGTGCTCTCGGCAACGGCACCTTCGAAAAGCAACAGCCATTGACACAGCAACATGCGATTGCTTCTTCCTACACTCCTCCTCACTTGCGTGGTCGCTCGCCTGAGCAGTTAGCCAAGTTGCAAGCTTCGCAGCAACAAACTGCAGCTCCTCCCTCTCAGAATCAAGATGTTGCGGACTGGTCGGCAGTCAATCGTGGGCCGTCAAAAGAGCAATTGGCCGCTGTGGCCAAGTTGAACAAATCGCCACCCTCATCTCGTTCAGTCTCACCAAAGAAACCATCTCCATGGGATTCCACCTCTCGCTCGCGCTCACCCAAGCAACATCAAGCTCAACACGTCACCGTTCCCAGCAAGGCCACTCAAGCGCCCACCGCACCAGGCCCTATTGGCCGTCCTCTCACAAATTCGGCCGCTCGCAATGGTGTCCAGCCGAAAAAGTACGACACGTCAGTCTGGACGACCCTCCCAGGTCAATTGTCTGTCGATGAGAAGGCCATAGCCGAAAAGAACAGAGCTGAACGCGCTGAACTCGATAAGCGCATCGCAGCTGGTGAGGTTTTCTCATACAACCCGGAAATCGACGTCGTATTCAAGAAGACTGGCGAGAGGAGGACCAAATCGCCTAAAACCACCGACGCTCAGCCAGTCAAGACCGTTGAACCTCAGCCAGACAAAGCCGTCGAAGCTCGGTCAGTCGAAATCATCGGAGCCCAACCGGTCAAAGCCATCGAACCTCAGACGATCAAGGCCGTCGAACCTCAGCCGACCAAGTTCACCAAAACGACTTGGAACAACCTTCCAAGCACATTGGCTGCCAATGAGAAGATCACCGCCGACAAGAACCGGATCGCTCTCGCTGAATTCGACAAGCTCACAGCGGCTGGTATGCGGCCATCATACATGGTTGATGTGCAAACAAACTTCAAAAAGATTGGTGGTGGCAAACCCAAGTCGCCCAAGACTGAGGTAGTCGTCCAATACGCAAAACCAACACCAGATGGCGAAACAAGCGCGACTTCAGCTCACCAAGACGAGATGGCAGCCACCATCTCTCGGCCGCCGAAGCACGAATTCACCGTTGTCCAGCCAGCGCCTCAGTCTCAAGCTCCGCACATCATCGCGGGCCAGCGTAGTTCAAAGTTCTTCCCACGCAGTCAGGACGCGCAAGCTCCGCAGCCTTCTCCTCCATCATCGAAGTCAGCCTCACCGCCACCTCCTGAATCCAGGAACCACCCAGCCCATGGTGAGTCCTCAAGCGCACCAAAGGTCAACTTGCCGATCCCGAAGGCAGTTGTTAAGCTCCCACCCGCACCAACTCCGGTTCCAAAGCCTGTTCAAGCGCCAGTTCGTGCACAGCAGACCCGCCTTGGGTCTCAGCCAATCGTCGCATCCCTTTACTGGCAAGAACGTTTCGGTGCATTGCTCGGAAACCGGACAGCACAGCCTGTCCAGGCACTAACCTCACCCCCAACCCAGGCAACTGCTCCAGCCAATGCACTTGCTGTGAGCTCGGCATCGAAGCCGTCAATCGACGTGACTTCGGCGCAGGCCCAGACGACCGTTTCGCTGCCAAATCACACCAGCAGTCCCAAGGCCATCAGTCTCACAGACGATACCGATGCAGTCATCTCGAAGCCCACTGAAGAGGACCTCCACAACGATCGCGAATTTGGGTCTACCCCGACCGTTCGTCTACCAAAGAACCCGGCCGTGTACGCTGGCCTCCTCGCTCTCGGACCGCCTCCGCGCCCATTGCTACCGCACCTGAGGTACTCCCGGCCAGTCGAAATCTCTACAGCTCAGCCGGTCGAGTTTGCTCCAGAAGTCTCCATGTCCGCAGTTTCTGGTCTTGTTCTCAAGATCCGCCTACCTGGTCAGGAGGCTACGAAGACATGCATCATGCCGAGGCCGCAAACCAGCAGTATTCGCTACACCAACACCAAGAAGACCTTCACGCCGCGCACCAGCAGCAGCAATCAGCAAAACGCTCGCGCAAGGAAGCCCCAGGGTACCTTCCAGCCTCAAGGCCAGAGTCAGACCGCAGCGCCGCGACCACAGGGTCAGAGCAATAACGTGTGGGCCAAGCCGTCAAAGAGCGCTTCTCAGGGCAACAGGCGTAACTATGGCATGGTCCACTGAGCATGGGGTCGTTCTCTTACGTCAACATCCTCGGCACCTCGAACGGCGCGGATAGCTGGCGGCGTACTTGTCATCATTCACTTTTGCCTCACTGCAAAACTGCGCAATACCCTACTCTCTCGATCGCGCTATGACTGTGTCTTGCGTTTCTGACGGGACGGAACTTGTCATTCGGGCGACTGTATCTCTCTCTCATGGCATGGATCGATGGGGAACCCGGATCGTAACTGCGTTTTCTTTGTTTGACTGCGTTGCGTTGGCTTTTCATGGCACTGGGGTTTTCTGCATCTTGTTTTCCTGCGTTGTCTTCTCTGCATTTGCGATGCTCACTGCGCTGGCCCACACTGTCTTATACCACTTCTCCTACTCGCTTTGGGGATGATGGGATGGAGCTGCTGTGGATGCACTTCGTCGCGAGCCGGTTGATCGGTTGGCTGGCTGGCTGCTACTACTTGCGATGGGTTTCTGTGTTTACTGGGCATGGGGCATACAGGAATGGTGTATCTTAGTTTCTTGACTTTAGCAAATCACTTTCACTCAATTTTTGGGTCTGCTTGTGCCTTGATGATGTGAACCTGAGAATCGTGCTCCACGACTAATATTTGAGAAGTGAAATTAGAAGTCGCGGTCGTGCTATGTAAGGAAAGATTAAATTAAACATCGACCTGCCGTCCGTTCTTACTTCTGCTCTTGGCAACAACAGGATTGTCCAGACTTCTACGTCATTTACACCCATCTCTAAGGACTCTTTCGCCCAACTTGCCAATTCACTCCTTTAAGACAGACAGGTGAGGTCAAGCAGGCTGACTCAGCAATCGAGTTTCGGCCCGTAGCATCGGATTGACGTGCGGGAAGCCGCGCCTCTTCCGAGTGCCTTGCGTCGGGAGCGTTCTCCAATTAACGCTCTTCACCAGAACCGACGACCAGAACTGGCCATCGTCATTGAAACGTGAGGACCGGAGCACAGCGTCCCCTGCTATGCTTCCTTTCATGGCATAGCACTGCCGTTAGTCCGTGGGGCAGCCTCGAGGATGCCCCTCATGGGAGGAATCTGTGTCCCTTGATGGGTGCACGTCATAATGAATTTCTAAGCTGAATTTCTAAGCTCCGTTTCTTGAGCTCACGCAAAGTTATCTGCTTCCTTTCCTTCCGTAGTTATAAGAACGCAGTGATAACCAGTTCTGCATTATCTTCTTACAATATCTGACAACTCAATCTCACAATGGCTCCTCAGACATGCAAGCAATGGACCGTCGAAGGCACTGGCGGTTTTGACAACCTCAAGTTCCACAAGGACGCACCTGTGCCAAAGGTTGGAGACAAGGACGTGCTGGTCAAACGTTAGTGATGCCTCAACCTTGGCCCGCCATGCTTGGGACGATATTTGCTGACAGCTTTGATAGTCTATGCTACATCTCTCAATTACCGGGACCTCATTATCCCCAAGGTGCGCCCTTGACCTTTCCAGTCGTTGGAGAGGATCCTCCAGCTGATAAAATGCAGGGCCAGTATTCGTTCGCTCAGAACGATGGTGTCGTACCCTGCTCCGACGGCGCCGGCACAGTCGAAGCAGTTGGCGAGAAAGTGACCCGCTTCAAGGTTGGCGACAAAGTAGCCACCCTCTTCAACCAAGGCCACATTGCTGGATCCTTGGACGCGCATTCGGTAGCCACCGGTCTCGGCGGAGCCATCGACGGCTGCTTGAGAGAATACGGCACGTTCGACGAGCAGGGCCTGGTACACATGCCCAGCAACCTAGATTTCCTCGGCGCAAGCACACTCACTTGCGCGGGACTGACGGCATGGAACGCGCTCTATGGCCTCAAGAGCGTCGCGTTGAAGCAGGGTGATACCGTGCTTACGCAGGGAACTGGCGGCGTCAGCATTTTCGCGGTTCAGGTAAAACAAACCGATAGAAAGGCTTGGGGAGCGAAGCAGGATGACTGACACTGCCCGCAGTTCGCCAAGTCGGCTGGCGCCACCGTCATCGCGACTACCTCGTCACAGGAGAAAGCGGACCAGCTGAAGAAGCTCGGCGCAGACCATGTTATCAACTACAAGGAGAATCCGAATTGGGGCGAGACGGCCAAGAGCCTGACACCCGGCAAGGAGGGTGTGACCCACATCATCGAGGTTGGCGGACCGAACACCTTAAAACAGGTAGGACTCCATGTAATGCGGTAGGAGTCAGCATTGCCGCAACATTAACTGACACAACCCGGCTCTAGTCCCTTAAGGCCGTCAAGATCGACGGCGTCATTTCCATCATCGGCTTCTTGGGTGGCGCGAAGGGCGATGAGCCGAGCTATCTTGACTGCCTTACCAATATCTGCACCGTTCGTGGCCTCCTCGTCGGGTCGCGCCTGCAGTTCGAGGAAATGAACCGCGCCATTGAGGCGAACGACATCAAGCCGGTGGTCGACCAGAAGGTGTTCACGATTGACGAGGCGAAGGATGCGTATCAGTACATGTGGGATCAGAAGCACTTTGGGAAACTGTGCATCAAGATCCAGTAGGGTAGATTATGACGTGATGCCAGCAGATTCCTACTCTGGGACAGCTTCAATACCTCAGCTAGGGATGTTGAGACTCGACAGAGTTGACTGCACTGTAAAAACCACACTCTAGACGTGTGTTGCATGGGCTGGGGTCACACGGCAGAGCGGGGAAGAGCGAAAATCGTACAGCTATGACAAACCACTGTGGTCCATAATCTGCTTACCGCTCATCTGAAGTGCAACAATGTGCTGTCGAGGTACGGACTCCGGTCTCGCCGTGCGGCTGAGCAGCGAGTAAACAGCGCGGCAGGGCACAGATTCTGGAACCTGGCCTAGTACGATGACACATACCTACAGCAGATGGAAGGTTTGCTGGACCTTGCCAACGTGCTCGCTCAATGTAAAACTCCATACTGCAAGAACATGCTAACAGCCTTCAACACCACCACGTCATCGCACCATACCAGGTGTTGAGTACGCGCAGGACGATGGCGTTCGCCAGATGCATGCCAGTCACCGAATCACGCGACAGAGCTCACCGGTGACTGCGCCGCAGGCGATGAGCCAGTAATGTGCGGCCTGTAGGGAATGCGTGTGCGCACTTCAGCACGTAGCTCAATACTCACGGAGCGGTATGGCTTCAACTCGCTCTAGAGCATCCAAAGCCACCTGGGATCGTATGATGCCGCCCATCGCTGTTGCCTAACAAAGTGGGGATTTATAAGTAGCAGGCGTCTCGGTCACATATCTGTTGAGCGGCTCGTCTCAATCTCAATACCAATCTCACCAACTCTAGTCCAGAGATCCTTTCACACAACCACTCCGTCCTAACCTGAACTATCATCGTGAAGTAGCAGACAATGGCAATTGAAGTCTTCCTCCCCAGTGGAGCCGACGGCGCAGTGAAGCATCCAAAGAACGATCCAGTGGAGTCGTCTGAGCCTACCAGCAATGGAACGGCCACAGCGAATGGGCATGTTGAGACGCCTCCTCAGGAGAAGGAGCTTGAAGTGCGTATCCTGCCAAGCGTTCTATCTTATCATGTTTCGGCTCTACTAGACTGGCTTTCATGACTGCGAACCGTTCCAAAGACTATGCTAACGCCGTAACCCAGGCCCCGAAAGAACCACAACTGCCCACTGGCTCCAAAGGCGAGATCAAAGCCCTCGTACAGCGCCTGAAAGATGGCGAGATCAAGATTGAAGAACGAGAGACATATCTCTCATCGCTCGAGCGGAAGCCGTACGGCGAATTCGCCATAGTGACCAAGCAAGTCTTCTCCGACAAAGACAAGCTCGAGAAGACGCTTGTCGAGATCAACTCGCCGCAGCTCCTGACCGCACTGAAAGAGCTTGTCAAGTACTATCCCGCAGAGCCGCTGCAATTCGAGAAGCAAGCCACCTTCGAAGACCCGTTCATGCTGCTCAATCACTACGTCCCAGAACTCCAAGCGTACAAGCAGAAGACGGACGATGATGTCGCGAAGGAGCACATCGATCTCCTCATAGGCTTTCTGGAAAGCGAAGCCGGCGAAAAGGGCCAAGAGGCCAAACGACTAGTCAGGTCAAGCCTGATCACCTTCGACCTCCTCTGGGTCATCTTCAAGCCCGGCGAGCTGATGTACGAGTCTAAGCACGGTCACGAGCGCCTTTACCAGCTGCAGCGCACCGGCTACGGTGAGACGAACGAGCGCGGTAGGTTCTTCGAGGTCTCGTGCGGCTATACGAACTCCGACGGGGTTCGATCTGGCAGGTCCTCCACTAGTCTGAGGATTTGGGAGCGCAACGAGTTTGTGGGACAGAGCCCTGCGAGTGTTGCGGGGCTTTCGGTCTTCCCGCTCAGCTTCCGCGGTCAGCAGGAAGAGCTTAAGGATAGACTTGTTCAGCGCGGGAAACAGTATCTGGACATCCGCGGTGTGACAAGCTATGATTATGAAGGACTGTTTCTCTATCTCAAGCAGCCGCCGGCGGACTTCTACAACGAATGTGCTACTTATGAAGGAACGTGGCTTCCACGTACGGTACGTCTAGATCTCCTCCTCCTGGATTGCCTGATGGCAGACATGGGAGCTCCTCACGTTTGTTTCGCGTCTCTCGTCGTTCTCTCGGAGCACTTTCTGTCCTCGAACGGCTGCCACTCCGATTTCTCCTTCAGTCTCTCCTTGTATTCCTCTTTCTCAAATTGCGCCCGTCCGGAAGCTCTATCTTTTTGCTGTCATGCCTTCTAACAACCCAACAGGCCGCGGAGCGCATCGTCGTCGATAACAAGACATTCCTCGAGGAGCTGGCGAAGCAAAAGGAAGATGTCTGCATCACCTGCCCAGAAAAGAAGATTTCCGGGGCGGAAGGCGTGTCATATGAGAATTCCGACGCCGACCCACTACTATGCCCCCCTTATGTTTACGGCTTCAACCTCGAGATGAAAGAGTGGTGCCGATTCTTTGTCGACTCCCTGAAGCCGTTCGGCTGGGTCCCCAACGCCATGGACCAGCTGGTGCTGCCCGACGCTCAGCGGCGGCTAATCCGCTCGCTGGTAACCGCACACCGCTTCCCTGATCAAGCACGCAACGAAGCTACACTAAAGGGCAAGGGCCTCATCATGCTCCTGCACGGCCCCCCAGGCTCCGGCAAGACGCTAACGGGCGAACTGGTGGCCGAGCACACCAAGCGCCCGCTCCTTAAAATCTCCACGGGCGAGCTGGGAAGCTGGGAGCACCGCATCACGTTCGAGCTGAAGCGGCTGCTGACGTACGCGTCGATCTGGCACGCGATTGTGCTGATCGACGAGGCGGATGTGTTTCTCGAGGCGCGCAGGAGCGGGGCTAGGGACCAGCTCGAGCAGAACAGCATGGTTGCGATCTTTCTCAGGCAGCTGGAGTATTTCCAGGGGATTCTGTTCCTCACGTCGAATCGCGTTGAGGTGTTTGATCCGGCGATTAAGAGTAGGATTCATCTTGCGCTGCAGTATAATGCGCCGGATGGGGGGACGAGGAGGCAGATCTGGAGGCAGCAGCTCGCGAAGGTGCCGCTGGAAGAGGCGGAGCTTGATGTCGAGAGGTGTCTTGCTGTGGTCGTCAAGGCGGAGATGAATGGGAGGGAGATTGCGAATGCGGTCAATACTGCGAGGACGCTGGCGGCGGCTGAGGAGGGGAAGTTGAGGCTGGAGCATCTGGAGACGGTGTTGGACGTGTGGAGCGACTTCCAATCCGCCATTGAGAAGATTGAGAAAGATGGACAGTCGTGGCATGAGCGGAAGTAGGCCTCGGGCTGACCAAGAGTACTTTGCGAGCCTCCCGTCTTGCGATATCTCACAGTTCTGGGTATGTGAATCATGAGTTATGATGCAGGATAGACGTGGGGGAACTGCTTTTTGGGCTCACGTATTCAACATCGAACTGCGATCGTGCTAGAGTTGTGGTCACATGGGGCGAGCATACCAAGATTGGAACCTGTGTGATGGAGGATACTGGATCTTGCGGCAGTGAAACGATTTGGTGCACCAGTTGCCTGAAAGATCCTGGGCGTGAATGTGGGATCCGGGACTTCAGCTACAAGTTCGATGTGATAGTCGCGAGTACATATCCGGCTTGAACGCAACTCCGCGTGAATACGTTGTTCTGTGAGGCAACCCCGAGTATGCAGACTGTGTTTAACCGCCAAGGTGTGATGGAATGGTTCATGGCAGCAATCGAAGTCGTAGCATTCACATTAAAAACATCCGAAGGGCACTCATGCGCATTCCAATTCATCTTCAAGCACTATAGTGGCATTCGGTATCCGTCGTAATCGTAACAATAAATCATCATTCCCAGCCGTGAAGTCAAATCCATCCCCCCTCCGTCCTTCCCTTCCCCTTCCCTTCCCATTACAACCTCACTTCTTCAGCTGTCCAGCATCCTTGACGCCCTTGCTCAAGCTCCCCGTAGCATTCTCCACGCCCCCAGTGAGGCTGGTGAGGCCATCAGAGAGAGGCTTCGCGGCCCCACCTGTCGCGCCCTCGAGCGTCTCGCCGACGCCGCGGCCGGCCGCGCCCACAACGCCTCCTACAGTGTTCGTCAGGCCGCCCACCGTGTTGCCGAGGGTCGAGGTCACGAAACGCGCGCCGGAGGTGACGGCGGATTCGTCTTTCTTGTCGTCGGAGCCGAGGGCCATCGTGGTGGTTGGGTGGGGGTTATGTTGTTCGGAGCGGGTAGTGCGTTCGACTCTGGATTGGTTGGAGATGTTTTGCTTATAGGTTTTTTTGCTTCTTTTGGAGCGGGGTAGGTTTGAAGGCCTTTTGCGGTTATGAGATCCTGAGAGAGAGCAGAGACGGGGGCTCTTTATGCTAACGTCCCCGCTATCTGCGCACCCGTTACGTCCCACACCTCGAGCTGGAGGTAAGGGATCAAGGGTCCAGGCTGTAAGGCTCTGACATCATTCCCGCCGCTCCACAGCCATTCACAGCCACGAGGTCGACTGCTGCCAAGGGATCTGGATGCGCGGATGAAACGCAGCGGCACACGTGCAGGATCGAGGGGTAAGAGAATGACGACGAGTGCGTCAGGTGAGGGGATCTCCCGCCGTGCTCGATGATGGACCATGGCAGTTGAGAGCTTCATGGCAGGGATGTGCCGGACATGGCTCCTAAACGTGGGGGATTGGGGGACATGGAATCAAAAGCTGTTGTACGCTGTTGCGAGTTCTACAGCTTCGCCTTCGCTCCAAGCACGTCCTCCACCAGCTTCTCGGCCGCCATCGCAGACCCGTACGACGACTGGTACCCGTATCCAGCATGCCCATACTGATGCACCACCCAGAGCCCATCGATCTTCTCTTTCTCCACCCGCGGGCCACCCTCGCGCATAGGCCGGAGACCCACACCATGCCGGATGATGCTAAGAGCCTCAGGCCCCTTGCCGTCAGTCAACGCCGGGCAGAGCTCGACGCAGCGCTTCATGATACGCATAGCGAGATTGGGGTCCGGCTGTGACTCCCAGTTATCCTTCTGGAGGCAGCCGCCTAGGACGCATCCGCCGCCTCGCTGATCTCAGTACACAGCTTTGACATCGCATGGTTTAGGGGAACTCACCAGCTGCACGATGCATAATGTAAGTTGCCTCGTCCTCCCCATCGTCGGTCCCAGAGATGGAGGCCATGACCTTGGGATCGTTGCGCACGACGACAACCTGCCCGCGAGCAGGGTAAACAGCCGCGTCTTCGACACCACCCAGCTTACGCGCTGAGAGGCCGGTGCAATTCACGACGATGTCCGCGCGCTTGCCGGTGTGGTGAAGCGTCGCTGCTTCGGCGACGTGCGCCACGATCCCGCGCTTGACGATGACGCCGTTCTTCAGGCATTGCCCGACAAGCCAGGGGAGGTAGATGGCGGTGTTGATGCAGACGGAGGTGAAGGAGGTGGCGGAGTCGATGCCGGGTGCTAGCTCGGACTGGGGGAGGACTCTGAACTGTGTTTTCGTGAGTAAGACCATCGGCGGGTGGGGGCTTTGGTCGGCGTAACGCACATTGGGCACGACGTCTTTGTACCACGGATCTGTCTTCAGCAGCTCTGCGAACCAGTTGCCCGTTGCGGAACCGACGTCTTTCTTGCGGTTATAAACGACGGTGTCTGTCTGCACGGTAAGTGCTCGATCATAGGCAGGCTTAGAGGGAATGCACCTTGAAAGTGGACGCCGGCTTCTATCACGTCTCTGGCTAGCCGTTGCAGTTCGGGCCAAGTGTCGATCTCGAATTGCTGTAGGGGCGTCCCCGGCTTCCCCACGCTTGTAGCAAACCGAGTCAGCTTGCTTGATCTGGAAACCCGTTGTTGGGTGTGTTGGTATTGAGCGTTGCGTCTCAACAAAGACAAGACATTCGTGTAGCGAACCGAGGCGATGACGCAGAACAGCCAATGTACGCGGAAAGTAGGTGTTGCATAGGAATTAATGAGACACCGGAGTGGAGCATGAGCGGGTGACTCTGGTTCGCTATGAGGAGATTCACGCCCAGCCTGCACACCCATTGGATGTGTGCAGCGAATGCCTTTTCCTTCCAGGTCTAGACATTTGAAGGGAATCTGACACGTACGAACTCTCAGGACCTACGGAAGGAAGTTTGCTCCCGCCCAGGGGGATGCATATTCAATATCATAGTCGCCGGGCATGTGCTTGGCGACAACAGTCACATGGTATTTTGTATGCTTCGACAACAGCAGTGCTGTCGTGAGGCCGACAACGCCAGCACTGAGACCAGCTTCAGCCTAATGTCCTCTGCCAACTGCTGCGGGGATCTTTGATCTTACCCCAGAACGACAATCCTCGCTTCAGACATGAGTTCAACGATTGTCGTGAGGAAGAATATGCGCAGGTGAAGTGAAACGGCTGCCTTGGGTGAAAGGGTCAGAGGACCAGCTCCGCTCAGCTGAAATGCACGCACGAGCAGCTGACAAACCAGTACGACGACCAGAGCAAAGAAAAGAAACAGACCCAGCGCTGATCTTGCTGCTAGGACGAACACCTACCTAGGCAGTCATCTATCAACAACTGTCTAGTTAGATCTATCTGTGTGGGCGGGCGGGCAGATTCGTCAAGCCGGCGATCAACGGGATCCCCTGTTCGGCGCGGAAGCGGAGAAACATTTGGCGGCGGCCCAGCATCATCCAAGGATCATAAGGTTCCGTCCTGTTGGCTGCACGCGAGGAGAAGCAGCAGCAGCTTCCCACGGCGGCCTTCTGTCGCCTGGTGCTGCAACAAACCCGCAACAACTGCCCGTTAACTAGCTTCCCTTCTCTCAAAACCTTCATGACGAGCTTCTACCCTCCTGGTCTTTGCTGTCTCCCTTCTTTTTGCCGCCCGAAATGGGAGGTTCAGCCGATGAATTCCCTTTGCTCTCAGCTCTGGGCTTGTACGCTGCTGATATCCGAGGGGACGGTATGTGGACAATTCTTGTCTTCCGCTAACACAAACCCCGCACAACGCCCATCAGACGTGTGTTTGCTAAGACTTGAACTTTCCTGCAGGCAACTGCTTGTTCAATGCCCTCTCAGACCAGCTCTACGGCCACCAAACCGAGCACCGGACCATACGGGCAAGGGTCATCACCTACATGCGAGACAATGCCGACTACTACAAGCAATTTATCGACGTACTACCAGGCGGCGGAGTGCGAAGGAACCCTAAACGCAAAAATGCCGGAGCATATTCAACACCGACAACCTACACGCCTGCAACACCGGAGGAGATCGACCGCGTCTTCGAGAGTCACCTGGAGAGCATGGCCAAGGGCGGTACGTACGGAGACAACATGGAGATAGTGGCCTTCAGCTCTGCCTATGGTGTGGACGTGAAGATCTATCAGAGGGACTTCGCCTACGTCGTGTCGGCAGCTGGCGGAGACGGCCAGAGAGACGTGGCACATATCGCATACCATGTTCGTTGCTACCATGCCCCTCTGCTGCTTCGGCTGAGGAAGATCCATCGCTGTGTATGAGAACTAACCTCTGGTTCCACCGTAGACCTGGGAACACTACTCTTCCATCCGAAACCTTGACGGACCCCACACCGGCCCTCCAAAAGTCTGTGAGAAGGCCCTCTCCCCCGAAGAAGAACGACGGCAGAAAGAGAAGCTGGAGAAAACGCCCTATGTTCTCCCATGGATGATAGACGTCGTGTCAAGCTCCCTACCCTTCCTCGCCGACAAACCTACCATCAAACGTGCGCTGGAGGAAAGCAAGGGCAATATTGACAGCGCCGTCTCGAAGCTGCTAGATGCAGAAGACCGCGGGAGCGTATCTTCGGCACAGGAGAGCTCAAGCGTAGAGCGAGAGCCTGACAGTGACGACGACGTGATCAACGGACCCAACAAGAAGCAAGACAGGCGATTGAGCAGAGCAACGAAGACAATGAAGAAGGGTCAAGAGCGGAGGCGTCAGATAGCCTCGGAGCTAGCTTCTTATGACGGCTCACGGGAATCGCTGGTCAGTGAGGCCTCGCGAAAGTCTCGCAGCCCAGGGACGTCGCACCTGAAGGAGGAGATTGCCGATACCGAAGACGAGGATAGCCGATCAGACTTCGTCAAAGAAGAAGGAAAAAGCGAACCAGCAGTACTACTTTCGGCACCGTCTTCTCCACGGAAACCAGTGCGGCTCAAGCTCAATCCCCCGAAACCTCCCGACCCTTCCTCAACGGGCGGTGGCAAGACCCAGCAGAAGCAACCGGGTCCCCAGCGCAAGCACGGTCCGACGGCTCGCGAAAAGAAAGACATCAAGAAGCAGGCGCAAAAAGCGGCGCGTAAGGAGCGGGCACTGGCCACCACGTCTCCCAATGGCACCACCGAAGCCAAGAAGAGCGGTCTGGCGATTTTGACAAAAGCAAAAGGCAACTCGTTCATCGAAAGCGGCATCAAGACGCTCTACATCTGACGATCATGTCACCCGCTATACGTCTTCGGCTGCATGAGACCTGACTGACTCTGGACTCGGCCGGCCTCGTTCACTCTCTCATTCCTTTTTTTGGATCCTGCTCTCACCTCGTGATACCCTTCATCTGACTCAGGTCAGCTTTGCTATTTGCTCAAAGTGTTTGTTGAGGGGTCTAGCGACCCTTGATTTTCTTGGCGGTTAGCGAACATCTTTCTGTGTGCGTGCATGGCGACGGCGTTTGTCAGACTTAGCATATAGCTTGGGCGTGACGGTGCTGAAGAGCTCGGGCATCGGTCTCCCTTGGCTTGCGGCGTTGGACTGTGGATTTTCGGGGAGAGAAGAAAATTAGAAGCATCCTCTTGTGCCGTTACAGGATGTGCCTTCACGAAGCCTTTAATGACCAGGACATGCTTATGTGTTTCAGATGCCGTCCGGTCTCCGAACCTATGAACATCCCCTGTCCCAGACAGGTGTGAGCGACCTCCAACCATGTACACGTTACCTTCTCGCGCAGCGGTGCCGTGATCCTTCTCTTTTGCACTCCATCTGTTGTCCAATCCCTTCCCACAACCAGTCCACTGGCTCGTTCATCCCACATAACCATCCCGCGTCCTCGAACTCACTTCTCCATCTCCTCAACAGCCTTATCAACCGCCCTCACAGCCTCAACATCCCCCGGCTCCAAGAATTCCTTGGCCCCAATATCCACAGCCTCGACCCCCTTTACTCCCTCCACGGTCCTGACCCGCACGTTCCCATCCTCCATCCCAAAATAGACCGCAACAGGCCTCTGCCCGCCCTGCCTCCCCCCACCCATCTCCTGCGCCTGCGCCCCATCCAACCCGCAAAACAACCCCACCTCCAGCACGCCTGTGATGTCCTTGATGCGTCTGCTCAGCTCCTGCACTTCCCAAGTATCGTCGCTGCCGTCGCCGCGGCCCTTGCCGGCGGAGACGTCGGAGGTGGTGAGCAGGGGCGAGGGGAAGGGCGCGTCGACGATGAAGAAGTCCTGGTCCGTTTTTAGGGGGCCGGTTTTGGCGAGCAGGCCGGTGCGGACGGTCGGGGTCGGGGAGCCGAGGAGGCGCAGGGAGTGCAGGACTGTGTGCACGGCTAGCGGGCAGACTTCGATGGGGATGGAGGGCCATTTAGTCAGGAGGCGGGATTGGTCTTTGCGGTAGTCTTTGGGACGGGGGAGGGGGTTAGCTTGGGAGCTGTGCTAGTATTGGGGTGTGCGGGAAAGGGGGGGAAGAGGGGGAATACCGGCTACGCAAACGAACTTCCTCGCCCTCTCAGCGACCAGTTTTTCTTGGAACAGGCACGCCCCGCCCCCCTTGATGCAGTTCAGCGCCTCGTCCACCTCGTCCGCCCCGTCGAAGGCAACATCCAGCACCACCTCCTCCGGCAGGCTATCGAACGCGACGGGCGCCAGGCCTGCCTTGATGATCACCTGTCGCGACTGGTATCCCGTTGGCACGAAGCTGATCGAGCTGCTGCTCCCCGACGAGGCGCAGGCGGCTTTGATCGCTTCGACGACGTAGATGATGGTGGTCCCCGACCCGATACCGACGAAGCGGAAGTCGGGCGAGAAGTGGTCGGCTACGGCGCGTTGGGCGGCGGTGCGTTTGGCGGACTCGATGGCGTCGGCCATGTTGCTGGGCGTAGTGATGGAGCGGTGGGATGGAGGGGAGGTCGGAAAGAACTTGAGGCTCGGAGTAGCTCGGTGGTTCGTAAGGACTGAGGAAGATAGCAAAGAGGATTTTAAGCGGTTGAAGCGGTTGAAGCGGTTGAGGGAGGCAGATGGGAATGATTGGAAGGGGAGGAGGGACCGTTGCGGGTTTCGAGTTTTTGATGGATGTGGTCGTATGGGGGTGAGGCCCTGGCGGGCTATCATCAGCTGTCAGAAAACTCGTCTCGGAAGATGGGTTCCTCGTGTTCACAGAACGAATTGGATCACAATTGATGATCTACAAAGCTGTTGTCCGAGCCCCCGGAGGTCTCAACACACCCCACCCCCACCGTTTTCGTCGCCCACCACCCCGCCGGCGCAGTGACGGACCGAGAGGCTTGGTTAATGTACTCAGTCACGTGCGTGTTTGTGACATCTACAGATACCTCAGTACCACATCTGAAGTCTTTCTCTAAAACACGATACAACATGGAAGAGCCCCTAACGGAGACTACACCTCCGATCCTTCAGGATGATGAGAAAAAGAGGAAGAAATACGACCGACAACTTCGCCTTTGGGCTGCTAGCGGCCAACAGGCCCTAGAGGAAGCTCATGTGTTGCTCATCAACTCTGGTCCTGGCGTAGTCGGCGTCGAAACTTTGAAGAATCTCGTTCTACCAGGTGAGGCAAGTTGCGAGAATCTCAAACTTCCTTGGTAGTGGCCACGATCGTAGAGCTCGGAAGAGACAGGTTCTTTATGTCAATAATCATTGTCCACCTTTTACTCTGTCATCCGCCCGTTTCCGTTGTCTCCATCATCTTTCTACTATCGACATCCGATAAGCACGCTGTCGTGACACACTATCTGCACTCAGCGGAGAGGGCAGGAAAACGATGCGGCCCAGTTGATGTTGACTATGGGGAAAGCAAGAGACGTCATCATCAGGATTTCCTTAAAGATCCAAGGGCCGATTTCCATGCTCTTGAACACGCTAGGTTCTCCCGAGCCCCCAACGAGCTCGATGTGAAGCTATCACGTTCATGACAGACGCCATGATGCACAAGGTGGCTACGACCTGTGTCACAAGACTTGAATGCTAAGCGAAATGTTCAGCGCATGGAGGAGCTAACTTTGCGCCAGGTATCGGTCAATTCACTATACTTGATTCCGCCGAGGTCACAGAAGCGGATCTCGGCGTCAACTTCTTTCTCGAGCCAGACGATGTGGGGAAATTTCGAGCAGAACGAACATGTGCCCTGCTAGAAGAGCTGAATCCCGATGTCCAAGGCCACTACAACACCGAGGTGAGTGAGGCGATAGAAGCATGTAACGTACGACTAACGCTTTCCAGCCTGTCGAATATTTTCTCACACAGTCCTCCGACACGCATTCCCTTAGGCCATTTACACACATCCTCGTTACCGCTCCCATCGTGCCGGAACTCCTCGCCGACATCCTCACCCACTGCCGAGCGACTTCGAAGCCACTATTCTACATCCATTGCGTTGGCTTCTACTCTGTTTTCTCCGTGCAACTACCAAGCGCGTTTCCCATTGTAGATACCCATCCTGATCCGACAGCTACCACCGACCTCCGCCTCCTCACGCCATGGCCCGCACTCTCTGCTCTTGTCGAGGAGAAGACGAGAGACCTGGACTCGATGAACGCGCATGAGCATGGACATGTACCTTATGTACTAATTATCCTGCACTTCCTCGAAGTGTGGAAACAGACGCACGATGGGCAGGTCCCGTCAAATTACCGGGAGAAGAGCGACTTCAAAGAGCTAGTACGGAAAGGGATGCGCATCAACAACCCCGAAGGCGGCGAGGAGAACTTCGAGGAAGCCATCGCCGCAGTGCTGAAGAGCTTGAACCCCTCAACACCTAGCAGCGCTGTCAAGGAGGTATTCGATGCAGAGGAGTGCAAGAACCTAACGCACGACTCGCCACACTTCTGGGTAATCGCGCACGCCGTATCGGATTTCTACAAAGCACACAACGCACTACCGCTGCCTGGATCGATTCCAGACATGAAGGCGCAATCAGCGGACTACATCCAGCTGCAGAACGTGTACAAGACGAAAGCACGTGAGGACGTGGCCGAAGTGACGCTAACGGTGCGCGAGCTCGCGAAGCAGCATGGTCACCTCGCCCAAGTCGATGAGAAAGAGATCGAAGCCTTTTGCAAAAACGCAGCGCATATCAAGCTCGTTCGCGGCCGGCCGATTAATCCAGCCTTCCCAGGCCAGAAACTGAAATGGGGCCAGAGGGCCAAAGCAGCCGGTCAGTCTTTTTCTCCATCTCTACCTCCTTTCTCATCTCGCTCTTCTTACAATCCAGCTCAGTCCACCGTCCACCAAGGAGGTGAGAGCTGCGCTAACAACCTTCCGCAGTCTCCGCACTCACAAACCCTGACTCCCTAATCCTCATCCACATCGCCTTCCTCGCCTTTGACGAGTTCTGCGCCTCCCACGACGCAGACGCACTGGCAAGCGCGCCGCGTGCTCCAGGCTCACAAGACTCCGAAGTCGAGTTCGACGCAGAGAAGATGACCGGCATCGCCAACACAATCATCGACAACTTGATCAACGAAGCTGGCACGCGCATCGAGGAGCCAGACTACTCAGACATAGGCGCCAGGGTTGCGAATTACGTGCAGGACATCGTGAGGGCCGGCGGGGGCGAGCTGCATAACATCGCTGCACTGACGGGTGGGATGGTCGCGCAGGAGGTTATCAAGGTCGTCACGAAGCAGTATGTGCCGGTTGACAACACGTGTGTTTTTGATGGAGTGGGGAGTCGGACGGAGGTGCTGAGGTTGGGGGCGGATGTGTCGGTGTAGAGAGTGCTGAGGGGGATGTGTGAAGGAGATTGGGGTGGAGGTGATAAAGATCAGGGAGTCGGCATGGTGAGGGGACTTCGTAGATGCCGTGGCATTCACTGTACGGACGCTACGCATCTAGAAACTCGACAAGACCAGGCGCGATGAGGATATACGGTCAGCGCACACGGGTGTTCCGCGCTGCTTGTTTGTGGCTATCACCCGGCAGCAACGATGATGGTCAAGGAGCATAGTGACAGCTGCAACGGCGAGATCTCGAAAACTTTCATTGAGATGCGCTACTTGCATTTGCCAGGGTACGCACAAAAACCAAAAATACCAACGCATGCAAGCTCTCAAACGCCTCGACAATAGTATGCGACATCACACCCCTGACCGCCTACTCATCCTCCTCCACCTCCGCCGTATCATCATGGAACGTCTTGCCCTCCATAGTCGGCTTGATCATTCCAATCCTTATACAGAAGTCACCAAACCTCTCCCCATCATTCCTCTCCTTCGCATATCGCCTAATCAGCGGCCTCATGATCTCCAGAATCTCCTCCTCCTTGATGGAGCTCCTGTACAGCTTGTTGAGCCGCTGACCATGGTACCCACCGCCCAGATACATGTTGTACGCGCCGTACGCCTTGCCTACAAAGGCCACCTCCGCTAACCATGGCCTAGCGCAACCGTTCGGACACCCAGTCATACGCATGACGATGGAGTCCTGCCTGAGACCCTCCTCCTCAATCACGCCTTCGAGCTTGGAGATCAGCTCGGGGAGGTAGCGCTCGCTCTCCGCCATCGCAAGACCACATGTCGGGAACGCGACGCAAGCGCTTGAGGAGAGGCGCAGGCCAGAGAAGTTGGTGTTGTCAAGCTTGTACTTCGCCAGCATGTCCTTCATCGACTGGAGGTCCTCGTCCGCAACTCCAGACAGGATGAGGTGCTGGTTGCCGGTAAGCCGGAACTCGCCTTTGTGCACCTTGGCGATCTCGCGCAGTCCAGTCTTCATGGGGAAGTCGGCCGTGTCCTCGATGCGTCCGTTCTCGATGAAGAAGGTGAAGTGGTTGAAGCCGTGCTCGTCCTTTTGCCAGCCAAAGGTATCGATATTGGAGTCGAATTTGAAGGGCCGAGGCTCCTGGAATTTGGCGCCCCAGATGTCTTCGACCTTGCTCCGGAACACGTCCACACCCATGTCGTCCATAGTGTACTTTAGGCGCGCGTGCTTCCGGTTCTTGCGGTCGCCGTGGTCACGCTGTACCAGCATGATCTTCTCGCACGCGATGTGGACCTGGTCGGCGGGCACGTAGCCGAGCATGCTTCCAGTGCGTGGGTAGGTCTTCTTATTGTTGTGCGTTACACCCATGCCGCCACCGGCGAGCACGTTGAACCCTTCCAGGTGACCGTCTGAGCCTTTGATGGCGATGAGGCCGATGTCGTGGGCGTAAACGTCGGTGTCGTTGTGGGGCGGGATGGCGATGGTGATCTTGAACTTTCGGGGAAGATAGGTGGGTCCGTAGAGAGGCTCGTTGTCGACGATGGCATCACCGGCAACCTGAGTCTTCTGGTCGTTCTCATCCTTAAGCCAGATCTCATGGTACGCGGTCGTTGAAGGTAACAGATGATCACTGATCCTCTTCGATACAGCATGCACCTCAGAATGATACTGCGAGTGCTGTGGCAAGCTGCTGCACATGACGTTTCGGTTAACATCACCGCAGGCCGCGATGGTTGTCATCAGAGCCCTGTTGATTGCCTGCATCGCCGGCCGGAGCTTGCCTTTGACGACACCGTGAAACTGGAAGGTCTGGCGGGTCGTCAACTTCATCGTCTCGTTGCCTAGCTGCGTGCTGATCTCGTCCATCTGGATCCACTGCTTGGAAGTAGCAACACCGCCGGCTAGGCGACACCGGATCATGAACGAGTAGGCGGGCTCAAGTCCCTGAGCCTTGCGCTCGTCCCGAAGATCACGGTCGTCTTGCATGTATGTGCCGTGGAACTTCGTGAGCTGCTGATCGCTTGCGGAGATCGCGCCAGTGGTAGTGTCCTCTAGGCCCTCCGCAATGGTGCCGCGAAGGTAGTTCGAAGCGGTCTTGATATCCTCGTTGGTAAGTGGTGGAGGTTCTTCCGGAAGGCCCTCGACGTTGTCGACACCCAGTGCTTGCCACAACTTCGGCTCCCAGTCGTTGTAGCCGGTCTGATAGCCGTCCGGATCCTGATCGTCTCCAAGACCACAGTCCGTCATCGCCTTGCCGCCCAGTGTGCGCAACCTCGCATCAAGGTCCTTGCCCGGCTTGTTGTAGTAGATCTTGTCTTCCTTCCTGGGCCAGTAGTGACTGTCACCGAGCGCGAAACAAGCGAAGTTGACGTTCGCAAGGTCGATGTCAGTGGAGTTCTTGACAGCTTCCCAGAAGTTCCTGCCGTTCTGCGGGAATTCACCCTGCCCAGCGGTGCTGGTGATCAGGACGACGTTCTCCTCCTCTGATAGATCTTCAATGGGATAATCGTCCATAGCCATGACCATGGTCTTCAGGCCCCTGGCCTTGCCCCGGTTACCCAAGCGCTTGGATAGGGTTTCCGCGTTGCCGTTGTCCGATGCGAAGAGTATAGTCAGCGGTGCGCCGGCCAGGCCATCCAGAAGAGTGCTGTACGCGTCCTTAGCCTTCCGCTTCTGCAGTTGCCGAACCTCTGAGCCGTATGACTGGGAAAGGTTGGCGGAGAACTCCGGATGCCTCTTCATTAGCTGGGAGAGGTAGTTGTCTCGCCTAAGAAACTCTTCCAGTTCCTTCTTGATGCGCTCCGAGTCCAACTTGAAGTTTTCCTCGCCCTTCTCTTCGCCACGAGGGTCCCAACGGTACAGCGGCCAGTAGCCGAGATCAATGGCCTTCTTCGTTTCCTGCAGCGCAGTCAACGGAGAATCGCTCTCCTTGTTGTACGGCAAATAGGCTAGGACGACCGAGGGACCATTGAACTGATCGGCTTCGATCATGGCTTGCAAGACTTGGGTGTACGAGCCGTAGACAGCTGTAGACGCAACATAGGCATTTCCGAAGTTCATGGCGTAGAGGCCAATGTCCTTCTTCCTCCGTGCTGCATCGGCCGCCGCCCGCTCAGAGTAGGGCTGGGAGTCGATGATGAGCATGTTGACGTTCTCGCCCGACGCGAGGACGTGGTGGACACCGGAGTTGCCCAAATCATAGGCCCATGCATCTGAGCCAATTAACCACTGCGACTCCTTGCGAAATAGGGATTTCGAGGCTAGGAGCTGAGTAGCTGCTGGCGATCCGTCGGTGCTCAAGCGAGAAACTACCTCCTCTGCAAGCGCATTGGCTTTAGTGGCATCTTCTGCCTCAAGAGCCCATTTCGTGAGCCACTGAGTGGGGGATTCGGTAGCAAAGCCCTTTGCCCTAGCAGCCTGCTGCACCTCACGGACGAAGCGCTTGCGGTGCTCCATCCGTGCAACAAGCGCGCCAAAGCCGAACTCTGGGCTTGCTGCGACCTGAGCAGAGACGCCTGCATGACTGGAGCCCAGCTGGTTGGCAATGTGCAAGCGATCGCCGAAGACCTGGTTCAAAACTTTCATGTACGCATTCTCGAGCTCAGGTTGCTGTAGCTGAACATCGGCAGCGATACTCTGAGGTCCCTCGGTATTCCCGATCTGGAGGTTCTGGATTGGAGAGTCGGACAGCAGATTCTGGAAGACTCCTCGGAGTGCTTGCCGCGCAGTCGCTGGCTCGATGTACCCGAGCTGATGGCCTACGATGACTGGTGCATCGCCACCACCCGATTTCAGGGACATGAGAAGGTCCATGAGAAGTGGTCCCCATCTGGTCGTTTTGCGCCTCACTTGCTCCAGCACGGCAATCTTCTTAACAGACCGCGGCAGTACTTCCGCTAGCTTTGCGCCCAACCAAGGTCGATACAGCCTTACTGTGAGAAGACCAGCTCCTGCGTACACGTCCGACGAGCTAGCAGCGTCTAACTCTCTAGAAAAGAACGCAGTATCTGAACCGAATATGAAAAGCGCCGATTGCGCGCTGGAAGGTCCCGAATACTCAAAGGCTTGGTATGATCGGCCCGTGGCGTCCTGGATCGTTGCCCAGATCTGTGAAATGAAGTTGTAGATGTCATCGGACGAGACAGGCCGGGATGTGATGGACTCGACCGACGTTGCTGCCGATGAAGCAGACGGACCACTGCTAGTGCTACTTTCGCGCCTTGATGACCCTACAGAGGACGAATCTCTTGTGCTTGCACGGCCTGGCAATGGCTTCTCCTCCGCTGGCGTTAGATAACCGTTCGTCTCGCCGTTTGTGCGAGGCGCCACTTGGCTGCTAGGTACTGAGAGAGTGGCGACCCGACCATCATCGGCGTATATGCTTGACTCTCTAGTGCTCTGACCCTGGAACCGCCTGGCAGCGTCGACATCCAGTACTTGCCGCACGAGCTCGCGGTTCTCGTATGCGATCGGCTCATCGTCCGTGTTTGCCGAGTCAAAGAAATGAATTACACCCTTGCCGGACTTGATGGCAAGGGCGTGGGCAGAGAGTGCCATGTCCTGCACCTCCTGGAGAGACTCGGATTGGAGGAAGGTAAAGCCAGACTGCCTGATGGATGTGATGTCGGAGTAGTCGGGGTATCGTGACGGCTGAAGGGAGACATGAATGACGACCGGATACTGTGCGAGCTTATAGAGGTGAGGTATCGACTGCAGAAGGATGGAGGAGCCCGTAGTGACTGAGGTGATCTTGCCAGACCGGATCGGTTGAAAGACTGAGAGCAAAGGGTCTGCATTTTGCCTGACTGGTAATATCTGCAACAGTGTTAATTGCTGTGTTGACCGAAAGCGCGATAGTGGTACTGCTTACCTCGGGCACGTTCTTGGCGACTACGCCGGCCGCTTTATTCTGTGCATAAGACTGCAGGAACTTGGAAAACTCGGAATCGCTCGCAAGAGACGGCTGAACAGAAACAACTACATCGCTAAACAGATATGCAATGCGCGCAACTGGGGAAGTCAAAAGTCAGTATATGCCGTGGGGAGCGCGTAGCATAAGATAGCGGAGCAGAGCGAGTTGCGACATACCCGCCTCTCCGGCTGTCGAGATGGAACCCATGATGCTAAGGGCCAACTGCCAACGAAAGGGGCACTGAACAGAAGAAAGGGGAGAATGGGTACGGATTCAGCAATTGGAGGCCTGAGAGTGTATGGATAGTGTTTAAAGAAGAACAAACGATGGCGAAGGCGACAATTTTTTTGGTGCTTGCTAATGACAGGCCCCAATTGGGCCAAGCCCGATCACATCATCTTAGCCTCGACACCAGACCGCCGAGAACACCGACCGGAGCAACGCTGTCTGTCTCGCAGAAGGCAAATGCGGGAACTTTCCCAGTCTGGCATTGAGATGACGGGAGGATCTGTGAATTTATTCCAGGCTCATCGAAGGGACTCGAAGGGTTGGGGCAGCGTGCCGGAGGCTCCCGGCGTGACGAGGCATCGAGGCATCACATCTGGTGCTGCGTACGGTACTGCACTAGACCATCACACCGTGTGGACCTCCGAGAAGTTTGTGGAATCGATGGCGAGTCCTTTGTGCTTGAGTAACGCGATGAAGATGGTCATGTGTCGTGAGGCGACACACTCACTACTCAATACTCGCCAGTGCAATGTCTGCTGCCCTCGAGCATGAACTCCCATTGGCGAAAGCAGCCGTTGAGGCTCAATGTTCGTTCGGCATTCATCTCGTAGGGCTGAGAGGCGTTTTCCCTATCGATATCCCCGCCAAACCCCTGCCTCTCTCATCATCCCGCATCGGGCTCCCGAGTCCCGCCCGCTCTGTTATCCGAAGTCGAACTCGCTGTCAGATCGCACTCCATGTATCTTGCACAGCGCCACAGCAATGCCCGAGCCTCTGCCCGGTGGCAGCAGCAACCATGAACCAGACCAAGCTCCGCCGATGATCCCTGACGGCCTTCTGTCTTTCCCACAACTCTGCGCCAGCATCCATGACCGGGTCACCGCCTTCCTTGCCGAGGATGCGCCAACGGAGCGCCTGAAGAGCGTGCAAGAGCAGACGCGAACATCTTTGGGCGTGTTGGAAGAGGCTTTGGAGAGATACAGGTGGGGAGTCATGTTTGCGAGCTCCACGACTGCTTCTAACATCCACACCGCAGTCTCTCCGAGCTCTCGCTTTCGTACAATGGCGGCAAGGACTGCCTTGTACTCCTGGTACTCTACCTCTCCGCCCTGCACAGTAAAGGCTTGACCACCCTACCCGGCAGCGACGAGCAGCATCCACAGATACAATGCGTGTACATCCAAGCGCCTGATCCCTTCAAGGAGGTGGAAGACTTTGTAGCCTCGAGTGCCGCAACCTATTCCCTGTCGCTCGAGACCTACTCGAAACCGATGAGGGCCGCGTTCGCCGAGTATCTACATGACAAGCCTACGGTCAAGGCGATATTCGTTGGCACTAGGAGAACCGATCCGCATGGCGCGAGCCTGACACATTTTGATCCGACCGACCATGGCTGGCCGGATTTCATGCGCATCCATCCGGTGATAGACTGGCATTATGCGGAAATTTGGACAGTATGAGAAGGCTCTGTTTCCAGCTACCTCCAATGGCTGACAATATATTATGTAGTTTATACGGCACTTTAATATACCATACTGCTCGCTTTACGATCTTGGATATACCTCGCTGGGCGGAACGTCAGACACGCATCCCAATCCGGCGTTACTAGTGGAAACGACGGCACAGAACGGGGATGGAGTAAGAAAATTCAGACCAGCATACGAACTTGTCGAGGATGTGAAGGAGCGATTAGGAAGAGACAGATAAAAGATCGACCTTGTTGAAATTCATGGCATTTGGAGAGGTTAGCATGCAGCTGAAGAGCGTCGGAGGCGTTCTGAGCGTGTGGAGTCAGATTTTGTGCATAGACATGACCGTGTAGAGGGGTTACGTATAAGAATAGATGGTCAATAACCACCGCCAAGACTTCCATCTATACTAGCGCTATTGATTACCCAGTATCTACTCACCCTTCCCCAGCTCGAAACCGAGACTACCTTACCTTTCTCAACCATTCAACCTTGAAACGGCTGGGGTTTCCGCCGCGTGATTCTGCCTGAGGCATTCTTTAGTGCTTATCTTATCGTGACCACGGTCATTGCTCCGAAATACGCGTCACACAGTGACCGAAATTCCAGTCAAGCAAACACATAGCAGACCATTAAAAACAAAGGAACCTCCAACATGTCCGTGGAAACCATAACGACGATCTCTCCAATTACGAACAAGCCAATTTTAACGCGGAATGGCCTGACGGACGCCGACCTGCAAGCCCTCCCCACAACCGCAACCGAAGCCTTCAAATCCTACAAAAACACCCCTCTATCAGAGCGGCAACGGATAGTGAAGACAGCCCTACAGCTACTGAACGAGAGACAAGATGAGCTCGCCAAAGAGCTCACGGAGCAAATGGGACGGCCAATTGCTTATACGGCGAAGGAGATCACAACCGCTGTAGCACGAGGGGAGTACCTACTTAAGATCAGCGGGGATGCGCTTGCGGATACGGACGGCGAGCCTGAGAAGGGCTTCAAGCGTTACATCAAGAAGGTCCCTGTTGGCCCGGTCCTGGTGCTGTTCGCTTGGAATGTACGTGGCTCTACTGCTTCAATAACACTCCACGCAGCTGACCATCGGTTGTTCAGTACCCATACCTTATCCTCGTGAACTCCGTCATACCTGCACTGCTAGCAGGGAACAGCGTCATCATCAAGCCTTCACCTCAAACACCTACCATCGCGGAGCACTTCCAAGAGATCTTCCAGGAAGCGGGCCTCCCGGAGAACGTCATGCAGTACTTCCATTGCGGTTCTTTTATACAGCTGGAGACCTTGGTGAGAGCACCCGAGATCCAATTGATCTGCTTCACTGGCTCGGTGGCAGGAGGACTGGCCGTACAGCGTGCAGCGAGCGACCGGGTGGGTGTGCGCGTGGGGCTTGAACTCGGCGGCAAGGATCCGGCGTACGTCAGGCCGGACGTGGACGTGAAGTGGGCTGCGGAAAACATAGTGGATGGTGCGATCTTCAACTCGGGCCAGAGCTGCTGCAGCATCGAGAGGGTTTACGTCGCGCAAGAGGTGCACGACGAGTTTGTTGCTGCTGTACAGGAAGAGCTGAAAGGCTACAAGCTTGGAGATCCGTTCGACAAGAGCACAAACATTGGCCCAGTGGTGTCCAAAAGATCGGCGGAAACGATCCGGTCGCACATCAAGGACGCGCTGGAGAAGGGTGCGAAAGACGCTACACCAGAGAACGAATCCTTCAAGTCGCCCCCTGAAGACGGGAACTACGTCTCTCCCACTCTCCTCACAGGAGTCACGCACGAGATGACCGTCATGACAGAAGAGACCTTCGGCCCCGTCATCCCAGTGATGAAGGTCTCTAGCGACGACGAAGCCGTCAAGCTCATGAACGATAGCGTATTCGGCCTTACTGCCAGCATTTGGACCAAGGACGTTGAAGAGGGCCATGAACTGGCGGACAACGTTGAGGCAGGGACGGTGTTCATCAACCGCTGCGACTATCCCAGTCCCGACCTTGCGTGGATCGGCTGGAAGGATTCTGGGAAGGGCCAAACACTGAGCAAGTTCGGCTTTGACCAGTTCGTGAAGCTGAAGAGCTACCACATCAAGGACTACCCGAAGTAGGCGATCGGACGAAGGCATGGAAGTGTGAGTCAAGCGGCAAGTGCCAGTAAGAACATGTCATGCGTGTTACGGTCTGCCAGGGCCTAGTAGGAGGAAGGCTGATGTCGCCCGATGCCAGCTTACACGTAGATGCAAGGCACGCGCGCCACGGAACGCGCCCTCATGTGACCAGCCAGGAAGACAAACAACTTGAAACGAAGAATGCTGTAACAGGCCCCATCAGGCCATGATTGATGAGCTGAAAACGCTGCCTCGCGCGGACGGATTGCGGGGTATTTCATATTGTTCAAGCGCGTCGGCTGCAGGAGGTTTACCCAGGAGGAGTTTCCTGGCTTCGGAATGCGCCAAGATATGCAAGGACAAGTAGTACAACTCAGGTACCCGGTAAGTTGTTACTGCGAGCCAATGCGTCATCTTCTTGGTGTTGGCCAGTGATTGTAGTTGACAGTATACGTGCTGGCCTGGCATCTCTCGCTCACTATCCAATTTGCTCATCCTACCGCTGTAATCTTTATGCTAGGGCGTCGAAGCCCCAAATTTTATGCGAGTCCCTCAAGGGATCTCAACGCCTTTCAGGACTCCGAGATTAAACTCCCAAGCATTCCTTACTACATCGTCCGGCTCCCTACCCGCTTCCCGCTAATGACTCCGCAAATCAGGAATGTCAGGTTTCTGGGAAGACTCGATAAATTAAGCAAGGAATTGAGACATCGTCCGCGTGGCAACTCATTGCCATGGAATTCCACACCCTCCTGGCCGCTAGTCGATACGGCCTTAGTCACAGGTAATCTCAGCGCTTGATATATGCTACGGGTTTGCACTTCTCAAGCCGCTCTGTCCCTCTCTCAAGCCAACTCGAATAGTCATCGATACCATGACCATCTCGTTCTTCACTGTTTCCGCTTGATTGCCTTGATCGTTCCTTTCACACCATTGCACAGTCATTTCCAGCGTCCGAGCGAGCGTGTTCTATCATCGTAACCTGTACAACCAAACGCAAAAAGTCTCGTCTTTCAACAACCATTTCTCCATAGCACCCAAGACTTCACATCATCATGAGATCCTTCCACCAAATGCAAGAGAGCGTCCTCCGCCTCCTCTTCCCCTGCTTCTTCGCCCCGAAAGAAGAGGAACGCCTTCAGATCGTAAGGGAGCCCTGCTGCACCCCGTCAACCTTCCCAACCCAACCTCAGCCAAAATCACTATCCCAGGCTTTACGACACACTAACACTTCGTCGCAACTATAGGGCAGCCCTTATGAGTTCCGCAAAATCACTGGCGAACAGTAAGACTTCCATTCGCTCCATCAGTAGTACACCAATCAGCACCCTGCCCTTGCCCGCCATAGCCACTAAACATGTCCACTCCCTACTCATTCTCTTCCGCCCTCCTGATGTCCGGCCTTGTAATCCCGGTCAATAACACTCCAGCTAATCCTCTCCTCCTAGCCACCTCACCCTGCTTGAAAAACACCCCTCGGCCAACCTCAGCAGCCTCAGCCTCCCCCTTAACCTCCCGCTACGCTCGAACCCACCATCATCCACCTGTCCCACAATCGCCGAAGCCGACCTCCCAAACCCCGACCCTCACTGCACCGCCGACACCCCCCGCAAGCTAAGCTGGCGCCTAAGTCTCCGGCGGGGCTGGTGTTGTTCCGTTTCCAACGCCGGTCACATCGCGGACCCAGCAACGAACCAGAGCACGGATGTGATGCTCAAAGACCACCAATTCGACGCTCACGAGAGTGATGGTAGGAAGAGCATGAGTAGCAGGAAGAGCAGCGAGGACGAAGACGCGGGATTTGAGGCCCAGAAGTGTCTAGGCGGGAGCAGAGGACTGTTTGCTGGGAGTGCGGAATCGGTTACACTGGGAGGAGGTGGGAGTGAGGGGGAGGCTGTTGCTGATGCTGGGGATGAGGGGGAGAGCAAGAGGAAAGGGGGATCGCTCTAGTTGATTGTTGACTAGAAGAGCTTGTGTGGTGAGGATGACACAGCGAGACCTGGTAAGATGGTCGACGAATGCGTGTGTGCAATATTCGTCCGCGGCTCGTTGTCGGAAAGACCCAGAGTGATTTACCGAAGCAGAGACTGATAGATGGAGTACCTGACCTCTTCAAAAGAAACCTTCATTCTTGAGGACACTAGTCGAGCTTCAAATGTTTCCATTGCAGGCACTCGGAAATGTCCAAGGCGTCTTCGCTGAAATGGCTAAAGTTCTCTTCAAGATACACGAAAGTGCTCAAGAGCCGGTTCTTATGCCATACTGTTCCTCCGTTGTGCAGCATCGACTGCATCTTTCCAACTCGTTCGCGAGATCCACCAACCCTCGAGCGCCGCCACCAGCGCCAATGCGATAGCAGGACCCTGAAAAATATTAGTATTAGCACAACGCATTCCGCACTCCGTCCTCACAAGGAAAGAAGGTGAAGACACTCACCGCCCATAGCCCATGCAGTCCCCACCCAAGCCCAAATCCCGTGCCAAAGCTAATCGGCATAGCCACCGCATAATACGCAAAAAGGTTGATATATCCACCAATCTCCTGCCTCCCCAGCCCCCTCAGGATGCCATTGCAGTTGGCCGTGAGGGAGTCAAACAGCTGAAACGCCGCACACAGCGGCAGAACGCTTGCAACCAGGCGAATCACGCCCTCGTCGCCTGTAAACAGCTGCGGGATCCAGTTCCTGAGGCTCGACAGCAAGATCATGTTCAGCAGTCCTATGAAGACCGCCGCGACCATCGCGACCTTCGCCGCCATCTTCGCCGCATCAGCCAGCGTCGCGCCAATCAGATTCGCGATCCGCGTGCTCGCCGCGATACTGACTGGGAACGGGACCTGGTACGTCAGGGCAGTTACCGTCGCGACGACCGACTGCGCGGCCAGGTGTGTGGTGCTCATCCAACTCGCGCTCAACGTCAGGATCTCAAAGGCGAGGAACTCGGCCTCGACCATGACGAGTCCCGGGAGCGCGAGCCGGATCATAGGACCCCAGTTGCGGAAGGCGCGCCAGGTGAAGCCGCCCCAGCACTCACGGCCGGCGATCAGGTACACGTAGAGGAAGAGGAAGATGGGCAGGAGAGTGTCGGTTAGGGCGACGGCGATAGGAGCGCCGATGAAGCCCCATTTAAATTGCTGCGGAGTCTTAGCGGGTGCGCGTACTCAAACCATGCTACTTATACTTACCCAGACGAACAACCAGTTCATAAACGCGTTCAGCGGCGCGCAGATCAGTAGCACATACAGCGTCGCCGAGAACATCCCCTGCGCCTGCACGAACCGCTTCCCGCACTCGAACGCCGCATAGCCCGGCGCCCCCGCCAGGATCACCTTCAGGTACAGTCCGGCTAGCACGGCGGTCTCGGGCTCTGGCACGATGGCGTTCAAAATCGCGGTCCCGCTGAGCCAGATCACGCCGACGGGGATCGTGCAGCACCACAAGAAGTACACCATGCGCTGCAGCTGCAGGCCTACAAGTTTTTTGCGGCCGGAGCCGTAAGCTTGCGCGCAGAGGGTGTCGAGGCTGGTTGCAAGGCCTTGGTAGACGGCGTAGCCTGTAATATTGGCCGTCACTGTAAGAGTAGTGAGCGTCGTCCGAAAAGAAAGAAGTGCGGCAGCTTTGAGCAACAGGAACCCCTTTCTCCTTAGAAAACCAAACATCGGGAAATTGAGAGCAGAAGAGTTAAAGAGAGCTCAAGATGGGGACTTACTGCTCGCCAAACTCACTGCCCCCAGCTCCACCTTCCCAATGTGCCCGACCGTGAACACACTCGCGACCGTAAGGCTGTACTGCAGAATGAACGTCAAGATCAGACTCCGTGAGTACTTCGCCAGCACCTTCGCCTCCCGCTGCCACGTCGTATGGATCTGCCCCGCCGCAACCGCCTCCTCCCACTTCTTATCAATAATCTCCCGCGAGTCCTGCCCGCCATACGGCAGCGTGGGATCCCCTCCCAACAACGCCATCGTCTCCCCCGCCTCCCGTGGCACGGCACCGTCTTGCCTGTCCGCATCGCTGCTCTCAGCAGCCCCATCTTCCTCCTCATCCTCCTCAGGATGCGCGACCCATCGCCTCAAGCCCGGCACCGAAAGCCGTTTTCCGGCCCCAGGGCCCCGTGCGCCTCGCGAGCTCTCACTCCCCCGCCGCGGATGCTTCGGCGGAATGAGGTTGTTGTCCCGCAACAAACTCCTCTCCTCCACCCTCACCGCCTCCCGTTCCCTCCTGCTCAAATACCCCTGCTCAGGCAGCGAGAGCGCCGCGATGGTGGGCCGCGGACCCGCGGCGATGAAACTCGGGCGGCGGTAGGTGCCTGCGAGGTCGTGATGGGTGGGCCGGACCGTGGACTCGGAGTCTGAGGAGCTAGAAGAGGAGTGCGGGCTTGAAGCGCCATCTTCGATGTCGCGGGCGATTGAGGCGGAGGCGAGGGGTGAGGAGGCGGTGAAGGAGCCCAGTTGAGAGCGGAGGGACGTGTTGAAGGGGACGGATGCGCTGGGAACAGGCTTTGGTTGAGAGGACATGGTTGAATGGCTTTTCGGATAAAGATATGGGAAGTGACTCAGCTGTGAGGTTGAGAGGAAAGATGATATAAATAGGTGCAGATAGAAATGCTTGGTCCGAAAAACGAAGAAGAACCTCTATCACATTATAAGTCGTCAATGGACAATGGTCAACGGTCAATGATCAATTCATGGAGGTGAGAGTGAAGGAGCGCATCATGATAGACTGTGGGGAAGTTTTCGGCAGGGCTATTTGGAGGGGTCTGATGCAGGGTTTTGGCGGACTGTCTTGGGACCGAACCGCTTGGCAACCCGATGTGTATTTTATTGACGGATCCTTCATCCTCCCGTCTGATAGCTATGTAGTGCTTCCTTACCCTAGCCGACCGTTTTGAAGGCGTCGACGGGGTAAATCTAAGGACTACCACCATTTAGTTGTGGACCAGGTATTGAAGGTCAGGACAGCTGAGCTGGGCCCACCTACACACCATCTCTTAGTTGTTTCGCGTCATTTTCGAGCAGCGTTGATTATGCAGTGACAACGCGTGATGCTGCCTCTCTCGAGACTATAAAACGAAAAGCGGGAACCTGGAAGAGGTTTGCTCATTTCTCTCATTGTGATCTTTTTGACACATCCCTAGCACATCACAGTGCGGTGGAAACCCTTTCCAACGCCATCCCATGCGTATCAAACAAATCGAATCCCACCTTTCCGACGAAAGCTGCGTGACCAGAAGTACGATCAGCGCCAAAAACCGTGAATGCCCTAGCGATAGCAATAGAATGAATATACAGCCCGTCTCCCATCAACCAATCACATCTACAGATCCTCATCATCGACGTCGATAGCGTCTGGGTTAGCCGCCACGGCTTTTGGTGCTGCATCTGGCCTATTCCCACCTTCTGGGCCTGTGCTGGCTGCTACGAAGCCTTGCGGCGCCCTTGCCTGCCGTTCGAGCGCCGCTATAGCGTCTGCGTTCTCCTGCGCATCTGCGGTGTCTCCGTTCGTGCCGTCGGCCGCCATCGCCTGACTTCTCGCCAGAGCTTGAGAAGCGATGAAGTTGACATCGGTGCTGCACAAACTGTTAGCCTAAACTCGCGCCAATATAGTAACAAAACGCAATCTTCGGAGAGAAGGGAAGGGAGAGGAGGGGAGAGCAAACATACTTGTACTGCGCCTGCACACTCCTCTTGATTCTCAACATCTCCCTAAACGTATCCTCATTCCCATGCTGCACCTCAAACTGCTCCCACTTCGTCCAGAAGCCCGGATCCGTCCTCGGATCCGCATACTGGCTTGCATGGCCATAGATAGCCCTCGCGCGATCAATCTCACCCAACCTCCTCTCCATCTCCGCAAACTTGAGACACATGTCCTTGGCCTCGGCATCCGGCAGCGCCTCGATCGCGCGCTCGTAGATCGTCCGCGTCGACGTGAGACCAAAATTCGACGCGCTCTTTGTGATGTAGAAGTCGAACATCTCGCGCCTGTCCTCGTCGGCGACAGCACGGGTGGCGCGCTCGTATATGCGCATCGCGTGGCGCGCGAGTCCACGCTCCTCCTCCAGCGCGCCGTACATCAGATAAAGGACTTTGGCGAATTTGGGTGGGCAGCCCTCGACAGCTTGCTCAAAGAGGTCGCGCAGGCGTTCGATGCCGAGATTGCGCGCGACGGCTTTGGTGAGGTAGAGGTTCCACAGCTCGAAGGCGACCGGATAGGAGAAGAGGTCGAGGCCGCGCTCGTAGATCTTGAACGAGTCTTCGAAGTAGGCATTTTCTTCTAGCAGGTTCGCGTAGTTGACGACTGTTTGGGGGGTTGCGATTCGGAGCTCGAAGATGCGCTCGTAGACGCGCCGGGTTTCGTCCAGTGAGGAGACGGATTCGACAAGGTCGACGTAGAAGGACCAGAGCTTCCAGCTCTTGTGTACGCGCTGATGCGGCGAGAGCGTCTCGTCGAAGTAGTCAACTGTTGAGCGTTTGGGCGCTTGTGTTGCTTTGGCCATGATGTCGACGGCGCGGTCGAAGTTCTCGGCGCGCAGCTCCATCTCTGCCCACTCACACCACATCTCTGCGAGCTCGGCGACGGACTTGAAGGGGACTTTGACTGCCTTTCCCATGATGATTCGTGCACTCCTTAGGTCTCCGCCTTCCTCGTAGAACTTGGCGTAATTGGCCCAAAGCTCGTGAAACTTGCCGACCGCTAGCTTAGGCTTGACGGCTGCAATAGCGTCGGTGTAGGTCTGGACAACTTCTCTCTTGTTGTCGCCCCACAATGCGACTCGCTTTTCCCATTCGTTGACGTTGTTGGGGTTTTGGCGGAGGAGCACGTCGTTCACGAGGAACGGCCGGCGGTCCATCAGTTGTTCGAAGCGCATAAGACGGATGTCGAGGTCGAGATCCGCGTCCGGGTCTACTTTGCCCTTTTCTGACCTCTTTGCTGCTTCGTCCATCTTGATGCCGATAAGCGCTTCCTCGGCATCCGAATACGTGTCGAACACGATGGAGAAGTCTCTCACGGTCATTACCGTCGTGATGCCCTCTTCGAATACATCCCTCGCTCTTTCGTAGTCGCCCTTGTTGATCCAATACCGGGCCAATCCCACCCACAAAATCCCTCTCTGATCCGCAAACCTCAGTATGCCGCTCCGCACAATCTTCTCCACGTCAATCCCAACATCGTCTCCCGTCTCAACCTCTTTTGCATGGTCGATGAGCAGCTCCAGCATCTCAGTCCAAAACTGAAACGGACCCTTTGCTTCCCGGCTCTTAAACCGCGGATCGTTGAGAATGTCGATATACTTCTGAACCGCCTCCGTATAGCGTCCGTTCTCCACCAGCAGGTTGATGAACTCCTCGGCATGCTCAGGATGTAGCTGCATATACCGGCGCCATATCCTCACCGCGGTATCGCCGCCTGCAGAAGTCGCAAAGGGCCGGAAGAGCGCCCATATGCGGTTGTGTTGCGTGATAGGAAGCGCGCGGAGGGCGCGATCGAAGGAACGTCGTGTTTGCGTAACGAGTGGCTGGCGGAGGAGAAACTGAAGGTACATCTCCCATATACGCGGCATCTTATTCAGGAGCACAAGCGCGCGCTCAAACAGCGCGTTGACCTTGCTAAACTGCGCCGCGAACTTCGCGGGATTCTTCTTCCGCAGGTGCTTGGTGCGTAGCTCGAGATACAGCTTCCACAGCTTATACGATCGGGGTAGCGTCGTGCAGGCCCGCTCGAGCACGAAGGCCTGCTCGAGGAGAGAGCCATGCTGCCGCTTGAAGTTGAAGTAGTCGAGCCAGGGTTTTATGCTGCCGGGATTGCGGATGATGTCTTGCTCGTATATCACGTCGGTCTCGGAGATGAGGTACAGGTCGGAAGACATTGTCGCGGCGAATATGCGCTTTGGTTTGGGGAATGCGAAGGGGACCGCTGCGCGGAGGAGCTCGCCGGGCATGCCTCAGGCTCTTTCTAGGCGACCGGATGCCAGCGCCGGAGGCCTCGGTACACGAATTGGCGACCTGATGGAGAGGGTGTTGTCGAGGTTGCGGCGAGGTGTGCGGGCTGTCAGAGTTGCGCGCTTCGATTATGTTTCGCGGTCACACTTCGGCTGACTGGGAGCTTCGGCGGGACATCAACCTACGACATCACAGCAGCGAGGTGTGATAGCAGCCCAATAATTCGACTCACCTCACAAACACCTCTGTTTGGAAAAGATTCGGAACAACCATCTTGGACCTCTCTATCGTGCCTGCTTCGCCGCGGGAACCGACGATCATTCGCCAACATGTCCGGCGCGGGGGTGCGTAACCAAATCTCGATGGAGCTATGAGACGGCACTGATATAGGCCCTAGGCAAGGGAATCCGTCTTCCCTACCCGGCAAGTGCTGGGTCAGATGAAGAGCAAGCTTAAGGGAGCTCAAACCGGCCACGACCTGCTCAAGAGGAAGAGTGAAGCGTTGACAAAGTAAGCATAACTAGTCCTCAAACGCTCGTACCAAGCTAACAGAAGCCCTTCACCAGACGCTTCCGCGGTATGATATGGCCTTGTTTAACCCTTCAACAGAAACATGCAAGGCTGAACTAGTGCCATCTCAGAAATAACCCGTCGCATTGACGAAGCAAAGCGAAAAATGGGCCGCGTGATGCAAATCGCCGCCTTCTCCCTCGCCGAAGTGACCTACGCCGTCGGCGGCGGCAACATCCTCTACCAGATCCAGGAGTCCGCCAAGCAGGCCCGGTTCCGCGTCCGCACGAAACAAGAGAACGTGTCCGGCGTGTTCCTGCCGGCCTTTGAGAGCTTCACCACCGAGGGCAATAACGACTTTGGGCTGACCGGGTTGGGGAAGGGAGGCCAGCAGGTGCAGCGGTGTCGGGAGACGTATGCCAGGGCAGTGGAGACGCTGGTGGAGCTTGCGAGTCTGCAGACGGCATTCGTGATTTTGGATGAGGTTATTAAGGTTGTGAATCGGAGGGTGAATGCAATGTGAGTGATCTCTTACCACGAGCGAGAGAAGGGTGGAATAGCTGACATGGAGTAAGTGAGCATGTCATCATACCGAAAACGGAGAACACGATCAAGTACATCAACTCCGAACTGGACGAGCTAGATCGGGAGGAGTTCTATCGGCTGAAGAAAGTGTCCAACAAGAAAGAACGGGATGCAGCGGCCGCCGACATTGAGAGAGAAGCGCAAAAGAAAAAAGATGACTCCAGTAATGAGGAGGACGTGGATGAGGAAGGGCGGATGCAGATGAAGGACTTGCTTGGCGATCAGGATAACGAGGATGTCATTTTCTAAGATCACATGTTCGCTGCATGTTCGCTATAGTCACGTTATGATATCCCATGCTAAGTTCGTGACACTAAGAGAACTTTGATCGGTGCTATGTACGGCCATAGCGTAACATTCTCGTCGCACCCGGTGGCCGAGTCAGATCGCCAAACCACTGAGGATTATATTGAGGGGGTGGGCGATACAGCCGCAAGCGCCACTTGACTATTTGCTGGAGCACTGATATGCTGTAAAGCACATCTAATGTGACTCAGAAAGTACGTCCACCGAAGCCTCGATATCATTTGAAACGCGAGTTTTAGCAGGTCGAGCAGATGTGTAGGAAACAATAGAAGCCATCCGCTGACGTTCGCCAGAACACAAAGCAATCAATGACAAGCTCCAGGGGTATATAACAGTAGTTGCCCAACGCCTCCAGCTACCAACTTTACGCGTCCGGGTCATCCGCCGTAAACATAGCCGAACCTAGCTCAGCCATGGACGTCATATCGTTCTTTAGTTCCATCGTCTTGTTTCTGCAGTGCACGACCAGAATTGCCGCCGCAAGGCTGTTCCAGACATCGTAGTCGCTCTGCTTGTAATTGAACATGCCCATCATGTGCAACTCGGGTTCCGGCGTATAGCAGTCATACGCGACAAAAGCCATCAACGTAGAGGCCATAACGATGCCATAAAGGGTGGGCAGCTCATGCGAAAATGCCTCGCTTGGTGGCTCAAACGACTGAGAACCATCGGCGCTCTCTACGCTGGAATGAATGCGGAACGCATCGGCATAGTAGTCACGGAGGTTGCCAAGCTTAGCAAGCATGTTCTTGCCAATTTCTTCCGTACTCATCTCGCTGCTTCCGGCCTCTAACACCAGGATGGGGATCGTGGCGAAACTGAGCCCACCATCGTCGTAGGACCATTTGAGGTAGCTTTCCAGAGCGCGAAGGATAACTTGCTCCGGAGGACGGAAAGGGTTCTTGGTTTCGAGAGCATCGCGGACGCGCGGTCCGAGGCCGATTAGCGCATTGAGTGCTTTAGTTGCTGTTTGCACAGATCAGCTCCACATCAAATCGTCAGCGCGCAGGGTTTTTCTCTCACCTCGGAAGTCCTTCCCTACGACGGATTTGATGAAAGCTTCCTCGTTGTTCGCGGTAAATAGCTCGCTAGGTAGTGTCGAGAAGTCCAATTCCCAGCTCTTCGGCATCAGCGGCTCAAAGCCACGCATCTGGAACTTCTGAACCAACTCAATCGCGTCTTCAGTCCATCCCTCGGCGCGCATGCTACGAGCCTGTTCGGCATGTTTCTCAAGAACCGATTCTCGGTCGAACGTCTTCTGCTTAAATCCTTCATAGCGCTTTTCAGTGACAACAATCGTCTCATCATTGACGTTCAGGGTGCTGTCTTGGTGGACTGATGGACTCCCAAGATCGTCGATCAAGGTGTCGCCTTCAAAGTCGAGACCTGGCGTTTGGAGGTCGGCGGTTCTCGAGGTAGCCGGCGTGAGCATAAGACGCTCGCCGGGATTGGAGGATCTCTGTATCAAGGGCGGTGTGCCGAGCTGCCAGTTGTCGATGCGAGTGTCGGGACTCATGGAGCGTCCCAAAGAACTACGAACGGGCTTGCGTCCATGTTTGCGAGGTGTTGGCTTGGTAGAAAGAGGAGTGACTTTCGCTTTGAAGGGCTTGTCGCGCCGCGCTTGTGTCTTGCGCGGTGAGACATAGTCCCAGAACCGCTGGCTGAGTCTTTGGAACAGTGGCATCTTGAGACTTGGAGAACGATGGCTTCTTTTGACAGACGGGGAGAGGTTTGGCGTGGACCTGGTGGGGTGATTGCGAAGCGTTGCGAAGAAGCTGGCAGCCTCAGTGCACCGCTGCCTCAGCGGTTGTGGCTAACTTGAGGTGAGAATACGTTGGATGGCATATTGGCAGGATATCACAGGCACCAGAGGAAGAAAGGTCGGTTGACAATAGCCATTATCTACATTGTGTTTGTGCTTGTGCTTGAGGCTGTCCGGAAATGGATTGATGGAAGTGAAAGAGGTGACGCGAAGTGGCTGGCGCGGTGAGGCGCGCGAACGGCACGTGACGCGGTATCTCCCCATGCCCTAGCCTCTGTTGCGACCCCAGATGTCCAACAAACTTCCGCGTAAGTAACTACCTATAGGTAACTAAACAGGATCTCGTCAATCTCTCTTTGGTGGCTTTACTGGTCAGCGTCGGATGAGATCGTTTTCCAGTTCTGCACGAAATGATCGTCGTAGAGAAAACCGCGGCCCTGTCGATACATGCCCAACGCGGCGAGTTACATCTACGATGGCTGATGGATCTGCATACCAGCGCCCGGAAAACAAAGTCTGCCACTCCCGCTTGTAGGCTCGACGCTTGATTCTCTATTTCTAGCCTCTTGGCCCTCGAAGCACATTGCCGAGTTTCAGGAGTCCAGCCTCAGGTCACTAATCGTCTAGCACGCCGGGCGTGAAAAAAGCCTTACGGCATGGAGCTAACTACCTCGTTATCAAGCGCTCCGCTACCGTCAACTCCACAAAGTACACCACGGTCACCCACTACAATTATTCTTCGACGTGAGCGATAGAACGACAAACCTTGCCTTGGCTATCCAGACCGTGTTGTGGAGTGTTGGGTTGATCACAGAGACGACTTTGTTGTTGATGAGGCCCTGGTTTCTACGTTCGCGGTGAGGCTTTCCCCCCGCTTGACATATCTGGGTACACTAGGGTAGCGTAGCAACTGGACTGTCTCCGGTCTCCTCACTACTCGAGTAGTGTTTGCGGACAGCTCCAGATTGTCTGGAAAGCCCAGAGTGTTGAGCGCTTCCGCTTCGGGCCAACCCTAGACTGCATAGCGGCGGGTCTCTTCTTCATTTGTCTCGGTCAAGCGATTGTCTTACCTTGTTCGTATAGCAGCATGATCGGCAACTCGCAATGGGGCAGATCAAGCACAGTCCAGATCTGCGCTCTTTACTGTAAGCCCGAGTCTAGGCAAGCTCTTCTACTGCGCCTCGCCGTGAGGACCCGATACAAATAACTTCACATTCCTTGAATTCCTCGGTCCACCATCTTGTCTTTGCAAACGTTTCGCGCACATCTTCATTCATTATCTCCTCCATTCCAGTCGTGACCATGGTCGTACTACTCCAATCATTACCAATCTCCTTCTTTGCGCTGCTTGTTCTCGACGTGCTGGGGATCCAAGCAGCTCCTCAAGCTGCGGCGCTGGGAACCTGCAACAGCGGCCTCGCTAGGGCTGCCGCTCAAGCCCTTGTTGCTCCTGCCTGGAGTTCCAGGGCCTACGAATTCTGCAGCACCTACATTTCAGTGCCACGAGCCACGAAGATTGTCGCCACTACAAGGCCTGCAGTTACGGACACGACCGTTTACGTGACGTCCACCATAGCAACGATCACGGTTCCAACGACTGTTGTGGGGGGCACCACGACAACGACTGTCTCTACAATCACTCCTCTTGCCACTACGACCAAGACTACGACTGTCACCGAGGCGGTGGCCCAGGCCCCTACAAAACGGGATGTTCAGATCGAAGAGCGCCAGGGCCGCACCTCACTCTTGCCCATAGTCAGCAACTTTGCGGCATCGGTGGTGTCGAGCGCGTGCTCGTGCGTCAAAAACAGGATACCGATCAAGACATCTTCGGTCACTGCGACCTCTCCTACACGCGTCACCGCCACTTCCACGGCTTCTGGTACGGCGACGGAGCCCCTCACAGTCACTATCCAGGAAGTTTCCTCAGAAATCGCCACGGCCCCCACCTCGGTAAGTCGAACTGATCGCCAATACATCAATACACCTTTGGGGATCATATTAGCTGACCCTGGAATCTCTGACAGACCGTGACCGTTCTCGAGACGACGACGGTAGCTGCTTCCCCTTCGTGCACTAAGATGCTCTTTAACGGAGACTTTGAGCATGGAGACTTTGATTTCGGCGAGCTTATACCATTGCGAGGAGACGCCGGTCTTCCTGAGTGTGAGATCAAGAATCGGGACTCCCTATCTCTCGGTCCCAACCCACCCTCAACAAGCTTTGGCTGGCTACACTGCCGCTGGACTCATGCATCTGAAGTGCAACTCCAGCAAACCCTTGACTTGTGCGTAAACGATAAATATCACATCGAGTTCACGTCCGCATGGAATTCGGATGCTTCGAATGCCTACGGCTCAATCAGTGTGTGGTTGGCTGGGCGCATAGTCTACCGGACACCTGCAGTGACCGATTTTTCTCCTAGCACTTATAAGACGAGCAGAACTGCCGCGTTTACAGCTACAAGCGACAAGATGGACATGCAGATTATCTTCAACAGTGCTTCTGGGGTTACGGGCTTCAACCTGGATGATGTCCGGGTTGTTAAGGAGCCGGCACCATAGTGGCTTGGGCCAAGGACCTTGCACATATATCTGCAGTTTTCACGCTTGAAATAGACATTGGGGCAAGATTTCGGTCAACGTCTACATGTACTTAGTGTTAGATGATTCTGCATCTACTCCCATGTTCATTTGTCGCGTCTCTACGCAACGTGACTAGACAAGTTTGCGAGCAGGTAGGGTTCTAGGACTAGATCGTCGAACTCTTCAGGCTTGGATGTGCTCGAAACCCCATACTCAGAAATGGACATTCCTCGACGATTCTCCAATCTTAGCAATTTAGCCACACGGTTACGTTTCAACTGTTAGGGCAGAGCCCATAACAGGAATGGACAACCTTCATATAAATCAACTCAGAACAGATAGACGTTGCCTGGAGGGAGATCTTATTTTGCTCAACTCTTGTTGGCACTAAACCCCCAGCCCAACTAGATTCTGAGGCTCCGTTGTCCAGAAAACGCCCCACCATCGCTGCCCGGGGATCTCCCGTCTCAACCAGTCCACTGCCCTTGCGGAGTTGAAGTTGACTACAAACCTACACCTCACGGGACACCATCGCTGCGAGGCACAATGAACTGCTTCACTCTCTCGAGGTCGACGGCCCTCCGTTTGCGTCAATCAGCTATTCCACAACTAAAGCAAGCCTCGAGGGCCTTCAGCACCGTTCTCGACACCCCCACCATCTCCGCCGAAACTCCAGCGAGCCCCTCAACCCGCTCAACACTACAAGATGCCCTTACAGCAAACAGGCCGCGAACGAACTGGACAAAGGAAGAGATATCAGACATCTATAACACGCCGCTCATGGAGCTGGCATTCGTTGCCGTACGGACTTCCCCCCAAATCTCCCACCCAAGACGGAGCGTCCTATACAATTGAACCACCAAACACGGCCAACTGACACGGCAATAACTAGGGCACCCTCCACCGCCGCTTCCACAACCCCTCCTCAATCCAAATGTGCACCCTCATGAACATCAAAACCGGGGGCTGCAGCGAAGACTGCTCCTACTGCGCGCAATCCAGCCGCTACTCCACCGGGCTAAAAGCAACCAAACTCTCCTCCGTCGACTCCGTCCTCGAGGCCGCGCGCATCGCCAAATCGAACGGCTCCACCCGCTTCTGCATGGGCGCCGCCTGGCGCGACATGCGGGGCCGCAAGACCAACCTCAAGAACATCAAGGCGATGGTCGAGGGCGTGCGGGCACTGGACATGGAGGCATGCGTCACGCTCGGTATGATTGACGCTGCCCAGGCGCAGGAGCTGAAGGAGGCAGGGCTCACCGCTTATAACCATAATGTCGATACGAGTAGGGAGCACTATCCGAGCGTTATCACGACGAGGACGTATGATGAGAGGCTGGCGACGATCGAGAATGTGAGGCAGGCAGGCATTCATGTGTGTACGGGCGGCATCTTGGGGCTGGGCGAGCTGGCCCGAGACCACGTGGGTCTGATCCATACTGTCGCGACCATGCCCGCGCATCCGGAGTCTTTCCCCGTGAACGCCCTGGTGCCGATTAAGGGAACGCCGCTGGGAGACCGGTTGGCGGAAACCGGGAAGATGCCCATCGAGTTCGATGCCGTGCTGCGGACCATTGCGACGGCGCGGCTGGTGATGCCCACTACTATCATCAGGATTGCAGCGGGTAGGACGACAATGAGCGAGGAGAAGCAGATGCTGTGCTTCATGGCGGGCGCGAATGCGGTGTTTACTGGCGAGAAGATGTTGACGACAGAGTGCAATGGCTGGGATCAGGACAGGGAGATGTTTGAGAGGTGGGGGTTGAGGCCTATGAAGTCGCACGAGGTGAGGCAGGGTAGGGTCGAGGAAGCAGAAGAGGTTGGTGAGGTGCCGGAGCCGGTGATGACGAGGCCGAACACGCTTGAGAGGCTGCAGAAGAGTACGGCAACTGCTGCACTCTAGAAGAATGATGCGACGAAACCTTGGACGAAAGGGGTATAGAAAAGGAGTTCTTGGGACGCATTGGCATACCGGTTGGCGGTCGAGTTGTAGATGTGAATATAGATCTATGGCGCTTTTGAGACTAGGCTGCGTGTAGTAGCTAAGTAACGTCACGTACAAACCCACAAAAAGCGTCTATCTACGATGACCACGCAAGGAATGCCAATCGGGTCCTTTTAGTCAGTTCTCTTCCGAATCTTCGTCCCCATAAACGTGTCACAAACGTGCCCTCTCTGGCGACGCCTCCATCAGTTTGTCCGAAGCGGTGTGCAACCTGAGCCAGCTGTCTATTCGGTCGACAAGTCTTCGAATCTGCTGAGACGTATTGCCAGCGTGCACACAGATCCTGATCCTCGACGTGCCCTCAGGTACTGTAGGCGGGACAACAGCACGCACCACAAAGCCACCCTCTTGGCAGTGTCGCGCGAGACTCCTCGGCTGGGAAGTCAAGACAGCAAAGATAGGCGATACGGGTGCCTCGGACGGGACCTGGATCCAATGATCGATGTCTGGCACGCCTGCATACCTAGCTCTCAGAGCTTGGAGGCGGCTGAATAGCTCTTCTACTAAAGACCGCAGATGTAATTGAAGCTTTGATTGAAGTGACAAGTCAGACTCTGAGTCGAAAGGAAACAAGTACTCACTGGTGTTGGCTTACCGGTTCTGTGTGGCCGTCCCAGAGGAGGCTGTAGGCTGCTCTTATGGCAGCTAGACTGGGATATGACATGAATGTCGTATAGATGAGGGGTCGCGAGTAGTTGATAAGGTAGTGTCGCACAACGGGCGAACAGAGTATGATGGCTGTTTGAGAGTCAGTGATGCTAACGATAGATGCGGAATCAGTGCAGCGTCAGAGCGGAGGTGTGGAACAGATGACAAAATGCATCCTACCTCCATTACAAGCCAGCGCCTTGCCGAACGTGTGCAGCCTCGCAAAAACCCTCCCCTCTAGACCAAGCTCACACACCAACCCCCTTCCCCTCGAGCCAAGCGCACCGGTCGAGTGCGCCTCGTCTACAATGACATGGCCGTTCCTCTGCGGTAGTAAGCGCTCCACGACCTCGACGATCGCCTTCAACGGTGACAGGTCTCCATCCATGCTGTAGACCGCCTCGACCGCGACGAAGACGTTTCTGCGACCCCTCCGGATAGAGTCGTCACCGGCAACGCACCCCTCGAGCACCTTCTGCAAGTCCTCGACCGAGTTATGCTCAAACGCAATCCGCTTGGCTCTCGACAACCTCATGCCATCGTGCACGCTTGCATGGATGAATGCGTCGTAGACGACCACATCGTTCGGCTGCGGTATGCAAGCGAAGATGCCGGCATTGGCGTCGAAGCCTGAGTTGCACAGCAACCCTGCGGGTGCGTTGTGGAAGGCAGCTATATCGCGCTCGAGGACTTCAGCGTACTCTGAGTTCCCGTCCAGAAGTCTTGAGCCACCGCTACCGATTCGGAAGGAGGAGTCGCGCTGGAGCTCCTGGAGATAGGCAGCGCGCAAGGCGGGGCTGGTGGAGAGGGATAGGAAGTCATTGGAGGAGAAGTCGACGGCGCTGGACGGGGACACGGTCAGGTTGCGGAGAGTGGATGATGCCCGTCGTCTGTCGAGGTGGTGCTTGAGAGTCCGCTCGAGATTGGACATGTTCTTGTTGTTATTGTCCATTATGTGTGTTCAGTCGTATTTACCAAGTTAACGACATTATCCTGAGCTTCAATGGCAGTTGTTGAGGCTGGGGCAAGAACCGCCGTCCGCCGTCCGCCGTCCCGTCCCCGCCAAAAAGTTCCCTGCATGAGGTGAGCGCGCGACGTCGCGGCTTCACGACTTCGCGATCTCACGTGCCTTCGTCTCAAACCTCGAACCTCACCTTAACTTCTACATCCACCACCGAATACTCTGACCTACAACAACCGCAAAGATGACGACCACCAACCCTCCCAACAACACGTACGCTATCCGCTCCGGTCAGCATCGCACCGCGCTGACCCGCGCCGTAGGCTTTACGTGCGCAATCTCGAGGAGCGCATCAAGATCCCCGAGCTGACATCCGCGCTCTCCGAAATCTTCAGTGAATACGGCACCATCATCGACATCGTCGCCAAGAAGTCGCTCAAACGCAGGGGTCAGGCCTTCATCGTCTTCGACTCGCCCGATGCCGCCCAGCGCGCCCTCGAGGAGGTGCAGGGCTTCGACCTGTTCGATAAGCCCATGCAGTTGGACTACGCCCGGACGCGGAGCGATGCGACAGTGAAGGTGGAGGGGACTGAAGAGGAGCTTGAGGTGCATAAGAGGAGGAGACTGGCTGAGAAGGGTGATTGGCTCCTTGCTCATTATCCGAACCCGACTGTCGTCATCAAGTCAGCTAATCCGAGCGCCATACACAGAGCGCAAGCAAGCTCTCGCCGCCGCCGAGGAACAGAAGAAGCTCAAGCGGCCCGCAGCCGGTGCCCCCGAGCCGGTCGCCGCCCGTCCCGCCAAAACAACCCGCGGTGCCGGCCTCAAGTCTACCGGCGGCGCCGCAGCCGTCATTCCGGACGAGTACCTTCCGCCCAACAAGATTCTGTTCGTGCAGAACTTGCCTGAAAACTACGACGTCGATGCGCTGTCAGCTATCTTCAGCCGCTTCGAGGGGTTCAGGGAAGTGCGGCTTGTGCCTGGAAGGAAAGGTATCGCGTTCGTGGAGTACGAGGCTGAGACGGGAGCGATTAGCGCCAAGGAGAGCACGGCGGGGATGACACTTGGTGATGAGGGGAAGCTGATCAAAGTGACGTACCAGAGGCAGTGAGGTGTTGTTGAGGCATGCTGGGCGTTAACTATGGACTGAGCATCAGGCCTAGTACCAAAAGTTTTCAGCGGCCATGTGACGCGGAGTCTCTAATACTAAACTTAAGCAAGAAAGAAACATCGCATTTACTATAACAGTCACCCAACGAGAGTTCTGCGGATCTTACACTGTCTTAACATCTCCGTCACCGCTAGCTAACAACTCTCTCTTGTCTACTCCATCGTACAAGGGTGCTAATTAGTGGGGAGCCTCAGCCCATGGGCATTGCACGGTTTATCGCGACGAAAAGAATTCAAAAACATACAGCGGTAGGTGTCCGCTAGTGGTCACCTAACTACTAACCTATCGATTCAGAGCTTATGTATAGCGGACCGGACGGTATACCCAGTGTTCTCTGATCTATAGCTGTATGTGCTGAACTTAAGTCGAATTTGCAATATAAGATCATAGGTCTCGGTGACTCCAAAAATCGATTGATCCATTGCCTCATGCATTGTGATAATAGACAAGCATTATAGCCGCGCGAGACAACTCACGTAGCCCAGAACATGATTAAGTTCCAGTGCCCGGCACTGCAATAATTCTCAACACAGGCGAAACCGCCCTGTTGTGCTCGGGACGAAGAGATTAGCACATGGTCAAAGTCGATTTCGCATGGTACTGTATGAGATCGCACTAAGCCCGGCTCGGCATGGCTTCGCTCTGTAATCTGACGTCGATCAACATCGCCGGCCAGGAGAGCCGCTGCCTCCTCAGCGCATTGCATTGGCTGCCACGATGCTGGTATTGAGCCGCTTTTTGAGATGGCGCGCGGGAGTCGGTCAACGCTAAACTTTTCTTTACCCCGGACGGAAGTCCACCGCCGGATGGCGCCCTAATAGCAATGTCATTTGTAAGGATGCTGTCGACGTCATGGTATCGAGGCGTCATAACTTTTCAGAGTATAGGAGTCTGGTGCTCGGTTCAAGTCTCTTTAACGTCTCATTCGCGCTTCACCGTGTTTCTGTAGTCTCTTTGCTAGCTTCAAGTCACGGTGTCCGTTGTATAATTCATAATGGCCGAGCCAGAACAAACACTTCGAAACGTGCAGGAGAACAACGAGGACAGCAGCGAGAAGGGAAGGGAGGATGCAGGACCGCCACAGCCAGTCGGATTCTGGGATCCTCGTTTGAAAAAAGTCCGCCATACAGCATTCAAGAAGTGGACTCTCACGAGTGCGTCCTCCCGCATGGGCACGCACGTGCCTTGAGACTAACGTGCCGGCAGCTGTCGTGTTGACGGCATTCATTCTTTCGGTACTTTCGATGTGTGAGTTTCGTCGAGGAATTCAAACTCGATGGCATGAAGCAGTAACATCTTTTCTAGACTGGGGCGTATTTTTCCACGCCGAGCAGAACCTCTCATCGTTCGTTGTATACATTGTCGACTTTGACAGCCAGGCGCCCTATGACACGGCACCCATTCCGCCTCTTGTCGGCCCAATCATCAGCCAGCTTAGCAACCAGATGGTCAGCTCCGGACGACCAACACTTGGGTTTCTTAGCGTGCCGCCTTCGAACTTCAGCAACGACCCTATCCAAGTCCGCCAAGCCATTTACAACTGGGACGCGTGGGTTGCCGTGATTGTTAATCCGAATGCGACGGCTATGCTCTATTCCGCCATTACAACAGGGAACACGTCCTATGATCCGCTGGGCGCCTGCCAACTTATTTACCAAACTGGAAGGGACGATACCACCTACCATAGCTTCATCTTGCCCATTATGAACATGCTCATGAGAGAAGCCACGAGCATGGTTGGGCAGATGTGGGCAGGAATGGTGCTGCAGAACGCTACAGACCCCGCAATACTCGCCGGAATGCAGGCAGCGCCGCAGGCCATCAGTCCGGCGGTCGGGTTCTCGGAGTTCAACCTCAGGCCCCTCTATCCGTACACATCGATTGCTGCTACAACTATTGGATTAATCTGTAAGTCTCTCTGCAAGGCTATTACCCAGGTCTCCTTTTTCTGGGCGGAACGGCCGCATCATCGCACTACTACAATCACGAAGATTGACCAATCCGCCAGACCTCATAATCATCTCTTTCTTCTCCTTCTCCTTCTACCTTCCGATCCATATGCAATATCTCAAGCCCGAAGGCCACCCGCCTCTCAAATTCTGGCAGCTCATAATCTGGCGCTGGTTCGCCACCATGACGGCCTACTTCTTCCTGTCTCTCGCTTACTCCCTAATCTCCCTCGCCTTTCAAATCAACTTCTCGTCCGGCTACCAGGTGCCCGAAACCGCCGTCTCCGGCCGCGTAAACCCGACCGCATACGGCGACGGCACCTTCCTGGTCTACTGGATGATAAACTACTTCGGCATGATCGCGCTCGGGTTGGCATGCGAGAACGTAGCCATGGTCATCGGCCAGCCGTGGTTGGGGCTGTGGCTCATCTTCTGGGTCATCACGAACGTCAGCACGGCGTTCTACAGCATCGACATCGAGCCGGCGTTCTATCGGTGGGGCTACGCGTGGCCGCTGCATAACGTGGTCGAGGCGAGCAGGCAGGTGCTCTTTGATCTGCATTCGAGGATTGGGCTCAACTTCGGGATCTTGGTGGCGTGGGGAGCGGTGAATACGGCGCTGTTTCCGGCAGCGTGTATGTTTATGCGGTGGAAGAGCAAGAAGGGACTGCATGAGTATTGGACTTGAGGACGCATTGTGTAGGTCTTGGGGCATGGCGTCGGCTTCCGGAGGGATCTTTCTCGTTTGGAAATACCCACCAATGTTTATGTAGTTCTAGAGATCCAAGACTGATCTATTTACTTGTTTGATTTTCGGATATGACTACCATCTTGACTAAAATCTGAGAATCAATTCACAAAATCACCGCAGCGACAGCTAAACAATTTCCTATCCTCTCCAGCACTTATCTGAGCATTGAGAACTGGTTGGAAATGACTTTCAAGACATACAAAGACGCCAAGACGATGAAGCAAAAGGCGCACCACCTCCGCGTCGACAGGGCTCTATGATACAGCATGCTGCGATCTCGGTGACTACCGACGCAGCCTTATATTTGTGAGAATGAAAGCAGATTGGTGCGAGTTAGGTTTTCAGCCAACGAGAAAATCATAGTCACGATGCTGTACTCACGGCGGAAGGGGTTTCCGCTGTCAGAAGAGGAGAAAGGGCAATTGGCCCCTGCTTGCTGAGCCGATGTGGCTTTGCCCTTGACTATAGATCCGAAGTGCGACCGAGCCTCAGGATGCGGGAGAGAGATTCCGTAGGCCTTCGCTGCCGACACTCCCCGACAAGGGTCGTGGTAACCGGTTTGGCGACTATTTGATTGCAGATATATCTGGAGTGGTAGAGCCAGATATCGCTGACAACCAATTGAACCCTGACTGTCACTCAAACCATCCCGAATAAATTGCCTGAGCCTCTCAAATGACTACGTTTACAGAAATTACTAGCGCTGAAAGGCCTTGGATCTACACGTCCCCAGACCATGCTATCTCACGTATAAACCCGCTTATCTACGGTGGCTTCACCGAGCATATGGGCCGTTGCATCTACGGCGGCTTGTACGACCCAGAAAACCAACATGGACTCGTTGATGAGAACGGATTCCGCACCGATGTCATCGAATGCATGAAAGAGCTCAACGTACCGGTGGTTCGCTATCCTGGAGGGAATTTTGTTGCAACCTACCGTTGGATGGATGGAGTTGGTCCCCGAGCAAAGAGACCAAAACGCCCAGAGCTTGCCTGGCTAGGCACCGAATCGAATCAATTTGGCACTGACGAGTTCATGGAGTGGTGTAAGATAGTTGGGGCTGAACCTTACCTGGCCTTGAATATGGGCACTGGAACGCTAGAGGATGGTACGGTCATCCTGTCGACTTCTCTAAAAGCTTAGCTGACATACCTTTGCATTACAGCTCTGGCTTGGGTAGAGTACTGCAACTCAGACAAAGATACCTATTATGCAAACGTAAGGCGGGAGAACGGCCACGAAGTACCTTACCGGGTAAAGTATTGGGCTTTAGGCAATGAGATGTGGGGTCCATGGTATGTTCGTCTGCATGTAAATCATTTGATTCGAGCTTAACAGAGACTTAGGCAGGTCGAACAGCATACTAAAGAGGACTACGCCAAGAAAGCCTACCAGTGGGGAAAAGGTACGTCCGACACATGTTGCTGAGCACAATGGAGACAGAGGATCAGTGCTGAAAAAGTGCAGCACTAAAGCTTCTTGATCCATCAATCAAACTGATACTATGCGGCAAAAACGGGTGCAGCGACTGGGATCGGTACGTCCTGCAAGAATGCATCAGATTTACAGACATGCATTCAATCCATCACTACACGTCAGACAAGGAGTAAGATTCCACAAGTGGCGTCCCACGTGACCTCCATTGACATCACCCTCCATAGACACTACGCAAACGCTCTGGCACCTAAGTCAGCAGAACGAGCAATCGAGATTACGGCATCTCTCATCGACCTAGCCCGCTGCGAAATCAACATGGATGTCTTTCCAGACGAAATCTCCACAAAAGCCAAAACGCGACACCGACCCACCATCTGCTTCGACGAATGGAACGTCTGGGACCCAGAACGCGCTCCGGGCGACAAAGGCGCCGAGGAACTGTACGACGTGTCCGATATGTGCGCCGTCGCGTTATGGCTCAATGTCTTTGTGCGTCAGTCTCGGTACATTGGCATGGCAACCGTTGCGCAAAGCGTCAATGTGATCGCTCCTCTGATGACGACGGAGACTGGGATCGTCAAGCAGACGATCTACTGGCCGCTCCTACTCTTCTCGAAGTACATGCAGGGTCAGACCCTCGCGGTGCATGTTCGGGCGTCTGCGTACCACGGCCGCACAAGTCCGGAGTGGCTCGCAAGCACGATGGAGCTGCCCTTGCTTGACGTTTCAGCGGCGCTAGGTGATGATGGTTTCATCAACGTGGCTGTAGTCAATGCCTCTGAGACTGAGGATGCGGAAACGGAGCTCAAAGTGACAGCTGAGTCGGTGCAGGTCTTTACTGTTGGAGGGAACGTTAACGAAATCCGAGACCATAACACAAAGAGCGACGAAAAAGTCTCTATCCGTAACTCTGAGTGGGACGGAAAGGGAAGGTTTACGTTCGAGAAACACAGTTTCACGCTACTTCGATGGAAAGCAGACGGGAAATAGGTCATGATGGGATTCTCTACAACAAGTCAGATACAGTGGTTCTGGATCGAGCGCACTCACTTGGCTAAACACCCTTGTAGGGGGAATGTACGATGTTTCCAGGTTGATTTTAGTTACAGGACCGATGTAATCACACAAATACATTCTCTGACTCCAAAGTAATAAGGAACTGCGGTGAATATACCTATTTACTATAGTTGCGCTGGAAGGCTGAGAGAGAACATTTTGTCCAGGCCTGAAATTCAATCTTGTAGACCTGATCTAAATGCCTTTGCCGAGCAATCCGCATAGATATAACAACAACAAGTAGCGTTGCTGGCGTGCTCAAGATCTTGCTATTGTCTTCCGACAAACTCGTGAGCTAGTACTGCGAGCTCTTCTGGTGTACGCCTTAGGTGCCCTGAAATGGCTGATGAACAACCAGCAGATACATACCTGTGGTTGCTAAGACGGCGTTCCGCGGCTTGGCTGGAGTCAGTGTACAGCCCGCCAGTAAAGGCTGTCTGCATTCCTCCACACCACTGCAAAAGCTCACGTCTCATCGAGCGTGCGATCCAATGAATCGGGACTCAAGTTCTTCCAAGCGCCGATTGTAAGCCGAAGGGTACCGGAAAATGTTAGGAGACATGGAAGTCGTGGCATGAGGTACATGTTCGTTGCTATTCCGAAGTTTACTCGAGGCAGTGGTCCCAAGCTTGCACAACCATTCGCCCAGTTGCGGATAATCCTTGGATATGTGTCTGCTCCCCTGGCGGAATGGAGCGGCACCAGGCTCCACTGCCGGAGTTCCTCCTAAGAGCGATACTCCCCGATCTGTGAGGCGCACATTCTGCCGAACATATCCCTTCGTCTGGCTTGTGATATGCCACGATTCCCGCCACAACACCGTCTGGGTCATTATGGACCATCCCAAAACCGCTGTCTTCATGCACCTAACAACCCCGGACCCTTGCCTCCCGCCGCCGAGCCTGCGTGAACCATGCGTCTCCGCCTCCACAATCTGGGGCGGGAATGCTCGTCCGGGGCTGCTGGAGGCACATCACGTCCCATTTGATATCCCGACACAACGAGCCGTGCGTTTCGTGATTTCAGTGCCGTCCATACGCGGTGGTGGGCTGCGGCGTTCTTAAAGTCTTGCATTGCCTATATAACCCTCTGTTTTCCCCTGCTCCACTCAATACCACGACGATCATCAGGTTCCCTTGCCACTTCCAAGGTGCTAAACGTATCTCTCCCTTGCATACTTGACCTCCGTATTTCCACATAACATCTCTCCTCCCAGAAGCTCATCAAGCCATACGGATAAGGAATCATGGATACAGAGAAGCTCGCAAGCGTCACCGCAGAGCGCCGCGCGTCTAATGCCGAGCGCCGCGCATCTATAGTCCACGACCCCGACGCAGGCCATCTCATGAACCAAGAAGACCATGAGAAGTCAAAGTGGCAAGCTATCAAGAGCCAGCCCTGGGCATTCGCTTGGTGCCTCTTCGGAGTCTGGTTGTCGCTTCTAGTCAGCTTTGAGAACCAAGCGGCCGGCATCGTTATTGGTATCCCGCAGTTTCGCAAAGACTTTGGCTCGTTCTACGAGGGTAACTACGTTCTGCCCGCCAAATGGCAGTCCGCCTTCAGTGGAGCACCCGTGGCTGCGTGAGTTTCTACTTCAGTCTAGTGTGCATGACATCCACTGACTTTCAGCCTTGCAGAACAGCCATAGGCGCCTTGACTGCGGGCCAAATCGCTGACTCGATCGGGCGCAAGAAGACTGTCATGGCCTTCCTCGTTGTCTCATGGATCGGAGTTACCATGGAGTTCATTTCTACGACCAACGAACTCTTCTTTGGGGGTAAATTCGTAAATGGCTTTGCAGTCGGCACCCTCGCTGCCCTCGGCACAACTTATGTTGGAGAAATCGCGCCCTTGGCATTACGAGGCCTCCTCACTGCCGTCATTGCTTTAGCATACACGGTCGGGCCCCTATGTGCGGCACTCATCCTCAACGACACTGGCACTATGGAGAACAGATGGGCTTACCGCGCCGTTTTTGTCTCCCAGTACGGCTTCGCAGCCGTGGCGAGCATTGCAGTTTTCTTCATGCCTGAGAGTCCCTGGTGGCTGGCCAACAAAGGGAAAGACGAGCAAGCGCTTCGCTCTCTCAGAGGTCTAGGCTACAACAAGGGCGATGAAGACGTCAAGCGCCTTGCCCTTATCAAGCTCACCTTGGAACAAATCAAGAGCGAAACTGAGAACGCCACCTATCTTGAATGCTTCAGACGTTCGAACCTGAGGAGAACAATCATCAGCATCGCTCCACTCGAGATTCAAGCATTAGGCGGCGTCATCTGGGTTGCGGGCTACTCAACATACTACATCCAACTCGCTGGCTACAGCACCGCAATGAGCTTCAAGCTCTTCATCGCGCTCCAGGTCGTCTCGATGTTCGGCAACGTCTGCTCTTGGTTTCTGGTTGACAAGGTTGGACGTCGCAATCTGACATTATGGGGCGTGACAATCCTAACTGTGCTCCTCATGGTGGCTGGCGGCCTTGCCAGCGCGGGCTCACCAGGCGCTATCAAAGCGGCTATCGGGCTGATCACCGTCTATGGCTTCTTCTACAACATCACCATCGGAGCGACCGCGTACAATCTTCTTGTGGAAGTCTCGACATCCCGGCTCCGAATCAAGACGATCGCTATTGGTCTCGCCTTGCAGAACCTGACCTACATGATGTGGTCGTTTGTGCTTCCCTACCTCTTCAACCCGGACAAGGCGAATCTCGGAGCGAAGGTAGGTTTCATTCAGCCACTATCTACCCTTGCCATTGTATCCTTTGCTGACCTTGGTGTGTCGCTGCAGGTCACTTTCATCTTCGGTGGTATCTCAGTCCTCTGTATTATCTACCTTTGGTTCTACCAGGTCGAAACGGCGAATCGCAGCTATGCTGAGCTCGATGAGATGTTTGCGAAGAGAATTCCGGCGAGGAAGTTCAAGACATATATCACTGACGAGCAGCGCATGGGGCAGGAGGTTAAGAGGAAGTCTATTGGAGCATGAGTTCGGTGAAGGATATAAGTTACGGCTGCATGTTTGTTGGAGACTCGCACAGCTGTAGAGTCTAGTCTTCCTCTAGCCATTCACCACAAATACGCAATAACGCTATTTGCTCAATACATGGGAACGAAAGTCCGTGAAATCCAAGTCAAATCACATCCATGATGTTCATGATATGAAGTTTCTTGACTTATCCTGCCGTGGCGAATAGCGGCGCGTTAGGCTCGCAAACAGTTCCGGGCTCAAGAAGGGTGCCCTCGACGAAGTACTTCCCAATAACTTCTTTCGTACAGTTTGAGGGCTGCAATAAAGACAAATGCTGCACCAAATTGTCAGCACTTTAAAAAGTGACTGGGGGAAGTGAGGTTCTTTCTTACGCCATAGCCATTGTGCTGAAGTACGATGCTGTCTTGAAAGCCCGTGCTCATATTCTGCGCCGAGACGAGAGGGGTGGAGGGATCAAAGCTGTTCCCTATGAACAGGAGAGGGGTTTTCGTTCGGATGTTGCTGAAGTCTCCCTCGTACCGCTCCTTGGCCTGGAATCGCCATTGCGCACAGTCCTGAAACATGTTCGACACCGCGTCACCAAGCCACTTGCTCCTACGGCCGAGTTCGTCATACACGGGAACAAGCTCAGACGCGCTAGAGGCTCTCACCGACTTGTCGCCGCATCTGATGCCAGAAAAGGCTTGGTCCTGCTCACCCTCACCTGCTGCTCTTTCAGCTGCATACTGGACAAACGCCGCCGGGTCCCCATTTAGAAGGTCATTGAGACAGTTGGATAGACGTGGCCAATATGGCGGGACATAAAGCGTTGAGTAGATTGTAGTCCTAACAGATGAGTAATCGACAATAGTTCCGTTGAATGGTATGGGGTTCCATTTGAGGGTGTCAAAGAGATCGGACATGGCAACTTTCAAATCGGCGACGGTCTTGTTCCCGCTGGCTAGAGCGCAGTTGTCGGGTGCCGCGACGCAACCGGCTAAGAAACCTTCGAAGGTCCCATCCACAGCTGCAACCTGTTCTGTCTCACTACAAGGGTATCTGTCAGTTTTGACTATCATTGCCGATGGATACTAGGGAGGGAGTTGCGATACGCACTATCCATTGTAATACTGATGTGCATTCAGGACGCCGTCCAGAACCAGTTTGTCCATTCGATCAGGAAACATGGCTGCAACAGTTGCTCCCAAAAGAGTACCAGCCGAAAGGCCTTGCGTCGTCAGTTAATATATAGAATTGAAAAGCAATAGAGAAGCTTGCCCCAGTATCTTAATTTGCCGTCTTCACCAAGGGCGTCGACAATCCTCATCATGTCTCTTGCCACGAACGCCGTTCCCACAAGCTCGCCGGTCTCCTTTAGCTGGGAATAGCAAGCGTCCGCCATGATAGTACCCTCTGCCCAGAGTCTTCCTGGGGCAGTGTCTGAGGAATTGACTAAGATCTGACCCATTGACGCTAACCCGGAATCGGGTTGCCAGCACGTGAATCGAAGCGTGTTACGAGTACCTCTGCCGAAATTGTCAATCTCTGTACATCGATAGAAATATGGTTTGCCGCAATCGTCAGACTCACCTTGGATCAAAGCTGATGAGATCGTGTTGACCTCCAGTCGCCCTGGACACAGACCTTGAGCATGAGTCTTGCTGGAAGGACGTGTAACTTACGGTAACATAAGTGGTGCGTAACCAAGCATGTTATAGAGCCCATCTTGACCGGGGCCGCCGAAATTGAGCAAGATGCTGCCCTTAGAAGGCTGCTGTAGAGCTGGCAGTTTGATCAGGTCAAGATATAGCGTTTCATTGCTCCCTGGATCGGTGTAGTCCAGCGGGACGGGAAACCTGGCACACTCTATGGGCAGTGAGGTATATTTGTCTAGATCGCAAGGACCCCATTGGATCCCTTGACATTGACCTTGTGGACATTGGAGAGCTGCCGCGCTCGCCATCTCGACGAGGAGTAAGGAGAGCGGAACGATAGTCACGCTGGTACGCATATTTATTGTGAGAAAAATCTAGGGGGTGACTCTGTTATGGTAGCGAGTGAAGTTGAAGAGAAGTCTTCATCTAGCAGGAAATGAGCAGTCCAGAGCCATTATATATCCACAGGACGGCTTTCAAAAACACGCTGGATTGAACTGGCGTCATTTAACATTGAAGCCTTACAGCCGGCAGCTCACTTGCAGGACTACCGTAAGCAGCGCCTAGAATTACTTGAAACGGTAACATGCAGCGCTCCTAATAAGTCAACTAAACCTAAACTAACTCAGAAGCTTAGAAGTACCCGTTGGTCAAGGAAGGTGTGTGGGAGCCACCCCTTGTATTGCTAAAAGTTCGATTGAATCTGGAGTTGAACCACTCGATCTGAGTCAGATCGAGTGGAGCGATTATAGACCTAATCAGTAACTCTACCAGGTAAGTAAAGTTACTTTATCCGAGGCTTCCGACTTAGATCCGGAGCTTCCGAACCGCGGTATCTAAAATTTTAGCGTGGTGTTAGTGCGGGCTCGATATAGGAAGTAGGACTGGAGTATATACGCTAACTCTATATCTTAACCGTCCTACTAAGTAAGAAGCAGCCTTTCGCTTGGTAGTTAAGTGCTACATCACCAGGGTGTCCTTTAGTCGGTCGGACTAACGTATCACGATTGGTTCAGCATAACACCAAATGGTCCTGATGGAATTGATTGATGGATGGTTGCGTTGAGGCAACGCGACCGACTATATACCTATCGTTGGCTCTTGCCGTCCAGACTACCTCACCGTAGCCTGAACCCGTGATATGACGCTGACGGGGCCGACGGGCATAGGCTGTCCCGTTAGTTGGTATGGTTTTCTTGAGGCTCGTCCGTCCGTCTTTACCTTACCGCCGGATAAGGTCGACGAGGTCGATAGTGCTTAGTATAGCAGTGAGGTTATTTTTAAGGTTCCAGACAGCCAGCAAGTTTTTGGCGGCGCTATAGTTAGCCTAGAGCCTATTTATACCGAGCCGGATTATCACAAATATTACAGCTAGAATCCTTAAAGCCTCACTACTATATAACATTTACTTGTTCAACCAGCTATACCTCGCAATATACAACGTCATCTTAATACTCCTAAGCTTACTCGTGTGTCTACTAGGAAGGGGAGGCTTTAATAGGCAAGACCTTATATATTATACCTAAGAAAACGTTGTTAGAAATTTATAACACTATACTAAGACTCGTTTAGATCTATACTACCCTGTCCAGCCTCATCGGTCCGTCCTTAAGGCGCCCAAAGCCTAGTACGTCCGTTTGGTGGCGCGCCCTTACCTCGTCGGACCGACTAATGGACACCCTGTACATCACGACCCCAGTGCGTCGCAGAGAGTAGGCCTCCTCATGCCGTTCCGGATTGAAGTGCCATCAATACCCCACGAGTGTATAGATCAACCGAACAAGAGCGAGAGGAATTGCGTTTAGAGGTGTGGACTTTGTGGAGAGAGACGGGAGAGCCGAGTGGGCGAGGTCGATGGGTCCACACACCACACACTTGGGCATACTACTTGGGTCCGCACGGGGCAGATCACAGATCCGCAATCAGCACATCTCGAACTTAACACAAATGGTCCTTCTCCGCCGCCCGCAGTTCTAGAAGTAGCAAAGAAGAGGCTAAAAACAAGCAGCTTGGCTGCGTGGCAGTTGTGCAACTTCCTACAACCCCCCCCGTCCGCTTCGCTGCTCCTTCCCAGGTGATGCATTTTCAAATTGTTAGTCTTTTTGCGTGGGTTCTCAGCCGAAGAACGCATGTGAGGTGATAGGTAACTTCCAAGCCGTGATCAATTAGGGTTGGTGCTGCCGGGGCGTATCACGTCCTATAAATCCACGTTCGAGAGAACAAGAAGTGGGACGTCAAACCCATCTCCCGTTTTAGATAAAGTCCATAGCTTTACTACATTCCCGCAGCAGCGTAGTCGGAGGGCATCTGGTCGACTTTTGGCTCAGTTGTGAGTTAATATATGAGCATCTTAGTAATTTCTATCTGCATGGTGTGGACTGCAGAGCTTGCACCTAGCACAATCGCGTCCCTGCAGCCCGGCGCTCCTCTGCTTCCTCTGCTTCCACTGTTTTCAGATGAAAGTCGGACTTACTCCTAAGCCGTGGTCCGAACCGGAAGAAGATGAAGGGTAGAGGCGCTATTGCAACCGTCAAGAAGCCAAGAAGGGACGTAGCCCAATCAGTCCCAAGATTTTCATACATCTGGCGAGTAAAAGGGGGGAAACGAGCTCCAAACAAGCTTCGCAGCACTGCATTAGCAGCTAGTGCACTGGCAGCATAACGTCCGTAGCAGTCGGTGAGATACGACGTTATACCGAGAAACAGTGTTACAAAGCCGATGCCGATAGGAATGCCTGCTACAACACAGAGAGACCAATGGATAGCTGGCGTTGCCGTCCAAGCAAACCAGAACAAGCCGACTTGAATCAGCCAAGATAGGGTAATCAGATGTGGAAGGCGCACCTCTAGTTTTGGTCCCCCAGCTTCTTCACGTTTTGTCCATGGATGCGATTGATGTATGGGGATAATGCCGATGCGATTGCCATCTCAACTTCGATGCCTAGCGCCCATCATCAGTTTACACATAGTTATTTCTCGCGAGTTTGCTTTACCAACGAACGTGAGACCGGAGATACTAGGAGCCCAGTGTCTCGTCTCTTGGAACACAAAGGGATAAGCTGTAAAGTCGAGGTAAAGGATTCCGTACACAAGAGCCATGTAAAGGAAAAGGAGAAACAAGATCGGTTCTGCAAGAAGCATAACCCACGGCCTGCTCAAGTTTGTCTTGTACTGTTCCTTCACACTCCGTTGTTAACGCTTGATGCCCAGGCGTTTGGCTTTGTCATGCAGTAATTTGGCATGGTAGGTCTCGGGCAGAAACAGCACCACGCACCTGTAAGCAGCTCCGCTGATGATCGTAACGAGCCAATAATTCCTGTCCGCATTGACATGCAGCTCGCGGTCGAGAAGATTGAGTCACTCACCATCGCCATGATGTATACTGAGACATGAACCCACCGATTATCGGAGAAAGTACAGGACCCAGAAAGCAAGCTGCGGTAAAGAGTGCGAAAGGCAATGAGCGCTGACTCTGAGGCCAAATATCGGTGAGGGAGCATCCGGAATTCGTGACCATCGGAAGGTGAGTACTGTTTCGCGCCGCCGAAAGACTTGATGAAAAAGCTGCTCGTGGAACTCACCGATCGGAGATCCGAAAGAGCCACACAGAAACCAGAAACCAAGCAAAGTCTGAGCGTTGGGCGCAAGAGCACAGCCCAGATTGAACAGCCCAGATTGAAAGCGCCGAAGAGAAACAGGGTGACACGATATACCGGATTCCGGCCGAGTTCTTCAGATAACGGGGCGAAGATGAGAGCCCGGAACCAAAACCAAGGAGGAAAGTGGTGACGCCAAGGTTTGAGACAGTGCGCGAGCAGTGAAAGTATTCGGCAACACTGTCAATCGCTGCAATATGAATCAACGAGCAAAATCAAATTATCGAGGACATCAGGACAATAATGATCGTACAAGTCCACCTTCTTGCTGCGGAAAATTGCAAAGGACTTTCAGAGCCATCAAGGTAGAGGGACTCGAAGGTGATGGGCCCTACCTTTCTCAGCGTTTCGCAAGGCATACTGGTCGACCTGGCCTTCGTCGATCTCAGGCGGTGGGGAACGCTGTTCTGATGAAGACATGCTGAGCTGTGACAGAGGCCAAGGGGGCGGACGGGTTGATATTGGAGTTTCAACGTTAAGTGGCCTGGCTGTGGCTTAGTTATGAATACGGGGCCACGAAGCAATGGATTTGGTAGATCTGCGGCCACGCAGGTTCCTTCTCAACACCGCCCATTTGAGGCCCGTCATTGAAGTTTGGTGCTCCTCCCGCCCGTCCTATGTTGCAAATGTACGTTCCCGTCTGGTTGAGGATCGTTTTGGAGATCCTGGAGTGCCGAGCCATTCCGCCAGCGGCGCCATGTCCAGTCGGACCTGAGCCGGACCCTACCTACCCAGGCAGAGTGCAAATGGCAGGTCTGGGGCCCATGAAAAATGGAGCAAGGTCCAAGGGCCGCGAGTCCAGCATTCAAGCTGACCGACTCAATGCGACTCCTTGGTGAAGATGGGTGGCTAAGAGATTCTTTGATCTATCTACTGAAGGGGGAAGATTGGCTATATACTTGATGCCCAGCCGACAGTTCGAGATTGACCAATCTCGAAGCTTCTATGCACCTTAAAGATGCCCCTCCTGCTAGAACGTAGCACTGCTGCCGCCAACTACATCTAGTATACGGTGTTCCAGCAATACATGGTCATTTGTTCTAGATTTATCCGAAGGCATGTGACAAGATTCTCAAATTAGGAGCGGGCTAGAAAGGAACGCGCAATCACGAGTAGAGGAGCTATTACGCCACTAGACACGAACAGGAGTACCAGAATTGCAAGAGGTTCACATACCTTTAATTTCAGCGACAGATGCCCATCGGTTATCTCATTGTAAAACCTGACGCTTGACTGTTGCGCGTGATTTCTGTTTATTTGCTAAATCTCACAATCCCCGCATCGCGTCCTTAACACTGTCATAGAATATGTATTAGTTGTACGACAAAGGCGAGCGGGATGGAAATCGCGAACGCAAGCATTACGGACTTCTATGCCTGACGCAAGCGCGACGCCATTAATTGCTAGCTTCCATACTGAAGACTTAGCCTCCAAGCTCCATCGAGATCTCCCGCCAAATAGTGGTTCCAGATGAACTAGTATCGTGGAGTTGCAAGAGACGCGGAATCAGACGCAGGTGACGCTATGCGTGAGATCGCTGTGCGTGAGATCGCTGTGCGTGAGATCGCTGTGCGTGATATTGTGGGCGGCGGTAGATAGCTTGACTTTAGAACGGTAGTTCAGATCGCTGCGGTGGCAGATCGCGGAGATATCGATCGCGGCTCACGTGCACGTGCATGCGGCTCTGCAAAATTACGCACATTATCACGTGACAACCGCGCTCTCTACACATTTCTCAATCATACTTTTTCGACTTGTGGAACGTCTTCCAGCTCAAATTCCTTAGCTCTAGCAAAGTCAAGCTCCGATCCGAGCACACAACTCACCAGCGCTAAGTCAAGACGCTCCATGGCCAGATTATAAACGTTAGGCAGCCTATCACGCGGAAAGCGACGTGACTGAACGAGACCACCACGTAGGATAACAAGCACAAACCGCACGACTCACTTCCCCTTTAGCAATTACCGCTCGTCCAACAAAGTTCCCACATCTGAGATCTTGATAACGTTGAATATAGTGCATGGCACATGCCTATACTTGCTAACATCCTAGCAAGAAGTTTCATTCTCTGTCTCTGAGACCTGAACCCTCAGCTACAACGGCTCTACAGAGTAATGAGCTAACGTGAAGCTTTGACTTGACCCTCGAACGCGAATCAGATAAGTGGACTGATGACTAAGTGACCAGCTCTTTCAGCTGAGGCATGCTAAGAGTTTGAGCTGAGCTGCAACTTACTGCGGGGTAAATAGCAAGGATTATCCTGCCTGCATTTGCTATAAATAAGTCTGCTTACAATCGCAGGACATCAGTGTTTCCGAGCCCCGCAATGTCCGCGTACGTCCGAAAACGACAATCTTAGAGGTGGCTCGCTTCCTGGAAGATATTAGAGCTTATGGAGATGCGACCGGGTCGCTTATGGAAGGGTTACGCGTGACCGAACTTCCCATACACCCGTTGAGTAAGCCAAGCTGTAGTTCCACATTATTCAGCTGCTGAACCCTACGACTTAGCTGACAAAACTACCAAGGCTGCTCTGTAAACATATCAAAGTTATTGAACTCTTCGTGATGTACCCCTGCCGGAACGACGCTATAAACTTCCCGTGTTGCTTATGCGAAGCAACAAGGGGAATTCTTAGCAATAACGCCAAGTACAGAAGGATCATTTTTAGTAGACGAATATATAAGGATGTTGGTAACTAAGGCGAATTCTACCGCAGATGACTATTGTACGTTCCTAAGTCCGGCATATCACCTAGAGTCTAATCACACTTCAACCCTAACCTCTCAAGCTTCTCCTGTGCTGATCCTTAGCAATGCCCTCCTACGTAGTTACCGGCGCGTCACGCGGCCTCGGTGTACGTCCAACTCTCGTACCGACTAATATTACCTCTAACACCGGCTAGTACGCCTTCATCACCCATCTTGCAAAAGACTCCTCCAACACCGTCATCGGTCTTGCGCGTAACAAGGCGGCAACCGACTCCCGCTTAGCAAAAGACGAAATTAAGAACGTGACGATCCTTCAAGCTGATATCTTGGACAGCCTAGCCTTGCAAGCCGCTGCGGCAGAAACCGCTAGGATTACGGGTGGAGGACTCGATGTACTGATCAACAATGCCGCTTATATAAGCGAGGAAACGAGCTTCGAGACGATGGCTGTTGCGTGAGCCACCATCCGTGCGCTTCTTAAGGTGACGAAGTTGCAGCGCTGACCTCCCTGCAGCGAAAGTGAAGCCGAGCGAATCGAGAAGGACTTCCTCAAATCCTTTGAAATCAATGTCATCGGCGTCGTGAAGACAACAAACGCATTCTTGCCGCTGCTGAAGAAGGGGACTGTAAAGAAAGTCATCAGCATATCAACCGGCATGGCTGATAACGGTACGTTCGTCCATTTTGCGAGCTAGTAGAGAGCCGACTGATTAAGCGGAAATAGACCTCATCAACGAATTCGACATCGCAATCGCCGCCCCCTACGCTGTTAGTAAAGCTGCACTTAACACGCTTGTCGCGAAGTACAATACAGCGTACAAGAAAGATAGGATCTTATTCATGGCGATCAGCCCCGGGGTGGTTGACACTGCGGAGGGAAAGACATGTCAGCATTTCTTGATTAAAAGCCTGCTCGCATATACTATTTACTAACATTGCTATTCAGTCTCGGAAGAAGAACTCGCGGGCATTCAAGCAATGTTCACAAAATTCGCGGACTACGCGCCTGGATTCAAAGGCCCGATTACGCCGCAGGAGTCTGTGGAGCAGATGCTGAGAGTGGTTGACAATGCGACCATCGAGCGCGGAGATAGCGGGAGTTTTGTCAGTCATTTAGGGACGAAGCAGTGGCTGTAAAGTCGTGCAAGCATAATTCGTACAGCAGGCGAATTGAAGGCTTACGGCGGGCCGGCTTCAGCTCTGGGAATGCTCGTCAACGCCGAATGGGTGACGCGGCGTTGATGCTGAGAACTACTTAGAAATGAATCCGACGAACGTAGGCATAAGAAAGTGCACCTTCCAGCGAGGATCGCTACCATTGGTTAAAAGCACATTTAGCTTGTTGCATATATGCTCGTTGCTAATAATCCATCGCGGTCTCTCCGCCGTTTGAGCTGAGGCGCGGTCAAATATCTCCTTTACAGTTTATTAGCGCTTACGAACGCTGAGAGTTTCGATCCGACCAGCAAGTGTTACCTTTACTGCAACATCGGAGCTGATGAAGTATTCTGTAACAGGGCCCAGCTGGACTCTGAGAATGTTTCCGTGCTGGTGGACCCAGTTTTCCAGCAGCAGCTGCTGTTGGCCCTTCTTAGCAGCCGCGACAAGCTCAGGAAGATTGCCTACAATCGGTCGGCCGGGGGGCTTTGGAGCAAGTGGGAGCTTGCCCTTGTCGGATCTCTTGAACCAAGAAAAGAGGACGAAGATTACGGCGAGAAGGATCGAAAGCGGAAGAAAAACGCGAAAGTCTACAGCACTGGTGAAACGAGGAGACATGATGAGTGAAGTTTCTGAGAGTTCAAATTACCTGTTGAAAGCCGTTTCGCGAGCAGTGCGACTTGAGAAACTATACACAGCCCCCATGATTGAGGTCAGTTACTAGAGCAAGAGCATAGGGCGTAAATCAGCTGCCGTCACCAATACCCGAGCCCTCATCTTCACTCGAGCGCTGAGGACACTAGTCTGAGCGCCACTTTGTCGTATTGCATGTGCGATGAGAATGGCACCGACAGGTCTTGCAAGATGGTGGTGTTGAAAGATGCCACTCCAGTTGCAGGGACAATAACAGGCGGATGGCTCGCGCGGGGGACACTCGGACTGGGTGCTGGTTATGGGATAACAACAAACGCCACCTCACTCTACGGACGACCTTGTATCCCGCATACCGACAATGATTATAAAGCTCGCCTTAAAACGGCCTTTGGCAAGCTCCGAAATCCGAGGCTGTATAGCCAGCATGCTTGTAAAATGCCGCTGCCTATTACTGAGAAACGCGGCGAGGATCTCCGACGGGGTTGAGACGATAGCTCTTTCTGTCCCACATTCTGGCTTGAGCTGACTCTCTTGTGGTCAGCTGTGACTATTATAGACGGGGGGTTATAAAGGCGTGAGTCTGCGCCGATAAACAGGAACAATAAGAGGACAGTGTTGCTGCTTTGCATGCCTGTATCCAACTTTCAATTCCGTGTACATCCTTCCGCTAGTTGCATCACTTAACCAAACGCCGTTTCTCCGTTACATACAATCACATCGCCGAAGACGAAGAAATTTTTTATCTGTTCCCACACAATCGCATCGAGTTCCCTCAAACCACCATGTCCAGCAAAGTAGACTTCCTCACCCAACCTCCTGGCAAACCCGATGAACCCTGTGTGCTCTTCTTCCTCGGCTGTGGACTCATTGTAATCCCGACCTCGAACTCGGTGATGCGCCTCATAGTGACGGGCGAAGAGACGGGAAACGCATTCTGCATCGTTGGAACCGGCGGCACCTCATTAGACCCTATCGGCTTCCATTACCACCGTCAAGCGCATGATATTTTCTTGTGCCTCAAGGGCGAAGTCAACGTTTGGGCTAATGATGAAAGCAGAACGCTGACGCCCGGCGACCTTGCCAGCGTGCCACCAGTTCGTAACCCATCTCCGTCCTGGCCCGCCTACTGCAAGCGTTGTCGGCGCTGTGCCACATCGCACGAACTCCTCAGCTGACCAGACTCCATCACGATCGGGGCGTGGTGCACTAATATCAGATCTCCGCCGAACACACTGAGTTCGTTGGCCCCATCATGCCCAGCGGCTGGGAAGACTTCTTCTGGTTCATCGGGGAGCCGTACCAAGGCCCTATTTTCCCCGACAACGACACCCGCAATCCCTTCGAGGCCCTGGTTCTGAAGCTCGTCGCTGCAACGGAGAAATACGACATGGTGCCCGTCCGAAATCACCCAGCTGTGCTTCTGATGCCGCACTGAAATGAGTGAGGTACTTCTGCAAGCGAGATGAAACCTCCATCCAGCGTCTGGCACGTGCCATTATCCGCCTCCAGATACTACGGCTGAAATGCAGTAGCTGGAACAGCGTCTACTGTGGGTTGTCCGCAGGGATCGAGGCTCCCAAAGTTGTCGAGAGGGTCGTCAAGGGAATGAAGGAGACATCGTGGGAGACAGAAAGTGGCACGACGCTACATCCAGTCAAGCCTTGGCGAACAGCTTCCGCGCAAGAAATTCCGCTCGTTCTGAGCTCTTGACCGCTATCGGTGAATACGTAAGCTCTGCACTGGGGTCCTCTACGCTGTGCGGCGTCACTTACGCCTATACGGAGCTAACGAAATCCCAGATACAAACAATCGGCTGCTAATCTAATAGCCGAAATAACAGTAAGGGGTGGACCGAAAAATGACTTCGCCAGAACGCCCTTACAACCTTCGGTCTGCGATTTCTGTCCAGCCGCCTTAGGAGGCCTTGATCAAAGAGGCAGTCGGGATGCCCGTCGCCCCAATGTCAGCATCGTCCAAAGGATTCTTGCGGAATCATTCGCTGCGCCCTTGGCTCATTGAAAAACGGCCGCATAGGCGAAGCGTTAACGAACGACGGCCAATTACAGCAAGTAGAAATCCTCACATCCCTACACTATTCTACTTCTAGCTCTCTGTGGCCGACGTTGAGATTACACTATTACCTAGTTCAGGTCGGTTCCGCGTGCTCATTTAGCCCCCACGAAAAATCCGCACATATGACAGCTTGGCATAATGCGAATCAGCACAGGCACTAGCTTAGCCTTTGAGACTTATGTGAGCTGCTATCACTAGTGAGAGATGCACTGGCTTTCCTCCAAGGCTCTCGAAGATAGCTTCTAGGGTTAGTATTATAGGTCTTGTTATAACAGCATGTGTGTCTCTTTATTTCATGCTGCTTTGGTCTTGGATGGTTCTTAATGAGTGGGTGTATGCGGTTAGAAGCCGACTTGAGAAGAGAAGGAGGAGGCGGAGCTCGTCCAAGTGCTAAACACGGAGAGATGCCCTAGGCGCCTCGGTCGTGTTACTGAGACGAGACCTCGAGACAAGTATCTAGAAGACGGGCTGTTAAGGTACAAGTGTATGTTGCACGTAGCGCATGGGATGCAGGGAACCGACCAGCATTGCCTTGCGTAATCGTGGACCAAGATCGCTGCTGGAGAACGACATTTAAGGCAGACCAGGTACCATCGGGGCTTTAATAAACATAAAGAGCTGCAAACGACCAAGTTGTAGAAGCTATCTCGATAAACAGTTATGAACGTCGTAGCAAATAGTAATATATAAAGAACGGCAAGTTTCGCAGTCGCTGCAAACATAGATATAATACAAGCACTCTAAAAACGCAGTAGAGAGGAGCTCTAATGCAAGAGCGAAAGAGAAAAAAAAGGTGCGTCCAGCCTTTAAGTAGCGCTATGCGAGTGCTATCTTAGCTATTATCTTAGTAGCTATCTTCCGGGCTATCTTAGCGAAATCTAAATAACTAAAATAACCACTTCGTGTTTTCACCCTATATTCCTCTATTCTATTTCGGATTAATTCATTCTTTCATTCTACTCTAACTTAGTAATACGGTAAGCCTATAGGCCTATTAACTATTCTATTATTTACCTATTCCCTTTACTCTAAATAAATAGCTGTTAAAGATTGCATATCTAGCTAATACTATTATATTATCTCTTTTTTCCTAACTATAGCTTCTCTAAGAGAAGGCGAGGTAGACTTCCGAAATTTAGTACTAATATAGAATAGAAGGCAGAAAGATAAAGGATAAAGTAAGAGTTTTATTAATACTAGCGAGATTACTAGAAGAATACATAATAGTAATAAGAGTAGCTATAGTAGTAGTGGCGGTATAATATAGTAGTAGTATAGATCTTTAGATTAAGTCTAACTTTCTCTCTATCTTCTAGTAGACCGGCTTCTAGCATTTCTCGGTTATATAGTATAGATATAAAGACTATTCTTAGCACTAGCTATAGATCTTCTTAGTCTGTCTTATCTCTAGGGTTATACTCTATACCTAGGTATTTAGAGTATAAGTATACTTCTTTATACTCGCGCTTCTCTAGTAAGCCTAGCTTACTTACGTGTTTAGCGAAGGTATAGTCGTAATATAGTAGGCTAGGGTCAGACGGATAGCGCTTTTAACATTTGCGGCGCTTAAGGGTAGCAATATACTCTTCTTCGGTAGTAGGGGAGGTTGGATCGATTGTTATTACGTCGGAGTGGCTACGCGGAGGAGTATCGGTGGACGGCGAAGGCGAGGATAAGGATAAGGATGAGGATGAGGGCGAGGATAACTCAAATGACGAGCCTGAAATGCGGCGTCGCTTAGTCTGGGTTCCGCTTGCCTCAGAGGCGGGTTGCGCCTTGCGCTTCTTTGGGCTTGAGCTGCGGCCACTCTCCACACTTCCTAGCCTTGCTAGCTGAAAACCTCCTACCGACACTACAACCTCCTTGAAGCAATCGTCTTCTTAACTCGTAGGCATACCTCACATGCTATGCCAATGTCAAAGAACTTCCCAAGCAGCGGAAATACTGCCCAGGCTAGGCGAGCAAGCAGGAAAGCTGGCGAAACACCTGGATCCAAGGCCACGCGTGTGTCATGATATATTGACCCAAGTTCGTGGGTAAGCTGCATGAAATGTCCTGCGGTATTCCATGGTTGGTGAGATATACGAAGCCGGCGGTGCGGAACGCGGCGTCCAATTGCGCTGCGACCTCGTAGCGCTCGGAGGAGGTGCTGTGGAGGAAGCGGCCAAAGTCGACGAGGGGTATAGGAACTTGTTCTAGGGTTGGAGTTTCGGTGACGGACATGATGGCCGCTAGATAGATCGGCTGTGGGGGTAACGTCTCCGAGTAGCGGTTGCGCGAGGGTAGCAGTTGCGCGTCACGTGAGATCAGATATGATAACAACCTCACCGCCTACCGGAGAGCATTAGCTGGCAGAAAATGCAGAATACCAACTTATATAATTAATTTGATTAATTATAGTCGTGTTCTCCACTCATTGCTATAAAGACGCTATATGATTGGCTAGAGATCTTGCTACCACGTGACGCGCAACTGCTACCCTCGCGCAACCGCTACCTGGAGACGTTAGCGGGCCGGAGCGGGAAGAAGCGGTGGGTTGACGTCACGAGCGCCAAGTGGCGGGCCATGTGGGGGGTTGGGTGAGGAGGGGCGTGGGAGGCTATGGAAAAAGAGTGGTAATCTTGAGAAGTGTACTTTGTGTGGCCTGCAATATCATGTCAGCATCGATTGTCAGCACCTTCGTCCGACGACGACTGAGCAGCACCACAGCAGGCGAGGAAACCATACGATATCGACCCTAGACTTTTGGGCAGTTTGCCAAAGCTAAACATTACGGGCCTATGAAAAGTTGTTCATCGCCATGACCTCAGCTCAGTGTCCCGCACTCTACACGTTTCTCCTCATCTTCCTCTCCTGAGCAATCTCCTCCTCCGTCATACGCCTCTGCACACCAGGTGCGGCGACCTTGCCGGTCACAGCCGCAAGCCCAACTTCCTTGGCGAAGCCCAGCATGCCGACGGTAGTCTTCCAGTAGGTAATGTGCTTAGCCTTCACCTCGATGAGCGTCATCCGCGGGTCCTCGTACGTGCCGTTGTGCACACCGTCACCAAGGTCACCGAACCACGCCTTGATAACCGGGCTGTAGATCTCCTGGGACCGCTGTCAGCACTGGACTCGTCACGGTGGTCGCCGCTGGAGTACGTACCTTGATCCTCGGGTCGCTGTTGTCGGTCGTCGTGGCGGTGCCAGTGACGCTGATCCAGTTCCCGGTCGACGAGTCCTGGAAGGTGATCGAGCACTCCTTGTTCTCGCTCAGGTCCTTGAATTTCTGGCTGTGGTTGTTGGCGACGTAGAGGAAGTCGGGGCCCTCTCGTCGGCCAACGGCCATGGCGCGGTGCACTGGGCCGACACCAGGTCGGTAGGTGCCCAGCAAGCTGAACTTCATGTTGTCTGCGATGCCGTACATATCCTCGAACTGCTGGGCCTTAGGGGTCTCATCGTCGAACTGCTTGGCGACGCTGGGATCGTTCTGGGAGTGGACCTCCTCGGCTGTGAGTGACTCAGGCATGATGGGTGATTTCTCGTTGGATGTGTGGAGTCTTGGGTGAACTGAGTCTAGATGGTTTGGAATGTAGAATGGTGATCTGTGGATGTGAAGAGAATGTTTGTATGGAGAGACCGGAGTGCTTTCCTACGGACACGTTCACACCCCCGCTACTTGCTCGTACTTCCTGCCAATGCCGCAAATGTTTACATCACGACTCGCCGGATTGAAACTGCCAGCCAGCGGCAGAATGACATGTTATGCAGACACGGAGGAATCGAGGCTTGTGACTGCCCTCGCCAAGGTGCATGCCTGCCTTTGCGGACGTCAATGCCGTCCCGTTGTGGATACTTTAGTACCTAGCTAAGGCCGAGCGCGGTACGGAGACGGAGGGAGGGTCTACCGAGAGGTGAACAGGGTCTGCCAACATTCCGCCCTCACACAATGTCCGCCGGCTGATCTTCGTGCGCCGTCGCAAGCGGGCTACCTTTACGTAGCACTGGTTCTGAAGCGTGTAAAGGTAGTAATCAAGGCAGAAGGCTGGTACACCAAGTATTGAGATTTATGCACATAACCTATACAAACCCCTACCAGAGTTGCAAGCTAATGCATGCGCTGGTTGTTGAGATATTCATGTTGCAAGGTGTGCAGCGGCACTTGGTGATGGTTGAGGAAACGCTCGCGTACAAAGACTTCTTGTCTACGCCCTCATCGCACGTCCGGTGGTTAGCGTGCATTAGCCTCACAGTGGCTCTTGTAGCCTGAAACGGCCTTTCTAAAAGACATAATTGGCCTAGCTACTTGAGGCCACACAGTTTAGGCCAACCAACAGTCGTCCCAGCTGGCTCAAACCCTTGTAAGAGAGGCGCCCTAACAATTGGCTGCGCGGTTGAGGTGTACACCTCTCGGCCGACTCAATAGGGCATTTTCGCAGCGCGGCTTGGAGGGGTAAAACGAGGCCGCGGCTTGATAGCCAAGCTCTATAAACGGTTTAGCGTCAAAATCTTGATGTTCTATCACCGCTACTGGCGATCGTAGTTATCTAATAGTTCAAATATCACGAATCTAGCTACTATTATCTAATAACGCGTTTATATTATGAAGTTAGAGGGGGATTTAGTCCTCTGTATATACCTTATCACCGCCCTGCTCTTTTTATATAAAGAGTATCGCCGCGTATCTAGATATATTACTCCTTACCGCTATCTACCTAGCTAGTAGACACTTAATAGTATAAACCCCAATACTGTTCTTCGGAGATTTAGGTAGTATATCTAAATACTCGTTTATAGACACGTGTGCTAACTATCTATCTTTTAGGTTTACTAAGAACGAGATACGCCTCCTTATTACCCTCCTCTATATTGATGAAGCCGAATACTTAAACTAATATAAGCCTAATCTAGAGACGGTGTTTTATATCCTTCTTAGCCGTCTTACCTTACTAGTATATTTATATAAACTCTATAACTTATTCCACCGCTCTCTACCCTAGATATCTATAATAGCTACTAGCCTTAGACAGTTTCTAGCTTAGAGGTAGGGTCGGTATATCTGTTAGCGGCCTTATTTAAATAACTATAACTAGCTGCGGTAGTTTAAAAAGGCTATCGCTACTACTAGTAGTAGAGATAAGGCTAGCTACTTTAAGAGAGGTATTTAGGGGTTTATTAATAGGACGTTTTAACGCTTCTGCCGTCTAATAATAAGATAAAAAGCTTAGTACTCTAGATACTATAAAGGACACGGCTATAAATACTAGGCGATTATTATACTTAATAGGATAATCTTAGCACTAGATAGTCTATACTCCAGCCGTGTTAATAACTAGCGGATATTTTAAGATTTAGGTGTTTAAGATTAAATACGCGCGGTCCTAAGAGGGTAGCTGCGGCGGCTTTATCTATATAGCGATTTAGTATATAGCTATATCTATAGATACTAGGCTCTAATCTCTACCGCAGGTAGTTAGTAAGCGCTTAAGTATAAAGACTAATTATTTAATAAGAGGCTATCTACTATATAAGTTGCGGTAGAGAACGCATTTACTCTTATATAAAATAAGTAACCGTTTAATAGCTATTATAAGCCGCTGCGGCACGACTAGTGGCTAGTTAATAAATACTTTCTCGTCTCTATCTTATTAACTAACTACTTTACCTATTTTAACAGTCCGGGCACTAGTTTGCGGTTTGGGATAAATTCTTCTAACGTTTCTGACTATCTTCACCGCGGCGTATAGTTTAACTACCTTAGCAATTTTCTTTTTATACTAAAGCTGGAGGGACGCTTTAGATAGGTATTATCTCGCGTCTCTTAAAGTTCTATGTAGATATCTATAGTAGTTGTTAAGATACAAGTCTAATTTAAATGTTTATGTGATGCTATTTAGACTATTGAATCCAAAGTCCGAAATTACTAATTGACTGTAGAGACTAGTCTAGAGAATAGTAGATATTCTATACTAAGACCGTGATTTTGTATATAAAATACTCTCGTTTAATAGAGAATAATTCATGCTTCTATAGCTCTCCTAAACTAGTAAGCTCCATTAATACTTTTAATTTAATGTCCTCTCACTACTCCTAGTATTACTACCACCTCTACTACCACTAATTCGATTAAGCGCGGCTAGAATCCTACCCTCTATACCCTTAATCGCGTTAACCTTACTATCTAGCCTATTAAGCCGTCCTTTAAAGTCTGTCTACAGCCTCTTAAGCCCCTTTACTATCTTATTATCTTTACGAACTAGTTTTTGTATCGCAACCTCCATTAATATTTTAATTATCTTAGTAAGCTTATCTAAGGTGGAATTAACTCGAGAATACTTTATTCCTCTAGACTCTTGCTAAGGAGATCCACTAGCTAATAGATCTAATATAGTAGTGCTCTCTCGATCCTCTTAAACCTCGATGCTAGCACTATTAATTGCAACTCTATTAGATTCGTCCCCTTACACCTTAGCTACTATCTTAGCTACCTTATTATTGTTAGACCACTACTCGCGCTCCTCTAGTTCACTAGTTATATATATCCTTCGGTCTTATAAGAATTCATTAACCTCGTCTTTAGCTTACTAGATATAAGTATAATTTAACGCTTTCCTAGCCTTAGCTTTATTTACAAACTCTATATAGGTATTAATTACTATATCGCGCTCGATCTAAGCTTAGCTTATCTCTATACTAGTACTAGAACCGCTAGTCTTTAGCTACGCCTTACGCTTAGCTATAAGTCTTAATAGACCTCCAGATACTCTTATATTTAACACTAGTAGTAGTAGTAAACGCCTAGCGAACTAACTTATAAAAGGTGTTAGTGTTAAGAGTTTCTAGCTCCACTAATCCTACTTAACGAGCAGCTATCTAAATAAGCTTAGTGTAGTGCTCCTCGGTTATTATAACACGGCCTACTTTAGGGTTAGGGTTAGGGTTAGGGTTAGGGTTAGGGTTAGGGTTAGGGTT